AGGTTGAGGCGCTGGAGAGTGGCACTAATGTCTGCTCCAGTAACTAACACGAAAGTGAAGCTTGATTTTGGCCAGCCAAAGGCGAAGGATCCTTGTCGCATTTACCATATGTGTGTGGTCCAACGACAAGGAATCCTTCGTATTTATCAGGGATGCACAAATGTCACATTTGCCTCCTGCCAATTTGGCCGACAATCAAAGTGCTGGTTCGCCTGGCTTCTGCGGTTGAAATAATTATGTTTTTCAGCACAGGATCGTTGGCTACGTGTTTTTATCAGTCTTGCAAATCTGAAAGAATTGCAATTTTGACTGGCTTTGTGGTGCGATGAAATTGACTTTCTAATTTCGTTTGCAATCATGATTTTTTTAGGTAAATTAAATTAAATTAAAAATTATTGGTATGCACTCTTTATAAATAATTTTAAATCCTTGAAGTTTGTATATCTCCTTGAAGCGTTTTAACAATTTTTTAAGTATTTTTTAAATTCCATAAAAGCGGCTTAAAATCACATTTCAAAGAGGCATCAGTCATCATCATCAACTGCAGAACAAATATACATTCCATCCTTGAGTTTCACTTATGATATTGCTATCTGGTTTCTGTTGAACTTACGCTCGTATCCCTGGCAATACATTCGCCTGTAAATGAATATATTTATGTGTGCGGATGTGGATTGCAGGTGTCCTTGTCTCGTTCTCGTCCTCATTCTCGTCTTCATCCTCGTCCTCGTCGTCAGCGGGCCTCATTCGTCTCCCATCGGTGCACACAAATTGCCAAAGTTGCGGACATTCCATCGCATAGGCAAAACTTTCGCCCGTCGCCCGTTTGCTGGTTGCTGGAATTAATTAAAATACAAAATGGCCACAAAGGCGATGGTGGGCCATCCAATCCGTGACGGGATCACAGCCGGATGTGTGTGCTCTCCAACAGCAGCGGAGGGAGGGGAGGGGCGGATTGTCGAGGGGGAGTGGCACTTCTGTGAACCGCTTTTCCCCCTCTAATCGTTTTGCTGCGGCTGGCACTTCCATCAAACACGCTTCCGCAGTGCATATCCTGTTTGTAATCGATTTGAAAATGTGCAGCAAGGACATTGTCCGGCAAACGACGACGAGAAGTACAAAAAAAAAAAAAGGAAAAACCGATGAAAGGAAAGCGAGTTACGACGGGGGCGCAAAAGAAAAGTAGAACAAAAAAGGAAAAAATTAGCAATAAACGTAAGCGCACGCGATGTCCTGCCCCCCAATGTCCTGCCCCCCAAATGTCCTTCCCTCCCCCCAAACTCCCACTAAAAAAGGGCTAAAATCAATAAAATGCTTGTTGCTCCGACACAAGAAATAGCAACACCAGAGGCAACAACATTTATACAATGCCAACGACGTCGCGACTTTTCTCCGACATCTTTCAATGTACAATTATATTGGTTGGCTTCTGCCACGCCCCCTTCCCCTTCTCCGCCACAAAGTCTTAAATGGAAAGGGTACTTCGTCGCTGTGCAACATAAATAGTTGCGTTTTTGCCTCCCCTTCAAGTGCACGGAAAGAAAACTATACAGATCTATTTTTTTAAGTGGATAATTTAAACAAACTTGAAAAAATAAAAGAAAATATATGTTCATGTCTACCTACATTTTTTCAGCCAAATATCAATGATTCTTCTTACCATTTGGCACAACAATAATAATACTTGTTATGCCTATTCAAATATCAATTGTTATTTGAACACATTTAATTCTATTAATTTTGTTCATAAAAGCCTTGCGAAATTATATAAAATTTTTGTACCTTACTCTTTTTATTCAATTTAAATAAACTATTGGCCATAAGTCAATAAAGTGTTCTTTGTCTTCTCCGGAAACCAGAGCAAATTGATCTGATTACGTTGACTTGAAAGGCAAACGGAAGTCAAGGTGTCAAGCTGAAACTGATACTGATATTGCACTACATTTTATTCTCAGTGCTTCGCTTTTTGCGCTGCGCCAGCGAAAATGCCGGAAATTCTTGGGACTGGGTCCGTGTAGTGTCCTTCGCTGCCAATTCCTCGGCTGCTCCTTCCGCTGTTCCTGCTGTTCCCTGCACCTCCTAGCTGCTCCTTTCTGCTCCTTCTGCTGCTCCTTCTGCTGCTTAGCTTCGTCAGCGCCATAAATGGCTGCAAAAATGTAAATAGACAGAAGACGCGAAGGGAGTAAACGCGGAGCACATTGCTCGTTACATGCTAGAGATTCCTGCCAGCGAGCGAGTTATTATGACAAACTTTGTTAATTGGAAAATATTCCTCGAAAATGCTGGCTGGCTGGCTGGCTGGTTGGATGGCTGGCTGCCGCCACATTGAATTTACAGGATACATTCATCGCCTGGGTCGCCGTGCCTTTGGTTTTTGGTTTCTGCGGTCTCAATGCATTCGACAAGTTTGAGCAGCTCCCCCGGCTTCATTTTCTGCTTTTTGCTGTCCTGTTTGGTGTGTGTGCGAGGCAAAGTTTGCTTTTTTGGGCAAATATTTGCGCAGATGGCATCGGTGGAAAGTAGATTAATTCATTACGCTGCCAGCAAGTTCGTTAAAAACTATGGCCAAAAGATAGAGGAACTTGCGCTTTAAATAGTTGCAAACTTTTGCGGGCGGAGAGTTTGACAAACCGCTTATGGCCAACTTTATGACAGCTGCAAATGACTGTCTTTAAGATCTCCGTCGGAAGTGAAGTGAAATGAAGTCAGCCGTGGTATGGGTAAAGTTGACTGCCGGACATTTGATGTCTCACTTTACGGTCGGTGTTTTACATGTGATTTATGGCTGTGAAACGCGCTGTCTCCAGGACATATGCTTTTATTTTTCGTATCATTTCGTCGTAATGTGTCGCTTTTTTATTTGCCCCATGCACACGTATAATGCGACCCAGAAAAAGGGGCAATAAATTCAGAGTGGGGCGAAAATTGGGGATTGGAGTATCCATTGCAGTCGATGTCGGATGTCGGATGTCTGCTGCTCCAATGGTGCTTTGTCTGATCATCTTTCGGGGTTAACAATTGAAGCAGCTCTTGGCAAGGCAATCCATTGCAGCCAGCTCATCGTCATCGCAGTTGCCATCATCAATTCGTCCCTGGTCTTGATGATGGTGACCGAAGCCAATTGTACTTGGCGAGGCCAAAAAGCAAAAAGCACCATGGGAACGAGCACTATTCACTGAATGAATGGGTTCGGAACAGTGAAAAAAATAGTGCTGAGCTCAAGCCTTTTTCTAAAGCAGTTTTTCAACAGCATATCTGTAAAATAAATTCATGGCAGTTGTATTCATTAATCTCAATTGCGCTCGAATTGGCTTAGCCTTTTTTTATTGGAAATAAAATATATTTTTGCAGGCATCTATATACTTTTTAATTTAGGTAAAGGCTCATTAATTTTTTCTAGGCAGTGAAACATTCTCTTCAGTTGCCCATTTAATTAACTAACAGTTTTCTAATCAAGAGTTGCAGAATAAACAAGAACTTTTTTATAAATACTTTTATTTGATTTGCAAAATCCACAAATCCCCATGAACTGATTGCTCAAATGCTAGATTTATTCGCAGTTTAATTTATAGTTCGTTTTATCGATGCATTGGCTACACTCGTATATAGTATCCTTGACATCCTTGATTCAGTCTGCGCCTTGTTTATCCTCAGTGTTGGCGTGAAGTAGACACGATACTCGATAACAGACTGGGACGTGTCCATGGCCAATCCTCATGACGGCATTTTATTGTTTGCTGACGGTCTTTAGCCCGTCGAGTGGATACTATACTTTATATACCTATATATCGTATACTAGATATGCTATACGTATGTGTTTTTCCGTTCGAGTGCGACTCTGTTAGGTCTAGATCTGCTCCTATCCGGTTTTGTGTCCATATTTTTTCCGTGCCGCAGGACCCCCTTCTATTCTTCTTCTTCCTCCCACTCCACTTGGTATCCTTTATGTAATTGTAAGTGCCAGCGATTATGTACACGCAACTATGACTTTAACTGCTGCTTGTTGTTCCAGCAGTTGGTACTTGGACTCCGTCGAGCGTTGTTATTGTCACGGCCGTTTTTTTCTTTTCTTTTTTTTCGGGTGGCGCTGCCCCGTTGCCAATGACAACCCTGTAGGCGCTTGGTAAACACCCTATAACCAAACAAAACCGAAAACCCCTCACACCCCCCACCCTCTAACCAACAACCCAACCACCGCCCACTCCTTTATGGCAGTAGAACCACATGGATGCACACACTTGTGCACTTTCGCAACACCCACGAACAGAAGCACACCCATTCGCACCCACTCACACACCCACTCACACACACCCACACACACAAAGTGTGCTTTCAATCAGGCACTGAATTGAAAATCCATTAACGAGTACAAGGCAGAGGCACTGGCGCCAGCTGCCACTGCCACTGCCGATGGCACCCACTGTTTTCACGAGGGGCACCCCGGAAATGCGGCCACTAACGAAGGGTTGGAAAGGGGGAGGGTTAAGAGGGGGGGAGAGAGAACTCCCCTGCTTCATATTCTTTCTTGAACAATAACAAAATAATACACAAATTTGGCGACTCTTTCACGGCTTTGCTGCTGCAAGTCAAGAACAAATATTAAAGACCAAATGAATGCAACTTCAACTTCAACTGCAACTAAGTCTGAAGCTGCAAAGAGTGCAGTCAGAAAAATCTTACACCTTCTTAGAGTGGATTAAAAAAGATTAAAGTTTGCCTAAGATGCAAAGTGATTACTCTATTGCAAAGTTTTTGAATAAGAACTTTTTGCTTTTGTATTGCTGATAGATGAAAAACCATTGAGGTCCAAAACAATATCAGAAGTTGCTAAGGCAAAGCACTTAAGCTTTCAACTGATTTAACTTTTTGGGAAACACTATTTGTACAAAAGGAAAGGAAATTTTCTAGCTGAGAAAAAATAAACGGTTGCCTAAAAAGCGAAAGTATTTATAATTCTTGTAAATTCATAAGTGAATCTCCATATTCCAAATGTTGTTTAGTTAAACGGAACAATAAACCCCCAATCTATAAAAGAAAAAAAACACTGCGGTTTCTCCAAGTGCATTAAATAAGTACCGAAACGAAATAAAAATTCAAATAAATCAAAGCCAAATCGAAGCCGAATCGAAAAATCAAAGGAGCGTGTTGAAGATGTTGACCTGCGTGTGTCGACCCGTCTCCGGCAATCTGCCCAAGATGCCGCCCGCCTCGCTGATGCCCGCCCACCGGGCCACGCCCTCCTCAGCCTCAGCCTCAGCCGCCTCATCCACATCCTCATCAGCATCGACAGCCTCCTTGGCCTTCGTCAGTCCGACGAGAGGAGTGGTGGTGACCTGCGAACCCAAGCTGAATGTGAGTAGCCCGGCGGTATCTCCATCCGTATCTCCTCCATCCGGAGGAGCAAATCCAATCTGCGACACACAACAAAAAGCCGAAATTAGCTTAAGCATAACTTGATTTATGGCTGACCACGAACGTTGACAACTTTCAGTTTGACTTTTGAGTTTTCCCCAGGATGCTTGCTTGGTGTTTTTCATTTTTATTTCTCATTTTTTTTGTTTTTTTTTTTTGGTTACGTCTCGGATTATAAATTGTGAAATCTTATTTGACACTCTAAAGAGGAGGTGGATGTGTCACTTATCTTTACTAACGATCCACAATCTGAATGGCAATCGCAATCTCTAATCCGAATCCAAATCCAAATCCTTCGTTGCAGGTGCCCAGCAGGCTGACGTCAGCCGAACTGAGGGCGATGGCATTGAGACAGCAGCAGCAAATCGACAGCCAGCACCAGCTGCTGGCCACCAAGGAGCAGCGCCTGCGCTTCCTCAAGTCGCAGGAGGTGCGGAGCGCCGTCGCCAGTGCGGAGGGGGAGCGGCTCCGCCGGCTGAGGGAGCGGGTCGAGGCGCAGGAGTCCAAGCTGCGCCGCCTGCGAGCGCTGCGGGGTCAAGTGGACCTGCAGAAGACCTACAATGTCACGCTGAGTGAGTAGCACACCTTTACAAAAGCAAAAAACACGTGAATATATTCTAGGGAAGTGCACTTTAATAGATGAAGGTTAGTTAAGGGGATCTGAGGAATTAAAATAAATTAAATGGGAATTTACGGGTTATTAGTTAATTGGGTTAAATTCAAAAAAATTAGATCATAATCTATTTTTACAATTTATTTATTTCTTTTAATGAATTAAAATATTTAATTTTATTATTACTTTATCATGAGATAAGATAGATAGATAAGTTAAGATGGTAATCTAAATTTACTGCCTTTAGAGACTTCATGGAAATAGTGAGTAGTATTTTCTTATCTTGTTTTAAATACAATTTTGCATTGGAAGTATGGTAGTATAATTTCATTGGTAAAATGTACTTGATTATATCTTCTCTCTCTTTCTAATACACACCAATTTATAGATTGGTATTATAAATTAATTTTAAATCCCCTTCCGAGTCTGCTTCCTAATTGTAAATCCCTTCTCGGATTCCCTAGCTGCTCTTAACCAGCTTTTAATCGTACCTGCCTTCCTTAAACATGGCTTTGCTCTTTAATGCGCAAAGGTAAATGTTGCAAGGGAACACCCAAGATTTATTATGCAACTTTTGAGCAGTGCAACGAGGGAAGGGAAGGGAAGAGGAGAAGAGAGGGGAGGAAGGGGGAGGGAACGGATTCAGGGGCAGTGGCGAAGTGCCACCAAGTGCATCTGGTGGGGATATCCTATCCGGTCCTAAGCTTACCTCTCCAATTGAGTTAAGCACCGCCGGCTGAGTGGCGAAGAGGGGTTCTCTGGGTGAATTAACATGTGTTAAAACCGTGTTGAGTGGTGGCCTGCCTGCCTCCAATCCTGTCGAGCGTACAGCCCAATCCCAGCCAGCCAGCCATCCAACCATCTGCCAACTGCCACCCAACATTCGCCATCAGCCACTCGGTTCTCGCGTGTGTGAATTTAATTTATGTATGTGTGCCACTTTGTTGTCCTTTATGATTGCCTGTGGGCGGGTGGACCACGCCTCTTCCCCCCGCTCACCCACTGGAAACATGGCTAAGAAGATGTTGGCCCGCCGCACAAGCTCCGGCGCACACAATTCCATACAAGGGTATTATGTTAATGAGCTGGCGCCCTGCGTTGTGGCTCTAATTAGTTTGAACAGGCAACCCAAATCCACGAAAAGGAAAACACCGGCGACCATCAGGCGGCCGGCGATTATAAAATAGTTAGTGGGTTAGTGGGCGAACGGAATGGATCCGGGATAACATGTTGATTAAGCCGGGCACTCAAAGAACAGGCGCCTCCTTTAATCAAGGAGCAGGCGCTCGACTACAGATTGTTGCGGCTCCTTTGTCGGTGATTAAGATTTACTTGGGTGCCTATTAATAAGCGTGAGATATCGGGCATTATAATCATGATAATAACCATGGTAGTATTTTTAGGTTGAGAGAAAGTGTGTGTGTTTACTTAAATAAATAGTTAAGTGGGCTATTTAGTAACAAAAATGTAAAGAAAAGCGATTACTTTCTTATTTAAAGGAAGCTATTTCTAAAAAGAATGTGAAGGTTTAATCGTTTAAATATGAAATACTTCGCTTTTGCTTTATAATAATGTGATTCTGTCTATCCAATACCAATAAGTTTATGATGAATCTAGAAAATATATACAGATTAATTTAATATCCTAGTCATCGAATAACTTTTCGACACTGAGGAGATTCCCAATATAAGAATTTAAAACTAGTTAAGATTAAAAGAAGTGGCAATATCTTTTAAAAACATTTTTGCTTAATTAATTAAAAATGTTTCTTTGTATCTCCACTTTTCAGGCAATGACTTGGACTCGATTCGAGCGCTGTTCAGCGAGAAGGAGAAGGAGCTCAGCCTGGCGGTGGCCAAGGTGGAGGCACTCACCCGCCAGCTGGAGGAGCTGCGCCGCGACCGGCGATGTCCTGTGAACATCCTGGCGGCAGCTGGCAACGGAGTTGGCCAGGCACTTCCTCCCCAGGCGTCCCGCGAGCTGGAGAAACTGCGCCGCGAACTGATGGTGAGTGAGGCGAAACAATGGGCCAGCTAATTGGGAAAGTGTTTATTTGTTGTTCTTTGCTCAATGTTGCAGTACCGCAATCAGCTGTCGCTGCAGCAGGATGCGCGGTTGCACATGCAACGCGAGGCGTTGCAGCAACGTCAGGCGGAGCTTCGATCGGTGGACCAGCGCATTTACGAGCTGCAGACGCGCCTGCAGCGCAAAAAGCAGGCCAACACCCACCATCAGCAGCAGCAGCAACAGCAGCAGCAACACCAGCAACATCAACATCAACAGCAGCAACAGCAACAATCTGCAGTGCAACAACAGCAGCAGCAACAATTGCATGTACAGTCCGCTCAATTGCTGGCGGCAGCAGCAGCAGCAGCCACTGTGCAGCAGCAACATCAGCAGCAGCAGCAACAGCAGCAGCAGCAGCAACAACAGCAGCAACAGCAGACTTTGGCCTACCAGCAACCTGCTGGCAATTTGGCCAAACACGGCGGAGTTGCTGCCCTCAAGCAGCAATTGTTGCAGAAGCAGGTGAACCAACTGGCCGCCGCTGCTGCTGCAGCTGCCGCAGGCAGAGCCCGTGGCAATGTGGCAGCCGTAGAGCCCTTTATCCACACGCCCCAAAAGTCCACGATTACCAGCACGGCCAGCTATTTGAGTGGCGGGATGAAACACGCGGCGGCGACGGCTAATACGAATCAGCAGAACCAGCTAATCCAGGATTTAACCCACGTAAAACTGGGACAAAATAGTGGTTTCTTCGCTGGATCAGTGCCCGTTCCCGTGGCGACTTCCAGCAGCGAGAGCGATGAGTCCAAGTTGGCCAAGAAGTTGCTGGCAACTCCTGCAAAAACGGAGGCTGAGTTGAGGAAACAGGCGCAAACGGAAGCGATGGATAGCACCACACACATTTACGCGGAAGTGGGACCCAAGAAAAGGGATCGAGAGGCAGCAGCAGCGGCGGCAGCAGCAGCAGCAGCAGCAGCAGCACAAGCAGCAGCAGCAGCAGCAGCAACAGCAGCAGCAACAGTAGCAGCACAAGCAGCAACTGCAACTCCAACAGCAACATCTCCGCCCGCCACTGCGAATGCGAGTAAAATCCCCAAGAGCATCTCCTCCAGCAGCAGCAGTTCCGCCTCCGCCTCCGCCTTGATAAGCAAACTGAATCAGCAGGCAACTGGAAAGGACAACCAGGATCCACAGCAGCAATCGCAAATCAAAAAGAACGAGATTTCGGTCACCAGCGAAACGCTTTCGGAACGCAACACCCAGCAGCAACTCACTGTGCACAGCATGCCACTGGGTGCCATTAGCAAATCGGTGGCTCTAGCAGTGTCCAACGCCTCCAAGCCACTGCAAGTGCAGGTGAGCAATTTGGCGGTGCCACCGAGGAAACCCATCAGCAGTGTGGCGCCCACTTCGGTTTCCAGCGGCAGTTCGATACCCAAAATGATCACCTACAGCCCGAAGGTGAATCGCGTGGCGCCCAATGTGGTGATGGCGGATCCCCGACCAGCATTGCCACCCAAACCCAGCAAGATGTCGCCCACGGAACAGCCATCGCCGGTGGAGGCCAGCACGTCAAGCTCCACGGGAGGATCAGGAGGAGCAGCAACTGCAACCAAGACACAAACAGCAACCTTTGGCCTGCAATCCCTGAACATCAACGACAACTTGCCCATCAAGGCCAAGCCATTGACCATCCGCAAGCAACCTTTGTTCGAGCAACCTCGCCTGAAGTCCAGCCAATCCACCTCGAATGGCCAACAGAAGCCACCGATGTTGCAGCTGCAAAGTCAGCGGAAATCAGAGCCCACAATTAGGCAGCCCACGGATAACTTGAAGTCCTCGCCGGACAACTCACCCCAGCATTCGCCGAGCAGTGAGTCGAGTGTGGATGAAACCGACCGCATGGTGACCCCAATCAGTGCCACCAGTCAGCAGGAGGCATCGGCAACAGTTGCACCAACAGCAGCAACAACGGCGACGACAACCAGCAACATCAAGGAGCGAACGGGTGGCAAACCCAAGCTGGCGAGGCGGGTGAGCTTCGATCCGTTGGCCCTTCTGTTGGACGCCAGTTTGGAGGGGGAACTGGAGCTGGTGAAGAAGACGGCCATGCAGGTGGCCAATCCCAGTGCGGCCAACGATGAGGGCATCACGGCGCTCCACAATGCCATTTGTGCCGGTCACTTTGACATTGTCAAGTGAGTCTGACTCAAGAATCCATTTAAAATCCCTTCTAAATACTTTATTTTCTAACAGATTTTTGGTTGAGTTTGGCTGCGATGTGAATGCCCAGGATTCGGATGGCTGGACGCCACTGCACTGCGCCGCCAGTTGCAACAACCTGTCCATGGTGAAGTTCCTGGTGGAGAGCGGCGCCTGTCTGTTCGCCTCCACGCTCTCGGATCACGAGACTCCGGCGGAGAAGTGCGAGGAGGACGAGGAGGGCTTCGACGGCTGCTCCGAGTATTTGTACAGTAAGTATATCCTTTAAATTTAACTAGAGTGTATAATTTGGTACCATTTCGTTAATCAATGGGATTCAATTATATAAATACAAGCTGGAATTAACTAGATCAAAGAGAAGTGATCACTTTTGTCAAAATATAATAAAAGATCATAAGAGTCAAAAGACAAGAATATTTGCTTTTAAAATATTTAAAAATGTTTGTACATCCTTGCAGAGGTTATAATGCATTTTTTAGCTTCTAAAAAATGTTTAATGCTAAAAAAAAGATTTAATTTATATACATAACTTATCTTGATGAATATCCTCCCTGTCTATTTTTTAAATCAAATCCCATTGAAGTGTTTGCTTTTCATAAAACTAAATCAAATTTGGAAACCTCCTAGGAATCTTTGATATAACTTCAGGGGCAACTTCCTTTCTGATTTAAAAATCTCTTCTAACATGTTTCCCTTTCCTTTCTCGTAGGCATCCAGGAGAAGCTGGGCATCCTGCACAACGGCGACGTGTACGCGGTGTTCTCCTACGAGGCGCAGAACGGCGACGAGCTCTCCTTCCACGTGAACGAGCCACTGGTGGTTCTGCGCAAGGGCGACGACGCCGAGAACGAGTGGTGGTGGGCGAGGAACGCCGGCGGCGAGGAGGGCTACGTGCCGCGGAATCTCCTGGGTGTGAGTATCTGATGAAGTGCCTCCTTTTTACGCAGGATAGTAACTAACTAGCAACTCCTTTTCTCTCATTCTTATTTCACAGCTGTACCCACGTGTGCCGCCGCATTCGCCGCACTTCAGCGATTAGCAGTTAATACGCTTCACCATACTGAAGCGCAAGGCCGGCCGACTCATCCAGAAGCGCTATATATCCAAGTACATCTAGGGAGGAGCCCCATGGAGCCAATTCTGGGCACGTGCCAAGCGCAGGAGTCATCGGGGAATTATTTATCACGGCCCCATGTTTCTTTCTGTTTACTTTTTGTTTTGGGAAAAGCAACACAAAGGACGAGGAACGAGGTGGTGACGAAGGCTATATGGTTTCCCATATGCTCATCCATATGGAATGGAACCAACTGCAACAGCAACAGAAGCTTCCGCCTCAGTCATTTATCCCGACGACTGGCCTCAATTAGCCAGGCTTTCGCACAAAGTTCAGCACCCACAAATTCATACACACAAACCCATACACACACACACACACATATCACCTACACATATCACCCACACATATCAGCAGCCGAGAAACATAAACACCCCCTGCATACGTACAACCGCAAATTGAATTTCACTTAAGCTCCTTAGCTTTAAGGCCTAGACTAATAACTCATATCAGCCGCCTGCTCGCCACAAAAAACTCCAACCTTCTCCAGCTACTGCAGATATATATAAAGTTCAAAATTGGAAAAACTGGTAAATGGTAACGGGGGGGAAAATTAGAAATTCCTGGACACCCGCACACACAGAATGTTTCATCTACGGTTTGCCGAAGGAGTTTGTTAATTGCATATATCAAGTTAGTACTTAAACCTTAATTGAACTCGAACAAAGTTCACACACAAATCGAAAGAAGTAAACATTTTTAACACATACTATATAACAAAAAAAAACTGACAAACATGGAGAATACATAACGAATCGAATGTGATTTTTGTATAAAGACGAGTATAATTTAAACAATTTGTATCGAATATGGAAATGTAAATTACATAAAGCGGATTCGTTGACAAGTAATCGCATTATAGGATGTATGCTCTAATTTAACTTAATTTAATTACACCTAATTGATTGCTTAATAATTTAGCCTTAAGAAACACACATTAAAATGCAAATACGTTTGAAAAATGAAAATAAAACGATTAAGAAAGCTTAAAAACTGTGTGTGCTTTTTACTACATCCCCATCTCTAGTGGACCAATAAATATATTTTTCAGATATACAACGCAGTTAAATCTACAATCGCAATTGAGCTGCTATTCAGTATTCATTCAGAGTTCCAAAACGTTACATCTTGAAGTTCCCCGCCATATAAAAAGCTTTCCTGTCACGCGAGCATCAATTAAACTGTCACTTTATATCAGTGGTTACGTATTCTCGAATCTCTATGAAGCCATTCGAACATTAACAACCTTATCAAAAGTAAACAATTTGTATTTCACAAATGTTCGCAAGGTCGATGGAACGACAGAGATTGCTTGCTTAATTTGTTGGAATTTTATTTTGATTATTTTGTTTGACTAATGTAATCTCTGTTGGAATTTTATTTTGATTATTTTCTTTGACTAATGTAATCTCTGTTGGAATTTCTTTTTGATTATTTTGTTTGACTAATGTAATCTCTGTTGGAATTTTATTTTGATTAATTTGTTTGACTAATGTAATCTTAATTGTTTATTATTTCATCTTGAACTTTGTGACGAGTTAGCAGCTTCAAACAAAACCGAGTCGAAATTTGGATGTTAAGCGATAGAACGGGGAAGTCGGCTTTAGAATCTCGAGAGCAACGGATCTCCTAAATTAAACCGAAAACAGGTTTGCCTTAGAAACAAAATAAACGGGACGTGAAATCAATTAAAATTTGTTAAAAACAATACCTAAAATTTCCGTTAATATTAAAAAAATGAAACTAGTGTTACTATTTTATCTCCTGGTAGCCGGGAATTTATATTTCCAACCAGAAATAGTTGAGGGATCTAAAATACTTGCAGTGTATGCCTTCCCAGGTAAAGAATTTAAAACAGATAATATGTCCAGCAGTCTGATAACTTAAATATTTTATCAGGCAAATCGCATTTCATGATGCACAAGGCTTTGATAAGGGAACTCGTTGAAAGTGGACATCAGGTGACCATGGTAACCGCATTTTCTCTAGAGAAAGAGAAGCTCGGCAGCAATTACACGGAGATCTTGATAGAACCGGTCTATGATTTTTGGCACGATGGTGAGTTGTGTGTTTTATGGTAAACAAGCCGAGTCATCATCTGTATCGTTGGTTACCAGTCAAGCTGAACTTTGGAGCCCAGCACTTATTCGAGTTGACCCGCATGACTAACTATGATTTCCTGAAAATGCTCGAGATCATTGGGCTGAAGACCACGGAACATGCTCTCCGGCAACCAAAAGTTCGGGCTCTCATTCATGCAGAGCAGAAAGAAGGAGTCTTCGATCTTCTTCTGGCTGAGCAGTTCTATCAGGAGTCTTTCCTGGCTCTGGCTCAACTTTACAAGATACCCGTGGTGACCACAAGTACTTTGGGCTATGTAAATCACATGAGTCAAATGATGGGCTTGATTACACCTTGGTCTTTTGTGCCCCATGGCTTCATGCCCTTCACCGATCGCATGAGTTTCATCGAGAGGCTGAAGAACTCCTATGCTAACTTCTACGAAGATATGAACAGGCTGTACAACTACTTTCCCAAAATGGATGCGTTGACCAAGGAGCATTTTGGTACCGTTTTGGGTGAGTTAATCTAACGGTTTGTTGGTAATTGAAGGCTCGGCTAAAACGATTGCCTTCCAGATGAAGTGCCAAAGGTCAGGAACATGGAGAGGCAAATCTCGGTGATGCTGCTAAACAGTCACGCACCACTGACCACAGCACGTCCCACTGTGGATGCCATGGTGTCGGTGGGCGGAATGCACATTTACCCGCCCAAAAAGCTGCCGGCGGACATGCAAGCCTTTTTGGACGGAGCCACCGAGGGGGCCATCTTCTTCAGCCTGGGGAGCAATGTCCAGAGCAAGGATATGCCCGTCGAGATGCTTCGGTTGTTCCTGCAGGTATTCGGTTCCCTCAAGCAGCGGGTTTTGTGGAAATTCGAGGACGAGACCATTCGCCAATTGCCCGAAAATGTGATGGTGCGCAAGTGGCTGCCACAAGCGGATATTCTGGCCCATCGAAATGTAAAAGTTTTCATCACACACGGCGGTTTATTTGGCACTCAGGAGGGAGTCCACTATGCGGTTCCCATGCTGGGCATTCCCATCTATTGTGACCAGGTGGGTGGTTTAACTCAGTTATAATCTTCTAATGGTAATTACTTAATTGTACGTTTCAGCACTTGAATATGAACAAGGCTGTTTTGGGTGGCTATGCCATTAGCCTGCACTTTCAATCGATTACTGAGGAAATCCTCCGGGAGTCTCTGCATCAACTTCTCTTTAATGCCACCTATAAAGAAAATGTGCAGAGGATTTCGAACATATTCAGGGATCGCCAGCAGGAACCGCGAAAAACTGCTGTCTACTGGATCGAGTATGTCATCAGACACCGGGGAGCTCCACATATGCGATCTGCAGGACTAGATCTCAACTGGATTCAGTTCTATCTGCTGGATGTTATAGCCTTCGTGCTGGTGGTAGCTTTCATTGGAATTGGAGTCCTCGCGTTGGCCATTCGACTGCTGATGGGCAGTAACAGGAAGCAAAGGAAAGCTAAAAAACATTAATGTTTTAAAAGTGTATATCTTTTTGAAAAGCAATGTAAAGTGGTCGTAAAACAATTGTAAACAGGGCTCAACTGTGTTGAAGAATTATAATACGAGCTTTTAGAGGAATTAAAACAAAAACTAGTGATTTATTTTTGTTAACAATAAGAAAGGACATCGAAGCTATGTCGATTCTTCTATGAAGTTTCTCTATTTTCGACGATTATTCATACGAAAGCTATATGATATTATCGTCGGAATATTTTTGAAATTTAATTCCACTTCCAAGAGTCATTGGAAAACTCTATATTTCAAAAATTATGCACAACTTTTGGTAATGTTTCTGCAAGTATGAATATTGATTTCATAATATTATGAAATAATTTGTTATTTAATTTCAAAATAAATATTCTATTTAATTAAGATGCATTATCATGCTTACATCAAGTTAAAAAGTCGAATCATGCATAGATTACTTTGACGAGACATCTAAGTCACTCGTTTTGAGCACGAACCCCTTACAATTTCACGAATCTCAAGGGGTCTACGGCATATACTCGTATATGTTTGTTGTTTATAATGGCGAGCTACCTAGAGATCTACCGGCACCCATTCGCAGTCGTTTGAGAGGCGTCCACCGAGTCGGTTGCTGATTGTTCCTATCGCAGAACAACAGGCGGAAGCAAAATGGTTTGTTGACTCTCGTAGATCAATTTATTAAATAACTGAAAGCTTTCTAGAGCTTTTTTGTTCATAAAATTTATTTAAAGGTCATTAGCCTTACCGATACGCTTTGGATTTCTAATCAACGAACGTGCGAAAAGCGTTACAAAAACATACAAACTAACTGATAAGATTATGATATAACAGTTGCTGTATTATAATTGCTTAAAACAGAAATACTTATCTGTTAAACTGACTAATAGATCAACTGATAACAATTTTATTTTACAGCAATTCAGAAATACTTTTCAAATATTGCTTTTGAGCCTGGTGGCTCTCCAGCAATTGGATTTTGGTGCTAGTTCCCGCATTTTGGCAGCTTTCTTCTTCCCTGGAAAGAGCCACTTCATGATGACCAATGCCATCATCCGGGAGTTGGTCAAACAAGGACATGAGGTAACATTCATCACTCCATTCTCCTTGGCCAAGGAAAATCTGGGAGCAAACTACAAGGAAATTGTGATTCCACAATACGATTTCTGGCCAGAAAGTAGGTGATAATAATAAAGAAAATATTCAATTAATGACTAACATTTATATCCCTTTAGTTAAGGAGATGACCCAGCGCAACACGGTTCTGGAAATGACCGATCTGCCAAACTATACCTTCCTCCGGATGGTCAATGTAATGGGTGTTCACAGTACGGACTTTGCCTTCGAACAGCCGGAAGTTCAGGCCGTAATCAATGAGAAAAACAAGGTTGGAAAGTATGATTTGCTGCTGGCGGAACAGTTCTTCAACGAGGGAGCACTTATCCTGGGACACCTGTACCAGATTCCCATCATCACTGTCTCAACTTTCGGCCATGCCAATTACCTTAGTCAACTTTTCGGCATAGTTACTCCGTGGTCCTATGTGCCACATGCCTATATGCCCTTCACAGATCGCATGACTTTGTGGGAGCGAATTGAAAACGTGGCCATCAGTGCCGCCGAGGATCTTTCCAGGGAGTTCTCATATTACCCCGGACAGGATGCGGTCCTCAAGAAGCACTTCTCCAAAATTCTCGATAGAGTTCCCAGTGTTAAGGAACTGGAGCGAAATATCTCGGCTATTCTTCTAAATACCTACATGCCTTTGGCTTCAGCGAGACCGATGTCTTACAATATGATTCCGGTTGGAGGTTTGCATATTCAGAAGCCAAAAGCTTTGCCGGAGGATCTGAAGAAGTTCCTTGATGGTGCTACTCATGGAGCCATTTATTTCAGTTTGGGTAAGAGTTACCTTTTATTAAATTTTAATAGTTATACTAATTTAATAATATATTTTTTTTTTTAGGCTCCCAAGTTCGCAGTGCTGATTTGCCGCCTGAAAAACTCAAGATCTTCCTGGATGTCTTTGGCAGTTTGAAGCAGCGTGTAATATGGAAATTTGAGGATGAAACTCTGCCCAATCTCCCAGCCAATGTGAAGGTGCAGAAATGGTTGCCTCAAGCTGACATCCTGGCCCATCCGAATGTGAAGGTGTTCATTGCCCATGGAGGTCTCTTCGGAACCCAGGAAGCTGTCTACAATGGAGTACCTGTTCTTGGAATGCCAGTCTATTGTGATCAGCATTTGAATATCAACCAAGGAAAGCAAGCGGGTTATGCTTTGGGTCTGGATTACCGGACTGTAACAGAAGATGAGCTTAGGGAATCACTTCTCCAACTGATCGAGAATCCCAAGTTCAGGAATAATATGAAGAAGGCTTCAAAGGTATTCCGCGATAGACCATTGAATGCAATGGATACTGCGATGTATTGGATTAACTATGTGATCGAGCACCGAGGAGCTCCTCATTTGGTGTCTGCCGGAGTGGAGCTGCCCTGGTACCAATTCTACTTACTGGACATCGCAGGACTTGCTCTCGCTGTGATTATCCTGCCAATTTTAGTTCTCCTCTCGATTTGCCGCAGAAGCTCGAAGCCAAAGAGCTCTCCGAAGAAGAAAACCAAGAGGAATTAGAACCAAAACTAGTGATTTATTTTTGTTAACAAAAAGGATACAAATATGTTAGATAGTTTTCTGCAATAAATTTTGGATAATTTCGTAATACATTTCTAGGGCACTAGACAGCTGGTAATTGATAAGAAAGCTAACGACTAGCGTGCAAAGACCGCTCGCAACTAACTGAACTGGATGCTGAAATAGGTCAGGAGAATTAGCTTGGGATCTTCGCAGGGCCTCTTCGTTCCTCGTTCGTTCTTCGGGCCATTTCTTAAGCTGTTTCTGTTTGTTTGTGTGTGTTCGTGTGCCTTATGTGCGTGTGAGTGTCATGTGAGTGTGTGTGCAGTTGAGTGTGTTTCAGTGTGGGTGTGCGGCGATCTCTACTGGCTTATGACCATCGACTTCTTTACCTTCTTCTCCTTCCTCTCATGGGTGATGGTCACTTCCTCTGCGAAAGAATGGAGATGAGGGGATTTTTAATAGACTGGAAAGAACTAAATTAAATATTAATAAGATCCCTGAACAGTGTAAGTTATGAGTTAGACTTTTCTCTATCATGGAAATACAAAGTATTAAAGTGCAATTATGATTCTTTTATGATTATGATTCTTTTTATTTCTTTTCTTTATTTAGTTGTTGTAATATGATTTTAAATATTATTTTATGTATGATTTTAGGGATTAGGTACAAAGGTATTTATTTACTCACCCTCGAACTTGGTGGGCAGCTGCTTCACAGTCTCGATGGTCTTGACGTTCTTCTCGCCGGGCTCGATGATCTCCTCCTCGTACTCCTCGATGATCTCCTCCTCGTCGGTGTCGTCGGGATTGTTGCTGGGCACGGGATCGAAGACGGTCTTCACCGCCTTCTTCACGATGCCCTCGGCGGTGACGGTGGTGTAGTGGTACTCGGTGCCGCCCTCGATCTTGATGGTCTCCACGGTGGTCACGTCGCCGGGATTCTCCGAGGGGACGATCTTCTTGGTTCCGGACTCGGACTTCAGTTTCTTGGTGGTGGTCACGTTCTTGTGCTTCTCGGCATCCTTGAGGGTCTTCTTGTACTGCTTGATCTCCTCTTCGGTGAGCTCCACCTCCTCCTCCTCGTAGACGGTCTTCGAGGTGGTGATGGTCTTGCCGGATTCCAGTTCAGTGGAGTAGGTGTACTCCACGCCACCGGGCACTCGCTTCGAGGACACCGAGGTGGTGTCGTTCTGGAAGAAGTCAGCTGGTGGTGGTGGAGCCGACGACTTCTTCTTCTTCTTCTTATCCGTGGTGTTGGTGGTGTTCGAGGAGGTGATGGCCTTCTGCTCCTGCTGGGAGTTCTTGCGCACGGTGCGATTGTTCTCGGTGATCTCGATGTTCTGAGTTTGGGTCACCGAAACACGACGCTCCGAGGTTGTGGTGGAGTTGGTCTGCTGATTCTTCTGAACGATGCGACGAGAGGATTCGGTGGAATCGGTGGAGTCCACCGACGACTTCCTGGTGATGTTCTTCTTGTTCTTGTTCAGCTTGGCGGCGGTGTTCTCGTCCACTTCGGTGGGCACCGAGTCGTAGAAGGTCTTGGTGCGCGTGGCCCGAGTTCCGTCCTCGTTGATGGTGGTGTACACCTCCTCGTAGCCACCTTCGATGGCGCGGGTCAGCATGGTGGTGCGCTCATCGATGCGGATCTCCTTGCCCAGGCGCTTCTGGACGAGCTTCTTGTTCGCCTGCTCCTTCTTCAGATCCTCCTCGCTGACGGGCTTCGGGTCCCAGAAGGTGCGCGTCGAGGTCTTCACGGTGCCATTCGGCTGGGGGGTGGTGGTGATCACCTCGTAGCCACCGTCGATCACCTTGTACTTGGTGCTGGCACCGGTGGCCTTGTCGAACTCCACCTTACCGTCCTCGATGTCCGCGGAGGTGATTAGCTCTGTGGTGTGTGGATGTGTGTATAGTATACGTATATAGGTTGTATATATATGGAGCGATATCCCAAGCTATCGAGTGTGTGTGTTCGCATCTGGGGTTATTCCAAAGCACTTGCGGCTTAACTCTAGTATTAGCTTTCGTCTTATCCTAGGCTAGAACTACGATATTGCATGGGTTTCCTTCGTAAGGCAGCCTGGCATTTGGTTTCAATCAAGTGACTCTTAGACGATCTTGTGTTCCTACTTCCCTTTTTAATCTAGCTTCAATGTAAGCATGATATTTAATGTTTAATAATTATTGTTCATTGCATTTCGATTACCTAATTTATACACCAATATTTGAAGACACAAAGCGATTTATTAAGTTTACGGAAACCAATGTTTTCCCTTAAAATATGATTTAAATTCATATTACGAATATTAATTGAAATTCTTTACTTTAATTCGTTGATTTCCTTTTGAGTAGTTGTATAAAGCGAAAAGTCGCATACAAATATTTATATAGAATTTAGTTACTTGTGATTTTGATACCTTTCTTCACTATTTAACTTGTAAAACCTAAAAAACGTTCGTCTAAGAGCCGCTTGGCAAGCATTTTGTACAGCTCTCATCGTTGCATACTCGCTTTGTACTCTCATTAAGTGTGTGATTTTCTGGGTTTAGACGTGCACGGGTTCAGGGGGTTCATGGTCCAGATTGGTTGCCAGCTGCCGGTAATGCGACTTGCAACCGAATGCCAGGTGTGGCAGGCAGCTGTAGTGCATCAGCAGCTGCAGTAATTGCTATTTGAACTTGCGGGCGGACCTCTGTTTGCCGTTCTTCGAGACGCCGCCACTTCCGCTTCCTGCCGGCAACCTGATGTGCTGCGGCTGTGATGGTTGTGGCTGAGGTTGTGGTTGTTGCTGTGGTTGTTCCAGTTCCGGTTTGGGCTGCGGAGGCCTCTCCTGTCGCATCTGTGGATTTGGCTTTAGCTGGGAGGGAGCAGGAGCTGAAGCGTTTGCCGGACGTTTGTTAGTTGCGGTTTTTTGCCGAGGCGGAGGACGTGGCTGGTCAGCTTGCTGCAACTGTCCATTCTCATTCGCAACAGTTGGCTTTGCATTTATCGCCTCCGAAGGTGCGGATTTATCCTCGGACTGCGGATGCAGCAGCTTGCTAGCGGTTTCATTGAGCAATTGAGCGGTGCTTAATGGGTTAGCAGTGGGAGGAGGTTCACTATCGTTATCATTATCTGCAAATGTGGTTTGGGGTTAACGAGACAGTTGTTTTAATTCGATCTTCTGAGGTGACTGATGCTAAGATGCTGAGATGCAATGGGTGAAACTGATTGATCGATTTTTGGTTTGGTGCTGGCTCTTATGGCTACGTGATGGTTCTAAGACCTCAGAGACTTAGACCCCGATGCTGCCCATGGACTGAGATGGCTTAAAAGTACACAACTGAAAAGGCGACAAACGTGGGAGAAGAACGCAACTTAGGGCTAAAATAAAAATGCACACTGCAAAAACAGAGTTTCTATAAATTGAAAATTTGTTCGTGTTGTGGTTGTTTTTGTTTGTTGTTGTTTTAGGGGATTTCTTTGTTCTTGTTGTTGTTGTTGTTGTTGTTCTCGAATAAATATTACGACAATATTTGCAAAAAGTAAATTATAACATAAATGGTATATACGTATATAGATAGAAAAGTTGGGCTGCCGAAACACTTGAAACAAACATTTAACGCTCAGCTCGAATTCGATTCGAAGAGTGGGCGCCAGAAGAGGGGGCGGGGCAGTCCACACACACACACATATAGTAAAGTTCACACACAGACACAATACACAATAGCCACAAATTGTTGGCTACAATTTCAGTTTTGATTTTTACTTTATTTTAAATTGTTTTTCGTTTATCTTTTCTAGAGTTATTGTTTACACTCCTTGTTTGGTTTTTATTCAGAGGGAAAACATATGTACATATGTGAAGGAAAATGGGTGGGGAAGGGGGGAAAAGGGGGAAATGGACTTTATGCCACATTGAATTTCTATGCAGATGAGCTAAAAAGTCATCGCTATAAATTGGTAAACACAGGAGAGGGCGAAAGTACAAAATTTTCAATTAAAATACAATGAAGTGTAAAAGTTTGTGGCCGGGCCAAGTGTTCGTTTTTTTTTTTTTGCTGGCTGGTTGTTGGGGAGAAAAGGGGTTATTGGGGGCAAGAGATTGAGGCAACTGTGCCAAGTGTGTCGCCCCAACACACCCATACACACACACACACACACGTACACACATATGGCAACATATCACGTATGTCGAGAGCAGCAGCAGTGCAAAAAGTTTAATTTGAAAACTTAATTAAAATTTCTGTGCGTTCTTTTTTTCACTTTTTTTTTTGCTTGCTTTCTCTCTCTTTCTTTCTTAACAAGATGTGTGTGTGCGCGGGGGGCAAATAAAAATTGCATTTATGACACTCGAAAGAATTCGTTTCGACAACATTTTTCGGCTGAACCTTAAATTTCAATTAGACCGGCGGCTCCTTGACATTGGCAACAGTTCCCACGCCTCCCAAAAAAGGGGAATTCCAATTGTGTGTGTGTGTTTGAGTGTTTGGTCTGTGTGTGTTGTTGTTCTTTTTTTTTAAGGAGGAAAGGAAAAGGGGAATTGTGTGTGCGTGTGTACAACAAAAAATGGCAACAAAACGACGAATAACGAACGAATTGCATTTGTTTGTTCTGGCTTGTTTTGTTTTGTTTCGGTTTGGTTTTTTTTTTTTTTTTTTTTATTTTTTTGTATCTATGAGCTACCAGTTTCTTCGGTCTCCTTATCGGTCTTCTTGTCCAGCGTCTGCGAAATCTTCTTCCAGATGTTCTCGAAGGAATCGGCGCCGGTGTAATCGATCTGTCCGGACTCCCAGCACTGGCGGCGCATCTGGTTCTCGTAGGCCTCCTGCTCGGGAGTGCGCTGCTCGCCGATTCGGAGCTGTGAAAGAGCACCAGCGAGTCCCGCCTGAAAGTATGCAAATTTCATGTATTAAAATCCCATTTAAGACAGCAAATTTCGGTTGGGTATTATGGATTGGTTGATAGATTGGTTGGGGTGTATCATGCACTACGAATCAAAACATTTATTAGTTACTAAGAACGCTGACGAACGGCTGACGAACATTGAGATGTTAGTTACGGTGCACGGTGCGTATGATTAATATGACAAGCAGAGTGCTGCAAGGGGCATAAATCAAGTATACGACGTGTTGTGCTCCGGCTGCTTACGTTTGGCAACTTCGTGTCCCAGAAACTATCTGGCAGATTACTATGTGAAAGCAGAAGAAATGGAGAGGTGGCTGGAAGTGAGCACATGCAACACGAGGATGGAGAGTCAGACTGCATTTGCTTCTTGTTCTCAAGATTTCGATGTTGATGATGATGATGATGATGGGGAAGCGAGCTCTCCTTTGTTACATTTACATTAATTCTTGACCAGGTGCCAGGCCAACTAATAATAAATCAACAAATGCCCTTATCCAGGCCACAAACACAAAGTTGAACCATGAACCAAGGACCAAGGACTAAAGACCCAGGACCATGAACAATGAACGATGACCGAAGGACAATGACGATGAACAATGACAATTCGTATGCAAAAACAGTGACCAGACGAAAACCAGGGCATTACATTATCACTATCACTTGCACTAGCACTTGCACACATTTGGCACACCATTATCCGATTTGGTGGATTGGATTGGTTTGGTTGGGAGCTGGACATATGGCTAACTACACAGAAAAAATATCTCTTTAAATACTAAAAATGTACTTTCATATCTTCAACATTTTAATAAATATTTTATGTCTTTTGAAAGTTGTTTTATAAATTTATTAAATTTAAAGTCAAAAAATCTGCCTATCAATAATGTATTTATAAAAGTGTTAAGTAGAAGTTATGAAATTTAATCCATTTAAAAATTTATATAGTAGATGAACTCTAGAAATTTTAAATTGTATCTTTTAATAGGACAACATTTTCAGCAATTTTTTTAATTGGTTTTAGCAATCAAGTTAATTTTTAATTCACTTATTTTCAGTAAAATTAGCTATTGAAAAAATATGGAAAAATATATAAATTAAAAAAATTATAAATCTACCTAATGCATTCTAAATAAGAAAAAGGTTTCAGTGCTTTGAAAATCATATCAAATATCAGGATACATTTTTTTCTGTGTAGTTTTTGGGCCGGGATTGGATTGATTGCCTTTACCTCAGGCGGCGCTGTGGCTGCAACTTGTTCTTGGTGTTCTTGTTGGTGGCTTTTGGCATTTTCTACTGTCTGACTATACACGGAATGATGAGGCGTAGGCGTGGGCGTGGGCGAGGGCGTGGGCGTGGGCGTGGCAGTGGGCGTGGCATTGCCTGAGTGGGCGTGTTCAGGTGGGTGTGAAATGTCTAGCTCATAGCTATTCACATCAACGGATGGAAAGTCTTCGGCATTGGCAGTGGTGGCATTGGCATTGTAAGATTGGGATGAAGGATTCGGCGACGACGAACGTGGGTGGCATGCATCGTCATGATGCCACTCAGTGGCATATTCATTTGGATTCAGATTCGCATTCGCATTCGCATCCGCATTCCCATTGTCCTGGCTGTGATTCTGGCTGGGATTGTGGTGCTGGCTCCGATGCTCCTGCTCCTGCTCCTTCTCCAGATTCTCATAGTAATCTGCCCAAGGATCGCGGAACTGGCGCACGTGCAACAGTTGGTGGTGCAGCTGCTGCTGCTGGTAGAACTCATGCTGCTGCCGCTGATGCTGCTCATCCGCCGCAAAATCTCTTTGCACGTGCGTTATATTTAGGCAAAAGCACTAATTTTGATTAGAGTTTTTGTTTTGTTTCAAATGCACAACAAATGCGATTCAGCAGTCCGCGTATTAAGTTTATGGCAAGTTTTAATTTACAAAATGCGCAACATAGGAAAATAAAGAGTAAATGGATAGTAAATCAATTTGCAAAATTAAAGAACCATACAGCATACAGCACAAACAGAGAAAGGAAAAAAATTAGAAATTGGCAAAAAATAAAAAAAAAGAGATCCCCCACGAATGCGTGCTAGTGTGTGTGTGTGTGTGTGTTTGTGTTATGGGATATATCTAATGATTCAGTTGAATTCTCTGGCATCACCCCCAACCGACCATCTTGATTTGAATCATTTCCATCTATCGATGGCGTAAACCGAAACATTTCTCTGGCTTTCGGCCAAATCGATGCAAATTAGAAAAGAAAAAAAAAAACAGAAAGAAAGTGAACACTAAGACGAGCACTAACACACCACACACACACACACACATGAGACACACACAGAGAGTTGGACAAATATTACAAAAAATACAAAAGAAATAAATTAAAAGAGACCCAATTGAGATTCGTACAAAAAAGCGAAAGAAAATGGGTTGCTCTGGGGCGTGGCTGCTAATCGAGGAAAAATCAACAGAAAATTGCAAACCGAAACAGAAAAAAAATTTAAAAGAAAAGAATGGAATCGTAGTATTTAAAGAGTGAACAGAAATAATAGGCGAGAAATGGAACGACAACGAGGTCAGCTATCGGCAAAAAAAAAAAAAAAAACGAGAATAGCAAATAGACAGAATCTGAATTTGAGTTTGTTTGCTTTGGGTTATTTACTTGGCGCACAGAAAGATGGATAAATAAATAAATATTTGCGTTATAATTAAGATATTTACATATGGGTGCTCAAGGTCTCTACAGATCTGGTGCGATATGGCGGAAAAATCTCCGAAAATCGGAGATCTGCTTACCTCTGAACTTAACCCTTGGGCTATCGCTCCCTCGGGTCGATCGCTATCAACTTGTCCTGGCTTTTAGCGGGTTAAGAAACGAAGCATGGGTTTTTTTTTGTTTGGGTTTCGTAGCAAATACAATTGGGTTAAACAATAAAATTCTTGGGTTAGCTTTAGTATGGCGTTCAAAACAAGGGGAACATAACAGAGTTTCAATCTGATTGTAAGCTGTAAATCGCCAAGGGTAGAAATATCTATTTGCCGATGGTCTACAGAGATCACTTACCATTTCGGTGGACAGGGACTGGATGACGTTTTCCACGAAGATGTTCCACCACAGCTGAATCAGATCCTGGGCATGGGCATAGTCGGATGAAACGCTGGCCACCTTTGTCTCAGAATTGAATTGGATCAGCCAGGGCTTCAGCTTGCCGGCGAAATGCAAAATCTTTATCTTATCTCTGAACCTGTAAGATAAATACTATTACAAACTGTTGTTATTCTGAATACTGATAAAAAACTTACTGTTTGAAGGCGGGCAGATAGCAGTAGGAGGCATAGGCCGTCACATTGTAAACGAATGGCAAATGCTTCTTGATGTCCGCCGTCGACCAGTCGGCGAAGAACTGGTTCAGCAGGCCCTGGTCGCCGCCATCGAAGCTGCCGTTCTTCACGGCGAACTCTGTGATCTGGGCGAAGGTGTCCACGCTGGGCTTAAACACGAACACGCCGGAGTTGAAGCAGTCCGGCCAGCTCACATCCGGAGCGGCGGAGAGTTCCTCGCGCTCGAACAGCTCGTCGCAGTTTTGCAAGACCTAAAAGTAATAATTCGATTATTAAAGTAACTATTTTTCAATACCATTTTAATGGCATATTAGGGAAACATAAATCCACAGCTATTTAAATTCTAATTATTCATTCATTGCAATAATTTAAATTTAATTAAATGCTTTCAGAAGTCAATTTGATTTAACAATGATATTTAGCAAAAGCGCATTTATTTATTATTAAATTCCATGATTTCAAAATAAAGTGAAGGAAGTTTGAGAAGTAATGCTTCTATCAACAATTTATAGAAAAATTTTAAGAATTACCAAAAAATTATATTTTCTCTGATGTTACAGATTTGCAAATAATCGAATTGAAATTTTGTAAGATTCATTTGAATCATTTGGGATCTATTTTTAAATGAATCTTTTATGTTCCTCCATAAAAACTTATTTGCAGAACCTAACTTAGTTTAAAATTGCAGGCTAAAATACATAAATATCCAGAGATCAAAGTGACTTGCAGGCATATAAATTATGTATGGTAATTTTCCCCAATCACTTACCAGTGTATCCGCATCCAGGAAGACGCACTTCTCGAACTGCACGAGGCGCCAGCAGTGGAGCTTTGTGAAGGTCACGCCCAGTTCGGGGCGGGAGAGGAGGGCCAGGTTGGCGGCGTCCTGTGAGTCGAGTACGTTCACCTCCTGCACCACGTTGTAGACCTCCTTCAGTCGGTCGCGCATCGACTGCGAGACATTGGGCGTGACCAGAACGGCCAGCTGGTGGGCGGTCTTGGCCCGCTTCAAGGAGTGGGCCAGAACCAAGGCACCCAGTGAGTACGTGTCATTTGTCGTCAGCGTCACCCAAGCGAACTCTAAGCGAGACGGAAGATAGAGATACAGATGCAGATTGAACGTTAGCGCAATGTCGCACAAGATACAATTACGGCCAGAGATACGAATTGGGTTACAATACAAAAGATACTGTTATGGTGCACGTTTCACTGCAGCAGATGGCGATAGGGAAAAACTCGCTCGCTCGCTTTTCATTAGTTTCGGATTCGGCAAAAAAAAACGTTATGGATTATAAATAAACAAGCGATTTTTCTTTTTTTTTCTGGTTCCCCCCATTCGAAATAGAATAGATACATGTATGTTTGTTTGTATGTACAAGTGGTGTGTGCAGATCTCCAACTGCGTCAGCAGAGTGGGCGGGGCACGCTCCGCCCACATGCATCGAAATTTCATTTGCTTTGTTAGCGCAGATAAAATTGCAAAAAAAAAAAGCAGAAAAAAAAGGGGAAAAGAGGGAAAACCATAAAGAATTGGCAAAATCGAGCAGAGCATATTTCAGGCGCGTCCAAAACGAGCAATTAGAATTTTGCGTAGTTGGCATTTAGTTGCGCGCAAGCTATAGATAATTATTCATGGCGATGGCGATGGCATATATCCTATATAAATATGTTTTTATGGGGCGATTATGAGCTTTATTCGGTGCAGACTTCTCACTCGATGGGGGAATTAGTTCGGACTAGATTAGATCGGAATCTGTATGGTATAGTACACAATTTACAGGTGAATCTCTTTGAAATTCTCTCCCCATTCTTAGTAATTTATTTATAAATGATTAAACCATGCAGACTTGCTGTGTTTGAAAATTAAAAAATCATTAGAGTTAAAATAGAGAAAACATACGATTACTTTTTATTTCCAATTCAGATTATTGACAAATGGAATTTAGATCATTATTATTGTTGTTCGGGTATTAATGCTACGGATATATATGTGTATATATATAGTCTTGGTACACTTCGTTGAGATAACTTTAGTCGGGTTAAGTGTCAGATTAGAGTTCGGTATACATGGGCTTTGTTTGTTGTTTGGTTTTAGAGAAGCGAACTGAAAAGGAACTGTGAAGCGCAGGATACAACAAGTAGATGGATAACAACAACTACCTTCTCGCATTCAGATACGAATGTGGACACAGATACGGATGCGGATTCGGATTCGGATACGGATGCACATACTGATGGATAACTGCTGCACAGCGAGCTAATCAGCGGCATTCAAATGCATTCGCTAGCCTGATCTTGGTTTGGATTGAGTTCAGGATGATCATTATCCTCCGCCGGGTTCTTTAATGTGCGTGTGTGCGTGAGTGTGTCTGTATTTGGTGTTCGTGGTTGTGTGTGTGTGTGTGCGGGTGAAAGATACACAGATGCTTTCTTTTCTATTTGCGTATGTGTGTGTGCTCTTGTGAAATGAATCGTTGAGCCTAAAATAAAAATGAAATCATTTACTTTCGGCAAAACTAGAATGGATCTTAATAACTTCGGACTTACCGGATGTGTGCAAAAAAATGACAAAAATTTTCACAAAAACAATAAAACTTATGGGGGAGAACGATCAAAAAGAATTTCTCAGCAGACGTCATAAATTTGGCGACTTAAACAAAATAAAATAAACAACACTCGGTCTAAAAATAAAACATTCAACAACTGTTGAAATTGTGAAATAGAATGCGTCGCGACAGTTTCCTTAAACATATGCTTAGCGCGTATTCTTAAAATAAGTAAATTGCCAATTTATGTGACAGCTAATTGTGGGGAAATTCCTATAATTTATTTTTTACAGTGTAAAAAGAGAGAACAGCATAATACTCTTTGTGAAGGAAAGCTCTCTCCTTCTCTCTTTCACTTGGGGATTCTCTCTCTTTCACTTGGGGATTCTCTCTCTTTGAGCAGAGTTTGCGCCCTGTCTTTTCAACCCCACGTTTATCAATTGCGTATATCCGGAGCACAATAAAGCTGATAAAACGCCCTGTCAAAGCGAAAAGGCAAAAAGGTCGGCGCTCGTGGGTTGGGCTTTTGGGTCTGGGTCAAGTGACTGAGCGAATACCCATTGGAGCGTGAAGGGGCCCAGATCAGATTAACGCCAGACAACGACATGAATGGGGTCACCAATTAGATGAATGAGGGAGCCGAGACCTTGAGCAAGACATCCAGAGCCCCTCCCGAAAACCCGTTTGTCAGGGTCCCCATTAAAGCATCGCGAATGCTTGCAGCCGGCGCATAAGATGTCAAGTACAGTCGAACTTGGTTAATGGAAAACCATATTTTCTACGTCAAATATGACAGATTGAGATGAAACATATGTTTTCGTGACAAGGTGTACGTTCGTGACTTATTAAGTTGAGAGTTTAAAAATGCTTATATCTTTTGACATAGTTTTTGGGGTAACGAATTAAAATGTGTTGACTATTAAGGAATTTTAGTTTATAAAATTGTGATAAATCTCCTTAATGATTTATAAATTCTAAAAGTTGATTTCAAATTAAAAAAAAAGATATTACGGTATAAAAACTTTAAATATGCAAAAGTCTCTACAGAGTACAAAATTTAAATCATTGTTACATATAGACTTTCTCGCTACCCATGTTGCACTGTAATGGAGGAAATGCATAATGGGATATGCCAAAGGCAGTGATCGCAGAAGGGAAATCGGGGAATGTCGGCGACACCAACGCACAAATTGGCGAGTGCAAGGCGCGGAACAAGTTCTGCGGGAAACCTCAGCAGGCGGCGTGTGTATCTTGTAGATGCCGATTCTGTATCCGAAAGAGCAGGCCACTAAAAATAGCCCAGCCGATGCGAAGTGAAATGAAATGAGATTGTGTCTGCTGGTAGGCAGATCCAATGGATGCATTGGATCGGTACAGGCAACGCAGCAGTTTTAGAAACTGAATCACCATGGATGTGGATGTGGACAACCGAGGGGTTGACCGAAACGCGAGATGCTGGAAATCCCTGCGGGCTGAAATATTGAAGGCAGCTGCCGTTTTTGGGTGATGATTAATGCGGGCATAAATCCGTGCAGATTTAATGGATTTTCCAAGGCGAAAAGTCGAGATCACCCAGAACTTTTAGTGGGCGAGATGCGACACAAAAGAATGTTCTCGAGCGTGGAAAACTTTTTCGAAAAACAAAATTTTTATTTTCGAACACACAAAACTTGTTAGCGCCTGTCGCCAGCCATAATTCCGAGCGCAAATATATATGGGCGATAGTTAAAAATAGAAAGACACATCTATGGGGTATATATACGTATAAAGTGTGAATTATATATATAATTGGGTGCTTCAAACATGATCGGCGTGTGAAAATGCCAAGGCGAAGTGCATCCCTTAATGGCCGCTAATCTCAATGAACTGCAGATGCGGAAATCGGGCTGATAAGCAGCCGGATCAGATAATGACGCTAATGGCGCTACGTGGGATTACTGGGTCAGCGGATTGCGACAGGTACAAGGCGCAAAATCAACGTAATCGAATCACAACAAAACGGAGCTCCCTCTCTCTCTCGCTCTCTCTCGCTGTTCCAGCATAACTTTAAGCTCCCCCTCTCTCCTTGAAGGTTATGTGAGCTTCACGTTATCAGCGTTTTGTGCACAAACTTTTCATAAACAAACAAATGTGCCTCGCACTTCCCAATGCAATGGTTTTACTCATTTTTGTTTTTTTAAATGCTTTCCTATACTCAAACCAGGGGTGGGGAGGAATCGGGGGGTGGTGAGGAGGGGCTGTGGGCAGAGCAAATGCTAGTGAAGGTCAGTAAAGGTCGTCGCCGCACACCGTCGCGCTCTATGCTCGATTTATAAAAAATATATATATTATAGTAGTGCGATTATCGCTATGATTTTGATTCGGTTTCTTGATTTCTTGACTTTGCATAACTCCTCCCAGAAGCGAGTGTTATGAAATGGGAGGAATGGCGATTTTGGTTGGTTTTGGATTAGCAGGAAACGCCAAAGGAGCTTTAACTTAGGGCAGGCTTTTCTTTCGATTTTCAGTTTTTCAAGTTTCCAGCCTTTAGCCATGCATACACACACACACTCTCTTCTTGCTTTGCTTTTCTTTTTCTTTTTTTTTTTTAATTTTTTTTTCGCTGCTTGCATTTGCGTTTTGATTTTGGTATCGCAAAACTTACTGCTCATTTTGTTAGGATTTTATGGGTTTAACTCGGGGTTTTATTGTGGGTAAACTCGATATTGGGCACTCGCGACGTTTTTCCGGCGGGCGGTGGGCGTTGGGCGGTGGGTGGCTGAGCTTTCACACTAAATTCGAGAACGAGAGCGGCGTTTGCGATGCGCCTTCCACGAGCGATGACGAGAATCTGAGGCGGCCGTGCGACTGCCGTGGGCATAAATGCCTAAATGCCAATGCAGAGACACCGACAGCGCAGTCGACGTCGCCGCCGACGTCCGTTGGCCACCACAAAAAAAAAGCCGGTGGGAGATTTATTCTACCCCGCTACTCGTGCAACAAAAGAGGGTATATTCTATTCGCCATGAAATGTAAAACGCAATGCACTTATTAAAAAAACATTTAGTCATTGAACAACTTAAAAACAGTAAACAATTTAACCGATAAGCAAGAGTAAACCACTGAGCAAATACAAAATTAGCCGGTTAACAGCTGAGTAAAGAGAGTTGTTAAGTTAATAAGCGTGAAAATGCCTTTGCAAGTTAAAAGGTATTTAAATAATGTTAATTAATATATTATAAAATTAATAATTATAAGAGCATTAAATTACAACGTTTATTGGCCTTTTTTGTACCGCCATCTATAACACAAACACACAAACGAGTATATAATTAATAAAAAAAACTATGATTTTCATTACTCATTTATGAGCTATGCGAAGGTATATATTTAGAATCTAAATAATTTTCCACGCCTTAATTCCACACCTAAAAAAGTGAAACTTTGTGACAACCACAAGATAAATGTTTTCGGAAAATATATATCATTTGACCAAATATTCACAGAAAGCAATATTTAAGCAATTTGTTTTGATTTTAAGAACATTTTGGACCACTTCCTTAGTTAGGAAACACATTTTTCTAGATAAGGACCTCAAATATAGGGTATTTCATCGTCGAGAACCATTGCTATTGGACTATATCGTATTCTGGTTTCACATACGATTGCAAGTGTATATGTGAGGAGGAAGGCGCCAAAGAAAAAGTATTTTGCATTCCGCTTACTTATATTTCATTTCTATTTCTGCTTCTTCTTCACTCGCCGGCTAATGCTGGACCGGCTATAAACGTAAACGGGAGAGACAGAAAAAATGAGAGAGCGGAAAAAGGTGCGAAAGTCACATTAAAAGCGAACTTTGATTAGTGATTGTGAGACGTGTATGTGAGAGAGTGTGGGTAAAAACAAAGAGCGTGCTCGTAAGAGAGCTTCAGGGTTGACAATTGTGCAGAAATAGTTACAAAAACTAAAACATTTTAATAAATAAACAAAGTATACATTTTAGAAAAAAACAAATTAGACTAGCCAAATTAACGCATGTTGGATCATTCAAAAAACCCAATTTTCGAGTGCAAGGATCATACACTGGCAAATATTGTTGCATACTTTGTGGAGGTCATGTCATAAAAACCGCTCATAAGACAGTTGCAAAATTGTTTGCCTACTTTAAAGCTGTTTCGACAAAATAAAAATCTTAAATATAAAAACTGCACATCACTGAAAATGACTAATTTATGATTCGGTTATAAAATATTTCATTATGAAAGATCATTCCTTTTTGAATCACTGGCCAATTATGCGCGAAATCAAAATTTATACTTATTCACCCATCTGACAAATCATTTAAACTCGGTAAATTGTATTTCATCTTAATTATAGTTTTATTGTCATTCGTTATAAATAGTCGATTCTTTTGCAAGCTTACTAAATCTATGTTACTTTTATAACCAAGTAAACAAGCGGTGGCATTTGAGCAAGGCATTTCTCTTTGATTGCGTTTTTTAGCTTTAGTTCTTGGTGTTTTTTGGTAAGGGATTCACGGCAATTCGCTAGGTAGACGGTTGTTCTAAGGCTTAACTAAGACATTTAAAAGTAGGAAATAAATAACTGGCCACTAAACCTAACTAAGCGACTAATTAACTAACTAAAGTGCTATTTTCGGGCAATATCACAGTGCAGAGGCTCGTCCTCCGGTTGACGGTTGTTGATGGCGTTTTTGGGCGAGATCACAAAAGGTTTTCGCCTTTGGACATTTCTCAGTCGTCGTTGGGCGCGTTTTCTTCGACAATGTACAACGCAGAAGATGACAACTATAAAAAGAAAGAAAAATAAATAAAAAATAAGAAAATGGAGTTCAAAAATTCTTCTGCTTAAAACAAATTTGAACGTAAAAGGGATTTAAAAGATTTCCATTACTCAAAACTCACCTAAAAGCACAAAACAAACGCCTCCAAAACAGCCAGCGCCAAAGAGCCAAAAGCTGCGCGTTTCGGCCAACTCCACAGTCGTCTGGCAACTGGCGAATGTCGCCGAGTGGATCGTCCGATTGTAGGGCAGTGGACACTCGCGGATGTCGAGCGCCTCTGAAAAAATGGAAAACGAAAATTGCAAATTGGTCATGTGCCAAAATTAGCAGCCGGCAGCTCCGGCTGCATCTCTCCATCAACTTACCCATGCAAACTGGCACGAACTTCGGACTGGCGCCGAGCATCATGAGATGGTTTGTGACCTGCTGGCATCCGCACTGGCTCAGCTGCGACTTGGTCAGATCGATGACCTGCAGGTGGCACAGGTTCGCCAGGCTGTCGATTTTGAAGTCCCGCAGTGGGTTCATCGAGGCATTCAGTTGCCAGAGCTCTAAAAAGTTTTAAGTGTTACAAAACATTAAGGCAAATTCGTAATTACTTAAAAGGTATATATATTTTCTTTGCATTTTTCCGATTCGCCTCGTCTATCTTTTAATTAAGCGTTCATAAGCCAATTATTCCTATACATATATCTGACCTAAATGTGTCCAAAATTGTAATTTATAATAAGGAGCGTGTAAGTCAATTATTCTTATATTTATCTCACCTATTTGTGGATTACGATTCTATTGATTTAAGTTTCATAAAACTGTTTATCTTAAAAAAGTAATTTTAGAAATTTTCTCTAATCATTACTCGCTGTATTTAAAATACTGAATGCATACCATCTAATTTCTCAACCCTTTTATTTTTTATAGACTTTCACTTACTTGGCAATATTCCCAGATTGGGCAGATCCTGCAGCTCGCAGTTGGCAATGTTCAGGTACTCCAGTGGCGCACGGACGGGTTTTTCCAGCGCCTGGAGATTCAGGGATGTCAGCTCGTTGCTGTCTATATAGAGATTTCTCAGGCGCGGCAGCTGGAACAGCTCCAGCGGAATCGTAGTCAGTCCATTACTCGAAAGATCTATTTCCTGGGAATGCCGATTGGGAAATTAATTAACGACACGGTGGCTGATTAATTGGATGTCGTTGTTACCTGGAGCGAGGTGAGCGGCTCAAAGGTTCCCACCTCCACCGATAATATCATGTTATCGTAAAGCATCAGAAACTTAATGTCTGTGTACTTCTGAAACGAGCCACTTTTCAGCTTCCTGATGCGATTGTGCGATAGATCCAGAACCTGCAAAAAATTGCCAGCGAATTGTCAGATCATTAAACGACAGTTGAGAGTTATGAATGGCTAGGGTTCCCATATATACAACCCAACTGAATGTAGAACTGTATGTGCGATGGATAAATTTATGTTTGTGGGCAACTTCTTTATTCTTTAATTAAGCTCAATTGAGGCTAACTGTGGCGAGGGCTGCCATGACGAGGCGATCGTCTGACCCCGCGATCGCGGATCGTTACTCACCTCCACCGAGGTCTTGAGGTTCTGGGGCACCTCCTTGAGGTCCAAGTCGTAGCATCGAATGCGCAGCAGCTTCTCAATCCGGCCGTAGGTGCACTTGCGCTCTTCCTGCAGGATAAATCCAGCGGAACGCAGACTTTGGAGACACACGATGAACGTCAGCAGCTGCCAATGCAGTTCCATGCTCTACCAAAATATAATATAATATATAATATAGATACACTTGTATATAGAACTAATGCAATGAAAATGGGGCTTTAGGGCGCTAACTTGCTTATTTTCTTGATTGGAATTAGAACAACAAAATCGAATAATGGCTCATGGGCGCGTCAAAGCGTTTATTTTCGAATTAGCAATACACATTTACAAGATCATTGCCGATCTTTTAGGTTTTAGGTGGGTTTTAGGGGGTGAATTCGTATCCGAAGCTGAAAGCAGCCAATCAAGCGGAGCTCCCGCACCTTGCAAACAGAATTAACCCATGGCAAAACAGCTGCAGAATCAAACAGAGCTCAAATTCAAAAGCGTAGGTCAGCTGTTGGCCTGCGTATGAGCGATGCTCATATTACGTATACGTAACAAACAATCAGTGTCATTGCGACTGCATTCATGCACATCAACAAAAGATGATTCCGCATTGCGGCGGAAACAGTTGCAGCCCTATAATAATAAAAGCTAAACTAGCCCGAAAATAACTGACTCACTGCCTTATAGATAGATCCATTTTGGGAGAGTCTTGACAGCAAGTGTTCGCCTGTATAATATCTTATCGTTTTTTGCTTTTTTGTGTGTATATCTTTTAATTCAACATCAAACAGCAGAGTGGTAGCTATAAATCACACAAATATTTCATTGGAACACTTTACAGCTCTTTGTGTTGGATTCCTCAATTTGCCAAAATTAAAAAGGAAAATGGGAAAACAATAATCGATTATGGGCCAGCAAATGGGAATTCTACAACGTGATTTATACCTTCGCATAAGTACATATATCTTGACATGATCTGGGCATGTAAGCCCACTCGGAATGCACATTTGGGAAACTGAAAAACTGAAATGGCCAGAATCCATTGTTAATGTCTCTGTCACGCCCCATTGAAGGGCAATTAGAAAATTGCACGTTTCCCCGACTTTGTATCAGCTGCCTTTGCGTGATTTTGCATTGTGAAAAATGTGAAAATGGAGACCGAACCTCATGAGTAATATCTTGAGCATTGTAATTTTGCATTGGTGACATTCGGGCTAATTGCTGTCGCAGCTAAAGTTTTCACTTTGCCCACTCAAACTGAATTTCTCGAGAAGTCAATTGTGTCAGTTAACAAAATGAAAAAAAAACTGGAAGTTCTGTTTACCCATACCTTAAACGCTTGCCAATGAATGATGAACGACACCTAGATATCCATCCATATTGGCGAATCACTTTGAGCCCGTCGAAGTGGCGGAATTAAGACGCATTGAGCCCCCAGTTGGCCGATAAGATCTTGGCCTCTTACAAAGGCAACAAAAGGGTGTTAATCAATTATAAAGTTAGTAACAATTCGTTGGTCATACTAGAGGCTAAAAATGATTCATGGTTTTTTTTTTAGACGCCATGATTCCCCGCGTTTATTAATTTTTGGGTTGTTTTCCTGCCAGCTGAAGTGTCTTGGCCTTTGACCAAAAAATGTTTCGCTCCACTTGAGAGACATGTGCTCCCTCCCTCAAACAGTTCTAGTAATAAGTTCTCTCCACCGTTGCAAAACCAGGCGCACACTTTCGCCACCCAGTGTGCGCTACCTCTGTCATTAGAGCTGCCTGTCGAATCAGCGAAAAAAAAAAACGAAGCAGAAAAATATCAAAGAAATATTGAAGCTATTTCCACACTTTTTGGGTCTGACAGCAACCGCAACAATGGCTATAAATATATTTCATATATTTAAATTAAAATTAAGCAGAAAACAGACCAAAACAGCAGCCAGAGCGGGATGGCAATATAAACAGTGGCAGCCAACTGCAAACTTATGGATTTGAAGAGATTTTATTCCTTTCCCTTCCGCCATTTCGATATTAGGGGGATCAGAATTCAAAGAAATTGGCCATAAAAAGGGCTAATGCCAGGCGGCAAATGGAATATCCACTCAGTTTTTGGATATAAAGCGATCGCGCCACGCAAATCAAATTGGGGAATCAGGGGAATCAGCCTTAGCCTTAGACATTTTGTACTATTTGAGGTGGATTGGTAGGGGTCAGAATTTATGTTTTCCACTTTGGCCGCATTTGTTCCAATATTTATTTATATATTAGGCTCAATCAGGCGGCTGCCGCAGGCCAGACAAACAATGGGCAAATGCAAATGGGGTGGCAGAAACGGGTTACATATCGAATCGGATTGGTCCAGGGTGAAACACCCACCTCTTGGGTTCCGACGACTGTCGACCAACGCATTGCAGCCTGCCCAATATGATAAATATGACGACGAGGGATTATTTATCTGTTCGCCGGGGCCAAGCGATTATGGGGATAACAAAACGCAACATGAAATCGAAATTCCCCCTTAAAAAACTCTCGAAATTAGTATCAAATATTTTAATAACATTCTAAACATTTGTGAATGGATTTATGTGCTCTTGTGATAGTTCCTGTCACACATTGTGGGCGTTGAAGAATATGCATATATTATCGGGTATACCCGTGCCCGATCAGCATATATCTTTCGGCTGGCATCCCTCCCCCTCCCCCTTCCTCCGCCACCTCCTTTACCCCCACCCCTCAACAGGTGTGTGAACTGGAGGGGCACGAGATTTATTCACATTTCTCGCGAGTACGATGAAGATTTATTTGTTTGGACTTTTCTCTGAGGCTGTGATGAAACATCGCTTGGGACAATTTTTATTGTCACGTTCTTGGTCCGCCAGAAATGCCATTGAGTAACATTCATATTTTCTTGAAAACGAAAGCTTATCAGAGCACGTCAAGTGTTCTTATCACATTTGAACCCCTTTCCGCTTTAGGGTTTTTTTCAAATTATAACAGCGATGCAAAGAACAAAAAAAAAATTAATTGAAACGGCAATAACAACGGCCTCGTAAAGAACGGTGAAGCATAAAAAACGTTGTTCATTTATTTCAATTAAACACAATCAAGAAAGCATTCCCCTGAGAATAAAGGGAGGGGAAAAACAAAAGCCTTCACTCCAGTTACAGTTTCTGGCCAAGACTACACGATATCAGAATGCCAGTCGGTAATATCGTTTTGCCCTGATGAAACCGCGTTTATTTATTGTAGAACTTTAAATATTTCTGAATTTCTTCGGTGAAAACCTTTTAACCAGAATGTCATTTCAATCTTATGTTATGAATAGCTTTACTTTGTTGGTTGCCGTACAACTCCCTTGTGGCTTTCATTTCTTTTTCTAGAACACGAACTGTAAAGATTAGTCTTTCCCTTGATAAGCAGGTGTTCTCTCGAGAGTTAATTACTAAATAAACACTTTTGCTTTTCCCTTACAGATATCCACATAAAGTATATAATGTAACTTGTATTTTATCTGGAAGATATGTATGGTGGTATGTACATATAGTATACAGCAAGCCTCCAATTGCCGTCGGTCGCCTCCCCTAATTGAAATCAATTTAACTTGGATTCTATCGCATTATGCTGTCGTAGCGACTCTTTTGGATCCGAACACTTATTCTCCTACATACAACTCGACAAAAACCAGAGACTGGGGCACATTTCAATGCTAAGTTTCCTGATTAGAAAATTTAATATGACGGGCGCAGCTGTTGTGCAATCTAGTCGTAGTATTCTGGGTTGCACCATTGATGATAACCCCACAAAACCCCTGAACAGAGTCTACTGCCTGCTTACCACTGGAAAGTATCAAGTGTTCAGGTATAATCCCATTTAAAGTTGAAGAAGATAATCCTTAGGCAGTTTCAGGAGCGTTATTTCACTTCACACACTTCACTGATCCTTATATCATTTATATTTTTTTTATACCTTTTTAATAATTTTATTATATTATTTTTAAAGCACTTGTATATTTTTTCGTAAAATCAGATTAAAATAAATAGATTTACGGCGGAGACTGATAAAGCGACCGTTACGGAGCGTTCACGTTGGCCGGAACCGCTCAATTCAACCGCAGACACAGAATTGAAACGATCGGTTCAGTTTTGGGCCTTTCGGACTCCGACGATCGCCCGAGCACACACACCGAAAAACTCTGATAAAGTATACGCACACAGATGACACGGTTGCAGTCGGGGAAAACTCAAAGGGAAAATTCGGGAGAGCGAGTACCGCTCTCGCTCTTCTCTGACTGATAACAGCAATGGAAACTGATACACTTGGTATCGCTGGAAATTGAATTGTTTTGGGGATTTTGACAGCTCGATTGTGTGGATATTTCTGATTTAGCCGGCCAGTCATTCAATTAGCAGCTAAATGATAATCGAAATTGATCTGGGGGAATGGAGCTCTCCTAATGAAGCATCCACGCCAGCTGGTAATACAAGTGTAAATGCCTTTGAATGATACCTCCAATAACAAAGTGATGAATGATAGAGATATGATACCCAGAAATGAGAGCTTAACCCGTGTCGTAAATGTGGGCAGACGCCTTAATTCCCTCCTTATCGGCAGGTCCGACTCCCTGACAAACGGAGATCTCTTCATGTGTGGACATGAGCCCTGTTCTTTCCACACTTTTCCGAATTGAGTTGAAGTTTTGAGACAACCATAAACCCATAAATCCCCGAGTGACGACCGCTAATTGCTACCTGGCACCACGACTGGAACTCCAGGTAGGAACTCCAGGTAATAATATCGCTCTAAATGGATTTACTTTTCATCGTATTTATTGGTTTGTTTTTAATATTTTGTTTACAACATGAAAAAGAAATTGTAGAAAAATATGACATTGTGATTAAAGGTTTTAATACATAAACCCATATTCCATTAGTTTTCTTACGTTTCTTTTAGTCTTCTCTTTGCAATGTTTTTTGTTTGTTTAGACAGTGAAAAGTAAAAATCAAAAATCAAAAACATGAATAATAAGTGACTCTTCAGTTGGTTAATCGAGAAAAGAAAGTACAAATTAAGTTATAAAGGAAAAATAAATAGTGCTTCGGGAGGTTCAATATTCTCTCCATTTCTCTTCAATTCGCCAACGTTCGTTGATAATGTAAAATTGTTTCAAACAAGGTTGAGCAATTATATAAATCGTCCTTCGCCTTTACAGCAACTAACACTATTGGTTAGTGCCCATTTTATCTAGATTTCATTTTTTTTGTAATTTTTTCAAAATATTTTTCGTTTGTTTTTATACATTTTCTAAATGTTTTTTCGTTTTTTTTTTTTGTTCGATTTTCTTCGTTTTATGTTGTTTTTGGTGATAATGTTCTTGTGTTTTATGTATTGATTCAATAGTTAATATTAAAATTAGCATTCATTTTGGTTTTCCATGAAAAATCAATGAAGCATCTTGGCTAATCAAAATCGTGAGGTTTCCTCCCCCGTTTGAATAAGTTTAACTCGTTCAACTAAATAGATAATACAACGCCAGTTTTAGCCAAACTAATCACAATCTCCTGCATGGAGCTTATATGAATTGCAATCCGTCCAATCGGTCAATGCCCACCAGTAGTGTGCTCACTACTTTTACTTTTCCTGCAGGCGCAGCTGCTCGCTGATGTTCTTGCTCTGGTAGAAGAGCCGCACGACATGGGTGTCAGCTCCCTTGGTGGCCAGAATCTCCACCTGGAATGTCTCGGAGAAGCGCGAGTCAATAAACGTTTGCAGCAGTGCCACATCGCACTTGGCTATGGTGGCCGCCTCCAGTTCACAGTGCTTGCTATACCGCTCCGCTTGGGCCAACTCCTCGGGCAGCTGGCGGAACTGCTGGGTCACCGCATTGTTGCCAAAGTCAATGAAATGCACCTCGCACTTGCCTTCGTCCAGGACCTTAACAATCCTGGCACGATAGAAGACCTCGTCCTCCGGAAATTGGGCAACGCACAGTGCGCCCTCTTTGATGTCAGAGAAAACGGGCAAATCTTGCTCTGCGTCCAGGAGTTTATCAGTCATCTTCTCCAGCGCCGCGACATCGCTTTCCATTTGCACGTAGAAGGATTTCGGGTCATCGTACTGCACCACGATGCAATTATGCAGCTCCGCTTCAAGGGGTTTTTGAACCCCGGCCACTGTGCTGGCCAGCTCCTGGGCAAAGTCCTTATAGTTGATTCGGAGTTGAGCAGAAAGGGGTTTAGTCTCATCCTCATTCGGCTTAGTAGTTATTTCGTATACCTCCCCGAAGTGCTGCTCCAGCAGAGCGGCAAAGGCCTCCTCCAGCTTTTCATCAGTCACATCTTGTGGAATTTCAGTCAGCTGACAATGCAGGGCCAGCGGCGAAATCAGTTCTATCTCCTTGGGTAACTTCCAAAGCTCCGAAACAGTCAAGGTGTTTCCATAATCCAGCAAGAAGACTTCAAAGCCCTTGTTTTCCTCCAACACAGACTTAATGCTGCAGCGATAGTAACAGGCATCCTCCTGGGAGTAGCAAACACCAAGGGATTCCTTGCTTGGTGCGTTCAACAATTTCAGCTGTTCCTTCTTGAGGAACTGCAGTGTCTTTACAATCAAATCCAAATCCGCTGAATTGTGCTTTAGTTGCACATAGAAACTCTTCGGTGAGCTTCCGTGCGAGATGACACACTCCGAGTTCTCGTTTTTCTTCTGGATTACTTTCAACTCGGCTTCAATCAGCTTCTGAAGGTGCTCATAGATGTTCACGCTCTTCTTATCCTTGGTTGTACATCTGACCACCGGCGGATTGGCTGACTTGTCCACAAACTCCACCGCCACATTACCATTGCAGCTGTCCAGCAGTGCATCGAGTGAGGAAAGGGCCATAGCCTTGTTCTTTTCAAATGCAGCACAGGATTCCAGACTACAGATCTCAGCTACGGGGTCGATCAGCGTAAACTCCTGAGGCATCTCGTACAGCTTATCCGCAATTGTAATGCTGCCATAATCAACCATAATAACCTTGTATTGGTCCTCGTCGAGGACTTCTAGAATGCGTGCACGATAGAACTCCTTGTCTTTGGAAAATTGAATCACGCACGCCTCATCCACCTTTCCCTTTTCGTTCTTCGGCTGCAACTTCACTCCATTTAGCTTTTCGCAAATAATATCCATCAGCGAATCCTTCTCGCTGAACTGTAGGTACATGTGGGAGGTATTTTCTACGTGTGTGATGATGGCTTTGGTGGTGACCGTCAGTGACTCCTTGCTGGCCGCCTTTTGATCCTTTTGCTTGCACAACGGCAGCAGTCGCTCAATGATATTTTCTCCGTCCAAAAGGAGATCGATGGTGATATGATCCTGTCCTGGCTTTAAAAGCTGTGTGGTGAAAACCAGTTCACCCTCGCCCGTAAGCTCGGCGAATTTAGCCTCCGCCTCTGGAGACCAAGAAGTGTAAGCCTCCGGTAACTGCAAAGTGCATTTCTTGGACAAGCTGGGAAGACTTGCAATCTCCTCTGAAAGCTGCAGGCACTTTGATGTGGTTGAGGTATTGCCGTAGTCAATGAAGAGTACTTCGTATCGGGAGTCGGGCAACTGCTTTAGCAACTGGGCCCTATACCACAGCTCGTCGTCCTCAAAGAGAGCCGCCACAATGGAACCCTTTTCGAACTTCTCCAACGGCTTAAGTTTCTCCTCGTCGCGCAAATACATCTCAATGAGCTCCAGTGCTTTCGAATCCCTTTCAAGCTGAATGAAGAAGTCGCATATTCCGTTCACATGTGAAATGTAGCAGCTACATCCACTGGCAACGTACTCCAAGGGCTTAGCAAAGCCATCGGCAATCAATTTCTTAGCCACATCCTCGCCTTCAATAGACACGTTCACATAACTGGTCGTCTGATGATCGCCTTCTGTAAGGTACTCGAAGTGCAGGACTTTCGTGTATGACTCGTTGAAGATACCATTCGCTGCATCCACCCAATCAGCGGTGCTTTTGGGGCAAATGGGCAGAGCACAGGGCAAACAAAATGGCTCGATGTGCGACCACATGCTCTCCTTGATGTCAGTGGTATCCGACACGCAATCAGTGTTGCCATAATCAATGAACAGCAGCACCATCAGCTCAGCATCGATGATCTTGGCGCGATACCAGAGTTTGTCTACCGAGTACAGCGAAATACAATCGGCTCCATTGACCACGTTCATCAATTGAGGCAACGAGGGAGAAACAATCTGGAGGTTTTCCTGCAGGCGTTTCAGTTTTTCAAGCTCTTTGATCCGATGTACAAAGAAGTGAGCCGGATTATCACAATGGCTCAGCACGAACTTGTCCATATCCTTGTAAGGATCTTCCTTTGGAGGAGCAGGTTTTTCTGGCTCAAGAGCAACCTCTTGAACAACGGACACGACTTTTGGTTCTTCCACAGGCACTGGAGTGGCTGGTTTTGGCACTGGTGTTGGCTCTGTAGGAACTGGCGTAGGAGCTTTCAATGGAACTGGTGAAGGGGCCGGTGATGGAGCTGGCTCCGCTGACTTCTTCTTTGGCTCACGTTCTTTGTCATTCTGCTTTTTCTTGGGTGAGGCACTGGCCGAGTTCGACTTGCTGTTGTTGACGGGTTCCCTACGTATTTTTTCCTCCTCGTCGTCTAGGGTCAGATCCACGGTTTCAATGTACTCGTAGGTGCGCGATTTACCCTTTTCCATTTGCTTGCGCATATAATCCAGATCCTGACCGGGTATCAGTTTTTCAGCCTTTAATAGCTCTATCACACTCTTGTTGTCATCCATTATGACATCGGCAATAAGGTGATTGCGACGCACCTCAATCGATTTAACTGTGACCACCTTCTCCTCAAGAATCTCAGCCAGCCGCGCCTGCAGCTTCGCTTCGTTGCTCGGGCGGCCAACCGGCAAATTGATCTCTACCGCAAATCCGCTAGAGTGCTCAAAGAATTTTTCATCCAATGCCTTAATATCGTCACGCTTTACTTCCTCCGTGTTGCCGTAATCAATGTAAAACACTTCGGTGCGAGCAGCATTGATGTCCTTTCCAGTGATCCTGGCTCTGTACCAGTTGTCATCGGAACTATGAACTGCACAGATCTGGCCTGCTTCGTATTTCTTTAGGGAGTCACCTAAATATTAAAACAAATGTGTGAATCAGTTTCCTAAATTTGGTTTAAAATATTTACCCTTGGCCTTATAATGCTCGTACATGTTATCCAATAGACTTTGCATGGCAGTTATGATTGACTGCGGCTGGACAAATACGCGGTAAGGTTTGGCGGTAAACACCACGAGTGCCTGGAATGAGCTTAGCACCACGGGATAGGGGCAAATGAATGCCTTGCGATCATCCTTGAAGAGTGGCATCACAGGTCTCAGATGAATGCTAAAAATTTAAAAACAAAATTTGAATAATTCTCGCGTATAAAAAATCATGCATACTTACATATTGTTTTCGCAGACGTTTTTTACATTAAAGGCAAACGACTTGCCCTCATAGAACTCCTTAAATCGCCTGGTCAAATCGGGATTGGACTTAACAAATTTAGCATCGTCGTAGCTGCACAAGAAGTTCACATTGCTGCAGTAATCAAACTCCACCTTGAAGCTCGTCATGTTTTGAATGGAAGTGAATTTGCCTCTTATCTGCTGACCTGCCAGAAGACTAACGCGGATCTCTGAAAACGAAGATTACAGAAGTGTGTCATTTGTAAAAGAAAATAAAAGAATAAAATAAATTATTTTACCTGGAGCCACTTCAGTTAGGAATTCGGCCTTTATCAATGTGTCGCGCAGCGAAACGCCGTTAACAAACATGTTGACTGTGTATGAGCAACTGCTATTGTTATTTGAGCCGTTGTTATTCTTTTCCTTAGACAAAAACTCGCAGTCCACTTTGGCATTGACTGGAACGAACTTTTCCATGCGATCCACAATGTACAGAGGATCATAGTTGGTCACGACGCTGTGAAAACTGCATCGGTAGGCCATGCAGGGTGGCTCCGCAAAGCGCTGCTCCAGTTGCCAAACATCCTCCGAAGTGACGGTAATCAAGCTGCCCGTGTCCACGCAAAAGACACGATACTTGCGGATCATGTGATTGCAAGCGGTCACAGTAGCTCGCAGGATAGCATTGTCTTTCCGTTGACGCACCACGACGGTTGATCCAACCTTTAGCTGCAGTGGCTGATGTTGCTTTTGGCGATAGAACTGTCGCATATCACGCAGGACATTATCGTACTTGTTAGATGCCGACTTTAGCACTACGTAAAACTGGAACGGAGAGACCCACCAAGATAGACTCGCCGCCTCTTTGCCCGGTGTTTTAATGTCCTGCAGCAAGTAAGGCTTGTCCAGGGAAACATACTTCTCTGGTTTGGTGGCTGTCACTGATTCGGTTGTGGACGAAGCAACATCGCTGTCTACTCCGCTGGAACGCTTCGAACAGACGGTTCCGTCTAGCGTGGACTTTTGGCGCAGCGGCTTTTGGGCATACCCCTGTGGTGCATTTTGCGATCGTTGATTCCTTTGTTGACCATCTTGATTCTTGCGAGGTGATTCATTGTTGCTGAAGCGTCTGAAATAAATAAGGAACTTTATAAAATCTTTAGCTCCAACATTTTAAATTACCACTCACGTATTCTTAATCGCCTCTTGCTTTCCATTATGACGTGGTGACTGATTCGGCGTGCGGCCGTTTTGTTGGCGGTTGCCCTTGCGTGGAGAACTCAAGCCACTGGTGTAGCTGCCGGTGCTCTGGGTCTCAAAGCTAGAGTCCAAGTGACGATCGATTCGTTGACCGTGCTGCTGCTGCTGCTGACGCTTGCTGTCCTTCGAACCTGCTGAAGTGGAACTACGTTTGTCCCAATCTCCGGAGCTTTTGCTACCGGCCCCTGATTTTCCTTGCTGCGGAATTTCAACAACTAGTTGCTTCTGCAGAGGCTCCTTTTGTTGTTGCTGCTGCTTGTCCTTCAGTTGCAGGCGGTCCTCGCTCTCCACAATGCTGGTAGAATTTAGAATCACGTTCTTATCCATTTCAGAAGAGATCACAGAATCAGCATGCGTGTTGTTGGCATTGAACTGACCCTTTTCCAGCGACAGATACTGCTCGAAGGGTATGGACAGTTTGTAGAGTTTCTTCATTACATTTAGGTTCTTGGCCAGCAAGTTGACAACATTCAGTCCATCGGGTTCTATTCGAAAAACACGAACACTAAATGTGCGACGACGGATGTTTGATTCTTCAGCCAACATCTCAAACTGATCTGTGATTTTTTCCTGACCCAGTTCGCTGTTTTCGAAGCCCTTCAGGCAACATTTGATTGCCTGGCGGGGCATTTGTAAATGCTTTTCGGCAATGTGGCCGATAAGGTGGCGCTTTACGTTCTGTTCGTATCCAAAATCTACGTGCCGCACAATCACAGAGTCATCGACGCGCAAAATCTCTGCTCGATACCATTCTTGATCGTATTTGACAATGCACGGTGCGCCCAGGATCAACTGATCGGGCACTTTCTGGTTAGCATTGTAGTAGGAAAACATCTCATCCATCAGCTGCTCGAACTTTCCAATGTTGGCTACCTTCTGCACATAAAAGTTGCTGGGTGAATCGATGTAGCGGATTTCTACGGCGTCGTCGTTCTGCAATTGTTCTGCTTTGGCATACGATTGGCGCGAGTTTTTCAGCTGCCTAAGTAGCTCCAACATATTGGTTCCCTATAAGACGGAGGTTAGTTTAGTATGTAAACTTTGTCTGATAATAGTTGATCATCTATACTTACATTTTGGTTGAGATGACATGTTTGCATGGAGCCCACGCTCTCCGGCGCCTGCACTGTCAATTCGAAGTTCATGTAGATTGCCGATTTCTTGAAAATCCGCTTCATGCTCTCGTCAATGGGCTCGATCTCCTTGGTACCGGCTAAAGCAAAGCGGAAGGCGAAAGGCTTGATCTCCAAGAGCTCCGGGGGTATTTGAAAGAGATCGCTGGCCGATAGCAGCTCCGAGTTTCCATAGTCGACATAGACAACCCGGTATCGCTGGGCGTAAATAGCACTAACCAATGCTCGATACAGGTGACCATCTTCCGAGAAGCGGGCCACACATGCGGTCCCGAGCTCAGGAGCTTGGGTGAGCGCCTTCAGATTCGTCCTCTCAATCTGACCCATCATGGCACTCAGATCATTGCCGCTGCTCTTTAAGTGCACCCAGAACAGATACGGACCATTCTCCACATAGCTGATATCCACGTCGTATGTAAGGCCCACCGTTAAGCTGGAGGTTCTGAAGGCCGGAATTGTACGCTGTTGAGCTCGCTGCGCCAAAGACGGCGTGGGCGGAGGAGTGAACCGTGCTGGGGCATAGCTCAGAGGCACGTAATTTACAGATTGGTTATAAGGCTGCTGGAAGGGCACATTTAGGGCGGGCGGCGGCATGGCCGACAAAGGTTTGTTCATGCGAACATTATAGTAGGTGTAAAGCGAACGGGGAGTCGCTTTGGGCACATATGGTTGAGCAGCCGGCTCGGCGGGCTGATAGTTGGCACGATTATATTGATTGGCCGGCACAAAGGCCGGTTTCTGAGTATTGGCCAGGCCTTGCAATGGCACCTGTACATTTGTCTGCAAATAAGAATGTTTAGAAATGAATATCTTTTGCTGAAATTTAAGTGATTCATACCACATTGGCCAGCGGCAGCTGTTTGGGCGTATAGTCGGGTGCATTGGCGTTTAGCGACCTTGGTGGCGTTACCGGGACCGAACGCTGTGCATCCAGGCGAGCGGCCAGGGAACGTCGAACCGCCAGCTGTTCACGAGCGATTTCCGTGGGCGTCTTTGCGGTGTGAATGCTATTGTTATTGTACTCGCTGACCGGCGGCGACTGCGGAGCATCCTTCCACAGCTTCTTGCAATGATCCAGCATAAGTTGTTTCGCCATCGGTGCTCCGATTTGCCTCTGCTGCACCAAGAACTCACTGAGCTCGAAATCTTTCCATCGCAGATTAGCGAACTTTTGGCCACAGATCTGTACGGGATCAATGGCAAGTTTAACGGTCTGGTTAACGATCAGCTTGTGAACCAGCTCCAGATCGGACTTGTCCCACTCGGCGCAGATGCCCAGCACAATGTACTGGGAGCAGAGCAGGGGAATGTTCTGCAGCAGTTTCGGCTGCTTGGGGAACATTAACTGGAAGAGATTTAGTGGTTAAAATTGAAGTCTAGAGAAAATTCATACTCTTACATCATTATTATTCACAGTGCGCTTAAAGCCAAAGTCCAGAAAGTCGATCTCCGTGCGCTGACCCTCCAACTCCGCGGCGACCACTCGAGTCCTCATGTACTCCACATCGCCGGGAGCCGGACCATTAATCTTCTTGAAAACGCAAAAGGTGCCGGGCGTGAGAAGGGCCTGCTGGCGCTCCACGGACCAGCTAGGCTCGATTGCAAAGCATGTGGGCAGCACCTGCTCAATGCGCTTGCTGACCAGGATGGCGGCGTCTCTGTTCACCTGGCCGTAGACCTTCAGGTACGGGCCCACGTGATCCAGGTGAGTGATGTACAGATCCACATTGGATGAACCCGCTTTGGGCGGCTGTCCATTCATGGTTTTGTATTGTTATTCGCTGGAAGCACATAAAATTCTTATTAAAATGTCTATTTAACACAAACACAGACCCTTTAGCATGAACCGTTAGTTTGGGTCGGGCATAAATTGGCAGCCCTGCACAAAAAGTGGGCATGCCAAAAAAGTGTGCCAAATTTTTTTTTGCAAAAATAATTTAAAGGTAATTAAAACAATGCCAATCTACTCACGTCTTGTCGTCGTCGTTGTCCAGAATAAAAGCGAAACTCTGAAAATGCGCCCTGCCCCTCGCCAGGTGCCCCACTTTTCTCTCTATCTCTTTCTAATTCTCTTGTCCCTGTTATTTAATTCTATTTGCTGCCTGGCTTACGGAACTGGACGGCGTATTTTGAGAGTAAAAAGTGGCACAATTCTAATGGCTGGACCTGTGGACTATTTTCTTGTGATCACTTTTCGTGGAAGAAAGTCTTGCGAGTGATTAGAAATCGCGATGCACACAGACAACTCCGTTACACGTCTGTGCAGGTGCAGCGATTTTAGTTTCTATTTGGGGCTTTCAGTCTTTTGAATTTCTCGGGCGAATGCTCGGCATTCGACCACCCGTGTTAACTGTGATTCGTAGTGGTTGTGTCAGATCAGAAGAAGCAATTAATCAGCGCGAAATGTATTAAATCGAAAAGTATCACCGACACCCAACTTTTCCACAAGACAACGAAACGACGACCAGTGTGACCGCGGCATCTGCACAGTACACACCGAAAATCCCCTAAGCAAAGACCCCTCTACACGGCGACCACCACAGCAACTGTTATTTTTATTTCTGCTGAATTTAATATATTTATATGTATATTAAATATTATTATTATTTATATTTGAATATTTAACTAAATTTTTGTTGTAATATTTGACCAACCAAGGGCCTTAAATTTAACACAGTTAACACAGTTTATTTAAAAAATCTCATTGCAAAAGCTTTTTAAAATGATCGATTTGCATACGATTCGGAGATTTAGGATAACCATGCTCAATAATTTGTTTGTTAGGCTTAAAATAATTTCTAAATGTTTAAAATTTTTTGTGCCTGACTAGTATTTTTTTAATAAAAATATTAACTAGTATATATGTATAAACAAAACAGAAAAAAAGTATTTTGCATCGGCCGGGAATCGAACCCGGGCCGCCCGCGTGGCAGGCGAGCATTCTACCACTGAACCACCGATGCTTCTTGCATGGATATCGTTTAATACTTTACCAGTTGATTTTTGTCGGACTTAACAGCATGTAAATTGTCACAAATTCGAGTGGGGAACGACTGGAATCAACAACCTGTTGATGTTGGGGCATTCCTCTCACTTGGAGGCCTCCCCTAAGTTAGGCGTAACGAAATATGTCGACTCCGTGGCGCAACGGTAGCGCGTCCGACTCCAGATCGGAAGGTTGCGTGTTCAAATCACGTCGGGGTCAAGTCAAATAAACATTTTTTTTTTTTATGAAAGAAAAGTGTGGCATTTAACGGTATTTAAATACATAATTTATTGTATAATTAATAAGCAGCTTTGATTTACTACAAGCAACATCATGAGCATTCAATTTCAACATTTAAAATCGTCCAATAGAGATAGGTTCCTTTTTGGGAACAATTCGAATATAACTTGTTACATAGGTTAACATACATACATAACTACTGGTTTGATTATAATTTTATGAACTGCGTTTAAATTGTAAATTCCCTAAACAGTTTGCGTTGATTTATTATCAGTTGTTCCCTTATTGCACAATGCATTACTCGTAAGTGTAAATTGTAAAAATTATCATTCATGTGTCATAAAACTGCATATAAAATTGAACATAAAACTACCCAACACCGGAAATCATTTCTCGACCTCTGCGAATCTCGCCTCCCTATACTCTCTTCTATGTAAATGTATTTAGCTAACAGAATTTTCAACAATTTTTACACAAATCAACAAGGTAAATGGCTGCAATCATTGCACTAACTAAATGAAATCAATCCTAAAAACATAAACTAATGGACCCTGTGTTTCGTTACATTTTTGTTTGTTTGTTTGTTTGTATATAAGCGCCTCCAAAAATATTGTAAGGGTTTAGTTGGTCTCGGATTTCAATATCGTCCTTAGTGTGTCCACTTTATTTGCTATTGACTAAGTTCAGGAATTCCTCACGGGTCTTGGGATCGTCTCGGAATACGCCCAGCATAGTTGAGGTAACAGTTTTGCTGTTGATTTTCTGCACGCCACGCATCACCATGCACATGTGTCTAAAAAATAGGATCTCCAGTTTAACATTTGTTCTTGTTTGAAATGTAGTTCCAAACACTTACACTCCTTCTACTACAACGGCTACTCCAGCAGGTTGAACTGCCTGAGTTACTGCAACTGCAATTTGTTTCGTCAAGCGTTCCTGGACTTGCAGACGACGCGAAAAGATTTCCACAATGCTGAAAGAAAGGAAATAATTATTAATTATTATTATTCGCTTGAAGAGAGCAATCAGTTTATCCTGTTTAGATTTATATTTAGTCTCATCATACCGAGCCAATTTGCTGAGGCCTAGAATCTTGTTGCACGGCAAGTAACCAATGGAGACTTTGCCGTAGAAGGGCACTAAATGGTGCTCGCACATGGAGAACATTTCGATGTCCTTGACCACCACCATTTCGTCATGATCCTCATCGAACACGGCGCCATTCAGAACGTCTGAAAAAGAAAAAAAAAATGTTTAAAATATTTAACAGAATATAAAAAATTTTTATGGCCCAAGCGTGATTTGAACCCACAACATTCCAATCTGGAGTCGCCTCCAAGTTTGACTCAGAATGCACCACATACCCGGAGCGACTCAAATGCCTTGCCACTTGTGATTTATGGCGCGCGTAACTCGTGTTAGATTTATTTGCTGCATAACTGAATGTTAAGTTCAAGCGACTGTGAGTGCTAAAGTGGCTGCTTGGTGGGGGAATGGGGTATATGGCTCTGGCTTTATGGTTCTTGTGGAGTGTGAGCTTTCGCCGCACTCGCCTTAAACGACGTGCTCTTGAGATGCCCTGACAAGTTGCTCGGAATAAAGCCGCACACCCACTTTCCCGCTCTTAATGTACAGACCGGAAAGCTGCGTTTCCTGGCCAACTAACCAACCAACCAAGCCACCAGCCAACAACCAGCATCATCTGGTGGCTCCCTCAAACTCAATGTCAGATTGGCAAGTCACGTTGACTCGGGCTTCTTGGGTTCTTCGAATTCGGGTTAAACACAATCCGAGCCATTCTATTGCCGAAGGCTATTCACTTTCGTTTAACTCATTTAGCTTTCAAATGGCCAGCACACTTGCGTTGTTTGTTGTTGATCTTAAATTTACATGCGATTTTATTTGACAAACTGTAGAACCTGATTTTTATCTCGGACAACCGGTTCCTTGCTCGCTGTTAGCCGTATTATTCGCAATTCGGATTTGTTTTTCAAACCGCTCGCATTGATTACATGACAAGTTCAAATGTGATTGTCAGTGGAGATACAAGCGGAAAATGCAGGCCAAATAGTTTGTAACTTTAAAAGTAAATAAAATATGCCAAAAAATTCTTTGCTTTGTTTGATAAAAAAAACCAGAAATAACTTTATGGATCTTCATTGGTTTTTGGGTTTTATCTGACCACCAACAAGTGGTAATTATACTAATGCACTGTCGCGGACGGAGGAGGAACCCCCGATAAAGCTGGCGGGTGATTCACTAACAAGAAACTAGTTCTCGCATGCGGGGAAATCCAGGATGAGCAACGTCGCCCGAACACTGACCCGGTGCTAATTGCCCGAAATGAGGTGTGTGCTTACCTTCGAGACTCTGGTCGTAGCCCTTGGTGAAGTACAGCATGGCCTTGGCCGCCCGCTCCGGGGTCTTGATCAGTCCCTGGCGATCCGGATTCTCGCCGAGTCCGCCCAACAGCAGGCGGTACGAGCGGGCCATGTCCGGCAGCAGGGCCTCTCGCGTCGGCGGCTTGTGGTCCAGCTCCAGGTCGTGGTGGAACGTGCACTTCTCGTGGCCTGCAAGCATACGAATGCGTTCGTTATTGGAATCGTTATCATCGGCGATAGGGAGAGGCATTGCCCCTCCCCCTTTTAGGAGGGTTTGTGTGGCTGTCTAAGTACTAACCCCCTGCGACCTCTGAACCAAAACACTAACCCACTGATAGGCGGCTGGTTTATGTTCAACAAAAACAAATAAAAAAAAAAGCATAAAAGTTTGTCTTCCACCCCGCGCTTCGTGAGATTCATGAGGAGAACCTAGTTTTCGTTTTTGGAGTAGAATCTCTGGATTCCTGGGACTTGGCCTGACCCCCACCACTACCTGGCGTTGTCGATGTACGCGGTGTCATTGGTGTTTTCGGTTGTGTACCATCGCTATCCGGACTGCTGCCGTTGGTCTTGAGGATGAGCCGCGGCCGCTGGTTCCCGGTTCCCAGTGGTGCCACCTCCTCGCTGGGCGTTCCCTGTGGTTGCGGGATGGCCTCCTCCGGCTGGGCAGTTGGCACTCTGTCGGCCAGCGAGGAGGTGCCCGAGGTGCTACTTGTTGAGCAGACGCTGTTGTTGCGTCCGCGCGACAGGATGTGGGCCTGCGGGAAGTTGGTGTCGTCGATGGCGTCGTTCAGCTCGCTGGCACTCATCTCCGAGAGTTGGCGGGTGAAGCTCATGGCGGTGCGGCTACTCAGGTGTTTGTTTGCCACTCGACGAACGGAACTCTATTCAACGCACACAATCTTCGAACTTGGCCCGAGTTGTTTTCTATATGTTTTTTCTCGCTGGTGTCTTTCGATTTTTACTCGTAGCAACTCGTGGACTTTGGCGGTTTGTGTTGGCGCTTCGGGTGGCTCTGCTCTTCTGGTGGCTACTGTGGCCAGCGGTGCCAATAAGAACCTCTCGAGCGGAGCTTTGAGCGGCCGAAAGCTCTGCGTGTCAACACCCAACCACCACCCACCGCCCTGCAAGCTCTGCTGCGACTGGCGCTTAGCGGAGATTAAGTGAGCGGAACTAAGCCGCACTGAGCGCAGGCCCACAGTTTGGTGGCCATTGGCCAGTGGCTCTCAAACTGCATGCGTACTTGTTGCTCTGCCAGGAGACGCCAGCGGTACAGCATTTGACAAGGTAATAGCACAAGCATAAATACAAATGAATTGACTAAGAAAGTTCATTAGTATTTGCCACAAAAATATCTAGAAAACATTCAGTTATAGAATAGATTTAATCTGTAATTATTATTTTTTTTTTTAAGTCGAGTTACAGTTGAAAATGTTGGGCTTTTATTTTGACCTCAAACGTGCACTTCTATCCTTGGCGCCAAGTCAAAGTGGTCAAGGCTTTTTTCATTGTTTACGCAGATTGTTTGCCATATCCTTTAGTCTAGGCGCCTTATCCACTCGACTTGGTGCCAAATGTCAAGGGGTATTTAAAATACAAACTTTTTATTCAACACGCCTCAAAACGCGTTGAGTTCCTAAATTCTAACCACCGTCCATCCGTCCGCCTCTTCGGAACTCCAACAGGATGGCGCACCGCCTGCAACTTCGGAGCGATGACTTCGACGTTATTGGCGCCGTGCCGCGCGATCTATCCGTGATCAAGAATTTCATAAAGCGCGATTGCGCCATCAAGAAACTAATTGATATCGAGGAGGAGTTCCTGCAGGAGTGCGTACAACGTGGCGAAGATCCTATGAAGCCAAAGAAAAATGGCAGAGACAGTGTGTCACGGGGCAGGGGTTCGGATTCCAAGCCACCTGAACCCAAACCGAATCCCTGCGAGAGCCAAACCCCAGAGAATACACTGGCCTCGGACTACTGTGATCCCTGCCATCGTCTCAAGACGTCCGTGGTGTTGGAAGAGGTGAGTGGCCTTTTCTTGCAGTGTTTATCTCTACAATAGCATTTACTATATAGAAACGATAATAAGGTTGCCTTCTTACACAATTTTTAAACAAGCTGTAGGTACTATATATTTACTTATATAAAATTAAAGTTTAGATTGTTAACTAAGTTTGTATTTTTATCCGAAATACAGCTGACCAAGCCGGCTACCACAAATCCGGCGTTCAACAAAGCCCTACCGCCGTACTTCGACGAAGAGAGCGTGATGGGCAACTCGTTGCCGGTCAAGTTCCGTTTCCGCCGGAAGTTCAACAGATGCGACCAGGAGAAGAGCGACAATCTGATGTGCACCACGACACCGAGCACCAATGTGGTGGTGCTGACCAACTGCTGCGATGTGCTGGTTTGGCCCAGTCAGCGAGTGGCCCAGATGAACCGAGTGCCAGTGACCACTTTAACTGGGGAAGGCGATCTCACCGAGTACATGTTGGAGGAGGAGACCATTATGTAGACCACCAACTAACCACGAAATGACAGCGAGTATGGGAATCCAGTTTGGAACAAATCATTCAATAAAACATTCTGTTCACCCCCATCCAGTATTGTCCTTATTTCACTTGGGAAACCCTGCAGCATCTGACTTGTTGGGCTTCTATTGAAAGATTCTCTGGCCCAGCTGTTCAGATTTGCTTATTCTCTGCATAAATTCCGGGTCTCATCAATTTATGCCACTCGGATTCAAAGAATTGGGAATGCAAATCGTTTGGGGTTGAATCTGAAACATCTTGTTCTCTAACTTTTGAGTTGAAGGTTAGGAATAATAAATATCTTTTCAAACATTATCGAGACCCAATTATAATTTAACATTCTGTAACAAAATATGTATTTGGCATACAAATATATTATTTAGTCAGTGTGCGATTACAACGAACTAATAAGTTACACAAAATTATATTATTTTACCATAGAAAAAATGCTTTTTCAAATGAACTTTTTATTTTTTTGTTAGGGTTGAATAAATCGGTTGGAAATAGCACAGGCTGGTTTAGTTTACATAAAGCAAAGACAGCTGCAGATGACATAGACTTTTGATCTTTGACTTAACATGGCTACAGTAGAACCTGCCTAGGGGTGACAAATTTTTTGAATGGGTAATCCAAAAGAGAGCCTTAAAGGATTACCAAGGAATACTTCCAGACAACTTTTCAGATGGCTTACTATATGATAATCTTAGATATAGCAAATAGTTTCTTCCTGAGTGGTCGACCTGTGAACATGTAATGCAATTAAGCCACCATTAACATTTTCCACAGGGCAGGTGTTCTCTCCGGCTCCCCCAACTCGAAACGTGTAGCCCACAATTACGCATTACGGAACGAGGAATGAGAAATGCCTTTATAGAGCGACTATCGTGGGGCGATCACCGATCGGGGACTCCAAGCTGGCAGGGTTGCCACCGCCTGGCATTTTCTCGGAGAATTTTTTAAGTGGCTCAATTAGCGGCGTATGAAACACCCGCGAGGCTCGGCTTTTGCTCTCAGCCAGCCAGTTAGTTGAAGTCTTTTTTATTGACCGCAATCGCTCAAATGTGAAGTACTTGCTGCTCGGCTTATTAGTCACCGCGTCAGACTTAAAGACAAGCTCGATCTGAGGGGCAGTCGAAGAAACTGAAACTGAAAACGGCAAACAACGGCAAAAAGCCCACGAATCGAAACCGTTTGGAGCGCCGTACTCGCAATTAAACACTTTTTTAACCTTCACAAAAGTAGTTCAGGTCTGTGTACCCTCCCCTCATCCAACCTAACCACCCTACCTTTGGCCAAATACCGGATCACAGGGGTTTATGTCTTTGTCTCTATCTTTATCTTTGGCTCATGGCCCAGTGTTGAGCGCAGCGCTCTCGTTGAATCTGCCGATCGAATCCAAGTGCCATGTGCCAAGCGGCAAGCAAATCTTTCAATGTCAATGTCAATCAGCCCCCTTCCCCTCAGTTCAGTCCAGGCTGGTTGTTCAGTGCCAGAAGTTGGTGGCTCTCTAGCAACACCTTTTCCTCGCCGCTGTTCACTCGTGGGTGGTGCACACAGAACACAAAGTTCCTTTTGATATCCGGCACTCTGTGTGGTTTGCATATGGGACAGAAATCCGAGTCCGCGTTCTCGCTCTGCGGTTTATGTTCTCGGATTTATGTGGCCCAGCATCGCCGGATTCGGAATCGGAATCGGAGTAGGCTCATTATGCGCATCTGATTGAATTTCAATTGCTCTCTAAACTAATCTATGTGTGATGCAATATCGGTGCCAGATTACATCTCGGCGCCATCGGCCAACTCGAGGGGCTTGTGTTTCCCGGAAACCAGATCTAGATCTACATAAGTCTAGGGGTATCAATGAACTTGCGCGCACAAATCATGTTAGCAATTTTAGGGATTGTGGAGATCGTCAAACAAAGCGATACATTTAATAGGTGCTTTAAAACTTAGATTTATTTTTGGATGATAAATTATTTATAAGGAGTTTAAGGAACCAATTTCAGCATTTGCCTGTAAAAATGTAAATATGGTAATAGGCTTTGGACAAACCCCTTTTCTTAAATGATATCAGAAAACTTTATAAATGATTCCCCCAAGTCAATGAATCACATTCTGTGAAAAGTGCTAATTTGATTCACTTCTAGAATATTAATCATTTGGCAATGGGGCTTCCTTTATTCAATGATAGATAAAATTTTAAAAAATCAAACCATAAAAGCCCCTTATAATGGATCATAATAAAATTAAGAACCTCAAACATTTGTTACAGGATTTGGTTACCAGAAAAGGAAAAGTTTGTTTATTTTTCCTGTGAAAAATCACTTTTTAGTAAAACATCCCGCTACACGGAGCTAACTAATTGGTTCTTCCGGAGAACTCACCGCTTCCATTGCTGGCCAGCTCCAAGTTGAGCATTTCCAGTTTCAGCTGCTGGCTGTTTTTGGAGACCGCCAGTTCGGTGGTGGCGGCGGCGGAGGCTTCGCCCGTTGGGATCGTGGCAACGGAAACCGCATCCGCGGCGCCCTCGCCATTTTGGGAACTGCCATTTTGCTCGCTGGTCTGGGGCTTCATTTTGTTTATGATGTTTATTAACTGAATTTGTTGGGGGTGGCGGACTTTACTAGGACTCGGCTTTGGTTTGTGTTGCTGGTGTACGATCGCGTTGCGGATTTTTGTATTTGGCGCGCTCGCTCCGAATTTATCTGACGACTAAACCGCCCGAGATTTAGTTGAAACCTTTTTATTATGAAAAATCGAAAGTTCTGCCGCGAGACATCGCGGCGTATGAGCAATCTCTCTTCGTCCAAGTCTCGAGCGCAGTTATATCGCGCTCTGGCGTAATTGCTCTCCATTCGCCAAAGCTTTTCGCTTTTTCGCTCTCCGCTCCGGTTTGAAGCTTTACGGCTGGGAAGTGCGAGGACTCCAGGAAATCGGAGTTACTTGTTTGACGGTCGAAACTTTCCGAATACTTTTTGTTTTATATTTCAAAAAAACGCTGGCTGAGTAAACATTTAAACAAAAAAATCAAATAAAATAAAACAAAACACAGCCGTTAAACAAACGTTGGCGCCTGACTTCGGACCCCAAAGCAATAATTTCGCTTTGATAACCCGGCTGCGTTTGCATCGTTAACGGGTCGTTGGCAATTATCAGGCGATAGCGTTCGATTTGCAACAACACATCCATTTTCAGGTTAATTCGTGCCTGAAATTTGTTCGGTCATCGCGGTTCACTTGTCGCCTGATTGCGAGCCCCTTAAATTGAATTACGGCGGGACAGGAGACAGTAAGAAAAATTTCAATTCATCTCATCTAAAAAAATTATTGTTCTTTGGGGTTGCTATGAGCTATAATTCGTTAACTCAGAAAAGATTAAAAACAAAATAATACAAAGCGATTAAGTATACCATAATGATCTAAGATTTATTTTACATTTTGTTTTCCCACTCTGTTTGCCGGAGTAATTTCTGCTTGCAATAACAATTGCAGTTCACAAAGAATATTTTTCAATTGGCAGCTTAACTAATACGTTTGCGATCACAGGTATAGATACAAATACAGCTGAAAGATAAAAACTTAAGCTGCGCTTGCGCCCTTTCGCCGCCTTGAACGGCCAGTTAGTCATGCCTGCGAAATTATAAATAATATTAATTAGCCATTAATTGGACATTTACGTCTGATTTGCATGGCGGACAAAAAAAAAATTTAACTTTTAAATTTTCCAGCCATACTGCCGTCGTGATCCGCTTTTAATTGCATTCAATGTCATTAGCTGACGGCACAGCGACTTAAGTTATTCCCGGAAGGAAGTCGGACAAAGAGCCGGTTGAGCCAGGTGAGCACCTCCCACATCTCACAGCTCCTGTACCTCGCCGCCAACGCCCTGTTTGCCCTGGGCCTGCCGCTCCAGCTTCTCCTGTTCAATGTTCTCCAGTTGGGCCAGGGTCAGCAGCGAGATGCCCAGCTGGTCCTCGCGGGTAAACGGTTGCGCCATTCGCCTCAGCCATCGGCGTGCCAATTGCACCGCCTCCTCGGTACTCAGGTTACAGAAGCTGTCCACCAGGTGCTCCTGGATCCACTTGGGCAGACGTGACCTTTTGTCGTGCCGCGAGAAACGCTTGTCCGCAAAGATCATAATGCCGTAGTCCGTCTTTCCGCGCAACGCCCGACCCACGCACTGTGCCGCATGCCGCATGGCGTCGAAGGTCAGAAAGTCGTTCTCACGGATTTGGAACTGATCGCGCAGGTAGTCCAGGCGGGCCTTCAGAATCCGCGACTGCGTGTACACGTAGGGTATGCCGAACATGAGCACCGCGCGACCATAGTGATGGTCGAAATCCACACCCTCCGAGACCTTGCCACGCGCCACAGCCAGCAGCACCGCTCCACGACCACAATCGCAGGCCTGCAAGTCGAATTGAGAACGTTAGTTGGGGCTAATCAACTTTGGGAGCAATCTGTGTATACTCTTTCAATTGCAAGGTATAAGATAGGTGATATTGTCATTTAACATGTGAAATTAATATGTTGGAAGCACACTACAAATTATTCAAAGCTTTGGAGAACGTATTTAAAATATGTCATTATTAAAAGTTATTGTTTTGTTTAATAAAGTTCACCATGATAAGGTCAATGAATTAACTAATTTAAGAACATAAGTAATACACCTCAGTTGCGGTAAGGTTAAGAAATCATGTTGACTAAATCAACATGATCCAAGCAACAAGGGCTGGAGCGAAAAAGAGAGCGAGGTGGCTGTGTCAAGCTCATTTGATGAGAAGCCATACCAGTTTCGTTGGCCTTTTTGTGAAATTGAAAACATATATCTCACCTTAACATAGTTCATCAGGGCGTAGCTCGTCTCGGCATTGTCCTGGGTCTCGATGAATAGCAGCTTGTAGCGTAGCAAGGTGTCAACGATGCCTTGATCATACCACGAGGCCACCACAGACTCCAAGTACAAATATGATGTGAAGAAACAAACGATGCCGTCAGGCACGGTTTTTGCTACCTCCACCAGCAGCTGGCCATAATTCCTGATCACTGCTGTGTCTTCTCGAGTCTCAAACTTGGAAGAAATAGTAACCTGGTCATTTCCCTTGGACACAATCTGTAAGAAAAGAAAATTAACATATGTTCATCTACCTAATAATGTAAATAGTACCATAGGAAGAAGACATGGACGGGCCAGCGTCATGGTGAAGCTGCTCATGACCACGGGATCAAAATCGAGAATTTTCGGGTACATGTCCATGGGCGACAATGTTCCAGAGGTGATGACCACGGTCTGGAATCGTGAAAACACCGGAGCCATGGCAATAGAAGAGTCCAAGCAACTGAAATGCAAAATTGGATTCGACACTGTCGGCGTTTTGTCGTCAAAGGGTTCAATAATGATGGTGAAGCCCTTTGTGTAGGTGGACACTAGGGTGGCGAAATGTGTGATCTAAAAAATAAATCTTTCGTTAACATTGTTTTGGGTACATTCAAGATAAAAACGCACCAAAGTGAGAGCTCCGTACTCAGTCATATCACTGATTTCAAGGGTGCGCAACAAACTGGACAAACGCTCCGCGCAGAAACGCAAAGGTTTTCGTTCGATACAAATCTTTGAGGAAATATCCTTGAGGAAGCCGGCCGGCGACTCCTGAACGACATGATGTACTCGCAGTCTAGTCTTAATATACTCAATAAAGCGACGCAAAAAGCTGAGAAAGTGGTCGGCGTTGCGTATGTTTCCAGGCACCACCTCGGTTAGGACATCGTTGGGTAGGACTGGATTGGCCAAGATCATGTCCGTGTCCCGCTGAACGCTGGCATCCTTCAATCCCTGGACCATTCGCTGATACTCCTCGTTAAGCCGATTTGTATCCTCTTCGCGAATGCTGTAAAATACATAATTTGTTTAAACCAGGTCGATGAATCCGTTGACCCGGTCAACTTACTCCTGAACCAGTTTGGTGAGCTGATTCAACGCGTTTGTGCTGCGCTCCACAGTCCGTCTGTTGATCTTCACGCTCATCGAATCGATGCAAACGTTGTCGATGTTGTGCGCTTCATCAAAAACCACACAGGACTCGCGGCTCATCTCCTTAGATACCACCTGGGCTATCTTAGGATCTAGCAGATAGTGGTAACTGTATACCACGATGTGGGCGTGGGCAATCTGAAAAGGAATAGGGTGGACGTAAGTTCCTTTTTATGACTTAAGTTAACTATCACTTACAGCATATCGGGCCAAAAAATATGGACACCAGTTACGGGATCGTCCATATTCTTTGAGATCATCGATACTGTAAACGCCGACTGGCAATGTGGACTCCTTGCCCTCCAAGCTAAACCCCTCGAAATACTGGCCTAAAAAGAAATCCATCAGATCGGATTCTCCTTAATGCTGAAACAACGTTTCCTTACAAATTGGAGTCTCCGAATCCATTTCATGCCGGTCACGAATGTAACTCGCTGTGAGTCCGTAACACTTTCCATCCACCGCCTTGCCCTCGCGCTCCTTGCTGACCTCCGGATGAATGCACATGTTCTTTCGGGAACTGAGCACCAATCCCGTGAGTGGCGGCGGATTTGGACAATGGCGCTCGTAGTAGACCATCAGGTTCTGCAGCTCGGCTATGACCTTCTCGATCTCGGGAACTGTACGGGAACAGTAGATCAGCTTACGCACTGTCTCCGGATGCTCCACCATATATGCCACTATCAGGGAAAGCAAAGTGGCCGTCTTCCCGGTTCCCGAGGGCATCTCCAGTAGGCAGTGACCCTTGGCGTCCAGGCTACGCTTCAGTTCCAGCATGTAAGCATATTGCTCCGGGTAAATGTACTCGTACGGAAAGTACACCAACAGCCCATCCACGCTGAGCCTATGGGTTTGGAAGTTATGAATGATCCCGAGTTGAATTTATTTAGCTTACTTCATTTCGTGCTAATTTCAGGATAATCTGCAATTGTTTCAAAACAAGCGTGACCGGCAAGCCAGACCGCTAAAATTTACCGGTGCGCTCGGAAAAATATCCTAAAATATACAGACAAATTTACACTGGCCGACACAAAATTGGAGTTTCATTTGCAAAAATTTAAAGAAAAAATTTATGAAGCAACGCAAATTTAAAAACAAAAATATAAATGCAATTTGAATTTTGATTTAATTTATAATTATTAATTAAATAAATAACTGTATTATTAGTTGACCAGTGTTTTTTTGTGAAATATTTTGTTTAGTATTTTTACCCTTCAGAGCCGGTTGGTATTTTTGATCAACTGAATACCGGTCTTGTTAATAATAAACACTACTATAATTAAGTTCAAAGCTACTTTAAACGCATTTATTTACCTGAAAATTACCTCTAAGAATATCCATGGACGATTTAAATCCCCTGGCGGGCACGGCTCACCTTTTGGAAGAGGTTGACAGTTAGTATATGCAAGCGGTACCTGAAGAAGGAGTTTCAAATTGACTTTTTACAGAGAAGCTGATGGTGCTTTTGAGGGACGGGAGGACTCTGATCGGTTACCTACGATCCGTGGACCAGTTCGCCAACCTGGTGCTGCAGCGCACCATCGAGCGGATACACGTTGGCAACGAGTACGGTGACATTCCACGCGGAGTTTTCATCATTCGGGGCGAAAATGTGGTGCTGCTTGGCGAAATCGTAAGATTAAATGGAACGGCAAAGAACCATTGAGCAAAGATCTTTTTATTAACTCAAACAGGACCGCGAGAAGGAGCAGAAACTGCCACTTAAAGAAATCTCCGTCGATGAAATCTTAGACGCACAGCGCAGGGAACAGGAGCAACGGCAGGAGAAGCACCGTCTGGTTTCCAAGGCACTAAAGGAACGCGGCCTAGCCGTAGACGCAAATATAATCAACGAGGACTTCTGCTAGGACTTCATTTCTCTCTAAGCACATACATAGATAGATAAGGCTCAAATGATTTTCGTCACTTTGTATATTTGTACTGCATTAAAAAACTATGTTAAAATCTATGTACATAAGTAGCTATGTAACCTGTTCAGCCCGAACCGCCTGTCCCCGACCCCGTACCGCTCTCCTCGAGCAGAATGTACTTCTCCAGGATCTGGTACATCTCCACTTTGGCCTTGATTTTGTGGACGCGCGACAACTGACGCAGGTAGGCAGCTATTGATTTGCAGAAGAAGTCGTCTTCCGTTTCCGAGTGGTTGGGGGGCACGGCAACCGGTGGATTAGCTGTTTCTGGCGCTGAATGCTCCCGCTCCTGGCTAACATTGGGCACGCAGACCAAGTAGTTCAGGTCGGCCTGGCTAGGTTCCCCTGACTCACACGGCGTAGTAGAGTTTGGCTTTGGAGTGGCAGGGTCTGGATGAATGGTAACCACTTTAACCTTCTGTTCACACTCGGATCCCAGAAACTCTTCAAAACTCTCCTGATCCTGCTCCTGGCCTTCGTCAGCCTCTACGAGCACCGAATACGTTTCTGAGTGCGTGGTCTGCGCCTCCAGCTTGGCATCGTAATTCTGGTGTTCCTCGGCCTCGTCGTAAACCTGCGAGCCCTGCTCCTCAATCAGCGTGTCCGTGTCGAGAGGCAATCTAATGCGACGTCGTCGCATGTCTACTTTCATCCAGCCGGTTGGCTTTTGGTCCCGTACACGGTCGCGTCCTCCTCGCTCCCGTCTCTTGCGTACAAAGTCTCGCAGAAAGTCCATCTTTCGGAAGAAGTCGTTCTGGCCGAACTCGCCGGACGGATGCAGACGCTTTTGTTTAAGCTCCCGGGAATAACGATCCCTCAAACAGGTCCATCGACGCCTGGCGTCCATTGTCGATATGTTGAGGACATCTGCGACTTTGGCCCAGTCTTCCTCCTTGCGCTGCGAAAGCCGGAAAGAGGGCTGTTGTGGATCGTACAGCGACGGCGTCTCGCGGATGGTCTGGATCAGCAGGATGTCCGAGTCGTCCAGAGGACGGTGGTTCGAGCTCATTTTGTTTAATTCGAAATTATTATTATTAATGCAACTTGCAGTGCTGGTAAACGAAGCAGTGCAGAGAAGGGTGAGCGTTGGCAGTGGTGGCTCAAAAGTGTTGGAATGCGCTTTACTGTAATATAGTTGAGGTATTCTTTGATATTTAAAAATTTAGAACAGATTTTCTAAACAATTAGTCCGAAAACTTTGGGTAGCTATAAATTATTATTTATTAGCGTCAACGAAAAGACGAAGATTGCGCACGATCAAAAAAATTTCAACGAATATTCTTTATTTAGCGACGAACTTACTTGGAGCCTAGCTTGAAGAAGGTTTGCAAAGTCGGGGCGAACACACAGGGTAATTGTTTACAAGTGCGGTCCACGCTAAAAACAGCTTATAAAAATAAAATAAAATATGCAAATTATGTGTTTTTTGCTTTATTGAAGTCCAATATTAGGGAAATTTTAAAACTTTTTCAAAACATTACTCATTAAAATTGTTCTAGTATGAAAAATATACTAAAGTGTGGCGACTGTAAACGGTCACTCTCAGACACAATTTCCGAAAACGCCATGGCAACCGTCAACTTTACAGGTGTGGCAACGCTCGAGGCACTAGGGCAGCCATTTTTTTCACGCTTTGTAAAAAACTTTTTTAAAAGTTGTGGAAATTGTAGAAAAGTCAAAAAAAACAGTGCCTGACCAGTTTTAATCGCTTGTGCAGACCGACCAAAGTATGCAAAACTAAATTTTGTGTGTGCGCGCCGTGAGTGAACCGAACAATTGAACATGGAAACAGTGGTTGCCTTCAACAATGAGGTAAGTTATAGAGCCTTTTGCAACGAGGTGAGTTGTAGAGCCGGCGTGGTTACACAATGTTCGTTTGGAGTTTCAAAGTCCTTGGTGTGAAGAATAAGGATCAAAAGGCACAGGCAGATCACCGAAATTTTCCTCCGAGAAGCACCCGTCCAGGGTTGCTTCATGCGAGCCTCCGATAAACGATAACCCTGGCCCCAGAACCCGAGAAATCCCCTTACCCGTTAATTAACTCCTTCGGGCTTTTTTCCAGCTCTCCGGGCTCTATGACACCCGGCCGCCCATTTCCAAGGCCAAGATGGCCGCCATCACCAAGTCGGCGATGCGAGCCATCAAGCTGTACAAGCACGTCGTCCAGAGCGTGGAGAAGTTCATCCTCAAGTGCAAGCCGGAGTACAAGGTGCCCGGGCTGTACGTGATCGACTCGATAGTGCGCCAGTCTCGGCACCAGTACGGCATGGACAAGGACCTGTTTGCGCCCCGCTTCCAGCGCAACCTCACGGAAACCTTTGCCAATTTGTTTCGCTGCGCTCCGGAGGATAAGAGCCGCATTATCCGTGTGCTGAATCTGTGGCAGAAGAACAACGTCTTCAAGTCAGAGGTTATCCAGCCGATATTTGACTTGGCCGATCCGAATCACCCCATCTACCACCAGATGCCGCCGGTGGTCGGTGGCGGCGGACAGGGAGGCAATGTAGGTCCCGGACCAAGTAGCAGTGGGGCCCTCAGCCTGGCGGACATATCGAGTGGACCCAATGGCCTGAACAGCTCGGGAATGGGAAGCATGGAGCTAAGCATGAGCAGCGCTGCGGGAGATGATAAAATGGGCGCTATGCCCGATTTGTCGGTAAGTGATATATCTGGTTGAGGCTGTAAGGTGGCATCTGGTATTATTGGACACTGGCTAACTAACCCTTCATCTGCTATTCTGCTGCATTTACATTTCTCTGTCTCTCATGTCTTGCCCACTAACTGCACCTATTCGTCCTCGCTCACTCGCTAGCTGGGCCATGAGAAGTTTGGCGGTGGCAGCAGCAGTTCTAAGCGCCACTACTCGGATCAGCACTACTCGAAGCGCCAGTCAGGAGCCTCGTGCTCGTCCAAATCTAGCAAGTCGCATCATCACAAACGGGATTACGTGAAGAGCTCGCACGACCTTGACTACCAAGTGCGGGAGATCATCGAAGACGAGGACGACAACCTGCAAATGCTGATGGGCGATGACCACCACTGCATGGGCGACGACTCACCGCCCACTTCATCCAAGCTGTTAGACGTATGACGAGCCCCATTAACACTTCATTTAGATAGTTTTGTTTGGCTTTAGTTTTCACTTGCTGTTATAACTTAAGTTTTATCATTGTAAAATACCTTGTAACCTACTCTTGCAGAACAACAATCTCAAGCAGCTGCTGAACGATCCTAATGTGATCCGGCAACTGCAGACGCTGCAGAACTTCCAGAAGTTCAAGCAGCAGGAGGAGAACCAGAAGCATCGCTATCCGGATGATGCACTGCAGCAGCACTTCCAGAACGTAATGAAGGTACACCGCCGTTTTTAACTTGGTTGTTCTTTTTATAATAATAATCTGCTTTCAGGGAAATGCTGGCATGCCGCCGGGCATGGGAATGGGCATGGGCATGAGCATCAATTTAAACGACAGCATGGACCTCAACAAGGATGTCGAGTTCATATCGGAGCAACAGACCATCGAGGTATACCTTCTAACTTTTTCTATCTATCATAGTTATATCAGCAAAGTGTATGCTGTTTTCCAACCGCTGTTGGCTTACAGCATAAACATCGCTGATCAACAGTGTTCTATTAGTTTGTAGTCGGCAGTCGCATCAGATGCCATTTGCCTTGTGCTGACGTGCAGTTGAACCGGATAACGTGCCCAAAATGTTGTTATACCCGTTAAAGTATTGGTGGTGTTCGAGACCAAGTAGATTCATATAATGATTTGTGGGGTGATTCTGCACTATTTAACCATAATCATAATATATTTAAAGAGACAATCTGAATATCTTAACTTTAACTTATTGCGGAAACCCGTTTAGTCAATATAAGATGCCTTTGTGCCATTTATTAACTACTTAATATCCTTAACATATTTTTGAATTTCAAAACAATTTCAAATATTTGAATAAGTCAATGAAATAGTAAATGGTTAAAAAAATATATATATAAAAGAGAAGCCAAAGGTAAGGTTTTAAAAGCCACGTAATGTCCGGCGGAACAACCCATTACCCGATGCTATAACAACGTTTGGTAAGTTCTTAATATGTAAATCAAAATGTTGCTCGAAAACGAAAAATTCCAATTAGTCTGAAAGAATTATGAGAATCGCCAAAAGTCTAAAGCGTAACAGAACCACACGTCAACACACGCCAAAGAATGCAGTTTATTCAGTCTATAATATCGTTCGTTTACCCCAAACCCAATTCCAATTCCAATCCCTATTCCGCTCCAATCACCACCATTCTGGACCCAATCAACTTTTAAGCTTACCAAAATGTAAACGTTTTTATCACGTATCACTTCTCTCAAATTTCTTGCAAACACTCCCGTTTCCGATAGGTGATCAACCTGGATGGTGCCGATTCGCGGAGTCCGACGCCCGACCGTGAACGCTACAAGCGCAGCCGCCGGAGCAGTCGCAGCCGCTCGAGATCTCCGCGTGGACGAGGGGCCGGGGGAGCCGGAGGAGGTGGTGCCGGCGACCGAAGGAGACGCAATTCTCGGTCCAGATCGCGCAGCCGATCGCCACGTTCCAGCCGTCGGAGAGGATCGCGCGACCGGGATCGCATGGATCGAAGCAACAGGGACAAGGAACGCGAGCACGAGCGTGAGCGTCGCAAGAAGGGCTTGCCGGAGATCAAGAAGGAGCACCTCAGTGGTAACTATAACAGCTAATCATAAAATGGTTCTCAACGTGCTCAAGCAGTTGGTGCAATGAGATCCATTTTCATCTCTTTTTTTTGTTTTTTATTCTTTTTTTTTCTGCTAATCCAGAAAACTTTCTTTCCTTTCTCTGCAGCTCATTGACTCGGTTGACGTGTGTGTGTGTTAAGCTTTAGAGATTCAGGCATATTTTAAAACTACCCTCCCTACTCTATTAAAAATTAGTTTTCGAGCAATGTTTGGGAGCAATCCCGATTTACATATACCTAAGGACTACCTATATAAAGAAGTCTATGAAAAATAGGTTCAGATATAAAACCACGTTATGTTTGGACTTTATTGAACTAAAAATGACTTTTTTATTGAATGCCATTACATTTGTTTCCACATTCAAAAATGGTTAGAATAAAAAAGTTTATCAAACTATATGAAAGAAACAACAGTTTAAAATAAATGTACGTGATTTGGTATGTGACTATAAAGAATGGTCTTTTGTCGTAACACCCAATTATTGTTTTTTGCGACAATGATCGACAATTTAAAGTTAACATAGAATGTTTTGATTTGTTTTACGAGATTATCGGTCGATTCGCATTTCAGATTGATTACTTTATAATTTTTCGCCCATTTACCTATTCACATTTCTTTTGATATATCACTTGAAGATTGCTTATAATGAACACAGTCTACATATGTTCCAAACTGTTGGATCACATTTTTTTATATTTAAAAATAAGATTCCTAATAATTACACTCACACTTCAACGTAGAAAATGGGCTTCCAACTAATTGATTTGCTAAACTCTAACGCGGCGTTAAATTTTTGACTTTCAGTGTGCAGCACAACGCTGTGGGTGGGGCACCTGTCGAAGCTTGTCTACCAGGAGGAGCTGTCCGACACCTTTGGCGAGTATGGCGATATAGTCAGCATAGATCAAATTGTTCCGCGCGGATGCGCCTTCATTGTAATGAATCGACGCCAGGACGCTCACAAGGCCATGCAAGCGCTGAAGAACCACAAATTGCAAGGACGCGCCATCACCATTTCGTGGGCTGCCGGCAAGGGTGTGAAGAGCAAAGAGTGGAAGGACTTCTGGGACCTCGAACTGGGCGTCACCTACATTCCTTGGTCCAAACTGGGTCCAGATACGGATTTTGACGCCCTGGAGGAAGGCGGCATGTTTGACGAGGACACCATGCCCATTCAGATGAAGCAGAAGATCAATCAGGCAAAGAACGCCGGCAAGGACAACAAGGGTCCGTCCGTTGCTGAGGTAGCTGGTGCACCAGGTGTTGGTGTTCCGCCACCAGGTCTGATCTTTGGCATCGACACCACCCAGCCACCGCCGGTTGGCCCAGTCGGACCTGTAGGTCCGCCACCCGGTCCGGGTGCACCACCTCCGGCTCTCATGGGCATGGTTAGGGGACAATTCCCGATGGCGCCACCCATGGGCATTAACATGCCCCCGCCGATGATGATGCCGCCAACGAATTTACCGCCACCGATGATGATGCCAACGACCACCATGCCACCGCCCATGATGATGCCGCCAACTATGATGCCGCCTGGTTTTCCAGGTAACTTAAAATTTAATTTACCAAAAAAGAATTTGATCTTAATTCATTTTACATTTTATTTCAGGCATTGGTGGACCTCCGCACCCCATGGGATTGCCACCAGGAGCTCCGTTTCCACCGCCCGGAGCTGTTCCACCCCCGATGCCCGGCGGCGGACCTTCTTCTGCAAATAGCGGCAACGTGAGCGACGATCAAATGGACATCGAGATGGACCTAGAGGACGCCCCTCCTCCGCCTCCGCAACAACAACCTAACTTCAATCCGTCGCCCAACAATGCCGAGGTGTCACCAGCGGCCTTGGCAAATGAGATGTTCCAGCAACGTGATCGCGATCGTGACAGGGATCGCTCTCGAGGTCCAGGCAACTCGCGGTGGGGCGGCCGAGATGATGTGGTCGAAGCGGCCGAGCGTTGGCGCGCCGAGAATGGCGGCGGTGGAGGTGGTGGACCTGGACCCGGACCTGGATCTGGACCAGGACCGAACGCAGCCTTCAACGAGGCTCGAGCGCGTCTCAACCTAAACCCGATTGATCACGGAATGCCAAGGCCGGACTTCATGGGTAAGTGGAAAGAAAAATGGCAAAAGGAATTCCAGCTAATCAATTTCTCTGTGCTCCGCAGATTTTGAGAATCGTGGAGGACCTGGAGGACCACGGGGAATGGGACCACGTGGAAACCATAACGGCGGCCCTGGGGGCGACTTTTTCCCGCCAAACATGAATCACAATCGATTTAATCAGCCCACCAGCCTGATGCAAATGCGCATCCCGCCACCGGCGGCCTTTAATCAGCGCATGGGCGGTCCGGCTGGAAACGGTGGGAACGGCGTCGGACCCATGTTCATGCGGAACCAAGGAGGCGGCGGTGGCGGACCAGGCGGTGGTGGACCCGGCGGTGGCCCGGGAGGTAGACAGCAAGGACCAGGTGAGGATTAAAGTGGAGCATAAATTCAAAAACACAACGCATAGAAGGCCTTAAATTTGATTCCTTAGGACAAATTTCATTTGTTAAAACATGTATTACAAAACAATTATAAATTAAACTTTTATAAAACATCGAATAAATGATAATGAGCTAAGCGACCATTTAATATTTGGAAAAGAAATTCTTGAAGAAACTGCAAACATGAATAAAGATTTGTTTTATAAATAAATTAACTAAGAAATATGTTGAAAATTAAACTATATTTCTTTAGATGCTAACTGTTACTTTCCTTCGAAAATTCTTAAATATTAGTTTGTACTATAGAAGTTATAAAGTGTAGTAGGTTTTTAATGTTAAAAGGAGAATTTATTTATCCAAAACCTTAATTATTTCCGTAAAAGAAAGTTACCTAATCGATTAGTAAATAGTTTAGACATGCTTTGGTACATTTTGTTTGGATTAGTATATAATATCTCTTTTTCTTGCAGGTTTCTTTAATCCTCGGAACCCCTTCAATGACAACCAACGTGGACGCGGAGGGCAAGGAGGAAGCGGAGGACGTGGCATGGGCGGAGGTGGCCCTGGCGGTCGAGGGCGTTGGAGCGACGATGAAGACGAGGGCGGTAACAACTTTAAGCGACGTGGTGGTCCGGGTGGTCCTGGTGGAAATCGATTCCGCGGTGATCGCGGAGGCGAAATGATGGACGATCGTCGTGGCAACAATCAGCGAGGCGGTCGCGGAGGTCCGCGTGAGGATAGGGAACGTCCGGGCTTTGGTAACAGACGTGGTTCGCGAGACGACAGCAACCGGCACTCAATAAGTTCCACTGAGGAGGGCAGCAAGCCGACTCCGGCACCGGAGTCCGAAGCTAAGCCTAAAAATGCTGAAACGGCAACCGCCAATGCCAATGTAGGAGCGCCGCCCACGACCACGAGGACAGACACCGAGGAGGACTGGGACCAGGAGCTTCAAGACTACGATGCGCGAATGGAAGCTCAAAAGCCAGTTGAAGTTACTTCTCTGACGACAGATAGTCCGTCTCAAGAACAGAAACCGGCGGAGGAGACCCAAAGCTTTGCCAGGCCAGCTGAAATTGCGAACGATTCAGCGGTTGCCAAACCGCCGATAGAAACTTCAGCCGCCTGTACACCGCTCTATGACGAGTTGCCACCGCCAGCGATCCCCCAGTCCCAGGCTCAATCCTCGAGAGAAGCCGATATCTCTCCACCCAGCCCGGAGCCTAAAGTTATTCACACAGAGGCTGCGCCCAAAGAGGAATCGGTTCCAGCGCCGGCTGCGGAACCCCAAGCGTTGGCTCCACCTTCAGAGGAGCCCGAACCACAAGCTGCGTCCGCCGAAGTCGATGCGGATGCCAAAAGCGATGCCGCAGCTGAAGCCGAAGCATAGACGACAGACAGATCAACTGAGGAACAAACGCAACTTTGAGCAAATTCAACAGAAACTGTAATTTATGATTTTCCTTACCAAGTAACTTAAGTGTAACTCCATACATGCGAAAATTTTACCATTTTTAACCTGAGATTACGCAGCATTTGTTGACGAGAGTGGGTCGGACGCTTTTTAAAATCAGATTCGGTTCAATTCGCGTAATTTAACTTGTCGTACAATAGGAACCACAACTATCAAGGACTACGTGGAGCAACAGACACACACAGATATAGCAAATAACTAGCAAAGGAAACGAATTGTATGGACAGGAAATTGACAGGGGAGCTTGCGAAGATGTAGAAGCCCAATCATAAACAAATCAGCAATCGCAAAACTTGAAATGTTTATTATTTTGTTATGTATTTAGTTTTAAGAGTATATTTAACACTCAGATTGTTTCTAATGCGCAGATTCTAGGTACACGCATAATAATGTACAATTCAAATATACCTATATTATCGGATACTATAAAATAAAAAGTGAAAAACATTAACGCATTAAGAGTTCTCCGGGCACCTAAACAATTTTTTTTTAAATAAACAATTTACTATTGCGGCAACGCAATCTTTTAAAAAAGAATAAAAATATGACCCCGACGTGATTTGAACACGCAACCTTCCGATCTGGAGTCGGACGCGCTACCGTTGCGCCACGGAGTCGTTGGCGAGGAGAGGGCGGAAGGATCCCTATTTCAACCACCGATCAAAACGGATCGGTATCCGTAAAATTTTCACAACAATAAATTTTTTTGATTTCACTATATTCATATATTTTATGATGCTTAAACGGGCACCCAATGACAGCGAAGCCGAGCGGAATTTACCTTTCGCTCGAAAAAAAATAAATAAAAATATCAAAAACCGATAAGTTATCAGAGGAACATATTTACTGGGGGTATTTCAACACAAATATATATAGGTACTATATGGTTTTGACCAGCAGTTTTGGAAACCAGAAGGGTCTTGAAAAATAATATTTAAAGACAATGTCAACGAAAAACTCCAAATATATAAGGTACCAGTAGCTCAACAAGCATCGGTGGTTCAGTGGTAGAATGCTCGCCTGCCACGCGGGCGGCCCGGGTTCGATTCCCGGCCGATGCAACAAAATTTTTTTCTGTAAACATAATTTTATCATCGGGTTTTATATCCTGATATAAAATAAGAATCTCAGTCTGTAAAATAAACCTTCCGCAAAAATCTGATTTTTTAAAAACTGCGTGCAATAACCAAAAATTACGTTGTGGTACTGAGTACTGACCCCGACGTGATTTGAACACGCAACCTTCCGATCTGGAGTCGGACGCGCTACCGTTGCGCCACGGAGTCGTTGACGCGGAGAGGGTGGGAAGATCCTTTTTTCAACGACAGATAAAAACAGATCGGTTTTCGTATAATCTTTTGAAGAACAAATTTAAATTTAAAAACAAGAAAGGAAGCTAGCTTCAGCCAGGCGCGATAACTTTTTTTCTGTTATTTTTCCGATCTCTCCTATGGGTGCTATCTGATGTAGTCGGCCTATCCGGCCCGTCCACGCACACGTCTAGTTCGATTTGAATCTCGATGCTGATCAGGTACATATATCATATATCCTTACCGTGGTCTGAGGTGGTTCCTTTACTGCGTTGCAAACTACTGACTGTTGGGTATAAAGATAGACAAGCTAACATAAGGAAATATTTACTGGGGCATTTCAACAAACAGTAAGATGCAATCATTGTAATATTGATAGACAATGTAAATTACCAATTTGTATATATGTATATATATTTGTATGTAAAGAACTAAGAAGCCAAGAAGCATCGGTGGTTCAGTGGTAGAATGCTCGCCTGCCACGCGGGCGGCCCGGGTTCGATTCCCGGCCGATGCAACATATAATCTTTTTAGTTATTTTTTAGATAGCTTAACAAAGTTTAGATAGTAAAACAAAGTAAAGCAAATTAAGTAAAAAAATAAATTATATGTAGGGGAGATTGGGGTTAGGTGACCCACGTTTTGTTATTATCAGCAGGAGCACCATTATGTCTGAACAATTTGACGTGAGGGTGTGCTGTATATAGAAATCTTAAAGAGTCCACACGCTCCCCTAATGCCCTCCGCAAAAGAAAAAATTAAATAAAAAGATCTTTGGAATTTAGCTTTGATAGATAAATAAATATATTTTCTGCACAGACGGACATAATTTAAATCTTGTCACGATGCGGCATTCGTTGCTTCCGCTGCTGCAAAAGTTTAATTTAAATAAAATCGAACGACTCGATCATAAAGCTGTCATAAGAACAATTAATGAAATTAAAGAAATTGATAGAAAATAGCTTAATAGGTATTCTTTCATTTAATTTTACAAAAAGCTAACTATGCAATACTATTATTTCGTATAGCTGCCTTACAAATGTGAAATTAAATGGAAAATTCGCAATACCAAAGACAAACTATTTAAAACACTATATCACTGAAGTTGTAAGGATCGAACTAAGAATAGGAAACCACAGAAAAAAATTTTGTTAGTATAGATTTGCCATGACTGCATGCAATTAAATAAAACGACTTGTGAAATATGAAGAAAACTTAAAACCAAGAGGTTTTGGTTCTGATAGGCAATTAAATAAATTTTTTATACACAGATAGGGGCACATTTTAAATCCTGTCACGGGGCGGCATTCGCTGCAGCTAATTAGGTACTGTTGATGGACTCACCAACCAGATGCTCCTGCGGCTGCAGGAGTTTAATTTAAATAAAATTGAACGACTAGATCATAAAGCAGTCATAAAAACAATCGTTAATCTTTGCCGAAGCTGACATTATTTTTTGTTTTGAAAAATTTTATACATGACTGTACAGAATCCGTTTCACAACAAGTTATCTTGAATGAAATATGTGTTGCATCCGTTACAGGCAACCAACAAATTTGGGCACAGTTTCTGCTTTGCAGTCTAGGCGATAGGTTCTATTTCTTCGCCCGAAAATATTTTTTAAAATCAAGAAAGTACCTAAATACTTTAAAAATGCTGAACAAAGTATTTTGCTTTCGACTTCACACCTTCGGTGTGGTTATGGGTTGGCTTAGCATAGTGGCATCCATATTTGCCACAATCATTTTGTCCATAGTTTTGGCACACGGAAACGAACGTATTGACGATTTTTTTTTTGGTACATTTAAATTGGGTAAGTGTTCATCAAGAGGACAATTGCCCCGAAAGTCTTTTAACCTATGATTTCAGCATTTGTGGTTTGCATGAGTATTATACTGATTTTGGCAGCGATCAGTATTGTGACTTCGTTTCTACTTTTGGTGGCTCTCCCTAAGGTAAAAGTACTCATAAAGTTTATTCATTGGTTTCATCGAATATTCAAATCGACTGGAAGTACATACAAAAACTCTTTAGACTTTGTAATTTCAACCATTTCAAGTTTTGCACCATTGAACCATTTAAGTTCTTCAAAACCCAGATAAGGTTTTTCATTGAAGCTGTGTTTGCTATACAATTTATCTTTGTTTTCAGAAAAAATCTTCTTTAGTGCTTCCCTGGTTGATAGACAATGGATTGCGAATGTTCCTCGTCACTATTTTAAACCTTATTGTTTGGATAGGGCTCATTTGCAACGCGCCCGTAAAATTCATCATTCTTTATTTTATATTTATCGGCGCCCTTAATGGTAAGTTTAACCTAAATCGCACTGAATTACGCTCGAACCCAATGCAAATTGCGTTCTATTTAATTTTTTTGCAGTACTCGGCTGGTATCTGTACTATGGAATATATTCGCTGTATAGATCTTTCCAGGCCCTTGAAGATATAAAAGGCTCAGGACATCCATTTCAACGATATTCGTAAAATCTGTGTCCTTCCTTCAATTCGCTCGATTTAATTTAAAGAACTTACCTTGTGTTTGAAATCGAGTTACATTAAATGCCTTGTGAAATAGGCGGAAAACGTAAAAACAAGACGTTTTGGATTTTGCTCTGATAGGCAATCAAATATATTTTCTACACACAGAGAGGGGCATAATTCAAATCTTGTCACGGGGCGGCATTCGTTGCAGCTAATTAGGTACCTGTGGGTGGACTCACTGTCATTTGCCCAGGCCCAGCCACATGTAGCTGGGGTCGATGAACTGGGAGCCGCGGTATCCCTGCGGATTGCGGGACACCAGCGATCGGATCTTCTGGGAGGGCCTGTAGCTGCGCAGGGCGTGGAGGAGCTTCGATGTCTTCCGGTCCTGCTCCTGCTGCTGGGCGGGATCATCCGCGGCATCCGGCGGCATCGGCGGCAAGTGCAGTGGGTGCGGATGGTTGCCCTCCAGCATTCGCGTCTCCGACTCGCCCAGCTGCGATTGCTCCGCGAAGCGCAGGTTCGCCTCCAGCTGGTTGAAGAAGCCGCCCAGATTGGTCATGGCTCCTAGAAGAATGCAGCAAGGGGCACTAACAACGGTGGGATTTTCACAAAGAGCACGGCCTTGCTTAAAACTTCTCCTAAACATTATTTTCCTCTAGCATTAAATAAAGTCTGCTTGTTAATAAAAACATATACGTACAATCAACAAATTGAGCAATATTTTTGTTCTTAGTAATTCGTATTCTCCGAAAAGCATTTATATCTGTTTAAATATTTATACGGAGTTAGTTCTAAATTCCCCTCTAAAATAATTATGTAATTTCCGCTTGTTAAAGATTATTCTCTCTCTCTGAATACTCTATATTATAAGAGGCTATCGCATTTGCGTATGCATTGTTAAAGTTAAGGAATGAAGTTCCCTCCTAAATTTGAAACTGAAAACCCCAGCCAATACTCACCAGCACTGATCGAGGGCATATAGCGTAGATTATCCGGCTGCTGATTGCGTTTCCAGGGCAAGAAGTAGGCGTAGTTGAGCCCTGGCAGCTGCTCCTCCACATCGGGTGGCCACTTGGGGGGTGTCCTTTTGGCCTTGACCTGTGTTCCTGTCGGAGATTGCCACTTGTGCTGCACCTGCAGTTGCTTGAGGTGCTGAAGGTGCCACTGCCGACCGAACAGCTCCGGATACGGCGGGAAATAGTTGTCTCCGTATCGGTTGTCCATTTCCTCGCCACTCGATTTCGGCAGGGGATTTCCGTCGAAAGAGCGTGACGTCGTCGTCGTCGGTGGGAATGGGTTTCTGCTGTCCACGTACCCGTTGAAGTCCCACTCCGGATCCAACTCCCAGTCCCGCTGCCACTCCGGCGGAATTTGGCGGTCACGGCCAGTCGTCGTCGTCGATGTTGCCCCGCCGAAAGGTGCGTTTCGCAGTGGAACTGTCGGGGGAAATACGTATCGGCAAAAGGGCCCATTAATTGTGAGCTCCCGCAGGATTTTTCGGGGCAGTCACATAGGAACAAACAGGGTTGGCTTCACAGAAACGGCACGACATTCAATTTCCGCTCCTGCCCCTCAGATTTTAATTAGTGATAGGCGCAATGACTCCCAATCGAGGGTCAACTTTCAATTTAAACAAGTACCGAGAAGTGAAAAACTGACAGAAACGTGATATAGTTTTCTATGAAGTTTATGGCTTCTAATAATCCGTACACCAAAAAAATATAGCGTTTCTTATAAGATTGATTAAAATGGTTAAACAGCAAGTGGAATTATTTAACTTAGTAATTTTGAGTAGTGATACTATAAATAGTTTTAGCTTTGAAATAATCATATATCAATTGATATTTATCAAAAGGGTTTTAGCGAAAACAATTTAAAAATCTTTTTATTAAAATGTATTCGCTTAAAGGTTAAATTATATATTACTGATATAATTATCAAATGTGATGTCTTTTAGTCTGTAATCACTTTTAAAACAGAAAAAAAGATTTTAACGAGTTGTAGGTCAAATTTAAAGCTAATCCGCTCCAGTTAGATGCCCTCAATCTTGTATTCATTTAAATAAAGTTTAGATCGTAGCACCTTTATTATACATTAAATACCATGAATAGGTACATTTATTTTTAGTTTAAAACTCAATGCACTTAAAGACTTCCTGCTAAATCAGAAATTCAATGACCCAAACCATTTTGGCTCACTCTTTATTTTATGAAGTGGGACTATTCCCCGGTGGGACCAGGGTCCTTTTAAGTTAACCAACTCACCTGTGAAGAGCAGGACCATCAGCAGAATCCGTCGCCTCATCAGCAGGTGCGACATTGTGTGGCTGATACTTTTTTTTTGTTTTTTGAGTGAGGCCGTCGGGTGTTGTTACATTTTACGGGAACTCCGACGCTAAATAGTTTGCAAACACATCTCAACCGAAGGGAGCGAAGTTTTAAGGAGTACAGCTAGCTGCTCCCACGGCAGAGATCGAATTCCACGCCGGAGGACTTCAAGTCGACTAACGGCCAAGTGGTTCGCACCGAGCGCTTTTATAGCTCCTCGCGGCCTGAGGACCAACGCACCAACTCACCGGGAATCCTTTCGGCCAACCACCCCGTCCAAGTTCCCGTTCGCGCGAGCACCTGTTGCCCGACGACAGAAGCAACAGCAGCAGGAGGAGAAGAAGAAGGAGGATGAGGAGTACAGGGAAGGAAAGGACGAGGAAGGACACTGGGGACATGCGCACCAGCCGGATGGACGTGTCACCTTTGCTTGGTTTTTGGTTTTCAAGTGCGATTTGAGCTCCGGCAATTTTCTAATATGCACGGCAATGGCAATTGGGAGTCGAGTGTCCAAGTGACGCCATGGATTCCTATTCCTTTGCCTATTACCATTCACCTTTCGCCAATCCGGGGCAACCAATAAGGCTCAGATGTGCCAAAGGGCCTTTTTATGCAATTATCCTGTCATATTGCGCAATCTTGTCCCAGCAACCGATATTGCTCCAGGTGTAAGCCGGGTCTTGCCTCATCCTTTATTCCCAGCCAGCCATGCTGGCCGGGCTCGATCCCAGACATCCATCCGGATGACATGACGTCAAAGGATTCGCCTTTGAGTTTGGCCACCGTATTAGCATAATTGGGTCAGTGGCTGCCGTCGGTGGCTTCCACCATTGGCCATTGTGAGCCGTGCATCCATTTATCCATCTTTCCGGGAGCTGCACCACCTTGGGACCTTGGTGGAGCTCCTCGCTCCTAATTAGATTTGCATGCAGCTTCTTTGTGGCACGCTGGGCGTCCTAATGGGCCCGAGGTTTGGTTTTGCCTGGCACCTCGCTCCATTTTTCCCCGGCTCCATTTGTCCAGTGGCCGGTGGCCAAAGAACGGCAACTTTACCTCCACGGCATTTAAAAAAGTTTCGAGCACAAACTGTTTGTTAATTAAGCTTCAATTACAAGTTAGCTCAAGTCAACTCACGGCGCATCTGCATTTGTTTTAGTTTTTTTTTTCCCTGGCCAATGGGTAAACTTTGAAATTTAAATCAATTTAGGGAAATTTAAAATCAGCAATTAATTGAATCATCTTCAAGTTCAATCAGCTCTTATAATTTGAAGATATTTTAAAACTAATATCTAATAAATGGAAGGAATCTAGTTGCAACTTCTTAAGACTAATTATATATATTTGTGGTTAATCTGACGCTTTTAAGAATAATAACTATATTCACAAAAATAAATGTGTGCCATTAAAATATAGTTTAAGAAAACTTTAAAGATCATCTGGGCTGTTTAAATACACGTATCAACTTTACAAGTAACGCTTTCATAGATAAATACATATTTTCCTACATACCATTTAAGTGTAGGGCGTTGAAAAGTCGTTGACAGCCGTGAGCTTTTCTAGTGTGCCAAAAACCAAGCGTTCCGCCCCAAAGAAAGCTTTGGGGTTTTGGTTTTTTGGGGACCAAGTGGTTTTCGCTCAGTCGCTCTTGAGCTTTCGTGCCGCGAAGTTGTCCTTAGCACAGCGCATTTGTTGCAGTCGCGACCGAATAATTGGCTTCACAGCAGTTAAAATTCGTAGTGAAAAGTGAACTCCACCCGGAAAAAGGACTCACCAAAGAGCCACCAAAGAGTACAAGTGCAATTAAAAGGATTTAACTCCAAAAGGAAAGGGAGTATCGGAGGAGTTCCAAATCAAATTTGCGTTAAAGGTGCGGCGACTTCCCTTTTTATTTTTTATTCAAATTGGGAGAAGGATGTGCACATGCCGTTGCATCCTGTTAACTCCTTTTTGTTACCACCCCATTGGAGTCTTTCGTTTGGCAGTGCGCCGGCGCCATGGAGAAAACGGCTGTTTTTCACATTTCCCGCGCTGGCAGCAGGTTGACGACCCGGCCCAAACCCAGGCCCAAAAAAAATTCGAAATGCCGGCTAATTCCGGGCTTCCACACTCACTTTCGTTCGGTGCGTTTCCCAGTTTTCCAGCCCTTGACGCACTTTCCTCATTTCCTCGTTCCGTTTTCCCATTCACCCTTATAGCATCTGGTTTATTAAACACATCAATATGTCGGCTTACGCCGCGTATACTTAATGATTATTGTCCATTGGTTTGGTGGTTTTCGTTGCTTGTTTACTTGGCCCACATCCAGTTGTAATTCTCGGCCAAATTCGGAGGTGGGAATCTTTTTACCAAGCACGCACTGGCACTTGATTTCCAATTTGGGCGCGGGCGTCTTCAAGAGACTCTTGTTCTTCTCGCTAAAATCGAATAATCGTGCTAAACATTTGTTGAGCTCTTTCACGATGTGTTTAACGAATTTGTAGTTCTCTATATAAAGTAAGGAAATAGTGATTTTAAGTAAAAGTTGTTTTACTTTTAAACGGTTTTGCCAACTAAAAGGTCAAGTAGTCTTCAGATTGGAACGAAGCATTTGTTTGTTTTATAATAAGTAGAGATATATTTCGGAATAGAATACAATAGTGTTTTAATACTTCAACTAATCTAAAATCTAAACAAAAGTTATCCCTGTATTTAAATTTATGAATATATACCTATAATAGTAATTTATTGTATTTATTAGTCATTAACCAGCTTAAAAAGATTGGCACCCTCATCATCGTATTCAAATCTCTAGGGATGTGTGTCAGCAGAGTTTCTGGGAATTAATTTTAAGCTGACCCACACAGAGAATTAGACAGAGAAGTACCCATTTCAAAGTTCGGCATCATCAGAGTGGCAATCGCTTGGAAATACCCCATTCCCCTTCTCAGATGAGCTGCTATATTTTGCATCTTATTCACTGATTTTTACCTGTAACTAATGCTGACTCTGACGCTCGATTTCCGCTCGATTGGCGAAGCAGTTGGCCTTGGGGCTCCGCAGAATATTGCATTGCACCGGCGGCAGCAGCAACAAAAGCGGGTTAATCATCAATGAAGCGTGCAGAAGCATACTTGAGGCCTTCTGATTTTGCATTGTGATTTCTGTTGGCCAAGTCACGTGGAGCTGGAGCATAGGTGGCCAACACACAGAACGGGCGAGTGTCTGGGCAGAAACTACAACCGGTTCAATGTATGCACAATTTTCGTGTGTAGCTTTGTGTGTTTTGGGTTCTTTTCGGTTTTATTTTTTTCTGCTGTTCTGCTCTGTCGCCAAAAAGCATTAAATATTACTGAATGACTGCGGCTCTGGTCGTCGTCGTCGTCGTCGTCGGTTTACCCACATTTCGGGCTCAACGTGCGGAGCATGCTGGCTTGTTAATTTGAATTTCACACTAAAAAAACAAACACTCGCTGCGACCAGATGTTGCTAGGGCCAAGCTTCCCGCTCTCTCTCCCAAATCGCTTCTTTGATAAACATATATTTTTAGTAGAGTTTTTTTTAAATATATATTGTCACCCTTGCAGGTTGACTCAGCGAACCCCAACTCATCGCCTGAACACCTGAAGGTCAGCGGGAGTTACACCTTCGTTAAAGCCCGCTTCCTGCTCCACCTTCGCACTTCCGGTTCCTGAACCTTCACCTCCTCCCCCTCCCCCCTCCCCCTATCCCTTTTTCGAGGCATTGCGTGTGTGTTAGACATGATTGCCCCTTTAGGTACACAGAGAAAAGTTCTCTAGCTGGCTATCAATTTAGAATTTTTTAATTGAGAGACAGAACTAAACTTTAAATATAATAAATTAAATATAATTAATATAAATTAAATATATGGTTACTTAGTTAATTTTATATTTTTTAATTCTCAATATTTTTTGTGGAAGTTATTGCACATCCCACCTTTAAATAACTTGCAAATTAAAAGTTAATTTGACTTACAACTCTTTTCGCGTGAGCATGAATGAGCTCAACTAACTGGTGAATAAAGTTCACTTCTAGCATAATTTCATTGTTTTTTTTTTTCGTTGGCCACAAGCAAACCGTTAGTTGTGTTAGCTTAGTTACTGAGACAACCGCACCGCATTCTGACCCTGGTTGGGTGCCTTTAATTACTCATACGCCGAGTGTGACAGCGAGTAGTACTGACCCCGCCCGAAAAGTGGAGAGCGAAATGGGGAAACTGGCTGCAGAATGCACCGCGAATTGAGGGCTGTCCCACGATGGCAACTGGCCTGCTTCTGATTTGGCAGGGCAGTAAACATTTAGCCTAATGGGGCTTCTCTTCAGGGGGGAGGGGTTTTAGGGGGGCTTTTTAAGGGGGTGCTGAACGGCCCGCGGGCATTGCCCTCCAGCACAATTGCGCCCTCAAGCATGGAAACTCGCCTCGCTGGCTGTTGCTCAGTTAAAACTAAAAAACACAACACTGAAATTGTCGTTAATTCGTTGTTGTGCGCAAAGTGAAATTTTGTATGTTTTAAGCGGTTGCTGCTGCTTAATGCTGCCACTGCTGTTTTGTTGCCTTGTTTTGTTAATGCAGCGATAAATTCGTGACGCTAAATTCACAAACATGTGCCACCGACACGATTTGTTGACCCCAAAGAGAACTTTCCAAGCGTGATATGAAAGCTCTCTCCACTTGGTAAATAGGTTTTTCCATCACTTCTATTTTAAAAGAAATAGACAATCAAAATGACCAGTGATTGTTAATTTCAACAAACAGTTTATTATTGCTTTGAAAAATAAATATGAATAAAAGAACATAATATAAATTATAACTACTGAACTCACCTTACTTAATCATATTTTTAAAGGTTAATGAACGCCTTAAGTATCTCATGTCAACAAGATTCATCCAAAAAAAGATAACAACGTTTCGTAATCCAATTTATACAGGTGTATAATATTGCGAAATTAACATTGTAGGGTTCATATATTAATTTTTCATTCTGACAGATTTGAGTCCGTATCTTATACGTTCAGCTACCACATTCCACTCTGTTGTGTACATAAAACCTTTATTTTTCTCCTTTTTTGTTTGCCAGTCAAATGCGCAAGTTGCATGCGACAAGCAATTTGGCGAGGCCACATCCTGCCCCATTTCCCGAGTCCTCGGAGGGCTCCCACTCATATCCACTCGACATCCTGACATCAACAATGCTTGGCTGCCGCAAAGAACAATGGTTAAGGCAGTGGAGGAGGCACTTAACCCAGTTTTTAGTTTCATTCAGATGCTTCCTTCAGTTTGACATGCCAAAAAGACCGAATGATATCATGTTTAGCCGAACCGCCCTTCTCCATCTGACCTAAATTCGGTGCTATTCTATTCCATGCGGGTGGCCACAACAATTGTCCCAGGTATTGATTTTTGCTGCCTTCGTTCCAGCTGAAGTTGGAGCTGAACTGCCAATAAAAAGACTGAACCGAACTGAAGACACCAACCGAGGACCAAAACGAGGAAATGTTTTAGGAGAAAACAGCTGCAGCATTGCGATAAGGGAAGCGCCGCAGTAACCCTCATCATTAACTTGAACATCGGCCAAACGAAGTCGCAATGTTTCTGCCCGTGAAATCAAATCAGTAAGTACACATAAAAAATTATACTATTTTGTTATTCATCAGGGTAAAAAATCTATAGAGTAAGAAAGGTGTCTAATAATTTTCTTAAAATATTATACATTTTTCTTTTAGTTAGGGAAAACCTTGCTTGTTTATTTAAGCTAAATTTTAGAGATATTTTCCTTGCATAAAAGCTTAGAGAAATTCGAGTGGCGTCGTGATGCTCCACGTCCGCTCCATTCAACCCCCAAATTTGAGAGCCCCCAACATAACATAAACATGCACATCAAGCATAAACAACCCCCACGGCTTCACAGACAAGGATGAGTTCCTGTTTCTGTTTTTGCCGACACTTTGTCGCCAGCATTATCATTATGCTGGCGAAAGTTGACTTAATGGAGGTGAAGATTTTACGAAACCATCAAATTCTCGTTGCAGTTCCGGCGAGGCGAGTGGCAACAACGAGGATGTCACCACCACCAGCAACAATTCCACACAAACGCCCAGCGATCTGAGCCCACCGGGACCCAATGAGGAGGTCCTTCCCCAGGCGCACCACCAGAATCCGGGACACTGCATCGCCTCCTTCGCAGCCATCAACCAGATGAGGAATAATGCACAGGTGAGGATAAATACATTTATATTGATTCCGAAATGAGAAGCAAATTGCAGTTGTATCAATCAAGTAATTGCTAGATTTATTGCTTCATCTAAACTCAACCAGTTCATATCAAAAAGTTCGTCTTCTAGCGAATATTAATTTATTCAGATCGTCAATTTACTGATCTTGATATTGCCATACTAATTGCATTAGGCGTGAGCATAATTAAAATATTTATTTAGAATGGGCGCGTGATTGAGGTCGTCGTCGCAGGTCCGAGTTGACGCTTGCCCACATGGCGCATACATAATGTCTTTCGCCCGTTTCTTCTTTCATTTCGGGCAGGCGGCAACATTAATTGCGCCCGATGCCGCCCAATTCTCGCCAAAGTTCAGCTGGGTGAGGCTATTAGAGCAAATTGCCGTTTTAGACGACCGGCGGGTGGAATATTATAGATGAGTTGGCCTTAACCAAAAGTGAGCCATGATGTAAGCGACACTTTCCCATTAAAAACTGCCTCCGCTTTCGGGTTCATTGACTGGGGGAGACCGTGTCAGCCCAGGAGTTATTGATGAAGAGCCCTTCTAAGGATTCAGGAGGTTCGGGGGAAAAGGTTCGGGATTTTGAGTGCAAATTGAGCACGTAGTCGGGTATTAATCGGATTTGTAAAGCGACACTTTGTCGGCCGCATCAGGAGTGGGCTTTCCGTCTCAACAGCCTTCCTTTCGCCACTCACGATTGTATTTTTCCTTTCTACTGCAGCTCTGCGATGTTCGCCTGGAAGTCGGAGGCGACACCATCAACGCCCACCGAGTGGTCCTGGCCTCCGTGTCGCCCTATTTCTATGCGATGTTCAACGGTGAGTGCAGTTAACAAAAGAGGAAGTCTATCTTTGCTGACATTTTTGATCTTTAAACTGAACTGAATATTTCTGTATAAGTATATAACATTTATATAGAACCCTTTCTACCTTTAAGTGATTAAAATTTATTTGTTATTTATCTCAAAAAAAAAATCCCAATTCAGTTCTAGTAAGCCATAAATAGTAACAAAGCTCACACACCATTCTACACATCCTTTTTAAACTGACATAATAAACACAACCAACTCTATCTTTCCTGTTTACCAGACGACATGTTGGAGCGCACCCAGGGATTGGTCCGCCTGCACGACGTGGACAGCTTGGCGCTGAGGCAGCTGATCGACTACACCTACACCGGCGAGATCACGATCACCGAGCAGAATGTGCAGGTGCTGCTGCCCGCCTCCGGACTGCTGCAGATGCACTCGGTGCGGGATGCGTGCTGCAAGTTCCTGCTGCGCCAGCTGCATCCCTCCAACTGCCTGGGCATTCGCAGCTTTGCGGACGCGCACTCCTGCAAGGAGCTGCACACGCGGTCCCACAAGTACGCCCTGCAGAACTTCCAGCAGGTGGTGGGCACCGAGGAGTTCCTGCTGCTGCCCTTCGAGGAGGTCCGCGAGCTGATCTCCAACAGCCAGCTGAACATCAGCTCCGAGGAGCGCGTCTTCGCCGCCGTCATCAATTGGGTGAAGCACGATCTGCCCGCCCGAAGACTCCACATTGCCGAGCTGATGTCGAATGTCCGCCTTCCGCTGGTCAGCCGGGATTTCCTCATGAGCTGCGTGGAAACGGAGACCCTGATGCGCGACGACTCCGAGTGCAAGGAGCTGCTGCTGGAGGCCATGAAGTACCACCTGCTGCCGGAGCAGCGCAGCATAATGGGCAGCCAGAGGACCCAGGAGCGTCGGCCGGAGGGCATGAAGCCCTACGTGTTTGCGGTGGGAGGAGGCAGCCTGTTCGCCATCCACAACGAGTGCGAGGTGTACAATCCGCGCTCCAACTCCTGGAGTCCAGTGGCTCCCATGTTGTGGCGACGATCGCGATCGGGAGTGACTGCCCTGCATAAGCAGCTATATGTTGTCGGTGGCTACGATGGAGTAAGTGATTTGGCCACGGCGGAGAGCTACAATCCGCTGACCAACAAGTGGAGCAACATCACCCCGATGGGCACGAAACGCAGCTGCCTGGGCATCTGCTCCTATGATGCGTTGATCTACGTTTGCGGTGGCTACGATGGCGCCTCCTGTTTGAGCAGCATGGAGCGATACGATCCCCTCACCGGAATCTGGAGCTCCTGTCCGGCGATGAGCACGCGGAGAAGGTACTGCCGGCTGGCCGTGCTGGAGAACTGCATCTACAGCCTGGGTGGCTTCGATTCCACCAACTACCAGTCGAGCGTGGAGCGGTTCGATCCGCGAGTGGGTCGCTGGCAACCGGTGCCCAGCATGACAGCACGCAGGAGCAGCTGTGGCGTGGCCTCCACCGATGGCCATCTGTACTGCATTGGCGGCAATGATGGCACCATGTGCATGTCCAGCGGAGAGCGGTTCAACCTGCGCAGGAACAGCTGGGAACCCATCGCAGCCATGCACTCCAGAAGGTAAGGAGTTTATTTACAAAGAATCTTATTATAGTTTATAATTGGTGGGTTTTACTTTCAGATCCACCCACGAAGTGGTTGAGGTGGAGGGCGCTCTGTTTGCCCTGGGAGGAAATGATGGCAGCTCCTCGCTGAACTCCGTGGAGCGTTATGATCCCCGGCTGAACAAGTGGAATGTGGTCAATGCAATGGTGGCTCGTCGCAGCTCCGTCGGCGCTGCTGTGCTGGAGTGCTTCCACCTTGAGCGCGGATTGGTCCAGACGACGAACTTATGACCCTTGGCCAGCATAACCGAGTCCTTCGCCGCAGCTGCAGCGAACGGCGCTACTAATGGCAGTAGCTCCATCAATGGAATTGTACCGGGAGGCCAGGTGCCTCCCTCAGCGGGAGCAGGAGGAACCCTCACCGTTCCCAGTCGAGCGGAGGCGGCTGCCTTCACGGCCAACATTGCGCTGAGCAGTTCGGCTCCCTCGGCGAGCTCCACACTGCGTCGCCATCGACGGGATACTCCGGGGTTGGCCGAGAGCCGGCGGGCCAACAGCAATGCCAGCAGCAGTGGCAGCGAGAGCGGCAGCAGCAGTGGATCCGGGGTAGGAGGAGGAGGGGGAAAGCCACCGGCGACGGCCTGATCCTGGTCCATGTCGCGTCGCTTCTAAGCCACCTTACAAATTAACACTTACATACAAAGCTAACCCCACGCGCCTAATGCAGGAATTTGATTGTTCGAGTTCGTTATGGATAGATATAGGAATATTTATACGACTGGGAGGAGGAGGAGGCCCCAAGGCGGTGGTTCGATTGCTCAACCAAGGATGACCATCGGAGTGGATGCAAGCCCATAATACACACACACACACTAACACACATATGTTTCTAGTCAAGATCTCTCTCTCACACACACACACACTGTTCATGGGAATGCCGCGGGGGGCGAGGACGGAACTCCTGGAGAAGCAACCTAATCTGCCTACAATTTACATACATAAACCTCTATACACTTAAATTATATACTGTATACACTCTTATGTACTATTCTTATGTATTTTATACACGCAATTAAAACGATAAGTATGTGTTTCGTAACCGGATGCGACGAAGTCGGCGTTTCTGTTTCTCTGTTCTGTTCTGTGCGCTTTGTACTAGGATCTTGACAGGAAGCCCCTGATAAGGAAAGGATCACACCATTCGCTGTGCCAGGCTGGTCGCCACATTGCCCACGTTCTTCTTATCCTTCTCCGCCTCCGTCGGCTGTGCGACCTTCGAGGCCATTTTCCGGGCGTCCAACCAGTTCTTGGGCAGACCGGTACCAACTGTAAAAGACGGGGGATTTGGGATTAGTGGAGGGATCGCTGCTCGGGGAGACAGCTTCGTTCTTTCACGAATCTATGCCCCGGCAGCATTGTGCTTGAAAATCAACATCAATTTACAGAGGATACAACGATCGTCAGACAGTTCTCAGTACGCATTTATTTTCAGTTTCCGTTTCACGTGACTCTCGATGATGGGACAAGGAAAGTTAAATGCTGGTGCGGCCATCTGCCCGCATCGGTCGCACTGCGTCACAAAGAGACGTGCCGTTGTGCTTCGATCCTTGGCACCCGGCGAACGGATGTGGGATGAAGCTGCCGCCGGGTGGCAAGGACCTCGCACTTGGCAGACAGTTCGTGAAAAAATGAAGCCGATGCGCCGCTTGGGAGTGGTTAAAACTAAACGGTACTTAGGCTCTAGCTCGAAGGAATTGAAATACGAATTAATTAACAACGAATGCGGATCGCCTCCTAGTCCAAGTCGTCGGCTACTGGTTTGCGCGATTGGGAGAAACGTTAACAGAACGAAATTTTATAGCAAAATGTAGGAAGAGAGATGGTTAACGGAGAACGCGTTAGAAGTTACTCAATTATAAAGGCTATGTCTAAGTTTTGGCCAATATGGTTGGAACCAAAAGTGCACAAGTGTTTTCAACTTAAAAGTAAACTCTTTTTGTTAATCAAAACGAGAGCTATTTACTTTTGTAAACCTTCTCGGTCATGTCATCGAAGCCAGAGTCCTGGATGTTCAGCATCAAGCTATCCGCCGACAGGTAGACCTTGTTCTGTGAGCTGGCGATCTGTGGGGAGACATTCATTTAGTTCTGGATTAGATTAGATGGCTAGACCACTAAATTCATACCGTGCGGGCAATGCTTTGGGCAGCACGCAGCTTGCGCAGTTTGAGGTAGGCAGGGTTCTGCTTCACGGCCAGACCTAAGTAAACATATCAGTTAAGGAGAACCATAAGGTGGCAAAAATATGGGTAAGGTGGATTTCCACATAATACATATATAAGGCCAACATTAGCTTGTAAACTTGGGAAACCAAAGTAGTTTCTCTAGCTTACAAGATACCAACAGCCTTTCAGTTATGTGTGTAATAGTTCAAAGTAAAAAGGTTTGTGTTTTGTAAAAGGATATCATTTTGGCAGCCTCAGCTTCTCCCTCAGCCTGGACAATCTTCTGCTGCTTCTCCTGCTTAGCACGCTCCACGAAGAAAACAGCCCGCTGGGCCTCCTGTTGGGCCACCTGTTTGGCCTCAATGGCGGCCGTGTATTCCTTGCCGAAGCTCAGCTCGGTGAGGGACACATCGTCCAGGATGATGTTGAAGTCGCGGGCACGCTCCACCAACTCCTTGCGGATCAACAGGGAAACCTAGTAATATATTAATTTAAGATTTAATACAAATTCAACATAGAGGTTTTAAAAATATCCACCTGCTGACGCTGGGTAATCAGCTGCGAGGCGTTGAACTTGGCAATCACACTCTTCAGCACCTCGTTACAGATGGAGGGCAGCACCTTCTCGTCGTAGTCCACGCCCAGTTGTTTGTGCAGGTAGGGAAGGTTCAAGGAATCGGGGCGAGACAGCACTCGAAGCGAGATGTTGATCATCTGCAGATCCTTGGAGCCAGTGGGCGAGGATATTTTGCGGGGACGCGAGCGAATGTCATAGATGATGGGGTACTGGAACCAGGGAATGCGCACGTGCAGACCCTCGGAGTAAATGTCGCTCTGGATTCCGCCGAGACGGCTGAAGATGATGGCACGGTGACCACCCTCAACTGTGAAATAAAATATCATTTTGGTTAGTTACAACTCTTGCAATATCAACAAAGCAAGATGATGGACACAATTAGGATTCCATCATTTTATATTAGTTCAATAAAAATAGAAATATTTTTTAATATTATTTCTAGTATCTGCTGTTTTGAACTTGGACCCCTTAAGTAAACATTTAGCAAACATAAATGGAGTTTGTTATGCAACAGTAGAGAGATGAAATCGGGGATTGGATAATAATATAAAGAACTGAAGCAACTGATAGGTTAATATTAACAAATTTTACAATGGAGACTTTTTGGATGCCAATAAGAATATAGTAAATCCAGTTGTTAGTTATGAAATCCGGGAAACAGTAAAAACACATACACCAACATGCAATCATTTGAGGTTATGTAAACATGCCGCTATGGTTTCATGTTTTGTGCTGTTTGCTGGTAAAGTCGACGGCTATATTAGATCGGCTATATCCTTACCGGTGTACAAGGACTGGCTGACACCATAGGCAGCAGCTCCCACCGCAGCCAGGACCTTCAGTCCAATTCCCAGTCCCGGTGGCCCACCTTTGCCCAGCTTGCCCGCAAGATCGTTCAATTTGCTTTGTGCCATCTTGTTTGTGTTCTGCAGAAAAGAATTTAAAAAATAATACAACAATCTTTAGATGCAGGGCACACTATTTAGAATTTATATTGATAAGAAAACTGATTCTTACTTGTATAAAATTGGGAAACTCGCACGTTCTGTCAGTGCGGCCAGGTGAAGAAAAGGTTTGTGTCAAAAATACTATTTACCAGTTTTCTCTAAATTAGCCAGAGCAACATTTTTCCACTTTCAAAAATGGTTGGTGCCTTGGATCGGTTGTGTTTAACAGCAATGGATCCTAATATTCATTTAAATGTTGATTTAAGGGGCGGCAAAAAAAAAGTAAATTCTCACCAAAGTATTAAAATGTATTTCTCCCAAACCAAGTGTGTTCTCTGGCTGTGGAAGAAGATATGTATCTTAACATTTCTGTTAGCTAAATAATCGATTACGTCTGACAACCCTGTTTCGGTAGATGTATTCGCTAACCCGGAATTTAAAATTGAAATGGTGGAATTGAAACATGGCGGTAAATTTAAAAAAAAATATTTTGGCCCATTTGAACGAGAGAATAGGTTTCTCATTGAGTTTTTAGACCTTGACAGTCCTTTATTCAAGAAACAGATTTATTAATGCTAAGTCTTCTTATTCAAACTGAGGTAATGTCCAAACAAACATTGAAATTCAGCTGTAAATGTTAATTCATAATAACTTACCATTAATGGCTTTGAACTGTACCCGAGGGCTAAAAATAGACCAACAAAAGCTTATGATGGAGTCGTCTGGGGTTTTTTTTTGTTGCTAACAGCACTTAAACTCACTTGTTGTGAGTTTTTTGTAAAATTGTGACAATTACAATTTCGAGCGCATAGCTCCAGTGTGCTGGAGCGTAAAGGAATTCGAATCGGCAGGAGAAATTATTTATGCCCCTTATCGAAACAGTGAGGGGCCTCGGGTTTCGATCGCGTTTTTGTTTTGGTTGACAATCTGATTTCAGGACTTACCCTCTGCGCAGTATTTATTGTGGTGTATTTATGGCTTTTTTACTGCTTAGCCCCCTTTGATACGGAAGTGGCCGATTATGTTCTATTGCTTTATGGCGCTTGTCGCAAATTGGCAACTGATGGATTTGTAATTAATTTCGGCAAGCATCGATTAGATAAGGGATGTGAAAGACTCTGTTTTGCGGCTTTCAATTGGCGCGGAAATTTCCTTGAATTAGCTGCGCTAAAAGCCGAAATTAGGATGGCCATCTGACGCACCTGCCACCTCTCTTTTGATCAAATCGCGTTAAGATGTTAACAAGTGTTCCCTAATGGCTGTTAAATTTCGCTCTGACGTCGACAAGTCACTTACGCGCCTAAGACAACGTAGCCCCAATTCAATCCGGCTAATTCCGAATTCCCAATGCACAAGTTATAAAAGTATATGTAAGAGTAATGATAGCCTTTGCGTATCCAGAAATCCCCCAGAAAATCTCCATATAAAGCTTCGCCACACAGTAAACAATACTTTACGGTCTGCATCCTATCAATTCTGGTCAAAATCTCAATAGGCCTTTTATTTGGTTTTACTTTTATCAAGCTTTCTTGATTGATCCACTTTCGTAGTTTCGATTGGGTACTTATTTCTAAGTTTATAGTACAAATTATGACTATCCTACGAAAATATGACTCAATAAACCAATGAAGCTTTTAGTCAGCTTCTAAATAAATAAAGTCTGTTTTCATTATAGGATTCATTCATGCATTCTGCAAGATATTTATATTTATATTACAATTAAAATAAATGGTAACTAGTCATGACAAATAAAAATTGTGGTTCATCAGCATTATAACGCATATAAAATTTAATACTATCATAAAAATTTTACCCAATTTTCAGCAAAGATCATAAAAACTGAAAAAAATGGGCCAAAAAATAAAAAATTAACTAATGATGCAGTTGGTTAGAGGATCGAAATATAAACATTTAAAGACCACTTCAAAATCGGATTATAAATAGAAAAGTTGTGAATTTAGGAGTAGGTAATATTGATCAATTTTTAGCAAACCCGTTTTTCAAGTCAATATTATAAAACACAACGGAGTGATAATTTTTTTCAATAATTTATTTTTAATTTAATTTTGCAAGCTTCTGCCTAAACATAACTTAATATCCTCTGCAGAGGTAAAATAAATGGTGAATAGTCATGAAAAATGTACATTTTTGTTCATCATGATTACAACGCATATAAAACATGACAACTTTAAAAGCAATTATTATAGTTGCCATTATCAGATAAATTTCTTTTGTTTGTTTTGAATTTTGAGGAGTAGTAAGTAGGAATATTATTATTTTTTCCCGTGCAGCAAATACCTGATGAGTTCGGTTGAAAGACCGCAGAAATTCACTATCGGAATACCCAAGTTCTGAGGGGGGATACCTAACATATCATATGTGGAAGTGGGTGGAAGTACCCAATCAATGCCATCTGAGCGCGTTAATCGCCGGCCAAAATCGGCTATTGGGCGGCAATTAACATGCGCAACGGGCCGCTGAAAAAGCCAAATGCGAGCACTCGACTATATGGCCAACATCGGTTGTACTTAGCCTGCGAGTAGTTATCGCCGGGGCCAACAAAGCTTGCCAATTTAGCGGGAGTTCGTTCGATTTCAATGGAACACTTGAACTTGAATTTCCATGCGACACTGCGGGGGGGTTAAAGCATACTACTACTGATATATATAGTATTGAGGAACTAAAATCGAATTAACGCCGACTTGTCTGTGGCCAAGTTCAAACAGAACAGCACGTTTTGCATATTAAGAACTTGAGAATCACTCATCACAGATATCTGTGGATCAGGGGGAAACTTATGCAATCCACAGCCGAATGTTAATATAGTACAGCTTGAATCTGAAATGCATTAACAACTGCTCGTTTTGCAGGGCTGTAAAAAATGTGTAACGGATTGTAATTGTTCGAACAACCAAACAACGATAAAATCCAGAGGAGGATGTGTAATTGCATTGACTGGCAATTATTTCGAACCAATTCTCCGCCCATTCTGCCACCTGACTAGCGAAAAGCGAAAAGCTGAAACAAAAACACACTCAGATACAGATACAGTACGCTTTTCACCAGTGGAGCATAGCGTGATCGCTTGTTTTTGAGGGGGAGGGAGATTCGGATTGGGATTGCTTGTTTGGGGGGATTGGAGATCGCAAAGTGCCGCATCATTCGCCAGCGGAAGAGATGCTCCGCGGCAGACCTTTCCAATTTACATAAACCAATAATTGATTTGCATCCGTCAACGAGTTATTTTAGTCACTGATTGATCTATTAACAGCTAGCTTTTCGGCTTTGTGGGGAACCTTTTGTGCCTAGCACGGGATCGACGAATCTAAAAGCACATTCGGCTATCGCAACTCTATTAATTCGGTACCGCCGATGGGGATTTCAATAATTTATAAGGCCGACTAAATTGGGGAGATAAAAAGCTTAGTAATGCATTAAAAACTTAGCTTACATCAGAGTTTTATGTTTGTTATGCATTTAAACAAAATTGTTAAGGGGATAAAGTTAATTATTAACTACTGGGTTTAAGCCGATGCGTTCCAGATTTTTCTGGAAAAAGAAAACTCCCTTTACAATTTTTAAGTACTAAAACTAAAATAGTTTAAATCATCTTTAGCTTTACTTCTGTTTGCTTTAATATTTTGTGCTTTAAATCATGTTATTTAATAATCTTGACAAAACCTATTGTGATTTCAAATAACAATGAAGCTCTAAATTATTTAGCTTGTAAAAACATTTCACACAATCGATTTTTTTCATTGGAGATACTTAATAAAAAATATACGATTGCATGCTTACTTTTAGAAAGTATAACTATTCTAATATCTCTATTTTGTAAACCCCAAATGCTTGCTTATATGAAATCCGTAAGTAGGGCATTGCGATTTGTCTACATCAACTCTAAAAAACTGCCAAAATCTTAGCTTCGTGACTTGACCATCAATGAATCCCGAGGTATTTTCGCTCTCATTGACTCGCAACTCGTTTGAGGAGACCGAAAGCCAAACAGAGGCCTCATGTCAGGTGTATTAGCAGACTGGTACCGAATCCAGATTTAATGTTGGAGAGGCTTTACGACCATTTAGCACAGCCATTCTGGAGCACGCGTTCGGCAAATTTGTTCGATGCTCGACTCGGTTGTTTAGCGTCTTTGGGTAATCAGTTTGTTTTCATTTCGAGTCGGGACATGAGACGGGCGTGTGTCCAAGTATCTCGCAGATACTCCGCCTCAGCTGTCGCGGAGCTATCTAAAGCACTTGCTTGCTCTGCTGACGCACCATTAGATCGAACTTTCATTCGCGGGGTCGTAAATATTTTTTGGCAATGCGCGCTTTAAGCCCGACATCCAAGGCAATGAGATATCTATGACGGCGTGGCACTGTGTACTTCAGTTGCAAGAAATTCCATTTATTGTCTAGTAAAAAACAAAACAATACAATCTCTGATCGCCAGAGAGAAAAAGAGAGAGAGATGCGAAACGAATTCCATTGGGGCAGCCAGGCATGAACTATGCATAACTAAGAATCGCAATCAACACTCGACTCTGCGATTACCGAGAACCTTTTTAATTGGGCTCCACTTTGGCACGGGTGAAAGTGAAAGTGCCCTAATGTCAACTCTAATTCACTCCACTCACTGTCGGGAATTCGAGAAAAACCCCTAGATAGTTAGATAGATAGATACATCGCTAAGCTTGAAGTTCCGTGGCATCCACGAGTACGGCAAGTGATCGCTTAACCAGTTTTTTTTTTACCTACGCCACTCTCCGAACTTTTGGTGTTTTCGTCATTTCGATTCGGCTCGGGGTTTCCCTCGACGGCCCATAATTCAATCTCTGTTTACCAAAAATCAAAAAAACGAAACAAAAAATCAAAGTTTCATTCAGTTTAGCGGGGGAAGTCAAGACCCCACGGGCTGTAAATTTTCCACTAACCCATTTCGGTGCGTTCGGGGTGCATGCCACTCGCCACTCGCCGGTCGCCACTCGCATCGCCCTCGGGATTGATTTGATACCAAAGAATATATCATTATGTCAAGATCATCAGAAGAGCCTCCTTTGATTGGGTGCGAGGTCCCACCACTTGAGCGGCACTATGTAGCGTAGTAGAGCACTGTTGCCCTGACAAGTCCGGTAATCTAAAGATGAGTCCGATAAGATTCGATTTCACGGATATTTCTGTGGGTGGAGTCCGCCCACCCCACGGCCTGTCCACGAATCGGGCAAGTGGCCTGGGGAATTTCTCCCTCAGCCGGAATCGTTTTCGATTTTATTTTTTTGGAGTACCCGCCGGCTAGCTTCGTCGGCTGGCATAGCCAACCTGCTCCAACCGCCGGTGACGTATATATTTTTTTTTGGAGCCCCAAGCGTCGGCGTGCGAGCGCAAAAGCGTGTTTGAGTGCCGATCGATCGGGGAGCGTATAAACGTATAAAAGTGGAGTCCCGCGCCGACTCAGCGTTCAGTCGGTGTGAAAACGCAGCGGCGGCGAGAGCGTTACTTGAACTACTTCCAGCTTCAAATCAAATCAAATCAAAACCGAAATCAATTACAACAGTTGTGAATATGGTGACATTTTCCACGACAATTAACACGCCGCATTAAGAACGGCCCAGCCGTAAAAGTGATAGAACAATTTACAATCTGCAATCCACAAACACTGCCAATTCTCTGTACCCGAAAAAACAGAGAGTTTGTTTAGTAAATAACTCATTTAGTTAGTCGAAAAAGCATTAAAAACCCATCATGAAGCTAATGTGCTGCGGCGGAAGCAATGGAACCATGAGCGTGGACGCGAAGGGATCCACAAAGGAGGATGAGGCCGTGGGCAAACGTAAGTGGAGCGGTTAGATAACCCCAATAAGTCGGGCCTTAAGTAACTATTGTCACTTGCTATAGGGGCTCATAAATTTACAATGGAATGTATTACAAAATAGATTAGAAAAAACAATTTGTTGAGTGGGTTACGACGGAGCTATTGGAAATTGGTCATTTCTATAAAGCCAATGTTTTATAATTTTCTAAAAGCAATAAGTCAAATTTTTTAATTAATTTCGAAAGTCGTAAAGTTTCTCATTAACAACAAAAGTTATTAAATTACGGGTTACACAAATCTTAACACAAGCCACAAATCACAACACAAGTGTTCGTAAATTCTGCTTTTATTGCCACTGTTCTACAATAAAATTTATTAATCAGATAATAAGCAATTAATTTTTTTTATCACATGGAACGAGAAAGTAATAATACACTTGGTGTCAGTGAAATACTTCCTAAATCGATGGGCAGAAATCGAATTGATTTCTCGAACATAATATACAACGTTATCCCGAATTTTTCCAAACCTGAAGTGGGCTTTGATTACGCTAAACAATTAATGTTCAAGTGCGGCCAGGCCGCTAATTTCAGTAAATGCGATTTAATCTTAAGTGGCAGTGACGGTTACTTTTTGTTTTGTTAATCTGTTTTTGTTATTTTCGACTGCAACAAGTGTTTTCTTGGTGCCATGGAGCTTAGTCATTTCGTTCAGTTAAAGCTAATTATTGGCCGAATATTATGACTGGCCATTAAAAATTAATTAGATTATATGCACCTGTTTCTGTATCGATTGGGGATTGGAGAAAGGAGGCATGTCTTTAGAACGGATAAATCCGACAGAGAGACAGGAAGCGAGCCCACAAATATAAATCATCAAAGTTCGTATGCAAATCGCGACCCAGGGCAAAAGTAAACACCGCCAGCCGATTCATTAAATTTCTCTGTTTTTGTTTGGGTGGCAGTCACCCGGTCGTATGTGGAATACGAAATAGAAAGAAAAAAACAAACACTGATCTAAACAATAACAACAGATCACAAAGAATGCTCAAATACTCGACAGTCTGTCTGAGGCGAATCCAGTTTAGTACCGGCGGCTAATGAGCAACTATTGCAAATAAATACTGCGACTAAACAACAGCAAACATCGGCTACGGATTCAGATTGAGATTGAGATTGAGAGATACGATTCTTTGAACAATTAGAGTCGGCCGCGTATATGGCGAAAACATAAATCTCGAATATTTCCTATTATGTTCCTGCTTTGACTAAACGGAGCAACAACCACTCGGCTTTCGAGGGGGAAGTGGCTTTGGATATCTGGGGACCAGCCTTTAGGGATGATAACGCACCTCGCTAATTACACATGCAAACATGAGCGAGGGGCTCATTAAAATATCACTGATAAATCGCGGATCAAATCTTTATTTAGAGCTGCGTGCAATTATATCGGGCGCCAAGTGGCCTGCATGCAAATTCATTAGCACTTGGCAGAATGCGGGGCGCTCTTCCGTCAGAGCATAAATTACGCAAGTGCGCTCGAAATAAACAATCAAGTTTGGATTACTTGTAATTGTATATTTAAATAATTTCACTAAATATTCAAATTGGCAAGGCAGGCGCCACGGCGCCCGATAAATAACGCAAAAACGAAACGCATAGAAATCGAGACGAGGCTGACACCGCCAAGTCGGGTCACAAATCACAGGTAGAACGGAAGGTTACGGGGCTGATAGGCCACGAGCTACACTTGAAAAAATATCACGTGCTTGTGATTAAAATTTTCTTAGAAGGAGGTGTGTACTTCAAGTGCTCACTTCAAAACTCAAATAGAAGATAAATTTCCAATTTACTTTTAATTTTTATTGGTTGTATATAAAGTATTTATTTCCTTTATAGATCAATTGATTTTATAAAACTGTTTAATGTTTGTGTGAATATCTGTTTAATTATGTGTAAAAAAATGTTATCAATATTCAATTACCAAAAAGATTTCTGGGAAACCGAAAAACAATTGATTTGATCTGACATTGATCTCAGCTTTTTTCGCTGTGTTGTGGGTGGGTATATCGCTTAGCGAAACCCGCTCTGCCAGTTTTTTTTTGTTTGGTTTTGTGATTTTGTGATACCGCTCGAAAACTCGGCCAAAGAGCTGGCTTATCAGACGTCCGTGCATTCGTCCATCCGCACGTCAATCCGGCGGCACAAGGTGGCCAAGTGACTGGGCCTTGTCTAGGAACATGTTGTGACATCTGTGTCGGATACATCAGCACTTGACGGCCAGCCCCGAACACCACCCACCACCCACCGCCCAATGGAAACCACCCATCGACTAAACCAGCTATCAAACCCCTATCATCCCCTATCAAACAAAATGTCGTCGAGTGGCGCTCGCTATCTGCCTGGCCAATGTGAAACTGAAGTGCCTGGACATTTGAAAGTCGTTGGACTTAACTTCTTCCCGGGAAACTCCGCCTGCCAATTCGGTCATATCCTTATCAATGATAATGATATGATAACCACCATAATACCTCACAATACCCCCTGATGAATTTACGCCAGAAGCGTGTCTAAAAGTCAAACTGAATGAACGTCCATAAATGTGGGAAATAGAACTGAATTGAAATTCATAATTCCATTAGTTGCCAGTTGATAATTACATCTATAATTGCGTGACTTGTGGTTAGCGAAAGCTTTGTAGTTAAAACTTGGTTCCTTTTAGTGAGTATCCACTGTAGTAAACAATAACATTGCAGCTTTAACTGGTTAGCTTTGAGAGCTTGAGCTTTTTTGGTTGAATGAAAAGCCCTGGCATTATTCTACGATCCAACTTTTCAACTGCTTTCAAGTTCAAAGCTAACGGAAAGCGATTTCAAAAACGAAGGTTGGCAATAAATCGCTGGTAATTTTGGATCAGCGATAGGGGTTTTAGCACGCCTTGGCCAAGTGATCAGTAATGCATAATGCCGTAATTGGTTACATCAAAAGTGGAAGATAAGCTCACACCCAAAGGGGTTCAAAATAGAAGGGGTTTTGCTAAGGGGGTGCAAATATGGAGCAACTGCCACGCGCTTTTACACAGCCAACAACCCAACAAATCACAGCGACAGCTAACGTCACAGGTCCAGATTCAGAATCAGATACAGATACGAACACAGATACAGATACTCGTACTGGAATGCCCCGAGCTATAGCTCTACGTACAGATACGTATAGCCATAGATTACCAGGCGATGCTGGTTGTGCGGTTAGGTGATCTGACTATTTGCATAAAGCACCTGCGGATGCTCCGCCAAGAAGCCATCAGTTAGTGAACAGGCTCCAAGCCGAACGGTAGTGCCTCCTTGCCAACTTGCAAACAGCTTGATTAAGAGCTAATTAAATTAGTTATTGCTGCAATGGTTACCACTGTGAAGAATCGTCGGTTCGAGGATGAAGGTACGTCCTGTCTTCAGGTGTTTTAATACATTTTTTGGCAAAATAATGAAAATTAAAGGGTGAATAAAAAGGAGTTTTATGAAAAAAATAGTATTTTGCGACTCTAAGTAGGTTTTTGTGATGGGTCAGCTAAAAAAATTGTACTATAAGTGTTAAAAATTTTAAACTAAATTAATTAATAATAAAAATGAAAACCCTTAAAAAAAAGTTAAAACAAGTAAACAAATATTTCTTAATCTTATCCGTTATAATTTTATTTCTAGTACAAATATTTTTTAACCTACTTCAGTATTTCAAGGGTTATTTATAAATAGTTTTGTCTTCTTGTCAAAATTAATTAGAGTCAAACGAAAATATTTAAGCGACCGCAAGATATTCCCAAGCCACAACATTTTCCCAAGGTCTTTCGGATCTGTCAGATGTACAAAAATAGCTCTAATAACAGTCAAGAAATTGCGTAGAGGCACTTATCAGCGATGATAACAGAATATCCATAAAAGACGAGCCCCCGTTTTCAGCTAGAGCACATAAAACCGGAAAAAGGGGCTGGATTCAGGACTTTACGAGTGCAGTAAAGCTCTTGGTGCAAAGCCGTTGTAACTGGTATTTTACGGCCCACTCACAGTTAATTAATCTCTGCCAGCGAACTTGAGATTAAGCGGACACAGATAATTAGCCCACTACATGGATATACAGTTTCATATCTGAATAGTTTGGGGGTGAAAGGGGTTAAGTGTGGAGGAGGATGGAAGGTTATATGGATGTGCGTGTCCGTCACTTTGGCGCCATACGTATGAATGGAATTTTTTTTAGCAATCCAGAAAACCAGAAACAGAAGCTGCCCCCCAAATGCAAATAGAAAGGCAAATAATTATGTCTCCACCGCTTGTCTGGCAGATAAGGGATGATAAATTCGGGCGTAAATTAAGGCCATAATCGGAAGAAATAAGCACCGAGAATAAGTAGTATACTGTCAGTCGTAAATCTATTTTACCAGGGGGGCGCGCTTTTGGTTCTTGCGCCTTTCAAGAAACGCAAAAGGCAATTCCGAATCTTGGCCACAAGCGACCTACAGGTGACCTACAGACACTGCCAACCCCACATTATATATAGCCATATATATGTAGCTCTGATAGTGCAGCTGATAGTTGATAAGCGTGGCTAATCGATGGCTGACTGCCCATTGATTGGGCTGAAGATCAATACTGGAGCCAGATTACCCAACTGAACCTAATCGATTGCGTTCTGATTTCTGATTTCAGATTCTGGACTGGGAATGCGTCACTTTCAGGTCTTCCTGCTCTTCTTTGCCCTCACAGTGGCCTATGGCCTACGGGTGAACCTCTCCGTGGCCGTGGTGGCCATGACCGATGCGGAATCTGTCAATCCCGATTTTCCTGTAAGTATATTAAGTAAGAGACCTTAAAGTTATTAAATCAAAAAAGTTAAAAGTATTGAAAACATATTCATATATAAATTTATTTTATATATATTATTATATATAAATTATATTTATACATCTTATCATTAAAACCTCAGTATTTAATTAAAAAAGTAAATAACAATAATAAAAAATGTAAAAATAGAATTTATGTATAATTTATTTATACTCAGCTTTTAAATATTTAATTTAATTGCACAGCAGCAAACTTCTAAGAATTTCAATGATTTTAAAATAAATGTTAAAGTCTCCTTTATAAAAAGTTTAACTTCAGTAATGTTTTGAATAAAAGGCATTTAATTAATAAAGGGATCCTTATTAATTTTCCTTGATTTTCCAGGATTACGATTGGTCGGAGAAGACGAAATCCCTGCTGCTGAGCAGCTTCTTCTGGGGCTATGTGATCACCCAGGTGCCCGCTGGTCAGTTGGCCCGCAAATACGGCGGCAAGGTGATGATCCTTTCCGGACTCTCCATCTGCTCGGTGCTGAATGTCCTGACGCCTATTTGCGCCAGGATTGGCGGATGGCAGCTTGTCTGCGCCCTGCGAGTGGTGGAAGGACTGTGCCAGGGAGTCGTCTTCCCCTCCACGCACACGATCCTCTCCCAGTGGGCGCCACCCAAGGAGAGACCCACGCTGGGAACCTGTGCCTACTCCGGAAACCAGTTTGGAACGATCCTCATGTTGGCCACCAGTGGAGTGATAGCATCCTCAATCGGTTGGCCCAGCATCTTCTACATCTCCGGAGGAATTGGTTGCGTTTGGTCGGTGGTTTACTTCTTCTTTGGCGCAGGATCTCCATCGGAGTGCAAGAGCCTCTCGGTGGAGGAGAAGAAGCTGATCGAGATGTCGCAGGCCGAGGAGAAGACCAGTGAACAGGATCAGCCCGCTGAGCACTTGCCGACGCCCTGGTTGAGCTTCTTCACCTCGCCCGCCTTCCTCGTTTTGATTGTGTCTCATTCTGTGCACAACTGGGGATTCTGGACCCTGCTCACCGAGATCCCCAGCTACATGAAGAACATCCTCGGCAAGGACATCAAGTCGAATGCCCTGCTATCCTCGTTGCCATACGTCTGCATGTTCGTCATGTCCTTCGTGTTCTCAACACTCTCCTCGCAGCTGAACAGCCGCAACTGCATCTCCAAGGTGACCAGCAGGAAGCTCTTCAACTCGATTGGTCTCTGGATCCCTATGATTACCCTGATTTGCCTCGGCTACGTGAATACCGATCAGTCGGAACTGGCGGTGGTGCTGCTCTGCTTTACCGTGGGAATGAACGGAGCCACCTATCTCGGCTTCAACATGAACCACATTGATCTGTCACCCAACTTCGCCGGCATTCTCATGGGCATCACCAACGGAGTGGCCAACATCATGAGCATCATCGCCCCGCTGATCGTCGGAGTCATTGTCACAAATGAGGTGAGTTTGAAAAGCTATAATAAAAGATCGAGGATATTGAGATCATTAAACAATTTTCTAAAAAGAATCAAGTTGAACTTTAAACATTTAACTATCAAACTTTCAGTTCAAATATTTCTCAATTCAATTCAATTTATTATCCTTTCACCATCCCCTTACTAAATCCTTTTTCATTATTTATTTTTCAGCACGATCCCGAACAGTGGCGCATTGTGTTCTTCATCGCCGCCGGATTCTACCTGGTGGGCAACGGTCTGTACGTGATCTTCGGCAAGGCGAATGTCCAGCCCTGGAACGATCCTCCGGCGAAGCCCCGCCGCAACTCCACGCCCCAGATTGAATCGCAACACTAGTGATATGGGTTCAGAAGCCGCTAGTCAGCTAGTTCCGTTCTCCACCAAATCGAAAACCATCAATCCTAACTAAAGCCGGGCGCAATGCATTTTCGCATTGGCCGTGTATATTTGTATATTGTATTTGTTAACTGTGACTACTTTGTATTTGCTTTCCGCTTCGTCTTAAGTTTTTAGTTAGTACAGAATAAGTGATAAGATCAAAAACCATGCGAAAAAAATAAAAAATATGCATGTACAACATGTGCAAAATCAACCACAAAATTGTTTGATTCTCACCTGTGGTTGCGCTTTAATGTGGCTTGGATTTTTATTTGAGGGGACTGCTGTTTTTGATTGACAGCTAAAAAAAAATTGTTTCCTAGCAATAAAGTTTAGATTAGTCTTGTCAATTCACAGTAATTACACGTATAAAGGAGATTTATTAATTTAACTTTTCTTGTACAAAACAAAATGGTATAATAATATTGTGTCTGTAGTTATTATGAAATAATATTGAGAGTTCAGTGACCTTAAGTGAACAAAGAGCACTATAGACTGTTAATTATTAACGTGCATTTAAAATAATAATACAGTTAATTAAAGATTTAATGAATGGCTTACGTTACGATCAATGAAACTTTGTTTTTCCAGAATGCCCAAAAAAGTATGCTTTAAAAAATTTAAATAAGTCATGTAGAAATACGTTGTGTGTAAAATACAAGCACGTGTATTGCACATGTAGAATAAATTACTTTATGACTGTGAGAGAAATCAGATTGTCGTCGTAGGAACTAACGTAGATTTAAATCGAGACTACTTTACGTTAGCACCCGACACCAGATAAAGTTGGATCCCCGAAATAAGACCAGCTGGCAAATCAATTCTGCAATCATTTAATCCCCGTTTCGAGCGTATCTCTCACATGTTTAAAAGAGTGCCGTGCACATTTTATAGCTTCGAACTCGGCGGGCAAATGGAAAGTGAGGGATAAGGTTTTTGTTGGAGCGGGGGAATCGGGGGCTGGGGAGCTAGCAGTGGCGGGACGAACTTGTTGATAAGCGGAATTTGAATAAATGTATTTTTTTTTTCCATTTCCAAGCACGCGATATGAACAAAGGCAGTGTTATGTATTCGATCACGTATATAAACACATATGTAGATATTTTTAGTTGTGTGACGAGAATGCGAGAGGTTTTGAGTCAACCCAATTTAAATTCGATCCCCAGTAAAACTAGCATTCCGAATCGGATCTTTACCTGGGTAAGTTCCGAGTTCTGGGTGTTTCAGCATTTTTTGTTCTACGAGCACATTCTATGGAATCTTGAGCTCTTGAGTAACTCGGTGATAAGGGAATCCATTAAATGCCCATTTAAAGGGAGTTATTTTTATGAAATCTGAAGAGATCTTATCAAGTCACAATTAAGCCGTAAAAACCGTAGCCACTTGTCCTATCGGCCAAGTAATTTCCTACACAAAGAAAAAGTAGAAGTATGTATTTAGGTAAATAAAACCATTCAAGTAATGACCATTAGTTTTTTTTTAAATATTGATTAAATACAAAGCTTCAGAAGTTATATATATTTTTGATTCTAGCTCTTTGTATTCGTATTGATTGTTGTTATAACGGATGTCACTTCAGTTTGTAGATTATAGTTCTCGAATCTGTTATCAAAAAATTGTATAATTGGACTTTAGTACTTTAAAAACCAAATAAATAACCAAAACCCAAGTAATACACATAAAAACCGGTGTAACGGCAAAAAGATACTGAAATATTAACCATAAAAAAGGGATACAAATTTTAATATCCTTAATTCAGAACTATGTAAAGATTATGCAAATATATTCTTGAGGTATACCAGATGATTTATCTTGGTAATTTCCGAAGTGTACGCCTTAGTAAAGGTTTTGCCTTGGTCTTTGGCCATCATCGTAAACTGGTTGGTTGGGGGTACGGGGCCCAAAATAAAGTGTGCAAATCTCGGCCGGAATGGAGGGAGGGAATGAGAAATGCGTGATAGTCGGCCGACTCGGTGTGAATCGGCAGTTTCTCGACTGACTCTCTTCAGTGGTGAAATCATGGGCAGCACACCCATGGGGCCCCAACTTCCACATAAAACACACCTCCCGCCCCCCAAGCAACTGCAAAAATGGCAAACTCATTTTGTGACTCGTTTTCGACATAAAGACGTAAAGAGCGAAAAAATAAGCGGGAGAGAGAGGGAGAGCAGCACATGGTTATCACGTGAACGAGGCGCCGAGCAGTGGAATCGGGTGCCTTCGTCGTGTGCGGGAAACGTGATCAAAGATCGGCCGAGAGAGAGCCGCAATTCTCTATTCTCTTCGCGATTTTCGATTTGTGTGTGTGTGTGTGTGTGCCTCGGATTGGGGCCTGCAAAATGGCAAAAACAATTAGCACAGTGCGGCGCCCCATTCTCTCTTTCTCTCTCTCTCCTCGATCGCATTCTTTGTCACCCCCTCCCTTTCCCTCCCCCTCTCTCCACCCATCGTTCTGTCTCTGTCTTTAAGGTTATCGCTTAATCATTTTTGCACTGTTAACGCAAATACTCAATGCTGTTTGTTGTTTTTTGCCACAAATTATATTCGTATTTATACCCGTATTTATATTCAAGCGAGTGTTCAGATGCCTCTGCTTTGGCGATAATGAATTGTCAATTTCCATTTCACAACCAACGCGATGTTCGTTTTAGCTGCTTTTTCGGTTCTAACATTTTTGCCAAGTCACTTTGGGCCTGATCTTTGCCTCTGGATTTCAGGCCCTATGTCGCGATTATCTAAATCGCTTTTAGGCCCCGTGATGTCACGCGAATGATAAATCACAGCTACTGGCGGTTCGCCCGCAAATGATAAGGCTTACACAATAGAATGTGAAATACCGCCTTCTTTATGACTCCCCAGAAATCTTCCGAGAGATAAGATCGTAAGATCTTAGAGCATCTGCAGTCGCACTGCGTCCACGGGAGATTTGTCGAGTGACTCAAGGCAATCGGCTTTTTTTCATCCACCTCCACCGGAAATAACCGCTCCGAAATGATCTATTTATAAAAGATGTGCTCTTAGTCTCTTCCCGACTGCAATTAAATTGAATACAATTTTTGAATAAATTTTTCCGCAAATAGGCGTCTTTGAGTGTTTGCCAAGTAGCTGACCTACAGATATTATTCTCGCCTCGGCGACAGGGTGTTAATAAAATGCCACGCCCCCCCACCTGCCACACCCACCGGTCTGATTAAGATCCAATTCCAATACATCCGATAAAAAAAAACTTTTCCAGCGGCAATGGCCCACGCTAATTGAAACCGGCGGGTGGCAGTGGACAATGGACAATTGCCGCTGATTGGATACAATTCAATTACGACGCCCAGTCAAATATGCCCTAGGAATTCACACAATCCCACCACCAATTTGATCCCCCGCTGTAATGACACATTTGCCCAAACATTTAGATGCCACCCAAATATAAATTTCAATATTGTGATCGATTATTTTGACTTGTTTGCCTGCAAAACCATCTAAAATGGGATGGATGTCGAGCGATCGACGCTGGAATACTCTTTTCCATTTATTGGACTTTATTGGCGTGAAAACGACCACTGATATTGATCAAAATTAATTACCGCTATCTTTGGGAACGGAAAAGTTTCTGCTATTTCGAGATGTTAGGTAACCTTGATTGTTTTTCATGAGAGCTTCACGATCTTTTTGCCAAGTCAGTATCAAGTTGATAAAAAGTTGGTGGTTTTCTGGATTCTTTCTGGTTCGTCTTAAAGTTTTATATAATATGGGAATTATTGACAAAAAAAATTAAATTTCATAGGTGTATATATATCTTAATCGTGTCTGATTGAAATTAAATCTTTTGAGGTACGTTCTTAACTTCCTAATAGGACTCAAATTATTAAACAGATTACGATAATAACTCTACTGCATTTCCAACAGAGAAATTTTCTAGTAATTAGCTTACGGCATTATAAATGATTTGCAAGGTCTTAAAATGGTTATTAAGGGATTTTCCCTTGTTTTCCGTTGGCAGACAAGTAAAATATTTTATATAATGAATAATTTTTAATCAGCTAAAGACAAATGGCACCCCTTAACCTGATATACCCTCCTAGAAGAGTGCCAACAAAGACTAATTTCCATAGTCCAACATTTGTGGAGGGCATTAAAATGCTGTCGGCGCCAACGCCTCAAACAATGTCCATATGCGCGGGGACATCGTGATTAGCAGTGGAAAAAAACTCCCGAGCGGTGCTGGAAAGGAGCCAGAACCATCGATGTTGGTACACAACACCAGCAGCTCACAATTAGCCTGTTTAGAGGGTTTTTGTTTGGTTACACCTGGCGTATACGTAATGCAGCGTAAATAATTTTTCCGCTGATCAATCGATATTTGAACAATTCGTGTAAGAAAATAAGCTGCATATTAATTAGTCTAAAACAGGTCTCGCATGTAAGGGTGCGCCATATGTTGGAGCCCATTAGATCCCCCCGATCTAAAATCCAGTGATCCTAAGCCCCCGCATCCCTATTTCTATCCCCACAATAACTGACGTCAAGCGGACTGACTGTTTGCCATTCATCAGGCGATAAGCTTGTGGTGCTGTAACAATCACATCCATCAGTGCCTGCCTTTTGAAGTGGGCGTGTCATCCGATTAGATTGCCATCGCTGGAAATTCACGAAATGTTCTAAATTTAACACACCATAAATCCGAATTCCGCTCAAATCATTTACTAAAACTGTCCAATTAGAGCCGATGGTTAATTCTTTAGCCGAAGATCCGGGGCCGATAACCAGGTTATGGATTGGCCACCGGGGGCCCGGCTAATCAAATGCCCTCCCGAATCGGAAACCGATAAGGTACATTTGTCTCGAGATTCCCGAGTACGGCATCCATTAAATGAACGTGCCTTGAAACGTGTCTGCCATGTGCCAAAATTGATTTGCCATCGGCGAAATGCACGGAAAAAAAAATAAACATTTATATATATGATATATCAGCAAAAGTCAGCCACTGAGATTATTTATAGTGTTCGTTTGTGAAATGAAATAGATCATTAAAGCAAAAATTGTTGTTTGGGCTTAACAAGGTTGGGGAAATTAAAATATAATATAATATACTATATATGAAATTGGCGATGTAATAAAATGGACTTGAAAACTACACTACAAAATTATTCAAATTAAATACAAAAAAAAGACAATATGCATCATCTTGTTCTTATTAAATTTAATACAATATTCTCGGAAAATCATTTGGTACTGTTAATTAGTGAATAGTTCAAAAAAGTGGGCGCACCTTAGTTAAGATTTATATTTAGTAAAACTGCTTTTATTACGATTGGCACTATAAATAAAATTTTCGGATTTATGCTAATTAAATGTGTTAAATATAATGTGGATACCAGAAACTAAATAATAAACTGGTGATTATACATTTTTGTTCTCTGTAAAAACGGGAACGGGAGTGGAGCCTTATCAGCCAGCGGCTGTCGTCATTGGCCCCTGACTCCTGCGCCTTCCCCTCCCCCTGGGGCCATCGTCCCTTCGGGAGCTTATTGGAATCAGAATGAATTTGCAGAGCTCTTCCTGGGGGAACAATGGGGAAGAGGTGGCTTGGGAGGCACTCGACCATTTACTTAGTCGAAAATCAAAGTCTGAAGTGTCGTTCGCTGATAAGAATAAATAATTTGTTTAAAACATTTCATTTTCAGCAATTATATTTTGATAAGCGAAATGTGTGTGAGGGGGGAAAAACAACAATAACAACAAAGAGGGAAACCAAATAAACAAGTGAAGTAATTAAAGTAGGAGAAGTGCGAAGGGGAAAACCGTGTCATGATGAAGTGAAAATTGCATTGATCATAGGTTCTGTGACTTATGCAAGAGCGTGAATCAAGGGTGTCCATCGATCAAGCCGAGCGTTGTTTATGGATCGCCTCGACGAGGCTGTGGGTTATGTCATTAGCCATTAGCCAGCCGATCGCAGAGAGTTCTCGGAAGATGCGGTACAACCAAGAGGATGGCTTATCAGGGCAACACAATGACCTCGTCTGAGGTTTTCGAATGCCTCGTTATCTGGCTTTAGCTGTTTACCTAGGAGTCCGCAGGATTCCGTTCATTCATTCAATTTGTATCTGGAAGATACCAGATTGCCCGAAAAGAGAAACAGGGAAAGAGAGAGGGAGAGAGAGAAAGAGAGAGCACTCTGTGACTAATGTTACAGCCTGATGCAGCGGCAATACCCAGAAATCGGAGGTCCCGCGAGGCAAGGAGCGGAGTGAGCGGTAACCACTTGGCCCGAACTGATAACCATGTGCTGGTCGTGGTGTTGTTTACTTACTCCCGTTCGCCGGTTCGACCAAGAAGAGAGGAGCACTACTACTACTATATACATATATACACACATAGAGAGATCGTATCTGTGAGTGCCAGCGTGTTCGGTTTGACTGATAGCGGAATTCACGCGATACACACGCTCGCCGCTCGCTCCGGCAAAAGCGAGAATGCGTGAGTGTGTTGGTGAGAGCGGTCGGTCGAGCAGCGGGCCGAGTTCGATCATATTTATAAAAGAATCGACCGCCGTCAGTTACTCAAGCAGTCGCAGTCGTCCGCCAGAACGTTCAAAACCCGCTCGTCGCCTCTGAAAAGCCAATTCTTTCGATTTGGAAAAATCCTACGCCCAGAATCTCTGGATTCCAGATTCCAAAACGGAAAGGGGAAAAATCGTGGAAACACACACGCGTAACACACACATGTGCTGCAACTTCATGACGACGGAACCGGAACACGTTGCGTGAACAAGAAAATTCCAGTGACCGAAAAAACGCGAGCGTTAAAACGTTTCGAAAATCAAATCAAAAAAAAAAACTTAATCAAATTCAACCCGCGCCGCACACATGACCACCACATTAACCATGGTGAAAACGGGTGGTAAATACGCCAACGGTAAGTGCACACACCCCCCACTGGAGATCCACTGAGCCACCAGACCACTCTATCCAAATCCATTCGGTTTAACCGATCTCTCCGATCTGCGAGTTGTTAAACTCGGACAACTGCCCAAAGCACGTGTCTTATGTAAGCGTCGCGATCGTTCGACTTGATCCGAGCTTGTGTTGCCGGAAACCGCTTAATTGGTTCTCCAACAGCAGCACTCCCATATTTCTATCTCGATCTCGATCTCGGATCCGAGTCGCCAGTTCCCAGCTCCATTTGTAGACACACATTTTTGTGTTTCACTTTTATTTCCACCTAGCCGTTCAGCTGGAAGCGCTGCTTCAGCGGTTCAGAAATATCAGAAATAATAATGCACTCGAACAGGCCATATAGACGATATAGACAGACGACCTCCACTGCACACTGCATCCATCCGCTGCATCTACTGCATCCTCCGAGATACAATTTAATTTTTCCTCAATTTATTTACGTGCGTTGTTTTTGGTTTTGGCCTGTGATTTTTGGTTACGCTGACAAACAAAATAAAATCACATTTTAGCACTTTCGAGTGATAAAAATAAATAAAAACCAAGACAAACGAGCGGAGAGAATGAGGGGCCAGTGTTTCTGCGCCAATGAAATGAAAAACTTTAAATAGATCCCGCCATCGTCCCGGGATTGTGAGGGTGAAGGGGGGTGCGAGAGGGGTGAGAGGGGCTAAGAGGGGGGATGGCAGCCAGTTTAGTCAGCTGATAAGCCGTAAACCCAAAGACGAATCCACAGTTGTAAAAACAGTCCGCCATTTGTTCACTTACACGTTCCGCTCGCATGTGTGTGCTTCCTCCTCCTCGAAAACGAACGGTAAACATGCAGACCGAGTGGGTGGTGAATGGTATAACGGTGTAAGTGATTATCTTATCACCTTTCGGGGACCTCTGTCCGCGCCTGGAAAGCGCTCTAGTCGGCGTTCCGTTCCACATTTATCGGGGCCCCGAGTCGAGCTATCGGTTATCAATGCGGCACACTTGACTCAGTTTGTGCGCCGTGTGTCCTTCGCTTGTCCCACTAACGGACAAACTGGTGACTGTACCCCAATGCGAATGGTAATCAATCAAAATATACGCGAATACTCTATAAATGGTGGCCAATAAACACTCCAAGCTGGAGCCCTCAGCCTTTATGGCGTTCCATAAATGCTGATTGATTCGGCTGGTCGTGTATTCCGCAGAAAATTGGTTTGCAATCGTTATTTTCGACTGGGGGGTTTTAGGTGTTACCCTCTGGCACTCTTCTCCAACTCGAGACAAAAAGTTCTATATCTTGGCCATAAATTTGCTCGGTGTTACGCCTAAGGGGAAGACATTGCGCAAATAAATTTAAAAACGTGTCAGATAAAGCGTTCTCACACGACCACGAGTCATCATCGCATTCAACACAATAAACCCACACGAAAGAGACGGCGCGATCGCGGGGGAAAGAGACTGCTCAACAGACAGAAAGAGAAGGAAAGAGTGGGGCAGAGAGAGAGAGGGGGAGATAGGGGGAGCGCCACTCAAGAGGAGGAAATGGAAGTGGAAGTGGGAGAGAGCTCAAAGTTCGAACGTCAGTTTCGGTTTCGGTCAGCAATTCAAATGTGAAATTATTGGAAACACAGTAAAACTTGTATAGCTGAAATCACCAACTATGACCATAAATAAAAAAAATTACGCTGCTATTTTGTATGGTAGTTAAAGTACTTCCTATCAGCAAGTATTACTAGTGCCCTATTTTGGTTTTTCTTATCAAAAAAAAATTTTTTTTTGGTTTTTTGAATATTTTTATTGTGTCTCATTAACAAATAAACACTTCCACTAACACTTTGATTTCCTTTGTGATTTATACATATTTTTTTAAAAAACCAATTTAGATTTTGAGAAGTTTGATGGCTAGAGACTCTTGACTGTAGATTTAATTAATGGTTTCGAATCAAACTCGAGCTTGGGGTTCAATAGACTCCAGTGCCTTGTAAGGCCGCGTTGCAAGGTTGCCAGCAACGGTGGAGCAATGTTGCAATATGCACCACCCTCCCACCGCCCACCGTCCACCTGCCAGCAACAGCAACACAAACAGCAACCCACTCCTATTTATAAAGACTAAGCCATTTATGGCCAGCCAAAGTCGGGTTTAAAAATAGCCAAACGCACCAAAACCAAGCCAAAAAACAAAAATACAAAATAAAATGCATAATGGTGTTGTGCCACCGCCGGCGAGAGATCGTCACGTGAGGAACGTGGTCGGATCGGCCGATCGCCTCGAACAGGTAGTGTGGGCCACACTTACCTTATATTTAATACTTTATAGTATAGTACAGCACCGTCTCGGTGCATTTTACACAACAATAACAAAGACGGCCGACGGGTCTCAGTGTTTCAGTCTCTCAATGCTCAATGTTCAGTGCTTAGTGCTCGGATTCTCGATATTCGCCAGCCAACTTTTGGCCGAGTGGGTGTCTCTGTATACGTGATGTGGCCAACTACATACATATCTCTTTCTGGCCCGCTGGCATGTGCGTGCGCGAACAAGATTTTGACATAGTCAAAGTGTTTTATAAATAAACGCGCCCCACATACTTACATGGCTACCAGTTTGGGCTTACTGAGCAGTCGAGAGAGAAAGGCGAATGAATGGGAGAGTGAGAGAGAGAGTGGGTCTTGATAAGGTGGCTGAGAGAGATGGCCCTCCGGTATCTCTCCAGCATCCAATATGGGTAGTCATCATACTCACCTTCTTCTCTCGAATTCCAGAGAAATTCCTCGGCGTGCGGCATGTGCAGTGCATACTGTGCTTCTTCTGCCTGGCGCTGTGCTACGCTTGGAGGGCCAACCTCAGTGTGGCGATAGTCGCCATGACGGACAACAGCACCAAGCCGATCCAGAACAACACCGACCTCAGTGGGGAGGACCCCGGACTTGACCTCTTTGGTTCCCAGGTAAGTGAAGGAATCTCTGTGGATTCATCACAGTAGAAACCAAAAACTCATCAAACGCTCTGAAACTTTGATTAAAACTTGATTACTAAATGATTACTTAATTCTTAATAATTAAACGTTTTTAAGATTTTTAAGTCATTGTATAAAGGTTTCCTAGCGTTTGAAGATTTAAAAGATCCGCTATTTATTATATTTATCTAACATAATTTTTTCCCACAGAGCGTCTACAACTTCACCAAAAAACAAGGCTCCTGGATGCTTAGCAGCTTCTTTATTGGCTACGTTGTGACCCAAGTTCCAGGTGGCTACATCGCCCAGAAATACGGTGCCAAGTCGATTCTGATGTACGGATTGACCATCGCCGCCGTATTGACGATGATATCGCCGCTTTCGCTGCAGTTGGGTGGCTGGTTTGCCCTGTGCTGTGTGCGATTCGCGATGGGTCTGAGTCAGGGTGCAGTGCATCCGGCCACGCATGCGCTGCTCGCCAAGTGGTCACCCGCCGAGGAGCGCGGTCTGCTGGGAACCCTCTGCTATTCAGGAGCTCAATTCGGAACGGTGGTGATGTTGGCCACGGCTGGCTTCATCGCGGACTCCTTCCTCGGCTGGCCGAGCATCTTCTACCTTGGAGGCGCTTGTGGATTCCTGTGGGTTCTCTGCTGGTTCATTTTCGCTGCCAGCACACCCGAGGAGCATCGCATGATTTCACCGGAAGAACTGAAGTTCATCACGGACTCGCGCAGCGATGGCAAAATCCAGTCGGCCGAGAAACTTGCACCCACTCCTTGGAAGGCCATCTTCAGCTCGGCGTCCTTCATGTCGCTCCTTGTGGTGCACTGCACCCACATGTTCGGCTACTGGCTGCTGCTCACCCAGATGCCCACCTACATGAAGAACATCTACAAGGTGGACATCAAGCAGAGCGCCCTGGTCTCATCCCTTCCCTATATGGCCATGCTCCTCATGAGCTTCTTCTTCGTCTGGCTGTCTAAAGTTCTCCAGCGGAAGGAGGGCATGTCGTTGACCTTCAACCGGAAGATCTTCAACTCGATCGGCCATTGGATCCCGATGTTCTCGCTGATCGCTTTGGGATATGTGCCCCAGGATAATGCTCCGCTGGCAGTGACCCTGCTCACCTTGACCGTGGGTATCAGTGCGGCCACCTACTTGGGCTTCCAGGTGAACCACATCGATCTGTCCCCCAATTACGCCGGCACTCTGATGGGTCTCACAAATGGAGCAGCAAATGTTCTTAGTGCCATGGCTCCTTTGTTCGTCGGCTGGATGATCGAGGATGATGTAAGTTTTACCAAGTTTTAATTAGAAGATGAACAGCAAACTAATAATATATTTTTCTATAGAAAAATGTGGATGAGTGGCGTACGGTGTTCCTGTTGGCTGCCGCCTTCTACTTTGTTGGCAACCTGCTCTTCGTGATCTTCGGACGCACTGATGTCCAGTGGTGGGACTCCCCGCGGGACAACAAGGACGATGCCGAGCAGGGCACGCCACTGGCTCCCAATGTCCAGGTCAAGTAGAGGCTGGCATTGGTTTACCCAGATCACTTCCAGAATCATCCGGGCTGTTGTTTCGTAGTAGTTTCGTAGGCGTAGTTAGTTAGTTAGACACCAGACGAGCTGAAAGTTAACTTTAGTGACGATCGCGTGCTTCCATTAGCGATATTATACGGTAATTGCTTAGTCCTAAGGCAGCGTAAATTATTATTGTTTGCAGTATTTTCCATAATGTACATAATCCAAAAAAAAAAGAAGAAAAATGAATCAAACAAACCAATTAAACTTGCGACTTGAGAAAACGTTCAGTGTAAATAGGAACAAAGCCCGCGACGAGTGTATTTGCTGCTGCAACAACAACTCTAGTAATTGTTATGTTTTAGTCTTAAGTTAGGAATTAACAAAAAACAAACTTGTGATGAAAGAAAGGAAACTAAAAAAGGCAAAAAAGAATGATGAAGACAATACTAGCCATGAATAAAACAGCTCAATTTGCAGCTGCAAGAGTCAAACTGTAACGAAATCATTTGTGTTTTATTTGAACCCAGATTTGAATTTGATAATCAGTCGGCGGTGGTATATCGATAGAAGCGCACCTGTCAACTTCTCTGTAACTATCGAATATGGTGTAACAAAACAAACAGTATCCACTGTTGACTGTGGGTGAATAAAATTTTGAATTTGGGCTTAACCTGTGCTTGAGTTCAGTAAAGCCAAAATGCTCACACTTTATATCTTAAATAATTTTACTGAAATCATTTGTATAACTATTTCAAAGGTTTTTAATTTAAATATTACCCCTCAAATATCGAGGCACTTGTTAGAGCGATAGTTTCGATAGTCTCTCCTCTAACTGCGTGGGCAGCAGCTGGTGGCATTTGGTGCTATCAGCTGTTTTGTGTTTAGACGCTCATCCGAAGCGCATATTCCCCCTACCCATTACCACCCACCCCCTTGAATTAATACACATCATCTAAGTTGGCTACGTGGAAGTGATAGCACCTGAAATTGCACCTGCAATATGGTGCTCGGATGCCTGCCATGCTGCAATCGCAATGGCTACCAGCAGATAGGGAATACAGGTGAGCACAATTGATGACCTTCTGGCCTTTGTTTACGTGGATATTGCGCACTATTTCAGGTCCTCGATTCGGAGTGCGTCATCTGCAGTGCATCCTGGTGTTCTTCGGCTTGGCCGTGGCCTACTCCCTGCGCGTGAATCTATCCGTGGCCATTGTGGCCATGACGGATCGCAATGCCAGCAACCCGGACTTTCCTGTATGTGTTCAGATAAGAGCCCTGCATGAATCAACTTTATTTGATGCACACAAACCAAATAGATAGCGCGTTTATACTAGCAATCAATCAATTAACCAGGAAATTAATTTTTTTTTCCCTAGGAATTTGACTGGAACGAAAGCACCAAATCGTACCTGCTGAGCAGCTTCTTCTGGGGTTACGTGGTTACCCAGATTCCTGGCGGTTATCTATCCGCAATTTATGGTGCCAAGTTCATGCTCTTCTACGGCGTGCTCATATGTTCCTTTTTGGCCCTGCTCACACCGTTTTGTGCGGAATATGGGGGCTGGCAGCTGGTGGTGGTGTTGCGGGCAGTCCAAGGACTCTGTCAGGGCGTCATCTTCCCGTCCACACACACATTCCTGTCGAAGTGGGCGCCGGCGGAGGAGCGCGGTCGCTTGGTCGGCTACTGCTACTCGGGATCTCAATTCGGAACTGTGGTAATGCTATCCGTAAGTGGATACATTGCCTCCTCCTCGCTGGGCTGGCCCAGCACCTTCTACATTCCCGGATGCGTCGGAATCCTGTGGGCATTTGTGTGGATTTATTATTGCTCCAGTACGCCGGCACAACATCCAACCATTACGCCAAGCGAACGAAGATATATTGAATCCTCTGGACAGGCAAGAAGGCCCTCGGATGCGGGACGCGAGGAACAGCCACGGCCGCCGACTCCCTGGTGGAGCATCCTCACCTCCGGACCATTCCTGGTGCTCGTCCTCGCCCACTGTGCCAACAACTGGGGCTTCTGGACGCTGCTCACGGAGATTCCCACCTTCATGAAGAACGTCCTGGGCATGGACATCAAGAGCAATGGACCGCTATCGGCGCTGCCCTACTTCGCCATGATCCTGCTCACGGTTGTTTTCATCTGGCTGTCGGATGCACTGAAGCAAAGGGGAACAGTAATTCCCCTGGAGTTCTCCAGGAAGTTCTTCAACACGCTGGGAATGTGGCTTCCCATGCTTGCCTTAGTCGGATTGGGTTACATCACCGAGGGAGAGGCCAATGTTCGGCTGGCCATTGGATTGCTCACCGCGGCAGTGGCCACCAATTCGGCCACTTATTTGGGCTTCCATGTTAACCACATCGACCTGTCACCCAACTATGCGGGTACCTTGATGGGCATAACTAATTGCGCGGCCAACTTTATGAGCATACTGGCACCGCTGATCGTAGGACTGATTGTCTGGGATGAGGTAACGTTGAAGGACATCTTGTGATAAATATTTACTATAATTTTAAATCTTTCGCAGAAAAATCCTGCTCAATGGCGAATAGTATTCTTCTTCACCGCTTTCGTGTATTTCGTTGGCAATCTTTTGTTCATGCTTTTCGGACGCACAAGTGTTCAATCATGGAACACTCCCATCCAGACGAGAACGCCTTCGTCTAGCGGAGGAGGAGATCCAGATAACACTACCGAAGATCGAGCTCCGCTCATTGACGCATAAAAATAGTAATAGAAGACGTGGCCTAGGGATTGGTTGTAAATGTGAAACTTTTGTACCTTGAAGGCGAACCATTCCATGGAATTGATGAATCGCAATTAGTATCGTATTACTAGCTATACACATGACAATTATTTATGTCTGCAAATATACCGAATATATATATACTATTTATGTATACAGGTTCGAAAAAGGTTGTGTTGATTTTTCGTTCGTTTTTATTGGTATTTGTATTTGTATTTGCATTGTACACAACGATGTACATATGGTACAAGACTTATATGCTGGCTATGTGGTATCCTGACATAATGCTAAATCTAAGATCTATCAACTAATTGTTCTAAGTGGGAATATCAGGGGATTATCAAAGGAAGCTTAAAGAATTGTAATTTTCTGTTCTTATGGAATAATATAATTTGTGATTATATTTAAATTCCTTCTTTTCTTCGCCGTATCTCGACCCTTCGATCTGGTATTATCCTTATACTTGCTTATCCCTAACATATTTGTAGTTAAAGCTAGGTAATTACAAGTGGATACGGTCCTGTTTTTGGGCCAACGCAGCTGAAAGAGCTCTCCGATGCACCCTCTATTGTCTTGGAACCCTCTGAACCCTATCCGTATCCCCTCTGCCCCTATGTACATGGTGAATCTCTACGCCTTCCGCTGCCGGAGAAGTTCTCAGTGCTCAGTGCAGTTTGTGGTTGGCGGGCAGATCCTCGGAGCGGATGCAGCGTCCGCGGTAGCAGATCTCCGTCTCGGAGGTGACTTTGGTCGACGTCGAGGTGGCGTACACCACGTGCTCCATCAGGTCCTTGTGGAAGCTGTCCTTCTTGCCCTCCGCCGCCACGGTGGCTTCCGTGGTGGTGGCGATGGCCTCATCCACTGCCGCCTCTGTGGTTTTTTCCGCGGGCGTGGATGGACTGGTTCTCCGGATGCTCGTGTAATCCTGGCGACGCTTTCCCACAGCAGCCAGAGCAGCTGTAACAGCTTGATCATCGCTCTCCTCGATCTCGAAAAGATCGTGGAGCTGTCTCTTCACTTCGGTGAAGATGCTGGGCTGCACCTCCAGGTCGTCCACATCCGCTGCCGTGTCCATACGTCGTGTGGCACTATCCTCGCTCACGGGAAGCGTGGAGGTGATGGTGGCCTCTTCCATTCCACCGGCGGTGGTCACTTCGTACTCCTCGGGCGTTGTGGGCGAGGGTACTGTGGTGGTCGCCACCGAAGTTTCTGTCTGAGCCTCCGTGGAGGGAGTTAATGGAGTGGTGGTCTTGGCCAACTCCTCCTTTTCGCTGGCCGATTGAAGAGCGTTGTAGAGCTGAGGTCCAAGGTTCTGGGATTCGGCTGTCTCGAAGTTCTCGGTGTTATCCGAGTTACCACGGTTCTTTTTCTGCCATTTGCCACGTCTGCTAAGGCGACTAATAGTGCTGCTGGTGGATTCAGTTGTCGACTCCCCAGGGGCCTTGCCCATCACTTCCTCTAAGAGCTCCGCAAAGGATTTCTCTGGCCTGTGAAAAATTGATTTAGTACTTAGTTATTTAAATCAATTAATATTCTTACTTCAGATTGGGTGCCATGATGGTTGTGCGCTGAACCGCAGATCCTCCAAGATCAGCAGCCACATTTACTTCATAGGTTTCCGGCTGATTGGTTGGTCCTGCGGTCACAATCTCCGGCTCACTTTCGAAATTGTGCGTCTCAGTTTTGTACTTGGGACTCAGGGGTTTGAAGCTGTTGGAATTGCTGTTGCCATTGGCTGATTCCGAAGATGGCGACCACTGGGATTCCTGACCCTCCAGTTGGAAGGGCTGCTTGTAACGACGGCGTTGAGTGATAGGAGACTTTGGGGAATAATTTAATTAGTAAAAGTATTTAACAATTATTAGAATATAAACTTACCACTGTCGCCTCCTTGTCCTTTGACTCTTGGTTGCTGTAGCGACTCAGCTTGCGGAGATTTGGCTTGTGGGTAATGGGTTCGGATTCTTCCTCGGGCGCCACTGTTGAAGAGGAAGCAGGATGCGTAGGACGACGCTGACGCTGGCGCACCTTCACCACTCGACGAGGTGGTAGTCGAGAACGGATCTGAAGTTTAAAAAAAGTTTCGATAAGTAAAGAAAGATAGTGAAAAAAGAAATTTACCAAGAGATCTTACCGATGGCCTCTCCTCCGATGGCGTGGTGGTGGTCAATGGAGCCTCTGTGGTCGTGGTTGTGCGCAATCGTGGATAGTTTCTCCTCACAAATGGCGATCGACGCGTTGTCGTGGTTGTGGTCAATGGAGCTTCAGTGGTTGTGGTTGTCGTGGTCGTCGTGGTTGATGGCGTTGTGGTGGCCAGAGTGGTGTAGATGGGGCTCACCTCGTTGCGCACGATGGCCTCCGTCGGGCTGAGATCCTCCTGGTTGGGGAAGTAGCCGGGTCCGTAGTTATCCTTCGAGAACTCCTGGTAGTGCTGGGCAATCTGCATGGGTTCCAGAAGATTGGCGGGGAATCCGCTCTGCTCGTTTCCACTGTTATCGATACTGTTGCTCGGGGTCACCGTGTAAACTTGTTGGGATTCCGAGGCGGGTCCTTCGGTAGTGGCCTGGACATCATAGGAACTGGGAATCGCCGTGGGACTGGTAGGTCGTCGCGAAGAAGCCTTGAACACCGGATAGTTCTGCTTGAGCACATCTCGCTGGTAGTCAATATCCTGATCCTCTTGAGGTTTGCCGTGCTTCGATCCCTTCCTGGGTTTCGTCTTTAAAGTTTGACGTTCCTCGGTTGTTGGCCTATAGCGAATGCGATTGGGATTCCTGATGAGTGGATTACGGGCACTGGTTGGTCGACGAGTGGGTGCCACTGCCGATTCATCGCCATTATCTCCGCTGCCCGAGGAAGCACCAGAATCTGGTGCAGTAGTTCCCCGACTGCTGTATGGCCTCCTGATTCGGTGGGTGGGCAGCTTACCACTCGATTCGGATTCCGAGTAGGAAACAGAAGATGTCACCTTGGTTACAGCTGGTTTACGAGTGCGAAGCACTGGTCTCCTGGTTGGTCGCGTTTCGGGTTCCGGTTCAGCAAATGGAGTAGTTGCAACGGCTGGCTGCAACTTATCCTTCTCCTGCAGATTGTTCACCAAACCGGGAATATCTGGGGTCAAAGGAGGCAGCTCGGAGGGCACATGATACGGATTCGGTTCGTACTCCACATTGCTGTTGTCCAGAATTTCGTTTTGAACTTGGCTGTAGTGAGGGCGATGGTTCAGAGGAGCCTGCTGATCCACATTGTTGTAACCCACATCCGAAGTGGTCACCGGAACTGCAGCGGGAGTATAGAGATTCACGCGGTGCTTGGTCTTGATTCTCTGAGTGGTGGTTGTGGGCAGAGGTGCCTCATAGTCCGCAGTACTTGGGGAGTACTCGAAAGGAGGACTTGTGGTCAGAGGTCGCTGGCGGAAGGCATCCTGCTGACGGAAGTACTGCTTCATGCGGTGCTCTTCCTCGGTGGATGCAGTTGGCGGACGGGTGGTCAAACGAGGAAGCTGCTCCTGCACTGGTTCCTGAACATACTGCGGATACAGCTGACCACTCGATCCGGGGAACTCGATCTGAGGTCGCGTACTGTACGTAAACAGAGATTGTGGAGCAGCCGTGGTGGAAGTGGTGGATGAAGTGGTGCTCGTGGTGGAGGTGCTCGACGTGGAACTGGTGGTGGCTTTGCTGCCCAGAGTCTTGAAGAAGTCATCGCCTCCAATCTGGTTGAGGGTATCGAAGGGATTCTGAGTTTGGGGCTTCGAAGGCGTTGGACGATAGGCGTTCTGTGGCGTTTGGACATTCTGGGGTCGCTTCTTCTTGTGTCGCTCCTGTTTGGCGGGATTCTTGGGTGAGCTCACCTCCTGGATGCCATCCTGCACGTAGTAGTAGCTGAACTTGTTGCCTCGCTCGGGAGCTTGTCCAGGAGCCAGGATCTGTGATGGAGTGGTGGTCTCGAAGGGATTGCGAGTGCTGCTCACAGGGGCATAAGGACGATGAGGTCTCGCAGCTGGCGACAATTGCTGACTGGAAGCGATGTCCTTAGCCCTGTTGACCACAATCGAACCCACATGCGGTTCCGGCAGCAGGATCTTGTTAAAGCCATTGGGAGTACGGTAACTCAGAGGAGCCACAAAGAAGGACACATCACTCAGATCGCGATTGGAAGTGAGTTGCGAAAGGTAAGGCAGATCGAACTTGACATAACCATCGGGAATTGGCATTCCAGCGGGTCCCACAAAAATCTCCGGAGTTTGTTTAGTGGGTGAATCAATTACGGAGATGCTGTGGGCATTCCTCAAGGCAGAAACCACATCCGATTGAGAGGGTCTGGAGCTGGATCTCAACAAAAACATGGCCAAGGGAGGCTGATGGGCCTTGGGTTTCGGTTTTGCTGTGGTGAACTGCGTTTGAGTTTGCGACTGAAGTTGCGGCTGCGGCTGTCCGAAGCTCTGGAAAATGGTCTGCGGCTGACTGGTGGTGGTACTTGGCCTCAAGGTGGTTCCCGAACTGAAGAAGTCACTGCCCACACTGGGATCCTGAGTGTAGAACTGGTTGATCTGGTAGGGATTCACCGCCGGCAGACCAGGATTCACATTGAACTTATTCACCTCGAAGTTGGAGTTCGATTGAGAACCGGATTGCTGACGCTGCTGGTTGTACAAAGTATCGTAGGGCACATAGAGCAATTGGACGTCCTGATCCCTGGAAGAAGTTGGAGCACTCGAGGGAGCTGCCTTGTTGGATCCAAAGAGAGTATCTGGTTCAGGATCCACTGGAAAAACTTGCGGGGTAACACTCTGCAGAGAAGGTTGAGTTGGCAGTGGTTTTCCCAAAGTTTTCGGAGGCAGAATGTCCTGCACGTAATTCTGCTGATGGAGTGGCTTGTTCAGAGCCTGAGCCAAGGGCTTCTGGGAACCCAGAGAGTGGAACTCCGAGCCAAAAGGTTGACTCTGCTGTCCGTAAAGAGATGGAGGACTGAACAGGGAAGAAGGCGCCGGGAATCCTGCAGCTCCTGCTCCGAAAGTGTGCTGAATTTGGTAGCCCGTTTGAAGAGTTGGAGGCGCCTGAGCCTGTCCTTCATTGTTTCCATGGAAGGGCATCTCGAACTTGAAGAAGGACTGCGACGTGGGCTCCTGACCCACTCCAGATCCTTTCAGGCTGGACGATGGTGGTGCCTGGCGAAGAGGCAGCGCCTGACTTCCTCCATTGGGGAACCTCTGGAACTGGAAGGGATAGTCGAACTGGGAACCCGTCTTGGTCAGATCACCAAATCTGGCACTCGGTGGAAAGGTTTGCGAGTAGGTCAGCACTCGACCGTTTCCCGTGCGATCCTTGCTGCCATCCAAAGGTTGTGCCAAGGGAATCCAATCCAAAGAATCCGTATCGGAGGTGGCCACATTCTCCAGTTGCCGCGACCATTTTGCAGAGGATTCCTGGTTTTGAGCCAAAGTAGCCGTGGCTAAAAAAGCACAGCCAGGCGGCGGTGAGTTGCATGCCTCGCTTCATAGCTGAAGTGCCTAGAAAAAATAAAAGAAACGAATATAATATAATACAGCAATTAGATCTACAAAATATTGGTGAAAATATTTCCAATGAGCGAACAATGGTATATAGGAAAGTAATTTGAACGTTATAGTTTTTTAATAACCTAATGAAAACATCATACAAAACATCTTAATATATAATTAAACGAAAATGTATGTCAATAAACCCAAAATACTTCACCAACAAACTCTTTAGCAAAAGCTTGTAAAGATTTGTAGACGAATATTGTGCTTAATTAATTTTTGCACGCCAAGTTTGGCATTCGAAAATGCCAATTTTGGAAGCAGATCAAGAGTTCAACTATTGTTATTCTAGATCTAAAACAAATGTTTATAAAAATGTGCAAATGGTGTGCCATTTTAAGCAACAATTATGGAAATTTCACAATGGCGAAACCAAAACTCTAATGAATTGCAGGTGGTTCTTTTGGCCAAATCAAACAACTTCGGCAAAAGGTCACAAATGGTGGAAATGCCAGAAACTATAATGCCAAAACTTCGAAACCGGAACACCCAGAACCGGTAACTAATAGTCCCTTGTAATTATACCAGACCAAATGCAAATCTGCAGAAATCTCTGTTCAGATTGCTAATTAAATCTTTTCTCATAGCATTCCAGTTTGATTTCGCAACTTATGGCCAAGGTCGCTGGGCGTTGAATGCAGTTTGATTTTCAATTCTGATCGATTTGCATTTTTTTTTTGCATTTTCATGATCGCCAGCGACTTGGGGGCAAGTGAAAGGTTTCTCCCCGTTTCGCTGGCTGGGTTGTAAATCAAGAGATAATTGCCGGGGTCTTGGTCTTCGCTCCGGCATCTGGATTTTGTTTTTATTTTTTTCTTTCTTTCGTTATTTACTGGCTCTTTGGTGTGGCAAGTGTAACTGTCGGCTGTGCAACTGGTCGGCTAGCGGGCCTTCCATAACTGCCAGCCAAGTGGCCATAATTGTGCGCTCGTTTTCATTTGGCCAATGCGAGAAATTGCAATAGTTAAGGCGAAATGGCAGTGGCTGCGGCTTTTGGCGTGGCTTTGTTTAATGCGCCATTGGGTAGCCATGATCCATGAACCGCGATCAATGATCGGCGACAGATTTCCTCATTGCGAAAACGGTTTTGCATGCGACTCGCTGGGATGCTAATTGCGTCATCAGCCGGCGTAATCATTGGGTCTCTTTAAATTATATTTTTGTTGTATTTATTATTATTTCTTTTTTTTTTTTGTGAAGCCAAGAGCCCGCCAGAAGATTCGCGAGCATATATGAATATGGAAAACGAAAGTGAGGCTGGCAACAACCGACCAAACCTGACCACTGACCATTGGCCAAGTTAACACACACTCACACACACACTCACACCGCACAACTGCAGATTGGCGAGCACTTTCGTTTTCACTTTTCCACTGAATTAATCGCACATACTCGTATGTGTTTGTATTTGCCCCCTGAACGAACGGATGCCGCATTAAATGGGTTAAACGAAAGCAAAAGTCCGCAAAACAACGAAAACGAAAAACAGTAAAAATAATGCGAAATATCGTAACAGCGTAAAACGGAACTTGCAGCGGTGCAGCCAAACGGGAGAGCACTGTCTACAGGTGGCACAGTGAAAGAAGAAAGTTCAGTGTGCTATTAAACGGCGGCCGACGGAGCGGGATGGCAGGAAAAATAATAGAAATTAGACTCACTTGCGGTCAATATTTCGGACCGCCGCTCCGAAAACAAAACCAGTTATCAAAAGGTTCAACAAAGCAAATAGCGTCACACCTCACTGACTCTTATTTTTTTTTATTTCTTCAGAGAGGCGGCACTGCACTTGAAATCATCGAAAGTGAAATGTGACAATGCCCTCGGAAAGCGGCATGTCTGGGCTCCAGGTAACTGGCAATTTCCCTTTCATTTCGGACCAAAAAAAGGAAAAAAAACACAACACATCTGGCGGAATCGAAGCGGACTTTCCTCGGGGGCGTGTATCTCTCGGATTAATTGCGCGACAGGCCCAGGTAGTTGACCACAAACCACTGAGCCGGATGTAAGTAGCCGAAAAAGTTAAGCCTCTTAGCGATACACTTCTGTAATCCGCGAAGGGATTATAATCCACGGTCTGGCATTGACATTGTTTCATCGCTTTGCTGATCATTTGGGTGTGATTTAATTGGATTACATACTATTCAACACCACACTGTACACTGTACACCACACCCCACACCACACCCATTTAATCCGCGGGGGAGGCAAGGTCACTCCGTTGTTGACTTACCATAAACAGCGGCAGCAGTCGACAGCTAAGTAAGTAACTAACTTGGCCCGGAGTTCGTCGAGGTAACTGCAAAGCAGAGCAAACCGAAACACAATGTGGCATTAGTTGGCGGGTAATTAAAAGGGATGCAAATAATGGGGACTACGAGATGTGGTAATGCCACCTGCAGATACAGATACATTTGCCACTCAGTTTCTTGGTCTCTCAGTTTCTAGAGCTCTGGCTTTAATTGCAACTGGAGGCTGCAACGGCCACGCTCAGATGGCCACACACAAAAAGCACACACAACAAACACACACCTACTTCACGTTCACTTTGGGGCTTATTTTCTGGGCTGATTTTTTTTGGCAACGCCTGCGGATCTGCAGCTGGTTTATTAGAGCGCAAATAACCCAGAATGTGCGTGACCCAAGTGACTCACTGTTGGCCAACACACATTTGCACAATTTGCACATTAATACTTATTAACAGATTGTTTGGCTGCATTGCCGAAATCAGGTATCTCCAAGATACAGTTACAGTGACGGCCAATTAGCGTGACTGACTAACGAGGCTCCCGGGATTGATGGCCATCGTATATTGTTTCTGCCGCTGGGCGGGCAAAACGCATAAATTATGCAGAGCCAATGAACCCGTCGCCAAACTCAACACACAACACAGAAAAAAAAATTCAAATAAAAACACAAAAAACGAAAGCGACAATGAAAATGCACTTTTCTGTCTGCTGGCTGCCATTCAGGGGGCGTTTCTGCCGGAAAGAGCCCCAATGCCCAATACCAGAAGGAAAACGGACGGAAAATCACTCATTTCTTGTACGGCGGCTAATTCCTCAAATTTTATGCCACAGCGACCCCGAAGAAATGTTCGAAATTATTAAACGAAATGTAAATTTCACGCAACGCTCAGGAGGCAAAAAAAAAAAAAAAACAAAAACTTTCATTTCTCGCTGCTTTCCAAATGAGGTAAGTGGTTGTTGTTGTTGGTGGTGCTGATGGCGGAGGTGGTGCCTGCGGTGGTTGTGATGGCATTAGTATTGATGGCACCTGCTCAGCAAACCAAAACACGACTTGCGTAATCCCAAGAATTTATGCTCGAGCATTTGAAAGCGAAAGCATTTCTCTTTTTTAAGTTTAGGTTTGATATTTGGAATGCGGGGGAGCGGCAGTTGCGCAACTCCACAATAATAAACCGGATATGTTGACGAGCGGAATTCGCCGTTTTAAATGGCCTAAACGGTTTAAATGGCTTATCACCCCGCTCATCGCAAATCGAATTGCGCAAACGATGGGCCAAGCTAATTACACAAACTCTCTTGCCACAGGCCGCATCGCCACTGAGCCGCAGATAACTGTCCCAAATCCAAAAAAAAACAATGTGACAATTGCAACAGAGCAATGCTTGGATACTACCAACTCCATCTATATATATACTCTATACGAGTATAAGTATATGAAAAACCATAAAGCAAGCGCTGACAAAACAAAGCAGCAGGCAACTGGAGCAGCAGCTGAAGAAAGCAAGAGTGGCTTGGCAGAAAACCATATAGCACTCGTACCCATACCCATACCCGTACTTGTTGGCCAGGTCTTAAAGTCGGGCTCATTCTGGCCCAGACCAGACTTGTGCAATGCGGTGCGGCAAGAAGGGGTATCCACATAAACCGCCTGCCGCAGATATATTCGTATTCGTATGCCCAGATGAACATTAGCAATCAATCCACATCCGTGACCAAGACAAGAGTGTGAGAAAAAATTCAGTAGGCCAAGACACTTCAACTTGTCGGTGGGTTTAGAAGGAAAACAAAAAAAAAAAGAGTAGAAAAAAAAACCAAGCGGAGACAAAACGGAGCAAAAAGCCTCAAATGGTTGCCTTGTCTCAGCAGCCGGGTGCTGACTAATCAACTGTGTGGGTTTTCCGGGGGAAAAGAGGGGAGTTAGAGGGGAGTGGTGTCTTTTGGGGGCTTTGGGGGCCGCACATGCAACGGCAAATCACGACTTGGATCCAACAGACCAGCAATAAATGCCCGGCCTGGAAGCCATTTGAATTGAATTTTTTTTTCGCCACAGCTAAATGCACTTCGGATCTGATATTGCTGAATGCATGGCAATTACTCACGTTTAGAATTCAGTGCGTGTCACAAGTGCTGGATAATTGTTGCTGTTTTGAAAGACCGCTGAGCATAATCGATATTAATCTTTGAAATCGGATAGTCACCACTTGGCTGGCGAAATTACTTCATTCGCCAGATGACTTACATTAACACGAACAAGATTTTATAGTGGGTTTGAACTGCAAGTTAAAATCTATTTAAGATTTAGCATCTGATTTTTATAACACTTAATTTGATTCGTTACCTATGGCATTTGTAATTTATGAACTTTTTAATTGGTTGGGATGTAAAACTGTATTAATGACTGACTGTTTCTATTAAATAACCAGCCGCATATAATTGGTAAATTAACTTTTAATATAGGCAAATTATTGTAATTAAGCCGCACTTAACAGATAACAAAACCGACCTAGCTGTAATAATTTCTCAATTTAACAACTAATTAAAGTAAGTGAGTGACCAAAGCCTCCGACCATTGGGTTCTGCAACACATTCCGGCGAACAAAGCCGACTAATGAGTCAAGTTCGGGTCCTAAGTCTTTTGTTTGGCCCGCTGGGAAAGTGGTAATCCCGCCGAAGCTCGCCGCTTGACAAATTGAATACTTTGCGGTTGAGTAATTGAAAGCCGTGAAAGACGGAGACCACACGTAGGTCGGATCGACGATGGGCACGTGCTGAGTGGTGGAAGCTTCTGCAGCTACGCAAAGTCATTCGCACGTTTCACTTTCATTGGTTTTGGGATGGAAAAGGGGGGGAAATGGGGGGGAAAATCGAGGCGGCGGTGGAGGAATCAGTGGCAAATAAACACATCAGGCGCCACATTAAGACATGACAATAAATAAAGAAAAAGTGAGTCCGAGTGGTATTATATTTTCTTGACACTTTCGCGAGTTTTGTTTTATACCCCGCCATCTTTTGCCCCTCTCTGTTGCCACCGTTTCTCATTCATTGGCATTGGCCAATGCGGCGGCTACGTGATTTCAGTTTTGCAGTCCGCTGCCAAAGGCTACGATGTGGATTCAGATGGACGTGGCCTAAGCAATTGGCCGGCCGGCGGCCATCGCCTGCGTTTATTGTAATTAGAAAGTATTTAATTTCGAAAACGCTGACCGCTCGCACATAAAAAATGTTCGCATAAAAATAAATATAAATATAAAACGGAATAACAACGAAGCAGAAGAAGCGACAAACGCGTGGTTATTTATTTTTTCCGCTCTTCTGTCGAAATCACAAACAAACGAATAAGTGCGCACATTAGTTCCGTTAAGATCTGAACCCAGATCGGAGATTAGGGAAGAGAAATGTCTGTTTGTGGAGGGCATAGAGCTCCACAAATGTAAATTGGCTCGATAAACAAGATTTTTCATGTCCGAAACCAAAAGTTTCTCCTGGTGAAAATTGGGTTAATGAAGTGCAGATGAAGATGGAAAACTAACGAACCCAAAGAATACTGATGGACCAGTTTCTTTCTTTCTGTTTTTCGTTTTTGTTTTTCTGGTCAGGGGTCTCCGGCACCTTATCTCGTTAATGAGGAAGTCTGGCCATAAAGCTTGACTCAACTTGACTCTCTAGAGGATGGATCGCTATTTACTGTCTGCAGTTTGCTGGATTAGACGGATGGATGAATGGATGGATGGTTGGTTGGATGGTTGGACCATCGGTCTTTGGGCAAACAAATTGCATGCCAGTTAACGAGTGTCGGTGGGCAAAAACAAAATGAAATTTCCAAATAATTAGAGCATGAAAAAATAAACAGCAAAATTGCCAAGACAGCCAAATGCGTTGAGTGTGTGGTTAGCTTACTGGAGACTACAAATTTCTATTCGCCTTTTTTGGCAAAAAAAAAAAAAGAAATAAAATAAACACACTTACCACTCTCCTCTGCAGCTTCTGCTTCTTCTTCCTGGACAGCAGCTAATGTTTCTCTTTCACTTGTCTTAATTCAATTAAGACCTTAATTTGCCCAGCTAGCCAAATTAGCAGCAATCCAAGCGTTTTACTTTTAATTAAATCTTTTATTTGATTTTTTTAACTATTCAATTTCACTTTTGAATACACTTGAAACGGCAGGAAGCTCACGCACTTTCGGCAAAAGACAGATGCAAGTCAAATGTCGCTGGTACCACTGTGCGTATACTCGATACGTATGAGTGTTACACTTACAGATCAAGTTATTAGCTTGCTTTAACAGTTAGCCGGAGCTGGTTTTTAGCCGCGTCTGCATCGTTGGCGTGCCGTTAACAGACTGAAGAAATGAAAAGCGTCGCGGGCCAAAGTAAGTAAGAGTGGTTCGCTCGTGGTTTTCATCCAAGTGCCGCAAAGTCGACGTCGCTGCCTCGGTTGGCAGAGCAGCCGCAGTCGCAGTCGCCGTCGCCGTCGACGCAGGCGTCGGCTCAAAGCCAAGTGGCTGTTTTTTTTTTTACAGCTTTTGGGCCAGCAAAAGACTTGGCCAACGAACAGGCAAATGATCCTAACTCAAAAGAGATCCTCCATTGATGTGTTGTGGCTTATTAAAATCAGATGGTGGGAGGCGGGGAGGTGGCTACAATTCGAGGGGGAGTGTCCACAAGAATGCACTAAATGCAAATCAACTTGGCCATAAATGCTAACATGTTTTAGCATTAGTTGCGGCGATGCTGTTCCAGTTTTGCAATTTGCTTGCGACAAGTTTTTCGTTTTATCGCTTTTTTTGCTGGGAAAATCGATCCGACTGTGTGGGTCCCATGAATCGTGTTACACCCCTCGCTGATATATATATATCCACGATCGTATGGCAGACATAACAACAATTCCAATAATTCTGACTCAGTGCCATGCGATTTGAGAGCCGTGCATCTAGCTTTTAATTGGCTTTTTAGGCTTTGCTCTGCAGCCAAGGTCGTTTTGTTGATACACAAATTCCATTATGAGTTTAATTGAATTGTTTGTTTTGGTTTGTTTTTTTTCATGTGCGTTTCTTCCTCGTATTTTTGGTTGGTTTGTTAGGAAACCTATAAACCGATTGATATTTACCAATTAAAATGCGTGGAAACCATATTTTTGACTGACTGACCTTTGCCGGCTTTTCTTTGTTACCAATAAGTTACAGACTTATTGAAAGCCATAATTAAAACGAGTGCCAAGCTTTGTGTGACAAGCTTAAGTATATGGTAGAGTTAGTTGCCATAACTACATAATTATATATATTGAAAAACATGTAATTTATGGTAGCGTTTTCTCCATTTTTGGCTTGAAAAAGGATTGGCAATCGTTGCTCTAAATGTGCAAAAAATTAAAACAAATTATTTATTAATTTTACTAAGTGTTATTTTAGTTAATAAATACTCAATATATTAATTCCGTTTCGTATATTTAAGTACAAATTAATAAACATTCTTATAATCCTCATAGTTATACCCTTTTCTTGCTGTGTGCTAAGTTTGTTGGCAAATATTTTGTGGTCTGCAAGAATTGGCCTTAAAAAGAGGTCGTTTTCAGCTTCTTTGACGGGCAATTAAAATATTCTCATACCGGCGGCCGAACAATTTCCGCTAAGCAAACAATTGTCTAAGTGAGACGTTTCTGGATCGTAGAAATTGAGTTAATTAGCATATTATTCAGGCGTCCGCCATTATCCATTACGTGGATTGGGTAACCCAAACGCGGGACGCTCTGCGTTCGCTTTTCTTTCGCAGTTTCCAATTCAATTTTCCAGCAACGGCATTTGGCGAGTGCATTGACAGGAGCAAGAGCAAGAGCTTCGCCGCAAATCCAATCAGTCAACTTGTCATAATGCCAGCCCACCTGTCTGTTTGCGACGCCCCAGGTGGGCGTGAGTTATGTGCGGACTGATGACGTACGAGGAAGGTCTCCACCTTGCGGCCAAAGTTATGTGACGGGGCTTTTCTATTCGGCGATCATTCAACCGCGACCGCCTCGCACTTCCGCTCGCTGATATTTCGCCATTAGAACAAAGCACTTTCACCACGCCAACGGAGCCCAAGAATCAATCGAATTGAATTGTATTCCATCGAATTGAATTGATTTAGCAGCCAGGGAGCATGGGTTGGGGGCAATTAGCGTTGACCTTTTCACAGGTGTCTCAGCCTGGCTCACACGCCCAAGGCAAAGCAATGCGATGCCAAATGGCAAAGGTGAGGCAGAAGTGAAAAAAAAAACAGATCGCGACCTTCAGCCCTGCTTATGAATGGCTTTTCTCAAGCATTTTCCACGACGTATGCGGAAAAGAGTAACGAGATTTGCATAAAATTCGACTTCGACTCAGAGTTGAATGGTTCCCACAGCAACCAGATAGATCAAGTTAATGGGTTATGTAGATCTTGTTATTTCTGGCATAATTCAACTTAATTAGTTGTAGAATCTTTTGGGACAGGAGGCGGATAAGCCAAGGAATGCGGGGAGAAGCCACCTGGCTGATGCAACGCTGACAAGAAGACAGACATAAATATCAGTTATGCAATCGCTGTTGCCAAAGGAGAGAGAGTTGGGATGTCGATGCGTCGACGCATCGAGAGCCAAATGCATTTAAGCTCCACGAAAGTAAGACAACTTTTTTTCGCCGCTGCCCCTTCGGGTGATGCCCAAAATGCTGGTTGTGTTTGCTTGGTTGGTGCTTGGTGCTTTTGGCCAGAAAACGCTTCCTGCTCCCGCTGCAGCAATGCATTGGTCGAAATGTGGTCGAAATCTAAACTGGATTGCCAGCGGAGAGCCTCTCGCGGCGACTTTTGCTCGAGCGCCTCACTAGTTTCCTTCCTTGTGTGGATTTGGGTTAGCCAAACATTTATCTGCCGCTCGAGCTGTTGGTTTTTATGTTGATGTTACTACTCCGATCGCTGTCAGAGATCGGGGATAAATACGGAGGAGGGGAAGTGTATCAGTGGGTGAAACCAGCAGGAGATTGGACCGAACAATGGGTTTTTAATCAGCTAATTTGGTTTAGGTTGTTAAGTATTTTTCCTACTAATTGAAAATGTTGTTTTTGTTTCTGTTTATTTACATTTATTTTTCATATGGGTATTTGTTTTTGTATTCAATCACTTACCCCTTCAAGGAACCACTAATTGTTTTAATATTTTCCCAAGCCACTCAAAGAGCATTCACTGTCCGCATTTCACTTTCCTTGCCATCGCTACTTTATTTTGGTTCACTCTGCCAACTGCAATTAAAATTTTGTAATACGGTGACCAAAAAAATGAAAAAACAGAAGTGATGGAAAATATATCCAAAGCACAAACAACATCGCGATGAAAAATTACGACAAAAAAGAAACATTTGCTTTAAACGGTCGCATGGAATGTGAAAAAGTGTGTGTGTTTTGTCGGGCAGCGAATAATTTTACCACTTTCAAAACTGATTTTCAATTTCACTGCGCCGGATCGAAACTATAGGCCAGGGTGTCGGCAAATGGCGACTAAGTGGAGGGGTTCGTACATACGTTCAGATAATAATTATGCATGCGGCGTATTAAAAAGCGCGAACCTTAGAAACGATTCAAAAACCGAATGAAATCGAAAACGAATTGAATCGAATTGACTCCAGTTTGGTTTGCGTTCGGTTTGTGGCTCTGGGAAAGTGGCTGCGGGGGGATGATAATTTCACTTTCCTTTCCCAAAAAAAAAAAAAATATATATAAATAAGAAAACGCTGCACTGACTCCGCCGACTGCATTTCAATTTTCCGCATTGGGCGTGTGTGTTTCTGTGTATTCGTTTAGTTTTTCATTTTCATATCGTTTGTGGAGTGGTCACTTCAGTTGGCATGTTAATGTAGGTCCGAATGTCCGATCGAGAGCAGATCGGCCGGTGAAGAGCGAAAGTCTGGTGCTTTGGAGCTCAGGGAAATAATTAAATCCCACCATCCTCCCCATGAAAGTGATTATCGAATGTAATTTCACTGCCAAAATTTCTGGTTTAATGTAATTTCAATTACGTGCTGGCCGGAAACGAAATCGAAGACAGGCTGGCAGACTGAAAAATGTCAGTAGTCGCTCACGATGTCACAAGCGATTGTTGGCAAATTGCAATGTGTTCCTCAGTGAGTCACGGATCTACGCGGTGGCATGCAGATACATTTTCGACCCGTCTCATTTATCAAATTGCGTGCAGCGCGGGTTCAGGGCGGGTCAAGAAAATCAGATCAAGGCGGCACAGCCAACAGTCCAAGTTAAGGCATGAAAATCTGTTTATTAATTGGAAAACTTCAAATAAGCAAAAGTAATATGTTCGCTTTTATTAAATTACATTACAATTTATTTATTTAAAAACCGGTTGTCGTTTCCTCATCAGATAAACAGCAAATATGCAAACTAAAGAAATCAATAAATATATTTTTATACCTAAGCTCACGCAAAGCATTGTATTATTCGCTTTTAATGCAATGTTTGCGGGCAAATAAAATTCAATCTCAACGTGAATTATTTCAACCGCCTTCAAGTGCAAGCTGTTTTGTGGGTGCGCTATTTGACTATGAGTGAAATTTCGCTGTCTGTCTGTTTGACATGGAAATTAGTGGCAACAACAGCTCATACTTGCTGTACAACAACATTCGTTATAAAGTCTGCCTAATGAGCTTGGCACACCGCTGCGTATACTTGATGTACATACGCATAAGAGTGTGTACAAATGCCATGAACATGAACATTTTCCAAAGCCAAGCCCAAACAGTCCACATCAAGCTCATAGTTTTTGCGCTTTAATGCTTCACTTCGCCTGTGGCACTTTTTTTTTTTTTTTGCGCCTTTGGCTTTTCGGCTTGTAAATTGTAAAATTGTTTCAGAAAGACGCGCTCTCACCTGTTTTTGCTTCATTTGTTGTTTAATTTGGCCCATATTCGTGTTAATCATCCGCTGAATTGCACTTTATGGCGTTAGATAAGGTCTTGCTGGTATTTTGACAATTGACAACCGATTATGTAAGTTGGCGCTGACGGGCAGCCGATGCCGATGTCCCCCATTTGATGTGATTTTTGCGCCATTGTCGCGATCTCGATTCGCTCCACTCCCCAAATTGAAATGCACTTATAGTAGGCGAGCGTCGCACGTTGGCGGATGCTGCAGACGCGCCGGCACAGATAAATCACCAAATCATCAATCTCGGGGATTGAATATACATCAGCGATATAGCTCATTACTGGTTCTCCTGGGCGAAATCAAGTTTAGTTTTATGACTTTTGCAGAGAAAGAAATTAACAACAGTGTTACAAAATTTATATTATTGAATTATTATTGAATTATTTATTTTATTGAATCAATAAATGTGTCAAAAATTAACAAAATGTATTTTAAGAGGTAACAATTTAACCAAATACATTAGTGTTCATAAAATGTAAAACAATTACAAGATTATTTTAAAGTATTCTATAATTAAAAGGGAAATAAAAAGGTCATGTAAATAGTCCCCCTATGTGTTGAAAATACCTAGAAAATATCTTTTTTAACCGTGTACTATGGCTGATTTTTTTTGATAAAGCATAACGATGTTGCAGCTGACAGAGGCGCTGACAGAGAAGTCCGGATTGCGTAAGATTCAGGCCACGACAGGCGAGCCGTAAATTGGCCGAGATTTTGCGAAACGCAGCTCAAGCAGTTGCAATTTCATGCATGCCGATTTTTATGTGAACAACAACATTAAAGCCACAACAACTACAGCAGCAGCATCGAACCTTATGACCATTGTACAATTTGGGTGAAAAAGCTATCACCAATTGAGCTACGGAAAGCTGTGATAAAAATAGCACGAAAAGGCAAAAATCGCGAAACATCAAATTGTTTATTGTGGGATCAAGTATTCGCAATACTGTACCGCAAGAAAGGCGCAAAAAGAAAATAATAAAAGTGCGTGATAGTAAGGAAACGAATTCAACATACTCTATAAAAGTTTACTATCGTCAATAAAATTAACTGAATTTATAAGGTAATATTATTTTAATTATTAAAGTAAAATATAAGTTATTTGACTTTATTGCGTTTATTTTCTGTATTAATTTCGAATTTTGGTTAAGTTTTTCTGATAAAAATGTTTGTGTGACAATTCAAGGTACTAACGTCGGGTATAAAACCAAATGTACCCTTGAAGTTGGTGTAAAATGAAACATCAGTTTTGAAACTATGCGTGCGAATTCGGTTATGCACGATATTTCACGCAATTGAAGCGATTTCCAAGTTGTCATTCATTCATTCATTCAAAACAACAGGCGTTAAACCGACAAAGTTCGATGGGGAAAGACACAGTTTCATTCAATTAACTTTATTCCAGACCTTGCTACAAACTTCTGTAAGTAAACATTTCAATTTAAATCGAATTATCAGCAAGAAAGCTTACAGTTTTGGAGCCACTTCCCTTGGCACTCGACAACAAGCTGACACACCCACAATTTCTACACCTCCCCACAGAAACAAGCCCACCAAAAACGTTGAAGGTCAGGGAAAGTAAATGAAATCGAAAGTTTCAACGAAGCTGATACGGGAAACAACGGCACGTGTCGTTCAATTGGCACATAAATAAATAAAATAAGATAAAAGCATTGGAAAGGCAAGAACAGAAAAGCTCTTGCCGGCGTCACTGGAATAACTATGTACATATGTGCTGGCCATATGGTGGGGCCTTAAAGGGGGGAACGAGCTATATACAGAACTTGTTTTGATCTGACAGAGTTGTCGGGGCGCCAGAAGAATACTAATGAAAGAAACCTTAGAAAAACTGAGCTCCTAAAACTATTTTATTCCGCGTATTTGTGTTCTTATATTTTAAAAATGAAAATCTTTTTTCTCTTCAAAAATATTTGATATGATGAATATCAAAATATGTTTTTATTCTATCAGTATCTTCTGGAATAAGATTTTATTATTTTCTTATCATAGCATAGAAATAAATTATGTACTTTATATTTTATGTTTATATCTTTTTGGAACCAACTTAAAACAAATTATAAAGATTTCTATAGCATATAAAATAAATTTGCACTTTCATTAAATTCATATCGCTCTCAAATAAACTCGACAACTCTTTTGAAACCGCTGGAATGAAGTGAAATTGCGTGACTGCGGAGCAACCAAGAGCAGTGTGCTTCTGACAGCGGTCCGATCGCGTAGAACTTTTTTAGTTTCAGTCCTATCCGTTAGATTTCTAGATCAACAGGTGGGTGAGATATTGTGGCTATCCGTGATTGCATAACAAGCAGATATTTTCCGCAGCCATGTCTCTTCGCGTGTTGAACCCCGCCATGCTGAATGCCTGGAGCCAGACCTTGGTGCGGGCCATGTCCACCCAGGGCGGCAGCAAGAACATCGGCTTCGTGGGCCTGGGCAACATGGGCGCCAACATGGCCAGCAACCTGATCAAGGCCGGTCACAAGCTGCATGTCTTCGACATCTCCAAGCCCGCCTGCGACGGTCTGGCCGCCAAGGGAGCCACCGTCTACTCGAAGACCTCGGAGTTGGCCAAGAACTCCGACTTCGTGATCACCATGCTGCCAAACAACGCCATTGTGGAGGCTTCCTACGATGAGATGACTGCCGGTGGTGTGAACAAGGATACCATCTTCATTGATTCATCCACCATTTCGCCGGATCTGGTGAAGTCGCTGCAGAAGAAGATCAGCGGCAAGGGAGCGCGCTTCATTGATGCCCCCGTTTCTGGCGGAGTTCCCGGAGCGGAGCAGGCCACCCTCACCTTTATGGTGGGTGGAACTGAAGCGGAGTACAATGCCGTCAAGGCCGTGCTGGAGTGCATGGGCAAGAGGATCACCCACTGCGGTGTCTATGGAATGGGCCAGGCTGCCAAACTGTGCAACAACATGATGTTGGCCATCTCCATGATTGGTGTTTCGGAGGCCATGAATCTGGCCGTTCGCCAGGGATTGGATGCCAATGTCTTCGCCGAGATCATCAACTCCTCCACCGGTCGCTGTTGGTCCTCTGAGGTTTACAACCCGGTGCCCGGAGTCTGCCCCACTGCCCCCGCCAACAGGGACTACGCCGGTGGCTTCTCCACCGCTCTGATCACCAAGGATCTCGGTCTGGCCTCCGGCGTGGCCAACTCCTCCAACTCACCGATTCCGCTGGGATCGCTGGCCCACAAGGTCTACCAATCGCTGTGCGAGAAGGGCCTGGGCAACAAGGACTTCTCCGTGGTCTACGACCTCATGAAGAAGGAGAAGTTCAGCGTTTAGGTTACTTACTGGCTAAGATTCGTGTCCGATCCAAAAACCAGTCCTGCATTTATATATATCGCTAAGTTTTTCGAGAGCCTACCCCTATTTTGCTAATTCGACTGTGCAATTACCATGTTCTAGGCAAATATGTACGTAAATTAAAAACGTATTCGTTTATCGTATTGAAGTGAAAAAGTTCCATTGTGTTGCGTAATCGTATGGTGGTTTGATTTGGCCTGGGAATCTTTTAGCAAGTGGAACTCCGAGTGCTGATAAGCGCCCTCAAACATCTGTTTTTTATTGGCTTTTTTGAGTCCCCTGCAAATACAATTTTGGATTGAGGCTTATCTCCTGGTACTCGTGGCATTAGATCCCGCATGGCGATCGTATTTAATTCATAAAGCTTCTCAGGTAAACAGAGAACTGAGCAAAACAAACAACAAATGGGAAATCGGAATGAAAATAGTGGCGTGGTCATTAAAAGCTCACCGATTGATAGGCACTGGTGAAATATTTTGCTAAATTAGTTCCAGTGTGTAGCATACTGCTCACAGTTTGACAAGCTCTTTATCAGCATAAATTGCTCATTTGAAAAGATTTTTTAAGCTACTATAAAAGTAAACATAAAACGATCTAATTAACAGTTTTGTTATTATGTCAAAATCACTTAGACCATTTAGCTGATGCCAAAATATAGATCTTTTATGTTCTAAAATATTTCGCATGGGCGTTAAGTATATTTGGTGTTAATAAGTTTTGTGATTTTGGTAAGTGAAAATTAGAATATGTGTACGAAATATTTTAGATTTCATCACAAATCTAGTTTTTGTTGTCTTATGCAAACCGTGCTTTTTTTGTAGATTTCCCTCTGGCTTGTCAAAGTGAAAGATGCTCTTATCTATGTCATGGCAAATTTTATGGACTCGAAATTCCTTCACCTGGAAGAAAACTATGTTTTATAGAAAATCCAGTCACATTGGCTTCATTGGACTCGGCAATATGGGTGGATACATGGCAGGTAATCTATTAAAGTCCGGACATAAGTTACATGTCTATGATATATCCAGAAAAGCCTGCGATGTTCTTGAAGCCAAGGGAGCTACAGTTTACACAAGAACTACAGATCTTGCCAAGAATTCCAAGATTGTTATCACCATGCTGCCAAATAATTCTGTTGTGAATGCTTCCTATGATGAAATGATTTCAGAAGGTGTTAAAAAAGGAACAGTTTTTCTCGACTGCTCCACCATTTCATCGGAATTAGCTAAGTCTTTGCAAAAGAGAATCAGCTTGAAGGGAGGTACATTTTTAGATGCTCCAGTTTCTGGCGGAGTTCCTGGAGCTGCAGAAGCCACTCTGACTTTTATGGTAGGAGGACGTGAAAATGATTTCAAGGCCGTGAAAGATATCCTTCAATGTATGGGAAAACGAATTATCCACTGTGGATCCCATGGAATGGGTCAGGCTGCCAAACTGTGCAATAATATGATGCTGGCAATATCTATGCTAGCGGTTTCAGAGACCATGAATCTTGCAGTCGGCCAGGGATTGGATGCCAGGATCTTTGCAGAGATTCTTAACTCCTCAACTGGATGCTGCTGGACTTCAGAATCCTACAATCCAGTTCCCGGAATTACAGCCCTCACTAAAGCCAACAACGTTCCCATATCTTTAATCAACAAGGATCTTGAATTGGTTGTCAATGCAGCCAGCTCCTCGGAATCCCCAATCGCCATGGGTTTATTGACCCACAAAATCTACAGCTCTTTAATTACTCAGGGTCTTGGCGACTTGGATTTTTCAGATGTCTACAGCTTGATGGAATCGAATAACTTTAAATATTAGCAATAATTTTTTAATGTTCACTATTGTGAATGGAAATATGTATTTATTGCATAATAGTTAGAAATAAGAAAACCGCTAACAAGCTTTATAAAAATCTACAAGTCATGCTGCCAATTTTATCTAAATAATTTTTCAGTACTTGAAAGCTTAATTGCCAAGTAAACAAAGTGCTGAGCAAAACAAATAGCGAAAAAACAGACTAGCAACAAAATAAAACAATAAAATCAACGAGCTTTAAGATAAAAATTTCTAGATATGAAAAACCGAGTTTCGAGAAGCACTGTACAGTTTTATTAGCACTGCCATCGTCCCCCAAATTCGACCAACATAGTTTTATATTTTGAGCGAAATCCAAAAATATTTTTTATTATTTTTGCCATCATATATATATATTGAAAAATAACAAACTTAACTTAGGTGCTAATTAATTAATTGAGTTTGGTATGTATATAAAAACTTTGTTGTTGCTCTTTCTGTGGGGTATAAAATAGTTTAACTATCTAAAATGTATCAAATCGATCAATTGGAGTGGGTTACAGTGGCATTAATTAATTAATATATATCATATTTGTATGGCTGGGCCGGGGCCTTTACGAGCTGATTATCCTAGACGTAGTTAATAAATATATAAATTTTAGAAAACGTTTTGAACAATCCTTTTTCGAATGAAATAATTACAATAAATTTGGTTAGGATTAGGCCTATTTAGGTATATAGTATATGTAAAGGTATATTACGAAGAAGCGTCCTTAAACGAGTCGAGTGCAATCGAGTGGTAAGTTGTAAATGGAGTTAATGGGGAAACTTCGGTGCGGTACGGAGCTTCCGTGGGTTAAGTCACATAAGTAGTAAGCCTAGTTGCAAAGTTCTTTGAAAATATCACAAATTGAAATACACAATAAATAATTAATCGCATTTGGATTCGCGCAAAAGGAATCTGGTAGTTAGCAATTTGAGTTTTCGGTAATTATTCGAGTAGATCTTTGAGAGAGGTTACCTTAGGTACATGCAATGTTTCAATATAGCCCTAATATCCACTATCTTTTCATTTTTTTTTTTGTGTATGTACAGAAACGGTTCGTGTAAATAGTTAAAGTTTTGCGTTTTACATGTACATCCATATCCTTTTTTTCCGTGTGTATGTGTGTGTATATATATATAGTTCTAGGAAAATAAGTTAAGCAAACTTTGTGCTGCATAATTGAGTCAAGTTGAATTGATGTTGCCGTCTATGGGTGGAACTGGTTGACTGGGCGCCGCCTCCTTGCTCCCAATTCTTAACTAGTATAGCTAACTAACTTTGGTGTCTAATTGAATTCGCTATGGCTCAGACTGAGGCTCTTGGCCTGGCCAAACTTCTGCTTCAGCTGGCTGGTGTTCACCCGGAAGCGCTGCATCAGCTGTTGCTGCCTTCCTCCTCCTCTTTCTCCTGCTCCTGCTCCTCCACCTCCTCCTCCGGATGCGCTGGACTGCAGCGGCGAAAGGGTCGCCATTGCCGCATCAGCGCTGGTTATAGACTATGATCCTTTCAGCTTCTTCTTCGGGTTGTTGCGCGATTGATCGGTGGCCGCTGATGGTGGTAGCTCTCGGTATTGATTCTTTAAGAAAATAAAATAAATATAATTAATCGATAAGCATAAAAAGGTTCATAGATAACTTACAATCTCCTCGTTATCTGGCACTCGTGAGAGGAAGTCCAATAGCTCGTTGTTGGGAATGGTGTTGGGTCTCAGCAATCGCCTGGAGAACTTCATCAGGCCCCAAAAGAGGAGCAGCCAGCGGAGTGGAACAAAATGCAGGACCAGAATGGCACCCAAAAGTAGAACCACAGCTAGCCAGGTTAATTCGGGGACGGAAAAATTGAATGTGCTAGGGAATATCAAATAAATTAATATAAATGTATATAATTTTATGAAATAATAAGAGATAAGAGATCTTACTTAATAGTGCTTTCGCCTAAAGAAGCCAGATAACCTATGGTATTCTGAACGGTTTGGGAGACTTCTTGGATGGCCTGTAACCTTTCCTTGATGGACTTCTTCTCCTCCTTTTCCTTGTCATCATCGTCATCTTCATCGTACTCATAATCGTAGTGGGCAGCGGCATCTGTGGTGCCTGTTATAAGGCGAATGAGCCAGTTTCTGGAAGATAAAATAATAAATTATTATAATTATACCTTTTTGAATATATACTACTTCTTACTTTAGTATGATGAGTAGTAATACTAGTGGTACTGTATCTAGATCGCCGTAAACACAGGCCAAAATCCACAAGACGAAAGCTATGCTGGAACGCACTGGTGATTCCCATTCAAAGCAGCTCCTGAAAATAATACATAAATTATAATTTGTATACCAAATTTAAACATTAATAAATAAAAAACTCACTGAACATATCGCGCGGCATCCAGGATATCCATGATAATTTCCTTGAGTCTGTTCACATTTCGGAGGAAGAGTTGTCTCTTAAATTTGGCCTCCTGCTGGATGAGTTTCTCCTCCTTCGGCTGGAGAGCTCGACAAACGGCTCGAATTTCACTCCAAACTACAGTCAGTTCCAGCTGAATTTGCGGTGAGTTTCCTTTGGCTCGGACACAGAGATTCTTGTCCTTCAGTGTGTACCATCTCTTGACTCCACTCTTGATCCTCAGAAGGGGAATGACTAGTTTGCCCAGGAACTCGACGCGATGATCGCGATCCTCATCGAAGACGGTGATCTCAAGCACCTGCGTTATGTCTTTAACGTTGCTAAAAAAGAAAATCAATTCATAACTCAATAAATCTTATATAAATGATAGTAAACAATATTTACAATGTAAAAATCTTATTCCAATTAGGAGTGAGTGTCTTGTATTCCGTTTGTGTTTGCAGTCGCGCATTTCCCAGTTCCAAAACGCAAAAAGGATCCGATTTTCCCCCAATATCCGCTGCTGCCAATCCTGTGGCTCCGAAAACCTTCACAGTCAGGTGACCCACATCCCTCAAGTTTTGAAGGCATCTTAGGAATCGATATCTATCTTTCAGCAACTGAACCTCCCGAGGATCCTCCTTGAAGGCTTTGAGATCACTGATGGTCTCCAAAGCTGTGGTTCCACTTATTGTGAGCATTAAGTGGACTTCACCAGGACAATCTTCAAGAGGTTTCCAAATGCCATGGGTGTTTTCTCGTTGGAAAACACTCAGATCGATAATGGCCTTGCCATACAGGGTATTTCGATTCCAAAGAGCCAGCTCTAGGTTTTGATCTTCATCGAAGAGGTGCAGATCGAACTGCTCCAACCAGCGTTCCGTCCAGGAAGACTTGCTCTTGTACTTCTCATTGCCCAATCTAAATGTTTAAAAAATATATAAAAAACCTATTAATTATTCTTATAAAAATATGAAAACATATAATAAACACAAATCATAAAGATGGTTTTGATTTGTCGATAATCTCTTATTTATTTTTGAGTAGCCAACTGACCTGAATTTAAAGTGCGTGTCATTGAGCTTGCTGCCATCTTCGGCCAGCGGCAAATCTTTGGCCTTAACCAGCAGAATGGTGACCACGGAGCTCCAGATCTGCGACTTCAGTCGCTTCGATGACTCGGCCAGCTTCGAGTTGCGCTGAAAGTGCTGTAACAATTCCGGAAAGTGAGCCTCGGCCGCCTCCTTCAGTTCCTCGCATCCCTGCTCCAGTTGCTCCCGGAACTCCTCGTGCTGGCGCCTCACGTGTTTGAGCACCATGCGAGGAGCCCGCTTGCAACCGGGCCAATTGTTGCCCAACATGATCCCCGAACGAGAGTCGCAACCAAAGCGAACCGCAAATTACATACACTGGCTGCCTCGAAACGAAACAAAACTCTAAGCCGCACTTAGCTCTCGACGATCGGACAGTGACTAAAGCCATTGGCACAGAGGTCTTGCGATTGCGAGAAAAATACACTCATTACAAAATAGTCAGGTATGCCGGACTAGACATAGTGCATACTTGTCTACAATATGTAATGGAATGCTAAGTGGTAGATGAATCATCTTCACTGCTAGTTTAGACTTTAATAGGTTTTAACAGCCCTAAAAAATCAGGGTGATATAACAACCTCAGGTACTAGGTATTACAAATGATTTAATAAAATTTTAGGTTTGTTATTGTATATTTAAAATAATACATTTTCCACCAAAAAAAAACTATACTAATGAAAACCAACGAAAATATTGAAGCTAGGATTGCTAAACAACTTTATTTATTTTTAGAAAAATAAGTAATAAAGAAAATTATAACCCTTAACTCTTTAGAGTTTTTTTTTTCATATTTCCGTATGAAGTTTTTATAGGGTATCCATTCTTCGTACTTCTCTGCTATCCATTTCCCCTCTGTTTTCCCAGTTTGTCATTTATTTACTTCGGAGCGCCTTCGTCTGGCGATAACATGCAATGGCACAATGACAGCTCAAGCTTTTATTTATTGAGCCACAACGATCGCTGCTGCTCTCTCGCCATCGAAGCTAAAGTCATGATGAGTTTGCCCCGGCTGGAAAACAGCTCAATTGTTCGGCTTTATATCGTGTTGGCTGCGGTTACTGGATCAAAGTTAAAGCTTCGTGTGTGTCTACCCGAAATAAAGCCCAAGTGGTGTGTAACCAATTCGGCTGGGCCATAAATAAAGTTGGTGGGTAGGCGAGAGCGCTTATAAATAAGCGGTGGGTCAAAGTTGGGGGAGGCTAGGAGCTCCTCGTTGAGAGGCAATTAAGAATGCCAGACAAAAGGTAGCGAGACAATCGCTTAGCTCACCGTGGAAATCCGCCGAGTGAAGGGCTGATTGATGGCCCAGACGAGCTGCTTCCGACTAAATTTCCCCTCGCTCCCTCCTCCTCCATTTTCCCCACTAAACAATAGAGTGAATGGATTTATGAATGCCACTCACCATTTCCTTGTCCTCCTGACTGCGCGGCCAAAGCGTCAAATTGATGAGTATCTCGCCCATGCCACATCCTCCATTTCCTGACGAGTCGCACAGCTGCAGGTGGATGTCCTCGGCCTTGCCCAATTCCAACTGGGTTAGGTCCAGCTTGGCCGAGCCCATAAAGTCGTCCTGCAGTCCCCAATCGTAGTCGAAAACCTGATGGAGAACGGGAGATTGGAAAAACCAAAGCGGAAATCCATTTCGATTAGATTGGACTAGGTGCTTCTGGGAATTGGTTTGCGCTCTAAATCAATTCTGTTTCATACACTAAGAAAACTAATTATACCCTGGTTGCAGATAAAAAATTAAATATGGAAAAAAAGATTCCCTCATGGCAGCGGTGGGATTCGAACCCACGCCTCCGAGGAGACTGGTGCCTTAAACCAGCGCCTTAGACCGCTCGGCCACGCTACCGTTGAAGACCTGCGACTATTTTTTTATCGCCTTGTGTTGCTCTTATCTGGAGAAAACTATTTCTGGCTGCACAACTTATCTCGGAAAAACCTCAGGCAGTTTTACGCCGTCATTTAAATGTGACAAAGGCATTTATTTAAATTTTTGACAAGCATGAAAACAATCTTTACACCGCAGTAAAACTTTTTATGGGAAAACTAAAGATGCACTAAAAAGTAAAGGGTGATAAATAAAAAAGATATTTTCGGCAAGAGTAAAAAACTTTATGAAACTTTGAAACTTTTGGAAACCTAATGACATGCTACTTAACAAGAAAAACAAAATGATTTAAAAGAAAGTGATATAAGGGAATTATTCGATTATTAAATTGTAAAAACGTTTAACAAATTCAAACTTAAACAAAATGTATACTACTAAACTACTATATTATAAATTTCTTATTTATACATATTTTTTCATTGAAGTATTTTAGAAAAAAAAAAAAAAAGCTCTTCAAACCAATAAAAAATATTGAAAGATCTTTCTCAAAATGGTTCTGCATTCTTAAAGAATATGAAAAAAATAGGTTTTCAACTACATATTTATATTTCTCCATGGTGATTTGTTTAAACTTTACTCCCCTGGTAAGTATTGATACCCATTTAGTGCAAAACTTTCTCTGCGTGCAAAGCAAACCCGAAGTTTCTGTGGAGGGGCCGACGTGCCATTGCAAACTTTCTGCGCACTCACCTTGACGATAATCGGCTGGAAGGGGTCCTCGATGGGCACGATGAAGACCTCGTCCCAAACGGGATTCAGGTCGCGGTGAATGGTGCGCGATTTGTGGAGGAGTCGCCCGCCGACCTTGAACTTGACATAAGGATCACTCAGTCCTGCGGCAGGACGAAAGACAAAAGAAATTTCTCGCTGCAGTGGCTGTGCATTGTGTCCAGTGCTTGATTGAGCACAAAGGTGTGTGGGTTTGGATAATGGAGAATGGAAAGTGGGATTCGGAGGGGTTTTTTCCAGAGGAATAAAGGTAAGGGGATTCTGGGGGTGCCTGCTCACCATTCTTGTCCATGGCCACCAGGTCGCTGCCGGATTTCAGATGAACGCGCAGCTGAAAGAAGACGAATTGACGTAATTGGGCTTCGCGCTTGCGACGCAGCTCGTCGGCCTGATCGATTTCATTATCATTTTGGTCAGTTAGTTAGAGTTGTAGTGCAGCACAGCGAGTCGTTGGAAAAGCGTAAATCGAAATTTCAGTTAGTGCCATTGAGTGAAAGTAAAAGGCGAGTAAATCAAGGAAGCCAATTGATAATAAGGAGCAAAGCAACCAAAAAAAAATAAGAGCCAGTTGGGTTCACCAACCTGCAGGGCTTCCAATTGCTGTTGGGTGGTCAACTCTGGAGGATTGCAGCCGGCGGAACCGTTCTCCGGATGCTCATCTATCCTGCCCTCCATGGAGCCGCCGAATCGCTGGATAACCTGGGCCATCTTGGCGGTGGCTCGGAATTCCTTGGCCAGCGGCGAACCACCGATGGTGGTGCTGCGATGTCGAGGACTCTGGGTCACGGAACTACTTTCCGAACTGTAATCCGCCGCATAATCCGTGCTCTCTTCGAGGAAATCACTCGGGGACTTGCGACCCAAGCGATCTTTGCTCTTCGCGCGACTCCAGCGATGTCGGAGATTGTTGAAGAATCCGTGGGTCTTCTGCAGCACGCCCACTCCGCTGGCCACGCCCCCCGATCCACCGCCTGCCAACTGCTGGGCTACGGCACTTTTGGCCCGCTTGGGTGATATGTGCGGCGATTCACCGTGGCAGTCGTGACCATTCAGCTCCGAGGCGGATTTGCTGAGATGTTTTCCGAGGCGCTGGGTTTGCTGCAACTTCGGGGAGCCATGTGGCGAGATCCGGAGCGGCGGAGTGGATCCGCTGACGGTGAAGCTGCTTCCGGGTTGCTGCTGCTGCTGCTGCAGCTGACGATCATCCGCCTCCTCCTGCTCCACCTGGTCAACGTAGTGGATGCGTGCTGAAAAGTGGCAGGGGGGAAATCGTAATTGTTATTTCACCTGGCACGCAACGCCCACAATCGATTTAACAAGAATCCAGCGACCGATTGATAAGTCATATGGAAACAAAAGCAAAAACAACAACCAAATATACTCTACGCCGTATTTACTATGTTTTTTTGAGTGTTTGCAGGCCCACCAATTGCCACCCATGACATCACTGCTCTTTTGCGATTGTCTTAATTATGAGAATTACAGAAAGCCATAAGAAAGTGGAATGATTTTTGCCATTTGGCGATGCGGTCATCCAGAATAGAGAAAAACCATCAGGGCATTTTAAAAAAGGTAAACCATTTCATAAAGTGTTTGTTGTTAATTAAAAAATATTACAGTCTGTGAGGTGCTCAGAAAAGTCATTCATTAGTTAAAATAGCTTTTATACTCCCAATATATTTTCCATTAAAGGCACGCAGCGCCTTAAAACATTTATGGGACAATTAAGAAAATGGAAAGTTTACTATTACAATGTAGCACTATTTTTACTTTAATAAAATCTTATTTTACAACGCAAAAGCTAATTTATTATTATACTATAGATCTATATGTATCTATTATGTGTGTCATAAATGTCACATATTTCAACTATTCAACTTGGATAAAATTCACTTCACTGCACATTGCTTGAACTTTTTAAAGAGGAACATTTCTTTGCAAAGTTTCTTAAATTTATGATGATTGCGTATTTTGCTTTCATACAAATTTATCTTTGCTTCGCCGCAGAAAAGTGACAGCCATTTGGATTCCATCTAATATTCTATATGAATAATAAACGAAGGATTTCGCTGGGCTTTTTAAATTTATCTTTCTATAAAGCCACGGGGTTTAAGTTTACCTGTGACTGGGAATATTTTATTAATTCTGTGGCACAACGCGGCGGCTTGTGGCTTCTTCGCGTTGCTCGAGGACTTGAAAGAGTGCCTGAGATGCAGCGGTTGCATGACATGGCCAACAGTCGCAACTCAAATTGAGATAAATAATTGATTACAGCACTTTTTGATGGCCTTTGCTTAGGTTAATTGCACTGTTAAGCAATAAGAGCTACTTGGTTCTATTTAATAAACCTTAACTGGGTTAAAACCATTCGATGTTTGCAGAACAATGACTTGGTTTTTCTTTTGCTGATTTTCCGACGCGGAGCTTGGCGAACTGCACGGCGGCAGTGCCCCTAGAAGACTGCTTCGGATTCGGATTCGCTGTCTGCCGTTATGGTTTCATTTTCATCCCCACCACCCCCCATTTTCCTCCCCCTCCTTTTGGCCAACCGTAACTTTTGCTCTCCTTTGGCATTTGTTATTGTTAACGAAGGCGCGCACATACACTTTCAGTTTATGTTACGAGTTCAAGTGTGTGTGGGTGTCAAAGTGTGTGTGTGTGGCATTGAGTTGAATTGCGAGTGGGTGGTGCTGGGTGGTTTTGCGGTGGCTCTTGGACGGTGCTCTTGTGGGTGGTTGACTGCCGGCCTTACCCACTTGCATTATTAATGCTTTGCAGCGATGCTGCAGCTGCTTTTATTTCTCTTTCTCTCTTCGATGCCGCGAAAATTGGAAAAGCATCCAACGATGGCGTCACCAAATGCAAATGTGAATGTGCGCCCTTTTTTGGGGGGCATAAGCGACAAAGCTTTACGCACCCCGAGCGCAGAAAGCTTTACATTTTCGGGATTTTCTCGGACTTTTTCACACAGTTTATTTTATTTCAATGAATGAAATGGCAGTCAAGTCAGAAAGAGAGTATCCAAATAATTCTCAGAGGCTTAAGGCCGAACAAGGACACCGGTGTTGCAAGAGCAATTCGCCTGGCTCTTGTGCAACCGAATGCCTTTGCATATCATTTCAATTAATTTAATGCAAGGAAAATGCAGATTTCCCAACCCCCACAGTCAGGTGTGGTTTTCCACCGCCCTCGGGTCATTCGGAGAATTTGTGGCAAACTATTCCCCGGGGAGCACTTTGCGGCTTAGGGGCTTGCCATCAATTTGCCACACACTCCACATATGTTTCATCGAGTTTTTTGTGTTGTTTGCGGCACACAAACATTTTTTATGTGGGCCTTTTAGTTTGGACACCAGTGTTCGTTCCATTAAAGTGTTGCATACTTTGGGGCTTTCGAGTGTTCTTGATGTTTGTTACAAAATAAATTTACTTGAGCCTTGGCGGCGCATTGCAATTAGCTAACTTTTTGGCTCTCGGGGCGGCAAAAGTTGGCTGCCATCAGCCTTGAGTGGAAGGAAAGGCTCTTTTCAAATTATCGCACATACGCCATGTGGCCAGAACTCATTTAATACCATTAACGAAAAGGCAAGCGGCATTTCGTTATCCCTAATGATCACATCCGAAGCACGTGCTTTCGATAAGCATAAAAACAGAAGGTTTTACCGCCCTTTTTACGGCCCAAATAATGAAATTGTATATGTATATGTATATCCTTTTCGCCGCTGGAAGTCCATAAATGCAGCGTCATTAATGTTTTTGTTTTTTGGGCCGTATCATGGATGGTTTTAGTATCGGAAATTGGCCCGCCTAATCGGGTAATATAAAGGCAACATCGGACATCAATTATGGATTCTACACGGTGCACGGACTTGTTTCCATCACAACTTTAGTCAATAAATCAAGCTCGAGGTCAGCCATCAATTATTTAGACGTGGGTCAGCAAGTGTCATATGGCTCAAATATTTCTGTCTCATTTGCCCTTTCATCGTGCCTCTCTTTCTACACGCTCACCTGTTGACTTTTTCTGACATTTTAGCGAATCTATTTTCGTTACATTGCACTGAGAAAAAAAATATTGCAAGCCTTATAAAAAATGAACTGAATTACTAAAAAGTTGAACATTTCAAGTTATGGCAAATAAATAAATATCCAAATAGCTTAATATATTCAACATACAAAAATGCGAAAAAAATTTAATTCCCTTTGAAAAATATGTGATAATTTTCTAAATTAATTTAAGCTAGACAAAAAATGTATGTGGCAAAAGTGAAAATTATTTTAAAGGTGTTAAATCTTGGCAAAAAAGGTTATCCAAAAGTAAATATAAATATTATGTTATTTCCTTGGGATATTTTTCTGAGTGCATGGTAAAAGTTTTCTTTTCTACACGACGTGTTTTCAGCATTGTTGTCCTCAAGTCTTTTTCTGCCCTTTGGCTTATTGGCCCCTTATATATGTAGTACATGTATAGTGGGAAATGACGTCACTGCCGGCTAGCACAATCCCCTTTCCATTCATGCGAAGTTGGCAACAAGGAGCCGTCTGGATGTCCCGCTGTTCGTAGCTTCGCCGGCGGGTGTCGCAGTTAGCGTAGTTGGACTGTAGCCCACTGTGTGGGTTTGTTGTGGTTCTGATTATCTTGTTTACCGAGCACGCAACCAACCGAAACCCGACTTATCACAGAGCGAGAGTTTAATCGCTTGTCGCAGCCAAGGCGTTGCTTTTGGGATCCCCAGGTGGGCGACGAGGCGAAAATGAATGAATGCTTTTATTGGCTTCTTATATTTCTGCGCCAGACAAGCGAATCGTTCATCTACGCCATGTGGATCAGATACTCATAATTAGCACATTCCGTGGCTGTCGAAAAGCCAAACAAAGCAAAAGCCAAACATCTGCCTCGAAGTTTCTCAAATTTCGATCGGAAATTCCTTAACTTTTATTTGCATTTTCCCATCGCCGCTGCACAGCTTTCATCGTTCATCGTTCGTTGTTCTTGGATAAATGATTTTTCCTCAATTTGTTGTCGGCTCTGAATTATTCATGGAATTTCTTTTTACCATACATACAATATTTTGGTCTTGGTCTTCTTGGTACTTTTTGCGCTCCATCTTGCTAAATTATGCATGAATTATTTATGCGGATTGTGCCCTTATTTAAGGTCCACGCTCTTACAAATGCACAGCAATTGCAGGACCTCTAAAAGCGCTCTTATGGCCACAATTGAATTCTATATGTAAATTGCGTATACGCAGAGTGGGCCCAACTGATGGTCAGCCCGTTTGACAGCCCATAAATGCATCGGATCCTGAATGGACTGTAGCTTAATTAAGTGCCGGGATAATGACGAAATTAAATGGGATTATGCCAGTCTTTTTGATGGCCTGGCTCTCGCTGATGCCTCATAAGAGTCTCTAAAGCTGGGATTACCAAAACCCTGTACGTGTGTGTTGCCCTAAGGATGAAAAAATCCTGGGGATAGGTGGCAGTTGGCGGGCCACAATATGCGCTGGCCCGAAGCTTTCATTTTAATTAACTGGGTTACCTTTGTGGGCCAGCCGTTTCGGAGCCAAGTAATTACAACTCGCCGGCAAGCAGCGAAGAACAGAAAAAATCCAGGGAGAAAAATTACAACCCAAATTGGTCATCAGAGTAGTAAATGTTTGTCAGGAATATATTAAGCTACAGTCTGAATCTTGATGTGGTCAGCATTTTGATTAAATTGTTAATAGCAAGCTAAAAACTTTTTTTTTGTAAGATTATTAAACCTAAAATTTTTGTTTTGTGTGCACTAAAAGTTTCTTAAACCTTCTTTTGTTGTTTATTTCTTTTAATATACCGAGAGCAAACTTTGTTTTTAATTGCCTCTGTTTGAAAAACATGAGATGCTGCAGAAAGAACTTGTCACTTCGTGTTGAATTGCTTTTTCCTTTTCTGCTTTTTCCCCCTAATATTTGAGAACTTGAAAATAAGACAACTTTGAAAACACCATCCTGTTTTCATTCCCAGCTGCGTCTGACTCGATTTGAACAATCAATTTATGCGCTCGTGCTCGAATTGCTTTGTCCAATTTTACGTTTGGCAATTTGCAGATGGCAGCTGCAATTTCAATCAGGGAATATGTGGTGCTCCCAAGCAGCGGGGGACTGAGACGGGCAATAATGGGAATGAAAAGGGCAGACACCTCGAGGCCACCAGTGGCGACAGTTTTCCTCCCATTTCCTCAGCATTTCATCTGGCTTCTAACCCAGCAAGATGTTCATTTCTCAAATGGTCGCATAAACAGCAACAAATTAATGGCCAAGTGGGCAGAGAGAAGAGCTGGCAAATGAGCGCCAAGCGATAATTAAAAACTATATCAGGGAAAAAAGCACGCGACATCTAGACAGCAAATACAAACCGAACATAACCGAATAGAACAGAACCAAGTTCTGTTGGCCACTCAATTTTATTTGGTCATGCCAACTGCCAGCGTGGTACTTGCGTGTCTCTGTCTCTCTCTGTTGGTATGCGTGTGTGTGAGTGTTTGGTTGGTGTATTTTAAGTGTGAGGAAGTGCAGTGGTGTGTGTAAACCGGAAGCGCAGCGGCATGCAAAGACGCCATAACTGCCATGACGAACAGCAGCTGAATGCCGCAAAATGAGGAATAGCCGCACTGTGCGTAGAGGAGAGGGGGTTGCGGGGGGTTTCCAGGGGTTATCGGTCCTAACCCCTTGCTGACATGGCGCCAAAATCAAAGCGAGGGGTGCTCGATAAGTTATGAAGTTATATTTATTTGTTTATGTGGATTATGTATTCCAAATATGTTAATGCAGATATAAATTATCTTAATGCTTTGTATTATCGATACAATTTTAAAATAGAATTTACATTTTATTATTTTATTTTTATTATTTATTTTAATAATTAAAGCATTGCAAAATAATTGAGTTAAATAATCATTTACAAATATTCACAATACAATAATTATATTTTGTTCCTAATTTTTTGCATGTTTGTAATATGTGTGTGATCTTACTGTTTTAAAGGTTATAATTATATTGTCTATCTTTCTAACCATTAAAAAAGTGAGAATGAGACAAGTGACACAAGTTAATAAAACGGAAAGTTATAAAAAACAACAAATGCTTTCAGAAAAACAACGTTTACGTTTGTTCCATAACATTTGTATGTATTTATTGTTAGGACAGGTGCTATTAATAAACAAAAAAAATGTGTTAGGCCTGCGCGTGATTTCGTTACCCCATTTGAATGACCTATTAGCTTGTTTTTCTCACAAACAGATTAAGCCCACCATTGCTGTGGCAAAATTTATGCGCAAACTAATTTGGCCAAAGCCGCACTCAACCCGCATAAAAATAGCTGGCCAAATTGTGCGGCGCTGGCTTTTCAGAGCGACTCAGCGGCTCAAGTGGCAGCATTCAGCCATCTACCAGCATCAAACAAACAAAAAAGGGAGTTGGGCGGGCCCGAAGGATAAGGGATAACGGATTACGTGAGGGCTGCTTTAAAATACATAAAAATACAACACTCTAGAGCAGACGTCAGGTTGAAATTTGCTTTGGATTTGGCCAGGTTACATACTATATAGTATACTATACACCTGCTGGCTTATCAATGGCATTCGTGGGAGCCAAACATTTTTATTTCCCCCTAAACACTTACACATCCTTACACAGCTCGGTGTTCGTGTGTGAGTGTGTGTGTGCGAGTGTGAGGTCACCAAGACAAGTGCATTCGAATTTAGCGACTACATCCTCCTTCCTCCTCGAATTTCGCCGATTTTCCTAGTTGGCTGCTGTTACTCCTCGTGATTTTCCTGGGCGCTTACTATTTTCCCATTTAGGACCTGCACTGCCGTTTGCATTTGCAGTTGGCCAAATAATTTTTTTACAACACACTGCACTCGGTTTAACTTTTCCTGCTTTTATTTTCCTTTTTTCTTGTTGTTTTAGTGGCACACACACGCGAGATGAATGGCTTTTCGGCGGGGGGGAATGAAGAAGTAAAGGGGGAGAAGGGGAGTCCTTCCAGAACTTCGCGTGGGGAAAAAGGGAGCGGGAAGTCCCTCCGATTTTACACAGAACGCGCGTTTCGAGTGAGCGAGAGGGCGAAACGCTTCGCAATGCCGTCCGCTGCCTTGGAGAGTTTTCGCGCAACTGAACGCTCGACGGAAGCTTTTGCGCCTTTGCTGGGCCTCCGAAAGCTTTTTGCCGCCGAGCGCAAAGCAAAAATTGAGTACAATTCGGTCGAGTGGCTGCTCAAAAGTGCCAAAGGGACGAAGGGTCCTTCAAACGGGATAAACAAGACAGGTAAACACGATTGTCACTGGTGACAGGCTTTAAAACCAATGACTGGGAGCCTTAATTTGTTGGTTCTTTATCGATAGTAACTACATTTTTGGTAAACATTCTACCTCAAATTAACCTTCTTCTTCAATTAACCTAATTAAACAGTAAGCTTTGAGAAAGCGGTTAAGTGGCCACGGGTCAAAGAATTTCTATTATTTGTTTTTCAGACGGTTTTTACTTAATTTTTATAATTCAACCCTTTTCCAAATTTTCATAACTTTTCTATTTCGAATCCGATGTTGAAGTGACATACCTCTAAATGTTAATATTTTAACCCTCTAACCAACTGCATCAATGGTTAATTTTTTTATCTCTTGGCCAATTTTTTTAAAATTTTTATGATGCACCCTTTTTCGAAATTTCCAAAAATTCCTTTTAGTTGAATTGCAGAAAATACGTATTTCTTCCAAACCTTAAATATAAAACAGAGAAATTTTGATAAGTGGTGATTGATTATATTTTTTCCTCTTCATCAAAATTAGATTCAAAATATAAACCATTGATTTCACAGATTATCAAGGCCCCTTCTATCAGCGCTGAAACTTCCTATAGACAATATCTTGAGAGATTGCACAAAAGAGAGGCGATTCGAGATTGTTGCGAAAAGAGATAATGCCGAAGCTTCTGACAGATGACACGATCACTCACCATCACTAAACTCGGGATCCGAACTGAAGACGATCATCCGGCTCGAAACGACGGCGGTTCGAGAACTCGCAATTCAAAAACTGTTGTTCAGTCTTTTGGGAGTTGTGCAGTGGGAAGCTTGGAACCTGCGATCGCTGATCCAGAATTAAGAAAGCGGATTTGGAATAGTGTTTCAATAAAGTGATTTTTATATTCCAAGCTCTTTTAATAACTAAAAAGTTTAACTTTTGAAACTTGCGGCTGGTTCGAAAGTTTCGATTTAAAAATATATATTAGAATATATAAGTTCCCGAAGTAAAACCAAAAAGACCGGTAAGTGGAAAGAAATTATTCGGTTTCTGCGTCTCGCCCGCAGATTCTCGAGCGCCATTATTGCAGAAAAGCGAAACTACCGTTATCAGTTAGAATTCCAGTGCCTTGCACTTTATACTTTCGCTCTGCTCCTCCACTTCCTCCTCCTCTTCCTCCTCCTTTCCCCCTTTTTCACCCCCCTTTTCGCACCGCCTTCACTCGCCGGGAAGTTCTGCACTTTTGCATCTCGTTACACTGGCCAACAGGGTTTCGCCTGGATTCACTTCCATTAAACTGCGCCATGTGTATGTGTTTTTAATTTTGCGTTTTATGGAGATACACTTTGATCCCCCGAACAAATGCTTGTGATAATTTTATTGTTTTTGTTATTTAATTGAGAATTCGCGTATTTTCTGAGCGATGCAATAAGCGCTATAAATATAAAATAAATGAATGTTGTGCTTGTGTAACTTTATATTATACGCCAACAGATTTCTTTCTCTTCGCGGCAAAAATAAGAATGGAAGCCATCAACACACAGAAATGATTTTAACAAATCAAAAAAAAAAAAAAATAAAGGAGAGCTAACCTATCATTTTATTAGAGGCTCAGAGATTTTCAAATCACTTATAACTTATAACCTCACCCACACAGTGATTATTCCGAGACGGAAATCACCCGTAATCAGCGTTTTGGAACTATTCCTTCTCCAATCGGAATCGTACAAAGTTCAGATGGTATAATTTGAAAATACTTAATTTGTTTTGATTTTTGTTGCTGCCGCCGCTGCGGTCTTCTTAATTTTTTGCCGTTAGTCATTGGTCGGCACAAGGCATCCAAATACTATAGAGCGACTGACTATAAGTTTTGCCAGACGGCAGCAACAAAAAACAAAAGCGAATCCAAATCTCAAGTTATAGCAAGTGCGAAGTGGCGATCCGCTCCGATAAGCGATCCACTTTCGGTTCCTCTGGCAGACGACCTCGTATTGTCAGGTCTATTAATACGGTATTACCGTATTCCCGGGTTGTTCAGCCGGTAATCACGCGGCAATCCGGAATCCCGAATAAAGGTATCCGTACCTTTACGACTGCTGCTATAAAGTGGAACACTCACCAAAATAGGGGGAAACTATAGAGATAAGACTCAGAACAAACTAATTTGGTTGACAACTAATCTTTTGTTCCGGTTTTTAATTCACTGAGTTGTGCTGGAATATTTTTATACAGTCATGTTATATATATAAAAATATTGTTTTTAAATGCAAACAAACAGTTTAAAAAAATATATTTTTTTTATAGGTCAGGGAATGATTGCCTAATTTTTATTAATACTGACATGTAGTCATAGCCACATAAAATTAATTTTAAGAAAGTTGCCAAAATGTTATTGCCAAGAAGTTCAAAGAAAAGGATTAAGCATTTAATCCGGCTTACTTGAAGTTAAAGCTATTAAAGTTGCTCCGTGTTATCTGCTCAAATTAAAATCCAATAAAATGTGGTTTTCTTTATCAGCAAAATGGCCCAGGAGACGGAGACGGTGGCGGGAGCCAAAGATCAGCACCATATCGATGAGGATGAAGTCAGCGAACTGCAGAAGTCGCGCAGCTTTTACGATCGGGTTCGCGAATTGGCGGAGCGATTTGCCGGAACGCAAATTGGCCAATTTGTTATTGAACGGGCAGATCGAGCATTGGTTATGATCGAGGATACGGCCAAGTGGAGTTTGCCACAGGGTGAGTAATAGTTCGTACCTGATTAGGTTTCTTACACTTTCAACTCCCTGAAACAGAGAAATCTGCTGCTCCCCTCGAACGTCCTTTGCCTTGGGCTCCTTTTCTGCTGCTCATCATCCTGCTGCGACTCACTCGCATTTGGTTGTCGGTGGGCGCCTTGATGATCGGCAATGGTCCTATTTCCCCCTCGGATATGGTTTACTTTATACAAACCCGTCGTCGCAAACTGCGAGCCATTCGAGTTCATGGTCTGAAGGTAATGAAGCATCGCCAGCAGGAGGTTTCCTACGGCAGTGGCAAGGGTTTGACCCAGAAACTCAGTCAGTGGGTTTCTCGAGCCATTTGTCGTCCAGGAGTTCAGCAGGACACCAGCAGTCGAAGGGTATTTGTACGCCATTCAGAGCAGGTGGGTTTATTAGGATCAAATTATATATTAATTACATTAATATTTAATATAATATCCTTTATTAATAGGGCCTTTCCAATTCCGTGGTTGTTAAGCGTCCGCGGGAAGAAGACTCTCATGTGGATCCCGATCACAATCTGACCATTGACCAAATGCTGGCCAAGTACGCGAATGAAAACTCCGAGGATGACTCCGATTTTGTTCCCAATGAGGAAGAGGAGGAGACCAATACCAGCAGCAGCGAGGAAGATAGTGAATCCGAGTCCGAGTCCAGCGGGGAGATCAGCAGCAGCGAGTTGAAAGAGCTCGGCGATCAGGTGGGCTTTACAAACTTATAACTGCTCTTCCGACTTAACTAAGATTTATCCTTAGGCCAAGAAACCACCTGTGGTGGAGAATGGAGTGCACAAGGCCGAGGAGAATAAGGATAAGGAAAACGATAAGGGAAAACTGAACGTAACGACAACCAGCAACGGCAACAAAGACAAGGAGCAGGCGGAAGTTGGTAATGGATATTGAACTTGAACCTTATTAAGACTCGCGTGCGTAGCCCCCTAAGTCTAGGTTAACTGCAAGTATCGCATATCGAATTAAGCGTAGATGAAAACTGAACTTAAAACGTTGTCATGATGAAATACAATACAATACCGATACAACAATACAAAAACGAAACACAGGTTCTTGCTCGTAGATCAATCCATTTGCAGGACTCCCCCCCAAAAACATAAAATTCCAAATTCCAAAAAGCCAGTTGTGAGTTTGGCCCCTCGTTGCAATTCCTTCCCGATGCCCTGACCTCGAATCTTTCTCTGTTTCTCCCCCATTCCCATCCGATTGATCGCGATTAGCTGCTGGCCAGCGGGACGAGCAGTGGAAATCTTCGCCAGGACATGTGAGTGCCGCCATGATGAACACCCGATTCTACAATAACACCGCCGCTGCAGGTAACTCACGCGAGAATCGCTTCCACATTGGTCGCAATTAACATTTTAACGTTAGTATTCTGTCTCTGTTTCTGTTACTCCGTGCATGTGTTCAAACACAACAGCAAGCTCTGATCCCCCAAATTCAACTCAACCTGAACCTCAACCAGAAGCAGAATCTGAAACTGAAACTGAAACAGAACCTGAACCCCAATCCGAACCCCCATCCCAATCCCCAACCGAAAACGATGAATCCAACGAAGACGAGGACGATACTTGCAGCACCAGTGGCAGCAGTCAAACTGGGGGCACTGTCTGCCCAAGGAAAATCGAGGCCAACGAGACCCAGCCAGATACCCAAGCTGAACAGATCCTCCTCCTCGAAGTTGCCGCCAATCTGAGTGCCTCACAACTATCCAACTATCCCACTGTCGACACCCTAACTCCTGCCACCTCCTCCGAAGATATATTCTATAGTCCTATCGGTGTGTCATTCACTCCTAGTTTCTAGTTTCAATTGCATGTTGATTAAGTTAATTAAACTTATAACAAATCATTAGGATTCCCTGCACAAAATTTATTCGATTTATTTATTATACCAAATAGTTAACATCTTCCTTGGCTAGCCACTTTTATACACTCATAATCTTGTTCTAAAATTTGTTTATCTATTTTATATAATTTATTTAAACAGGTTCCCCCACTTGCTTCAATACTAGCCTAGGAACCCAGGCTCTTCTCAAGAAGGCCAGCATCCAATCCGTCCTGGGCAAGTAATTAAATTGCATTAAACCTTCCTAAACCTTCCTTCCTTAATATCGCTTTTATTTCCAGCCCACTCCACTCCCACTACGGAGAAGAAAGATCCACCCACTGAGGAGGCGAACAGCTCCATTTGCCAAACTCCCGAACCCGAGAAGCCCCAATCCCAGCCCCAAAAGGAAGTCCATCATCAGCCGCAAAATCATCAGCAAAATCAGCAGCAACGTCAGCGGAATCATTCCCACCAACGCTTCCGCGGACGCAATCGGCGCTAGACTTTGGCTATAACCATATCATATCGCTTCGATTTTCCTTTTAGCCAGCTAGCTTTTTTCTTTTACTTTTTACATTCCCATATTGTTAGTGAATACTGCGAGTAAATCTCTGAACTTAAACGCTAGTCTGTAATTGAGCTTAGCAAACATATCACAATGTATCACCGACTGGTTCCAGTTTAAAGCGAATATCTCCACAGGGGGCAAGGATAATGGTGCTTTCATATTGCATCGGAGTTTCGGGAAGCCAGCTGATCTTGTAGTTCCTCAAAAGTCGCACCAACAGAGTTTCAATCTCCAGTTCCGCAATCCTCTTGCCAATACAGGTGCGTGGTCCAAAGCCAAAGGGAAGATATACAAAAGGATTCCTGGATCGTTTCTCTGGACAAGCCTGAATATCGGAAGCTAAGTCCGATTTGAGCCAGCGTTCGGGTATAAAATCAGCACTCTTGGCAAAGTATTCATCGCTATTGGAGAGCTCCAGGACTCCCATCAAAACTCCTGTGCCACGAGGCACTTGATATCCCGATAAAACTAGATCCTTGGTGGTTATCCTAAAGTTTCCAGGTGTTATGGAGGTTATGCGAAGGCCCTCTTTAATGCAGGCCCTCAAGTAAGGCATATTTTTGGTACTTCCATCTGTCAAGGATCCCTTTTTATCTGGTAATACGCGTAAAAGTTCGCGTCGCAAGTTCTCTTGCTTGGAGGGATTACGAGCCAAGTGGTAGAGGATCGTAAGACAAGCAGAAGAAGTCTGAAATAAATACTTGTTTAATGATTATTTTTATAAAAAATCATTCACAAACCGTATCAATTCCAGCCATTAGCATATCCATAACCATTGCCACAGCCACCTGTTTGTTAAGTTCCAGCAGTTGCTCCAAAACGCACTTTGTTTTGCGCTTTTCCTCTTTTCCAAAACTTTTCATCGCCGTCTCAATATAATTTGAGGTAATTTCGGTGATATCGTCGTAGGTTTTTAGGAACTTTTTGAAGCCAGGAGTTTTATAAAAAGGCCAAATTGAGGGCTGTACATCGTACTTAAAGCTGTAGTTGAAGAAATCACCCATGTGCTTGGCCAGCCGATCTGCATTTGGATCTGGTTGATCGGTTAGTAATCCCATTCGAGTATTTATGGCCACAAAACTTATAGATTCAAAAGCCCACATCTTTACCTCGTTGTGAAAATCAGCATTTAGGGTATGGTTCTCCGGATTCCTTAGTGTTTCCAATCTGAAAAAGAGAAAATGGTTAGACATTTTGAATGGATTCAATATATGCGATATTTTACTTGTCGATAAACTCCTTTGATATTTGATCCAGTTGCGGTAGATTCTGCCTGACATTCTGCACCTTCATAAGCACAGGATTTACTTTATTGCGTACATCAGCCCAGGCCTGTCCTTGACTAAAAATATGTACTTATTAAAATATTTTTATTTAACTACTACTATAAGTTTCTCACTCAGATACCAATCCGCCAACTCCTTTGAAAATATCAGGTCTATGCACTTTGCGATAATAATTGAAACTCTCCAGACCAATTCGAATGGGCCAAACTCCCTCGTTGCGGTAAGTCATCTCAAAATCCTCTGGATTGTAGGTAAAAACAACATTGGGCTTACCCATCATTCCAGGAATACAGTATATATCCCCATACATTTCTCTCATGCGACGGTTCATCTGGATCAAATTTGTGTTGCGAAGGGCGCCTATAATTCAAAAGTACTAAAATTTGTTATTCAACCATTATTATAGGTACTTAATTATTATATATGTTGATTTACCTCCCGGCATAAAAAAGGATAACATGCGCAGGGTGCTTGGTCCTGGCATTTCTCTATAGGATTTGGCCTGTTGCCATTTCTCATCGATTCGAGCCGTTGAAGTCCCTGCGAATTCCAACTGGGTCTGCGAATACGAATATATAGTATTGTCATTGTTTGTAAACAAACTTTCTCTCTCTGAAAGCTTTTTGCTAATTTCTCTAAACTATCACCTGCTGAGCGAGAAATCCATCCACAGATAAATTCCTAACAAAACACAGCTGACTTGTTGGAAAATGCAGCTGAATAATTTTATTAGATAATAAACACGACATTTTGAACAAAAACAAAATTCAACTGATTTAAATTGGTGTATATTATGTATAGTCTATAAAAGCTTTTTTAATTAGAATTTTTAATTAGAAACGAATTGAGGATTGATAGACAGCGAACCGGTGGCGAGAAAATGCCAAGAACGACTGAACTGAGCGAAAAACTATGAGACCTTTGCAGGTTGAGCTTTTCTCTCTTAAAACTTGTTATCCGAAAATATTAGCTTTCCATAAAACTCTTATCTTTTAAGATAGAATATATGCAAAATAGTTGTAAGGATAAGATGATTAAGTTCATGAAAAATTATTAATATATAGGTATTTAAAATATCTACTATTAAACATTTCTGCATTGTTCCAAAATATACTGTATTTCCGTTGGGAAATTAAGTCAAGTATATTACTTACAATTTGCAGAGGTTTGTGTCCAAACCTTTAAAAAGCTTTTATACCAAAGCTTACGTATAAAAATGTGTAAAAACCATCCAACCAAAATTGATATTTATAAATAAAAAACATTTCGTATTTTCCGTTTTTCGAATTACATTTATTTATTGCATGCGTAAAATTTTCCATAGCATAAAATGTTGATTCTTCTGGGTTTTCTTACAATTTGTTGAATTTCTATACGACTTTCCATCGTTATTAGTTGATTTATTTTTTTTTTTGTAATTTTTTGAATACTTTTTGTATGTATGTACATTGAAAGTTTGAATAAGTTTGCAAGAGTTGAGTTATCGTTAGAGTTTAAGTTTAAGTTAAAGAAATAGAGAGTTGATTTTTAAGGTACATTATAGTTGTTGAGTTTTGCACGTTCAATTTAAGTAGACAATACATCAATAATATCAATATATCAATATCAATGGAGGATCTAGAGTTGAGTTAAACTTTTGATATGTATTCTGAATGGCAATTGGCGTAGTTCAAGTTCGAGGACAAAATGTGACTACAAATTGCTCTTTGAGTATATATTCATATATATAATTTCGCATTACTTTAATATATTTTAAAAATGGAAATCGGTTCCATTTCGGTTTGGTTTCCTGGATTTCGGTTAATGTACTTTCGCTTCTGTATAAAAATATAAACAAATTAGAAATTTTCGTTGTCTTTGCTACTATATTTGTTTTCGGTTGGCTTACAGAATTCAACAAAAATGAGTGATTGACTAAAAAAAAAACAACAGGAGAATAAAATATTCTGCGGAGGACCTTCAGTCTTGCTTTGAATTTATATTGCTTGGTTAGTTTCATTCCGTTCGTGGTTCCTTTGTCGTTAAGAGATCAGCATAGGATGTATATTATAAGGAGATACACTGTAAAACAAGGTTTATACACTTCATCGTAGTCTATTTTCTGTTGAGTTAAGCGCTAGTTGAGTTCTGTGCTGAAGATCCCTAAGAACTGGTACTCGAACCAAGGGGGAAAGTTGTATATATCTCAATCTATATACGATGAATGTGTATGTTGGTGTCAACCTAAATTGGATGGATCGTCACGGAAATTGTTAGCCTAGGTTGAGTTTTTCACATTGAGTTTGATATGCATACGAAATGTTTAAACGTTAGCTAAACAGCTGATAAGTGTGTATATATATTATGTGTATCTATAGGTAGAGTTGCCGTAATTGATTTGGTTTTCTCTCGTTAGGAATACAAAATAATCTGGCTTAAAAATGCATTAAAAAACTATCTTTGATAAACTTATCGCCTAAGTGGGTGCAGTATAATTATCTAAACAGACGTAACTATTCTTTTGGTTTAGGCAGTGCGTTATTAACCTAGGATACGGATATATTCAACTATAAGTTTGTCTATGACGATTCCGTGACACATCGCGCACTACAAACTAGGTCAAAATCAAAGTCATTTACAACAAATTTGATGCTCGACTTAGGGTCTACGATACGATATACGGTTGTATATAATATATATATAGATATGCTTGTATATATAATTCTTGTATATTTGCCGACGACTGCAGCTGATATGTTTCGATTTCATGGTTGGTTTAGCTTTCGATATGTAACATAACGTACGAATTGCATTAGTTCAATCATATTTAGTATTCAAGTTGCTTGAGGACCTCGAGTACCCCTGATATGTTGTGTATATACTATTTTACCTTATGCTAGGTGTGATATGTTTGGTTTTTGTTCATGTTTCTGTACGCACACATTTAATTCAGCCGACTGTTAGTCTAAATACATTTTTAATTGCCACTTTGCGACGCTGATGCGTCCACTTTCCCCCCTCATTTCTCTCTCCCCATTTTCCACATATCCATTTCCCAGCCATCGCAATCATTTTCAATTTTTCCTATGCTTACTTGCTATAAAATCACATTTAGTTGCTTAATTAATTTTTATGCTCTCTCACACACTCGAACCCAATCACACACAGACACGGAGAGAGAGAACAAACATGTGGAACGCAAACAGACGTAGAAAAGTGTAACCTTCGAACATCATGTAGATATTGCTTTTCATTTCGCTATATATATATATATATATGTGTATAAACGATATACATATAGGATGTACAGTATATGCCCCATTCAAGCACACACATTTTCATGGCCTGCTGCACAGCAAAATGCGTGCAGTTTATTTTACTTGATATCCTTTTTTTCGGCTGCTCCTTGTTCTTTCGCCTGTTCTTTGCTGGTGTAAAGGCAAATTTACATGTGGTGGTGGTTGGAAGGGGGGTGTAAAGTGGGTGGCTGGAAAGGACCGGGCAAATAGGAATGCAATTTTTCAATACGCGCACATAATTGAACTGTCAGAGCAGCTCGACTCGGCCAGGCAGAAATACTGCGAACCGGCCCGCCCTTAAAAATATGCAATGGAAAATTGCAGTGGAAAGTCCCGGGAAAACTTTGCCATGCTCTTTGCCCGTTTTTTTTTTTTTTTTTTGCCCGTGGAAGGTTCCTTGTAATTAAATTGGCTGCACAGCGGTCCAAACGATTGACCAACGGCAGATTTATTGGCAGCCAGCCCAGCGCAGAACTCTCTCCTTTCCCCTCCATTTCTCCATCCACATCCACATCCATTTCCTAGTCCTAGTTTTTTACTCCTCCGGCCAGCCGAGATCCTCGCCCACCAACTCGTAGAAGCGCTGATTGTACTCGGCGAAAAACTTTCGCAACCTGGAGACCACCACGGGGTCCACGTGCGGATGCTTCCTGCCCTTCGTCTCCCGCAGGCAGCGATCCCCGTTGTCGTAGCGCAGGCAGTAGAACCCCTTCGTTTCGTTGAAGTAGAAGTGCTCGCTGTTTACACGATGTTCGATGCCTAAAAGGAATAATGTAAATAAAATGTAAGTTTACTCTCGTATAAGGAAAAAACATGAACAACATATAAACATCAAATCTAGAACTATGAATCAATAAGATTAATGTCAATACACGAAATAAAGATGTGAAGAAATCAATTGTAAATTAGATACATTTTGTATACACTTTTCTAGATATTACTTTAATATTAACTTTAATACTCAAGCCATAAAAACTTGATTAAGTTTTGGTATCTCAAAAAAATTAGTAAATAGAATAGCTAGTCTACCCTTAAGGATAACTCACCCAGGAAAGCCTCGATGCGTTTGAGTTGCGAAACCGGATCCTCGATGAGGCGATCCCCGTTGACCACGAGGAGCTGCTCCCGCGGAAAGACCTCCAGCCAGCGGTGCAAGTGGACGTGGTACATGGAGATGCTGAGCGGTCGATAAGCCTCGTTAACGGTGCCATTGGGAAATATGGCCAGCTCTTCGAAGGACCTGCGAACGGGTAAGCGATGAGACGAGGGCCTTAAATCTTCCCCCCGACAAGGATGGCAAATTGAATTGCCAACAGCTGCAAATGAGCAGCTCCCCTCCCTCTTTCCCAATTCCCCCCTTTACTCCTCATACTCCACACTCCTCGGTCATGTTAAGCAGAGTCCTTGGCTCCTTTTGCGTCTCGTTTCAGTCCCTCTGTCAACAAGTGAGGCCGCAACAAGAAAGTTTCCCCATCAGCGGAACAGAGATAGAAACACAAAGGGGGGAAAGGGACAGAGAGAGACAGAGAGCCAAGGACAAGAGTCGCATTTTGGGCAACTTTCATTTGCAGTTTGCATTTCATTTGCATGTCAAGCAGGGGAGTGGAAAGGGGGAGTGGCAAAATGGTGAAAGCGCGCAGGGGAAAGGGGTGTAAAGAGAAAATGCCTCAGTTCGCTTCACTTACTTGGCTGCCATTTGGGCGGCACTTGCCATTGGCGACAGTGTCGTCGTGGTCATCGTGGCCCCACCACCGCCCACCGCCTGTCTCCTGGCCGCAGATCCTGTCTTGCCTTTCGTCTCCTTGGCACCCGCCCCACTGCCTCCCACGAGGACATTGTCGTAGCCACGGGCCGACTGCAGTTTGGCATACAGCACCGATTGCGATTGCGATTGGGATGGCATCTTGGCAGCTGCAACTCCTGCGGCGGCGGAAGAGGCGCCAGTGTTGGTGTTGGTGGCACCACCTCCGGAACTCTCCCGCGGACTGGGGGGATCCTTCTCGGCCAGCGGCAGGATGGCGGTGGCAGCATGGCTACGCAACTGCGTGTAGTCCGAAATGGCACGGGTCACCGGCTCTCGGACAATCAGCAGCAGCTTGATGCTCGCATTCATGGCCCTCACTCGTTCCGGCACCTGGAAATAATGTTTCATAAAAATGTATAACTCAGTCATCCTGAATTTAACCCAATTAAGTTTGGTTAAAAGTTGCATACGAGAAAAAACTTTTTTTACCTATAAAATAATTCTTATTTGTGAGAGCTCTTTAATCGTATAATTTTTAACTCAATTTATAGTGCATAAATTATGGAAATTAAGTTAATAATATAGTTGAAATATAAACCTCCAAAGTTTTCGGTCTTAAAAATAATAAATTAAAAATAATAATAAATTAAAAATAATTTAAATCTGAGAAAATCATAAAATGTTTTCTGACTTAATCTAATTTGCCTACAATTTTAGCCAAGCTATCTGGATAACACAATTTGTTTTTATTTGCATTTTAATTTAAGTTGAGATGAACTTCTTTAAACAAACTCCAACTTCATATGTATATATGCTGTTTGTCAAAAATAATGCCATAAAACGGAAAATTCATTAAAAGCACAAATTCATTTATTTTTGCTTTACCCCCTCAAAACTAATAGTTTTTGGTCTATGATTTTATGCAAATAATAAAATATCTGTTCGTTTTTTGAAGAGAAATTCTAACGAAAATTCAAATAGTCAGACGAAAATATGCACCACAAAAATAAAGGAATTTAAAAGCATTTCCCACTTTAATAACATTTGCTTCAAATAAATTTAAATGGCCGCTAAAAAAATTTAAGAAAAATCGTTCTCCAGCGGAAGTCATGATATGTTTTTGATGAAATATTTTCTCAAGGTGGATGCCGTGTAAACTGAATATCCAATGTTCGATGCCTCCGCCTTTCCAATTAATGAACTTATGTCGGGGACCAACAATCGATAATAATTGCAAGCTCTTGTTGCTACAGTTTCTGGAAAGCTTGGTCGCCCCCTTTGTTGGCTTTAATTTGCTGCCTTTTGTAGCTGCCACGCCCCCCTGTCCACCCGCCTGTCCACCCTGTCCGCCCCCTGCTGCTGCACTTCCGCAGCAAGTGTGCTGTGAACAATTTAATTAAGCCGGAAAATATTGCCGCTCAATGTTGGCAGAGCAAGGACTCGGCTCGACTCCGCCGGGGTCCTTGAATTTGCCACGTTGTATAAATAGCCTCGAAAATGGGCGAAACGAGCCGAGTAAATAAACTTAATCAATTTCAATAAGAGCCACCAGGCCGTGCAACAAGTTCAAAACTTTTTTTGTTTTACAGTTTTGCCTTTTTTTTGCTTTGTTTTTTTTTTTGTATTTTTTTTCCCCCTTCAAACTCAGGCGTTTTGAAATTATTTACGTTGATGAACCATTTGCAGTTTTGAGTTGCGCCGCAGGGAATATGCGTTTCGCTGAATCTTTAATGCGGCCAAAATGCATTTGGCAAACATTATGAGCATCAGGACATATCCATGTTTCGAGTTCCGAGTGCCCGGAACTCTGGGGAGCAGATCGGAGGGCTTTAGTTTGAGGCCAAAGTACGCCGTTGGGAGATGCATTATTTATGGTGCTTCACAGGATAATTTGACATTTCCCGCTGAGCGAGATCCGCTTGGGTGACATTAGTTGACCCTCCCCCTCCCTATCTACCCTTTTTACTCCCCCTCCCTCTTGCATCTCAATAAATATTAATAACAACATTAATGAAGATTTATCTATATGGAGAGATGGAGTGCAGGCACTCCAGTTTTCGCCCCCTCACTCAAAGTGCACGACAAATTGAAACGCTGCCATCAACTGCAGCAAGTCAGTGGAAATTGAAATGAAACTGGATAAAATATTGCTCTGTCAGGATGCTAACCAAGTTTCGTTGCCATTCCCCCCCCCTGTTTTTAGCCCCCAGTTTTCGAGTTTTCCCTGTGACACATGCAACTTCCGGCTCGCAGCGAAATTGCATCAGGCCAAAAACCCAATTTTGTGACACTCTGCGGGCAACAAAAACAAGGTGGAACCGGAAAAGAAACAATAATAAAACCCGGCCCGAAAAGCGATTCGGTTTGGGTGTTAGACGTTGCCGTTTGCCAAATGAATTTGCAAACATTTCCGCTCCGGCTCCAGCGACATGCTCACGGAAATTGGCTGGGACATGGCCAGCGTTTCACTTTAATTTGACAGATGGACAAATGGACAGATGGATAGATGGACACCACATCGACTGGTAGTCATGGCAGGCAGTTAGACAGTTAATTAATAATTACGACCAGGCTGTCAGAGTCAATGCTAATTGCCAATTAGAGATCAAAGCAGAAGTGGCGAAACCCCAAACCCCAAAACCCGCAGCACTCACCTCTGGCGACACAAAGTAGCTGGGACTCTTCTCGATGGTTATTTGCCCTCGGAACGAGTGCGGCATCTTCTTGCGGTACCACTCCAGGCCCTTCAGATAGTTCTCGTCCCGATCGAAGAAGTGCACCTCGCCGCCGGCCTTCTGGATCCTCGGATGCAGGTAGAGCATCTCCAGCAGCGCCCGCGTTCCGCACTTCCGCACGCCGATGATGAGCGCCTGTGTCCGGAAATTCAGGAGGAGATGGAGGAGAAGAAGGAAGAGGAGAAGTTGGGGAATGTAAGCATTCAAATTGCAGCAATTAGTTGGCGCCTAGATTGAGTGACTGGCTCACAAAGCCTCTATACACTTGAAATAATATGCATTACTAATGATAAAATGATGAAAAGCCCTTTTTAATCTAAATATTATTTAATACTATTATCTGATTTACTAAGATTAGTACGTTATAAGATATTATTTATCTTTTTTGCTTTGGTAAAGATCATAGATATGCTATAAGGATGAACTCATTAAGAAATATTTTTAAATTACTTTACATACTTTACTTTACTTTACTTTACTTTACTTTATAAATTTTCTTTCAAAACCTTTGGTTATTTTAGGTCAATGATTATAATTAGCAATAATAATTAGTTATCATTATTTTATCTTTCTTTTTTTTTGATTAGTAAAAACAATTGTTAACCTTTTGAGGAACCTCAAACTATTCTACAGTTTTTCAAGTGTTATCCAATGACTTACCTGTGGCAGTCGTCGACTGGTTTTGGGGAAGTGCACACGGCTGGAGGGAAAGACCATGGGATGGCTTAGCTGATTGGAACTGGGCACGGGCTTCACGAACACGGGCAGATGATTGGAGCCCGCTGCAGCGGAGCCGGTGGAGGAGGAGGAGAAGGGGGAGAAGGCGGAGCCAGAACCGAACGATGATGAGGAGGAGGAGGATGCCAAAGCCGAGGAGGATGCGGCCAAGGAGATGCGGTGCCTTTCGTGGACCGCTTGTGCCGCCTGGATGTTGTAAACTGCACTATCGTACAGAACGTGGAAGGTGAGGAACAGCGAGATCAACATGACCGTAAGGAAGACGACGGCCAGCTTTGGACGGGACACGCCCACCACGAGGATGCAATCGGTGGGCGAGGCATCTGGACCCGCCGGTCGCATCGCCGATTTGGGTAGCCATCTGAAAACAAGAAGAGAAGAGAAGAGAAGCCAAAAGGCATCGATTAGATTTGGGGCTTCCGTTTCCGCTTCAGCTAATTAGATTGCCTTCCCGACCGTGCTGAGTAATTACCGTGGTCGCTTTCCACCTGCACTCTCCACCTTCTCCTGTTCCCATTTCCAACTTTTCACCTCCTGCTTTCCCGGCTCTCCAGGCTTTCCCGACTCTCCCCCACCTCCTTTACTTCAGCTAAATTAGCAAGACGACACTACGGGGCGCGCAAGTTCTCTATTTTTAGCCACGTCCGGCGGCGCTTAAGCGAATTCCATTATAAACGTTTCCGCTTAGACCGCAGCAAACACTGCCAGCATTATTATGAGCACCACATTGCAGTGCACTAGGCGTATACGTAACGTGGCCTAATGGATGACTTCATTTGCAGCATGCCACAGATGGGCGGGGTGGAAAAATAGTGAGAATGGGGGTGGGGGTGGATGGAAGGAGGGAGGCGAAGGGGGAGGGGCATTAGCAGGTGACAGAAGGAGCCGCTGCCAGTCTGCGGCTAAGTGCATTTTCATATACACGAGGAGTGATGGGGGGAAAAAGGAGAGCAAGGCGTCACAAAGGATACGAGACTGGGCCAGGACATGGCTCGTAGTGTGTGTGTCTGTGTGTGTGTGTGGCAACTGGTGGCTCTTCCTTCGCCTCCCCAAAGTTTTTTGCCCCTGGTGGTGATGCCTCATCCACTTGCGCGAGCTTCGCATGCGACACCTCGTTAAAAGTAACGACACACTGGGCTGCAGGCCCGCAAGGAGTCGAGGCACTTCACTCGACGGCGCCGTTTGTGGCGCTCGTTGCAACCTCAGAGCAAGACCGACCGACCGACCGACTTCCTGCCATTCCTGCCCCCTCCCCCTCCCCCTCTCCTTGCCCCTCAGTGTTCTTGCCTCCCTACTCCTTCTTTTCTGCCAGTTGTCGACACGCTTTAAGTTCTTTTTATATTCACAACTGTTGTGTTTTTTTTAGTAACCCGTTTTAAGCCCGCAGCTGCAGTAACGACACTGGCAAAAAAAAATATTAATATTAAATTATTATTGTAATAGTAAAAGAAATACCTACAAGTAGTTTTTTTCCATGCCTCAATTTGTACTTAATTCCCAAAGTGTATCACAACTTTTGTCTCTCAATCTCTTCTAAAAACTTTTTGAAACTTTTGATTGTAGTAAATTGGTTTTGGCTTATAGACTATTACTATATCTTTAATTGTAAGTTTATTCTATAGCTCATCAATTCATGGAAGAACAGTAAAAAGTTGATGCCAATATTTGAAATACTTATTATTCGATTACACTTTTCTAGTCCACTTTTCCAGACAGCCACAAATGTATTATTTAAAAGTCGCTCCTTTAATTGCTTATAAAATCTGTTAACTTATGAAACCTCTTTATTCATAACCCCCTATATATTTCTCGCAGTGCACTCCGGCTGCGACTGGCCTCGTTTCACGCCCCACAAGGCGGCCAGCCACTTGACTGCGATCTGCATAAACGCAGTGCCGCCCCAAAGACCGCCCACCTCCCACCTCCCCCTTGCATCCTTCTCCCAACTCTCCTGTCGCTGTCACACACTTTCTAGGTTGGCTGGCAGCCTTTATGCCAAAATCCCCGCCGAACGCAAGGCTTTAAGGACAGGCTCACTCGCCCTAATCCTGACAAAACTGGAATAAGTTTCCCTTTGCCAGCGCGCTAAGCATTTGGAAACGCTTCATTTGTCCCAGTCTTTTGGCTTTTCATTCGCTTATTTTCCTCTGCCCTTTTATTATTTTTTTATAATTTTGTGATTCATTTTGCGCTGGCGTGCTTTTCTGTGCAGCAGCGGGGAAAATCGAATCGAGCAAATGTTGTGCCGTTAAAGTTAATGCAATTTTCATTCGCGTTGTTAAAATGTAAATTTTATTAAACCAGCCAGACGTGCGGCTATCTGCGCTCCAGATTCCCAGGGGAGATGAAAAGTGGCTTGACCTTTTTCCCAGTGACCCTCTCCCTCCTCCCCCGCCCCACTGTTGTTGGCCTTCTTATCTCGGCCACGTGCAAAAGCGAAAAGCCCACACTCGAGCAGCAGTTGAGGGGCAAACCCAGAGAACCCAAAATGATTTGTTGGCCGTACTCACAGGATATCCAGAGGCAATTTGACGGAGCAATCGCGCAATGTCGCCTGATGTTGCTGCTGTCTCTGGTGGTATTGCTGTGGGTTGTTGCCGCTGGTGTTGCTGTTGCCACTGCCGTTGTTGTTGCTGCTGTTGCTGTTGCTGCTGTAGTGCTGGTGGTAGTGATGGTGCGGGTGTTGCAGCAACTGTTGGTATTCGTTTGGCTGGGAATGCTGATGATGTTGCTGCTGTTGGTGCTGTTGCTGCTGCTGATGTTGCTGTTGCAGCTGCAGATGTTGCTGCAGGGAGTGCTGCTCGTGGCCATTACTGTTGTTGTTGTTGCTGCTACTGCTGCTGCTGCTGCTGCTGTTGCTGCTGCCCGCACGTCTTTTGGCGGCAGTCATCAGAGAGGCAGCTCTATTCGGCCGGAGTTCGCTTTCAATGGGGCCCAAACGATTGCCGCTCTCGGCTGTTGCAGCAACTAATTGGCCAATGGACGTGGGCCAGCTCGATTGCAGCAACGTGCTGCATTTGCGGTGCCCGTTGGCCGGGTAGATTTATGGCCCCTCCTTTCTCCTGCCTCCCTCCCCCTCCTCCTCCTCCTCTTGCCACACGGGGCAGCCTTCCGGGCGGAATGCTCTTTTGTTTCGAACCCTCTTTTTCGTGCTCCTTGCTCTTTAATTAAATTCCCGGCAATCGCGGGCTCGGGATTCCTATAGCTCCTATAGTTCCTATGGCGTTCGAGGTCACTTTTCACAAAGTTGCAAAGGTAACCGATGGCTGGACGACATATTGCGCCTCATTTCCGCTCGGGCTAACAAAACGGAAGTTTCCCAACATCATCATCATCATCATCATCACCAGGCACCAGGGCCTCGCCTTATTGTTGTTCTGTAATTAGATTTGTTGTTCCCGCTGTTAAAGTTGTTGTTGTTCTGGTTGTTGTTATTGCTGGTATTGATGATGTTGCTCCTGTCCAAGGATTAAAGCTGGCATGGCCCCGCCCGATTTGGCTGCTGCTGATGTTGGCCATTGTCTTTTGATGGCCGAAAGTGCTTCAAGCCTCTGAAAAGATAGGCAAAACAAAGAGATTGGTTAGAAAAGTCAAAAGGGCGGAGGGTTGGGCCAAAATTGTATATTCATAACCTTTAAAATACTATAATATTTTGCTGATATATGTATATTTTCTTAAAATTATCTGTTGGTATCTAAGCCGAAAAATTTTACTATTACTTTTAGTACAATTTTGTTACTAATTTCTTATTTTAAGCACTCATAGTTTTCCAAAGATATATATTTTTTAAACCATTTATATGTTTTATCATACAGGTACTGTTGTGGTGGAACAGTTTGACTAACCAACATTAGTCTGCATATCCAAACAGCCCCACTGAAGTGGTGCAGCGTAGGCAAACGCATTAGAATTACGAAATTAGAATTTTAAATCACTGCGCTTTTCGGCCGGGAAGTTCAGCTGCAGAAATAGCATAGTGTATGCAAGAGCATACTTAATCAGGTGCCAACGCTGGGTGACCATTTCCCGGGCGGAGAACCCAGTTTTGGGGCACCAACTGGTGGCAATCGCTTAAAAGGAGGCGAATGGCAAACTTTTGCCTCAGTTGTAATTCGCGATGAACTCCACGCTTTTGCATTTTTTCCACGGACTGCCAAAAGGTAAACTCTATCATAAAACCTAAGCTCTTCAATAATTTTTTTATATTTCTTACAGAACTTCCATTGATGGGTACTCCTATACCATCGGTGGTAATTGTTCTGGCTTACTTGCTGCTTATTTTCAAAGTCGGTCCAGATTTCATGAAATCCCGCAAGCCCTACAATTTGCGAACTGCAATGTTGATCTATAATCTCAGTCAGGTTTTCATGAATTTCATCTTCTTTGTAATGGTTTGTATAGTCTATTATTTTGTTGCTTTTCAAGTTTTAATTAATCATTTTCCAACAGAGCGCTTATTACCTGTTTGTGAAGAAAACCTATAACTTGTGTTGCATGGAAGTGCTTCCCTTGAATCATCCAGATAAAAATGCCGAACGTTTGATGACCTACGCTTTCTTCCTCAACAAGTTGGCCGACCTAATGGATACTATATTCTTTGTGCTGAGGAAGAGCTACAAGCAGATCACCGTGCTGCATGTTTATCACCACGTTTTGATGGCTTTGGGAGTGCCCTTCGTTAACTATTTCTATGGACCCGGGGCACAATATGGTTTGATGGCCCATCTAAACTCATTTGTGCACGTGGTTATGTACGCCTACTACTTTGCATCTGCGTGGTATCCACAAGTGAAGAGCAAATTGTGGTGGAAGGAGTACATAACCAAGCTGCAGATCCTTCAGTTCGTCATCCTCTTGGCTCAATCCATACTGACCATGACCCTCAATCCCGGATGCACTTTTCCCCGGACTCTTCAGCTCACCCAGTTGTCTCTTTCCGTTTCCATGATTGTGATGTTCGGCAATTTCTACTATCAAACATATTTGAAAGCCAAGAGCAAACAGCACTGAGCAATAAATTCTAGTTCTCTTTTCAAGCGAGCGTTTTTATTTTGGTTCTCTTACTTTTCAAAATGTGGGACAGACACCGCAGTTCAAACACTTGAATAATGCATTTTTTGATTTGGTTAATTCCGATAAAACAGCCTGGAATGCCTTGTGGCAACTGAAACAGTCACCAGTGGTCCCTCAAACGACAAACACCCATCCACGATGCTCCGAATTTTCCACATACCCCAGGCAGGTGGGTTCGACTACTTCCTGTTTTGTAAATTAAATATAATACTTATTGATTTGTGGATATCTAGATCCCAACCCCATCATTTTGGCTGGTTCACCATGGCCTATTATCTGGATTTTGGCGGCTTATCTGCTGTTTGTTTTCAAATTCGGCAAGCTACTGATGAAGAATCGAAAGCCCTTCGATTTGAAAGTAGTTCTAAAGGTTTACAATATCATGCAAGTGATATATAATGGAATTTACTTTGGAGTGGTGAGTAAAAGGGGATTATACCCTTATAATATTATATTGTATTTTATGTTTTTTTTTTATCTTTTTAAGGTATTCTACTACATGTTCATCGAGGGCATTTGCAATCTTCGGTGCATGGAGAGCTTTCCCCAGGGGCACACGCACAAGCAACTGGAACGAGTGGTGCATGCCGCGTATTTGATCAACAAGGTGCTCGACCTACTGGACACCGTGTTCTTTGTGCTGCGAAAGAGCTTCAAGCAGGTCACCTTCCTGCATATATACCACCATGTGTTCATGGCCTTTGGAAGCTATGCGCTGACCCGATATTATGGCACTGGTGGCCATTTGAATGCAGTGGGATTACTCAACTCCCTGGTGCACACGATCATGTATAGTTACTACTTCCTGTCCTCGGAATATCCCCAAGTGAAGTCCAATATCGGATGGAAGAAATACATAACACTGACCCAGATCAGCCAGTTCTTCTTGATCTTCAGTTACGCTTCTTATGTGCGATTCTTCTCGCCAAACTGCGGCGTTCCCCGTGGAATTCTCTATTTGAACATGCTGCAAGGCGTAGTCTTCATTTGTCTGTTTGGCAAGTTCTACATCCAGACCTACCTGCGATTACCTAAGACCCCTAAATCGAAGCAGCCGTAGTCTAATCTAGAAATCACCCTCTCCCCTTTTCCCCTTCCCCTTTTAATATATTCGAGTGCATTCAATTAGTCAAACTAACTAAACACGCGCTCCTTGTCCTTGGGAAAGTCAAACTGTCTCTGGGACTTTAGGCCGATGAACTTTAGGATAAAGAATAGCCAAGCTATATCTCAAATAAATCGAATAAAAGTATGGTACTGTTTTTAATTAGTATTCTTTATAACGGGGGTAAATCAACCAATTTTACTAACAACTTTCTTATTAAAATCTACAATATAAGAACTTTTATTCAAAAAGTATCTTATTTTATTCCATTGATAAGATAACACTAATAAGAATACCGAATGTGATTATGCAAAAAGTTGTCAGCTTACATGGAAACATTGATGACTTCATAATTAACAAATGTGCTGTCGTTTTAATTTGTCTACAGTGCTAATGAGCTTGTTATTATGAAAAAAAGTTACCCATTCGAATAAAAGATTACATGACAATGTAAATGGCTAATTACTTGGCGTTACGAGTCTAGGTTATTGGACTTAAGATATGTCCATAAAATTAAACCAAAACGAAATGAAAAGTACTGAATGGAAACAGGGAAAAAACAATTCCTATGTTTGGTAACATTCCATTGTAGCATTGCAGACAATTACATAAACAAAGAAACAAATAATACTTAGCATATGGTATTCCTTTTTTAATTATATTCAAGGTTGTTTATGGTTTAACAGCCAGTGGAACATTTTTAAAAAAAGCTTTCTCTTTAACCTTTTGCCAAAGAAAACCAATCAAAGTAAAATCAAAGAGAATACAAAATAATTTATACTGAAGAGAAAATTGCAATTTCGTTTACGATCACCGATCCGTAGCTTTAAGCTTTATCCATTTGAATAAAGCATGGTAATACATCGTTTTTGTAAGTTTACAATGAGTAAATCGGTTTACATTAGGTGAAAAGCAGCCGGCGAAGAAACACCTAAAGTCAGTTGTAGTTGTTCAAGATTTTTTATTATAGTTCAAGTTGATTATTCTTGAGAATTAGCCGAAGTCAAATCTGTAATCCCTCAGATACAATGGAGTATCCAAGGGATTTCTTCAAATTATTCCAAAACAAGGATGAGAACGGCTAACCAGGGACTGGATGGAAAAGCCGGGCCATTTAAGCATCGACAGAGTGGAAACTGCAAGCCGGAAAAACAAGTTGGGGCAATCAAATGCTGCCCCCAAATCCTATATCCTTTGCCATTCGCCGTTACCTCCTGTGTTTTTGCTCGTTTGTTGGCACGTTGGAAAAGCTCCGCTTGATAAGCATAAGAAATGGAGGCAACCAAAGGAAACTAACAAGTGCGTGCGACTGAGTGTGTTTTTCCCAACGAGCGACTGCACATAACAAGCTTCCATCCTATCCCATTTATACTGCTCCTTGCCGGCTGATAGGATAAACCGGAGTTGCACCAGTCAACCTAAAGCCGGAAATTCACTGTGAGTACAGAGAAAAATATCCCATTCTTCCTGAAAAAAAATATATATTCTATTTGTTGTACTTACTATCAAACTTTAAAAGTACTTAAACAATTTCAATCAGCTTAATATATATATCTGCACTTAAAAGGAGAGCTGCTAAATCGATTTAATTTTACACCAAAATATTTTATAAATTTTTTTTTATAAGGTTTAAAATCCTTTTCCTCAGTGAAATCGTTGCACAGTGGCTTACAACATTCACCTACTGGAATTGTATTTACTGCTGGAGAAAACGAAAACAATTGCCGCAAATATGGCAAATGGCAATTGAAAAACAAAAGTCCCTGGTGAAACGAGACCAGAAATCCGTTCGCCTGCTGCTTTCACACTTTCCTGCCACGCAGGACAAAAGGCCAAAACGGCAAACAGGGACATATGAGTGCTACTGCAAAAAAAACTAAAAAAAAATGCCAAGGATGCAGCTGCAAAAAAGGGACGACGACGAAAAAAAAAAAGGATGCACAAAATTGGCTGTGAAATGAACAAGACGAGTCGAGTTGAGTCGAGACGATGAAGCGTCTTTTGTTGCCATAGAAAGAAAAGGAAATGGCTATGACAGCAGCGCAACTGAGGTCAACACTTTGCCTCTGCCACACACACACACACACATACAGAAATGTGGCAAAGTCAAACGGGAAATCTGCATAAGACCCTCCAGCTGCGATCGACAGTCCTTGAGATGTTTCCACTCAATTTGGAATGGCTTTGGCCTGTGACACAGGCACCCAGACACTCCTCCTTCGAACATCGAGTACAGCCGGGCAATTAAGAAGCATTCATTCCGGATCGCAGCATAAATTACTCAAAAGCGAATATGCAAATTCCAATTGTTCGATTTTCGATTAACAATGCAAACTTCAAGACCACTGAGCACACTACGCACAAAAGACACACATTAAAGATATCACAAATTATATGGCAAAAGGCACCTGACATGGTCAGGTATGCATATATATTTATACCATAGAGTTTATATATATGTACGTATATAGTGGCATACCAAAGGGACCCGACCTGCCCGGCTGCCTGGCAACTTTCCCATAATTTACACTTTATCGAACGATAACAAACAACCTGCATAATGTATGGCTCTCGGTTTGCTCCACCGCTCCCTCTGAAATGCCAGTGGGTGGCTAGTTGGGTGGCTGGGGTGATTCTCTGGCATTGACTGGCATCTGAGGTCACCGAAGGGTGCTGCGTGAGATTCTCACCCCTTCGCCGTAAAGTTTTCTCGTATGCAAAACGCCCGTCAATCAGAAATGCCACAACTGCAACTCGTTGCACCTTTGAGCCAAAAGCAGAGCGGACCTGTTAACCCACATTTAGCTGGCTAAGAAGACGACACACCGAAAAGCATTTACATTCGAAAACCATAAAAGATACGACCATCGACGACCTTTACCTCGGCAAACTGCTCGTTTGGGGAATATGGCATAATAAAATTTTAATTCGTTGCGATTGATGGTATCCTCGCAGTCCCCGCAAATACACGCATCAATGGATGATTTTCCGTAGTCGAGGGAAACAGCCAATACATTACATTTTATAACCCCGGCTAATTTGCATATATGCAACCATACGTACATCCATATGTATAGTATATATATATATATATATATTTATACAGATATGTGTGCCTGCGTAACATTGATTGGATTTGTTTGACTTTCACACTGGGTGATGGCATCGCATCGAAGTTGGGTGTTTCGGAGGTGGTTTTTAGGGCTTTCTGATGGTTTCTGGTGGTTTCTCGGGTGGTGTTGCGGGGCTAAGTGCCTGACATTTGCTAAATGGCAAAGGGCCCGAACGAATGCCTACCAAGGGTTTCACAGGCTTTTGCGGGTTATATTTTCCCCATTTGCCCAACCGAAAATTGCACTTGCCTCGTTAGCCGAAATGGCTGGGTAATTACGAGTTAGGGGGATTTCCTCGCTGCCATTTTAAGTCACCACTTACTCGATGGCTAACCTTCAAAGTTGTATCCTTGGAAAGAAGCAACTGCTGAGGGATAAAATCTACTACGATATATATAGAAAAAAATGCATTAATTCCCTACTGACAAAATCAGCACTTAATTTAAAATGGATTGCCTTATTCACATCGCTTTAATCATAATTACCAATGTTCAGTTTATACGCCCCCTTCACATTTGTAACCCAAATTTAATCGCACCAACCGCAGATCAATCAGCAGCCATTTTTGTATCGTTGGACAACTGCAAATTAGCTGCAGTTCATTTGGCCAGTGTCAATTGTATCCCCGCATGAATACGCAAATATAAGTATGCTTGCGGATATATATTCAGTGGGTAAATATGTGCTGGCCATTAAGCCAACAAACTATCTGTAGGGGAGCCACATGGAGTGGAATATAAATTAAGGCTGGGAAATTCGCGATTAAATGCCGTAGATGTCGATGATGAAGCTGAAGCCTTCGTTGCGTTGACTCTTCAAATGGATTTTGGCAAAAGTGCTCTGTGGTCCACCAGAAACCAAGTAGGCGAAGCCACCATTTCCATCCCTAACTTGGTCCGTAACCACGATTTGGGTGATAGTGCGGCGCAGTTTCTTCAAAAAAAAAAAAATTATTTGATCTTTTTTATGGAAAAAGGTAACAGTTGAGGAGTTAACCAACTTTTTGATTGAAAACGAAATCCCTAGTGACCACGCGCAGGAATTTGGACTTCTCCGTGATGATTTCCCTTCGAAGGTGCATGTCCCTGTAGCTCCTCACTCCCCAAGTAACACTGTGACTCCGGCCACGCCCCGCCGCCTCCGAAAGGGCGGACAGTGATATCACCAGTAATATTATGCAAATTTTCATTTTTGAAAATGAGGCAACACCTGGTTGATGCGAAGCTTTTATACGTCGGCTATACGTCCTATAAAATTCCCCCATTATTTGCAAACAGCTGTGAAAGGAAAGCTATTGAATCGTATTTCATTATATAAACAAAAAGGTATTGTTCGTAATACTCAATTAAAAACATGAGTTGTCAAAATATAAATATCCACTTTCCGCAAAAACTGTTATCTTTTGCCCTTTGTTGTTATTTTATCACATGTATTTTATTACACGCTTAATTTTTATTTTGGGCAATTAAAATCATGAATTATGAAACAGGTAGTAACATTTACTAAGACAAACTGTTATTTTTGGTGATTTACTCTTATTATTTCAGTTTATTATTTTCAGTTTATTATTTATTCAGTTTATTATTGCAAGAACACAAAAAAATGTGTAAAGAACGTTTTTTGCAAATTTTCACAGTCACAAAAAAAATAGGTTAACAGAACAAACAAAACACACTGTAAATATAAATAAATGTATTAAAAAATAATACCAAGCTGAAAACTTAAATTAATTAAAAATAAAAAAAATATGATTTACTTTCAAAGAAATGTGAATACAATCAACAATTAAATAAACGGTTATTAACACATTTATATATATATATTTACATTTACATATTTATTTATATGCTTAAAGGCCTAATAAAAACCGATAGTAATTAAGTTATTAACTGCTGCATAGAGTGTTTCAGTTATTAAATTTACATTCCGCTAATTAAAACCATAGAATCCTAGTCATTAATTTAGAAATCTCTCCCCCTTTCCCCCATAATTTCTGCAGTTTAATTACGAGCATAAAAATATTTTTTATTGGTATAAAATAAACTTGGCTATTATAAAAATGAGTAATACTTTGGGACGGGGGTTCCGTACGCCCATTGTAAATGGACAGCTGTCGTCGTAAAAAGTCCCCAGATTCCGACTACTATAGCTCTTAAATGAACCCTTTTGGGGCAGTGAAATAAACCACTTACCCCCCGTCGCGTCGTCTCGTATTTTGCCAAGTGGAAATGCTTTCGCAAAGATTTCTGAGGCTCGAGACTTTTGTTTCGGGCCGGCTTGTGTTTCTGTTGTTGTGGTTGGCTGCTTTAAATACCGCTGTGTGGGTGTCGTGTTTCGGTTTGTAAGCCGCACTGGCGGGCTTTAAGGCAAATATTTATTTAATTTTAACATCCCCACCTCATGGCCCGCTGCACAGATCCAATTTACTCAAGTACAAAGACCCAGTCGCGTATATTGTTGAAATTTTATTGTGCAAACATGAGAATGTCTGTGTTTGTACGTGTGTGTGTGGGTGTACGTGAGTGTGTATGTGTGTGTTTTATGGTTGCCACGTTGGTTTTTCTCATTTATGCACACAAACAAACGCCCAAACGCACAAACACAACAAAAAATGGCAGTAACACAAACAAAATGGCCGAGGAACCGTTGTTAAGTGTCTTTCATAGCTGCGTTTGATATTGCCTTTGTCCTGGTGTTGGTATTGGTGTTGGTGTTGCTGTAGGTGTATGTGTAGGTGTGCATGTGTTTACCGCAAAAACACAAATAAAAACCGATTCGTTGGCAAACAAATCAGCAAAACGAAATTTAGGTGGACAATAAAGTTTAGCTGCAGGGCAGCTTGCAAAAAGAGTCACAAACACATATAATGCCATAAATATTATGTTGTCTTCTATTGGAGCACAAAATCGGATAAAAAAGGCACAGTATGTTCTGCATACGTAAATAAAGGTCTATTTGGTAGGAGGGAATGTTATTTTAATAGATAAAGAAAATTTAAAAAATGAAAAAAGTTATGTTTGCCTTAAAGGTAAAATTTCACATATCCTTTTCAGATAATTGTGTTAATTTTTAAATTGCGTAGTCTGATAAAACACAATTTTCTTGTTTAATAAAAGTCAGATAATTGCATGTGCAATTTAATAATGTAATTATAGTTTCACTTGTATTTTATTTTGTTAAAATAAAGTGCTGAGCAATGTATTCTGCCATTCGAAACTTTAAACTTCAACTCTATAAAATCATCTTTTAACCACCGACATTCATGCTGTAGCGTAGCAATTATTTCCTGTTCCCCTGGGCCACGAACTAATTGGATAAAACGGATAAACCTATCTCATGTTGCTCTCAAAGCAACCATTTCTCAAAAAACCCCACGTTTGAACTCGATTGGTTGTTTTGGTATACGTTACGCCTCCTTTCAGTGGAAATTGTGGCAAGTGCGAAACTTAAATTCAGGCGCTTGTCGCCTTGTCGAAGCTCTTCAAGCTGAAATCGCTTTAAATAATTTTAATTAAAACAAATGGCACTCGAAATAAAACACGCACATCAAACAGCAGTGGGTGGGACAAAGGGAAGGAAGGGGAGGGGATGGGGAAGGGGAAGAGGAAGGTGGTGGCGCCTGAATGGAACAGACATGGCGTGTAATTACGCTTGACGGTTGAAGAGAGGGAAGCGGGGGGAAAAGAGAGAGAGGATGGAGGAGGGAGGGGCAAAGGATAGCGGCAGGACGAAACTTGTTTGTGCATTGAATCAAGTGCTGCTGCCTTTGGTGTTGTTGTTGATGTTTATGTTGCTGTTGTTGTTGGTGTTGCTGCTGCTGTTGACATTGCACGGCAGCAACATCAGAGGCCACAGCAGCGGCGCTTCAACTACGCACACAAGCGAACTCACACCCAATTATGCACAGCAAGAAAAAATTAATTACAATTTATTAAATTATTAAAAATCAGAATACAAATATAAGAAAAATCCCCACGAATCAACCATTCTATTCCAAATGAAATTTAGGTTTGATCCAATATTGCTATTAAATTATTATGGGTTATTTCATATGGTTATTGATAATGACAAATAATTACACCCTTTACAATATTTTACTTTTGCAGCACTCTTTGCTAAAATAGATAAAATTGATCTATCATTTTATTGTAGTTATTTAACTATTCCATAATTGACTTATCTATTTCACGGTTCACTATTTTTGTCAGTGGCCACTCTGCCACGAGGAGCTTCTGGCCACGCTTTTGTTCGTGACAAGTTGAGACAGAGGGCAAACAACGAGGGCGACGCGCCGTGCGGACAAACTCCCAAACAACTTCATTTCGGCTGATGTTGCCGAACATGTTGGTGAAGTTCTCGCGGCACTTTTCACGCTTGGCGATGGCACACTGGCTTTCACACACACAACCAACCAAGGTGGCCAACTCCTACGCATCCGGCACCTCCACATTTCTCCCAAACAAACACCCAACCCCACAGCTAAAAAAAAAAGAGAAGAACCCAATTGTAATTAGACTTGAGAGCCGCCCCTCGAGGGAGAGTGGGCCAAATGGGGATGGCGGCGGTGGACTTCCCAAAATTACATTTAATCATTGTTATTTTAGGCCCCCGCAAATGCCTGAGTGCCTCCACTGACCACGCCCCCTCCAAGTCCAACGCCAAACGCCCAACGCCCAACGCCCATGTCCTTTCGCACGTAGATGACACAAAAGCCAAACAAATGTGTACGTGTACGTACACGAGTGTGGGCAAGGACACTAAGGACATTTGATAAAAAGCCACTTAGTGCGGCAATGCGGCCTTAACTAAAGCCAGCGAAATCTGCCCCGAAAAACGCTCATCCATCCCCCAGCATTCGCGAAACCATAACCCATTTGGCTTTGGCTTGCTGTGTTAGCTGCTTAACACTTTGGGGCGTGCTACATTTTGACAATATCAAAGTTGAGTGGCGCAGCTGACAATGGCAGCAGAATGAGCGGCAAATAAATAACGTTTAAAGCGTAAATATGGTAAACGACGTTAACGGGCGCCTCAAGTGTCAGTTGTCGGCTGTCAGAGCCACAAGGGCCAATGCCTCGTCACTTGTGGGTTATACGCTTGGCCAAATGCCAGGCCAAAGCCAAAGTAAATATTATTTAGTATATTATCAACGCAGTGCGGTACTATTTTCTTTTTTTTTTTTGCCAGTGTGCCGCTTTCCCAGACGAATGACAATGAGATTGCGCATACGCCGGGTGGGCAAGCCAAAGATTTTCACTGCCAATTACGCTGCAGAAATTTTCTGGCCAGGCTTTGCCTTTTTTTTTTGCCAAAGCGACACTTGTTGAGGGCGGAAAATTTCCAAATCCCGTTGATGTCAAGTTGAATTTAAGTGCGCTCCACCAGCTGCCAAAGACATTTTCCCCAGAATGCGCTATTTTTCGACCGAAAAGAGATTTCCAGACTCAAAGAGCTATAAAATTATTTCTTGGCATGCAAATTGCTTTCGTTCGTGCGCTTTTTTCTTTTTCCTTGGCTGTCAACAGCAAAATGCAGATAAGTCCGAAACGAATGGATTTTCCAGCTCGGAGCTGTGCCAGCTTTCCCTGGCTAACAATGAAAATTACTTTTCATATTTAATTGCAGCTGCTGCAGAATGGGTGAACATGTGGCCAAATAGCAAAGCCAAAGTGCAGGCCAAGTGCCACATTAAATTACATCAAAGTCAAAGAAAGGAAAGGAAATTCCGCCAAGTTGCAATTGAAATTTGTTTGCCAACTCAAACACGAACATGGGCCACCCGAAAAGTTGGTCGAAATTAGACGTGGCAAGTAAGTAATGGAGACACCCGAAAGGAAATGCTTATTATTTGCATAAATTCCACACACAAAGCCGCCAAAACGAGTGACAGGCCAAAAAGCAGGGGGCCTCCTTCGAGTTGAAAGAAAGAAATGCAAATTGTGTTGGCAAATTTAAATGTCAGTCAACAATTCAGTTGTTAAACTCGCATTACACACAAAGCCATAGACATTGCTGGTCTTGCATACGAAAGGAACTTGTTACTCATACGCCCCATAGTCCATTTTCCTTGGACTTTTGTCTTTCGCTCTCTCTCTGCTCTTAATCGAAAATCGTGCGTGACTCATGGAGGGGAACGAGGGGGGATTGAGGATTTGGGGCAGGGGGATGGCTTATCATTTTTCCCGAAAAGAAAAACTTTCGACAACTTTTCACTTTTGTTAGGTATTGCCACAGCAGCTTTTGGTTTTGCCATTCGATGTCAATTTAAAGTTTCTCCTCTACTTCCCTTTCATCTCTTTGGTCCTTCTGCTATTTTTTTTTTCTATTTTTTTTTTTTGTGTTATTTGGGTGCCGAAATAAAAGTTTTGTATGGCAAAGTTGCCACAATTGTGCGAGTTGTTCCGTTCTGCTGTGCTGCTGCTGCTGTGCTGCTGCATCCGGCATAATCGATTCGCTTTTGCCTTTTTCATTTTAATAACTTTTGCAGCAGCCGGGGCAAAATAACAAGCACTGCAACAATTACGTGCCGCAAGTGCAAGAGCAGCAAACAAGCGGCAAACAACGAAACAAACCGAAAGCAGCGGCAATCGACAACAATGGCAACAAAGGCGGCCACTAAAGCTGGATCAGGAGCTGTGCGCCAAACTGCGAACTGGGTTAAACACTTGGCCGGAGTTTCCACCTGGTCTGCCCTGCCAGCCCGCCCAAGTTTCCCCCTCCCCCATTTACCCCTTTCCCCTCATCCCTTCTCCTTGCAGCTTCCACCACTCGATCCCTTGGCATTTCGAAGGGGCAACTTAGTTGCCATTGCCGTTGCTCTTGCGCGATGCATTCAAGTGCATGTTACCTTGGTCATAATTGAGGCACGCGCTAAGCGAAACAAATAACAAGGGGAACAGGAGCAGGAGCAGGAGCAGGAGTTGCAGGAGCGAAGAAGTGATTGCTGGCCCCAAAGCCCTTAAATTCAAGTTAGGTGTCACTGAGGGAAAAGGTGGGATTGAATAAAGGGATTTAAAAACACAAAAGAACACAAAACAAAAGGTTTAAAATCGTCTTTAAGATTTCTGCATTGTCGAAATGTTTAAACCTCTCTTAAAAGAATATTAATTAATATTAAAGTTACTCATTAATACTAAAAAAATTGTTCTTGATTATAATTAAAGTTTTAGAATACATTGATGAACTAAGAGATTTCAAAATAATTTTAGTAAATATATTATTATTATCATTTATAAATCATTTATTTTCTGCCCAGTTCTAAATGAACATAGTTTGCTTACAGAAACTCAAATTTAATAACTATAGCTGAAATGTTTGTTAGCTTTCTGCAAGATTCACATCAAACAAAGCTTCATTTGTATTTAATCTGCACTGAATGTTTGATACATATGTACATTAGCCCGAGGGGATTTTCCTCATTTAGTAAACTACATTCTGGTCGCTTTGCTTCGCTCGTAAAAGGATTTGAAAAGGTGCTCCACATAGAATGCAGAAAAGCCACCCGTTTTCCCCGCAACACGTACTCGACTCATAAGCTGGCATAACAGATTGCTCGAGCAATTATGTACTTTTGTATGTACGAGTAGTATGTAGTTTCTCTACTCACCGAAAGTTAATTTCCGCTTGGGCGCCGCACCTGCAACGAGAATGGAATGAATGAAACGTAATTTATAATTAATATTAACGCATTTTCGATTCAATAATAAATGAGGCTAATTTATTTACAGCTCAACCACCGCAGGGCCCCCAATTTTTTTTTCTTTTTCGTTTGAATCGCCTGCAAGGGAGAACAGATTTCAGGTAAAAGTTTCATTTTGGGTGAGCTGTCGCAGCCAACGCATTTTAATTCAATTGAAGTTGATTAAAAATTAATTTCAAATTAAATGAGAACTCAATGAACCCAAATTGTAGTTGAAAATAGTGGCGGAAAATGAGAGGAGAGCGAAAAATCGTGGCATTTGACAGGCTGTGACATTTCAAGGGACAGGAACGCAAAAAGTTGATTGGATGGAAAATTGCGAAACTTAAACGGGGCACATATACGTGAGTCTGTGTGTGTGTGAGTGTGTGGGTGGATTACTAATACGTAGGCAGGTGAAGCGGAAACGGAAGTTGTTACAAAGTCCGTTGAAATCAATTTTAAAGGTAAACTGGTAAACTTGTTAGGTGGAAAGCCGAAACAAGCCAATGGCAACGGAAACCAAGTGGGTTGAGTTGGGTGCTCAACAAGAAAGGGAAAACTAATTGCAGCGCTCATTTTTTCCTTGTTAATGGGCCTGCAAACGAGCTTCAAGTTTCCCTCCTTCTATCGATCCTTACCCACACATACACACGCTTACATCCCCGCACACTCACACATACTTACATACACACACATGTATGCGTTCTGCTTCTGACATCGAAAAAGTTTTTCCCCCAATTTTATTTGCCTCATTTCGCTGCCATTGTTGCCGCTTGTTGGAAATCTGCGTGCGCAAGTAACAACATTTTACAGCTGCAATTAAAGTTAGTTAGCACTGCTCCCCCCCGCCCCGCCCGCTTTTCCAGCAGTTTTCCCGCTGCACTTCCCGCAACAAGCTAATGCACTGCACTTTAATTAACCCAACACCAGGCGAGCGAGCCAGAAATTATACACCCCTTTTCGCTTTTCGCCCAACTAATGGCAATTTATGTGCGATAAATTGCGGTATGAGAACTATAAAAACAAGTGCGAGTTTCCAAATAACAATCAACTAAATACGGAAACACTCTAAAATGTGGAAATTACGTTTTTATACCGTGTTTCAATGAGCATATATTTACAATTGTTTTGAATTAGTATTAGTTAATTGGGCAATAAAGCTTAAAACTATTTTATTGATCCCACGTATTTCAAGGACTAAGGATCTTGCTCTTCACTTTAATGTTTATTGAAGTGAATTTCCCTTTTCACTGGCATAAAAGGATTAAAAAAAACCCACGAAAGCAATTATATAATGGCAAAAGGGCATTAATGTGCATTAGAGTCAATTATCAGGGATTGCAATGCAAAAGCCGCCGAGCAGCCGAAGGCAATCAGTACTATCAAAGGCTTTTATTTGCCATAAATCTGTGAAAGTTGTTAAAAACCCATTTAAAATTGTCACCGTAATGGCACACTCAACCGGCTCGGGCCATTTAACCAACTATCTGCCGATCCCCTCTCCTCCCCCCGATTTTCTTGGCCCGCTTCCTGCTTTTGCCAACTTCAGTTGCAGCCTGGATGGGATGTTAATTAGAAAAGTCTTGAAAATTATTAAAAACTTTCCAAAGCTGTCAGACAGACGAGAGCAGGAAAGATACTAGTGGTAATATACCACTTCGAATAGCTGTGAGGTCTCTGGGAAATGTTTTAAGAAATTGCTTGGTTTCTTTTTGATGGCTTCTTAAAATTTATTTGTCTTGGGAAATAACTTTCAAAAAACTCTGAAAGAAAACTTTATGATTAAAAACATAATCTTTGCACCCGGCATAAACTCAGGCTTTTATTTAATTAAGTATAATATAAAACCCAAGTGCAAGCATTCTGAATTTTCACATCTGGCTTCCGTATTTCACAATTCTACACAATTTCACAGTTTGGCTTAATTTACGTGACCAGTTTTCATTGAAGATTAAATTTCACAGGTTATATTAAATTTCCTTCACCCCTTTACGAATGTATTCATCTCTCAGAAAAGCCAATAAACACGATCCCTCTAATGGATCTGAATACAAAGTGTCTCTGTTTTTGATGCCGTTTCAGTGTCTCGCATCTGCATGCCACTTAGCACCTTTTATTAGTGCCAATTAAGACCGATTCCGAGCTATTTCCGACGAGATTACAGCTCCGGACTGCCCCAAACTAGATAATCAACCGCAGAGAATTTGCGGCGTGGGCCTGACATTGAATCTCGGAATCTGAGCAGCTGCCAGTCTGAGTTTCCAAGTATCCAAGCATCCAAGTATCTCGATTGCGATTGCGGTTAGTTAAGCGCGTTGCCTCCAAGTGCACAGTAGTTCAGCGGAATGTCGAAGCTAGAGATTGCCAGCAAGTCGGAAAAGTCGGAAAAGCCGGCGGAGCAGTGGGGCAACGGGCTGGAGTTCCTCTTCTCCTGCATTTCTTTGTCGGTGGGCCTGGGAAATATCTGGCGTTTTCCCTACATCGCCTTTCAGAATGGCGGCGGCACCTTTGTGATTCCGTATCTGATTGCCCTGCTGGTAATTGGACGTCCTGTCTATTATCTCGAGATTTCCCTCGGCCAATTTACGGGTCGCGGCGTGGTCAAGGCCTTCGAGTTGGCGCCCCTCCTCAAAGGCGTGGCAGTGGGCCAGGTCCTGGCCACAGCCGCCTCCATAACGTACTACTCGAGCATCATGGCCTTGACTCTGCGGTTCCTGCTCGCCTCCTTCGGCGCGGAGTTGCCCTGGAGTCGCTGCTGGGAGAGCTGGGGCAGTGATTGCCACGACGGAAGTGCCCAGAACAGCAGCGGAAAGTTGTCGCCAGCACAGCTGTACTTTGAGTGAGTGACAAAAGGCGGGAAAACTGTTTGAAAACTCAATAAAATGGGAGTTTTAAATATTCAACATTAGTAAAAGGAGCTAAACAATGAGCTATGATGATAACTCATAATGCCTTTGGGGTCTTTACGAAATATAAAGGCTTTAAAGTGTAGATACATGTGCATTTAAGATCTTTATTGAATTAAATAATCATGTAATATCTTTTTATTGTTTCAACGGATAACTACAATTTTTATTGATTGTTTGTATGCATTACTTATTCAACCCATTAACTTTCTTTTATTTATAGACGTGAAATTCTCCATGAGGTTCCCAACATCGACAATGGATTGGGTCTCCCCAACTGGCAGTTGGTTGCCTGTTTGGCATTCGCTTGGCTAGTAATCGGTGCAGTTCTCATTCGTGGCATCAAGAGCAGTGGCAAGGCTGCCTATTTCCTGGGTGTGTTTCCCTACGTGGTGCTGCTCATCCTGCTCCTGAGAGCAGTGACCCTTCCGGGAGCCATCGATGGCATCATATACTTCTTCAAACCGCAGTGGAGAGAACTTCTAAATCCACTTGTGTGGTATGCAGCTGTTACCCAAGTTTTCTTCTCGTTGGCCATCTGTTTCGGAACTCTAATCACCTATGCCAGCTACAACAACTTCAACCGGAATGTATACAAGTGAGTTTGATAGTAGCTAACCTTGAGTTTAATACCCGCTCACTTGTTTTAAAGCTTTAATGAAAGATGAAACCCGCGCAAGAAGTATATACACCTAATGCTTCTTATATATTTATAAGCTTTACTTAAGCCTCGGCAAACTTGAGAGTTTTCCCTCCGACCATAAATATTTCTAACAAAAAATTTGTGTCCCCCAGTGACATTGTGATAATCACCACAATGGACTCCTGCTCCTCCATAATCGCTGGCTGCATTACCTTCGGGATACTGGGGAATCTGGCCCGCGAGACCGGCAACACGGACATTGGCAGCGTGGTGAAGGGCGGCGCCGGATTGGCCTTCATCTCGTATCCGGAGGCGATTGCCAAGTTTGAGTATGTGCCACAGGTAAGGTATCGCGAACGCACAGCGCCGTGGGCGCCCTAAAGCACAACTACCTAAAGATGTTCGCGGTCCTTTTCTTCCTGATGCTCTTCGTCCTAGGCATCGGCAGCACCGTGGGCATGGGCTCCTGTATCCTGCGAGTCATCCGGGATCAATTCGGACCCCGCTCGCCGCCCATTTGGAAGCTGGCCAGCGGTTTGACCGTCTTGGGCTTTTCGGTGAGCATCGTTTACATGACCCCGGGCGGTCAGTTTATCCTGAACCTTGTCGACTTCTACGGCGTGTCCTTCACCGCCTTGATCCTGGCCATTGGCGAGCTGGTGGCCGTTGCCTGGATTTATGGTAAGTAACGAGGATTTTCTTTTGCAACTTTTCCCCAGGAAAGCATTAAGCTCGTGCTAATGCTTGTGTTTTATTTTTAAACTTTAAGGAGTTAATCGCTTTTGCGAGGACATTAAGTTTATGATGGGCATTGAGACCGGTTGGTATTGGCGCCTGTGCTGGCGTTTCGTTACACCTGGCCTGATGACCTCGGTGCTCATCTATATGCTGATCGACATGTCGCCGCTGCAGTACAAGGGTGTTGGCTATCCCACCTTGGCTCATGGTAAATACTCGGTTAAGTAAAGTACCCATCCTTGGTATTTACCCAAGGAGTTGCTCCTTTTTCTTTGCTCACAGTTTTTGGCTGTTTTTTGGCTGCCTTGGGGCTGCTGCAACTGCCCGGCTGGGCCATCTATGCCATCTACAAAAAGCGTCACCAGAACGGCAGCTTCTGGCAGGTAAGTTTCCCCCCCTTTTTCACAGAAATATCTTTATTTTTTTGCTGAAAACCCCTTCCCCTTCTGTTCAGAGAGTACGTGCCGCCTGCAAGCCGTCGGACACTTGGGGACCGGCCAACGTTCAGCTGGATGCCGACATCTAGGAAATTAGCTTAGTCCCCAACACTGCGTATACGTAATGGCCCCAGTAGTCTGGGGCATTATTATTTGATATGGGGGCCAGATGAAAATGGCCAGAATAAAGTGAAATATATATTAAACGTGGAGCCAGAAGAAAGAGTGAGCTTTTATTCTGGCCAAAACAGTTTAGCCGCCCGAAGGAGTTGAGCTGGCGAAAGGAGGAAGTCGCTGCTGCTGCTGCTGCTGCTGCAAGCGCTTTTAATTACCCCAGGGCAGAGTTGCCTCCGTTCGGGCGTGGCAGCTGCACTCCACCTCGGTTGTGTTTGTGTTAGTCTGCTTGGCATGTCAGACATGTCAGCAATGCGGAAATGCGCAAATACTAAATGAAAACAGGAGGTGAAGCTTGCTCATTGCAGAACTTTTAATACACTTACAAAGAAAAAGTAATTAAGTAAGAAGAATATTATGACCTACTCTTAATCTAATTTAAACAATTTCATGTCATTTTATACTTCCATTATATTTATTTTTTCCTAGAAAACGTTTGGCTAATTTGTTTTTATATAAAATCCTTCTCATACAGCTTTTTATTCCCATAGCAATCTAACAATTTTTAAATGGCATTGACAAACTCAGCTTATTACGGAAGCGAGCCACATTTTTGTCATATAACTGCCCGCAAAACGTAATACTCTTTGTAAGGATAAAAACTGCAGCTCAGACAAAAAAAGAAGGAAAATGGGGACTAGAGCGCAGCAGGAAGGCACTGTAAATAAAACATTTGGTTAGCTGCTGTTCGACACATTCGTTCGGCGGGTGGAAGGAGGTCGCAAATCAGAATGTCTGTGGCATGTGACAAAGTTGAAAAGTAAATATGCAAGGGACAAAAAACACAAAATACGCGGATACGGAAGGCAAAAAACATGTTTCCCACTCTCCGCTGGCTGTTGCAGTGCCCCCCCCACACATATGACAGCGCATTTATTTGCTACACGATTTTTTTCCTTGTGTTGCTGTTGTCAAAAAAAGTGACAGTGTTAAATTTTTGGCTCATCCCCCGCAGCAGCTGAAATTGAAGTGTGTGTTGACTTTGACTGACGTGTCGTTAGTGCTGAAGAGCAGGGAGAATCTTCAGCTAGAAGTCCGCTTGCGTGTGGCACGCCCACTCACACTCCCAGACACACACTTACACACATACACACACACACAGACACACACATGCCACATGTCCGCGTGGCAAACAACTTTCTTTCATTTCTTTCGTGCCTCCTTTTTTGGTCTGCCGTTGTTGTTCATTGCTTTAACGATGCGCGTAAATCTTGACATACTTTCGCCGCCGCCGGTGAAAGGTAAGAGGAAGAGGAAGAGGGAGCGGAAGAGTGCCACTCACACACACTCACACACACACACACATCCCACGCCCATTATTAGTAATGGCCAAATCCTCGATTTGGCCCTTGTCAACGCAGCTGGCTGAAAAGTAGACTACACTTTTTGTGCAGCCCACAACATGCAACAGTGTTGCCAAATCGCTTCCCCAGGGTAAAAAATAGACAACAACTCTGTTTGCATATTAAGTAACCGAGTCTAGAAAATCATCTGAAATTCATTGCAAATTTATTAATGGCATACACTGTTGTTTGAGAACTAAAGTGGATTAAAAATGTATGTTTTGAAGCTCATCAAAACCACAATTGCCGTGTGGTTTTTATGTAGTTTTTATAAAAGAGAAAATAATGTTTTTGATTAAAGAAAAATTTTTTAGAGATTTTTTATTCCTGCAAATGATGTTTAGGGACACTCAAATATTTGTGTAATATAAAAAACTGGTTTAGGTTTGTATAATATGTAATCGTAACCAACACATCAAGTGCGAGCATTATTATACACAAATTATCTTTTAATTGAGCTTGCTACGCTTTATGTTTAACTTTCTGAGGTTAGAATCAGAAATGCATTTCGTAGACAACTGCATCTGTTTAAGAATTGGCAGCAAGACATCTTAAATAACACTGTCTCAGACACTCAAGCGAGTCAAGACTTTTCTTGGCTGACTAACTCCGGCCGGACATGCAGCACAATTCTCTTGAGTTGGAGAGCCGGGGCAAAGTCCTCGTCAGGCGGACCAGCATCATCAGGATAATGATCATCATGCGATGCAGATGGAGTCGTACCTGTGAGCTACTTTCATGCTCCGAATTCAGCACACTTGAGTGACGGAAGCAGCTGCCAGCTGGTCTCTTGTCAGGCTGCAGGACCAGCTCTAAGGATCTGGCTGCCCCGCATCCCTCGTCCTGATTGCGAAATATGAGCCGGGAGTTGAGAGCCGAGAGGAGGCGGAAAATCCGCTTCAACTTGCATGTCTGCCTGTCAGCAGCAACTAAGCGAATTTATAGCAATAGTTTACGTATACTCGTATATGTATATTTTTTTTACCCAGCCAACAACTTGATTCGATGACTTAAAACGTTTATCGTGTTCGTCCGCAGTCGACAGACACTGTATTATGGCCCGGCCAACATGTCGTATACTTAACATTCCGTATGCCACAAGTTGTGCACTTTCCCAGGCCACTCTGCTCGATATCACCGGCATATATACCCCCTATATAACCCGCCCCTTGACTCATAAGTGAAATTTAATTGTGTTCAACATGGATTCAAGTCTGGCACAAAAAAAAAGGGACTAAAGTGAAAAAGGTTGACTAGGCTTTTCTACCCTCCGTATTATTTTCATTGATATCGTTTCGAGTCGATTGTTTCGATGGGTTTTGGGCGGAGGCAATTTCCTAATGAATCGAATCGATATATTCCCTCCCTTCCCGTCTAGACAGCATAAATTTATTTATTTATGATATTTACGTACGTACTGATTAATCTTGAGCCATTGTCTCGGGTAATTTATGTCATTTACGAGCATTTGCCGCTTATCAAAGTCACGATAAATTAAAACAGAAATGATCTGCCCCCTCCTCTCGCTTTTGTTCCTGTCGAGCAAAGCCAATTACGTTTATTACATAATTCAGCAGCTGCCCACGCATCCAACAGATGAGATGAAAATGTCTAAAAGCTGGAGGACGATGATGGCGATGGAGGGGGAGGGGGGGGGAGGAGTGGGGAGGATTAAGATAACCTGGGTGAATACGCACCAAACAGCGACGTCAGCGAAAAACCGCGATGCCCACAAGAGGATAAACCGAAGAAGAAAGGTGAAATTCTGGATTCGGGCGAAAAGTCAGGTCAAGCAATTAAGAAAACCCCAAGTGTGGTGTAAAAGCCTTAAGAGTTTTCCCTCTCTCACTCTCTCTATCTCTATCTCTCTTTCTGTCACTCCCCATTTGGGCCACTCCCTATCAGTTTTCCCATTTCCCTCGTCCACTTAAATAGGCACAAATATGTTTGTTGCCAAATTCGAGCTTCATTAGCAATCGGAAAGGAGTTCGCTTCACGCCAGCTGACAACCTAATGCGAATGTCGAAACAATATTTTCCATGTCTGCTAATGTTTCAGCATGTGTGTGTGTGTGTATGTGTGTGAATGGATGTGGAAAAGGGAGGAAATCCTAGCCAAATTCCGGGAAAGCGGGCGGCAAAAAGTGAAAGCAGCGAGACAGTGAAATCCTATTAAGAAGTTTCTATCGCAAATTAAAATCTAAATACGCAAACAAAATGATGGTGACGTCTGCGCCACGGGGAAGCCAGACAGCCAAAAACAAAAAGAGCACTCATCACTGAGAGAAAAATAAAGCAAAACAACAAATGCAGAACAGAATGAAAAATCTGAGAACAACCAAACGTTCCACTTTGTTTAATTTCTATACATAAATAGACTTTGATATTTTATGTTTTTCCTTATTCAAGGCGCTGAAGGCAAAAATACACATGCTTTCAAATAAGTGAAATATTTGGGATTTTTATTTGTTTACCTTTGAAGGAAATTTATTTATGGAAATGCGCTTTTCTACGATTTGTTTAGCAAACAATTCGAACTATAATCTAAACATTCTACGAATGGTTTGCATTTTTAAAAGGTAAATCATTTTAATGAAAATCTATATTTTATTTCCCAATGGAAAACTTTCATTAGCATTCCCTGCTTGTATGTTCTTTGTTCTCAACTCCTTTACTGCAATTGATTAAAGATATTCTCTCTGTGTGCGCAGCAAAGGCTCCAAGGAAATGGCATTAACCAGGACAAAGGTAACCGCTAGTAGCCAACAGGCAAGCCACCTTGGCCACGCCCCGTATTTCCTTTTTATTTGTGCTGTCTGCTTACAGTTTGAATTATAAGCTAGCGAAAATTTAATAAAGCTTTCTCCTCCCCAAAGAGAAGGAAGCCGAAAGACGGGCGACTTTGGGGCAGGACACGCTTGGCAAGGACATGGAACACCCGGCCGCAGGAGAGGACAGACGACAGACAACGACGACTATGACAATGTCAAAGAGTTTCGCTGCACGCAATGTGGGCGTGGCAAAGGCTGTCGGGGGGATAGAGCACCTGCGACAACAACAACAACGAAAACAACAACAACAAAAACAACGGGGAGCAGCAACAACTATTGACGGCAAAGTTTTTGGCCTGGCAAATGGCAAAAGTTTTGAGCTCTCCACCCGTTATCCGTCCTATAAATTCGCCTTTCCTTTACTTTCCTTTCCTTTTCGATTATTTTATTTTTGTGCCGCCTTGCTGCCCTTGCAGCAACTTTAAGCCTTTATTAAATTGTGTGTCCAAAGTCAACAGCGAAAGCAGAAGCGACAGCGACTGCGAATGACAGCAACAATTGACAGCAAAACAAACGATTGTCATTGCCAAGTGTGTGCGTCAACCTTTGAACCCCGAGTTGCTGCTCCCCCAAGTTTTCAGTTCTGTGTGAAAAAGTACAGCCCACTTTCCCCACCCACCCAACACAGCCACCTCCATGCTGGAAAATAGATGTCAAGCGGTTTTCCCCCAGTCCGTTTAAATTGAATTGTTAATTCGGCCCAGAAAACCTTTTCCCTTTTTGCCTTTTGTGTGCGTGTTTGACATCAATGCGATTTTCTTTTTGGCTCGTTCCGGGTGAAAATATTTATGTTGAACCCTTTTTGTGGCAGCTTTTGTTTTGGCCTTTGTTGCGCGTTATGCAAACATTCGACTGTCAGTGACAACAGGACAGGAAAAGCATCCCAACTTTCCCCATTTCCCCCACAGCTAAAACCCGTCCATTTCTCCCCTCTTTTACCCAAACTAGTTATATCTGAGCCGGAGTCAATGGGGAATATAGGTAGATAGGTACACCTGCATCGGATGGCTCTGTGGTCCTGGCAGCCGATTCTATTAACTTTTTGCCCGTTCAACATTTGCATATCCCGACCGCAAGAGTCCAGTTTACAGTTTTCAGTTCGACTCCCGACAATCCGCCACTTCCGCGCTCACAGCTCCCCACATTGTTTGCCATTTGCAATGGTATCCCCACCCCTCCTCCCCCTCTCACAGCCCACCCCCGTTTTCCACCCATTTCCCACCATGACTAAGGCATAAATCAAGCGCAAAGTACAAATATTTTTCAAGTGACAACAAATATATAATGACGACTCCACGGGCTTTGCCTCTTGGCCAGCACCTGAAAGCCTGAATAGCAGAGTACCTGAATGGACGCTGCCGGGAACTGGGAACCGGGAACCGTGCTTCTCTGTTGACTCTTTTGGCTGGAGCACAGTGCCACCCACTCTCATGATTTCTGCAGAAGGTTACTCTAACTGGAGGGGGCATCTCGAATTTAATATGAACAATTTGGGAGATAGCATGGTCGAACGTCTTTAGTTTCAGCATTTGACTCACAGGAACGAAAGGAATTTAATCAGCCCAAATATGTAGATGCTTGTGGATATAAATAACATGAAGAACATTCTTCTGCAAGTTTTTTTTTTTTGGTTTTAGCTGGAAAAGTCCCCAGATTCACTTTGGGTAAAAATATGAATATGAACTAATTGTATGCTTTATTTGAATCTTGTGTTTCCATTTAATTTGCCATTAAATCTTGGTTATGTATTTTCTCTCAAATCAGTTTCATTTTTCCCCTTTTCCACAAAATCCGACTTTAATTAATTTACGAGTAAAGTAATTCATGGCCGTAACCACATATCCACGTCCATTAAAATATGGTATTTCATTCCGAAATTGTTGTGACACTTTCATTAATAAATCTGCGATTTCCTTTGCATAACCATAATAACCATAATTTCTCATTATAAAATATATTTGATGACAATCGTTGTTTCAGCAGATGTTCCCCTAGGCAGTGCATCAAAAACTCAATTTTCCTGTGCAGTTTTCCCAGGCTTTTCCGGCCAAACCTGCTCCACTTTCCGTTGCGACGCTGCGGCTTGCGCTTTGCTGATTTCGTTTTGATTACGGCAAATTGTTTTTAGTTGCCTTCGTCGTTCAGTTCCTTTCCGCGATTTGTTTCGTGGCCAAGTTTATATTGCGGCATTTGTGCAGTTTGCCCAGTTCCGTTGATTTGCATTCATAGCCACCGTAATCACAGGTCAAGTCGCAAATTATATTCAACTCCAAACTCCCCTTCCTGACCTTAACAACCAGCTGAAATATTGACAAAGTCCTAAACAAATGACGATTGCGTGCCTTGTGTATTAAGTATTGATAAATGCTACTATTTGTTGAGTAATTTTGGTCAGACTTTATGCATTATAAATTGATTCATTTAACCATTTGCGCTTATAAAAAAAAGGGTATATTAAATAATTTTGGTAAATATGAGGAGTTAAAGCACACAACTAATAATAACCTAGATTGTTTGCTTTAACCCATTAAACACATTAAATTTTGGTTACAAGGTTTTTTTTTTGTTCTCTGTTTAGTTTGTCGCTGTTGGCAGCAATTAGCAAGTTTTTCGATGCACAACTTTTTAATGAAATTAACAACCCGCGGGACCCAATTCTTTTTTTTTTTGCCATCGTGCAGCAAATGTTAAGTGCTACTTCAACTCCAGACCTCCTCTAATGAGAGGGTAAAAAAAAAGTATGACTAGACGGATGTCTGCAGGGATAATACGATATTTAGGAATTGTCGTTCTGTTTAACTGATTAGTTTGTGGGCGCGACTTTCAATGCCGATCCATGGCGATAACATTTATAAGGCGTAACAACTAGTTCCTGCACTTATGTCATATTTCAGGGACAGTGACAGCCGGAGGTTAACACGCACGCATGCCACGCCCCTCGGCGCCTTTTCCACCTCTCATATGTATGGTATGTTATATGTATATGCATGGAGTCATCCACGTTTCGATTAAACAAACCTTCTTAAATATGCAATGACATTGACTCAAAGGCGAGGGAGAGCTTAGAGTGGGTGGAATGGATTAGGGTGTGGGTTTAACATACGAAATAAATCCAATCAGCATATTGCATTCAGGCTATATCGACAGATTATCACAGACTTTATTGAAAATTCTGTAGCCAACAGCATTGCATTTAAGTTAGAGGATTAAAGGCTTTTCAATTTGCCTGATAATCTTACTTAAAAGGAGCGATTACATTAAAAATTTTAGTTAGTGCAGGTCAAAGCTTTGTGCATGTTATTCAATATTATTTTAAGGAAGACCATAAAATACCTTGAATTTGCGTGACTGCTTTTTGGTTAAAAGATAAAACTTTATGTATTTATTCAGGCATAAAAACTAATGAAATTGAATCCATGAAACGATTGAACTGACATGCTTAGCAATTTCAAACTGCTCGTTCACTTAAATTGTAAAAGGATTTGAGCTTTATCTACGATTGCATAACCTTAGCTCAGCTAATTAGGCAAAGGAGAAAGAGGGAAGCGAAGCGGAAAAGAAAGTAAAAGGATTGCCAGCGATTGCATAAGCCAGCCAGCAACAATATACATATATAGGTACTCATATATATTGTATGACTTGGAGGTATAGAAAGGAAACAGGAATTCAACGGCAGTTGAGGAAAATGGGGAAAATGTCAACGCGACAGCGACAACGCATGCAACATGCCCGGCGCCCAACTGACGCTCAAGGATACGCAAACACACACACACAGATACACTCACACACACACATGCTAGATGACGGTGTGTATCTGTGTTTGCAGTTGCTTGCGTAACGTAAAAATAGCCTTGAACTGCAGCCGTGCGCTTTCAATGGATTTGCATGCCGCCCACTCTGCCCCACTCCCACCCACTCAAGGTCACGCGATGCCTACCGCAAATGGAACAGTTGCGGCCCATAAAGGCTGACACGACCATTATATAAGCCGGCGACCGCTGCAAATGTCGCCGAGACACCCTGCTAATTGCTTCTCGAGCAGCAGCAGTTGCAACGAAAATTGCACTTGCAAGTGAAACTAGTGTTGCAACTTGCCATTGCAACACGCAATTGCATTATTGGCCAGTAAATGTCATCGAAGTTGTCCCTTTTTCCTCGGAAAACAAAACGAAAAACGGTTACTGATCGAATTTGCAATTCCAGAGTCTTTTCTTTCACAGTCAAAAGCTTAATGCGGACTAATAACATTAATTCCAATTTTTCGTAAATTTGGTAAAGACTTAGGGACCAAAAAAGAGCGAAATCTGAATGGGGCCCTAATGAATATTTATATGTATTTGTTTGGCTTAATATTTGGAGCTGCCCTCGACGTCGCTGGCCATTTAATGTCCTTTTTCCTTGCCTTTTCTCTCGCTTTGGTCTATTCTGGTTTATTCCCGCCATATCCTTGCCATTTGCTTATGCTGGCAGCTCTTTCATTTCGCTTTCCGCTTTTTGCTCTGCTCTGCTCCAGCGCCATCGTCGTGTGCAAGTTGGCCATAAAAATGGAGTAACATTTATGACCCACATCAGGCGCACACCAGCAAAGCAACAAACGCAGAAGGACTCAGAACGCAGGCAATGCACTGACAAAAATACTGAAGTATTTTCCAGACCATGTAAAATCACAAAACAAGACTACGTTTTTTTTCTAAAACTTGTAACTCTTTTATTTAGAAAAATATGCATTTATGACATGTTTTCAGGGATTGTTTCTATTTATTTACTTTAAAACATTTTTACACAAACGCATTAAAGGTATTTAAATATTTTGCTGTGCATGGCTAAAACGAAAATGCTTTTGCGTGGGTGTGGATGAACATTAGGGAGTTCTATGGGGCGGGGAAAGCCGGGAACGGGATGGAATGACGCCTGCAAGCGCAACATTCACAAGGATATTTTATTTTACTGTTATTCCATTTCCCGCTTCTTGTTGCTGTTGCTTCTACTGCTGCTGTCCTTTTGTTATTGCTCCTTTCGGCATTTCGACATTTACTTTTCGACTCGCAGCGCATATCCTTGAAACACCCCTTCCCCATCTAGTGCTTTTTTGGTGAACACCCCGTTATAGGTTAAAGCTGTTTTCAAGGTTAAATATGCGTGGCATATCGGAATCCAAGGATTTTCGTGTTTTGAGTGACTTACCCTTTTGCTCCATTAAGTATGCCACACATTTAACTGCAGCGCATGCAACATACTGGCCGCTTTTCCTGCTCCTTCCTAGCCGCTCCTTTCGCCTTCTCCCCTTCTCTCCCCTCCTTCCCCCTTCTCTTTCGTTTCGCTTACTGACCCAGTTCGCTTTGTTTTGCGTGTTTATCTTGCTCAGGTAGCTTCTGCGTTTTCGGCTGCTGTTGCCGCTTGTTTTTGTAGCATGTTCTTTTTTAGAAACACAAATTTAGACCTTGTATAAGTTTTACCGTTTTTGTTTTTATCTCAACTATGACCGACTTAGGCACGCACGCACACACACACATGCGTTAAAAGGAGAAGAAGGTTAAAACAGAGAATGAGAAACCGAGATATATGACAATTTAGCGCCCAATTCAGTTAATTGTGGCTTGCGTTTATTAAGGCCACTTTATCAAATCTTCTCCCTTTCTTAATTTCCCTCGTCTCCCTTTTTTATGCACTCTACTTTCACTCACAATTGTGCTGCTAATTCCGTTACTTTCACTTTGTTAGGCCTTCTGTTTGCTTGTATGTGAATGTCTGTGTCAGTGTATTGGTGTGTTTTGGCTCTTGGAGCACACGTGTGCGTTTATGTGTATCCGTGTGCGTCGATTAACGGCATTGATTTTTTCCAAAAACAAACAATAATTCCACTCTAATTTCACTGATCCGTTTTGTTTTAGTTATTCGATTATTTTGTGCGCCGTTTCACGTGGACATTTAGCATTTTCCGTTTTGGTTTGCTTTAATTTCGGCGATTTGCGCGCGCGCTGGGTGTACAGGTGTGCGTGTCTAACTGTGTGTAAGTATTTCGTGTGTGAGTGTGTTGGCCATGTGTTTGTTAAATATAGTTGCCCGAGAGCGAAGATTCCGCAGGAGCAGCAGCGCACGTCCGCTCTCCACGACGCTTTTCACACTTCTAAAAGGCTCCAACGCCACTCTCGCGTATTTATGCAAAACGCGCGTCTCCACAAAATCGCACTCTCTCTCTCACTTATTGGGATCCCAAATGTCTCTCTCTCTCTCTCTCGCAATCTCTTTAGGCGCCACTATGTCTACGCATAAATAATACGCACGTTGCAAGTAAAGCGTGCGAATGCAAGAGGGAGAGAACAGCTCCAACGCTCATCTCTATGCAAAGTCAACTCCATCAGGCAGGTGTAAAAAGTGAGAGAGGGTGACGCTTTGGGTTATCAGGACTGGCAGAGTCCCCTTTCTTTCTAAAATTTTGAAACTAATAAAATATAATGATTTTAATTTTAATTTTAAAGAAGAGATATAATAATTTATAAGTTTTACAAAGAAAAGTATGAAACTGCATACTCGAACAAGATTTTACAACTTCTCGATTTTTTAAGATTTTAATTCATGTTTTGTAAAAGGATACTTCAATATCGATATTTCGGATATGCTCTGCATTCTCCTACGCTAACGGCATACGTCATCATAACGGTAAACAAAATTTTGCATGAGAGAAATTCCCATAGAGCTCACAAATTTCGTTGCCACCTCTCTCTTGCCTCATGGTCATGCGCTTTATTCCTTTCTTACATGCTCCCACTTCATTTGCTCACCGCGCAGCCTCAAAAGCGATTCACTGTCTCCCTCGCATTCCTATATCCCTCCAATTTCTTTAGCAACCTCTACTGTTATTGCATGCGAAGCACGTGAATCTTTGTGTTTACTTTTTAATTTTCTCCCAGCTCTCAGGCTCAGTTGGCATTTGTTTTTATTGTTGCCGCCGCCAGTTGTTGTTGCTGCCACCTTTTGGAGCTTTTGTTTTTCTTTATCGCATGTGTGGGCCTTTGTTTTTCTTGTGGGCCTTGCTTTGTTTTGTTTTGTTTGGTTCCATTCATACGGAGTTTCGTGGGTTTAGCTTTTGGGGAGAAACTATGCAAACTGTTTTCCATTTACGATCGACAGTTGGCAGTGTGAGTGATTGTGTGCGTGTGTACGCCAGAGATTTGTATGGAAATTGGCGCAAAATATGCCCCAAAACCGAATTCAAGTCCCCAGTTAGTTATGTGCAGCAGCTTGCCTTTTCTGCATTCACATTTTCCGAGCACAGAGCTGCATATCAGCATTTGCCGGGGGAAAACTCATTCCCAATTTCACAATCTCCTCTTTTTAAGTAAACCGAATTTTCCTAATTATTCTTTTCCTTCTTCTGGCATTTCCAAAAAAGAATTCCAAAAATCTAACAAATTAAAAAACAATATAAAATAATCATAAATTTTATTACATTGCAAAAGGTCAATATCGATCTGGGTTCGAATTTTTTTGTAATTCGAGCGAAACTAAGTTGCGGAACCGTCTACAAAGCATGTTATGGCATTTCGAATGTTTGTTTTGGGGAAATGTTAAATCATGCATGCTGATTGTCCTGTGGCCTCGAGGATGCCAAGAATAGCAAGGATGCATGGCATAAAACAGCAGCATAAGCATCACAATCGGCATCAGCCATATTCGAACTCGTTTACATTTTCAACTTTGTTTCGCATTGCTGGCATGTCCAAAAGTGACGAGAAAAGAGGAAAGCGAGCTGGATGCAAATGATTTCGCTGGCATTGATAGCCAACGTTTTCTCTGCGATTTTCCCCGATATTCTTCCTCTGACATTTCCCCTTTGGCCTGTGGAAAATCAACAGCACAAAAACCGCTTCAGCAACAGGAATTTTGATTTTAAGCAAACGGAGTGCAGAACAAACAAATAAACAAAAGGGGGGGAGTCGTGGGGTGGGAAACTGTGTGCGGGCGTATCCACAGCAACGGAAATTCTAACCGTAACTCATGGGCGGCCTCCCCTCACCTTTTCCTCTAACCCCTTCCCCAGCCGAAACTATTTCCATGAGTAATTGCCGCTGTGCATGCGCCTCTGTCTGGAAAATGGCACTCCTCCTCCGGCCGTCCCACTTTATTTCCCCATCATCATCATCATCAGCTGTATTTGTTGTCAGTTTCGGTCGGGCTTTAAGCCATTTAGCCAGACCAGACCGGTGGGCCAACAGCAGGAGCACCCAGCCAGGTAAACTGTTGATTCCATGTGGCGACGCGTCTGTCAAGGATCCTCCCCAACTCCCCCTTTCACGTGGGAACTTTGGTACGTTTCACCCATCTGATATCTGTCCAGCACGTCGGGATATTCGAGTTTATACACATGCACAGTTCAACTTCTCTAACTCAATACCAAATCTGTCACACGGAAAAATCGCGTTAACAGGAAGTTTAAGCTGAATATAAATACAAATAGTTTTGAGATTGCAAATTGTAAGGAGTTATACCTATTTATTTAAGACTAGAGGTCCTGTGTCCGCTTCGCTGGTCAACACAATTTAACAACATAAAAGTCAATGTTGCAACATTTTTTAAATATATGGAAGTATAGAAAGATGGTTATTTAAGTTAAGTTTGACTTTTCCACTTGCGCAGCACAATCCAGCCGTTTCTCTTTTAAACATTAACGCACTGCAATATCGGTATATAGTCGCCATTGCTCCAATATCTAAATTTTCATTATCACTGTAGTTCGCAGTGGGGTCATATTGGAATGCCAAGCGATTAAATGATGCTAATGATCTCCATGTGCTCATTTGTCTTTCTTCGCTTAAGTTTTGTGAATATACTGGCTGCTGGCTTGGATGTCTGCGGCCAATGTTTGCACGTCGTCCTCTAAGCATTTTGGACTATGGACAGAGTGGTGAATTTATCCTCAAATGCACGATCCACATAATTTTCACAGTTCAACTTAAATTGAATAAAAATTCTTTTTTTTTTTCACAATTTCACAGTGAACACAAAAATTGAGTTAAAATGCTATGGAAGCGTGTTTGTCAGTGTGATGAGGTAGCAACTCACTTTATATGCGACAATATTGCAATTTTCTTACGGATCCCTAATTTTTTTCAAAATAAATTATAGCCTATTTAACTCCACGATAATATAGCTTTCTATCGGTGAAAGAATTTTTTAAATCGGACCAGTAGTTCCGGAGCCTATTCCCTGCAAACAAACAAACAAACAAACAAACAAACAAACAAATTTTACCTCTTTATAATATTAGTATAGATTAAGTGAAATTTTAGTTTAAAAAAAAAAAACTTCAAATGTAACTCATAAAAATTCCAATAATAATAAAAACTATTTCCTTTTTCTACGAAATTTTTAAGTGGTTGTAATTCCATAATTATTTCCGGAACATGCAAAGTTCAAGCCCTGAAACTTCCACTGTATGTTTGTTGGACATGGCTTTCAAAAGCATTGCAGTCGTCATGGCATTTACCTTTATTAACATAGAAACGGGCACAAAAAGATCCTTATCCATTCACCGCGAAAAGGATAAAAGTTTTTTGTTTGATTTCCGGGAAGTTTATCTACCTCGTGACCTTTGCCAAAGGATTTCTTTCAGTGGAATTTGGCCGGTTTTTGGATTTTGTACGAAAATAGCATTCATTCGCCAGACAAAACAAAACAATGAAGTGTGTTTGGGGGTCCCGGAGTGAAGAATAAACCAGATCAAGTCCCCAGATGGCCATAAACATCAAAAGAGTGCACTCAAACACGTAAACATTTCAGTGCTAGGAAAATGTAAAGCAATTCGCTGAAAAGTATGCTATAAAATTGCGAGAGTGACAGAAGACAGATACGCACAGACATTGGGCCATAAATTTTGTCCCATTTTCGGTTATTTTTGTCAACAGTCGATAGCTTAATGTACATAGAATCTCCCCAATTCATCCCTTTAAATGCAAAACCCGAATAAACCCCTCTGATTTTCTAAATTTAGGCGTAAAATGCTGATTATTAGACCATAAACGCTTTTATATCGTTTCGCTGCACATTCGGAATCCCAAACTGTGGTCAGCACTTTTGGCCGTTGTGTCTGCGGTTTGATTAGTTAGTTATTTTTGCAAAAAACCACACATTGTTTTAAACATAGTTGAGGGCCAACTTTAATTGCCTAATGCTGAATGCAAATTTCAATCAAATCGCTTTGAAATGCACGAAATAAACCGCAAACTAATGCACAAACAAATCGCATTAAATGGAAAACTTTTTTCGCGTTCGCTCACTGAGATTCGATTAGGTGTGGGTAAATGGGAAAATCGAAAAATTAAGGAGGGTGATAAGCAGATGAGCGCCTCTCGGTTGATTGTCACTTGAATATTCCGAGCGTGATCGATGCGCAGAGCTTTTGGTTTCCTCGATTTCGCCAGCGAATTGAATTCAGAAAAGCCCCACACGTAAGCAGTGCTCCATCTCCCTCCCGCGCCATCTCCGGCTATCCGCCATCTCTTTCGCACACCATCGCTGGTTGTGTTTTCTCTCGTGGGCAAAATTAATGTCAATTTTTATGCTTGATTTATGGCATCGTATTTATTCTTCTGGGGCGTCGCCGACATTTTGGCCCGGCTTCATTTGAATTCAATTGCTGGCGAAGATGCCACGGCGCTGATTTTGTCGCAGCAAATGTCGAAGGAGCAGGTCGAGAGCGGCACGTGACCCGCTAACCCCGAAAGCGCAATATACACAGCATCCTGCCCTCCATTCCTGAGCAGTCAAACACATCTGCCAAAGGGCAATAAAAAATTGACAACGCCAACGCCAACTGACAGCAGCGGAACGATGAGGCGAAGAGGTCCTAGGCTTAGGTGTTTACACAGAGAAATACAACAAAGCAGAAAGTTCTACATTTTAAAATGGGCGTCCTTCGGAAAAATCTGACATAAACAGGGGTCAAAAATTCGACCCTCTCAGAGTAAAAAAAATTAAATGCAGTTCGCCTTGGAATTCCATCACAATCATTTTGAGGTACGATACAATCTAGTATGTCACTTTGAGATAGGTTTTCCGACTTATGGCTCTTGGAAATGCTAATTTGGGTCTCCTATTCCAATTCATCGGAAATTTTACGAAAAATCTGCCCTGAACAGGGGTCAAAAAGTCGAACCTCTCCGAATGAAAAAGTTTAAATGGAGTTTGTTTCCGAATTCCATCACAATCATTTAGAGGTATGTCACTTTGAGATCGGTTAAAAATTTTCCAAAGTATGGCACCTGGAAGTGCTAATTCTTTGCAATTCATCGAAAACTTTTGTTTTTCTCAGTGCTGGCGATACTAGCTTCCTTTTCCTGCAATCATTCACCAAAAGGGAGCAAAGGTGGGAAAATAAAGCTGTGTCTGCCTATCAGTTGACACAGCCGAAGGAAGCGGGGCATCCACAAAGTGCTGCAGCGTTGCAATTGCCCGGGAATCTTTGGTGCAGCTGCAGCTGCAGTTGCATCACTTTTCCCGCGATGCTATCCCAGCTTCTTCTTCTTCTTCTTTTCCATTTGCTGCCCCTGCCACAGGTAAACACCTGGGGCCGGCACTTTGGCGTTATTAAAGCGCTCCCCAGCGGAGGAAGTGGAATCATCAGCCATTTTTGGCTGGCAGGCCGGAAGCACTTTGCGTGCAGATTTATGGCTCGCCCCAGGCCGATCCTCCGTGGGAAATACATCTGCATGCATATATGCACACATACATATGTATATATGTATGTAGTATGTTGGCATGCGTGTACTTGGGTTTATGGGTGCATATCCTTCGGTTTTCCACGCTCCTCTGCGCTTTTATTTTCGAATGCATTTAAATTGCATTTGCTTTGGCCGCTGATAAAACTGTCGGCACTTGACAACCTTATCGCCGCACTTAAATTCGAGGGCGAAAAACAATAGACCCATAAATTTAACGTCGGATTTATTGGCGAAAAGCTTGTTTCCCATTTATGATGAATGTACGAGTGTCCATGTTCTGAAAAATCAGTAAGATCAGAATAAAGCCCTGTGAAATTTATTTTATTCACAATGGATTTTTAAAGAATTTTTCTTGTTGTTTAAAAAACTTTGGTTTGTTATGGATTTATTATATTTTACACATTTTATCAACTGATGTTTCAAGTATCACTTGCCATTGAATAAGTTTGATTATTTGTAAATTTAATAAATCATAAAAAATGTTAAATTGATTTTAATTCCCACTGGAGAAGCATCACGATTTCTGCCAATAATTCCCCCGCTTAAAATCTCTTTCTGTTCCATTTTCTGCCATTTTTTTCCAGCCGAATGACTTTTAAGTGTCAGCTGAAAGGCTCCAAGTGAAATCAGCCGTGCCACTTGAGTTTCCCCCACCCGGCATTTCCTTTGGAAAATCCGCCCAACCTTTGAGTTTGGCTTAAAGTTGTGTGTTATGGCGCTCGACTTGTTTGCCTTTCATTTGCTGTCCACTCACGCAGCCTCTCTTCACTTGGCGCGGCCACTTGCCGATAATCCCTGCCCCGCCCCCAAAGCTCACACCACCCACCGCCTGCCACCCAACCCCACCTGCCGCCCACTCCAATGCCGTGCACATAATCCGTTTAAAATGAGCACTGGCTGTGCTCCAGTTTCCGCTGCTCCTGTTTTTGAGTGCACTGAAATTAATTTAACGACTTGACGCACTTCAAACTGCACAAAACACATGAGTGCGGGGTGGAAAATGGGTGGGGGCTAGCAGTTTTTCCTGTTGCTCATGCGAGAAAGCGGGGTTTGGTGGGGGCAGGAAGTGCTGGGACAATGGCAACTTGACCTTGACACGTTCGACGTTTCTCTGCGCATTCTCTTCCTTGTTCCCGCATTTTAGTTTTCTTTTTTGCGACTTTCGCCTGGCTTACGTAAATTCAATTTTCAGTTTGATGAAAGCAAAGTTCAGACTACACACAAGTGTGTATGTCACTGTGTGAAAGGACTACCTGAGAATCCAGTGCCTGCAGGTATGCAATGCCATTTAGGCACTTGAGAAAAATATCAGATAAATGCAGAATCCATTTTAATGCTTAAGAATTGCTTTCTTGTATTCTCTTAGTCAATTAAACCTATATTTCAAAATTAGTTCTCCATTATTAATAGATTTTAACATTTCCAATAATTTTAGGTGATTTAGCGATTTTAAGTATTAGGTTTTTTTGGATAAAGAAATATTTCTCAGTGCAAATGACATAAGAAGAAGGCGGCGGTATTGGAGAGCGTGTGATTTGCACAATCTGCACACAACTCGAAATTAAATTCGGCCCCGGCAACAGCTCGAACTTTTTTGCGAAAGGTCAAAATGTTAATGTATTTGAAATGAGACGCCACAAAAAAAAAAAAAAGAAACGAGAGCGAAAGGAGCAGGGATAAAATAAAGTGTGAGCTAGGGAAAGGTGAAGGGGACAGCAGGCCAAAAACGAGACTCAGATGCGAGATACAGCACAGGGAACTTTCGCCCCTCGGAAAGTGGCAAAAACTTGTCCATGTTCATTCAACTTGACACGGTCGCCAGCGGGCAGACAAACTCCCCAAAAAAAAAAGGGACCCAGCAAAAATACAAGGAAACTTGGGCCTAATATAGGGAATGAAACTAGAAATGCCCTTTAAAAATGCGCCATACTGAAAAATCGAAGATATATAAAACAAACTCATTATATTCTTAGGTAATCCTCAGTCAAAAGGTTAAATTTTTTTAAATTTTTTAAGCAGTATAAACGTGTATACTTTGTAAGTATTCCGCTTTATTACCACGTTTCAAGCTCTATAGAAAAATCACAATACCCCCTGTCAATGTGTCAAAGCCGAAATAAAAAAGATGTCTGCGTGTGTGTGGGCGGGGGGCGTGGAATGTTTAATGCGATTTGCCACACGTAACTCAGTCTGTGGAGACTGTTGAATTACTTAGAATACAGAAGCCCACGTCGTGCTCTACTTTTGTGCTTTATTGAAGAGGGATACACGAACTTATTTGCCATGATTTGGGTCCACAATGCACAGCATTGTCACGGGATCCGTCAAACAATCTACAAAATGGTTAAGTAATTAAAAAGGTGTATTAACTTAAATGGTTTTTGCTACCAACCGCCTGCCGCCAAAGAACTCCAAAGGGTTAAAACCAAAACCAAAACCAGCAGGAATAACTTCATGTTGTGAACTCTTTAAGAAAACCTTTACGAATAATGCTCTTATTGAAAACAAATAGATTTGGTTCTTATCAGTAGAGAAGCTTCCGATAGAAAAATTCCGAAAAGCAAAGCTCTGATTATAAAAATAGAGCTGAGATCAGTCTTGAGAGTAAATGCACTTAGAGCGATAAGGATACAAAAATCAAATTTAAAATTGCTTAAAGAACAAAAATAAAAGCAAAATGAAAAATTTTACTCACCTTGAAAATTGATTAAGATAAAAACAAACCTAAACTATTTATTGTATTGCTAATTCACTGCATTAGTTGGCACTACTTTTTCTTTAAAAAACAATTCAAATGCTACCAATAATTTAATTATGTAAGCTATTCACTATAGTGTTCTCCACCCGCACTTTTAAAATAAGCAGTCATTTAAAAAATTGATTGTTGTGCGCAATTTGGTTATCGATAACGAAGGCATCTAATCAGCTGTTGAGTCCGCAGATAATTTCGTGCTTACCAACACTACCAAACTTTACTAGAGAACAAGACAACAAATTGATAAAACTTATTTGGTTTATTTATTTAGAATAAGAAAATAAAGTCTGCAATATGGGTGATACTAAAGCCAATCCCTTTGATATGGACAGCTCCACTTTCGACGCAGAAAAGTATTTGGAAAGGTTGCTAAAGGTGAGGAGAAAACAACTTCATTGAAGAAACAACCATTAACTTTAACCTTATGTTTTTGTTATTATTCATAATTTTAGGACTGTTCCCTAAAGCAAATAATGGATACTGAGGCGGCGGTTGTGAAAGACACCCAAACTCTGCACTCCGACATGCAGACTTTAGTCTACGAGAATTACAATAAGTTCATCTCCGCCACGGATACAATTCGCCGAATGAAAGATGACTTTAAGCAGATGGAAACAGACGTTAATTTGCTGATGACTAAGATGCAGTCTATAACCACTTTTAGTGAGCAAATCACCGGAACCCTGCAGGGCACCAGATCTCAACTATGTCGCTTGTCCGAAAAGCATTCACTGCTCAAGCGGCTGCAGTTCCTCTCAACCCTTCCAGCCAAACTAAAATCCCTGATTGAAGAGCAAAACTACTCCCAAGCTGTGCAGGATTACCTGCATGCCCAGAAAGTGTTCGCCCAATACGGCCGTCAGCCATCGTTTGACGGAATTCAACGAGATTGCGATGCCATTATGGCGGACCTAAAAGAACAATTAAGGAAGGACTTTCAAAGGGCAGGAAATACGGCCCAGTCGTTAACAGAGATTGGAGAGCTCCTCCTGCAACTGGACGAGAAGACCTCGGATCTAGCCAGTGAGATGCTCACTTGTGCGGGAAAGCGACTTCACGAGCAGATAGTTATGCTGCAAGATCAAACAGAGCGGGATATGCTGGAGTTCGTGGACATGGGCATCGATGGATTCCTCAACGATTTGGCACTCGTGGTGACCTCCTACTTTGACATGTTTGTGGCCAAGCACTACGAGCAGGAGCGGTAATCTTAATTCAGCAAATTGAACTTTGCATTGGTATTAATTTCCCTTCCTATTTTAGTGACGACTTCCAGGAGAATGCCCTCCAGGAGCTGAATGTCTTCCTTAATCAAAACATCGATAAGTATCTAACACTTGTCCAGGATCGCGTGGAATCAGACATTGGCTATGGAGACACCCAAGTGATGCTACGTGCTCTAGATCGCCTGCATCGACGCCTGCAAGCAATGCGAAATATCTGCCGCGGTTTGGAAGTGCAACGCAACACAGTATCCATTATAATATCCGCTGCCCACCAACTCTGCGATGCGCATGCAAAAAACCTCAAGGATCACTTTGCTGATAGCTTGAGTGCTGTTCGCTTATCCCTGGTGTCCGCCAAAAGCGATGCAGCTGCTGGTCTCAATCTCAATGACCTGATCAGCAACCTGTACGTCGCCATGGTGGAGAAGATCAAGGGCGTGCTACAGGACTTGCTTATATTCTTGCGCACCGACTGGTCATTTAACATCAAGGCGGAGCACAAGGGCGCCTTGTGCGTGGAGGGAATAAGAGAGAACCTGCTTATTGGCTTCCTGCGTCATATCGCCAAAGTGATGTGCGGTTTTGGAGATGCCTCCAGCTCCAGTCCACCGAATCTTCTACTAGTGCTTTCTAAAACGTGTCTGGAACTGGAACAGCAGGGCGTTCACATACTGGTAAGCATTGCCTAACATCTACTAAGAGTTTTTTCTAATAAACTACTCTTGCAGATTGCATTGGTGGATGATCTATACGAAATCGATTCGGAGAACAGCGCCACACTTACCCACGAAACGGAGATCTGTGCGGAGATGCGGGAAACGGCTCAGGCACTACTTGACTCTTATGTACGCCTTCAAGGTAACAATATCTCACAAATGCTTCGCAAAAGCGTGGAGACACGGGACTGGCTCAACTGCCTGGAACCACGATCCGTGCGAGCTGTAATGAAACGTGTGGTGGAGGAACTGAGCAGCATTGAAACTGTGGTCGCCAGTCTCTACGAGGCAAACCCAAATACAACGTCAGGATTCCGCACAACGGCCAGCAGCGATTCCAGCCGTAAAACATACTTCAGCAACTTTGCATCAACCTCCAAGCCACAATACCGATCCAATTGGTCTAACTACACGCCTTCGCAACTGGAATCCAGCTACGTGTCAAACATACATCGCTTGTTCTCGGAGCGAGTTGAGATCTTTACTTCGGTGGAGTTCACTAAGGCCTCTATTGTGATGGGCATTATTAAAATTGGTCTAAAGGTAAGAGATTATTTTCAATCTGGCTCGATGCTTATGAGTTTCTTTTTCCTAGACCCTTCTTGAGTGCGTGAGGTTAAGAACTTTCAGCAAATACGGACTGCAGCAGATCCAAGTGGATGCGCACTATCTGCAAATGAATCTCTGGCGGTTTGTTAGCGATGAAAAGTGAGTTCGATACAATTATTATTAGAAAAGATTTAATTAAATAAATTACTTTACAGCCTGGTCAACTTCCTGCTGGACGAGATCCTTGGCTCAGCTGTGCAACGCTGCTTGGAGTCCGTTTTAATGGAGCCCAATGCTGTGGAAATTATTTGTGAACGGGGTTAGTATTGGTTTCCAAAAATTTTAACAACATTCCACTTAAAATCTCCGTCTATTTTGTTAAACGCTGCTAGCCTAAGGATCTTAAAATAAACGTCTCTGTTTCTTAATAGAAAAAGTTATTAACTTGGCGGGAAGGGAAATAAAAGAATTTAACTTTTCTAAGAAAATTCTATTAAGTCCTACACCGTCAAATGGTTTTGTAACAGAGCTGCAATTGTATGTAACGATTTTTAACAAAAACATGATTTTTAATCTGTGTTTTCGGGACTAAGACACAGGGTGAACTCGATGCCGTCGGCCTTGAGATCCTCGTCGCTGTTCGTCAGCAGAATGCTGTGCGTGGTTTCGCCTCCATCTCCGCCCGTTGAGATGGTGAGGATGCTGGGTGCGACTTCATCGATGGCCTTTCGTTTCTCGGAGCGTGCCTTTCGCGCCTCCTCGAACTCTTTCGGATGACATTTCCGGCGATGAGTGTGCTGGTTGGCATTCGAATTGAAGGTTTTCGGGCAGTGAGGACACTTGTAGAGCACCTCACCAGTGTGCGTGGCCATGTGCTCCTTTAACGTAATGGCCTTTTTGAAGGCTTTGTCGCACACGCTGCAAACATGCTTCTTATCCGTGAGGTGAACATATCGCTGGTGACTCAACATGGCGCTGCGATTCGGGGAGACCTTTCCGCAGATTTCGCAGGTGGTAGCGGTGCCATTGTGTCTTCTCACATGCTTTTTAAGGCTATGCTTGTTTTTGTGCCACGACCCACAGATATCGCACTGCACCTTGGGTTCTGTGACACCAGCGTGCTCCAGTTGGTGGCGCTGGAAGGCCGCTCGACCGCGAATTACCTGGGCACAAATGTCGCACATAGTGCCATAATTGCCATGGGCCATCTTTACGTGCGTGCAGAGCAGAGATTGGTTGGGAAATCTGTTCGAGAAGAAATTAAAAATTAAAATTTTAAACAAGTAATACAAAACGTACCTTCTTTCGCAGAGGTCGCACACCACGTTGCGCTCCTTGTGGATAACGCGGTGCTGGTCCAATAGATACTGCTTCGTGTATTTTTTCGGACACTGCTCGCACATAAAAGTCTTCTCCTCCTCCGGATGGTGCTTCAGCAGCTCGTGATTCCTCAGGCACTGTTTGTCCGCAAACCGCTTGTCGCACTGAGTGCATCTACAATTAAATTTCTCATTAGTTAATGACCCTCGTGCGGATATTTCCTATTCAGATTGGCTTTCTCCACTTTACCACTCACTTAAACTTCTCGGGATCGGCATGGCGATCGATGTGATCGGTGAGGAAGGAGCGCTTGTAGAACTTCTTGTTGCAGCAGATGGCATATCCTTTGCGGTGGTGCTCCTGCAACATGTGCTTGCACAAGAGCAGGAACGTCTCCTGTCCCTCGTGGCAAACATCGCAAGTGAGTCGCATGTGGGCAGAGATCTTTGCATCGATCTCTAGCATGGACTGCTTGTAGTCTGCATAGCGTTTAGTTTTTTGCGGGGATACTTCTGCTTTGGAGGGGTTTCGCTTGGCTCTAGTTTTAGTTACTAAAATCTTTGATTCTTTTAGAGGAAGAGGAGGAGGTTTTGGTTCGGTTGCAGGATTGGATTTACTCTTGGTAGAGGAACGCGTTTCTCTTCGTTCTTCTGTGGGTAAGGTGGGTACGGGTTCTAGTTCATCCTCAAGCTTCGTTCCTGGTTCAGATGCTTCCTTGACAGGTTCTTCTTCTAATGGACCTTGTCCCTCCTGCTGAGCAATAACTTCGTTGAGGAACTGTTCATTGTTAAAAGATTCGCAGTCACTAGCGGGCAAGCCGACCGCCTGATCCTCATCCTCCGCCTCATCCTGAAAATCCAAACCATCATCCGGCTCCGGTTTCCCCTGATCCTGGACAGTTTTCAACGAAAACCTTTCCGTTAGCAGAAGATGTGCACTTTCCACCGTCACATAAAACTTATGGAAATCGTTCACCTGGTTCCAGCAGGTCAAACAAATCACCGTGGATATAGGATCATCGCATTTAGGCTGCAATAGAAAAATGATTCTTTATATTTTTACCAAGAGAATCCAAAAAGAACACACCTCAAACCAAAAGTACTTCGCCAGCACATTAGCCACATTTAGCGAGAGGCCAATGTCCTCGAAAATCCTTATCGTATCCGAATCGTTGACGCTGTTCAGGCACAAACGGCAAATCATGCTTAAATTAACACATTTAAACTTTTAAAACAAAAATTATTTGTTTGTTGACTTTTTGACCAAGAGTGGCTTTGCATCAGCTGGTCTTAAAATACCAAAAACAAGAAAAGTCGAAGTCGATTAATCGACAATCGATATCGAAGATGCTTATCAAATTTGAAATTGCATTTAGAAATAAAATTAAACCGGGGACAGATTTAATTGAGCTCAACAGCTAATTTTAAATAATAGCGAAAGTAAATTTTGTTTCCAATTATTAATAAAAATACCGATAGTTAATGTTTGGAGAATTGGTAATTTATTTAAGATAAAGTTGAATTATTTATTTATATAATGATATAACTAATTGGTTTCAAGTTTGTTTGTAGTTTTTGTTTGTTTCTCTTCTTTGTTTCCTTCCTACTTCATTCGCTTTAAATTAATTAATTACATTTAAAATCACAGCAGTCTTTCATTAAAAAATAGATTTATCAATGTTGTGTTTAATCCGTAGAATATAACTCTAACCATAGATCGTGTGTGTATAATAACTGAACAAACTTTCACTACATTTATAAAAATGTTTAAAATTTAACGGAATCAAGAGCTTACCACTTATCGGAGCTACTAATTGCCACTGCAAACTAACTACGGATTTAGTAATCACCTATATATTAACACTTAGGTTATCTATATCTCGTGCAGATATAGATGTACGTATCGTCATTGAACTGAGTTGACAGAATAAACACTTTTATCTCGTTTACGAATTGCACAAAAGTCGAAAGTAACATTAGTCGGTATACATTTATATATAAAGTTTAGTTCTAAATATTGATAATATTTACGGCTAGAACGAACGTTGGTTTCCTTTGTATGAAATTTCTGCTACTGGAATGTATTTTACTTTCTCCTGTTGCTGAAAAACCTTTCGCCACCCAATTTGTATTACAAATTCTCTAAACTATGTTGGCATGTGCGTAATTCGTTAATATATATAATATGTTTGCGAATATTTGAAATAACTCTACCCGTATATACACGATCCGTTTTGAATTTAACTACCTAAGAACCGGTGTGGTCGACGAACAATTGAAAAGTGTCTATAATTGATTTTTAAAATTTTGATTACGCTACTGAAGTCGAAAAACGGGAGAAAGGGATAAACTTTGTTAGGAAATTGGAAGCTAATTCATGTCCAATTGCTATAGTTATATGATGGCTATATCGTACATATCGGCTTTGATCACAGCTACGCAGAGTTTGGGCAAGGCGAGTAGTCACTTTTGGGTAGCCAGAGCAGCTCGAGGATTGCTCCTTCATTTAGCCCGCCACCTGTTGCATGGTGATGGTGCTGATCAACTGCTGGCAGATCTTTCCGTACTCGAACTGGTCCCCGGAAATGCGTCGCAGCTTGATACCCTTGCCGGCTCCATGGTGATCCCGGCTGCGTCCCTCGCACACCTGCAGTTCGATCTGCAGGCCGCCCGAGTACTCCAGGCTGAGATTGGTGGTCGGCTCGCCGTAGCCAGAGTGTGAGGCCAGAAGAGAGGCCGCCTCGCAGGCCAAAGGATTCGAGCTGGACGCATTCGAAGCGCTGCTGTGGCGCGATTCAGCCCCACTATCCTCCGAACTTATGCTTCCCTTGTGCAGCACAAAGCCCTTGGGTGGCATGGTCGAGTCAATCGTTTGCTTCACCATCTCCAGGATGCGGGTGGAGTCCAGGTTGGAGCACTCATGTGGCAGCGGAACCTCGTAGCACATTTCATCCGACATGCGTCGCGAATCGCATATGGAATCGGGTGTCAGATGGCCGCACTCCGTGTGATCGCCCATTTCGGAGTGGGAGTCCGACTTGAAACCGGAGCTGGCCGATGGTTCCTGGCAGGGCGACAGGTTATTCGAGTCGTTGCTGAGCGAGTCGTCCGAAAAGCCCAGCGATTTGTCGCTTCCCCGCCGGCATTGAGCTTCGGTTTGAGCATGGCATTGGGACTGGGTTTGCGATGGATGGGCGGAACTACTTCCTGATGGACAATGACTTGCGCCACTCGTTTCGCAGTCCAGACTGGCTTTACGGCCAATTCCCCTGGTAATCGAGGGCATATCGCTGCTGGGTTCCGTAATAATCAGACCCTAGAAAGAGATTTATTTATGTAATTAAATATGGTTTTAAGAACTATTTAAACAATTAAATACCTGCAGCGACATCACAGGAGTATGCTGTTCCAGGGAATCCTCACTATCACGGCTGTTGTCCGAGGACAAAGCCACCAATGTAATCTCGCTGCCCTGGACATCGGTAAGACATATTTGGGGCGTTATGCCTCCGGTGCATCCGGCGTACGGAGTGCCCGTGCTGATGGTGTGGCACATCTGCCCATTTCCATTCTCCTCTTGGATGATGCACAAGTTGGGTGAAGCTGGTGGCGTCGGCACAACCCGCACCGGTTGCGCTGGCGACAGATTGAGCGGTTTCAAGTCGTAATACGAAGCATTGGGCATAAACCGATTGTTTGCTGCATAGTCTTGATTTATTACACCACCACAAACATCCATGGAAAGGTCGAGTGGTTGATTAGCAGCGGCAGCAGCTGCTCCTTCGCTGGCAGCTGAAGTGCCACGAGTGATCGAACCACCAGCTCCGCCAGTGCTCAATCCGGAGATTCCCTTGGTGATCTGGTGGAGGGGGAGAGGACCCACCGCACGGCAGGTAGGGATTCGGGGAGCAACTGCCACTGAAGCTGCTACTGTAAACGGGCGACTGGCAGCCGCTGCTTGAATTCGAGTTGCTGGCACCCAGATTGATGCTGCTAAACTGACCCACCAGCTGCTGTTGATGCTGCGGCTGAAGGGCCAAGGTCATCGGTTGATATTGCTGGTAGCCACAGATCGGTTGGCCGAACATCTGCTTGGCGGAGGTCAGTGAGGCATTCACGGCTCCACCCTGCGGCAAACTCAGTGGCGAGACACTGAAGCTGAGCATGTGCTGTTGCTGCTGCTGCTGCTGCAGCTGCAACAGGTGACTCTGATCCAGGTGGCCGCCGCTCACCGCCGCCGCACTCGAAGCATGAGCCGCCAGTCCCAGAAGTGGCGCCAAATCCATCGGCACCACATGCGTTGAGATTATCTTGTTGGCTATTTCGAAGCTGACGCGCTGCTCCTTCACCAATCGGTCCAAAGCGGGCATCAGATTCTTGATCGCCTCCGGAGGAACTTCAATGTCATGGCCACGCCGCAGAGCCAGCTGCAATCCCACGCCGGGTTTGCCATGTATGGGAGAACCTATTGAAACAAAGTTTATCAAATTATTTGATGCCGATAAGCGAATTAAAAGCATTTCTTACCTGGCAAACTAATCGAATTTTCTAATAGCGGCGGACTCGGTGCAACCAAAAAGTTTCTCTGCGCAATATCCTTTTGCAGGGATTGGCACTCCTGCAGCGGTCCTTGGAACTGACTCTTTGATCCTTCCGAGGCCCGACGCACTGGACTGTAACGTCCTATTGTCGCTAAATGGCAAGTAGCGAAGGAAACGTAAAAAAGAAAAACAAAGAGTAGGAAAATGTGAACTAATTATAAACCCAAATCCTAGTGTAAGTAGAACATTACAAAGAGATTTAAATATGTATATGGGGTTAGATCATTTATGTAAATTTATGATTAAACATCAGGCGAGATAGTATCTCAGTTTAATTATTAAGTTGAACTTTTTAGAAGCAAGTATTCATAGTTACAAAAAAAAGGAAATATAGTTAAGGTATGTAAATAAAGAGAAACATAATACAAATTAATTTAATAAAATGCGGCGAGGTTTTAAACGTAAAAGATTGATTAATGTAATGCACAAGAGTCAAGTCTCCATTTTTTTTTTGGTTATTAGTTATCACAGTTTTGACAGAAAACTCCGATCTTAAACTAACTCCAGCAGAAGCGAACACAAAAACCAAAGACTTACCACCCTCCTGAACGGTGGGCAATTTCGAGTGGACAACGCGATGGATGCGCCGATTGCTGGTGGCCACCAGGGGCAGGGAGCCGCCGGCGGATGCCACCAAGGTCAGTGAGTGGGGCGGCGACACGCCCTTCGACAGGGCCCCGCCCACCGGGTATGTACCATTTGGCGGCGAATGGCTAAGAACTTTCAGGGTGGGTGGCAGATAGTCGCGGTTCATGCGAGACTCAACCTCGCGAATCACCTCGGGGGAAAACTCTATCGTTTATGCGGTTCGGGTAGAAGGATTTTGGTTTTGGTTTTTTTTTTGTTTATATCAAGCAGCGAGATCAGGAGCGGTAGCGGTTGTAGTTGTTGTTTTTGTTGTGCAGTAGCGGGCGATGCAAAATTATCAATTGCAATAAACCAAAAATGTTTACATAAAAAGAAAGTTTAAAAAAAGCAAACCATCAAATTAATACAGTAATCAAATTATATTAAAAAACGATGTTCAAAACTGATAAATGATATATTCAGTAATGAAATTATATTACAGTAAATTAAATAATTTGGGTTCAGAATAAAGCTTTTTATAGAGCCATGCAGCTGACTTAATTTTTGGTCGATTTAAATAACATTAAGGTATTTTGATTTTAGGACAGTTTCAAAATATGAAAATAAATTAACCTAATATATTTTTCATACACATGGTATTTTCTGGATGGTTAAAGATATATATTTTTATCCTAGTAAGCCACTTTGAACGCACCTGGCGGCCTTTCGGTGACCAAGAGCAGACCCGTTCGACGCTGTCGCATGTTGGAGGACGTCGTCGGCGTCTGGGATTGTGATCCTGGCCCAGGGCCATGTGTTACCGAGAGATCCTCCGTGCAGCCAACCGTATGACGTTGGGTAAATCCCCTGTTTTGCATATAGCTACATGGAGTAAAGAAATTGAATATAATTCCTCGAATTAACAGTATAAAAAGCAGGTAAACCTCTTTAGCTCATCGCTGCCTTCGCCGGTGACATTCTCCTGGCAGCACTGCATCTGCGCCTGTTCGTTGAGCGGTGACAACTCCTGCACAGCCAAGGGATCCGTGCCACAATTGGGATTGATATAGTAGCCGGCCGTGTCCATCTGCTGACCCTGAGCTGGGCCCACAACGGTGCCCGTGGCGGGATAATAAATATGAAGATTCGCCCCGCCATCCGAAGCACGACGACCAAATGAGCCTTAATGAAATAGGCCATCCATTAGTATTTCAATGATTAAATTCAAGCACTACTCACTGTTTCCCATGACCACGGGTGGCTTGAGCAAATGTTGATCCTTGGTGGTGAGATTTTGCAGTGGCAGATTCTGCAGCATTGGCAGATTAACCGGATAGTAGGGAACCGGCTGTGTGGGATCGCTGCACTGCGGCGGACACTTGAAGTCGATGGGCGGTACATGGGGATTGGCCAGCGCCTGTTCGTGGGCCACATCGCCAGGTCCCACTGTATGCCGTCGCGTATTCGCACCGCTAATACCTCCGCCAGTTTGGGCGCTCAAGTTTTGCGGATTAAGAGGTGGCTAAAAGAGTCAAGAGTAAATTAAACCAGGTTCAAAATTGAATATTTAATCTGTAGTTTTCTTACCTCATTCGATCGCGCCAGGCATTCGAGCTCCAGGTCACCAAACTTCTCCAGATCCACGGCGACGTCGGACCAGCCAAAGCCCAACGCCGAAGTGGAGGCATTGGCGTTGCTCAGCGGACTTAGGCGGTCCAGAGATTCCTGCTTAACGGGCTCCGAGCGATCCACCACGCCCGTCGTGATGCTCGTCTTGCGGGATCGGGAGTAGGCCAAACTGGCGTGGTGCTGCAGTCTTTGGTTTTCGCGCCGCCTTTGCTGCAGCTTATCCTGCAGCAGGTTGTAAATGGCGTAGATGTTGTCGAATCTCTGCTCGTGCACCGACTGCGCAATCATGTCGGCCGTCAAGCCGGGCAGCTGGAGCATGTGCGTCATCACCACCGAGTCCAGCTGCGGCGGTGAGTCCGCCACGCTGCCCAGCGAGGATGTGGAAGCGGATTTGGACACATTTCCCGATCCGCAGGCATAGGACATGGATTCGAAGCGCTCCTCCTCCTGCATCTCCGACTGCCATTCGCTCAGCCAGCGGTGCTTGATGATCTGTTTTATAGTGTACCGACGATCAGGTTCCACCACGAGCATATTGCGGATAAGTTGCTCGCATTCTGAGGAATACATATAAATTGTTAATCATTTTTCCATCAATCTATACACCATTTATCTCACCCTGTGACATAAAGAAGGGAATGCGGAATTTGCCCAACACCACGCGACTTTTTAGCTCCAGGATGGTCTTTCCATCGAAGGGTAATGCTCCGCAGACCAAAGCGTACAGCACAACGCCTAAACTCCAGATATCCGACTTGGGTCCATCGTACTCCAAGCCTTGGAAAACCTCTGGGGCGGCATAAGGCGGGGATCCACACCAGGTTCGCAAGGTGGCACCCTCCTCGTAATGATTACTGAAGCCAAAGTCTGCAAGCTGCAATAAATAATATAAAATGTTAAAAGGGTTTCCTTCCTTCCTTTTTTCTGTAATGAAATGGTAGTAAAAATGTATGATAATGATTCCCTCTTACCTTGATATTCATATCCTTGTCAAGCAGGACATTCTCGGCCTTGAGATCGCGGTGCACCACCCCCCGCAGATGGCAGTAGTGGACGGCCGAGACGAGTTGGGTGAAGACGCGTGCCGCTTCGGGTTCCTTCATCCGTCCATTGGCCACCAGGTGATCGAAGATCTCCCCATTTGGCGCGTACTCAGTGACCAGGTAGATCATCGACTGCGACTCCATCACCTCGTACAATCGAGTGATGTGCGGATGGCGCAGGGACTTCAGGATGGAGATCTCGCGGAAGGTCTTGCTCAGGTACTCCTCGTTCAGGCATGTTTTGTCTATGATCTTGATGGCCACCTGAAAGATGTTTCGAGAGCAAACAAGGAAACGCATTTAGCCAAAAAACCAAAACATGTCATTCCCCCGTTTGTTTGCCGTTTCTTCGGTTTTTGTTTGGCACGCAGGTGAACGAACGTTTGCATTGCACTATGGGAAAAAAAGTCGATTTTTTTGGCATAAAATCAAATTATTTTACAAATTATTTTCAAAAAATAAAATATATTTTTTGAATTTACATACCCTAATTATCCAAGAACCGTTATCTAAGATTTTTTACTAACAACACTATAATGTTGATAAACGAACAAAGTCAGATGTTCGATTGACTTTTTTGTGTGCTTAAATTAGTGAAAAATCTTTGCAAACTTTCATTGTTTATTTTGTGGAGCAACAAATTGATTTATTATTTCTGATTATGGCAAATAGTAGCAAAGGTATTTATAAATGTATCTTAGATTACATGTTTTAATTATTATGACTTGTTGTCCAACTGTGATCTGTTTTATATGTGTATCTTTTTAGCTTAAAACTTAAAAGTTTGTTTGTGTTCCGTGGTGTATAACTTATAAATGGCACAACGTTGCAAAAAGGTAAAAACGCAAAGTTATTACCAAATGTATCCCTAATATCGCAAAACTAATCATTTTTGCAACTTTTTGCACGTTTCTTCAAAATTGAACTTTTAAGGTGCTAACCTAGCAAAAGAAATTTAACACAGCTTGAGAGAAGACATGACACTTGGCTAAGCTCGAAAACATTTTTTTCTATAAAAAACGCTAAGAACCTGGTGGACCATGGAAAAAAAGTCTGAAAAACATAAACATATTAACTAAAATCAAAGTTTTATACTTTTTTGTTACAGGCTCTAAAAAAGTGTTCCGCAAAATGCAAAAAAATCTATATAATTATTAAAAAAAAAGTTAGGACAACGAACTTTTTTTTAAATTGTTTTGTTTAACAATTTTATTCCAAAAAAAAAAAAAAAATTTTTTTTTTAATAGTATTCATTAAAAAAAATTTTTAAATCTAAAAAATAGGCGAGGCCACACCCCATTTTCTTAAATTACATTCCTTATTTTATTATTAACTGGAATCAAAAAACAGATCAATAAAATGTTGATTAGTTCTCAAGTTATTAATTAATGCCAAAAAAATCGACTTTTTTCCCATAGTGCATTGGAGCGAGAAAAGGGGAAAAATAAGATTTAAAAGTGGGAGAACCTGAGAGAGAGACCCGAAATTTCGAACTGTGTGGGCTGGCCAAAAAAAAAAAGCGTCTCGCTTGGATAAGAAAACAGTGGTGCAAAGGTGATTAATTACCTTTAATATATTCAACATAAAAATAGCGGTCACAATTTAAGATATATCAAAAATATTCCAACTAGTTGATTGATTTAAATATAAAAATAATTTAAACAAATATTGGAAGAAATTACTTTTATTTTTTATAAACTGAAAGTATTTCTTGGCGAAGTCATTTCTACATTTAATGTTTAATACGTCAGCAAAAAAGGAAGAACTAATTGGCTTGCCAGCCTTGGTAACTATTGATCCATAAAAATTACGCAGTTTCATACAAATGTATTCGTTACAAATGCGAGTACTGCAATTAAACTTGGAGTACCAATTTATGAAAGGAAACAGCTTTCCTATAAATTCTAAAAGAGGCTTCATGCTGCTACAGCAATTGGAATTTTAAAGTCAGTTTGATAATTTTATATAACTATATTAACTATATAATTTGAATAATAAACCCAAATAGCCATTTCAACCATGATAATATATTTGTAATTTATTTTTCAACACAGTTTGTTAGCAGTTTTTATTAAAATTTAGGGTATTTATGGAGTCTCCGCCTTTAACACAAATGTTTTCTTCGAAAAGATACGATAAATTCTGTGGTTAAGGTTTTCGAAAATGTAAATGTTGAGTTATAAATACAAGCCACTGTGAGCGTTGCTGTTGCCAAGGCTCTTGGTGGGTGGCTTGGTGGCGCTAAGTCTGCAGCAGCAACAGCAACGGGAGCAACATGAACAGCAGCAACATGAACGGCAGCAACACCAACAGAAGACACGGCGACAGCGCCATACATGGTGCGCGTGTTCGGATCTCGGGATCTCTACGGATATGTGAATATGCGATACGGAGACATGATGTTTTTGGCGGCTAAAGGGGAGCAGACTGGCGGGGGAAGGGGGAATGGGGGCGGCGGTGGCGACGGTCAAGGGAGACGACAAGACAAAAACATTCTTTGCTCACGACTTTCGTTCGCCGCCGACGACGTTGCCGCCGCTGACTGTTTATTTGCTTTTGTGTATTCGCAAAACATTTAAAAAATTTAACACAATGTTAAATAATTAACAACACAAGTAAGCGCACACTCACTCAGTATTCCCCCTCCCTCTCTCCCTCGCTCACCCTCTCTTTCTTGATCTGTTGCTCTCTCTTTCAATGACAATGAGCAAAAGCATCATCAGCGCCACCGGTTTCTTAAATAATTGTTGTTATTGTTTGCTTAACGTTTAAGCAAATTCAGCTTCCTGAGTATTGTTATTATTTAAATATTTTTTTAAACGCAAAATGATTTTAATGTTTTCTTTTTAATTTTATAGTTGGTGGATTTCCCATATAAAAAAAATTAAATCACAATTCTTAGAAGTAGACTTTGAACTTGAGACATGGTGTGGAATGATTACTATTTGTTTATAATAAAGACGAAACTGTGTTGACAAATGTGCAATGCGGCGTATACGTAATGTCTGTAGAGCAAAAGAGATAGTGACCGGCGAAATCGAGATGTGTTTGATACTTTTACATAATTGCATGTAACAAAAGCTGATTCTGCACTAATATTGCGCCCTAGAAATCGCCAATGCCACGTGAGCAGGTTGAACTTCAGCTTACAACGAAATAAAAGGGGGGAAAAATGTGGGGGGCAGGGGGTGTGGGGACAAAACAGAAATGCCATTGCCACGTGCCGTTTGACCTTTCCTTTTGGTCGCCGGCGAATGCGATGAACCTCAAAGCCCTGCTCGCAAATGAGACATTTCAAAATAATCGCAACCAGAAATACCAACAACTATAACAGTCATAGCGAAAAATACCAGTGTCGCCTTCTTTTAGGAATCCTTCAGACGAAGGCGAAAAAAAAAACAGCGTATCAAAAGGTCCTATTGATTTAGAAGGCAAGCTCAAGGCAAGGTCTAAAATGTTGTTGATTACGAGTGTCGGCCATTAAATAAGAGCCCTGAAACAATGCCAAGCATTTCACAAATATTTGACTGCAAATCGTAATTCAAAGCAATCTTAATGTCTTCTGCTAGAAAAACATTTTCAGTTCTACATTCTGTCTGGGGCTTAGAAATTACAGAAGATTTGTAGTATTTGGGTTGAAATTGCTTTCAAGAATTTGACCTTAAAAGAAAAAAAAAAAACAATTCATCAAAAAACGAATATTTTTTATTATCAATAGAAGCTGATGTTTTGTGTTTACATTTAAAGTAATTAAACGACGATTTCGCTTTAAAATTTGTTTTGCCATGTGTTACTGATTTTTTACTGAGTTAATTACTGAGTTAATAATACGTTTTTTTTCCACATTTACATGCTTCCTTTCCATAGAAGCTTATTTTCCTGCTCTAATTTCTCGTACTCCTCCTTCAACTCTGCAATTTCCTTTGAGTTTTGAGCAGTCAGACGATACAATTGGGTGTTAACGCCAACAATTCTTTCCCTCAGAGCGTTTACTGTATACTGACTGAGACGTTCTGGACGAAAGACGTCCTCTTTTATCGTGGTTACAAAGTGCCACATGTCCTGCAGTTCTTCTCGTTTTGCAGTACGATATTGCAAATGCTTTTTATTCAGTTCCACTTTCTCATGTTCGATTTGGTTAATAAGTCTTATTAAATCTGCAGTGGAAGAGCTGGTGGGTCGTGGATTTCTTATAGTCTCAAGGTTTTCAGATGCATTCACTTCGTTCTTTGACTTTGGATCTGTATCTACTGTATCACCATCATCGTCTTGGATTATAAAGTTGTTGGGGTTTAGCTTCACTTGATGGCATTCAAGATATTTCTGCTGGGCCTTCAAACGAGTCAGTTCACAGAGAATGGCGGTGGGTGTTGGCTTTGGAGTTCTGGTTTTGGTTTGGATTTTGACTTGGTTTCGCTTGCGAATCGGTTTCTCGGGTGCCTGGGCCTTTGAAACCGATGGCTTCTGTTCATCGACTTTTGGGTCCTCCATGGTGCTTCAGTAACATGTGATTGTTGCACAACGTTCAGCGAAGGAGTCCTTGCAACTTTTGCAGTGTTCGTGTTGTTGTTATTTACACGCGGTAATCAAATGTGTTGCCAGAGCACCCAACCACCCCACTCGTTCCGCGTGTTTAATCGATATGCGACCTCCTTCGCTTTCACCTTTCCCCATTCCCCATTCTCCTTTCACGGCTGCTGCACCAACTATCCTTCTTCTTCTTTTCCTTTGTCCGGGGTCAGTAAACTCTATTCGGCTTGGAGGGGTTTTAAAAATTTCCATCTGACTGCGGCAAGCTTCAGTGGAAATGGAAAATCGATTGCTACAATTACAGTTTCCATGCCGTGGCCTACTTAATTGCCCCTGGAATTGGGGCAAAAGGGGTGGAGGTGTTGGAACCCTCTCTTGCGGTTAACTAATTTCTAATCAGTACCTCTTGCAGACAGGGAAAATCCACTTACCCGCCTCAAGTGGCGATCAAAAGTTTGGCACGCTAATCAAGTCTCAATGGGGTTAAGCAAATTTTGAAGGAAATACGGTGGAACCTCTTTTATCCTTTTACTCATTCCGCAACAAAGTTTAATTTTTTGGTAGTTAAGAAAATGATGTTATTTAAAGGAAAATATTTGTTTAATACTGATAAAGTATTAACTCTAAGGGAAGTACAATATGGCTAATTTTAAGTCAGGCCTCTTCTGTTTTTAATCTCGCCATTTTACGTCCATAGTTCACGATATGGAGGGTAGACTGTTTATGCGAAGAAATCACTTGGTTTTATGTTGATTTATTATTTGTTTTGCTATCGTTTGCAAAGTCAAATCAAAACAAGAAAGGAAGCTAGCTTCGGCAAGCCGAAGCTTATATACCCTTGCAGTCATCAAATATGTCGAACAAAACTCATAAAGGCTAGACACCATCGAAGCTAAGACGATTTTTCTATTCATTTTCCATATTTTTGACTATAGATCATATGGGAGCTATACGATATAGTTGTCCGATTTTGATCAAATTTAATTCGTAATTCAAGAGTCGTAAGAAAACTCTATATTCCAAAAATCATACTTGTCTGATGAAAAACAACGATGTTATAATTTTATTTCCATTATTTCTATAAAGATTTTTCGATCTTTCCTATGGCAGTTATAAGATATAGATGACCGATTTTTATGAAACTTTTTTCTCAATATAAACGTTGTTAAAAAACTTTATATTCAAAAAATCATGCTCGTGGGATAAAAAACAACGATGTTATCAATTTATTTCCATTAATTCTATATATCATTTTCGATCTCTCCTATGGCAGCTATATGATAGAGTTATCCGATTTTGATCAAATTTAATCCGAAATTCAATAACAGTTAGAAAACGCCATCTTGAAGAATTCAAGTCGATCTGATCAAAAACAACGAAGTAAGAATTTTTTATTTCATTCTCTCGTATGGGAGCTATCCGATATAGTCGGCCGATCCGGCCCGTTCCGACTTATATACTGCGTGCAATAACTACACACATTTTGGGAAAGTTTCAGCGAGATAGCTTTAAAACTGAGAGACTAGTTTAGGCAGAAACGGACAGACGGACAGACGGACAGACGGACAGACGGACAGACGTACAGACGTATTCCGATTCTACTCGTGATGCTGATCAAGAATATATATACTTTATGGGGTCTGAGGTGTCTCCTTCACTGCGTTGCAAACTTCTGGCCAAAATTATAATACCCTTTGCTCTGCAAGGGTATAAAAAAAACAATCGAAGAGTGAAGCATGCAGGGAGCATTAACTTGGCGCGTGCTGTTCGTCTTCTGTCCCCCTCGCACTCCCCAACCGCCCAGCCCCTCCCATTCGATCGTGGGTGTGGGCGTGCGAAAGAGAGGGAACACGCACGTGACTGATTTGCGAATTTACTTTTCTTGTAGAGACAAATAATCGTCGCCGAAGAATCAGCAGAAGAACCTGAACCACTTGATAACAATTTCGGTTATCATAGAAATATCAATGTATGGGTTCTCATTTGCTGCTGCAGGAAGAGGAAGAGAACCACCATACTTTTATTACTATCGCAGTCAGATAAATAAGAACGGGAAATAGTAAAGAAAAACAAAACAAAAAAAAACGACCTTAAATTTAGTGCGCATGATTTTTGGGGTTTTGTAAACACATACGAAAATTATAAAAACCGCAGACAACAAAAAGCGAGCAGCAAAAAGCCGCGAAATTGTTAATGAAAAGGTAAATAAAAATTGTTAAACGATTTTAACCACCCATCTCGCTCGCCCACTATCTCCGTCCCGCTTCCGCCCGTTGGATTCGGTCTGACGCGTGTTAGATGTTCAAACATGTTTTCGGTCTGTTGGCCAAAAGGCAACGCTCAGACGGCAGCTTAAATATTTGCCCATAGCGAAAGATCAATCAACAAATGTGAGTGAGACGGGGAGAGGAGCGTAGGGCTACACTCAGAGAAATATAGTCAAAGATCACAAATTATAAACTATATTTAGATAGTGTATTAGGACCCGTTTTTTAGCTCTATAATTATGTATCCTAGGCTAAATGTAAGTTATAATTAATTTATTTTATGTTCCTTTTAAACAAAATAAATTTCCAAAAAATTTTAATAAAATATATTTTAATGATGTACTTTTTCAAATTGAAAAGTTTTTCTCTACATGGGAAAAACGAGAGAAATATAAAGTGGCTACGCTGCATGGCTGCTGCTTAATTGCATCAATTGGAGCATTAAAACAGTTGCCAAGGCAACTGCGAAAAAATTTAATTAAACTAAAACTTGCCAATTGAGTACAAACACATTCCGCACAGAAAAAAAGTAAACTGAAATTCGATTTGAAAAGACACGTGAAAGCGACCAAGAGAGCGTAGAACTTCAAACAAAAAAAGCAAGTAATTAATGTTATTTGTGCATTGAATTCACAGCCACACAAAGTGATTAAAATAAGTGTTAATTAATTCAAATCTTTTATTTCAAGGTTACCACTAAAGAAAACATTTAAACTAGGTTATGGTTCATTTTCAATATACCTTGCTTTAGAAACTTATCTTTTTAGTACTTCTTATCAAAAGCCGCAGTACCTTTGGGCCACACAAATAATCATAATTCAAGTTATTTACTTATTTGGTTATGTGCTGGCTGTGTACCCAAATTGATGATAGTGAATTTATTGGCAAATGCGGTTAAGAGAGATAAGCCACAAGCTCTAAGGCTACCTACATATAAATGTTTCAGTATTATACACATACTATATCGAACGTGAACATTGTACATACTTGTACATTGGATGGTCAATGCAAAAATTAGATAAGTGAGCACCGTTGGACCTTGAAGTTGTCGAACAGCTGAGTTCTTATCGAGGCAAACTTAATTTCGTTACAATCAACAAACAATTCGCCTGACCGGGGGAGGCTGACTCGATTTTCTTATCTTGAAGTTTTACTGACCGATTGCTTTTACTTATGAAATAACACAGACATGAAACTGTTATTTATTTGAAAGATTAAGATTAAGTTTTTAATATAACAAACACAACTCAATATCCTTTAACTGAAAAGAGGAATATTTTAAGAGTACTTGAAATTTATTTTTTATTATTCGGTTGTGGACCCTTTCAATCATATCATATCCGGCGTTAATTATTAAGATTGATTTCGACAGGGGCACGTGCTCAAGTCAGATTCCTCAACGTTGTCAATTATGCAAAAATTCATTTCGATTGTTTACTCTAGAAATTTGCATTCTTCTCGGCTTTCTTCTCCCCGCTTCAATCTTTCTTTTATTTGTTCCTCCCTCGCTCTGTTAACTGATTAAAGTACTGTTTTTATTGCTGTTATTGTAGCCGCCATGTGTGAGTACTTCTCTTGACAATCCCAATTATCAAGTGGCACAGCTGTTTCTGGTGTGTTAGCACTTCATCCGACGTTCCCACCCACAAATACTGATAAAGAAGATATAAAGATTCCGGTGAGTCAATCTGTTACATGCTTTTAGTAGGTTCTATAGTATATTTTGTCAGAAGAGGCGCCTAATTGTGATTTACCCTGCTCATCAACTTGAGTCGACTTTATAGCAGGAAATTCGCAAAAAACTGATTTGTAAATGCAAATGTCATCAAAAAACAAAAGGCAAATTGAATTACTTCCTCAAAAGGTTCACACACACACACACACACACTCACACACGGGAGTAAGGTAATCAATGAGTGAGATGGCACAAACTCACACTTTTAAAGCGCTGATGCTTTACAAATGCGATTCAATTAGCATCTGTCGATTGCCACCTCCGCATCTCCATTACCCCTTTCCCGGACATCGTCAATTGAAAGCAAATAAAAAGCCAAGCAACCGAAACCGAAACAGAGACACCGAGATGCCGAAATCGAAACGAAACTCCTGATTGTCAATAAGTTGTGTAAATAACTGTTGAACACATATTTATGCAGCAATAAACAAAATCATCAAGGAACAACAACTACAATTTTATCAACTCAAATGCGCAAAATATAGTAAAAAGAACATTTGTTGGTTGAATATATTGTATTCGTATATTGTACCTCTTCAATATTAATTAATAGATTAAAAAGGAGTTCTTTTGACCCCAGTTGGGTTCTAAGAGAACGTAATTTGGTTACAATATTCGTACAATAATCATGTATAATCGACCTTTTAACCACCTGCTGTCAATTGTTAAAGCAAACACTTGATTAATCAGTTATGACTAACCAGGTATCAGCTCATTAATTGAGGAAGTCGGAGTTCGTGGAAGAGATTTGTTTGGGAGACTCACCTTTGTCTTGGTCACGATGTTCGTGGCCAACTTGACCACGGCAAAGTTGCCCTTGCCGATGGTCTTCTCCAGCTCATAGTATCCAACTCGCAGGAGCTTGTCCACGGATATCTTGCTGGTCGATGGCACCTTGTAGTTCTGCGGCGTTGAAGTTGGAGGAGCTTTTGATCCAGTGGTTGGTGTGGTGGCCATCGCAGCTTGCTTTTTGCCGGAGGCTTTTCTTTTGTTTTTTTTTTTTGTAGAGCTGGTATCAGATGCGTAATTGCTTTCAGCGCACAGGAAATTCACTTAAAATGCATTTTCTTTTGTCGCGGAGTTCGAACGCGAGTTCATTTGCTGGCGGCGAGACTTGAGAACCGGAGAATTGAGAAATGGATACGGGATGCGGGAGATTGTAGAACGGAGAGCCGCCGCCAGCAACGAATGAGTCGTATAACTTGTGGCTTCTAAAATTATTCACTTAATTCGATTAAGAGGTCAATGGCAGCTTCTCGTTCGGACGCTCCAGCGGATTCTCGGCGGGCAGTGGGCCATGCCCACCAGGCAACTCCAATGCTCACTTTATTCACCTTTTTATTTATTCAAACAACACTTCCTTGAACTTTTTATTTCTTTCCGATATTTTTTTTACGACACCTTCAGTTCTCAATTTTATGGTTCTTTGTTCGAACGCAAATTACTTTTCACATTTCGATTTTGCACTGTTGTCACCGCCTTGGGGGAAAAAGGAAAATTATTAAATAAGTATTTCACTTTGCCTAGCTTTTGACCTTGGTTTTTCTTTTCTTTTATTTCTTTATCGAGAGTGGGCGTGGCGCGTGTGTGCGTGTGAGTTAATGAGCAAAACAAACACCAAAGATAGCGGAATAAAAAATAATAAAAACACAGCAGGCCAGTGTTATCTATTCGGGCAGAAATCTCAAAGAAAACAAAAGGCACATAAATTATTTTTCCAGCCATAACAACGGCTGCTACGTTTTGCACTTTGAATTGCGGGCTTCATAAATTTTTGTGTGGTATTGCATTAATTTAATGATTTGTTTTAAGCTAAAGTTTATATTATGATGATTTTTTATTAAGAATATTACCAGTGTAGTTTGAATATAGTTTGTAATTAAAAAAATATCAGAAAAATGTATTCTGTATGTATATTATACACTTTTTTTAATTTTTAAAAAATATTTCGAAATTTTTATCGCCAAGATTATGTATGCATACATCCCATGTGTAAACAAAATCAAAAACCTCGAAATAGTCCCTTTCCAAGTGGCGGTTTAGGCGCTAACTTTTGGCGCCTCGTGTTAAGTAAAGTAAAAGAAACGAAGCGAGGTAAGACCACGAAGAAGAAGAAGAAAACAGGGCCCATGTCTGGTTTTTTTTATTCTTTTTTTGTAAGCCGATCGCCCAGCGAAGGGGGTGCGAGAGAGACAGTAAGATAGAGGGGCTCTCAATGGGTTAATGTACAGCATCAAGGTCGTATGAAAACCGGGCACTTGCACAGTCACATTCGCACATAATCGCCAAACGAAAGAGATGGGAATACTGGAGGCTGGGGGGCTAGGGAAAAGAGAGGGATGGGCAATCGTCAAATGCTCATTGAAATCAATTTAGAGCAGAGTGTGTGCGAAGAAGAAGAAGCAGGCGGCAACGACGATGATCACAAACATTAACCCAACACTCGCGTTCACATAATCTAAACAAATTGTTTTCCCCCAAAACTTTCTCGTGATATTTCGCGGGTGTGAAAATAGCAGCGGCAGCTGGACATGTCGCACCCCTCCTCGCACCTTCACATATTTTCTCACATTTCTGAAAGGTTTTCGATAAGCTTTCCTTTGTTTATTTGCATTAATCATTGGGAAGACACAAAACAGTTGTAGAATTTTCGGGGATTTGGAAATTAGCAAGTGGGTGGCAACTACCGGAGACCGAAAAACGCGTAGAGCGAAGTGCACGGAGTCAGAAGTCAAAGCTGAATGAACTTCCAACTTGGAAGTTCTCCGACAATATAAGCCGGAGAGGCTGCGACCTCGCTTCCAGCCAAGCAGCACTTTTCCAGCGCAGAGAGAAAGATAGAGAAAGCCAACCAGAGAGAGAGAGCGAGAAAGACTGATTGGTGGGGATGCAAAAGACGTCATCAGGTCAAAGGTGCTGCTTCCGTCGAAAACCGAAAGGAATACCGATTACACTACAAATTTCTTGGGCTACTACAAAAGCAGAACCTTTAGCCGGTCTTTAAATAATAAAAAACATATTCAAAAAATATATATGTAAATATGTATGTAAAACCTCAAGGGATTAGCTGGTTGGCCAATAAAATTTAATCAAATTACAGGGAATTCCAATTTAAACAGGAATTCTTTAGGACTGCTTTTCGAAAAGAGCTGGGCATTTTACTTATCTGGCCAATTTTGCTGATAACCAACCAGCAGTAGCGATCCCAGTTGTTTTGGCTCTTTTTACCAAATCACAGAGGCGAAAATGATTAAAAAACATAAAAACAACAAGTAAGCGAAAGGCCAAAAAGAAACGAGAAGTAAAATAAATGAGGCAACAAGCCGAAAGCGAAAGAGGAAAGGCGAAAACCGAAAACAAAAAAACAAAAACCGAAAGCAGAAACAACAACAGTGGCTAGAGAACTTGGACTTACACAGCAGCCAAAGCCAGACAGCAAAGCAGACGGAAAGTGAGAGAGAGAGGGCAAGTGGAAGTGGGGGCGGAGGTGGGTGGGGAAAGATAGAGCAAAGCGAACATGCGAGACAGTCGCCAGTTCCCCATCGATTTCCGAAGGGTAGAGGGAGAAGGCACTATCAGCAGGGTCTGCATTTGCATGTGTGTACGCATGTGAGCGGGGGCGCAGCAACAGTTTGTGCGAATGTGTGGGTGTTGGGGCTCCAAGGAGTTTTAGGAAAACTACAACCAAACACGCGAAAAGAACAGCAGACTTAAAAAAGTAAATGTAATTTAGTATTTGCCGAGTTAATCAAATGTTGACATAGTGTTTATCTAACATACATACATATCTAAGTACCACATTCTTGTTACTGCTAATAGCGGTTTATATCATTTAAAGTGAGCACAGTTTAATGGAAATTTAAGTGTTCATTAAAAAAAATGTTTAAATTGTCTCAAAAAAGAATCATAAGCGTTATCACTAGCCACATATTGTCTGCAATTGCATATGTGGGATAAAATAAAACTTTTCGCACGCACACCCAACCACCTACAACCCGCACACTTGTGTTTACAGGAGAAAGCACCTGCAATTGATAACGGGTCGCCAAATGGTAAATAGTATAAACAAGTAATACGCAAGGCGTCCAATTAGACCACTCAACGGCAATTGGCTTTTTGCTGCCCCTTATTTGCGTTTTACCGGAGTTGCCATGACGTACGCACGCACACACACAAGGAAGCGGCCGAGCGAGAGAAAAAGAGAGCCCCACACACACACACCGTTATGCCTGGGAAAACGTCACGACTTCCAAAGTGGAAAATCGTACGCGCAATGTTTTTTGTTGTTTTTCCACAGTTCAAATCGAAGGTAAAACTTGCCGCAGCGCACGGCACATAATTGCCATTCATGAATATGTTTTTTTAGCTTCCGCATCTCAGGGGCCGTTCGAGATGGCTGCGTGACTCACGCAAGCATACAATCCATTCCATATTGTAAAAATTATGGAAATACAGATCGTGTCACGCGCTCTTCACTGGAAATAGTTGCTCACCACAAACACACACTCACACACTCGAATGTAAAAGCGCTGTTGTTGTTATTCCGCTTTTCTTTCAGCCTCCGCAACAACAACAATCACAAAAGCTGGTCAAATACAAAACACACTTGTAAATTTATTTAATCTTCGCTCCGACGTTATTTCTTCGCCTTTTTTCATACGCTCTGGTCCCGCTTACACATTACGATTTCTATCTCTCCTCTCTCCTTCATTTTACTTTATTTCCATTTGTCGCCGAGTCTCTGCCTCTGCTTATTTTTTTTTTTGCTTTTCTTTGGCTGGCGAGATTTCTTTTCACGTTGAATTTATACTATATTATATTTATATTATTGCGCTTATCACTGGCGCTTTGTTGCTGGGCTTCTTGCCTCTGGCTTACATATTATATTCACTTGTGTTTGCACTGAACAAATCCGATTCGCGTGGGCGAAGCGTGCGACGCGTAATTTTGCATTTAACATTTAACATTAACAAACACATAAATAATCGCCCTCGGCTATTCTATTGGAATTTTTTCGTGCCGTCGACGGCGATTCTGATTGGACAACACCACCTGCTCGCGAAGCAAAAACTCGGCACCGACTCGGTGTGACCATGCGTAAGAGTGTCCAATATGCCAAAATCGATAACGATTGCAGTACAACTCTGTGAACGAAATTGCGGATTACTTAACACTGAAATCTGATTTCAAATCTTAGCGCACTTACCCACACTTTGAATCTGCATTTGGGTTAAACATTTGGAGCTGAAAATAAAAAAAAACCATTAAACAAAACAAAAAACACAATTTTTGGGAAAGTGTGACTTACAATAAAACGATTTGTGTCTAAATAATATCTCGGCATCTCAGCATATGTATTTATCCTAGAGAAATTGCTGTCGACTGCTGACCTTCTTTGGCGGCCCCGCGGTTTGAGGTCGGTTACGAATGGGCCTGGTCACTTGGGCCACATGTCTCACTTTTTCGATCAGCATAGTCTTCGGAATTTCGCGGGCCTCATACCATCCGGGGTTTACGGCTTTGACCCACGTATTACCGCTGCACTCAAAGCCCCTCAGAAGTTTTGCCACACAGCCGAAGGACACCATTTTTATCGTAAAAAACTTTAAAGTTGTGTAGAAATTAAAAACGGAAAATTAATTCGAAAAAAAGATTATGTTGAGTTGAAACTTGTAAATCGAATGAGATTTACTAGATGTTTCAAAGGAATTGCCAAGCTCCGCCTGCTGTTGTAACGGTTTTTCTCCTTCCTGCGCAGCTTGGAATACGCACCAAACTAAATGGCATCCTGGAAGGCGACAGTCAATGAATGAAAGCCTTCCAGCTGGCCGTTAATTCAACTCTCTGCCAGCAGCCAGCTGAATGAAAGTGGAGCCGGGAATTCCACTACAGCACTAAAACGGTAAATGCGTGGGTGGAGCAAGAGAAACAGAGGTGGATGATTCAAAGAGAGTGAGAGCGGGAGTTACGCACTAGGAGTCCGCGTGACGTCAGCTAAAGGCTTTCGCCCACTCAGAGAAAATGTTTATTGTAAAAATGGATAAATATCAAGGAAAAAGTTTTTAAAAATATTTAATAGAGCTTTATTTAAAAAAAGGCAGGTCTTGATTTTCCGGTCAAGGCTTCGGCCCCTTGTAAATATGTCACACAAAGTGCATCCAAAATTTTCAATGAAACCACAAGCCCCAGATAAATCAGAAAAAAAACGAACTAACAGCAAAGAAAGCCAGCAGAAACTTTCAGAGTCATCAGTCCAAGAGCTCTTTCCACTCATTATATAACAAAATATAATTCCCATAATATCGTAATGGTTCGTAGAAGGATTCTGACGAATTCCGCCAAGCAAACTTCGATGAACGCCTATCAGCAATGGTGGCAACAGCAGCAATATGCCCGAAATCCAATGGTTGCCTCAATGCCGGAATATTGGCACTCGGTGTGCAACAAAATGGGCGGAGCAATGCCGCGAATGGCGTTACTGGTTCCGCCGGAAGTCAGCAGCCGGAAATTAACTCGCTTGCGTCGCCAGCTGATGAGACCTCCGAGGGAAACTATTCCAATACAAAGCTTTATACCAAATTATGGACTGCAGCTGAATCCACAGATGCAAATCCCAAGGGGATATGAAGTCCAAGGAAAGGCATCCTGTCTGAATCAAGGACTTTCCAAGGCGTCTCTATTAAAACCAGGCTGCCTAATGTCCGCTTACCAAAATCAGTGCTTTAGAAATCCACCAACAGGAGCTGGTGTTGCAACTTCGTCACAGCAGCAGCATTACAATCAGGAAAACTCATTCGGCTATCCCGATTTGCACTGGCAACAGCAGCAATATCAAGTGCAACAGCAACACAAGCAATTTCTAATGCAACAGCAACAACGGGCGGTACCTTCTGGTATTTTAAAAAACTCTTCAAGAACTGCATCGAATCAACGAGTGATGGGAGATTTCCAAAGTTACACTCCATTTAAAAGAAAAAAGGTTTCCATCAAGAGCACAACTTCGAGGTATCAACAACCCAAAGTGGAGCAACTGAAAACCAAACCAGTAATTCCAACCAAGCCAAGTAAAAAAATTAAGCAAAATGTATTGAAGAAAGAGCGAGAACAACTGCAGCAGTTGCAAATTGAACACGAACTTCTGAAACAACGCCAAAATTTGCAGAGCGAGAAGGAGAAAGCGAAGGTGCAACATCAAAAGTATGTGCAACAGCAACATCTGTTGCAACACCAACAGGACTTAAGAAAGCTGCAGCAACATCGGAAGTCCCTGTTGCAACTTGACAAAAGTTCGAGCTTTAATTTTGGTAAATTAGCCAACCATTTAATCGAAGGCTGTAGAAGGGATTCGGATACAGAAACATCCATGTTTACGGCAGCAAATGATCAAATTAAATCCGAAAAGCAATCATTTAGGCCGCAAAACGTAAAGAAAGTTCAAAGTTCAAGAACTAAGAGCTTTGCAAGTGAAGAAACCAGACCGGAAAAACTACAAGCTAACCAGGAAAAGCCAGAAGTTTCCAGCAGAGTGGGTAAGGTTTCTTCTCGACGCTTTCTAGATCGCCAAACAAAAAGGTTGGGTTCGGGAAACGAAAGTAGCACCATAACCCTAACCACAGAGAATTTATCAAGGAGTCACACTTCGTTGACTGACAAAGCCACAAACACTAAGGCGGATTCACTGAATGGTTTTCTAAAATCTGCTCCTCGAAAATCCTTATCGACGACATCGGCAACTAGTAAAGGATCAAAAAAGATGAACATAAATGAGCTGTTGAGAAACGAGAAGGTCAGGGGATTGGATGGCAATCCAATGTGGGCTTCCTTAATGCAACTTGTTGCCCACATGTGTGAGGCCAAGGAAAATGAGAAAGCCGATGAGAATCAAAAAAGTCGCCTTAGAGCAGGATCTGGAACTGATAAGCAACGAAAGCAGTACTCTGTGTATCTCATGGTTACTTCCGATGAGGAGGAAGACGAAAAGAACTCATCCAAAACAAAAGTCGAGACATCTAGCAGTGATCCAAACTTGGCGAGTAATTCTGGTTTCAATGGAGGAGATGACTACACCAATAAGTGTTTCGATCTCTACCAGGAAGAGCATCAGAAGTAAGTTAAATAATTCACAGAAATCTTTAGAGGTTAATAGCTAAAGGTACCTTAGAGTATATTTCAAAAAATGTTGAATTAAATGGTCTTGAGGAATAATCCTAAAAGACTAGTTTATACTTTGAGCAGCATACTTTGAGGCTGTAGCTTAATCTTTCTAAATATTTTTGTGGCATTCCCAGTAAACTGAATTTTAAATTAATAAAATACTTTAGGTTAGGTCGCCATAAACGCAAGCGTACAAGGCTAAGTTCCCGTCTGGACCAGCTGTCCATTCCCTATCCCAGCACCCAGACTCAGGTGCCAATGAGAAGACCCCTCCACTGGCCGAAACCCGATTTCTCCAAGTCCCAAAGTCGATCGAATCGTGTACGGAATCCATCTCGTGTTCGTGCGCGATCTGTAGTCAAAAAGGTGGTCAAATTCAAAAGCCAAAAGTCTTCAACCTCTTCAACTTTGGACGAAAAACGCAGCTGGCGATTGTGGAAGGACCTGCCGATGACCGCGAAAGTTTTAAACAAGGCATATAGTCGCATGTTGACTTTATCGGGCGGCAACCCCAACTCTTCGGAGATATAGAACGCATAAAACTTATTTTGTTTACTGACTCTGGACAATTCGAAATCTTCAGATCATCGACGAAGCTCAAATCGCAGCTTTGTTTCACAACAATAAATATTAATAAAATATTTCTTGGGAAACAAAGCTGGTTTTGGTGTTTCGTCCTTGATCTGCGATTTTTCTCCTACGCGCAACTTAAAATAAAACACTGCTTTTGGCTTAAATAGTCTTATTATTTTGTATAACACTGAGTTTTAAATCATACCCACATGTCAATCGTGGTGGGGTATCACCAAATCTCTTTTTTTTTTGTAAAATAAATTAAAACAAATTGTCCAAATTGCATGTTTCTAGTTTGTCTTTAACCAATGGATCTTGAAAACAAATAAAAAAACCTGTGTGATTACAACAGGATTAAAAGCACAAAAATATCATATCGATGGCGCAACCAAAGGATTTGCCCATGCAATTGGGTAAGATTTACCTGCTGGTTGAAAACGAATCAAGTGGTAGAAGCACTTGCACCGAATCCTTTCCAAAAGAGGAAAGTGAACTCAAAGAAAGTCCCGCTTTCACCGCATTTGGATCTCACTTCGTTGGCCTAAACCTAAATCCGCATAGGAGAAGGAAAAGGGTTTTGGGTGGAGATAACGAGTACTGTCAGCACTCCCATTTATTACGGAACCCATTGGTTGTGAGGAGTGGCGAGGTTCCAGCTGGAGGTGAATGCCATCCGAGCTGCCCATATTACCAACCCAAGCCCCAATCCCAAAAAAAGCAACACAAACAGATTTACGACAGTTATCCGGCTCAGGAAAATTATAAACAGCCAAGTAGGCAATGTTATATTCAACCAGAGAGAACTCCTCCACGATCCCGGGAGCAAAGTGATAGTGAATGCCGCTGCGATCCACCAGCTGGAAGAAGAGCCTACCGGACATCCTCCTCTAACTACATTGAATACCGGGAGTTCCAGCAACCTCCAAAAAAGAATACCCAATATAATGAATATAACTATGAACCCCAGAGAAGCAATCGATTGCAGAAGAAGCCATCCGTTTGCAGTTGCGGCGCTGAATCCCCGCCAGAAAGACGTCGGGTTCAGAGAAGTAGTCGGGCGAGGAACACGGGTTCCGAATGCAGCTGTGAATCTGAATCCCTGGCAGAGAGGCAGCCTGCCAAGCGAACCAAACGATTGCAACGAAAGTCATCCGAATGCAGCTGTGCTGGATCTCATTCCCCAACAAGAAGGCAGCCAATCCAAAAGAGAACTGCTCCCGAAAAATGTGATCACCCAAGGAAGACCACCCAGGTATTTCCCACCTGCTCGGTTCGGTGTCATGCTCGGGCCCATGTCCAAAAACCAGCTCCTCCACCTGCCCCAAAACGAAGTAGTCAACCTTGTGCGCCGCCTCCAACTTCCATGAAACCCACAAAGAAACCCAAAACAAAGTCACCCAAAAAACCACCTCCCAAAAGATGCAGTGAAGCGTGCTATTATCGCTTTTCCGATAAAGCAGGTTGTGTGCCCAACGATTATGTGGAGCGAAGTCGCTCCAGGTCGGAGGTCCTTAGAAATCCTTTGGTTCAATATCGAACTAGCGATGATGGCACTGGCATGCTGCCCCACGAAAGTTACAGTGAGGAGTACATCCGGAGAAGATCGCCATGTCGGAACTGCAGGAGATCCCAATCTGAAAGTAGAAACACCCCCAGAAAGAAACCTTCCTTCTGCTCCAATGAAACCCTGAAGGAAAAGGAAGTCAAGAGCTTTCGTTTCAGCTGTCCAGAGAATGGGAAATGTGAGGCTTGTAGAAAAATCTGCCCGAAATGCAACAGGGTGCAGCCCCAAAAACAGAAAAGCTCGCCACCCAAGAAATTTGCCTCAACGGTGGCCAAGAAATGCTGCCCCATGTGTGGATTACTGCCCATGATGCCCAATATATCCATTCCAAATATGGCCAGTGTAAGATTAAAATCCTTTTAGTAGAGAGTTTTCTTTTAAAAAGTTGCAGAAAAAAATTACTGCTTAAAGTACAATCTGAAAGAAACTTTTTTGAATTATCATTTTCTTTCAGGTTTTTTCCCGATTTGTACTTTTCTCTTGTTTTTTCTACTTTCTAAGTTAAGAATTTTAGCTTTATACCACTTTTTTCTTCCACAAAATAGAACAACCGCATTATATACAAAACCTTGGGTAAATGTCGACCTAGGAAGGTACCCAAAACCAAATATGAGCTAACCATTTTCTGCAAAAAACGCTGTCAAGGTGGTAGAAATTCTCACTACATGACGAGCACAATTGCCACGACTCTAAAAAGAAGAGCAAAGGCAGTTTTACCAGGAGTGAATCCTGTGGCACCTTCAAGGATCTCAAGCCACAGACAGGGTTAGTTTAATCGAACCATTATGTATTCCCTTTTCCCTTAACTTCTTTTCCTTAAGGTGTTAGACAATCTCCTGTTCAAAACATTACCAGTCAATCACAACCCGCAGGACAACCAAGGAGCCAAAGTAGATCGCGAAATTCCTATATGATCCAAGAACAATCCTTTCCTTCAACTTCTGGTCAGCAACGGGAAAGATCAGCTGCTCCGTCGCAAGTTAAAACGCGTTCTCCTTCAGCAATGCAAAAAGTGGAAAGAAGGGAAGTCGAAAGAGGATCAGCTCCTATATCTTCTTCCCAGCAAAGAACTAGAGCTCAATCGCCAGTGGTAGATATTCAGAGTATCTCACGAAGTGGGGAAGCTCCTAGAGGTTCCCATTATCCTAAAGAAACAAGAACTTCAAATAGAAATCAACCTGAAAAGGAACCTTCCTATAGATCTTACTCTGAACCAGCAACATCCTCTAGATCTCAACATGAACCCAAACCTTCATATAGAGTCCAACCTGATCAGAAAATTTCTTTAGGATCCCAACCTGCACCCGCAACTTCCTATCGATCTCAATCTGAACCCACAACTTCCTTTAGATCCCAAGCTGAACCAGCACCCTCCAATCGATCGAGGTCTGAACCAAGAGAATTACCCGCGTATTTGTTGGAGCCGGAGATATTGGAACCCACGCGAAGGGGAGCTTCCTACTTGGGAACCGAGGTAAATCCCTTTTACAGGGGAAGTTTCCTCAGGGTGCGTAACTCTATGGACTCCCCGCCATCTCGCTTCAGTCCCATTCACCAAAGAGGCATTACGGACACTGAACCAAAGCCCCCAAAAGCACCAAAATCAAAAGTAAAGGGCTTGGCTCTGCCCAGTAAGTACAACAGGTTAACCCAACTTCATGCCTGGGTATTTGGCGATCCCTTCGTGAAGGGAAACAAGGATCTGGGAACCTGGAGTTGGCGTCAGATATTCGGTCGCAGCAAAAAGCGTTCATCCTCCAAAAGCAAACCGGCCAAGACAACGGAGGGCAACATATAGGCCAAGAATCTCATGTCCGAATCAGAAACCCTTTCAAAATGAAACATTTCGTCAACGACAAAATTATGAGCCACTTCCGGAGCTCAAAGCATAAAAAAAATGACGAATCAGTTGGCCGAAGTCAAGCGGATTGTTCCCCGGAAGAAGGAGCGATTGATCCGTGCAAGAAGCCACGTCCTGTGGTCCAGAGAACGTGTCCTGGCAGTGAAACTGCCCCGGATAACATGTACGTCCTGAAGAACTGCGATCGCTGTCAGGATTACACGGTGCAACCGTGTGGCAAGAACTGCAAGTGCCAGAAAAGGAAAACCAATTGCTCGGGACAGTGCGAAGTTGCAGCTCGGGAAAAATCACAGGCGCAGTCGCAGGAGAGTTTTCCCGGAACGAGGAAATCAATTCACAAGATGACAGGAAAACCATCAAAAACCTCGTTTAATTCTGAGTCCCAGCGTAGAATGGGTGGCATGGGTCCGATTTGCCAGCTTTGCGGACTGGAGGAGATCCGCCAGCCAGGACAAAGTATGTGTCCAGTTTGCAGTGAAAAGATTCAAGCGGCCGTGGATAACTACTACGTTCAATGCCAAGGACAATGCCAACAGGGAACGGGACAACCATGTCCTTATCAACAGAATAATAATCAATTTCAACAGGGAACGGGAGAAACCTGTCCTTATGAGCAGCAATCGCAACAACAACCAGCTGGTGAATGGCAGCAGTTGCAAGGATCTCCACTTGGAAATCAGCAGCAGCCACTAGGCGATCAGCCCTTCAACATCATTGTCCTTCAGGATTGCAACAATAGTTCGCTGATCGATCAGTTGACCACTGCCATAAATCGCGGAGGAGGTCAAGTGCATGTGCCACAACAGTACTCCGACTATAACTATCAGAATCCGAATCAGCAGTACAATCCATTAAGTGGTTATATAGACTACGAATATGTGGATTACCAACAGAGGTTCGATCAGGAAAGAATGGATAGAAATGGCTACAGAAACGGCATGAGTCCTTGGTCAACCTCCTCTAGAGATGGTGAGTTTTAATTAAATATATTTTCTAGAAAAGAAAGCTAGCTTTTTCAAATCAAAGATTGTATTTTAAAAACTGAATTCTTTGAAATGATTTCATTCATTTATAACAAGTTATTTAGTTATTTACAATTTCTATATTTCTTTAATATTTTATAATAAACTTTCTAGCTTATCTTCTGTTTTCTATCTTGTTTTTAATATTTTATAATATACTTTCCAGCTTATGAAGACGAACACATGTCGTGCAACAGCTACGATTGTCCTGCCAGAATGCCCGAAAACTATCAGAGGCAAGGACCCTTCAATGAACCCCGCAGCGATAATTCGAATCAAAGTTATGCGAATAGTTGCACCTGCAACTGCGACTTCTGCCGCAAAGGATTCGAAACGAAGGAGAAGCTGGCCATGCTGATAGCCCAAGCCCTCGAAATCTTCATTGGCAACAATAAGGCCAAAGCCAAAGGGTCGGAGATGAAACCTAAGAAGGAGAAGGAGAAGGAGAAGGGTAAGGCTAATCCTGGCAAAAAAAGAAAGCCTAATAAGTCCAAATCTCCGCGCTTGAAGGAGGAAAAATCCGCTAAGAGTTCCCCCGTGATAAACTCGCCGGCTTTAAAGGCGTCTCCCAAATCGGATACCAAAATGATTTCCAAGGCGGATTCCAAGGTGATTCCCAAGGCGGAATCCAAGATTAATTTCACTGAAAATGATAGCTCAAATGTCAAGAAAGAAGTGATGCATCCATTCTCCAGGGAACCCTCGCAATTCCATGCCTCCACCATCGATTCACAAAGCGTGGAATCCCGACCGAAGTACAAACCGAATTCGGATGACGAGAAGTCGGGATTCTTTTTGCCCAACTGCGAGCAGCATCGCTGCAAACACAACTGCAAAGGTAAGTGTTCCCGACCTCCGCACAATTGCAAAAAGGGTTGCAAGGACTACTGTCGAGGACCCTGCTCCAAATCAGGAGCTGGTGATGGCCGAAGTCGCAGCAAGGGAAGCAAAAATCAAATCCATAATCAGCGGCACACTCGCTGCTGTGGATTGTGCAACCAAGGTGAAGGTCGAAAGTGGCAGGAAGTCAGCAGAGAAAGTGGACTGGCCGCCAATGGCCAGAGGGGCGGCGAAGGAATTGCCACGGGTGCCGCAGGCTGCCCCAGTTGCCGCAACGATCGCAGTGCCGGAGGTGGCAGGACCTCCCTTCTGGGACTCAGTCCAATCGCCCACTATCGACCGGGAATGCTGCAATTTCCCGTGAACTATCTCCTGGCGGGAACCAATTTCCGCAGGAGTCTGGTTCGCACTGCCGCCGGGGTGACTCTCCATCAGAAACCCTATGTGGACATGGCCAGCACCAAGGATCTGCCCCACTTCCCCTGCCGCAAGAAGAGCAGCAGTCCAGACTGTCGAACCCCACGTAAAAAATGGCTTTGAACTTCAGTTGAGAAACGATACAAATAACCGGAAAGATAATGGCTCTGAGCTCCAGATCGCGACTCCGAAGGTTATGCATTGTAGAGCATCGAATTTATCGCTTCGATCGATATAGTGCATAAGTTCGTCCAGTCGCAAAGTGGTTTATAGTTTTTGTTATTCAAATCCAGAAGTATTTCCCACTGTTTATTCAGTAATTCCTTTGTATGCAATAAACCAGATAATAAGAAACACCAAAATAAATGTTGATTTTTATTTTTTCGATTTTTGTGGTTTTTTCTAAGTCTATAATTTTTGCAAATTTTTTTTCAGATTTTAAATCAGATTTTGAAACGGCATAACTCAAAAAATTTGTATTTTTATTCTCTTACGAATGCATCATTAGTTAATTTTTTATTTTTTGGCTGATTTTTTTTTCAATTTTTATGATACAACCCTTTTGCAAATTTCCAAAAAATGGGTTTCCTGAAAATTGATCAAAATTCGTTACTTCTAAGTCAATAACTTTTCTATTTTTAATCCGATTTAATTTAATCTTTATGAAACAACCCAATCTCAATTATTAAAAAACCGGTTACCAGAAGAGCTTCCAAAATTTAGCTCTTGTAACAGTGCGTCTCATGAATCCGAGCAAAATGCTAGGTATTTATGTAATCATCTATTAGTTTCACTTGCCCAGAAAATATCAAATTGTCCAGGCATACAATCACCTGTATGTTAATCCGCATATTTATCTGTTTTCTTCGTTTGCAACAACCCGGCAAATTTCCAACTAATTTCCCGATCTCTCGGATCTTCCGGCTTCCGCCTTCCGTCTTCCGTCTTCGGTCTTCTGGCTTCCGTCCGTCGCTTCCGCTTCCTGTGGCCCAGATTAACCGCTTAGAGCGGTGCAAATCAAAAGACGTGGCCATCAATGAGCCGGGACAAACAATTAACGCCGCAGGCGTTTCCTCATCGCCACCGACCAAAAAGTCACTAATCACCGGCAATATTTTGGAAGGCGCACATCCACATCCATATATATATTTATCTATATATTTATATACCTGAACGGTACGTGAACGGACAATGGGTCCGAAATCAAATTGAGCCTGGCTGCAGCAGCTTCCTGCGCTGCATTTCACACTGTCTCAAAACGAGAAACTAATTTGGTTGCCCCGCTGCGTTTGCCTTGCCACATGTCCTGCGGAGAGGATGTCAGGATGTGGTGCACTCAGAAAAAATATATAGAGAAAAATAAGTATTGTTAAAATACCCTGTAGTTCGGTGTGCCTTATTACCAAGATATACTGAGATCCTTTTAACAAGTTAAAATAAAAGTTCCAAATAAAGTTCAAACCAAAGTTTAAAAAAAAAGTTGAAAAAAAAAATGTTCAAAGCTGTGCACAGTGGTCGGTCCCATAGGCCAAAAATAAAAAAATCGACTTTGGAATTTTGATTTCAAATTTGGCGCATCTGTTTACCAATAGAACAAGGCTTAAAAAACAATTATTAGTTTTTTTTTTTGCCCCACACCTTCGCGGAGTAATTGGCGCGCAAAGTGAGCGCGCAAACCAAGCAAAAAACTAAAAGCCACTGCAGTGGAGTGCATACACAAATTTAAAAATTTTAAATATATTATAAAACGCTGTTAAACCAAAAACGGTTTGAATGGATATTGAAAATAATGGTATATACTTTATTTGTAAAGATAAATATATAAATAATTTTTCCTGTGTTTCGTGTAAATCTTAGTTAAAAAAGTGCGTCTTTTTTGTTCATATATGTTGTGCGTTACCAATGTTTATGTAAAGTTTTAAGTATTTTCCCCCGGTTGCCCCCAAATGAAATGTATGTGCCGTTATTTACTAATATTTTAAGATTATAAAAATGCTTACTTCAGCTGCGGAAGCCTGCAGATGCACTTTTGACATAACAAAATGCAACCTAACCTCATTTTCCAGTAGCTCTATTTAGGAGGGAGGAATGTTTTTGTTTTGTGCCTTCGTTTGTTTTTATTTCATATTACTTTTATATTACTTTAAATTTACGTTAGTCATCCTTTTTTGTTATCTTTTGTTAATTTTTTAACCAAAATTATGTGTTTAATAAATATAATTTTTGTCAGTTACGCTTTAAAAAAATTGTAGTGTGCATTTGGGAGTCAAATTTCCTATCGTTCCTATGGAAGCTATAGGATATAGTGGAACGATCCGGTCAATTTTTTTATAATGTATTTATAATATTTTTATAGATTTTTTGTGAAAGTTTCATAGCGATAGCACATCTAGAAGTATTTATGGCCGCGGTTCCATACTGTGCTGCGGAATGAAGTCAAAAATATTTTAATAAAAAATGCGCCAAAAAGTATTTTAGGAAAATCAGAATGAAGCTCTTAACTTTTAAAATTTTTTCAACTCTCTTTTGCTTAAAAAACCTATGAGATTTTCCCGCAAAACAATTGAAAATATTTTTAATAAATCATTGCTTTCTCAGAATTCTGGAATCAATCTTTACTTCCTTCAGTGTATAAATGTTAATTGCAACGCATAGCATTCTACGCACTTTTCCTCACTCAGCAGGACATCCTTTTCCTTGTTATTGTTGTTTGACAACATTTGTTTTTACAATTCCCTGCGTTCGTCTGCCTCCTTTTCCCCCGCTCCTGTTTTGTGTACACTGTACAGTGAACGCGCCTCTCCTTTCGATTCCCGTTTCCGTTCGGTGGAAGCCTTACTTTCTGCCCCTCACAACCGACCTCGAGCAACAGATGATTCCTGCAGCGGCTCCTGCACGAAGGACCTAATCCCATGTGTTGTTTGGCGAACGGGAAGCGGGACAGCAGGCATCTCGGGCAGGAAATGCAATTGTCTAGGCTCAAATATTTGGCAAATGCACCGAGCCATTCACTCAGAGGATGTAGGCATTTATTATGAGTTGTCGATTGCTATCTGGCCATTGTTTGGTTTGTCTTTGCCAAACGGAATGCGTTAGTTATTATTTAGATTACTCTTTTGTGATGAGCAGTGGAAAATTTGCTTTAGTTAAGATCTAAGAAGGAAGATCGTTTAATGATCAAGGTTAATAAATTGATAACATCTGAAGGAAACACTTGTTAATTGTCTCAAAACTGAAATGCTTTAATCAATCATAAGAAACAAATTTGAGTTTAACTAATTCAAATATGATATTTGTAAAGGCCTTTGATTTAAGCTCCACATTTTCATAACAGCTAAGTCCAAAATAAATTATATTAAAAGATTAAACAAATGATTATGAAGAAATATAATATATGAAAGTGTATTTGTGAGAATATTTATCATTTGTAAGATATGTACAATCCTTAGCTTCGCAATTTATGTTTAAAGACTTTCAAATATATTTTGAGTATAGCAGAAGCTAAGGGTAATTATAGGTATTTAAATAGGTTTTAAATTTGCCTTTCTGTAGGTAAATATTTTCCTAAGCCTTGAGCACTTCCCTAACCATTTTCCACTTCCTCTCGCCGCTTTCCGCCCACAATCGTGATCGGATTGGATCTGTGTAAGTGGTTTAACTAACAAAGAACCGTCGCCTCATTAGAGATTTCCCTTCGGAGACAATCCGGCGAGCTTTCCTCACCTCAGTTTTGTGTTTCCCAGTTTTGTGGCATTTATTGGTGTGTTCTGTGCGTGGATTGTTCTGGGGCATGTTGTTGTGGGCTCACGGTGGTTTTTGTTTGCTGCCCGGTGGGTTGGACCACAGAGCATTTATGTACGTGACACGTTTTGTAAGTTCCCATTGTCGAGAATGGTGTGTTGTGGCCGTTAATCAGATTCACGGAGCATTTCTTCATCGCCGTTCGCTTTATTTACTTTCATTGTTATCATTTGAAAATGCCTTAATCCGAATTTATGAAACGAAAGCGGAAGTCTGCTGCGGCTTGTTGCCCCATTGTCTCCGGTCTTCGCGGCTCCGTTTCCCAGCTCCCGGTGATATACCCATCAGATCTTGCCTTCGAATCTCTTTTTTACACTTATGAAAAAAAGGGGAGAAAATTCTGCATTATATTTTGAAAATTATATATTATATTATTCAGTAAACAATAACAAGAAAAACTATTTAATTTCTACGGTTTTCCTAATATAATATTTAGATCAACATTTTTGAAACACATTTTTTGTACCTTTTATTAAATTATATCTTATATTACTGAACGTTCTATTGTTTATCTTAACTGAAATCCCATTTATATAATTTAGAGATCTAAAATTTCTCTTAGTGTATCCTTTTTGCCTACTGTGTGGCATTTTCATTGCGATGTTTGTGTCTGCCTTTTTCTTTACGAGCGCGTCTTATTTTTCCAGCTTTTTTTTTTGTATTTACGGTTACTTGATTTGGTTTTTTTATTATTCTTCCGATTGATTCGAACGTTTTCGTAATAAGATTTCAGTTGGAAACTTGAGAAAACTGGGAAAAACCAAGGAAAAGCGGGGAAAACATGACAGCTGCCAGCCAAAAATTCCCCGAAGGAAAACGCTGAAAACTTTATGACGGAAGATGCCACACAATCTGTTTATTGATTTATAGTCTGGGGAAAGTGCCAATAAAACGCCGAGCACGAAAACTGGAGGCAATTCGGGATTAGTTTTCCCGAGGAAGGGAAATCCCTCCACACGATCGTTAAAATTCTGCAGCATCCATAGTACTTTCTGTATATTTTCGTTGATCTTTAATGACTTCGGATGGGATCCAGAGTTGGAGCCGAGAAAATGTTCGAAAATATATATATGGGCTCGTAAATCGTTTAGTTCGGCGGGGGTGGTTTAGCTCTATATCTATAAATAGCTGGCGACACCCCGAATTATTGGATGTATGTATTTTTAGGGAATTTGATATATGTTTTTCCACGGCACACGCTCCTCATTTACAATCTGAATCCAGCTGGCAGATGTATATATATCAACGTATTTGTGTAAGTGTAAATTAACTATCCGTTGGGGGATATAACTTCCTTTGCTGGCAATTTATGCACAAACACAATCCGGACCCGGGCACGTAATTGAAAATCAACAAAGCCAAGCAAATATCGAGGCATTCCTTTGGGCAATTATCAGCCGGACACACAGGAATTACCTCACAGAGTCACGTACGTGCGCCTAAGTAAACATCCTTTTCAGGCCTCTCCTTCCTTTATTCTGTATGATTACTATTTTCCTTTTTTTTTGGCAACTCTCATTGCACATCCTGTCCAGGGCGATTCTTATCGCTTTCGGGATAGCCGTGCCTAATGCGTAGATTCAAATTCCGATTCCGATGCCAAACAATGGGGAAAACACGTTGCAATTGGACGCAAGGCAGCTGTTTTGGCTTGGGTTCATATGTGGACGGGATCAGCCGGGGATTAACAGTTACTGCACTGAAAAAATACAGATAAAATTTTAAAATGGTAGAGGAATGATGATTAAAACCCATCTTTTATAATAAAAATTTTTTTTGGTAGCTACAGAAACTTTCTTATGAAACCAAAAAGGATTTCTTGAATAACAATATTTAGAAGTAATCAAAATTTATAATGTAAGCTGCTTCTCTCCTATTCTTAATAAATGTGGTATTTATGAATAAATATATATAATACATATTTGTTTCTTTCTTAATATATAATTTATTTGGATTTCTAACAGGATGCCAAATTGTATTGTTTAAGTGTCTCCATCTCAGTGCTCATCCTTCGCATCGCAATTAGAACTGATTAGAGCGACGCCGCAATCAATTAAGGGTAAGGCAAATGGTACCTACTCAATTTATTTGGCCGGCGATCGACAACTGCTGATAAACAAGCCATTAGATGCACTTGAGATCGCAACAGGACACCGCTTCAAAGAGGAGCTGCAGCATCTGCGCTGCAATTCGAGTGCATTAGATCCTGATGCGGATCGTGATCCTTCGTCCGCACCTTTCGAGGGCGTACGCGTGCCCTTTGGAAAAAGGGGGCGTGGTCCTGCAACTGCCGATAAAATTTCCAAGTAAGCTGGCGTAACTCGATCACCGGTATACGAGTATATATAATACTTCAGCACTTCACGCGAGAAGCAAAAAGGATTCGAGCACGCACTTGACAGCTCTCGACACATGGCTGACCTACAGCAGGGCAAACATATATGCCATATGCCACGATCCCGATCCCGATCCCGATCCCCAAAAAGGATCTCCAGAGATATCCACAAATCGCTTGGCATGCGTGTCAGCCGCAAAACATTGAAATGCTCTTTAGTGCGCGGCAGGAAAGGGATTTCCTGTAATTACTCGGCGATCAATTCTGACTGCCGGCTGAATAATTAGTTTTTTTGTCGACAAAAATTAATGATTCAGTTACTCGCAGAATAAATGAATGCACAAGTGCTGAAGCAAATGATAAATCTCTGAAAACTGTTAATGAAAATGGTGATAAATTGGGGACAGTTCAACGCAGAGAATAATTCAATTTCTTGGATTCATAATCAACAAAATAAGATCATAAACTTGTCACTGGAAATTTTAATTAGCAAAAAGAAAGTACATTTGCCGAGAAGAACTTGTCTTGGGTTTTTTCAAGTTTATCAACATATTTTTTGTATTAAAAATAAATATTAAATATTTTTGTTCTTAATTCAAATGGAGCACTCCACTTGATCAATAACTAACCAATCTTAAAACAGAAATATTACACTAAAGATATTCCAAATAACAAATGCAGTCTTGACGACAGCTTTCACAGAGAAATTTCGAACATTTGGATGCAAGGATTAACCCATGGGATTGCCCTGCTTCCTCTGTATTTCCCTTTCTTCCAAATCTCCCTATAAATAAGAATACAAATACCATAAAGTCTGTTTAAAATCCCTTAATCCTTGAACAAAAAGTGCTCGCTGCCATCCAAAGTTAACCCACATTTCTGTAGGCCAAGGGAGTGCTTACATATTTTTTTGTTTCCTTCTTTTCTGAAACCAGTGAACCTTTTTTTTTTTTTTTTGTATTGACCTCCGTTGTTGACTCAATCAACAGCAAAAAGTGTCCGATATGCGGGCATGCAGGTACACAGGAAAAAATGGCATATAAAAAACAATTAATATAAGATATACATACTTAGGAAATAATTTTCTTATTCTTTTATATCATAAAATTGAAGGTGTTATAGATATCTAAATTATGAATAAATGGAACTTAAAAGGATATCTTTATATGCAAAGTTGCAAAGTTTATTATTCAAAATACTATCATTATTTCTTTACAAAAAGTATTAAACAATTTTTATCAAAATCAGATAAATTATATTTGCAATATATATAAGTGATCCTAACTCATATGATATCTGCATTTATCAGCACATGATCTACAAAAGTGTCCACGGCTGTCGGCCAAAAGAGCTGAGAGAAATCGTGCTCCCTATTTCTTTCGCACTTGGAAAACACCCTTTCACTCGCACTCATTGTAGAGATTGTTAGCGGACTGAGAGACCCGACGAGAGCACTATATTCCGTTCGGACTGTATTTGTATTTATTGAGGCAGCCAACAAAAACCGCTTCTCGGCCACGATCGCAATCAGTTGAGAACGAGGAGCGCGCGTGAACAGAACGCAGATACAGATACTCCCTGGGTCATAGATACATTTGCAGTGCGCATTACTCACTCGACCGCCAGATACGAAGATACATTTCGCAGTGCGCCAGACGATTGCAACTGCAAACTGGATTTACCACCCAAAAACTAACAAAAAAAAAAGGAAGACCAAAACAATAACCGCAACTACAACTCGTGTTAAGTGAAAAACGAAGCCAATTGCAGCAGCAACAAATAAAAAACTTTCAAAACCCGGAGCCGTAGCGAAATAGAAAAGTAGTTCAGAGCGTGAAAAATACGTTACTAGCTGCAAAAGTTGTGAAACGTATCCGAGAGATACGAATCCATTTGGGAGAGCGAGAGCGGCCAAAGCAAAGTGCAATTTCTAAAAGCAAATACCAATAAAACACACATATTTAATCCGTCAAAACCAAAACAAATAATTAAGGCTGAACAACTGAAATTGGGCGAATTAATTTTACCCGCAACCTCGAAGGCGATTCGCAAGACAAACTATTGTTGGATTAACATATTTTCGATCAAGGTAAGTTGGTTTACACATTTTTTTATATGGCCCTCATTAACACTCCACGTTAAATACAGAAATCCGAAAAACATTCCGAAGGTTTTAGTTGACTTGGCTTTTATATAGTTGCTTGCGCTGTCTTGCAGTCAAAACGACTAAAGTTGTCTGTCTGTTTTGATGTGAATCTGGCTAATTGACCTCCAAAGTTGTGTTTTCATAATTAAGCCAAAACGAAACGGAGCAGTAGTAACCAATTGAAAGTTCATGAAGAGTTTTTCAACAAGGTCTGAAAGTATCTAGAGGTTAAGATGGCATGGGAAAAGGGAAATTGTGTGTTTCGAGGTCTTTACTAAAGGTTTACCATACAGGAAATAGTTGCTTAAAGGGAAAAGCACTTACAGAAATTAAGTAGATATTTTTAAGATATATAATAGAGAATTTTAAGAACTTAAAGTATTAACTATTGTTACCAACAAAGAAAGTACTATATTATCAAAGAAAAGACCTTTTCAATCACCTTTTCCTGATCCTTAAATACCACATTATTTCGTTCGGTGCACTAACAAAGCGACACTTAAAATGCCAAGACGGCAGCTGCAAAAAGGAAATTTTGTGGCCAAGTCAATGGAGATGCATTCGGCTGGCTGGTTTCGTGGTTTCCCCAGTTATTGCCCTCTTTCTCGTTCGTTCTGTTCGCTCTGTTCTCTTCAACCTCGAATTGAATGCGCGCGCATGCGCAAAGGATATCGCTTCGAATTCTAGAGGTTCGTGGCATCGGGGGTTGTAAGGAGAGTGTGGGGGGTTCGGTTCTGTGTAATCTTTGCAGCTGCAGGATCGAACGATCTGCACCTGGCCTCGCCCGCTTAATTAATTTCCCAGCTGACTCAGCCAAAAGCAAAGAGGGAAATGACAAACCTCTGACTATGCCACATTTTGATAAGCAAAAGTAAATTGACAGTGGGGTAAGGGGAAGGGGAAGGGAAGGGGTGACTTCCTGCTGATGCCATGCCCCACTGCAACGTGACACGTGCGAGGCGTGAACACACAGCCCCTCCTTCTTCAGCCCCCCCTTCCCATCCCTTGGCTTTCATTTACTCGACTTGGCGGCTACTGCACATTTGACAAGACTCAAAGCGATTCGAAATGCATTTGGCGCCATTTGGCCGCTCAGTACTTATATTTTTAAACGCATCAGCGACAACAAGACCGAAAGTCGTCACACATCCGTCCATCACACATTGGGGGCCACAGTGGCGCACACTGAAAGAAAAACGTATGCTTATTAAATACAGAAAATATTATGTAAATATTTAAAACTTTAAATGGAAAGAATAAAGTTTTTGTTGAATAGTTATTTGTGAAAAAATTCTTGATTTTATTTAAGTCATTAATGGATTAAATATATAATTACGAGATCCGAAACCATAGTATGTTATATCTTTCTTAACTTACAAAATTAGTAAACTGTTTTATCATAGCATCCATGTTTTTTTCATTTTGAAATTAAATATTACTCTTTTAAATATTTTTATATCCTACTCAGAGTACATTAGAATTTCTTTCTCTGTGGGGGGAAATTGATGAATGGTTCGGTTGGGGGCAGACAGAGATGGCAAGACAGCGGAACGGGGGGTGCGAACGAGACGGCGATTGCAGACGTCAGGCAGACGATGCATTTTCGCTGCCTCGATGGCGTTACATGATTTGTAATATCAGCAAACATACGTCACAACAACAACAACAACAACGGACAGAGCAACATGTGCATAAACGGAATCCGGTTGGCGTTTTTTTTTTTTTTTTATTCCGACTGCTAGACTAGCAAAAATGTTTATTTTTAAAAATATTCAGCAGATTATCATCTGTCGTCTGCTGCACTCCGATGAATGAACGAGTTTATTGCCTTGAAAGCTGGCCAAGAAAATGCGAACATCATTTCAGCAAATTAACGAAATTATTATGTTAAAATATTTAGGGGATTTTCAAATGGTATGGAATAGAAATTCATTTCATTTCATTTCACAAATCAAAAGTGACTTTTAATGATAGCCTAATGCTAATCTATTGGCAGTAAAGAAATTAAACAATAAATTATTATTATTCGGGAGCGTGGTTTTATGATAGGCAAACATTTAGAAGTGTGTGACATTTTGTGACCTTTTCTATACCAAATAAATATAATTTTGTGCAAATTTTGGGAGATTATAAGTCTTGTCAGCCTCCGAAATAAATGCACGATAACGACGAAAAGAATCTTTTTCGTGTAGCGGAAGCCGCTTGAAAGATGAAAAAGGAACCCTGGAGAAAGAGGAAATTGTGGGGCATAAACACCCGCCGACAAAACAGACAAGATACACACTCAAAGCCCGGAGAATCACATACTCGTATTCGTACTCGTACTCGTATATTTGGCGGATAGCAAATTACGCACTTAAAGTGCTTGCCAAATGACAGGAAACGCGTCATTTTTACGAACTTCAAATTACGATTCTTTTCTGCGTTTCGTTGTCTTTTGCACACTTAAAGTCGAAAGTCGGTGTGTGTAGTTTTTTTCTGTTTTTTTCGTGTCGGTTTAGTGGCTGCCACTAAGTAGCACGAGAAGAAGGCAGACCGAAATGCCATATAATTTGGTGAACGTAATTAAAACTGGCGCATTTCCTCATTTATTTGTGCAAGTGTATCTGTGTATCTCTGTGGGCATTTCCCTGAAAAAAGGGACAACATCGGTGGGGGAGTGCATCCTGTGCTCAAAAGGCGGATATGCGAACGTTGCACCGCAGACGACGACGACGACGACTCGACTCGACTTCCTGCCATTGACTTTTGTCAACCGAATAGTAACTGAAAACCATTTCCCTTTCCTTTTTCCTTTTTCCCTTTTCCATTTCCATTTCCACCTTCCACCGAAAACAAAGCGAAGCGTGAAAATCAACGCGTGCTTAGCACGAGCTGCCGATCAACTCGAATGTCAATGCCATATGCCGATCCCGATACTATATGCCATATAAGCTATATAGTTTGTTTCTCTGACAACACGAATCAATCATTTCGAACTCGATGTGGGTGGAGTGAAGTCAACGGAAGCCTCGCAGACAGATCCATTCCGCAATTGCTGACTAATCCGCTCCGTTTTTCCGCTTTTCACACGCTTTTCCCGTTCGTGGGAGTGGGAAACCGAATTGAACTTCAAGTGTTTTCATTGGCCTTTACTGCAGGCGGAAGTGGTTGTATATATGAAATTGAACACCATTAACAAGATTGGTCAGCAGAAATTGATAAATACGTTTATAAAGATTGATCAAAATGTAAGGTTTTTTATAGACAAAAATGAAATATGATGATCGATTTAATTGTTTCTTTTAGGTTTTATATCATTATCACATCACTAAAATTCTCAATTGATTACATTTATAATTGAAGTACCTTCCTAGTAATACTTTTCTCTGCGTGTATGCCCCATGGGTGGGCTTCCCCTTTTCTCTTTGAATTAAAATTGAAATGAAATAATTGAATTCACGGAGAAGCTACAATTATGTAGTTCGCCTGCTGTGGACCGCCTGAAGATCGGCGAATCTTGGAGATTCTTTATGGGTCATTCTCCACCGGGGGTTCTTCTTGGGCTTTGTTATTTTAATCAAATGGTGCCTAATGTGTCGCTTTCCTAGGCTTTCGAATAGTTTATGATATCCGCTGTCTGACTCAGTTGGGATTTTAAAATAAAAAAGGTGTGGGCTTTGATGGAGGTTTTCTCTTTGACATTAATCTTAACTTGGCATTCGATAAGCGATTAATTTATTTCACCTGCATTTCTGTGGGCTTATCTGCATTATATTGCTGGAAAATAAACAATTGACAACCAAGAAATCCGGTTTAGTGACTTGTTCTCTTTTATATCAACAATGAATTGCCTTTTCTTATAACAGAATTATCAGCATAAATTCTCCCTGTTTCCTTTTCCATTGGGTGAATAGCTTTTCGTGGGAATTTGCTTTTCACCTGGCAATGAACTGTGTAATTAAAACCGCTGCGAACCGACTCCTTCTTACGCATTTCCTTGAACCAACGGAAGCTCCCGGGAGTTCATTCCGGAAAACTATTAAGGTTCCCTTTTTGACCGGCTTGAAATCTCGTCACTGGGCTTCCGTTGGATTCCCCCTTCCTTTTCCCCTCTCCTTCCCCTTCCCTTCCCTATTTCTTCCCTTCCCTTCCCTCTCCCAGAGTACGAACTCTCTCCCATTCCCCCTCTCTCCTTCCCCTCCCCTCTCTCTCCTTCCCCTCCACCCTCACTCTCTCTCCCCCCCCTCTCTCTCTCCCTCCTTTTTCATTGCCATTTCCATTCCCATTGCCATTCTTACCCACATTCGCATTGACACCTTTTATGATCCGTCGGCGGATGTTTCGCTTGCTGTTTTTATTTTTTTCCTTTTTTTTTTTTTTTTTTTTAGTGCGTTGTACCCCCGATCCCTTGGCATATTCTTATTTCGATGGCTCTTTGTTTTGCTCGCCACATTCGCAGCTGCCAATTGGGCTGGTAATTATTTCCGCTCCACTCTGCTTTGAACTCACTTCCGCGATTGTTTGTTTGTAATCGTAATCGAAGCTTGGCCTGAATTTCTATGTCAGCCACATGCCGGTTTCCCCGCCCCCTTCTCCATTCCCCCTTTGATCAAGCCTAGCCCCCCGCTTTTTCCCCATTCAAATGTGACCGACCGCCGATCGATATGACAGCCGCTTTGTAATGATTATTCAGCACTTCCTTTCGCATGCGATCCGCCCCCCGATCCGCCCCCCAATCCGCCAACCGATCCGCCAAGCCGCCCATTCCGGCGGCAAGGTCAGATTTAATAACAAAATATAAATTGGAACAGGAAGCGCGGAAACGGTCAGGCGAATAACAGACACACTAGCGGATTCAAGTATTTAACATCATGCCAATTTTAGGGTACTTAGTCAGTTATTAAACAGAGCAAAGCATTCAGAAAAAATGTAGCCATAATTTTAAAACCGAATAACATTTATATAAAAGAGATTAGTTTAGTTAGCTTCAAAATATTTCAAACTTAAGTTTGCTTAACCGATGAATTTTCATCAATTGTGATTTATGTATTCTTAAAATAATAGTGAAATGTTTTTTTTTTTCAAAAATTAGTTTAAAAACTAAAAAGCACTATCAAACAAACTCGCCGAGCCAATCACACCTCATGACTAATGGCGTATACCCCTATATAATCGTTCAAGAGGAGGTCATCAAACTTCTGATGTGTACAACCCGGCGTATGCGTGTTAATATTTGTATTTTGCTGATTTTACTTCTCGTTGTTGCTGCTGCTATTTTAGCGATTAAAACAATTGCCGGCTTGTGAAAGCATTTCCGTTGTACTAACCTCATCACATTCCCCTCTCAACACTTTGCCCCCAAAAAAATGAGTCACATCCATTAATCAGCGATTATTACTCCACTTTCAGAACTAAAAAAAGAACCGAGCGAACGGAAGCGAAATGCAAGTGGAGGCCAGCTATCCAAAGTACGCCGGACGTGTGCCACCTTTGGACCTCTCGCAGGTGAATGCTGGCGAGGATCTCTGGTCAGGCAGTGCATCGAGTACTCCGAACTCCAAGCGCCACCTGCATCATCATCCCTACCAAATGCTGGACAAATGCCGCGGGGTTGTCACCTTGATTAGTCCACCCAATTCCTCATCCTCCTCCTCCGATGACAACAACAATCGACTGATGATGGCTGGCGAGGATGGGGCCACCAGGCTGCTGCATCCCATGGGCTCCGATGGTCTGCCCTTGGATCCGCGCGATTGGACGAGAGCCGATGTGTGGAAGTGGCTCATCAACATGGCCGTTTCCGAGGGACTGGAGGTCACCGCCGAGCTGCCCCAGAAGTTCCCGATGAACGGGAAGGCTTTGTGCCTGATGAGTCTGGATATGTACCTGTGCCGAGTTCCCGTGGGTGGCAAGATGCTCTACCGGGACTTCCGGGTGCGATTAGCCCGCGCAATGGCCCTCCTCTCGTAGGAAGCCTCACCCACTTCTCACTGGTTGTACATATCTCTAGGATTCGATTTAGTTTAGCCTAGTTCTCCTACTCTTAATGCCTAGTCGCTAGTGCTCTCGTTGGTTAAGTCCTAGCCATAATATCCTGCATTTCAATATTGTCAAAGATTGCTCTAAGTTCACATTTCACATGAAAGTGGAGTGAAAAGAAAACACGAGTGAAGTGAAAATGCTGTCCTATTAGTACGTTAAGTTCGCATCTGATGAAAATATAAAATGAAATTTTATAACTGAACTTATTTGTGGTTTTAATGGAAAACAGATAGAAAACTTAAACGGTAAGTAAATGGTATGTTTTAAAATTTATTAATAAATTAGCTTAGAGAAAAATTCCAAATAAAAATTTAATACACAGAGTGTTTTAATTATGCATTCACTTTGTCAAAGTTAAAAAATCAACAAGTTTAGAAAATGCGTTGACTCTTTAAATATTTATGTAAAATACTAATTTTTTGTTTTATCAAAGTAGTTATATTTTCTCTATTAAATTGTTTAAATACTTAAAAGGTAACAGACTCATCCTTGTTTACTTAAAATAACCTTAAACAAGACCCTTTAGAACAGTCTTTCAATTCATTTAAGCTGCCTATAGAAGTCATTTGGCAACCATTTAGTTTGTTTAATCTCTGCCTCCTCGACCAGCAGACACTCTTTAAGTAATCCCCGAAAAAAGATCTCGCACGGGTCTTAATGTTCTGTTTATGTCTTTCACAATTCCCCCAGAAGAACTCACATTGACAAGTGAAATATACGCTTGCCCAATTAGCACATCATTAGGTCCCAACAAATGCTGCGAGTTGAAAAGTTGGTCGGCAAGGGGTACGTAGATGATGCCCCCCACTCCCCAACACTCACACACAGACAAGTGCAATAAACTCTTTGTTATTGCTGGCCAGAAGTTAGTGCCAACATTTGTTTAGGGCCCGGCAATACATAGATCACCAGAAAGTGTTTATTTTCCGAAGACTTTTCTCGTCGGTGTGATTAATGCGGGCGGGGGAATTGGATGGAAACTGGAGTTACTTCTCGGCAAATAGAGAAAATTAAATAGCCAAAAATGGAGGTACTGGGGATACTCCACAGTAAATAATTGAAAGCAAATAGACAAAAGATATGGGAGGGTAAAAAAAAAGTTATCAGCTAATATGAAAAATATACATAAGTGTACAATTAATCTTTTTATTTCATCATTTTAAAAAGTTAATTTACAGTAAACAAAAATGAGAAAAAATTGATGTCATTTCAATTTTTACATTTTTATTTGAAGGAATATAAATTCCTAACTTAATGTATTTCTCAATATATCATTTTTTTATTGGCTAAAATTAAGTTTCATAATTTGAAGAAATACCCATTGTGTGAATCTTAGTAAAAGCCATCTTTACTTAAAACTAGAAACGTTCGTTTTTAATATGATAGGTGCTTTTTAGTATAGAGTGAATTTATAATTCCTGAAATAAGCGGAAACCCCACACAAATTTTTTCGTGCTGTATCCCAAATTTCCCCATTTCGAATTCAGCTGTTGCAAAAAAAAAAACGCAGCGGAACAATTATGACAATAACAATAACGGATAACGATAATCAGCATCGGTAGTCAAATAGAACCCGGATAGATACAAAGATACAAAGATACATCCGTGTGTGGGCGAGTGAGAGAGCGGTGGCATATATACAAATTCAAAGCGCTCCATCCGCCCGTGCATCCGCTCATTTCATTTGGGTTTTTCTTTCTTTCTGTTTTTTTTTTCTAGTTTAGTTTTTGTGCCTCCCATGAATGGGCAGATACACAGATGCATAGATACGCAGATACAGATACATTCAAGCGACGTTGGATGCTCTTCCTGCCGCTTCTGCTGCTTTTTCGCTCCATGTGGCTCATTGTCGCTGGGTTTTGTAAGTTTGCATTTGGTGCAGTTCGTTTTGGTCGGCTTTTGGGTTTGGGTTTTTCGGGAGCATCCGGGATGTAGTTTAAAGGTAAAGGAAGTGAGACAAATGAGCCAGACCTCAGCCAAGTTGTTACCTTGTAAAGCAGAAACCCAAACACAAACACAACAACAACAACAACAAACACAAGCCGAGGGGCAGCAACAGATGTCGCAACCTGACACATGCCACGACCAGGGGCACAGTCCACAAACAGTCGATGTCCACCAGCTGACGCCTCTGCTGCATCTCCACCTCTCGAAAACCTCGAATACCTCGAAGAACTCGAAGACCTCGAAAAGGACAGAACAGGAATTCCAACTCAAATTTCAATTCCACATAACCTGTTCAACTTAAATTTGGGCAGGTCAAGTTGTCTTTTAAAAGAAACCGATACAAAGAGATTTTTTCCTCGATATTTACGATTACTTGTTATAAAGATTAGCTTCTCCATCTAAATCCATCTGAATCTATCTCGCTGAAACTTGACCAAAAATTATGTATTTATTGCAGGTTTTTCCCCAGATGAATTCCTTTATTGTGTTTCTTAGAAAACCAAAATGTTGATAACATAATCTAGCAGCCAAGGATCATGTCTTAAAATTTATAAGAGATCATAAGTTTATCAAGTAACCGGAAGCATTCATACCGACCTTTAAATTTAAAGTATAATGTATTTTTGTTGACAAGTTAGAGTATAAATAAAAAATATATGTATGCATGTTAAAAAGCCAAATTTCTGAAATATTTCATAGATTTTGTTATCAAACTTTTTCAATTCTTATACGAAGAAATTTATATAGTATACATAAGTATATTTAAAATAAGTATAAAATTCAAAATGCAGACAGGCAACACCTATTTCAAGAGGTTGGTAAAGTTCAAACAGATTTTTTCAATCAAATTCCTTACTGAACTGCAAAGCTTTTCCATGGCATTAGTTTTATTCCCGTAAAGATCTACCAATCGGCCAGTTTTTTATATATGACATGCATATCGAAGCTACCACGAAATTCTTTTTGGGCGAAATGTGATCAGAGTTTGGTGATCGAACAGGCTTTGGTTTCAGCAATCGATGAGAATCTTCGTCCTTTGGACTACGAAGAAAGGCAGCGAGAGGCCCGCGAGATTCTTCTCAAGTCGCAGGAGAAAGTGTTTACAAAAATGAACCAAAGTCAAAGTTCAACGGATCAGGATCGTTTTACGGAAGATGATGAAGAAGATGATGCCAGAGAACCAGTGCGTCTCAAATCTGAGATTTTACTTAACGAATATCAAAAGCTTTACGAAGCCTCTTCTAACATATCATTCACGAGTATTTTACCGAAGGAGAAGATCAGTAAGCGATCATTTATACTTTATAAAAAATGACTTTACTTAACTTCATTTATTTTATTTTTGATAGAACAATATCTTTTGCTGTTATTGAGTCTCTTCGTTGTGGCATGTAGTGTCTTTTTTCTGATCCAGTGCGGCAACCACAATTATTTCCTATGACCGACCGATCACCGAGATATATTTAGTTGTGGCGAACGCGGCGAGCAAAACAAAACGGCAAATCGAGTAAATCATACAAAGACCGGAAAAATTGAGGAAATGCCGCTTATGTAAAGTAGAATATCCGCTGGCAGGCGAACGGAAGGCGAGGTGCGAAAACAATAAAAACCGGACGGAAGTGGACAGGGACGGAAACCGACGACGATTCCAACGATTCCGTCTATCGTTCGACGGTTTTCCGACCAATGCCGCATAATACCAATACCAATACCATTAACTCTGGCTACTGGTCTTCAATCTCAGGGCTCAGGGTCTTTTGCCAATTTGTCGAAATGATTTTTCCGCTTTTCCGGCGCCGTAATTGAATTTCTTTTCGGGGAGGAAATGACTAAACCAAAAAAATCCATTCATTCCGACTTCAAGTGGCTCAGGAAGCTCGATTGAAGGGGATGGGTTTTTAGATTGCACAATTGAAAATACTTCAGAACTCCAGGGCAATGTTATATTTATACCTGTGACTCGTGGAGTAAATGGGGTATTCTGTATTTGTTGAAAAGTATGTAACAGGTCGAAGAAAAACACTTCCAACCCCTTAAGATATATGTATGTAAACTTGTATATTAATGGTCATCACAAATCATAAAAATCTGAATACGCAGCGAATCATGTTTTTATTTTTCGCCACTCCCATTTGCAGCGTATACGCCTCTATATTCGGTACCCAAACCTTACCCAAAGCAGAGACCCAAACCAAGCAAAAACATTATCTAAATAACGGGTATCTGATAGTCGAGGCACTCAAATATAGCGTTCTCTCTCATTTTTAATTAGTTCATTGCCTGCACTGGCGCGATATTTCCCACGAAACTCCAAGTCTTCGTTGGGGTAAACAAATGAAGTGAATCAACAGAAAAAAAACGAACATGAAAAATATGGAAAGAGTTTCCAGAGCCACACACATTGTTGTTTGGCATGGCCACTTGTTGTTCGTTTCTTGTTTGTTTGTTCTGGTCCAAAAGAATATGCTAAACATGTTTGGGGCATCAGCATCAGGGAAATTTATGAACCCATAGCCTTATCGAACTAATGTATATGGAAAACCCATCATCAATACGACCCACGCAGGTGAGTCAGAAAAGTGGAGGCCATAAAGTATCCCAAAATCGAATAAGGCGACGTATTGAACACCATTAGGAGTTCCAGAAAACTAAAAACCTTTAAGAAAAGTCTCTAGATTATTTGGAGCTTCAGGTGGTCCACAGCGGTGCCGTTGAATTCTAAAAGGGTAATTACTAAATTTCAACTTTAGACTCTTGGATTCTCAGCAAAAGTATCATGTTGTGCCATTCCCTACCAGGGGGCCAAAAATTCTAAACGCTCACATTGGCGACTTCCGGCCACATTAGATGAAATACTTTTTCTCAGCGAATTCAAGAGCACTTGAAGCTCAGCGGTTTGGATTTCAGCGTTTTTTGTTTTTCGGGCTTTTTTTTCTTGAGTTCTTTCTCACTCCCACGCTCTTGGGAGCTGGAAAAGCTGTGTGTGAATTGTTTTTTAAGGGAAATGCCGAAAGACAAAAGTCTCAGGGCAGCCGAAGAAACTGTCATTGCCAGCAGAACCCACACAAAGAGTTACTTGGCTGGATGGGAGAATCTTGTGAATGGAGAGCACAGACCAGAAGACCAGGAAAAGCAGTTCATGGGAACGAACTTTGTGGCCTGGGGAAGTCAAGTGTGAAGAAAGGGAGGCCAGGGGGTGTGGTGTTCCAAGAGAAAGAGGGGGGGGGGGGATAAACGCCCCCCTCGTTGCAACAAGTGCAGTCATCTAATAGATTCGAGTGCCAGTCATGAATACGATAATTAATGCGATGCACCACCATTCATGATTCGCTTCTTGTACAAACGGCAATCAAGATGAAAACACCCTTTCTACACAGAAAAGAAAATTTCTTGTAATGTTTACTATTTTATATTAATCCATATAAGCTCGGAAAATTAAATAATTGAGTTTACAATAAATCAGAAGTTTGTTTGCTCTGTTTTAATATTCCAAATGTTTTAGGTTCCGTTTTGCCATTTAAATTATTTTAATTATTACAACTTTTTTATCTGTGGATAAATTCCTCTTCTTTTAAATTAAAAATGAACACTTTTTCTTTTTGTGTAGCCCACAAACTCGAACTTCCCGTTCTCGCCAACTCCGCCTGCACTTCCCATCCAATTGCTTGCTTATGCAAGGCAACGCGACTGTGTGGGCGTGTCATCACTTTCAATTTTGCGGCCAATTTGAGTGACACTTTCTGCCTGTTTGTCACGCCGCTTGCGTAGCCAAAGATTGTGGCACAAATGGACGCGTAAAGGGGGCGAGGGAGGCGAGGGGGGAGTGGCAGCCGCAGAAGGAGGAGGCTAGCAAGGAGGCCTAGAGAGGCAACTTTGTGTCTGCTCGTCGTCTGCCGCGCATCCGTTTCCTGTGCATAAATTTTAATGATCGAGCCAGATTTCCCCCTGCTCCTACGCCGCCCCAATCACAAGACGCTATCAATTGAAGATCGGAAAATAAAAGAAACAATCGCGCAGGAAAGGAAACCCTTTTTTTGTATTTGCTTCGTGTGTATGTCTCTTACCTTGACTTTCGCAAGCCGTGAACAAAGTCACGGCAATGTTGGCCATAAAAATGGCACAACCAGTTTTGGCCACGGGAGAAAACAAAAGAAAAGCCGAGGCATTGGCCAAATGGATGAGGCTTTTACTGGCTTTCCCAGCCATGAAATTTGCACAAAAAACACGCTAGTAGGAATTTAGGTAAGCAGACTGATCGACAGGTGGAATATCTTTTAAAAGAAGATTGGATTTAATTTTAGCTTCTAAGATTTTTTATACAAAAATATTTTTGTGTATTTGTTAAATGCCTTCAGCTTGTATTAAATCGTATAAGTATTTAAATAAATATGTATTAATTAAGATATGATAAATATCATGCTGTTTTTAAGTGAAATATGTAATATATTTTTTTGCTGATCAAAAGTCCTACTTGGTGAGTAGTTTTCATGGATTCCATCATACCCCAGGATGTCTAGGACCCCCAGTCTTCCCCCTCCCCTGCTCTCTTTCTCAGTGTTGGCCACACACCGCTGTTTCTTCAGCTGGCGATCGAAACTAGTTTTTCAGGTTCGGCGCATGGCTGATAACAACAATTGCAATGCGCCGAGCGACGGACGACGGAGGACGGACGACGGCGCATGCGCGCCAGTCTTGCATTCCTGCGATGGCTCTGGGTGCCCAGAACCCCCTCCTTTCCTTCGAGGCATTTGCGGAATTTTAATTGCGCAAAAACAGCGGCGAAGCCAACTGCAATTGCAACCGATGCGATGCGATGCGATGCGGAGCGATGGGCTGGAATGGAATGGTTGGGAATGACGTTGAATGATGGTTAGTTAGTTGGAGGTTGCTCGCAAGTGAGAACATATCGCGTGATGGTGATAGATATAATGGCCACGGAACTGAGTGGTCTTGGGAAGAAGATGGGGTTGGCAATCGAGAATTGAGAATGAGGATGGCACATTTACCAGCCACGCCTCGCACTGAAAAATCCCCCGGATTGCGATGGCAAACAGAAACCAACCGACCAGAGCAGAACGAAGTCTCTGTGGAGAACTGGAGGAATGGCTGGAGGAAAATCTTACACGCTGCTCGAATTATAAGTCGTCGACATTTTGCCTACCACCAGACGACGGGCAGAGTACACAGAAAAATGAGCCAGCATAAATAAACCATACCGTGCCATTACAAACCAAAGCCAAACCAAACGCAGCCAAAGCAAAGCGAAATAGAATAGACATTTGTATCTGTTGTTTTTCGTCTGCCTTGTGTCGCTGGTGTAATTGAAGTTGCAGAAAGCCAACCAAACGAACAACGGCCACAAAACCTAGACCAAAAAGAGCAAAAACAGAAACAGAAACAGAAACAGAATGAGATGAGGTCTGCGTCTCCACGGAGCCAGTGGAGCGCGAGGCATGGCGCATACGGAAGCCATAAGCTGCAACAGATTTCTCCTCTTCTTTGGCCCCGCTCGACTTTCGGCGCTTCGGCTGGCTGTTGAACCCGCAGCGCACCACTGGAGCATGATCCCCGCCCTCTGAAGATGGTATTCCTCCTCCTTTGTCTCGCTCGCCCCAATCCCCCCCAGTCAAATCACTTGCCCCAAAAGCCAACGCTCAAGGATGCCATCGAAAATCAATCGGTTAGCTGAGCAAAAGGAAGTGGAAAGATCGCCGAAAGGAAGAGATGCCCAGCACAAATCGCCGAAAATTACAGGAAGCAAAAGCACTTGCCGAAACGATCGAAAATCATTCAATTACGACAGCTGGCCCTGCATATAAATAATGGGCGTGTGCCCCCCAAAAACATAATTATGTAAGCACACCGGAGAAAACAAGATCACTTTTGAGATGATTTCCTATAAAACAAGATTATCTTATTTGTAAATTTGAAAGCTTAGCGATTTGTAAACTAATAACTATAAATAATATTTTCAATCAAATTCAAAACAAGTTGAATATAATAACATACATTTAAAGGAGTAATAAATAAATTAATAATTTTTGTTTTTGAAGTGCGATATTTAATTGGCAGAGGGGACCAAATAAGGTCAATGGCAGGTGCATGGATTTATTACAGGATGCGGGTGTACAATTCAAGGCAAATCGAATCAGGTCATATTCTCATATTCCCAAAGGCAATAAGTTTACTTATGCTTTCCGACTTACCAAATACAAATTTGAATTCAAAGAAGGCGCCAAAATCATAAGTCCTAGTACTTACCAACACTGAAAAAAACTTATCGATAACATTATTATGGTATATTACATTTGGTATCTGCCTAATATGCTCAATGGTATTTCAAAACAGACTAGCAACGGTTACACTTCCAAATTGCAAGCAAAAAAAATTATTAAAAAAAAGGATAATGCTGCGGATATAAACAAAGAAGCGACGAAAAAAACGTTTAACACAAGGTCGTGACACTTTTTAAGCAGGCAATGAGTTTCAATTTTTACGTGGAAGCACTCAATACAACGTTACAGTCGATTGCGCGACAAGTGGAGCAATTTGCTGGCGTTGCACTGAAAGCAGCCGTCGATTTGCGAGGAAATCTGGAATCTATAACCGGTGACTTTCGCTGGGAAAACGGACCAATTGCATTTACAGACTTGCAAGCCACTTTGCTGAAGGTCCTGCTTATTCTCCTCCTAGGAACTTGCGTTCTAGCCGGCTATTCGTGGTCAGTTTACGGCCAAGTCATCACGGAGAAGTTTGTCAGGCCAAGTACGAAATATTATGAAATTTGTGTAAACACGTTGATTTCTATAATACTAACATTATGTATTGCGTTTCAGGCACACTCAAGGAAATCGAGGAGCTTAAATTGTCGGTTGCCAAGTTAAAGTTGCCCAAGGAACACTCGCCGCGCATCTAGAAACCATGTCCAAGATCAAGAAGTTCTTTTCGCGGAAGAAGGAGGAGGCGGCGTTTAAAGTGAGTCATTTATAAAAAACGCCATTTCCAATTCATTTTTAACTTTGTATATTTGCAGCTTAAGCTAAAGGGCAGCTCGATGGGCACAGGCCATAAGTTGAATTCCCCCCAAGAGGCGCCTGTAGCCAGTAGCTCTCGCCAAAAGTACGAAGCCTACGTTCCTCCCAAAAGAAACGAGTTGAGTAACGAGGCCAGGCAAGCTGCTAATGCAGCACTGGCCCGTATTGATAAGAAACCCTCCAGGGAATTCAACACCTCGCTGTCAGCTGTGAAGGCTCAGGCCAAAAGAGAACTCGAGGCGGAACGTCGCCAGAAGGAGGAGGCAGAGGCCTCAGCCTCAACGGTCAGCACGGCAACCTCGGCCTCTGGCGGGGATAATCGCAACTTGGCCTGCGAGGGCGTCTTCTTCCGCTGTCCCCTAATCAGCGAAGAGATTCTACCAAAAAGCGTTTGGAAGGCCCGAATCAAGGAGTTTCTTTACCAGCAACTGGAGGGAGATCGCGGCCTAACCGCCTGTCTGATCATCCACAATTGCAATGTAAAGGAGAAGGCGGACGAGTGCATTGCCACCCTGATTCGGTACCTGGAGAACCTAATCAAAAATCCCGAGGAGGAGAAGTTCTGCAAGATACGCATGTCCAACAAGATCTTTAGTGAGAAAGTGCGATACGTCGAGGGTGCCTTGGATGTGTTGCATGCAGCTGGCTTCAGCGAGGTGAAGATCGATGATGAGCAGTTCCTGCTGTGGACGCGAGAGCAAACCGAACAGGATCTCGACTTGCCTACACTGGTGGATGCTCTCAAGAACTCGGAGATCATTCCTTTGGAGCTGGACCGAAATATAAAGGTTCTGCTGCCCTCACAGGCACGTCGGGTTGTGCTTCCCGACGAGTTCTATCGCCTGGCGCCGGAGGAGATCAAGAAGGAGCAGCAGCTGCGATCCGAGGCCATTGCCCAGTCCCAGATGCTGAGAACCAAGGCGATGCGGGAACGCGAGGAGCAGCGCAACTTGCGCATGTATCGATACGCTTTAGTCAGGGTTAAATTCCCCAATGGTCTCTTTATTCAGGTAAGGCAAAACGAGGTGATGTCATCTGTGGGAAGTTTGGGTAATAATTGTGATTCATTTCTAGGGCACTTTCAATGTGTATGAGAAAATAGCCGATGTGTTTGAGTTTGTGCAATCTTGCCTGGCAGATGAAAGCCTGGATTTCACCCTGGTGGCCACTAGCGAGGGTAAACTGGGCGAAGAAGACCTGGAAAAGACACTTTTTGACTGCAAGTGAGTTTTGTGTAATGTTTAAACCAGCTTTATATTATAATATCTCTCTTTTCAGACTCATTCCCAACTCCCTTTTGCTGTTTAGCGCAAATGGAGTGCCTGCTCCGGTACAAGCGGATCTTAACTACTTAAAAGAAGATCTTCTAATGCTGGTGCAGGCTATGTAGACTTGCTTTATTCCCATCTAATCAGCGGTACTTGTCCCTTACATTATAACGGAGCTGTTGTTATTTATTACTTTCAAATCTATTATTCAAAATCAATTATATATAAACGCACTTTTCAAAAAGGTAATTGTGTTTTAAACCATATTAGGGCCGCTGTTTGGTAAATTCCAATGGTTGCCACTGAAAGGAGTTATTTGGATATCTTTCTTTTACTTTCTTGTTTTTTAAACCACTGTGCAACCAACAGCTGTTTGGTATTTTTACCGCGGAATTACAGGTGGTATTTTGTTGATATCTTTAAACGGTCTCATTTCGACTAAAAAATAAACAACAAATTGCAGCGTTAGCATGTAAAAATAAGCAAAAACTTAATAAACTAAGAGCTTTAACTGTGAATTGTGAACATCGACTATAAGTGCGAATACCGAGGAACCCTTTGGTGCTACGAAAATGTGAGTCAGTACGGTTTAAAACCAAGAATCATATGTTTGGACAAACAATAACAAAGGGCGGCCAATTGGTTTCATTGCGCCACATTAACAAATGTTTAATGATTGCTTAGCCATCGGAATTCGGGGGTTGGAAAAGCAATAAATTATGTTACTAATAAGCGGGAACGAAGAGTCTCATCTGGTTATGACTTTTGCCACAGTCTTTAATGCGGTCATTTCATCGCGTGGTTTCCTGACACATTGCACATTGTAATTTCCCACTCCACGCGACTTTTCCTGGTCATTATCGAATTATTATTATTATTTCTGCTGCCGGCCATGTGGGTGCTATTTGTAAATGTTAAGAGTCTAATTAACCAGGCAGCTACAACGAATGGCTGTCATGTTTGAGGGCTCTACTTAAAACCGGTTGGAACTTATACACACTGATCTTAATTTATGCGAAAATTATAACTCAGATCGATTGGTTATATTCTTCTATCCTCATAAAAACAGTTATGGGATAATAATTAAACTTTGTAATTATTAAAATAGCAATATAGTAAACCTGATTTATAGCTCCTCAATTTAGATTTCAGCTCATTTCGTGGGAACTTAAAACTAGAACAGGCAGTTTAGTCTCTTTTCGGGACTTCTCGATTCCCCTAAACAAACAGTTGCATTTAATGAACCAATTTTGCAGTTGGCCCGTACTGTCTATCAAAGCGGCATCAGAGAAACGGTAAAAATAAAAGTCGGAGGAGGAAAAAAGAGATTAAGGTGATGGAGGAGAGGAGCAGCTTCGAATACTTCGCCCAACCTCTAGGCACTGGCAATTTGGCGTAAATCTCGCTTGATCTTGGGAAAAAGTAAATAGAAAAGCAGCCAAAATCAAACATTAATGAATCTTTTCGGCGCGGCTGCAAGCTCAGGGCTTAAATTAAACCCAGCAATCGCGCCAAATCGAAACACGCAGCCACGAGAAGGGAGCTGAAAGGAGCAGAAAGGCAGCGAGGCTAAATAAAATGCAGACAGAAAGCCAGACTGCCAGCCATCGCATAAATTGGCCTGGGCCGGAGCCAAAGATTTCATTGTTGGCCATTGCTTATTATGGCCAGGCATCGGATCTAGGCCTTCATTAAACGGCCGAAAGCAGTAACTTCAGCTGCACCGTGAAAAACTGTCATCAAAATTGGTCAATTATTCGATATTATGTATTTCGAATCGCAGGAGAGTTTTATTGGTTTCATAGATAATTTATAAAATATATATCTTTAAACAAACATGTACTGGATATGGACTAAATGGCGTAAAATAGATAAAAGATATACATATAATATATTTTAAGTTAATATTTTTTGTTTCACTTGAAGTGCTAGCATATTTTCTGGTCCATATCTTATAATTATATCTAACATTCCGACTTACATTTTATCCTTTGCTACTCAACCTACTATAATAAATTATTACGAATTAGTACATATTCATCTGTTATTTGGCAAACAAATATTTCTTTTTGTGTACAATAGAGCCTTAATCCAAGTTTGGTCCGCGAAGCTAGTGCGTGAGATATGCATTATTTATCTAGCGAAATTTTTCTCATTGCTGCAGCAACTTGTTGCAGGCAGACTTCCTGGTTTGTCCAGCTGCAGAGCCACGATAGCCGGTGAAATTCCGAAAATGATACGAATAGTTTGACTCGGTCGGCAGATAGCGAGAAATATGTGGGACATCCTGAGGATCGTTGTTTTACTTGTGGGGGATTTCGGTTTACGGGTGAGCTGGGTTATGGGTTACCCATTGCTGGTTGCAGGTTGCCCGTTGCAACCTGCACGTGCCTCGCCTCGCTGGACCGCCTTGATTGAACGATTGAAAGATCATCACCCGGAGAGCGAAAGAGAAAGAGGGATCTGCCAAGAGGATAATGATGATGATGAGGTGCAAATTGCCGCTGCCATGAAATTGCAAATCAACTTTCTGACTCCCGATTGCACTTCATTCTAAATTGTTTGCTCAACAGCAGCAGCCACTCAGCTCAGCTCAGCCAGAATCCTCTGGCGTTAGCACAAACAAAAAAAAAAAAAAAAAATTGCAAATCGAATTTGCCAATTGCCGGGATGCCTCGCTACGCTCCATTCTCCGGCTGATTTGTTTTTGTGGTTGCCACGAACCAAACCGCACAGAAGAGCAGCAATTGCGAACCCGCCCTTTAACAAGCGTTTAGCTTGCACCTCGATTCTCGTGACCCATTCCCATACCGAAAAATCCCAATATCCAAGTATCCAGTACCCAGAACTCCTCCAATATAGCGGTGAAGTTTATGACCCGGCTCGAAATTAAAGTGGAAATCGGTTAGCATTGGGTGCGCTTCTTCGATTTGTTTTCTCTTTTATCGCTCCACGCAAGCGCCCTGCATTTACATATTTCAGCCTGCATTTGACCCCTGAACTTTGAGCCGGCCAACTGGCATTCCGAACGGACGAAGGGGCAGCTGTGTCCGGATTAGCTCACTCCTGGCGGAAATACTTCCCCTGTGACGGGCAAAGCAAACAAATAACAATAATTAAGGCTTTTGCTTTAATTAACACTCTTGATCTTGGGTGACAGCATAGGAACACAAGAAAGTTTCTTATACTCTAGGAAACCGGAAATGGGAATACTCTATATGTTCAATTCCAAATTATTTCATTTTAAGAAACATTTTTGAAAGCATGAATACCAAATAAAAGGTGCAAACAGCGTTTATACAACTTAAGCTAAATGTAGTAATAACTGAATAAAAGATTAACTATTTTCTGGACATAATAAAAATAAAATTCCAAGTTGTTTACTATTATACGACCGATATGCTCCACTTTACCCTTTCCAGAAACCTATCACAATTTGCAATCAAATAAGAACTTCCGGTCCGCCCGGCGAGTGTTTTATGAATGAAAATCTTGTCTTATTGTCTCATCGAGCTCCTCATCAGCGTTTCTCAGTGGACGATGTCCATCGCCAGCGATCGACACGCTCATTGCCAATTAGTGCAATCAATTGCGTGGATAGTGGACGGGATCCAATGGAGCGGGATGCCGCGAGGGCTGGGTGCTCCATTGGGTTGTGTTTGGCCAGACCTCGACATAGACAATTGCCAGGGAAATCTTACAGAGTTCACAACTTGATAAGATTAATTGACTGGCTCTCCCTTCTTTTAGGGCAGTTCAAAGAAAACTCAAAAGAAGGGAACACAGTGCGTGCTATTTAAAAACAAGAAAAAATTGTAAAAACTGAAGAGGATTAACACAAATATTTTTAAAAAATTTTAAGCCCCTTAGTTTTTTTGTAAAAGTAATTTTAAAAGATATTTACTGTATTTCATTTGTTGATTTTAGGAATTTAATAACGTTAAACAATTCATTAAATTTTATTACATAACCTGAAAATAAATTATGGATTAACGGAGTATCGTAAAATGCAGGATTACAGCTGTCAAAAAAACTCCAAAGAAAGAATTGCCATCTAACTCGTTGCATAAAACTTGTTAAAATGGTTGAATACTAAAATTAAATGTGATTAAACAACATAATTAAAATGCCCAGATATTGCAAAACCCGAATGTGAGTTTAATCAACTATCGGGACCAGCTTGTTCAATTTATATCGTAACCCCAGTGATAAATTCCCCCCTCACCCCTCTCCCCGAAACCTCTTGATCTAACAACTTGCAGTCAATTTCAAATACATTTGCAATTTGTCAAATTTTGGTAGCCAGTGCCAAGATAAATTAATTTCGGCATCGATTTGATCGCTTGTCTCTGGTCATTTTGCATGGCTGTGGGCTTTGGGACTCGGAAGGGGGTTTCGGGGGGACAAAGGGGTGAGGGGGTAGGTGGCTTAGACCATGTTAGCCACAAGCCAACATGGCTTGGCTCATTGTAAATGTGCTTTAATGACCACCGGTCAGCAAATCTCATTTTTTGTCGACGGACCGCATGCTGTTTCACACACACACTCGAAGAAAGAGAAGAAGCAGGGGGGATGCGGAGGGGGTGCGAAAGAGAGGGCGGGATTTAGTGGCCTGGCATAAGATTTCTGGTACCTGTAAAAAAACACTCCCCCTCCGTATGCCCCTGTCTGCAATAAAAATAATGACCACTGTCCACATGGTGCAAAATTAGACATATTTTCTTCTTACTTCGGGTGTTATCCGCCCGCCTCCCATCTCCTTGATTTTCCCCCACATCTTCTTCTTCTTCTTCTGCTTGGCTCACCTTTTGCATTTTCAACACCAAAAAGTTTTACATTCGGATTTTCCGCAACTGCCGAGAAAAATGACATTACAAATTGTGGGACATTTGTCTAATTAAATCCCTGCCTGCTCCAATAACGAGAGCTTAGATTACAATCTCACAGCGGTGCGTAATGGCTTTTGGCCAACTTCGGTATAAGGTGGCTATTTGAGGGAGAAGGGGTTAGTTGAAAAGGTTGCATTTTGGGGTAAAAGTTGGGGAAATCGTGTTGGGTATTGGAGGAAATTCGAGTGATGGAGAGCTGCACTTTGTGCTCCAATTTCAGGTCAGATTAAGTATTTATATTTAGTATTCGTATTTTGATAGTTTATTAAAGTAAATCTTTTCAATGTTAAGGGATATTTGAGATTTTGCCAACTTAACCAAGCTTTCCTATCTTATCATTGGAAATCGTTATTGTTGTTCAACTTTTTTATCTGAAAAAAACTAGTTTGGGAGAACGATAAACTCTTACAGATTATTTTTAATATTGAAGTTGTGTTTTTATAAAAAAAAAAGGTCCCCCACTCCAAGATCTTTTAAGCTTCAATGGACAGCTGTCACGCCCAAATTAGATCAATTTCTCGGAAGGGTTTCATGCTCATAATTCATAGTTCTATATCAAAAGAACCTTTGTATTTTACTTTTATTAAATTGAGGCAGAGATAGGGGCCAACCCAACTGCAATTATTGTACATAAAGCGCTGACCACTGACCAATTAGAAGAGCAAAAGAAGTGCAACCCCAAGCGAACGAGTGACCGCAAACCGAATCGAGTGACAGTGGACCGGCATCAGATGAAATTAAGCCAAAACAAGTGACTATCACTCAGCACTCAAATTCTATCCAACTCACTCAATGACCGACTGATAAGAACACGTGTTGCTCCATCCGCCGTCCCGCTCGCACCACCCCAACAGAGAAAGAGCGAGGCTCCAACGGGCATAGAGAGAGAGGCTCCGGAGAGCGAGAGAGCCCGACTCGACGAGGGGTCCAATTAGATTGCCGGCAGCAAGCATGCGCTCCCTTTCTGCCCAACGCAGAAACTGTTCCAAAGGCTTTGGCGCTGGCGCTGCTCTTTTATTCTCGCCGAGTGCCTTTTGAGCCTTCCATTCGACTTGGACTCTCGGCTCAGTTGCTTTTCAGTCCCATTCCGGTTTGCGTCTCGTCGTCTCGCGGAATCTTAAGCGCAATCGGTGTTTTAGCCCAGAAAATTCCCACAAAATTTATAACAATATAAAACACAAGATAAAAATTAAGAAAACAGGAAATGCCGACGGTTCAGTGCAAATAATGAAATATAACTTTCCTTAAGAAGTACCATTTGTTTAACTAAAGATCCTAAAGAAAAACCATCTAGTGCAGTGTGAGATTTCAAATAAAGGAAAGTTGAAAAACAATGTGTTAGTAAACTTTACAAAACTTTGGAACAAACAGTTTTTGAAAGAACCGTTTTAACGACTAAAAAAATAATAAAACCGTATTAAAGCAGTGGAAAGTGTCAAATCATTGTAAGTTCTAGTAATTAGTATTTATACAAACAAATATTTCATAAATAAATTACTTGGGGAAGGCTATACAACTTATAAATAAATGTTTATTACCATTATTCAGTAATATGGAAATATGCTTAGAAATTTCATCGAAAGTAAGTTGAATCTTGGCGGCCATAATGCCCAATTTTCAGCCTAGAAACTCTCAAAAAAAACCTTATCTCGCATCGAACTGCTCAGAGATTTATTTATGAAATCACTGGCAGAGGATGAGCTGAGAAGAGCTGATAAGCCAGCGACGCTGATTATTCAGAAATATGTATCAGAGATATATATGCGAGAATATTGTGTGCCGCTTCATTCAGCGAGGGAGGGATCTTAGCCGCCTTATCTTCGATTTTCCCGCCGGGTTTTCCCCGGCTATCGATCACTTTTCCCCTCGAAATTAATAACTTTTGTGAGAACAACTGGCAGCGAGCAAGCGCACAGCGGAATCATGTTCGAGTGATTAAATTAATTAATGATATAGACACACTGCGCAATAGTGTCCACGCCAGCGGAAAAGGAGGAGATCTTCCTCAACGATCTGCAGATCTGTGGACTGGCGATCCTGCAGCGAGAAACGCCGCATGATGCGGATCGCCGGGCCAAAAAATCTGTTGGACAGCACCAGAGAGGCAAGACTCTTGGCCACTTGATGGTAGATGCCGTCTGGAGCTGCAGAGGCGAGCAGATCGTTGTCTTAACTTGTCGTACACGATGTCTTATACGTGTAGCAACAATTTATTTCGCCGGCCATTGGATCGATCGCCGGTGCAATCGATGATCATGGTCTTTCGGAAGAGGAGTCTGCAGCTCCTCTATCCCTGGCGATCAATCAAGCCCGGCTGGATGATCAATATTAGCCGGTCTAAAAATAATTGTACTCTGGCTATCTTCATCGATGGGAGAGAAAAAAAAGCGATGAACAACTACCTAAATGGGTTCGATTAATTCAAAACTTATGGCTAGCTGCAAGGCGGTTTTTTGTATTAAAATGTAATATAGCTTAAAAAAAAAGATTATTCCGAGTTTGCGTATTTCTTTTACCCTTCTAAATGTATTTTTAGTTTATAAAGAAGTAATTTCTAGAAACGAAAGTAATCTTTGCTCATTCTAAATATACGTTTTTGGAATGTGCTGATTATTTCTATTCCCCAGCTCTTAATACTCAAATATGTTGCCATAATATAAACTTTATGGTGATTATTTATATTAGGTGGCAGCATATAAAATAAATATTTCAATTTTGTGATTATAAGCACATTCACTTGGTTTGTTTATAATATAAATATATAGTAACCTAAAATATTGATAATTCCCCGACTGGATTCCAATACATATAGACAAGATGAGTCAGATCGACTCAGTCCACTTCTGTTAGTTGTCGGAACATCTAATTTGGCTTGCCTTTTAGGTTTGTTAGGCCTTTACGACTTGTGTAATGAGTTTTTCTCTCGAAGATCTTTTATGGCGTCCGCCAGACTCCAAGATATATAGATGTGCCAACACCACTAACGCCACAAACTCTCTCTATGTAAAAATTTTATGTTCACAAAAAAGTTGCCATTAAAAATTGGAGTAACTGTTTTTCCAACTAATATCTGTGTCCAAAGCGCTAATTGAAGGCGACTTCACAACTTCATAGGGGAGACTCTTCCAGCAGCCGCAGCTCCCAAAAAGTCGGAGTCTGTGTCAGGGGTCAAAGTTCTTTCAGTTTGTGTGTGATTTTCACGAGATGGGGGCCCAAAAAGCGGTCGACTCGAGTGAACTGGACTGACTGACCGACGACAAGTGCCTGTACACCTCTTTCGAGTAAGCTGTCAAAAGACAGGCAGTCAGCTCGGCCAGAGCTTGTTTACAGCCTCCGATGCTGAATTAATTAAACTAACTCTCCAGCCGCACAATAACCCCCTGGCAGCCAGGTGAGTGCAGCTCAATTTGTACTTTTCGAAATTGGTCAGTGTAACCGGAGGACAATGACTTGGGCCCCTTTGACTGCCTTCGAGTCGCCTCTCTTGGCCCCAAACTGCTCCGCCGGTCACTCGTCAGAGGTCCTTACAAGAAAAGGACATAATTGCTGCAATAGATTCTCGACAGAAGTTGAAAGGTTGCATCAGCAAGGGATGTCTTCTCCGAGAAGAAAACGGGGATGAAATATGCACAACGAGAAACAGGAATCCTTTTTGGATAGAAAAATCTTAAGTGAAAAACTTTTAATTTAGAATAACAGGAGGGATATTTAAAATTGTTACTGAATGGAATATCAAAATTTGATATAGATTTAAATATGTATTACTGTTGATACAACATTTGGATGTCGTTTTTCCACAAATTCAAAAATATCTGTAAATGTTTGATGTTTTAAAACATCATGATAATGATAACTAATTAAAATATTTTTCATTAAAAAAACAACAATTTTAGTACCACTTTTTTCATTTGTAAGGATGAAATCTTTCCTACCGAAAATGCAATTTCTACTAATCTACTTCGAGTTCTGGCCATCTAATTTGGCCAACATTTTAATTTCCTCCTTCGTTTGAGTCAGGGGTCAGGGATTTGCCAAAGCTTCGGCAACAACATCACCCACCACCTCATTCATTTTTGTGTGCGATGGTCTATTGATTGGAATATTCATTGAATAGTTTTTAAGCTGATTTATATGCTATTGTGTGTGTGCTGTCGATTTAATAAATATTTAATTTCAACTCCGGGTCCGTCTGCTGATGGCTCCTAAATCCACACATAAAAGATTCAATCAGCGAAAGGAGCAAGGAGCAAGGAGGAGCCTCGGCTGAGGATTGGGGGCCAAAGAGCCGACGATGATGATGTTGTTATTGCTCGGCAGGCACACTGCCTGCATTCAGGTATTAATAATGCCGGCCAGCGAATAATCCCCAGAGCTCCCGAGACATCGTAATTTGCAAAATGCACAATCGCTTCCTATAAATCAAGTTGGTCAGCAGCAGCGTCAAAGGAAATCTATTCAGATCGCAGCGCGGAGGCAAAGAAATATACTCCTATATATATTTCACCTGGCCGAATCATAAAAGTTCACTCCGAAAAGGCTTTCAAAAACGAAGCCAAGCCGACGTCAACTGCTATCAATCTCTGGTGAAATGGAGCTGCGTCCGCCGGCCATTAGATGCTCCCTGGTACATCCCAGCTCCCACTGCTCCACTCCGCTTTGGATTCCACCCATCCACTGCCGTACCATACCATACCATAGCATCCATACAATCCCAGCCAGCTTCGCAGGCCAAGTTGCTCCGCTCAAAGGAAAGCGCCCGTCGCAATAGATCGCACATTGCAGATAGAGGCGTGCCTGCCACTCCACTCCACAAAATTGAGCAGCGACAGATCTCGTGCCGAAATCAATATACCCTGGAAAAGAAAACCAGGAGTAAAACGTTTCGGAAATGCCGATAAAGATGAGCGAAAATGCTAAGGTGTTAGAGATAAGAGTTGTCAAAGTATTCACATTTTAGGAATAGTAAATTGAATAAAAGTATGTCAGTCTGTCAACATAATAAAAAATAATTGGTAGTAATGATAAGTATTCTTATAGTTAGAAAATATTACTTTAAAAAATATCACAGACCAAAACAGAAGTTCTTTTAATAAAAAATGTAGTTAGTAAATCTTTGGTTTAGTGTTTTAAAGAGTAGCCATTGTTTAACAAAATCATAAAATAATTCATTCTTAATAAAAACTGTGATCAGAAAATTAATATCAATTAAAAGTGTAATTCCTCAATCTCAATCCTCTGATCATACCCCCCTTATTAAAGGGTATACAAAAGGCAAAGCCAAACAATGAGCTGCAATTTCTGGCCACAAAGGATGAACGCAGCGCGTACGCCGAGCAGAGAAAATAAAATAAATGAAAACCAAAAAAAAAAATTAATAAAAAGAAGTAAAGAAAGGAGAGGAGTTGGGGACAAGAGAAGCGGAGAAGAGAGAGAAGAGAGAGTAGAGGAGAGAGGAGAGAGTAGAGGAGAGGAGCTGGCGAGATGGAGCTGAGGAGCTGCAAGAGTCGCACATTCGCGAGCGCCTTCAGCAGTTGTTATAAATTATAGTGCCGCATGCGGAATGAATGCCCAAGATCAAACCGGTGGTACGAACTACGTACACACACACACACACACACACTATATAGTATCCACTGTACATCCAAACCAAAAGGGGGAGGACCGATTGGGCGGTTGGTTGGGCGGCTATAAAAACAAACCTCCGCCCCCGCACGTATTCGCTTTATGGTTGTTGTTGTTGCTGCTGCTTTTGTTATTGTTGTTGTTGTTGTTGTTGTTGTTGTTGTTGTGCTCGACGGATGCTGTTGCCTGTTGCTGCAAAATATTTAGCAGTGTACCGCTATGAAATTTGGTATTCCAAGACGGAAACTACAAGCCGCCTTAGTGGCGAACAGCACTGAGAAAAAAATATGGATTTAGAGATCATTTTTGGGTTGATTTGAGATCCTTTAAGATCCTTTTAACCTATTTTTCCATTTGTTACATACTTTTATTTAATGGTAAACCACTTTATTCTGTAGTACAATAATGTACTATTAACAAACTAAACATTTTAAAAAACAATTAAACAGTTTGTAGTATTATAATTTTTCAAAGTAAACAACTCACCATTTTTAAACAATTAAACTTTTTGTAGTACTATTATTTTTCAAAGTAATCAGTACATCTATGAAAAAGTTAATTGAAAAAGGTACTTTTGTGTATGTCTCTTTAACGATCGACTTGAAGATCAAAGGAACATTTTGTTTCAGTGCACTTGAGCGGTTGTGCAGCAGTTGGACTGCCATTACCATTACCACGTTGTTGGCATGTTGTAAATGCCAGCCGACTGCTGTGGATTTTTGTCGTTTCTTACTGCCTCAACTGCTGCTGCTGCTGCAGTTGTTTTCGGATATATGTCGGTGTGTGTTTTGGCCATAAAAACAGAAATGAGCCCACGGAAAACATGTCCAATTGCGCTAGCAAATATTCTACGCTGGCGGCGCATCAGACAAGAAAACAAACGCAAATGCAATGGCCAATCCTTGATCGGAATTCGCAGACATTTTTGAAATATCTCCGAGGTACTTAGGCGCGAAAACATTTTTAATGAGTTTTTGGGGGAAAAAAGAAAAAAGAAAGCAGTTTAAAATGGCAAAAATTAAAACCTATCAGTAGTTGAATAATTTTGGAATTTAATGTTGATATCCTGAATTTATTAAAAGCCAATTGAACCAATATTAAATGAATGAGCTATAGAATAGGTTTTTAAGTAAATAACTAAGTAAATAGAAACTCAAATCAAATTTTAAATTATTAACCAGTTACTGGGAAAGAGCGATTTCCTTAAATCATCTCAAATTCCTTGTCAGATTCTCAACAGCTTAATAACAGACTACACATCAAAAGTCCAGCAATTTTCCGCGAAATTCGCAGTACATTTTCGCAGTACGTAAAGCGCAGTCCATAAAAGTCAAACGAGTTTAACTTAGTTAGTGTAAGTCAGACTTTGGTTTCAGCTAATGCAAACCGACGGCGGGTTTGACGAGTGCAACTGCGGAGGAGAGGACAAACAAAGTGCCGCGGTTGTCAAGCAACCCCAGCAACAATATCACCAGCAAAAAAAAAAAAAAACAACAACAAAACTAAATACGAAAAACGAGGAGAAAAAAATACTTTGAAAAACTGAAAGAAAACGACTGCGTTTGGGACTGTGTGCTATGCTAATTACTGGACATGACGGCAGCGCAACGCTTTCGGAATCGGCGGACCCCATCCCCAACCATATCCCCGACCATATCCACATCCACATCCAAATCCACAGCCACAACCATGTGAACAAAAGGCGCAAACGTTTACGCACACTCGGCAACTCAGTCGCATTTGCATTTGCATAAGCAGCCATAAAAACAAAATAAGGAAACCAAGAAAAAAACTAAAAAAAAAAACAACCAGCTGGCTGAGGAGGCATTCGCTAAATAAAAAAAAAAAAAAAAGAGGAAAATCAGAGACAGCGGCAACTTAGCAGATACTACACGACAGCAACAACAGCAACAAAAACAGCAGACGATCCGAACTTAGTAATGGGACAGGCGACTCAGTGAGAACTCGCCTTTCTTGGGCCTAACTGCTGTGTGAAAATGGATTTCCTTTTCGGCCGACTCTGGGAAATTGTGCAATGCAAACGCCACTAAAAAGGTGATTTATCCTGGGAGCCTTAATAAAGCAATAAATAGAGTGCTTATCCAATAATATAGATACCTTATGATTTATAACATGAAGGAAAGCTGCATAAACAAACGCTTAAAAGTCAAATATAATATATTGAACACCTTGAAATACTTTTTAATTGCGCTAAAAAAATACTACAAATTAAAATTTGTGTTAAGATCAGAAGGTTGCCAATAAATTGGTAATTTATTTCAAGAGATTGTATTTCTATTCCCCATTGACAACTTTCGATGGCTGACACTCCCTTTTGGGATTCACAATCAAAAATTTGAGTGATCGACAGCCAAGAGCTCCAAGTCACAGCTTACTTCCAGATATTCGACTGCACTTCCAATTGAAAGAGGCGATGACAGTACGTGTATAATGAACCTATCATCATTAATCATTATCTGGATGAAGTAGAATTACAGAATTGAATTGCTGATTTGAGCACATTGAGCCACGGGGAGCACGACGATCGGTTTGGATTCTAATTAGAGCCATTCAGGAAATCGCAGACTTGAGACTTTGGATTTTCAGTTTTCAAAACCCAAACGTGTATTGGCATCTTCCACATTAACGAGACGAAGTCACTGGTCTAGACCCCAAAAAACCGACACGAAAAACATGGCCAGAAATGTCAACTTCAATTCAGTCTGTTCCTCTAGTTGTTGTTTTTGTTGTTGTTGTTGTTTCTTTTGGCGGATTTTGGCATCCCGAAAAGTTGTAACCGCCAAAAAGGAACACGAAGCTGGGCTTCCACTCAATGTAAACTTTCGTTTTCCTTCTTTTTTTTTTTAAAGGTTTTCATTATTTTTGCTGTATTTTTTGCTCTTTGCGGTTTCAATGGTGACCATTTCTTAGGGGGAGGCTGGGAAGGTAGCCCGCCTCACGATATTTGCGTGCCAAAGCGAAATTGTGTGGAAGTCAATTGGCAGTCACGTTCGGCCAAAGCCATTGGACCTGGTCTCTTGGGCCAGGGCCAAAACAATCCGCTGCAGCTGGGCCAAATTAAATTGTCAGTGCGGCATTAAATGGAAATGAGCTTACTGCACAGACTGCAACTCCTTCGTCTGCTGTGTATATAGAGTTATCTTTCGATTAACAAACGATTGAAATTAATTTAACAATATTTCCGCATGCTGGCGCTGGCCATGAAATGTGTGGAAAACAATGACAACTGCAACAGCAGCAAGCAGCAACAATTGCTGTGGCATTTGCAACTGCAGCAGCAGCAGCAGCAGCAACAAAAGGAAAATCACGAACCCGGAAAAAGGCCTTCCAGTGGAGCCTTAGATCTTGGCCAGATCCAAGACAGTTCTCCATTTTCCCCTCCTCCCCTCGACTTTTGGTCACATGTTGCTGGTGGCTTGCAATTTCTTCATTTTGGCCGGAATTTAAGCCAGCAAACCGGTTGCCGTCTGGCAGCCTCGGATTTTGGCTGAAATTTGTTCGCGCTTGTTGACAATTGTGTCGTGTTCGCAAAAAAAGGGCTGCCCGAGAAGAATTCCAAGTGGTCCGCCATCCGCCAGTTGGACAGATGATGCACACGGCTATGGAGGAGGAGGAGGAGGCTGGGTGTAAATTACCTCGCCATAAACAGAACCAAGTCGAAAAGTAGCAGTTGTAGCTGTTGCTGCTGTCAGTTGTATTGCAGTTGCAGTTGCTGTTGCTGCTGCTGCCGCTCGTCAAAATTGCAATCAATCATGTGGCCGCCGCCAAGAATGCCCGGCCAGTAGACAAATGGAACCTGTTTCCTTCTCGCCGAGGCTATCAGTGTTAAATCTACAAGATCATTTTGCCCGCTCCGGCCACAAACCCATAATTTGTGATTGTTATAAGCCAGAACAGAGAACACAGAGAACCGTAACGAGTTCTCCGGACCAGTCGTCGTAATAGACTCGTCGCCGGCCTAATGAATTGAATCGCTGAATGATGGCCTTGTTGGCTGCGTTTCTAGCCATCGATCACGCCGGGATTGAGGACTCCTCCTCCTTAGCTGGCTGCCCTCGCTCTTTCCTGGGATTCTGGTTTTCTGGTTCCTCTGCAGCCCTATCAAGCGGAGGGAATCTCTTCATTCTTCTTGGTTTTAAGTTCGGCCAACAGGCACGAAGTGACTGGCAAGACCGCCCGCTCGGCCAGAGTCAACAGAACTTTTGGGCCTTTGATTAGGAATCAGTTTGGGGGAAACTCGGTCATCCTGCCTCACCTACATAGATCGCCTTCCTTTTCCTGCCTTATTCCATTGCCTCGTTCTGGTTCTACTGCACTCTAAAAAATTAGTATAGTACTCTAGAAAATGTAAATGATTACTCTATAAAATATTCCTAAAATTCCTTGCGAATTATTTAAATTGAGATCCAATTTATTTTATGGCGGAATATTGGATTACATTTGAGTGACTTAACCCACATTGATTGATAATTTTCTTGTTAATATAATGTTCTTTATTTATGATCTGAAGTACTGAAATGCAATTGAGTAATTAATCTTGATTTTGCATTTAATTTGTAAGCTCTTAATGAATAGTTTTCTCTCACTGTGGCCATCCATCCTTTGGCTTCGAGAGTGGAGCGCGCCTATCGCCAACTGTCATCATTTTCAAATTATTTCTCGTTGAATATCTAATCAAGATTCATGCATGATCGCGGCTAAATTGCTTCCAGGCAAGACCGAAGACCGAGCCGGCATAACAATTGCCATCCTAGCCGGGTTCCTTTTGGCCATCCAGCATCCAGCTCGGTCTGGAGCTCTTCACGGTTCGCTGTTTGATTTTTCCACAACGTTTTCCATTGTTTTCCGCTCCGAGTGAAGTTAATAGTGTTGTTCCTGACTGGAATTCTTTCGGGCTTTGTTTGCATTTTTGTTCAATTTTTTTCCCCCCCCTTTTTTTTGGACAGGCAAACAACGAATTTTGCATCGGGAATTAGCCCCGACAATTGTTTTTATTTCTTTTTTGAGAGACATGTAATCATTTATGTTTATGAGACTCTTACGATGTTGTTATACTGCTCGTATATGCACTTATTCTTGAACTTTGGCCCCTCTTTATTTCACTTAATTGAAACTAGACAGCATCCGTAGGTGAGTAATTCAATTACCCAGCTCGACTCGAGTTGCAATTGCACTCGGAAAACAAAAACAGGGTGCTGCCATTGGGCCATATTTAATTCTATTAAATTTGTTGTTCATTTGGATGGTTAATTCGCAGCGACCGCCACTTAATGGTTATTAACTTTCGTGTGACATCTGTGACTTGGGGTGTTTGCCTCAATTGCCTGGGTATCGTCACTTCGTAAATTGATGACCCCACCCAGGGGCCTTCTAATTGTTTTATTAGATTTTCTGAGAGCCACGAGTCGTACCCCCTTGCGACCACGCCCCTGCGAACCAATTTCAGGGTGTCCATTGTTGGTTAACTCTTGAGAAGGGGGAATCGAATCAGCCGCGGGCCCTCAACTCTTGACATTTTTATTTGCACTTTTCGCTCGAGCGCTGGCCAAATTTACGACTCTGCCCAGGGGAGGGATCGAGGTGTAAACATATATTTCCCAACTCCGTCGGCATGAAATTATTATCAAACATGCAAATCTCCGCCGGTCGGCGGGCATCGTAAATTGATTTTTTATGCCTTCGCTGCTTCTGTTGAAGTTGAAGTTGAGCTTGCAGTTGGGGAGCTTCGAGATGTTGTGGCATCTCACATCCAGTGGATTCTAAGTCATTTCGATTTCTCTGTACCTCTTTCAGAGTTGCCTGCTACTTGTCTTGACCGAGACAAACACCGAGTAACTCGAAGCGAACTCCTCGAAGGAGGAAACCCCGCAGGAAGGAAGGAAGGACACACAGCAGACAGCCAGAATGGTGCTCGTGCTGAACGGAGTGCTGCAGGATGACTGCCCCATGGACACCAACAGCCTGTTCCTGCAGCATCCCGTTTACAGAGACTACGCCCAGCAGCTGCACTCCATTCCGGCCAAGTCGGTGGGTCCGGTGGGCCTGCTCTTCGTCGGCCAGCGGGAACTGGCCGCCTCCGCTCCGCACGACAAGAATGTGAACATCATCGGAGCGGACGATGCCACCACCTGTATTATCGTCGTCGTTCGCCACTCGGGTAGGATGATTTTGCACCCATAAACTAGCCTCTTGTGGCTCATTAACCCTGGTTGCTCATTAATATTATTATTGTGCCACAGGATCGGGAGCCGTGGCTCTGGCCCACTTCGACGGCAGCGGCGTGGACGAGGCTGTGTGCACCATGGTCTCGCGGGTCCAGGAACTGGCCGTCGGCTATCCGGAGGGCCGCATCGAGTTGCAGTTGATTGGTGGCTATCGGGATGCCAAGGGCTACGGCGAGGACGTCTTCTTCAGCATCATGCGTAAGTGGAAAAAACACATACAATTTATATTTAGTAAAGAAAACAAGAACTCCATCCAACAATGGATCCATTTTTGTAACAATCGAAACTGGATTATTATGTTGGATTATATAACCTTTTATGTTGATTTATTCTTAACCATAAAAAACTAGTAATTGGAGAAACGCTTGCACTCTTATTTCGCTTTACAGAATCATTCCACAATCACCTACTTGAGATTGATCTGACGCAGGCGTGCGTTGGAGAGCTGAACACCATGATGCGCGGCGAGATCAGCTGCCCCATTATCTACGGGGTGGGCGTGAACATCAAGACTGGGGAGATCTTTCCGGCAACCTTTCCGGACCGAGGACCCGACCGGGAGCTACGCGATGCTCGCATTTTCATGGGAGCGCAGTCGGTAAGTAAGAGTTGACTTCACAATTATTCCATTGCTAATGGTTTTGGTCATATCTTTAGGTTCTGGATGTATATGATTCTTCGCTGGGAATGCTTCGCATTGGACCCTTCAACTACGATCCGTTGCGCGGGGCAGATCTCTGGCTTTCCCAGACGGATGAGTTTCTGCTGCAGCACCTGTCCTCCAGTCCCGACGTGGAGCCGCCTCACTTTGCACCCCAGGTGTGTTGGAATAATATTAATAATATAAATATTATTTCCTTTTGCCTTATGCTACTGCTTCAATCCATTTCAGACGCGTGCCACCATTAGGTTTATACAGGAGAACCAGTTCCCCGCCGTCACCGTCTTCAGGGACAATCGGCCGCGCTACTTCCGGCGGGATGATGCCACGGGCTGCTGGGTGCTGGTTAGATATTAAAGCTTACTGTAGTGCTTAGTTGTTACGCAATTCGAAACTGTCGCAGATGTGTTAATTGGCTGGTGCATGTGTTAATTGTCGCTGTCCACCGCAAATGCTTCTGCTTGCCTTTGTTTGAGTTTTAATCGTTGAGTTGATTGTATTCGGCTGTAATTTTCGTCATTGATATTCTAAAATGTGTATATCCACTGTAATTATCGGCCGATTAGCAACTGCAATTGATGAATGCGACATAATCTCTCTTCAATTAGATACAAGATTGAGTTCCGACGCTGGAGACGGTTGCTTGGGACGAGCCTTAGAAATGGATCTGAACTGGGAACGTGAAAGCGATAAATATTGATTAATAATTATTACGATCGTATGTGCCCACGTGCATGTAAATATTTATGTATGTGAAACCAAAGACTATAGAATATCAAGATGTTGCATGACCTCAAAAAAATCGTTCTATGGTGGGTCTTGATATGGAGACCCACATGACTTTGCACTTTTAAAGGCAGCTAAGACCATATACGCAATTAGTTCGCCGCGCTTCATGAAGCCCGGTGGTGTTGTGGTAGATGCTATGCCTCGTGTACATGAAGGCCCGGGTTCGTATCCTCGCCGAGCCCAGCCATATCATAAATTGTTTTTTTTTTCTTTTTTGTGTAAATTAATTAATTATTTTATTTTTACATTTTTTTTTCAATTTTTTGTTTTTATATTTTTTTTCGCGTTCATGCAAGTGGTGAACAGCCTGATACAATTATACAAGGTAGTCCACTCGGCAAAATCCATAGTCCCCTAATTTAACTTTGTCAAGTAAGTGTGAGTGAAACGGCTACATTGTGCTTCAGTTTGACAAGCAGGCACGCACTGAAAATAAGGGACCAAAACCGAACGAGTGGACTACGTTGTATAATTGTATCATGGTGAGCAGCAAAATACCCTAAAACGCGTATGTACACGCGCATGTGTGAAAATTTAACGACACAATTATCTGAATAAGGAACATTATTAATATTGCACCTATGAATTCTTTAATTTAATTATTATAAACGAAAAATGATGATTTAAATGAAAATTAAAGAAAATAAAATAATAATGCTTTACAAGTCTGATATACCCTTCTACTATTGTAAAGTGTATAAAGCCCGATAAACTGAAAACTAGCAGCTGTGAACAAATTCCCAATTTGGGAACACGACGAATATTAAAAACGAAGACGAAAGCCGAAAGCAGCAGTTCGTCGTGTTTCTATTTTTAGATTTTCCCTTTTTACCCCGACCGACCGCATCATGAAGCTCGAAACAGAAACGAAAAATTGTTTGTATGGGATGCAACATCTTGATATTCTATAGTCTTTGGTGAAACCCATTTATGAACCCAATACTATTTAAAAGAGATTCTTAGCTAATTATATATGCGCATAATCCGTGTAAAAGAAACGAAACAAATTTAAATGCAATCATTTTAGCTGTAATTAAAACCTGTAATCAAAAGTGTAAGAAAAATATATAAAAATGGCTTGGCTATACATACACACAAATCTAGAAAAGAGTTTTGCTTGTTTTACTTAAACTAGTGGGAAGTTTTTGGTTGTAAACTATGGAATAAATTAATCTTTTTTTTAAGAAAAATATATTATTATTTTTGGTATTTTATGTTTCTGAATATATTTTCATATATATTCACCTCAAATCACTTCCTACTATTGTTTCAAATGATTCAAATCTGACATCGTAGTTTTTTTTTCCTCTGCTCTGAAAGTAAATTTGTAAGTATATAGAGTAATTAAATTAAGAAATTTAATTTTAGCGGATTTAGCAATATTTTCAGAATACATTTTTTAAAAAATTGGTTAATATTTACCACAGAGACGGTCCACAGGATAAAAACCCATTTTATTCACTTCTGAGACATTTTTCAAAATTCCAAAAGCCCTGCGACAAAATATTGGAACTGAATTTTTATTGTTCATATATATTGAAATTAAGCAACATGCCTTTTATTGATTTCCATCACCTTTTAATAATTAATACTTGTGTGTGTAATAATTATTACTTGCTTTGCTTTAGGGCCGTGAAAAAGATTAACCGTTAAAAAAAGGGTTTTTTAAAAAAATCAAAATTATATTTACACACATTCTCCAAATATTTTTAGGGAATAAAATAATAATACTGATTCGTTGACAAAATTGAATTTTTTTCTGTTGTTAAAAATTTGTTCTTTGATTCTGGTAAAATTTGTCAATTTTATAGTTGCTATAGTTGCTTCTGGTGACTTAACGAAAAATTGGGTGATCGGCAGAACCCAGGTAATTTTTAAATTGTTTTTACAGAAGGTTATGCGTATTTATATTTATATTCAACTGATGCATTTGTCAACAAAAAAAAATGTTTAGTTATAGATTGATTACAAAAAGTTAATTTTATTGACCCCGACGTGATTTGAACACGCAACCTTCCGATCTGGAGTCGGACGCGCTACCGTTGCGCCACGGAGTCGACAAATTCCATCTTGCCAAATTGGATTTTAGTTCTAGTCGTTCTTCTTCGCCGTTACAACAGCGCCATCTAGCCCTGATGTTACACTATAATATCGATAGTCGTGAGAGCACATATATCGAATCACTGCTATGCAGCCCTACGTTTTCTTAATCGCAGCCAACTTCACTTCAACGCGTTCGGTGTATAAGATTTCGGGCCATTTATTTATTCGCAACGAATGCGAATGTAAAAGCGAATTTGTTGGTTAAAAAGTGCGCGCCCGGTGCTAGAAAACATTGCAACTTAACTTTGGAGACGATTTCAGTGAGAGTGCCGATTTGCCAGACAGCGCGATTTGGCATTTAAACCCCCTTTTATTGTTTTTTTCGCATCGCCAGCTTTTCAGCGGTGCGTTGGTGTGAGTGCGCGAGTGTGTTTCTGCCGCCAATCCAAAGTTGAAGCGGAAAAATGGATGTGGCGAAGCTGGAGAAGATGAAGGTGGTAGACCTGCGCAACGAGCTCCAATCCCGGGGCTTGGACACCAAGGGAGTCAAAGCCGTGCTCATCGAGCGCCTGCGGGCACATGTGGAAGGAGGAGCCGGCGACGGAGGTGAGTTGTGTGTGTATGCGTCATTTGTCCGCTTGTTTTTCTGCAAGTGTGCGTGTGTGTGTGTGGCTTGCCGCGTCTATTGCATGTGTGTATGCGTTTGTGAGTGGCTCAGCGTGAATTAGTTGTAAGTTTTCCTTATATAAGGCTTGGTTCTCATTTTACATTTTTCCCGCCTTCAGATAATGCGCCGGTCACACCAAGCCGCCGTCAGCGTCGCACGCGATCTATGTCCCGCTCCCCATCCCCCGTGCAAGTTGCCCCCGTGGCCGCCGAGCCCGTGCTCGACACTCTAGAGGAAGAGGAGCAGCCGGAGGAGAAGCCACCAGCACCCGCCGAACCAGTAGAGGAACAAGAGCCAGAGCCAGAACCTCAGCTGGAACCAGAGCCCAGTGTGCCAGAGGAAGCAGAACCAGAGGCCGAGGAAGAGGACACAACCACAAATCAAGCGGCAAGTGAGGAGACGCAGGCCGATGACTCCGATGGAAAAACAGAACCAGATGACAAGGAGGAAACCGTCGAGGAGGAAACTCCAGTTGCAGCAGCACAAGACCAAGTCGATGAGCCCATGGAGGAGGACAATGTCGCAGAGCATAAGGAGCAGACTTCGGCGGACGAGCCAAGCGACGAGCAAAAAACTGAAAATTCCGTGGCTGAGCATCAATCAAATGGTGACAGCCAGAAAATGGACGTCGACGAGGAGGAGTCGGCTGCCCCGAAAGCGGAGGGAGCTGACGAGTCCGCTTCAAAGACGGAGGATCAACCTCAGGAGCGCCGCAAGCGCTCGCACAGTCGTTCGCGATCCCGCTCGCGCAGCGGCTCCCGCTCTCCCAAGCACCGCAGCAGCACCGGCGACAAGCGCGACTCAAAGGCAGCCGCCGAGGAGCGCACCGTTCCGGAGGACGAGCCCACCATCGAGGATAACAAAGTGGGACTGAGCTGGTGTAAGTTGACCCTGAATAAGTACTCTACATATTGGTTATAATGCCATATAATCTGTGACTAATTCTGTTAGTTATAGCAGTATTAAGAGTTTCAATGGAATTTGCTAAAGAACGTCCTTTACTTTTATTTCAGTGGATTCTGACCTGCATTTGCGCATCGATCCGACCACGTTTACCTCGGCTAAGCCTCTCACCTCGGAGATTTACTCCCTAATTTGGTCGGGAGCTCGCTCAAACTTCGGAGTACGCGAAGGAAAAGTATGCTTTGAAGTCCGTCTTTCTGAGGAGTCGGTGCCGGAGAGCTCCCACCACTTCCGGGATGAGCCGAATGTGCGAGGCTTCCGCGTGGGCTTCTCCACTCCCAAGAGCTCTTTGCTGCTGGGCGAGGCGGAACATTCGTTTGCCTACTGCGAAACCGGGCGTAAAGCCAATCAAAGCGAGTTTTCAGACTACGGCAAGCCCTACAAGCTAGATGACGTGATTGGGTGCTATTTGAACCTGGAGAGCGAGCCATGCACCATTAATTACACTCTAAACGGCGAGGATCTTGGTGTGGCATTCGAGTTTGAAAAGAGCATACTGGGCGAGGAGGGAGCCCTGTTCCCGCACATTGTCACCAAGGGCTACGAGTACTCTGTGAATTTTGCAGACAACGAGCAGCTGTTGGTGAATGCCGAAAGGCCAACGCGCAAGCGCCGCAAGCCGCGCAAAGATGAGGATAAGGACAAGGACGATGATAAGGATGACAACGACGGCGAGAAGTGGAAAGTCTTGGACGAAGCCACCGCCGATGACGATGAAGTGGAAAAGAAGGAGGAAGACGGCAAGGAGTCCTCTGAAAAGGATGAAGAGGATGGAGAAAAAACTGAGAAAGCCAAAGAGGCTGAGTCGGAACCCAAAGCGGAGGCGGAAGTCGAAACCGAAGCGGAGGCTTCTTCCGAAGCTCCTAAGCCAGAAGCAGAAGCTACCGAGTCTTCGGTAACTGGTGAGTATTTACTAATTAAAGATAATTTTACACAGACTTTCAATAAATGGTTTTTCTTTCAGCTGAAACATCTACCGAAGCCTCGGATGAGGCGGCCACTGTGGCCAATGGTAATGCGGCTGAGAACGCCAACGATGTAAAGCAACCCGAGGAAAAGAAGCCCTCGGCTGACAATGAAGAGGAGGACGAGGACGGCCCTTCGCCCAACAAGCGGGTCAAGACCGATGGAGATTCTGAGAAAACCGAATCTGAAAAAGAAAAGGAGAAAACCCAAACAGTTGAGGATGAGTATGAGGACGTTGTGCCCGAGCCGAGAGATACGGCTGCTCTTTTGGAGGGCTATGTATTGATCGGTTTAGTGCCTGTGGAGCAGCTGGTTCCCGGGCCGCAACGCGCCGGTTCTCGCAAGGAATGCGAAGTCATTTTGCTGGTCGGCTTGCCCGGAGCCGGAAAGACCCACTGGGCTCAAAAACATGTTGCTGAGAACCCCGAGAAGCATTATGACCTGATTGGACCCGATTCATTCATTTCTAAGATGACGGTACGTTCGTTTTTGGTAAAAATACCTATAGAATTCTTAGCTTTATAATTTGTGTTACTAACAGATCGACGGCGCATCCCGCAAGACTGTGCACAAAGGCCGGTGGGACAAAGTGTACGAGATATGCTTGAACAGCCTGGCAGCCCTGGAAGATATTGCCATGAAGCGGCGACGCAATTTCATACTTGATCAGGTAAAACATAAACAAATGACTTGCACACACCCGAAACAAAACACCAGTCCACAAATACACAACATACAAGAGATAACATACAAACAAACGAACGATAACCAAACACCAAACGAAACAAGCGAGAATTATACGTTGATGATGACTTTGGCGCCCGGCCAACACACTGGGATTTGATCCCCCTCGGGATCGCGGGAGTCCACCAGCGCAGGGTCGCAACACAAGTTGCCCTACATTTTTTTCTGTATATTTGAGTATGAATTTAATTGCTCATTGCTCGTACCGTTGAGATCCCAAGTGCCCTCGAAATGGGGGCACCAACTCGCCTTTCCGGCAGGCAGGTATGTCCTAAATGTAAGTCGATCCGATAATTAGAGTGCTTAAGTTTCGAGGCAGTAAGTATGTGTGGCGTACCCGTAAGCTTAAGTTTTAGGTGCAGGTGCAACAGTTGACGGGGAAGTTAAGAGGGCGGTGTAAGAGGCGTGGGGATGATGATGGAGGTGGAAATGGAAATGGAAATGAAAATGGCATTGGAGAAAGATGAGTGAGTGAAATGTAATGGAGTGGATGGAAGTAAGGAAGATGGAGGAGCGAGCGGCATGGAAGCCACTGTAAGTAGACAAACACAAATCCGATCGACGAGTCGTTCGTTCGCTCGCCTACAATCTAATCACATATACGTATTAGTACCTACTATCTCTACTCTCTATCTCTCTCTAAATGCCAACTATCTCATATATATGTATGTGTATCTACAGAGAGCTATGCGATGCTTCATCCTACAGCCCAGCAGCACAGCCAACCACGACTACTTTTACCCCATTGTAAATTCTATTATCCTTATGCAAAGTATTAAGTCAACTGTTGTTAGAAGTGGCCGGGCGAGAACCGCCCAAGGTCCCTAGGTATTTTGATGGTGGTGTGCGCGCCCCTTCCGTAAGACCCCTTCCCTGGCGGAGTGCGGGCGGGGAGCGGGTGACCCGCCGTGAATCAGGTATGTGTTAGCTTGTAAGCGCCGAGACCGAGCTCCAAGCGGGTTGGGCTCGACAGGACGCCATCGGCAAACGTGGCCGAATCATCAACGTGTTTCTCAAATGGCTTGCTATCCGTTCGACGACTTTCCCAACAACCAACAAACAACCAATCCAACCAAACAACAACTGGCAGACAATATCTGAACCCAATTCAACCAACAACCACACCAACCAACCAACCAACCGATCAACTGTATTCTTGTAGACCAATGTTTATGCCTCGGCCCAGCGACGTAAAATGAAGGGTTTTAACGACTTCAAGCGCATTGCGGTTGTTTGCATACCCAGCGAAGATGAATTGAAACGTCGGATCGCCGAAAAAGAGGAAAAGGGAAATGCTTTTACAGTTAAAGAATCAACAATTAATAACTTACGAGGTAAATATAGTCCACCACACCAAAGCAACGAATCGAAAAAAAATATATCCAGAATAATGTACAATCGTATAACTTATGTTCTACCTATCTAAATAAGGAGACATTCTTGTAAAAAACAAAATACAATATAAAAACTTATGTAAAGTATTTAGTTAGTAAGCAGCTGCACTTTATGTATCTGTACGTAATTGTAACTGTAAGCCTTTAAAAATATCTCATAATTTAATGATTATTAATTCCATTATTCATTAAAATATATTCTATAAAGACCCACAAGTGCAACTGGTTCGTAAAAAGGCTCAAATTCATTTGGATTGGCAAATTATTCTAATCGAATTTATTTCTTTTTTTAAACGACTTTTGTGTTGCATTAATCGGAATTCAAATTTAATTGCCTTTTTACGCCCGGTTGCCGACATTTGACCTGACCCTTTCCCTTCCCCAAACTCTCCTTTTATAATAATAATGAGTAAAGATAACGCTCGAACATCTGCCCTACAGACTTATTGATGATATCCTCGCAATCTTTTTCCAGCCAACTTCACACTTCCCTCGCTGGAGTTTGGCTGGTTCGATGACATAAACTACACGGAGCTGACCGGCGACGAAGCCAAGAGCGAGGTCAAGAAGTACAACGAGAAGGGAAAGAAGGCCATCGATGCGGAAAGGTCCCGCGATAAGAGATCCCGTGGGGGACGCGACAACTATCGTCGTGACGACCGGAACAGGAATCGGTACAACGACGATCGTCGACGCGATTACGGTGGCCAGCGGCATGAGAGCCGGTGGAGCGATTCGAGGCGAGGAGGCGGCGGCGGTGGCGGCTACTCCAGCAACAGTGGCGGCGGCGGCGGAGGTGGTAGCCGTGGATACGACAATCGGCGCAGCTACAACAGCGGAAGCGGCGGTGGCCAGCAGAATTGGGTGCCGAACAGTCGCAGGAGCGGCTACGACGACCGCGGCTATGGTGGCGGCGGTAGCGGTAGCCGTGGCTACGACAATCGAAACCGCGGATACGGAGGCGGCAGTGGAGGTGGTGGTGGCGGCGGCGGCGGTGGTGGTGGAGGCCAACAAAACTGGATGCAAAGCAACCGCCGGAGCGGGTACGATGAACGCGGCTATGGAAGCTCACGAGACTATCGCGACAGAGACCGCGGCAACGACCGCAGTCGAATGGGCAGCAACGACCGCAACAGGGGTAGCAGCCAGGGCAGCTATCGCTCGGGGGCGGTACCCATCAACAACGGGATTTTCGGCCTGGCCACCGCGACACCAAAGAAGATAGTCGCGGTGGCTATGAGCGGTCGGCTGGTCAATCGGCGCCCAAGTACGGCAATAACACGGCTGCCGGCGGTGGCTACGATCAGTACAAGCAGCAGGCGGGTGGAGCACCCGGAGGAGGCAAGGTAATTAAAGCTCTCCTCCTACATTGCATGGCAGTTTGAACATTGGGAATTATATTTTTTCAGGCCTCTCTGAGCGGCAAGTGGAGTACCTACAGTCAGCACCATCAGCAGCAACAGGCGCCGCAGCATCAGCAAACGGGCGTCTGGCAGACTCAGCAGCAGTCACAACAGTACCAGCAGCCACAGCAAGCGGCAGCGGGCCAGCAACAATATTGGGCCTACAACCAAATGCAGGGTACGTATAAACATTGCTCATTTATTGGGGTAACCCACTTATGTATTTTATTATTCGCCCACAGGTTATGGCAACCAACAGGCTTGGCAGAGCGCCGATCCCCAGCAGCAACAGCAGTGGATGTCCTGGTGGCAGGTAAGCAAGGAGTACTTACTTCGCAAAACCCAAAACTAAAATCTGAATTGTTTTCCTTTAACAGCAGCAGCAGCAAGGTTCTGGCGGAGCAGCGGCCGGTAATGCCAGCGGCGGAGCGGGCGTGAATGTGGGAGGCGCCGCTGGCAATAATGATGGCGGTGCCACCAATCATTATTGGTCTCAATATTCGTACTCCACACAGTCCAATGCGGGCGCCGACAAGAAGTAGAATGCACCCACTCTGCAGTCACGTTCCACCAGCCCAGACCCCTCTACGTTGTCCCGCGGAAGGAGGAAACCACAAATCTGAACTAAACTTTATAAACATAGTTTTAAACGATTAACAGAAACAGTAAACAGAAAATTAACTTAGTTTAGCCAGTTTTAGGCGTATTTTGCCGTTTGGGCTAGTCCAAACCACAACCAAACCACTAAGAGGGCTATACCCCAATCAAATTCTTACCTAACCCACAGAAAAATTGTGTACCATGAAGACGAGCTAATTCATTATAAATTGAACCTGCATATTAACGTTTCGCTTTTCATTTTCTATGAAGCATTTTCTGTTTTGACGGCGATACAGAAATCGCAAGAAACTCGGTCTTTAATCTGACACTACGTATCTATCTAGGCAGTACAACTTGTTTTAACGTTTTATTATCATTATTGTTTTATTTTTTACAATCAACGCAAACAATTGAAAGGAATGCATTAGAGAGGAAACATTAACAAATAAATCTATACATTGAAAAAATTTAACCAAATTGAGTTTGTCTTTGAATTGGTATAATGCGAATTTAAATTATACACTTATACACATTTAAGCGAGCTATTAAACCAAAGATGATCGAAAGTTTTGGGGGAAAAACGGTTGATTATCAGAAAAGTGTTATATCCTGTTATATAGGGACCTATGTATTACATTATTTTTTTAAATCCTGATTTTTTGATTAAATTATATGTACCTTAATTTCTACGAATTCCTAATTTAATTTTAATTTTGGTAAACGTAAAACAAAATAGGATTCTTATTTTAAAATCAAATATTTGTTTGCGTTTTTATTCTTGCCTTCATTAATTTTTTTTTTTAAACAATGAGTTTTTTATACTAGGATCTTCAAAATATAACAATAACAGAAAAAACAACCCTTAAATTTTTGTCTGTTTAATTGTTGGTATTTTTTAGTACATTGTATTCATCAGCTGTTTTGGCGGCTACATCACGCCTTATAATTCAATAAATTTAGGTTTCTGGTAAGTTCTGATTATAACTAAAATAAAGGTAAAAAGAAGAAATATATAGCAAAGGTATGGTTTCCCCTGCCTGGTTGTTAATGGTTTATGTCAGTCTACACACCCAATTTAAAACAATCCCATAACGTATGGTCATTCATGTGTAATCGCTATGTGTGTACATTGTACATGATCCGATAAGAAAGCGTCGCCTGCATGACACATACCTCACTTCGCGGGAATTAAAGGTGGTTTCAATTGATTTTCCACAGAAAGGGCACGGACCTGTCTCCCCCAAAATGGTGGCCATACAATTGTTTAATGAAATCGGCAGCATCTTCCGCAACGTGAGTTTTTTAGGTTGTTTTCAGACGACTTTTGATTAAAAGCTTTTTTCAATTTGATTTGTTAGACTCCCACGTTTGCCCTGGTTTTGGAAACTCTACTGCTCATAACCGTAATCTGGTTACTCCTTCACAAGCGAGGAGGCGGACGGCGCCGCCAGTTGTCTAAAGAGGAGGAGGACCGGATAATTGCTGCGTATGAACCCGAGCCGTTGGTGGCAGACACCGATCCCAATCATCCACTGCTCCGCACCCGCATTGTCCAATCAAAAGTGGGAAAGCACATCAAGGTCGATGGACACGACTGTCTGAATCTGGGATCCCATAACTACCTGGGCTTTCTCGAGGACCAGGAAATTCTGGAGGAGGCTTGCAAATCCCTCCGCAAGTACGGTGTTGGTTCCTGCGGACCTCGTGGCTTTTATGGCACCATGGATGTGCATTTGGATCTGGAGGATCGCATTGCCAAGTTCATGAACCTCGAGGAGGCTATCGTGTACTCCTATGGTTTCTCCACTGTGGCCAGTGCTATTCCTGCTTACGCCAAACGTGGCGATATTATCTTTGTGTAAGTCGATTTGTTTTATTCAAAATTTTCTCTACTGATAATGTATTTTTTGCAGAGATGAGGCTGTTAACTTTGCCATTCAGAAGGGTCTTGATGCCTCGCGCAGCACAATCGCTTTCTTCAAGCACAATGATGTCCAGGATCTGGAGCGTCTGCTGATCGAACAAGAGAAGCGCGACCAAGAGAATCCCAAAAAGGCGCTCAAGACACGGCGCTTCCTCGTTGCCGAGGGTATTTATATGAACACCGGTGAGATTTGTCCGCTTCCCGAGTTGGTTGCCCTGCGACAAAAGTACAAACTCCGTCTCTTTATCGACGAGAGCATCTCCTTTGGCACTTTGGGTAAAGGTGGACATGGAGTTACTGAGCACTTCAATGTCGATGTGAGTAAAAGAGTAATTGACAGGGAACCATTATTATTCATAACCTACTTTCAGCGTGATGAAATCGATCTGATATCGGCAGGAATGGAAGGATCCATGGCAACTGTCGGTGGCTTCTGCGTAGGATCGCACTTCATAGCCGAGCATCAGCGACTCTCTGGCTTGGGTTACATCTTCTCGGCCTCCTTGCCGCCCATGCTCACCCAGGCAGCCATTTCCGCCCTGGATCGCTTCGAACGTGAACCGCAGATCTTCGAGCAGTTGCAGTCCAAGGCCAAGTCACTCCATGAGAAGTTTTCGGGCTTTAGCAAGCTGACCCTGCGAGGCGATGAGTTGTCGCCAGTGAAACACTTGTACTTGGCCCAGCCTGCCGAAAACTTTGACGAGGAACTTAAATTGCTCACAGAGGTGGCCGATAAGGTATACAAAATTTCTTAATTGCAATGATAAGATAATTAAATAAAATTACCCTATTTTCCGCAGTGCATTGCTAAAGGTGTGGCTGTGGTGCAATCTGCCTATCTTCAGAACAGAGAACGCAAACCGGTGCGTCCAAGTATCCGTATCGCCGTCAACCGATTGCTGGAGGATTCAGACATAGCCACCGCATTCGAGGTCATTGAGAGTGTTTCCAGCACCGTCCTTTAAGTATTCCTCTTGAAAAGAACAAAGTTTCCCGACAAGGGCCTTCCTATTAAGTTTATAGGCCTACAGGCTCTATTCTTTTTCCAGTCACGGCCAGTCCAGTATGATTTATTCAAGCAAAACTATTGCTAGCCTCGCACCTACTATTTCGTTATGAGTTTCACTACATTTTATTAATGACGAAAAATCTAGGAATAATTCCAATGATTACAAGTTTGAGATAAGAGCTGGTTTAAAAAACTTGTAAGGTTACTTCGCTTCTTTTCTTATACATACATGCAAAGGTGTTGCCTATCGCACCAAAAATCACGCACTTTTTAATTATGTTAATAAAGATAGTATAATGTGCGCCCGCATTACTTTTATCGGAGCAAAAAAACAATAATAAAATGTTAAGCTTTAATAAAGTAAAAATCGCATTGTGCATCTTTATTTTAAAACTCACGTTAAAATGGTAGGTATAACATTTTCTGTGGAATTTATTTTCGCTTTGTTAAACACAATATAGTATGACCTCACTAGACACCCACTGCAACAAACAGTACATCAGCAATGTATTGGCTGGTTAAATTATGGGCAAAAAAAAAACTGTCGTTAACGTGAGATGAAAGCTGATTGTAGTGATCATAACCCTTCGACTTTCAAACTCATGTAAACATTCCTCTGATGAACTTGACAACGACGACCCCAAATCATGATGTTGTGCACATAACGCTTCGCTGCCGGTTTAAATATATATCAGCCTCAATTGGGATCAGCAATCAGCGATCATCGGCAATCGGGCGTATACGTACTCTGCACCCAGGTGCTATCACTGCGGGTACGCAACGTTTTGGCGACAAAAACATGCAATTACAGCTATTGCACTTTGTTGTTTACATACGCGAATGGAAGGCGCAAAGAGAAAGCTGCGAAAAACAGCTGATCCACGGTAAAGCTCCCGTTGGCCGGCGAGCTTTTGAGTTTGGGTGCAGCTGATAAGTGGGCACAGTTGTCGGTCAGCAGGCGAACCAGCAGCGCCTTCGTCTACGTTTATTTTGTTTATTTCCCGGCCGAGAATTCTCTCGGGACTCATTCCTTATCCGCAAAACGCACTCATCATGGTCGAGGTTAAGGACATCGAGAAGCTGTTCGAAACGGACGGCTATTTGCGGCCCTTCGAGCACGAGATTCGTCGCCGGTAAGTTGGGATTTGTGTTTGTTTTCCAGTTGCTATTAGACATCCCAATACAAAATCATGTAATCCAAGGTCGGCGCCGGCTTTATGCGCTCTATGCTGATAACAGCCGTACGGGTCGTAACTTTATAGGGCAAATTGTAGTGTCCATGCTGCACAGCCATATCAGTTTGGCCCCACCACCTCACATGCAATTGGAAAAACTGCGTTCGCAATGTCGAATGAAGGTCACCGGTGTTTGCCGCCCTCTGTGGCCCTGTGTGTGTGTGCCTTTTAGTTAGCCTGTGTGTTAGTTTGTTAAAAACAATTATATTAAGAAGTGTTCGGTGCGTGCTGCCGGCGTGTTTGGAGCATGGATCTTGGCCTTGATGCCATTTTCCGGGTTTGCCAACATTTTCTCATCGCTCTGTTGTCATCTCAATTTCTATTTTTGCATCCACTGCGAATAAAAACGATTCGGCGGCTCTTCCGCTTTCGCCAATTTTGTTTTGGTTTCTTTTCTTGAGAGGAACACAACGTGGACAGAAGATGTTTAGCTATTGACATCATTTGTTAGTGGTAAAATTGTTTTCTTACATTGTTCTACATTTAAAAACATATAGGCTCAAACTGATTTAATTCAAAATTTCTCTTAAATTTAAATTAGAATTAGTATTAGATCCAAATACAAAAAATTCATAATTTTGGTATCGAACACAGGTGCAGCTCATAAAGACAAAATTAAAAAAAAAAAAATGATTTATTTTCAATGTCTAAAAATAGTTTCTGATAGTCAGAATGGAAAAATTTAAATATTTTAGAGAATGTTTTTGCTAGTGGGATTCTTCTGAAGAAATTATATTTTTGGTGAATTTTGCATCGATTACTTATGACGTCCCTTTTTCCAAAGTCACGGCGTTCTCCAGGACTGGCTGAACAAAATAAACCAGAGCGAGGGAGGATTGGAGGAGTTCTCGCAGGCCTACAAGTACTATGGCCTTCATTTCCAGCCGGACAACTCGGTGATTGCCCGTGAGTGGGCACCTGGAGCCAGAGATGTCTATCTCACGGGAGATTTCAGTAAGTTATAAAGCACTATCAATAATAGATTATACCTAATTGATTCAACCCACAGATAACTGGCACTGGGAGTCGCATCCGTTCAAGAAGCTGGACTTTGGCAAGTGGGAGCTCCATTTGCCCCCCAACGAGGACGGCAGCCCGGCCATAAAGCACATGAGCGAAATCAAGGTGATCATTCGCAACCATTCCGGTCAGTTGCTGGACCGCCTGTCTCCGTGGGCCAAGTACGTGGTGCAACCTCCCAAATCGGCCAATCAGGGAGTCAACTACAAGCAGTACGTGTGGGAGCCACCATCCTACGATCGCTACCAGCGCCAACATCCTCGTCCGGAGCGGCCAAAGTCGCTGAGGATCTATGAGTGCCATGTGGGCATCGCCTCCCAGGAACCAAGAGTCGGCAGCTACGATGAGTTCGCTGATCGCATTGTGCCGCGCATCAAGCGACAGGGCTACAACTGCATCCAGGTGATGGCCATCATGGAGCATGCCTACTACGCCAGCTTTGGCTACCAGGTAACAAGTTTCTACGCCGCCTCCAGTCGTTTTGGCAATCCGGAGCAACTGAAACGCATGATCGACGTGGCTCACTCGCACGGACTGTTCGTTCTGCTGGATGTCGTCCACTCGCATGCCTCCAAAAACGTGCAGGATGGCCTTAACCAGTTCGATGGCACCAACAGTTGCTTCTTCCACGACGGAGCACGCGGTGAGCATTCGCTGTGGGACAGTCGTCTCTTTAACTACGTGGAGTACGAGGTTCTGAGGTTCCTGCTGTCCAACCTGCGTTGGTGGCACGATGAGTACCAGTTCGATGGCTATCGCTTCGACGGAGTCACATCTATGCTGTACCACTCTCGAGGCATCGGCGAGGGTTTCAGCGGTGACTACAATGAGTACTTTGGCCTGAACGTCGACACAGATGCCCTCAACTATCTGGGACTGGCCAATCATCTGCTGCACACCCTGGATCCGAGAATTATCACTATTGCGGAGGTGAATAAGGGCTTCCTTTGTATTTCAAGTGGTGTTACAGAAAGTTTTCTAACAATCGTTTCTTTCATCCACTTAGGATGTATCCGGAATGCCCACCTTGTGTCGTCCGGTTTCGGAGGGCGGCATTGGATTCGACTACCGCCTGGGCATGGCCATTCCCGACAAGTGGATCGAGCTGCTGAAGGAGCAGAGTGACGACGAGTGGGACATGGGCAACCTGGTGCACACGCTGACCAACCGGCGGTGGATGGAGAACACGGTGGCCTACGCAGAGTCCCACGATCAGGCGCTGGTGGGCGACAAGACGGTTGCCTTCTGGCTGATGGACAAGGAGATGTATACGCACATGTCGACCATGTCGGACCCCTCGTTGATTATTGACCGAGGACTGGCGCTGCACAAAATGATTCGCCTGATTACGCACGCCCTGGGAGGCGAGGCGTACCTTAACTTCATGGGCAACGAGTTCGGTCATCCGGAATGGCTTGATTTTCCGCGTGTCGGAAACAATGACTCATATCACTACGCTCGTCGGCAGTGGAATCTGGTGGACGACGACCTGCTGAAGTACAAGTACCTCAACGAGTTCGATCGCGCCATGAACGAGGCCGAGGAGCGCTACGGTTGGCTGCATTCCGGACCCGCCTGGGTCAGCTGGAAGCACGAGGGCGACAAGATCATCGCCTTCGAGCGCGCCGGCCTGGTCTTCGTCTTCAACTTCCATCCCCAGCGGAGTTTCACCGGATACCGCGTGGGCACCAACTGGGCGGGCACTTACCAGGCGGTGCTCTCTTCAGACGATCCGCTTTTCGGCGGACACAACCGCATCGATGCCAACTGCAAGCATCCCTCCAATCCGGAGGGCTACGCCGGAAGATCCAACTTCATCGAGGTCTACACCCCGTCCCGCACGGCAGTAATCTATGCCCGAGTCAGTGACTAACTGACTCCGGAAGGGGTCTCCAAAAATGTTTATGCCTATACGAATTTCACATTTAGTCATAGTTTTTGTTAATGTTACGAATCGGAAAGCCATTAGTGAAATATATGCTCATTGAGGTATAATTTTCTAAAAACAATTATTTTAATATGATAATTTCAGATATGTAGATAAAATCTAAAAAACTTCCGGCAATTGATTGTTATTTCGGCCGAAATGCCGTTCGGCTCCAAAGTTTATAGATTATTAGTAACCAAAATCAACTGATTCGATTTAGCAATATCGGTACGTTTGTTTTTGATATGGGTTTCACCGTGCCCTTCCTGTTGAGCAAATGCTATATGCATTCACGAACCAAGTGTTTTATTTACGGAAGCCTCAAAAACTAAAATTACATTAGTCTGTGGTTATCTAAATGTGTTTTAAAATATATAAAATCATCACAACCTCGATGAGAGAAGAATGAAATCCATTGCACTTGTCGTATTTTCTAGTTATCTCGCCTGGAGTGTTGTAAGTAGAGATAAACCATTTATTTTCTGTTTTAATTTTTGATATATCTTTTGCTAGGTAAGTGAACCCTCCTATATCTACAAATTAAAAAATATCGAGTGCTCGACGGTTCCTGGCTTTTCGGCAAATGCTTCGTGCCGTGTAAAAGCCATCAACTGGAACAAGGCAGTGGCCCAAATGGACGTGGATCTCGCGAGGACTTTGTATAATATCTCTGTAGGTTGAGCTGATTTTTAACAATCCAAACCAATCCATCCATCATTAACGTGGAGTTCTTCAGGTGCGACTGCAAATCCATAAAAGGGACTATAGTAACCAGTTCCAGCCTTTCCTAGTGGATGTGATGATTAATTTCTGTGACGTACTCTCGAAACGAAGCTTTATACCTTATGGTCTAATTGTTCTCCAAGTTACCAAACGATTCTCAAATTTTAATCATTCCTGCCCCTACTCTGGACATTTATTGGCTCGGGATGCATATCTCGACGAATCATATTTACCCAACGTCTTTCCATTGGGTTTGTATAAAATCAACATTACCATACTAGAGGGTTACGTAAAGTCCCCATATGCGCATGTTGGAGGTATCGTTTGGTATCTCCAGGTTATGCACGCTTATAAGATTAAAAATAAACAATCGTAATGAAACCCCGACTTTTGATACGACCAGGGTAAGGTATTCTTAATTTCAAACCCGCTGCAACTTATAGTTACTTCTAAAACAATGTTGTTTGTAAATAATTGATAACCCAAACGAACTGATTCGATTAAGAAATATCGAAACATTTGTTATGATGTTGATAACACCGTGCTCAAATATAAAAAGCAAAATTAATGTAAGCATTCATGTTGAACGAATAGCAAATAAATTCATGAACCAACCTTTTAATTACCTAAAACATCCAAAATTAAAACCACATTAGACAAAAAGAATTTCAAGGCATGTATAAAAAAACAAAATCATAATACTGGGGAAAATGAACTCCATAGCACTTGTTCTATTTTGTAGTTATCTTGCCTGGAGTGTTGTAAGTAGCGTTATATTTATTTTCTGTGTTTAATTTGTTACATTATATATTTACTGCTAGGGAAGTGACCCCTCCTATATATACAAATTGAAAAATATTGAGTGCTCCACGGTTCCTGGGTTCTCGGCAAATGCTTCGTGCCGTGTAAAAGCCATCAACTGGAACAAGGCAGTGGCCCAAATGGACGTGGATCTCGCGAGGACTTTGTATAATATCTCTGTAGGTTGAGCTGATTTCTAACAATCACTTTATTTATTAAATTTGAGTTCCTCAGGTGCGACTGCAATGCCATAAAAGAGACTATAGTAACCAGTTCCAGCCGTTCCTCGTGGATGTGATGATAAATTTCTGCGACGTATTCTCAAAACGAAGCTTTATTCCCTATGGACTAATTGTTCTTAAAATTACCAAACGATTCTCAAATTTTAATCATACCTGCCCCTACTCTGGACATCTAATGGCACGCGACGCGTATTTCGATGTAGCATATTTTCCGAACCTAGCGCCTCTGGGTCTTTATAAACTAAACATTACCATAATGGAAGGTTATGCAAACTCCACATATGCGCATGTTGGGGGCATCGTTTGGTATGCCCAGGTTATGCCCGCTTATAAGATTAAAAAGAAGGAAACGTAACCAAACCCCGGCTTTAGATGCGAAGGGGATTAGGTATCCTTCACTGCATTTATACCACGTATCATATTTTTACACAATAATCTTTTGAGGAGTTTCAACGAGAGCTTAAAAACTAAGACAATAGTTTGTGTGAAATTTCAGTGGCTTTTTAACTAGAATGGCGATCAAGAATAAAAGTTCTTTGTGGTGTTGAGGTGTCTTCATCTAAATTAAATTGTATTAATTTTTGATTGAGAAAAACTTAAATTGTGTTTTTAATTCACCCAGACCTTGAGCCGGCAAAAACACCAAATATGAAAATTTAAAACCTGATGGTTACTTCTATCACAATGGCGTTCATAAATTTGTAATTAAACCAAAACCAACTGATTCGATTATGAAATATCGATTCGTAATTTTTTTATATAGATTACACCGTGTATAAACCTAAACACCTTATTAATGCAACTTTTCATGTTGAACGAATGTCATAAAAATTCAGGAATCAATTTTTTAATTACCTTAATCATCAAAAATTAAAACCACATTAGCCTGTGGTTACAAAAACGTACATATGTTAGGTTATATCAAAACAAAATCCCAATGCGAGTAAAAATGAACTCCACTGCACTTGTCGTATTTTCTTGTTACCTCTCTTGGACTGTTGTGAGTGGAGTTAAATCATTTTAATGTGTTTATTTTGTTATATATTTACTGCTAGGGAAGTGACCCCTCCTATATCTACAAATTAAAAAACATCGAGTGCTCGACAGTTCCTGGGTTCTCGGCAAATGCTTCTTGCCGTGTAAAAGCCATTAACTGGAACAAGGCAGTGGCCCAAATGGACGTGGATCTGGCGAGGACTTTGTATAATATCTCTGTAGGTTGATCTGGTTTTTAACAATCCCTTTATTCATTAACGCGAATTACTTCAGATTCGACTGCAATTCCATAAAAGAGACTATAGTAACCAGTTTCAGCCGTTCCTCGTGGATGTGATGATTAATTTCTGTGAGGTACTCTCCAAACGAAGCTTTATACCTTATGGTATAATTGTTCTTCAAGTTACCAAACGATTCTCAAATTTTAATCATACCTGCCCCTACTCTGGACATCTAATGGCCCGCGACGCATATTTCGATGAATCATACTTTCCGAACGCCTTTCCTTTGGGCATTTATAAAATCAACATTACCATATTGGAAGGTTACGCAAAGTCCCCATCTGCGCATGTTGGGGGTATCGTTTGGTATCTCCAGGTTATGCCCGCTTATAAGATTAAAAAGAAACAAAATTAACCAAGCCACGACTTCAGACACGCCAATGACAATTATGTTATGTTTTTCTATTTTATATATATTTTACCTCACATTAAATTTCATCAGAAGCGGAGTTTCCTCGGCCACAGTCTCTTCTGAGGACACAACCGCAGCGAATGTTATAGTTATAGTTTTTGTTTATGTGACGATTAGGAAACTCATTCTAAGTGATAAGCTTATTGAGGTATAATTATCTAAAAGTAATGATAATTTTGGATAGATCCAATTGAAATAACTTTCTATAACTAGTGTTGCTCTTTTTATTGATTACTAAAATATTAACATTGTAATCAAAAAAAAGGTTTATCGTGTAACCATCCATGTTGAACAAATGTCATAAAAATCAATGAACAAATTTGGTAAAAACTTAAAATCGCAGAAACATGAAATTAGTTTGTGGTATGTTAATGTAGTTTGAGGTATCAGAAAAAGATCCCAATGCTGAGAAAAACGATCTCCTTTGTTCTATTTTTTAGTTACCTTTACAGGAGTGTTGTAAGTACGCAAATACCATTTTAAAGTGCTTCAAGTTTTTAATGTAGTTTTACTGCCAGCTGTGCGAGCCCTCCTATACATACAAATTAAAAAATATCGAATGCTTAACAAAGCCCGCATATGCGACAAATGTTTCTTGTCTTGTAAAAGCCATTAACTGGAACAAGGCAGTGGCCCAAATGGACGTGGATCTTGTGCAGCCTTTGCGAAACATATCGGTAGGTTGAGCTGATTCTTATAATATTCCTTAATCATTAGCATTTTTCAGGTTCGACTGCAATACTTTAAACGAGACTACAGCAACCAGTACCAACCGTTTCTCGTGGATGTGATGATCAAATTCTGTGACATACTCTCAAAGCGAAACTTTTCACCCTATGGGATAATGCTTCTTCAAGTCACCAAAAGATTTACGAACTTTAATCACTCCTGCCCTTTCTCCGGCCATTTATTAGCACGCAATGCATATTTCGACGAATCATTTTTCCCGAACCTTCTTCCATTGGGTCTGTACAAAACGAACATTACCGTCTGGGAAGGCTATGCGAAGCGTCCAAATGGGCATGTTGGAGATATCGTTTGGTATATGGAGGTTATGCCGGCATACAAGAAAAAAAATAGAACTCAAACATATCCCTTTTAATTATTAATTAACTTTAAAAGATTGTCATGAAACATATTAAATCATTTCTAAGTCTTTGGAAACTAGAATTCGGAATTGCGATAAAAGACTTGAGTTCTTATTGCAAGGGTATTTAAGCATCGTCTCGCCAAAACTGGCTTACTTTCTTGTTTTTCTAATATTTTAAATTATTATTCTATTAGTCCCTAAAAACAATTGGATTTTAATGATAGTTTTCGCGTAGATAAATCTAAATAAGAAGATATATCTAGCTAATGGTTAGTTTAATTAGAACGCCGTCACCTATAATACATGTGTATAAATAAAATAATGTTTATTGTGTTACTATTCATGGTGAACAAATGTCACGATTTTTGTAGTTATTTAAAATCTCAAAAATTAAAAACTCATTATATGTGTTGTGGTTATGGTAATGTACTTTAAAGTACATAAAAACAAAATCGCAATGCTGGGAACAATGTACTCCATTGCTCTTGTCGTATTTTTTAGTTACCTCTCCTGGAAAGTTGTAAGTAAGCATAACATTTTTAACTTTAATTGTTTAATATAATATATTTACTGCCAGCTATGTGAGCCATCCTTTATATACAAGTTAAAAAACATGGAGTGTTCCACAGTTCCTGGGTTCTCGGCAAATGCTTCGTGCCGAATAAAGCCAGTAAATTGGAACAAAGCCGTGGCGGAAATGGACGTGGACCTTGCTAGGACTTTGAAAAATATTTCTGTACGTTCGGATGATTTTCATAAGTTATTTTATTTCCGAATATGCAAACTCTACAGATCCGAGTTCAATTCTATATGAGAGACTACAGTAACCAGTACCAACCCTTTCTCGTGGATGTGATGATTAATTTTTGTAACATTCTCTCGAAGCGAAACTTTCTACCTTATGGGATAATGATTCTGCAAGTAACCAAACGATTCTCAAATTTTAATCATTCTTGCCCCTACTCTGGACATTTAATGGCACGCGACGCATATTTCGACGAAACATTTGCTCCGAACCTTTTTCCGCTGGGTTTTTATAAGGTCAACATCACCATAATGGAAGGCTATGTTAGGGCACCAAGTGCGCATGTTGGGAATATTGTTAGCTATGTCCAGGTTATGCAAGCATACAGGAGTAAAAAAAAATCGAACAGAACTAAGTCCTGATTAAATAATGAGCATATGGCATAAGTTAGAGTTGTTTCTGAAAACTTAAAAAACATTCAATTTGTTAGTCTGTAAAAAAAAAAGCAAACGAATTTTTGACATGGGTCCCACCATTTATCAGAAAAGTTTGAAAATTTTAAAGATAAGATAAAGCCTCAACAAATAGTAAAAACGTATTTTATTGCTTTAAATTTTTAAAATTGTATTTTATTGTTTATAATAAATATATATATATGTATACGTAAAGTAATATTAGCTTTAGAATTTGTATCATACATAATGTAGGCTACTTGAGTTGCTTAATGGTTTGCTTTTCTTGCTTCGTTATTATTTAAAGTATATCTTACAGAAGTGCAACTCGTTTTTGCTTATTTGTCTTAGATTACATACTTTTATTAAATATTTTGAATCATTGTCTTCCATCTGTTTATGTTATATTAGGCTTAACCTAGCTTCGCTTAGCTTAGTGTGTTGTTTTGTTGTTTTCTTGGGTTGCTGGTGTCGCAAGAATCTTTTTAAAAAAATACTTTAGTCTAAAGTATCGAGCCTACAACTTAGAGTAATGTTAGGTCAGTGCTATGCTTCCTATTTATTTATGAATGGCATAACGAAATTGCAAATAAAATATATAATATTTATATGTAATGAATATACAACATGGTAAAAGAAATGATAATGGCAAGGGTTTTCTGGGGAAACGGAAAGGGTTGGTTAACAAAAATAAAAATAAATAAATAGATTGAGAACTTATGGAATAAATACTACATGAATTACGTTGCATAGCTGGCTCCTGCCGCATCTCTCGTTATGCAAGGAACAAATTATATTTATAAGTATTTGTTGAGAGGAGTGAGTTGTCCTTTAATCAAACCGAACAATTCTCGCAACACTAAATTAGGCTAAACGTATTTTCGCCTGCTCTTCAGGCGGGCTAAATAGTTACAACTGGTTTGGGGTGTGTGTCTCGTCTTTGCACTTAAACGTTTAAACTTTAGCTTAGTAGTACAAATAATTTAAATTTACGATGCTCTTCTGTTTGCCTTGAAACGTACATATTTGATTCTTCCGCAACACAATTCGCGCATGTGTGTGTCGTGTGTGTTTGTGTTGAACAACATTTGATTTGTATTCTTGTAGGCATTTGGTTTTCGAATAAAAAAATAAATTTTGTATGCACATCCAACAGTGTGGTAATATCAATTAGTTTAGCTTGGCTTATGTTTGAGTTATTATTCAATCATTCATATTGTTACAGTGTAATCGCATCTGCTTCTACAGTTCCCCCCGCAGTTCCTTTTCTTCCCATTTTATTTGGTGGCCAAATGTGACGATTTTTGACGTGTTCGAAAACTCCAAAAGAATATATACTAAACATTCCAGTGTTGCTGACGGTACAAAGCTAAGGATAAGCTTTGCACCATGAGCAACCGAATCACGAGTGAACAGTATTTGAGATTTCTAAAAGAAGTAAGTGGTCGGCATTATGGTGGCACTGTTCAAAAATCGACCCATTTGGCCACCCATTAGCCCCTACGCGGCGAACAACTGAGCAGCAGCAGCAGCGGCCGCCTGTTGCTGTTGTTGCTGCTGCTGCTGTTGCTGTTGCTGCTGCTGCTGCGGAGTGGTCGCCAGTATGGGAATGGCCGTACCGTCGGCGGTCAGGAGCAGCGTCTGCGTGGTCTGTGGCGTTGCGGTGGCCTGCGCCTGACCCGCTGCTTCAGTGGCCATGGCCACGTTGCCCGGCAGCGCTATGAGTTGCTGCTGACCCGCCTTGCTGGGATGCGGCACCTGGGTGGCGGCTATGATGCTGCCGTCGGCCGACTGCAACAGTATGGTGTTGCTGGGCAGGTTGAAGCAGGTCACGGTTCCGTTGGAGGCCACCGTCTGCAGCTGCAGCGGCGGCGGCTGTGGAGCCAATAGCATTGTGGTCGCCGTGGTGGCCGTCGTCGCAGTATTGCTACTACTTAAATCCAAACCATCGCTGTTCGTCGCCTCCTGCAACTCCGGCTGCTCCTGGCTCGGCTCCTCGTCAATTATCTCCTCGACCAGATCGTCCTCGTTCAGCTCCTCGATGATGTCGTCTTCGTTCTCCATATACCCGGCCGACTCCACACCGGAACTGGCCAAATTGACGGCGCTCGGCGGCGATGGAGTGGGCGTGGGCATGGCCAGGTAGTTGTCACCCGACTTGGCCGTCACAGCCGTGCCCTTGGGTATGCGGAACTTGCGCAAGATTTGAGCAGTCGACGAGGAGAGCGCACCCAAGGCCACGGCATCCTCGTCCAGTTCCTCGTCGAGCTCATCGTCCTCGGCCAGCAGTTCTTCCTCGGCCACAGGATGCTGTTCCACAGAGGCTGCTTCCGGAGCGACGATAACCTGTCGCTGATTGCGATTGGCGGGGGCATTTACCCGCACCAAGGTGACGGCACCGTTTCCGCTGCCCACTTTGGTGTTTCCATTGAGGATGCTAATCGGAGGTTGCTTGGTGGAACCACGGGCGGCCAACAGGATGACGGGCGTCTTCTTGGCCGCCGGCTTGAGGCCATTGCTGCTATTCACCACGCTGGTGGCATTGCTGTTGCCGCTGCTGCTGTTGTTGTTGCTGTTGCTGCTGCTGCTGCTGTTGGTGTTGGGAGGAAGGATTGCATTAGTCGCTTTTCTTGTGGAAGGCGGCACATGGGTCTGGACATGGGAATTGGGCATGGGAGTAGTTCGACTCGAGTTGCTGACAAAGTCGGCGAACTTGTCGACGAAACTGCTGCTGCTTTGGCTGCTTTTGTTGCTGCTACTGCCGTTGATGTTGCTGCCATTACTGTTGCCGTTGCCGTTGCGACTGCAACATTTGTTGCTTGTGTTGCTATCGGCAAGGCGAGCACGGGAATTCGCCTGCTTGACGGTGATTTCTTCGTAGTAAATGCGATACGCCTCCACTTGGCGACGCTGCGATTCGTCGTCTTGTGTTGTGTTCTTGTTATGGTTTTGATTCTGATTCTGTTTCTGAATCTGATTCTGAATTTGACTCTGATTGTTGTTGTTGGTGTTCTGGGTTCTGTTGTGATTGCTGGTTGTGTATGGCCGCTTGAACAATTGTTTCGGGTGGTTGTTGTTGTGTTTAGAAGAACCTGTTGTCGTTGTTGATGTTGTTGTTGTTGTTGATGATGTTCATGTGATTGTTGTTGTTTGTTGTGTCGCATGATTATGAATTTTTGTGTGCAAATCATAGGGAATAACACAAAAACACAAACAACAGACGAACGTAAAATGTTGTCGGGTGAAAAAAGAAAAAATAAAAACAATTTGATTAGCATATTTGCTGGTTTCTTATTTTGGTTTTGTGTTAGTTGTTTTCTTATCAATTCCTTTCTTTAATTTGAATGTTAGATATGCTTAAATCAAAGTTAATTTTGGGTTAGTAAATGATAATGACGCTTATGACTGATTGCCTAATTGGATCGAATGTGGGTGTGTGACTAGAAAATTGAGATTTTTTATGTTTTTAGTTTAGTTCAATTGCCACCACAGACACTCATTTAATTTATTAGTATTTTTCTGTTAATATTGAAGTGTTGGTAATTCCCCAATTATTAGTGTTGAGTGGTAGTCAAAGAACCAAGTGTTGTTAGGATGCAGGAACCCAAGGGACATTGGTTATTTACAAAACAGAAAAGTGATATGCAAAACAAAATCAAAACAGAAAAATAAAGCGAATAAACAAAAGTACACATACCTTTCACTAAATGTCCAATATTATATTTTAATATTTATTTTATTACTGTGTTATTCTGTATTTTGTGTAGTGGAGATCGTTATTTGTTGGTTTTTATTGAATCTTTGTTGCTGCCCTCGCACACTCGCACACGGCGTGTGAATGAATGAATCAATGAGTGACACTCAGGCAAGTGAGTGTTTTGAATATGTGAAGTGAGTGATGTAAGTACACTAATGTTTCGGTAAGTTAGTTTCGCTTGATTGTTATTTATGCTTGGCCGCTGATCTTGGCAAACATTGAAAATGGCTTCCATTTGCGTTGCTTTCGATTTGGTATTACATGGGCAAGTCTTTCACTTCATTTTCGTTTAGCGATTATATATTTTTTAATTGCAAACTCAGCACTGAGTTCTTTATTGGTTAAATAGAATTTTTGGTACTTTGGCTGCAGCTTTCTGTGGCGGTCGATTCTTCAGAGAGCTAGTAGCACTGCCTCTGATATATCGTAGCTATAGTTATAATGGGTTGTTTTGTTTGATTGATTGATTGATTGATTGATTGGTCGGTTGGTGGGTTGGTTGTGTGTACATAAAATAAAACAAGAGAAAAGAAAGAAAAAGAACAAAATTGCATTGAAGTATAAAACGTATTTGAACACAAGTTGATCTCGAAACAAAATGTAAACGAGTTTTTGTTATTGTGATTAAATCGGGGTATAAATCGGGAATGGCATATAGTTTTTACAGGGAAGCAACAACAAGCCGCCACAAGGATCTGTCTATTGGAAATAGAGTGCAGGACCTTTGTGGTTTCAAGATTGGTGAATAAATAAATGCACAAAAATCAATTCATACGACTAAGATACAAACTGAAAAAACTCTGGCTACAAAATCATACAATTACAGAATAACTAAAAAGATACATAATATGTATAACTAAAGTATGCATAATCTTAAACTAAAACTAAACAAGTTAATGCTTAATGTAGCCCCTTGATTCCCCCTAATGTTCAGTTTTCGTGTTTTGCAGGCGGCCATCGGGTGTTTAAGTGTTAATATCTTTTTTATATATATATTTTTTGGTTGCAAGTACACCTTTTGTTGCGCGACTCAAAATACGTGGTGAAAGGAAGATCAGCAGAGGCGGAGTTAGCGATATCGAGAGAGTTATAGATACAGATACAAAGATAGAGATATACAGAGCAATCTAATCGAGCGCGTTACACTAAGAGAAATCGTTCAGACAGAGGAGGAGGGATTCGGGATTGGGGTTATCTTTTTTTAGTGGCTTGGTTAGTTGGAAAGAGCGTTTACCTAATTTCTTTGGTTTCCAGCAGCGACGAGGTGTTCACATCGTTCACCGCATTGATCATCGACGTGGGCGAGAAGGGCAGGTGGTACATGGAGGCGGCGTCCAGGGCGTAGGCATCGCCCCCCTTGATCAGCAGCTCGTTCTTCAGCTCCATGAACTGCTGGTGGGGATTGTGGTGCGTGGCGAAGGGCTGCTGCTGCAGCTGCAGCTGCGTCTGCTGGTGGTGCTGCTGCTGCTGGTGGTGCGCCTGCTGCTGCTGATGATGCTGATGCTGCGTCTGGGCATCCAGTGCATTGGCATTCAGCGTGGGCTGCGCTCCCGCGTGCGTGGTGAAGGTGTACTGCGAGTAGGGACACAGGTCGCCCAGTTCGGCCGGCTCCAGTTTGGGCTGGAAGTTCTGGAGGCCGTCGGGCGTCAGGATCTGGTAGCTCTGCACGGTTCCAATCACATGCTGCTGCTGCTGCTGCTGCTGCTGTTGCTGCTGCTGCTGATCGGCCGCCGCAGGAGTCGCCGCCGCCGTGGAGCTCAGATAGGTCACGTTGTCCAGCTCGTAGTGCGGCTGCTGCTGCTGCTGCTGCGCCTGACTGCCCGGCTGCTGCGCCTGCTGTTGCTGCTGCTGCTGCGTCGTCTGATATGTGGTCGCCGTGGGCTGTTGCCGCTGAGCCTGCGGCGCCGTCGTGTATATCGCCTGGGTGCCCGGGTCCAGTTGCAGCGGCACCAGATTGCCCGCCTGGTCCTGGATCATGATGCTCTGGCCGTGCAACTGCTGCTGCAGCAGCGCCTGCTGCAGTTCCAGCTGGTTGGAGTAGATCAGCGTGGTGGTGGGCGCCGTTGGCTGCCCGCCATTCGGAGTGCCCGGTCCGCGCTGCAGGCCCACGGAGCTGGTGGCCCCCGGATTGGCCAGGGCCAGCTGCGCTCCGCCCGGCAGGATCATCCCGCTGAAGTCCAGCGAGGGCAGCGTCTGCAGCTGATGCTGCGGCTGCGCCGGCGTCGTGGGAGCCAGCGTGGTGGTCAGACTGTGCTGCATCGTCTGCTGCGGCTGCTGCTGCTGCTGCTGCGAGTGACTCACGCTGACCGGCGTCATGGCCAGCGACTCACCATTCTGCACATCGTCCAGCACGCTATCGATCTGCGCCAGCCGCTTCTTCGCCGGCGTGCTGCCATCTCCACCCTTCGACTTGCGAACTCGCGGCGTCCGAGCGGCACGCGCCCTCTTCGCCGGCGGACCATCGGACTTTAGAGGCGTCGTGGTGGCCGAGGGAGGCATTGGTACGTCGCCGTGCTTGTCCTTCTTGTGCATCTTCATCTTGTCGGGGCGCGAGAACTCCTTGTTGCAGATGGGGCAGGCGAAGATCTTGCGGTTCTGGCCCTCGTGGAAGAGGTAGGCGTGCCGCTGGAAGCTGTACTTGTTCTTGAACGTCTTGAAGATGTCGTTCTTGGCGCAGACCAGACAGTAGGCCACCCCGTCGATGATGTGCTCGTAGCGAGCGATGTCCAGGCCGCGCACACTCATCTTCTCCAGATACTCGCCCTGTTCGTCGTCGGCGATGACGCGCGTCTTGCGTTTGCGCTTCTGCTTGGCCGCCGCCGCCGAACCGGACTTGGGCACCATTGAGGAGGAGATGGTGCCCTGCTGATCCTGGCTGATGGTGTAGCTGGTGGTCCCAGCTGCCTGCTCCGCCGCCTCGGCCTCCACCTCGGCCTTGATCACCTGGAACTCCTCGAACTCGTGCTCCTGCTCCCCGTCGTGCTCGTTCTCCGGGTCGTGCTCGAGGCTCTGCTCCTCGTACTTCACCTGCAGCAGGCCGTTCTCCTCGTCGTCCTCCTCATCGCCAACGATCCCGTGCTGCGGCTCGTACTTGATGATGTCGGCGGCGACGGCACTGCTGCCGTTGCTCAGGCAATCGCTGCTGCCCGGCTCGCTCTTGAGCACATGGTACTCCTCGTAGGTGCTGCCATCGAACTCGATGATCGTCCCGTCCGTGTTCACCAGCGCCGTGGTGGTCGTGGTCGCCGAGGGATTGCCCTGCGAGACGGAGACGGGAACGGGCGTTGGAGCGGCGGCACTCACTGCCGGCATTCCGCCGTTGTAGTTCTCGAACACTATGGTGGTCGGTGTTTGTCCATCCTCGCCGGTGGTGGTGATGTAGTGATAATGTGGTTGCTGTTGCTGTTGCTGCTGCTGTTGTTGCTGCTGCTGCTGTTGCTGTTGCGTGTCCACTCCGTTGGTGTTGGCGTTCGTGTGCAGGATGGAGGACGAACTAATAGTTGTGACCACATTGTCTTTTGTTTATATATTTTTTGAAAATACATATTCGGTTCGGTTCATAAAAGATGTGTTTGAATGTAATATTTGCATAAATCAATAAATCAATTCGTAATCGAAATCGAAATCAATCAACAATTCACTCAAATCAGGTTTCTTGTTTTTTTTTTTTTCGGTTAAAACAAATGTTGTGCAAAATGAAAGCTATTCGTGGCCAACAGTGTGGGTAAATGCCACAGATGTGTTGCATCTGCCGCATTTTCACGGGCCTTTTCATCAATCAATCGAATTGGATACGGCAATACAGGATATACAGATAGAACGTGAGTGAATTGGTTTTTGTTTGTCGGTAGAATTTGTGTTTTTACTTAGATCTACTTTACAGCAATCGTAATCGTAACTCTGGTACAGTACTCGCAACTCAATACGTACAAAATAAAATTAAATAATTAATCGACTTGAATAACTGAGTTTACAGGAGGAAAGTTTAAAGGATGAAACTGTTGTGTTGGCCAACGTTGGTTCAGACTTCTCCTCTTGAAAGGACAAGCTGAGAACGGATAGAGTGGTGTTGTGTCAAAAGTACGAAACAATAAGTGGAGAGTAAAGGAGATAGTGTCGTTGCTAAAAATAACTAAATCATAATCGCAAATCTAAAAACTATGAGTTTTTCATTTCAAATTTGACGCACAGTGCTGCTAAGTGTTCGCTTGCGCATGGGCAGCACTTTCGCCGTCCGTTGGTCAACACTGGTCACACTTATCTACAGTTGGGCGCCAAAAATGGAATTGCAAATTCTTAAACTAGCTAATAAGTAAAATAATACGTGATCGACAATTTTTTGAGCCTTTTTTCGTCGCGCATTGCACGGAGTTTCCTCGGTTGAAATGATTTGTGCATTTATCTATGTGATTGTTCCAATATTCATGACATTTCGAGAAGAGACAGACACAAAACCTGGGAAAGGGTGTCGTAAATTAAAAACGAGAGCATGTTGTGTGTGGATCAGTCGAAAGCGGTTGTTGTTATTAATTGGGCGATGAGATTGGATTTTTGATTTTCGGTGGTTAATTGAAGAGTTTATCGACTTTTCATTTCTTGTCTTTTCTTTTCTCTTTTCTTATTTATGTTCATTTTTATTTTTGGAAAGGCAAAGGAGTGACAAGAGCTCGGCAAATGGAAGTCAAATTCATTGTTTGTTCTCATTCAAAACATTCTTGCTGAATGGCGCGTTTGAATTTTGGCACAAAAAGTTAAAAAAAAAAATAAAAATGACAAGTTTTAGTAGCGAATGACAAAGATGGAATATGGATGTGCGACACTTACAAAACAAAACATTTGATTGGATTCGAATTTGGCCAATTCGGATGACGGTCGAAATCATAAATGTGGGTGAGTTTGTATTTACAATGAGCGGTTAGTGATAATAGCTTGAACGGAAACACCAAATACGAGTACACAAGAGGGTTAAACCATACACAAAGACTACAACCAACAAACAAATAAACGTAAAGCGAACAAATTCAAGGCGGACACTTACCGGCAACACTGGTTGCAACATTCTGTTGCTGCTGTTGCTGCTGCTGCTGCTGTGGACTGCTGGCCGTGGTTTGATATGTGGCCGTGGCGGCAGTCACCGCATGTCCGTTTGCATCACAGAGTATTTCGTTTTGCAGCTGATAGACATTGCCATCCGTGCTGCCGTATTGCTGCTGCTGCTGTGTAATGCCGTTGAGGGTATTGGCCGCTGGCAACATGTTGACGTAGACAATCTGTTGCTGCTGCTCTTGACTAGATTTGGATGTGGATGCCTCCCGTGCTCCTGCTGCTCCTGTTGCTTCTGCTTTCTCCGACTGACTTAGTTTTGGTATCTTGCCCTCGAATTTACGCGACTGTTGCATAAACTGCAGCGACGGCTGCTCCTTTTTGGCATCTGAAAAACGTCAATCGGTAGCGTTTAGTACTTGATCGGATCTGGATTTTCAGTGATTGTGATTAAATGCGGTTAATATTGTTTTCGGTTTTGGTTGGTGTAAACACACACACACACATCGGTTTTTTTTGGGGGGGAGGGCATTGCAATGGGGTGGGGGGAATGCGGGTGAAAGCGAAGAAGCAAGTGAAGCAATTATTCTCTGGGTCGGCAAAACAAACAGGAGAACAGGCCCAGGCAGCACCAACACCTTGCGATTCGGTTTTAGTAAAACAGTTTTGGTTTTTGGTTAGTTTTTAGCATAGGTTTAAAAGCGTGATCGTATATTTCTCTGACGCACTCTTACAATTAAAACAAACTAGTTGACGACTTATTGTACATTAAACACAAAACAAATAAACCATGGAATGATTTTGCCTGTGGAACGGCTATAAAACATTGAATTTTGATGGTACCGAAAGGCGACGAAGAAGCTGTGAAATGTGAAATCGATGTTTTTGTTTGCTAGAGGAACGAATGAAAGGAGTGATTCGGGGAGTGACTGGGGCTTTGTCGGATTATTGGATGACTTGGAGGTCAGGTCGGGTGAAGCAGTGATTATGTGGATGCAGTGGTGCAGTGGCTGCTTAAGCTGCTGCTCTCACCTCCGCCGCCGTCTGCTGGTGTGTTTAGTGATGTTGTTGTTGTTGTTGTGGTGGTCACAGCTGCCGGCGATGTTGCAGCAGCAGGCGAGGCAGCAACACTTGCCACCGCTGGCGAAGTGGCACTTGGGTCCTTTTTCCGCCTCGTTGGTGTTTTTCGGGGCGTGCCGCTGGCCTTGCCACGCCTTGCACCTCGAGACGTTGAGGAAGTCGAGGACGCCGGTGATATGGAACGATCGTCCTTGGTGCGTGGACTGCGTCCCCGACTGTTGTTTCTCGAGTGATTCTTTCGCTTGGAGGCCAACCAATCGTCATCGTAGTCGGCATCGTACTTGCGCTTCTGTTTGCGCCGCTTGAAGTCCTCCTCCTCGTCGTCGTCTTCTGTCGAAAGAGAAGATTGGAAAGGCGAGACCAAAGAAAGGGAAGACAGAGAACAAGAGCAAGAAAAGAGATTATAGTACAGTTTTGTTTGGTTCGGAGTTAAGGGCACCTGAGGGCCCACACACCTGTGCCATCGTCTATGTACTCGAGCAGCTCCTGCTTGGTCTTCAGATCGGCGGGGCTCTGCAAACTCATGGCGTCCTCGTTCCCGAAATCGCCCTCCTCCCCGCCCACTTCGCCCGTGTCCAGCGTGAGCACACTCTCCTTCAGCATGGCCTTGACGTCGTCGGGAACGTTGGGATTCTGCTGGATTTCATCCAGATCCAGATCGGGATTGCGCTCCTTGAAGCTCTTGGCCTTGGTGGGATTGCATTGCTTTTTCATTCTAAAGAGAGGAGCAGAAGTAAGACAACATCCTGAATGGCATGGAAAGTACCCCCCGCGGAAAACCTACTTTTTATCACACAGCAGGACATCGAGATGAGGCGGCAGGGGAGCTGCGCTCAGCACCGCATTCGAGGGATCCTCGGGATGCCGGCCCACATCGCGCCCGTTCATCCACATGTCATAGCGATCGCTCTGGAAGCGCTTGACGAAGGTGTCCATGGAGATTTTCACCATGTCATTGCTGCAGGTGCACTGAACCGCCCGCTTGCCGTACTCGATCCACCGCTCCATGGCAAAGTTGGTGGACTCGGCGCAATTGAAACCATGGTTGAACCCAGCATGGTAACCGAAAGGAAACGTGATCATGATCTCGCCCGCTTCCTGCGTAATCTGCAAGAGGCCGGGATTTAGTAGTGCCACCAAATCGGAATTGATAACTGATAACAACACACACCTTACTGACTGGCACATCGTGCTGCTTTAGGATCTGCGGCGAGATGAGCGTCATCTTGTGGCGCAGATAGGCATTGCAGTTTTTGTAACTGGCCGGGAAATACTGATTGGCGACCTTCTCCAGCTTGCGACCACACTCGGGCGGCACAACGTACCACGTTTTCGGGGCCCCAAAGTGTAGGTAATTAATCGAATACAGATCCATGTCCTCCGTGTGCCAGGCAAAGGTCGTCTTCCACATGCCGAAGTACAAGTACGCGGTGTTAACACCATCGATCTGAATGTTGTAGTCCTTGTTCACATAATCTAGGATCGTGCCCAGCCGGTTGATGTTCCAGCTCTGCAAAGGGCAAATCGTCAGGTTGGAGGAAAACGCAAACCCCCAAGGGGAACCTAGCCCACACTTACATCCTGGTCGGTGTCTGTGATGCTCCCGCTGACATCAGCCCCGTAAATGGGCGCCACATAGGTTATGTTCTTCCAGTACTTTCGCTCCAGATCCTCAAAGTCAAAGTGCTTGGGCGTGGCATAACGCTCCGTGCTGGCCAGCTCGCTGAATTGCTTCACGGTCAGCGGTTTCTTCTGTATGTTTATCTGCTGGTAATAGCCCTGCTTGCCGGTGACCACTTGGCAGATGGGCGCCGGTATCGTGACATTCAGGGCATCCAAGTCGGCGTAGCCACTGCGGCGGGGTACCCATTCCGGCGGTGGGACCACCTTGGCCAGACCGGCTTTGTGGGCGCCCTGGGACTCCATGTAGGCAACGTACTTGGGAAAGTCCTTGAACTCCTCCCAAGTGGGTCGAAAGACCATAATGCGAGGCACCTCTGACATTTTCATGATTCCGATTCCGGTTCGTTCGTTTGCCTTGCCTACTCGAAACTTTTCTCTCGGATATTGCTGCTTAACTTCGATCTGGAACGTGTGATAGGAAGCAGCATTAAAACTCCGTACTCCGAACTCCCAGTTCGGCCCATTAATCCCGGGCAGATGCCCCGTCCGTCTGCCTGCCCCGTCGCTGAGCGCTCAAATTTAGAGCTCAAAACGCTCAATGGTTCGGATCGGATGGGATCGGATCGGATCGGATCGCTTGCCTGCCGCACAGAAAACAAATTCTGAGGAGCGCACGAACAGCTGCAACTTTTCGAGGTTTTTTTTTTGCCTTTCTTTTCTTTTAATGGGCGCGGCAGCAGCGACAACAGCAGGCAGGCAGGCAGGCAGGACGACTGACTGGCAGGAGAATAGAGGCTGGCAGGATATGCAGTTGCCGCTGCCCCCCGCCCCTTCCCCTGTCATTCGAGTGGTTTTCCTCGTGTGCTACAAACAGTGCCCATGCCAGCCCATAGGAACCCATAAAAAGTGCAACGATCGTTCATTCGATAACCTTAAGAAATGTTGTAAACTGAGTAACGTATATTACATATCATGCAGAACCGGCTGAAAGGTTGAAAGTTTAAGGAATAGCTGGTTTTATGGATCTGATGAAAGCTGAAATTGAAATTCCTTACCAAAAATAATTTGTTATAAATTGTCAGTTAAACTATCTTACAGAATTTGTCAACTAATATATTTAGAAAATACAAGAACAGATCAGAATATGTTCCTGTACCTCAACTATAAAAAATTTACTTAAAAATACTTACTGATTTGTTATAAATAAAGCCAAAGTAAATGTAGGTTGTTTACTTGTCATGTCAACAAATATATATAATTTAAATATTGTTCACCAAAAAAGTAAAACGTTTTCGCTCGAAACTGATTAGCTTATAAACCATAAAAGATCAGAAGAAAATTTTAACAATAATTTAGAAACTTTGTGTATAAACATTTTTATATTTTATAGATAAGTTAAGAATTTATTTGCCGCCACAATTTTAAAATTTTAGTCTATTTACCATTTTCTTATCAATTAATTTTTTTCTTATTTCATCAACTAATCTAATTTCATGAATCACATAATTTCCGGAGTGCACAATTTTTAGAAACACTTTGGGAAATTTTAAGAATCATCAAGTTAGTGTCTTTCAAAAACAGAAATATAATGAATCATGCATAATTGAACATTTTTGCTGTCTGTATTTCTGTATACGTCGAGCCACCCAAATTAAAAATCCCAAAAAAAAAAAAAAAAACAATAAAACAAGATGAAGGGGATAATTAATTATTGAGTGCCAGGACAAACTGTTATCTCCGCGGCAAGTCATTTATATGTGTCGCGAACGCCCAATAAGCAAATGACACAAATCCGGCGACATTTTTTCCCCATTCAATACCAATGGTTTTCCTTTTGTTTTTCCTATTTTCCGTACAAGCAGACAAGAAGCTCTGCAGGCCGGAGAAGCAGCAAGGATAGCGATAACGAGGACAACGCTGTGCGAGACATCCCAGAGAACTAGATGAAAATTTACGCAATTTTTCGGCCACGCAGAAAACTGTACCACCACCCGAGGACTTCAGGAGAGCGAGAACACCAAAAAGGACACTGAGAGAAAGAGAGCCGCCGATGATGGGGAAGGGCAGGGGGAAGGGGGGAGCGATGACGAGTGCGCAAAACTATTTGCTAGCTAAAAGGAGAGAGTGAGAGAGCGAATTTTGGAGGAAAGGAGCGAGAGATTGTATGGGCAGGATATACTCGCTACTTTAGGGGCAATACGAAATGGGCGAGTCGCTAGCCAGCGAGAACATGACTGTGTGTGTGTGTGTGTTTACGGTTGGGTGAGTGTGTGTGTGTGTTTGTGAAAGGACGAAATTTGGAACTCACTTGTGATGGGCTTCGAAGGTTTTTTTTATTAGCTTCTCTAGTTTGTTCGATGCTCTCCGTGCGTAAATCCCAAAGAAATGGCAAAAGTATTTGTGTGCCCAAATAAGCAACGCTTGCTTGTTGTTGATTTAGCTGCTGCTGTATTGCTTTTGTTTGTATTTAGTTGAAGTTTATTGCACATTATTTTATTGTGTATTTGCATGCGAAACTTTTGCTCCTCTTGAACTAATTGTAACTAATTTGCACTGTTTGACGTTTAGTACGAAACACTTTTGTTTTTTTCAATTTGCGATTCTTGTAGAATGATTTGCTTTGGTTTTGGTGAGTTATGTATATATTTAATTTAATTTAATCCTGCAACATCTGATGGCGTCGTTGTTTTGCGTTTTACAGTCTTTGACTTGATGGCTGCTGCTCGTTCTCTCTTCGAGGATGTATATATATAAATATATATAGATATATGTATATGCGTACTAGCTAACTAAAAGCACTCACGACGGGCGCGACATGTCTGAGCGGTCTGAGCGGCAAGCGTTGACTGAACGGCAGTTCGATGTCAGGACGCTGGCGACGCAGGCGTCGAAAGGACTCGCTCGCACTCACACACAGACACGGGCCGCACACACCGTGAGCCGTGAGCACACACGTACGCACGAGAGCGTTGTCCTTTTAATGCGAATGCTCTGGTCAAAGCATAATGCGAAAGGAAAATTGGTGTAGAGCCAAAAGGAGACGGCGCAAACAAGTTTGACAGGATAATTGTGGAGGGGGAAAATGCAGGCCGTGAGGAAAACTGGCAGTTTTTATCGCTCCTCCTTTTCCTCCGTTCATTCTATTCATCGAACAATGCCTTTTCCCGGCTCTTTCGTTTCATTGCGAAAAGCAAATGTGGCAAAAAGGAAAACGCATTCGCCATTCGAAACGCTCTCTCGCATTCATTCGGGACTCCCTTTCACAAAATATCTCTCTAAGCAGTCGGAGAAATCGCAAAGGACTTAATCCTCATTATACATTGTCCTGGCCTGGATTTCGGATTTTGGCGAATATCTAATCTGGTGATTAGAAATCAAGGATCGCCTGCGATCGTTCGTAGGTAAACGACTGCGGCAGGGGTTCGATCTCAAGGATCCACTTGAGACGGGAACCAAGGATTCGCTCTCTCGAGACGGCTTCATGTATCGGTTATTTAATAATTGAATATTTATTAAATCATGCAAAACCAACAAACTGGAAAGCCATTGTGTTTTTGGCATACCAATTTGTTTGTTTTTAAATGTTATAATTTTCAATAAATATGATTTATTTATGCGACTTAATAGGGTTTATGGTGCAGTGAGAAGACTCTATAAGATATAAATATTTTTTGGGCTAATTCAGCCAGTTCGTTAGCTATAAAATGTATGCCAATACGCAAGATCATTGATCACTTTTAAGCTACAAGAATATGGTTCATATTGTCTTTGTGAATTGGTTACAAGATGTACAAAAAAAATGTCTGGGAATAGTAAAATGTTTATTTAAAATAAACTCTGGAGTACATAAAATATCATATTTTAATTTTCTCTATTTCTGTATCTTTTATTACATCATTACTAAGTTAATCTTGAAACACTCTGATAAGATATAAGACAATTATTCGATAACTACAGAACCCCATAACAAAATTGTGCAATTTGCCAAATCCCTTATAATGCCCAATTTAATGGAACATGAGTTCCGTTTCCCGAATACAAATTAGCACATCTGCAACAACTGCGAAGGATAACTGCAGCGAGTAATTACGTGATAGCGTTTCGATAACAAGCTTCCCCGCATCCTGTGAGCAGCAAACCCATACAAAAACCAACATAATATTATAAAACGAAGCAAAAACTGGAGAGAGAATGGGGAAGGGGAGACAAAAAGGAAACTGAGTAATTACAGCGGCATGAAACGGCAAGAGGAATGCCGCGGAGAAGTATAATTTACAGCATGTCATTAGGCGGGCAACGCCTACATAAAATGGAGCTTGAAGGAGCGGTCGGTCAAATGAGAACGGCAGGATCAAAGCGTGACCAGAGCTCAAAAGAATGGTCACACTGCACACGGGGGGACTTTGGCAAGAACAAACAATAAGTGGCGGGGTGCCCAAGGATCCTGGAAACTTGTTTCTCCTAAAAACAGCTCAGCCAGAACGTACAGAGAGTGAGCGAGCAAAAAGGACGAAAGAGAGAGAGGGAGAGAGTAGGAGAGCTTGCAGGAAAAGCAGCGAGAATGACCAGGCGGCGGCTTCAACTTCCGGCAGGATAACTCACACACACATACACTGTCGCACGCACACAAGCTGCAGTTGTGTACACAATGTGGTCATTGACTGAACGGTAAAAAGCGAAAACAGGAACTCAACGCCAGCAGCAGCAGCAGCAACAAAAACAAAAACAACAACTGGCGATGACGTCGTCGACGAAGAACACACGTAGGAACCGCCATAATACGCGTCCCCTTTTTCCACATTCCCACTTTTCCCCCCCTCCTTCCTGCTATTTTATATTCCATTTCTCACACACACACACACACACACACACAGACGTACACATCGTCCTGTGTCTCGTGTGATTTCACAAAGCATTTCTCTAATACAATTTCTCATAAAATTTCAATTCGAGCTCCGCTTTGCCTCAGCTGCGACAACAACTACAAGATTATTTATGCTTTTTTTCCTTGTTCCTGTCGTTTGTTGTTGTAGTTGTAGCTGTTGTTCCTGCAGTCGCCGTCGCCGCTGCCAGTTGCCCGTTTTATATCCTTTTGTGACGCTAAGCACGCGCGTCGAAGCCGCACAGTGGGCTAATTTTATATTAAAAAGTTAATTTTTTTTATTTAATTCAACTAAGAAAATTAAACATTATTTTTTATGAAACGAATGAACCATCAAAAGAATTTTAACTTACTAAGTGTTAAAATCAAAAACTCGAAATCCCCTATGAATCTTTTAGAACTGAAAAACTTGTTAATTTATGGGCTTTTATTTTAATTGAAATAGTTGTCTGACTGTGGCTTCAGTTATTTCTTTATAGCCTTTATTAGTTCTTGAAAAACTAAAGTTTTATATTGGGCCATATGTAAACTAATTTACATATTTAATTGTTACCACTGTGCGGCGGTGACAGGCATCGAACGAAAAGCAAAGCACGCGTCCCCTTTTCGAAGTTTCCCTTTTGTTGTCTTTTATCTCAATTGCACAACTGTTTGGCTTTGGCTCGTTTCTCTGCCTTTGCCGCTGGCCTTTGTTTTGTTTTTATGCTTTCCATTCGTTACATTTTGTGATTCTCGTGTCTGTGTGTGTGCGTGTGTGAGTGTCTAGTGTACTGCGAGTCCTTTTTTTAAGCAGGCGCCCAGCTACAGTCGTCCTGGCGTCCATTCTTTTCGGTTGTTGTTGCGAGCTAAGTGAATAAAAAGCGTTGAAGAAGGAGGAGAATTCGAGGCGCATGACAAGTTTCCCGTTGCAGGCTTTCGGCGCACACTCGCAGCTCTCTATCTTTCTCTATATTTCTCCGATTCTCTATGGCTCTCCCAGCTCGTTTCTCTACATCTCTCTCTTTCTCTCAGCTGCAGCACACCCAGCAGCTGCCTTCGCAATCTAATTAATTCTCCTTCTCGCCATTGTTCGTCTATCGCTCGACACTTTTTGCATCTAAGGACTTATTGGTCAACAAAATGGCGGCCATTTGGAGCAGAAAGCGCAAGGATATACAACGAATATGTAACAAGAAAAAAGGGAAAACTTTTCAAGAAGCCCGTGCCCGTGCTCAAGTGGCCACTCGGCCATCCTGCTCAAGGAAAGTCGATCGAAGCAGGATGTTAGCACCAGGACCTTCGTTACTACACAAGTACCTTGTGCTCTAAATTCATACCCATGGCTTTAGAAAATATGGAACGAGGCCAAGAGGCCCTAGAATTTCCAGGTGGAATAATGACTTCCAAGAAGGTGGCATGAAAAAGAGAATGAATGCCTTTGAACTTCTCAGAGTTCTATTGCAGTTATTTGGTTTATCAACACTGGAGCAATTGTTTAAGTCAAAACAACAACAATACGTTTAAGATTGAAATAGTAATATAAGGCCCTATACAAGTTTTATGTTTAGGGTTTTTAAAATGTATTTCATTATTATTAACATATTAACAGAAAGATAGTATAAAATAAATCCATATAAGAATTCGGGTTTTGTGGCTTTGTGCCAAGATACAACAAATGTGAAGGTAAATGCTCGGCAAAGTATGCAATATATTTCCAGTCCAGCCCCAACGTGCAGAACACGAATCCTTAAATGTCACCTTAAACCTAGCACAACACCATGGCCTGTAACCCTTAACCCCATCCACACTAATTGCATACCCTTAGTCGGACTTGGTAGAAAGGATCGCACCACCCACCGACTGGAGTGCAACCACCCGGCGGGGCGGCGCGACCTGTTGCGTTGACAACTTGTTCGCACTTCATCCACGGCCCGGAACCACCACACCTGACCTGTGGACTTCGGGCGGGATCTGTGCCAAAAGCACCACCTAGTCCGGGGGTATGTTTATAATTTGCCTTATGAATGCGAGCGGGAGCGGATGCTCCTTTTGCTCAGCTTTAACTACCACCGATGGATGGCTCGCTCTGTTTTGGTTTTTTTTCCTTCCGTATTTTGGTTGGGAAAACCCCTAAATGTGTCGAAGACGTTGTGTGGATGGATGACATGCCGGCACACGCCACCGCCGAATTCATATCCGTAGCTGACGTTTCCGTGTTCCCAAGTGTCCGTGGTGGTGGGTTCGGAATTCACATGACCAAGAGCAAGAGCGGATGCGGTCGGTGCCGGCGTCTGACTGCTGACTGCTGGGGTTGCTTTCGTTTGTTTACGTTTTTGGGGGGTTTTCCACAAACGTCCTTGCACCTACGAGAAGGCCGTGCCATGCGGTTCGGTTCTTCGTTCGATGTGGTGCGTGCGTGTGAGCGGAACCACCCCATCATGCGCCATGTGTCCCAGAGCAAGTGCGCCAATGTAGGTCGGTGCGGTGGTTGGTCTCGCCCTGGTGGTGATTCCAAAAATATGCCCAGACATGTCTAAGGGTTACTGCCACTGTCACAGTTCCGTTTTTGTTTATAAACATTGCGCAAAACAGCTGATTTTCGGCCATCCCCCAAAAGCTGAGACTCCACACCCCCAAAAAACACAAAAAAAAAAAAACACTCCATTCTCAGCCAGGATAAAGTGAGCTTCAGGCGGAAAATACTGCATCACCTGCATGCCGAGTTCTTAATCGGAGAGCTCTCGTTCAGGACAGCTGGCTGGAAACAGCACAGCAGCAGGCCGGGGTCCTTAGGCACCGACAGATGTCGGCTGTAAAATGTAATGGACGTTCGTGGGCAGGCAATCCAACGAATTGCAGCCGGCACTGAGCATTGAGCATTGAGCAGAGCCGAGTTGAAAGGACGAAGGCACAGAAGGGATCGAGAACGAACAGCCTAACTGGCCTGCTGTTGCATTGATTAGTTCAATGAGCGGAGTGTTGGTAACATCTGGTCCCTAGCTCGTCGTTCATCGATCCTCGCTTGGCATGTGCCACGGATCGAAGGACATCTGCTAGCTGCCTGCCGATCGGGGGGAGCCCAAGGCGAATGTTTGATGGTTCCACTTCCCAGAGTGATAATGCTCTCTTTTTGGCAAACAGGGGAATTGAAAAAGCTAATTTAACACGAAATATGGAACCATTTCAGGATGTTTTTTTTATGAAAGACATCCTTTGTTTTGCCAAAGTAGTAAAGCAGTTACACAAAACCCTCGCGGTAATAATGAAATAAGTGTCATGAGTGGGGTCTGTCATGAAATTTATTAGCATTTCCTGTATTTTCTTTATTTTAAATGGTTACTTATTAAACAAATACACTACATACATGATTATAATATAAGATACAGCTGTATATGTAGCTGTAGAATATTTGATTTGAGTTAATCTTACAAATTAACTTTTCCATTTTCTTGTAAAGATAAAAATAATATCACTCAACTTGCCTATTTTAATAGGAACTGATCATTTTGTGTGGGTAGTAGACGCTACCTGGTAAATTGGTAAAAAAAAAAGATCTAAAATGCTGGCTCCATCGCCAGCTGTTTCTTTATATTGCCATCAGCTGCCCGACCCCACAGGATGCCTTTCCAATGCCCAAACAGCCAGCATAAAAAACTTGCAGCAAACGTCGGGCAAACAGCTTTCCAAAATTGAATTCTCCCAGCTGTAACTGGACACCGAGGCCCGTAGGGAGGATAAGGATGGGAATGGGAACAAAAATGGGGATCGGGATAAGGTCGAGCACAGGAAGAGGGGTACCGAGTGCCCCAAACTGGGAAAAGTTTCAAATTGCGCTAAGAGCAACTGGCTTAGGGAAAGAAACCGGTATGTGAACGGGCCAGGACTCGCTTACAATCGAGGGCAATTACATACATTTTACGAGAAAGGAGCTGGCGAGAACAACCGGCCAGAACTGTAACACCATTCGAGACTTCCGCTTTTGGCTGTCGTCGAAAAGGAAGTGCAAAATGTCGCTGAAAATCACGGCTTCCCTGTCGCTTTGCAGTCTGTCCCAATGGCAGCTGCGTTTTGCCACCGTGTTTGCGCAGGCGTACATTGAACCCTGCCTTTTCCTTTAGTCTGAGAAATCAGGTAGAAGCAGACGCAGACAGGACGGCAGATGTTCCCTTCGTGAGTCCTCTTTGTCGCAGGTCAGTTGCTGTCTCAAAAAGAGTTGGTTTTCGGTCTCTATTGTCGCTCGAAGGCTCGTAGAAAGGCTTGTCAAACATTTGTTTACCTTTGTTTGGTTAGAAGAAGTCATCGACTCGAACAATGGGGGAGAAACCTTCTAAGCCACAGCTGCGATCAAATCGAGATCATAAAACGCTGGCGAGACATTCTTTAGACCTTCTTATTAGTAATATTAGAAAAAGTTTTGGTTGCATTGATACTAAAATGTGGCATCCGTAAAAACAAATTTATACATCGATACAAATATATTAAAAACAATATATTTGGGTACCCACAAATTTGGATATCATGATTCATTAAAAATTAGGAAACAAGCAAGGGGTAATATGTTTTATCTTGGTTACGTTTTGTTTTCGTTTTAATAGTGTTGACAAATTGTTGAAATAAGCTTTTGTGTGATTTGTTATGTTAGGATATGTAAGATCAGCATGGAGAGCCAGAAGTTTGTTTACTTCGCTACAAAACTATTTCTAAATTTTACTTTAAAGCATGAACTGTCCATTTCAGCTTCATAGAAGTACAGAATGATAACACCTTTAAAATCTCTGATTACATTTGTCAATGAAATCTGCCTAAATATGTAATAGTACGTTTTAACTCAATTGTTTTGTTTTTGGTTCTTAAAATGCCGGTTTTCTTAAATCTATTAAATAAGCTGGTAATTAAATAATTTCTGCTGCTCTAGTACATACATATGTAGTTATACTCTATAAATTTAAAATCCTCTCTTGACAATCATGGTTCTATTTATACCACCCCGACTGTGTAACAGTCATCGGAAAGAAAAAACGCACGGCTGGCGAATTTGCCAAGTTAATGGAATTAATTCGGGTCCGAGAGTTCCAGTAACAAAGTGGGTGGCAGCAGTGGGTGGTAGGGAGGCAGCCCCGCTTGGCGAATTGAAAAATCGATTTTGTACAACGCACTCGCTGTTGCAAATCGTTGAATGGGGGAAAATGGACAGTGATGGGCACTCTATGTTGGGGAACTCACCCGATTGCTGATGCAGTTGCTCCTCCTTCAAGTTCTCTTCCGCCTGCTCCTCCTTTGATCCCCTTTATGTGGAGGATGTGGGGCACCTGTGTTTTTCACTTCGCGATTTCCCAGCAATCTGCACTGCTGGTGCAACAGAATCGGGGAATCGGGAATCGAGGAATCGGAATCGGCGTACGTGACCGAGAAAAGGTGCTCGTTCACAATGGACGCAGTCGCAGTTTATTTACAATAGATTAGCTGCACATGTCTGGGTGCATTGTTGTTGCTGCTGCTCTTGCTAATTCTTCTTGTATCTCATGGATAGTTAAATATTAAATGATATTGTAGTAGTTATAACTTTTTTTTATTTATTTGGCAGCGAAACACTCGCCATTCTTATAAGATGGCTGCTTATCAGACGCCTAGTCTCCAGTTTAATGGACACACAAACTCGCAATAGAACATTTACATTGACGCGGTAGCTTGTCACTAGTGGTACTATATTATACGCGAACCTCTGCAGTATTTACTAACAGTTCCCAAAAAGCACAACACATATTACACCAGTTTATGTATTTATTTTTCGCAAAAATCTAGCCATGATGCAAAAACACTGTAACCGCAGGTGTGACCAGACTCCTCCCAGTACTAGAAACCAATTACAAATACCGACACACACCTATCGATAATCCGACAGTGCTGTCAAGCTAAATCCAAGTTATAGCCAAACAATCTAATAACAAGAAATTTGTATATGTTTCATTAATCAGTTTAACCTAAAAAAGAAATTAATTTCTTTTAAAGAAAGCAGTTCTGATTAACATTTAAAAATTATTTATTATACCCTCATAGCCTTGACAACCAAAACTCAAATTTAAAATACAACAGTTTTATACAATGCTCATTTTTTAATTTGGGATGATAATATGAAATACTAGATTGTATATATATTTAAATTGCCAAATAAGGTATATGTAAGTTATTTATATAAATTTTATTATTAAAACAACATTTGTTTACTGATATTAATATAAAAACTAATATGCATGGTGGGCATTTTATATTGATAATGACATATGTTGACAACCCTGCTCACAAAGTGCACACGTTTTCATCTGTTTTTTCTGCGACTCCCGTTCAACTGCAAGTGAGTAATGAACTCCGGCCATTTCATCACTTAACTCACGATTGAACCAGCCAGATTTACACCTGCGACCACCTATAAAAATGCCCGAGGCTGAACAGCAGAACGATGCCAGTGCACCGGCCGGAGCAGGAGGTGATCCTCCGAAGACTGCCAAGCAGTTGGAGAAGGAGCGCCTAAAGGCGGAAAAGCTGGCCAAGCTGCAGGCAAAGCTGGACAAGAAGGCAGCGGCTGCTCCAGCAGCGGGTGAAAAGAAGGAGAAGCCAGAGGTAAGTCACCAAAATACACTAGTACCAGTAATTGGGCTCTCGAATCGAGGTTATGTGGCCAAGTGAAAGGCGGTAATTGCAACCTATTGTTACAAGAGAAACCTAATGGTTTTTGTACTTTCCCAACCCATTGTAGAAGCGCACCAAGGAGGTGAAAGAGGCTGCCGTCTACACGGCAAAAACAGCGCCCGGGGAGAAGAAGGACCTTAGTGGACCGCTGCCTGATGCCTACAGTCCACGATACGTGGAGGCCCAGTGGTACAGCTGGTGGGAGAAGGAGGGCTTCTTCACGCCCGAGTACGGAGTGAGTTCATTTTGTTTCTACCTATGAACTTAATAACTAATCCTGATTGATCCCTCAGCGCGAGTCGATTGATGCCCCCAACCCGAATGGCAAGTTTGTGATGATTATTCCCCCGCCAAATGTGACGGGATCCCTGCATTTGGGTCACGCCCTGACCAACTCTATTGAGGACGCAATCACGCGGTACCACCGCATGAAGGGACGCACCACCCTGTGGGTGCCTGGCTGTGATCACGCTGGCATCGCCACCCAGGTTGTGGTGGAGAAGCTGCTGTGGCGAGACGAGAAGCTCTCGCGGCACGATCTTGGCCGAGAGAAGTTTATCGAGCGCATCTGGGACTGGCGTCGTGAGAAGGGCGGCCGCATCTACGATCAGCTCAAGAGTCTGGGCTCCTCCTACGATTGGTCGCGAGTGGCCTTTACCATGGATCCTAAACTCTGCCGCGCTGTGACCGAAGCATTTGTCCGCCTGCACGAGGAGGGCAGCATCTACCGCAGCTCCCGGCTGGTCAACTGGTCTTGCACTCTGCGCTCGGCCATTTCGGACATTGAAGTGGACAAGGTGGAGATCCCCGGTCGCACATTCCTCTCAATTCCCGGCTACGATGACAAGGTGGAGTTCGGTGTGCTGATCAAGTTCGCATACAAAGTTGAGGGTAGTGATGAGGAGATCGTTGTGGCCACCACCCGTATCGAGACGATGCTGGGCGACACAGCTGTGGCCGTGCATCCCCAAGATGAGCGCTACAAGCATCTGCACGGCAAGTTCGTCGTCCATCCGTTCTCCACGCGACGCCTGCCGATCGTGTGTGACGAGTTCGTGGACATGGCTTTTGGTACGGGAGCCGTGAAGATTACCCCGGCCCACGATCCTAACGATTATGAGGTTGGCAAGCGCTGTAACCTGCCCTTCATCACGATCTTCAACGACGATGGCTTCATAATCGGCGACTACGGCGAGTTCACGGGAATGAAACGATTCGATTGCCGCAAGAAGATTTTGGAGAAGCTGAAGGCGCTGAATCTTTACCGCGAGACTCTGAACAATCCGATGGTGGTGCCCATTTGCAGTCGCTCCAAGGACGTTGTGGAACCGCTAATCAAGCCTCAGTGGTATGTAAGCTGCTCGGACATGGCCGCCTCCGCCACAGAAGCTGTTCGCTCAGGTGAACTGAAGATAATACCGGAGCACCACACAAAGACGTGGTACCACTGGATGGATGGTATTCGTGATTGGTGCGTGTCGAGGCAGTTGTGGTGGGGCCACCGGATTCCCGCTTACCATGTCAGCTTCAGCGACCCTTCAATTCAAACCGGATCGGTGAGTGAATCTATTTTGAGTCTTAGTTTTATCTGGGGTAATATATAATATAATGTTTGACTTGACAGTCTGCACATGGAAAAGTGGTGCGTAAAAAGACGTAACTACAATCAATTCTTTAAATTAAACGTTTTTCCCTAAGAGTTACTTAAACATTCTTAATTGTATTCCTCACAGAACGATGACGAGCAATACTGGATTGTGGCACGCACCGAGGAGGAGGCTCTTAGCAAGGCAGCGGAACGATTCGGAGTGGATGCCAGTAAAATTGTACTTAAGCAAGACGAGGATGTCCTGGACACGTGGTTTAGCTCGGGCATCTTTCCCTTTTCCGTGTTTGGCTGGCCAGACAAAACCAAGGACCTGGAGACCTTCTATCCCACATCGCTGCTGGAGACCGGTCATGACATTCTCTTCTTCTGGGTGGCTCGCATGGTATTCTTTGGCCAGAAATTGCTGGGCAAGCTGCCGTTCAAAGAGGTATACCTCCACCCAATGGTCAGGGATGCGCATGGTCGCAAAATGTCCAAGTCTCTGGGCAATGTTATCGATCCGATGGACGTCATTTGCGGCATCACGCTGGAGGGACTCAACGCTCAACTTGTGGGCTCCAACCTGGATCCACGCGAAATCGAAAAAGCGAAGGCTGGACAAAAGCAGGACTACCCGCAGGGTATTCCAGAGTGCGGATCTGATGCCCTCCGATTCGCCCTGTGTGCCTACATCACGCAGGCGCGCGACATCAACCTGGACATTAACCGCGTCCAAGGATATCGCTTCTTCTGCAACAAACTCTGGAACGCCACCAAGTTTGCCCTGCTGTACTTCACCGGCTCCGAGAAGTTTGACACGGAACTCAATGCGTCGGAAGTGATCAACCAGATGGACGCCTGGATATTGTCGCGATTGGCTTCTGCCATCGAGGCATGCAACAATGGTTTCGAGACGTATGACTTTGCTGCCGCCACCAGCGCTTGCTACGCATTCTGGCTGTACGACTTGTGCGACGTTTATCTGGAGTGTTTGAAGCCGGTCTTCCAAAGCGGAACTGAGGAGCAGCAGGCCGCCGCTAGGCGCACACTTTACGTTTGCCTGGACTTTGGCCTGCGTCTGCTTTCTCCGTTTATGCCTTTCATCACGGAGGAACTCTACCAGCGGCTGCCGAGGGCCAAACCCGCGCCCAGCATTTGCGTGGCCAGCTATCCCAGTAAGATGTTAACCTAAATCCAAACGCAAGAATCCGTAATAATACTATATTTTTTTCTAGGCAATATCTCCTGGCGTAGCACGAAAATAGAGGCAGACGTGGAGTTTGTACAAAAGGCTGCACGCATCATTCGCTCCGCTCGATCCGACTACAATCTGCCCAACAAGGTCAAGACCGAGGTGTATATTGTGTGCACGGACGCGGCGCCACGTGAAATACTCAAACGCTACGCCAGCGATCTGGCCACCATATCCTATTGCTCCAAGGTGGAGTTCGACAGCCCAGCACCGCCCGGTTGCGCCATCCTCACAGTGACCGGCCAATGCGAGGTGCATCTGCTGCTCAAGGGACTCGTGGAGGCCGACAAAGAGATCGCCAAGCTGCAGAAGAAGAGCGACCAACTGGTGCAGACGGTGGGCAAGCTGACTCAGGCCATCCAGGCCGCCGACTATGCCACCAAGGTTCCCGCCGAGGTGCAGGAGGCCAACGAGACGAAGCTCACCGAGTCGCGGGCAGAGATCGAGCGCATTGCTGCCGCCATCGAGACACTGAAACTGATGTGAACAGGGAAATGGTAGCCGCCAGTCGGTGACACTAGTAATTGATATTCGAGCACGCTTGCCTCGCTGGCTGCTGGGCTTAATGCTTAAGAAAAAATATACATACACATGCGCTTCACTCGCAAAAAACAATTAATGCATTTTGAACAGATTAGATCGATCAATCAATGATTTTTTGTTTATTTATTACGTCCCACACTTTAAATTTTGCCGGTATAAATAAATAGAAAATAATATACGCTAAAAGATTTTGGTTCTTTAACTTCCGAACTACCAGGTTAATCGGGTGGCATGATCTGTTTTGCGCTTGGACATCTTGATGTAACCCAGAAACTGCAACTCGGCTACGGCGCGAGTGAAGCGGGCTCTAAATTGAGAAGGGGAAAACGTACAGAATAAGCAGCCATATCAGTGGGGAATCAGTTTAAGTACTCACTGAATCTGAGGATCGATTTGCTCCTGGTTTGTTTCCTCGTTGTCGCAGCCACTCACCACAGATCGGAAGGCCTGCAGCCAATCGAAGAGGTTTATCATGCGGCCGCACTCCAGATGCAGCTTGTACACCACGGAGAGATCGGGCAGGGTGTTTACGAGTTGTGTCTGATCTTGGAGTTCGCAGCACTTGCACTGCAAGTAAAAGTGCGGGTTGTTCAAAGCTGTATGTAGAGCAGCTCGGGGAGCTCCTATTATGTTTCGGCGCACTGTCCCAATGTCGCTGAAAACGAACAGCTCGTGGATTGGCGGTGCGTCCTGCAACGGGCGGAGATGCTCCTGGACAATGTGCGTCTCGATCAACTGAAGAGTTTTCTGCAAAGCTCGTGCAAACTGCGTGGTGGGAGTATTTAGTTGTTGTCGGTTCTTGTCCTCTTTGCTGCGCTGCAATAGCTGCTCCTTGAGCTCCTGACGCGAAGCCACCTGACTAAGATTATCCACTGCCTGTCGGCCTTCGTTGGGCGATGTTGTTGTCACGGCCGTCATGGTAGCTGTGATCACATCGTTTACTGATCGGCGAATAGCTTCCAACTGAGGCCTAAGCACAGCTGTGCAGGCTTCGCCAAGTTCCAGGGGAGCAATCTCGTTGACCAGGAATTGCTCCGTTCTCTCGAGACAGCGGTTAACCTTAGAAACGAACTCATCCTTGGAGAGAAAACTAAGCATCTGATGGCACTCCTTGTACTCCGGCATCGTGATGAGCGACTTGTTTAGACAGTTCACATACAACTCACGACGTAGTTTTCCTAGTGGACATCGTGGCAGATCCCCAACCAGTTCCGTGAGAAACTCCAGGGAGCTGCGAAAGAGCAGGAAGTGGAGAAGGCAGTCGCGCAACAACTGCGGCAGCTTTTTCTTAAGATATTCGTCGTCGGTAAGCACAGCTATAATCCGTTTGCAGTCGTTGATCTGCTCAACGTACGGCCTAAAAGAGGGCAGTCTTCGAATGGTTTCCATGTCATCGTGTGTCAACTGCTTAATGCGTCCCAAAGCTTTGCTGTAGTCCGCACAAAGTGCAAACGCATTTCCAGCGAAGAAATGCTCCATCAGGCAGTACTTGAAGCCCTGAATAAATCCGTGGATGGAGAAATCGTAATACAGGAAAATGTGGGTCAGGAACTTGAAGGTCTTTCCCGAAAGGTGGAATGCGTACTTGGGCGACAGCAGAACTTTGTCCAGCACCTAGGATATTTAACTCGGTTATTAAATAAATTTTATTACGCTTTTTAAAACAGATTTTAAAGTCGTTAAAAAATATATAAGTTAAATATTTATTATATTATTTATATTATATTATCGTTACTATCTTACCTCGTTTAGACCCATCGGGGCGGCTTGCGTTTGGAAAACCCTCAAACGAATCTTGCTGCTGACGTGGTAGGGCAGAGTACCATGCACTGCAGTCATGGCCGTGGCGACACCGAGAACCAAAACGAATGGCAGTGAACAGCAGTGCGCGCTAAGGATTAGGATAAGATCCTGCAGCACGTTGGCGCTGAAGCACTCAAAGTCCGGCAGGATGACGACCAACTGGCGCCGCTTTTGCTCTGAGTCAAAGTTGTTGGCGTACCAGGACTTAAGCTGCTTCATGGTGCACTGCGAGCGACGCAGTCGCTTGCGATCGCGGTCGGCCACATCCTCCTCCTCGTCCTCAATGTCCTCTGCCTCGGCATCACCTTCGACCAAACCGAAGACCAAGGACTCCACTGCGGCTTTGAGAGAGGCACAATCTCGCGACTGAAGCACGCAGACTTTTGCAGCCCGCAGAACGTGTAGCCGTTGGGTAAATGTTGTAAACTGGCTGAGGTGATCCGGCTGATTGATGCCCGTCAGCAGAGCGGCGGTGGGCAGGACCTCATCCTGTGTCGTCCGCTGTCCCTGGGCCACTACAAAGTCTACCAGCTGTTCCAGAGTGCGGGCATAACTTCGCTGTTGTAGGTCGGTAATGTGAGTGTTCACCTGGTTCCAGGCATTGCGATATTCCACGTAGAACGGTTGCTGGACCACTTCCTTTCCCAATAGGCTACTTGATCCCAGAGCAGGACGCTTCCTTTTGCTAGACGCCTTTTTGCCGGCTCGTGTAGCACCGTTTTTATAAACAAAACAACCCTTAAATGAAGAAAACCAAAAAAACATAAGCCAATGTTCCTGTAAATAGTAACCAAACCACTCACCTTAGACACGGAAATTGTGGGATCCATCGCTGGGTTTCTACTGACTGCACTTAGTTTTTGTGGAGTACTGGGATTGCTGGTTGCGCTTACTTATTTGTTTAGGTCAGCTTTGCTGTGTGCCAATTTAGGTTTCTTCACCGGTGGGAACGCGAAATAAAATCAGCTGGCAGCTGCAAGGTGTTTGGCGCCAACTGGTAACAGTGTTAAGTAACGGCCTAGAAATCAGTGGTGTATTCTGCAAAGGCGGCAATTTTTAAAAAGGTCAACTCAGCGATAAGAGGTTTTTATCACGTTTTACATGTGAAACATTTTGAATTTGATTTTAAAATTGCTTAAACACTTAACTTACCCTCAGTGGTCGTGTAATTGGTGGAATACGACCAATCAGACGACGAAGAACTATTCCTCGTTGTGTCTTTAAACAGCACCAAATTTACCGATTGTTCGTCGTCACAAGGGTCCGACCATTTTGGACCCATTTGGAACGAGAAGAGGTAAAGCAGTAAGAAGTCTAAAAACAGAATAATCGCAGCCAGAAAGTAGTCATTTGTGCGCATCTCGGCAAACCTTCCCCCATTAATAATTTGAGCGTGGTACATGACGAACTGTAAAGAAGAATGATCTCAGATCTCTGGATTTATTGAAAGCGCTTATACCAACCATCAAGATGCTGATTACAATAAAAGCACGCGCGATTAGAAAGGAATATGGCACATTAGCTACGATGTAAAGCATCACGAAGTAAATAGCTCCAATAATTGACACAACAGCCAGTACAAAAAGCACCACCACATCCAAGGTTAGATCAAGCTTTAAATATCATAAATAAGATAATATTAAATTCAGAAAAAAATCAAAGAGCTTTTTTTAATTTTTAGAATTTCGTTGACTACTTACCGGTAAACAAAAACCGCAGATAATAAAGATGGCCAAAACTATGGTCCAAATCAAAAAGCTAAACATGAATTGAAACCGATAGTGGCGAACAATCAGTGGTGCCATACCCAGCACAATACATTCAAACTAAAATCAAAAAGTTTTTAAAATTTAAAAAAATAAAATGTTTTTTTTCTTACAATTAATACCGCAAACAGCCAGTTTACAATTTTATTAAAACGTAATGTCTCAAAGAAAATAAACACAACCAAAAGTACAAGACCAATCACAAAAAAAATGCAGCTTACCCAGTAGTAAGTTGTAAAAAACGCGTTGATACCGTCTCTAAAAATTAGAAATGGGTTAGTATAATGCGAATGAAAGGAACTCAAAAACGTACACAATGTGGAAAAGAACCCATTGCAACAGCGCTACGATTAAAAATAATGCGGTCAAAAGGTATGAGATTAGTGCAAATTTCCTTCTCTTTTTTTTATAGTATTCACTTTTTTCCGAAATGTCTGTCATTGTTAACTGTTTGGAGTGTATTTTTGGAATGATTATCACAGGAATGTTAAAAAAAGAAAAGAGTAGCTTGTTGTTTTTGTTTTTTAAACGGATAAATATCAAATATTACTAATAACGGACATAGGAAAATGCAGTCTTTCATAGGTTTTGAATTTAACGGTCTAAAAAATCACCTCAATATGCTTATCGATACTCAATTATTGGACAGTTAGAAGTCCCATCGCTATTTGTTGACCATCTCTAAGTGTGTTTTTCAACTGGTGGCTAAGAAGTTTTGTTTAGAAGTTTCATAATTTAATAGAAGATCAGTTTAACATGAAGGTAGCTAAATGAAACACACCGTTAAATGGTCCTCTTATAGTCTACTTTTCTTTCTTAATTTTTAAGGATCACCAACAAACAGCGGCGGATAATGAAACGGATAAAGGGGATCCCGCTGAGGACGACGCTAACGCCGCACAATCTACCAAACAACTTAAAGCTCTGGAAAAATTCATGGATCTAAATGATCAGCAATTGTCAGAAAAGAAGTCAACAGGCTCAGCAAGGCCAGTCAAAAAGGCGACTCCTATGGAATTGGACATCTATGACGATTTGGACGAGTTAAAACCAAGTGATTCAACAGGCAAGAAAGATACGTCCCTTAATTTGGACATCTACAATGATTTGGACGAGGTTAAGGAAAAAGATTTACCAAAGTCGGAAAAAAGGGATATATCTCTCGATTTTGCCATGTACGACGATTTAACTGAGATAAAATCAAAAGAACCATTAAAGCTAGACGAAAAGTCTAAAACTTTGGAGTTGGACATTTACGACGATTTGGATGATTTTCAGGAGGCCGAGGATCAAGTAAGTCATGCAAAGGGACCACTTTTTTCAGTGTACTTTCACAATTATACTATCTTGCAGAAAACTAAAGAGCTGCAGGAATGGGAAGCTAAATACGAAAGGGCGCAGGCCGAAATCCAGGAACTTAAGACTGAAAACAAGGCGCTAGGAAAGAAGATTAAAGTCATGGAGGTGAATCTTCAAAATCTGCTGGACACCGCAAAGGCGGAGGTGAAGAGAAAGGAAGCCCTGATTGCCCAGCTGCGAAATGAGTTAGTAAGCAAACGTTGACTTCCCGACGTCCCGACTAAAAACCATTTCTTTCTACAGAAAGGACGACTTGTGTTTCAGACGAAAGCGAGGACGTGCGGTAGAGGAATCAGAAGAAAAACTCCAGGAAAGTAAACGCCCAAAAGAATCGCTGTCAAGAACGGTTGCCAAGAATGACGCGGAAAAGGATAAAAATCCATTTAAGACGTTCCCAAAAGATCACGATGTCAAAAAGGCGCCCGCAAAAGAAGACACCAAGAAATCGGACAGCCGAAGAAGCAAGTCTCCTAAGACCAACGAACGAAGATCCAGCACGCACTCTCGTCGCCCAGAGAGCCGCAACAAGTCCAAAGATCGGCACCGCAGCCGCAGTCGGAGTCCAAAACACACAGCAAGGCGGGATCAGCAGCAGAGCAGGGAGAATAGTTCCAGGCAGAACAGAAAGCGAAGCCGTACTCCGTCGCCCAGGTCAGTGAGATAAGAGGACATCGATTATCTTTGTTGATAGCAACATCTGACTTTTGTTGCAGAAATCATTCTTCAAAAGAAAAATCCCAAGCCAAGACGACCATGCATGGCAATAAAAAAAATGAACTGCATGCTGATGAGATGACCCAAATGGAAACTGAATTGGCGCTGTCAAGGAAAGTCGTGCCCAAGTTAACCGGCAGTAATACTTCAGAAATCAAAAAGAATTACTCATGCGAACCAAAAGAACAATGCAAAGAAATTGCTCAAAACACAAATGGATTCTTCTCTGAAGTCTGCAAACCAACACATGAAAATATTCCGGGGTTAGACTTTACTTCAAAACCAGTAGCTGCGGAATCTGTCAATTTCACCATAAAGGAAACAAAGCCTGTGAAAAAACATGATAATAATCGATCAAAAAATGGCAAACAAGATAAATCAAAGGATTCAATTCAAGGCTTGGATCTGGAAGGTCCTAAAGATGGGGAAAAGAGAAAAGAAAGCTCAGGAAAACATTCCAAAACTAAAGTGCTGCAGTTGGACCATCTGGAACGCCATGAAAAGCAAGCAAAAAACCCAAACACCAAATTGGATAAAGAATCGAATAATACTCATGAAGATTTTGACAATCCTGCGGCAACAAACGAAGGGATTATCGATCAGGCAGAACCAACTAAAACTAGTCATGAGTACAATGATAATTCAAAAACGTCTTCAGGAAAACCCAATTGCTCACCGACTGAAAATCATTCGGAACTTAAGAGCGATGTTGAATCAGAGGTCGGAGTCCGAATAATAGAGGATATTCGATTGCCAAAGATAGCAGATATCGACCATATTGCTCTTAAGGTCGACCAACAATGTAGGGATCAAATGACAATCGCGAATTGCGCAACAAATGAACCGAGCTGCGGTTTAGTTGACAAAATAGAGCAAGACCTTGTTCCTTCTTTGGAGGAGTCAAATGAACCAACTCCCACCAGCTCTTCGGACGATGCTCCCTTGAAATCTGCCACTGTTTTATACGCCAAGCCCGACTCGACGAAGTTGGACCACAACGATGAAAACGACGAGATTGTTCTGGAAGCGGCTATGGACTTGCTAACGAACGAGCAGGATGCTCCAATTGTAGCGGCTCCTACCTATCCAAATTTGAGTATCGAAGAAGATGCCATTGAGATGGCATTGGAACAACTGCATCAGCAGTCACCAGACGAAACTGTGGTGACCTCAACATCAAATAGAGCTTCGCAGGCGCAAAGCCTAAAGGCGATCCTAAGCCAATCTCCCACTCAGCGCAGTCCGTCAAAGTCCAAGGTGAAATCTGCGAAGACATCACCCTTGGTGTCCCCAATAAAGACGGCGACTGAGAAAACACCGCTTAAAAAGCGGAAAATTAACCTGGAGAGTCCGACTGAACCATCGCCCGTTGTCCGACTGGATTTCTCGGCGGTGAGCCAGGATGTCACCATTGACGAAACGTTGCAAAGCAGCTTGGGTGAAGATCCCTCAACGGTGACAAAGCGTTGTTCTTTAGGCCATACTGACTACCAGTACGAGCAAGTAAACGACGAGGTCATATTGCGAGTAAAACGGCGCTGTCGACGCCGACGACCGACGCCAATGGAAATACAAACGGGCGACAAACCTATATAAATAAATAAGTCGTTTATAAACGTTTGAATTTAGAATTTATTTTGGTTACACTGCAAGTATGAACAATTTGAACTACACTATACTATTGAAAGCAAAATTTGGATACTATTTAGTTTGCGGAACTTGATTCACCGAGCATCTTGAACCATGAGTAGGCGACGAACCAGAAGAATATCGCAGCTCCTGTTCAAAATATATTATTACTTTTGAGTTATCAGTTGAGTGCAGTAAATAAATCTTACCTAAGCCACTTAGGATAAGCAGCAATGTTAGATATACGGGGCCAAGTTCAACGCAAACATAAACAAGGAGTATTGAGTCATAAACAAAGCGAATTATGCCAATTATTAGGTACGGAATAATAAGATTTTTAAATTGCTGAAAGACAGTGAGGTATACATTTAATCGGTTGAGTGGCGGTCACTTACCATCCAAACAGAAATCATGACGAAAACACAGGCTACTAAGTGGACAAAGTGGATAATAAGGGTGCCAATCCAAAGAAAGTAGTTCGGACCAACATCAAAGCTTATCATATCATCGTCTATATCATCATCTTTCACTGAATACGCCAAATCTAAGATATTTTGGGTAAGTATTTTCCAGATATGGTTTTAATACCTACACTTAGTTTCCAGAACAACGGCAGCCGTCATCATCATGTCTATGATAGCAACAATAAGAGCTCCCCATTTTAGATCACAGCAGCAGCACTTCCTAAAAGTCGACAACATTTATTCTTATTCAGCTTAACGAGTCAAACTGTCAACGAATCTTTGATCAAAATTTTGTCGTGACAGGACATTTTAATGACAGATTTATATACGACGGTTTGATATGGAAATTACTTTGGATTGTGCATCGTTGATTCATTGATGTATTCTTTCTTAATTTTGAGAGATAGAGAACTCTTCCATTTTATCTGCAATTAATTTCGAGCGTATTACTTGAGTGGGGTTTTACCACCCAGCTTTTTGAACCACGAGTGAATGATAATCCAGAAGTAGACAGCGAAAGCTATGGATTGAAATCGATATTTGGTATAATATAAGTCTATATATAACAGGACAGAACTTAACAGCAACTATTATTTTACTATGAACTCCGCTTTACCCTCTCAAAAACTTACCAATTCCAACTAAAATAAGACACAAGCTCCATACAGCTGGGGCTTCTATACATAAGTATATAAAAAATATCAGGTCAAATATAATTCTAATAATGCCTGTTATTAGGTACATCACAACCAGTTGTTTTTTTTCCTAAAAAAACGTTGATATGCACCAAAATACTCATCGATTATGATCTGAAAGGTGCTGCCACTTACCACACAAACGGAAATGATGACCAGAATGCAGGCAACGACGTGGACGAGGTGGACAATTAGGGCGACAAAGTAAACAAAATAGTTGGCATGGTAGTTTCTTGAGTCATAGGAACGTATGTCCAAGTAATGTTCTTCTGCAGCCCAGCCTCTTCTGACGGTGAGCCCTGAAAGAAGCATTATTAGATGGGTTTTTCATCAAAGGAGATCTTTGAAAGAGCTCACATCTGGCTTCCGCAGGAACTACAAGTGCAAGGATCAAATCCACAATACCGACAATAAGAGCCCCCCATTTTAGCTCACAGCAGCAGCAGCTATCGACTGTAGGAAAACCCATTTAATTATTTTTTTTTAATTTTTAGCAGTGAGTAATAAAAGGTTTTATGGCAATTTGCTCTACGATGGTTTGATTTTGAAAACAAAAATAACGTACGAAAGGCAAAAACTTATGTATAAATATATTTAAAACACTTACCTATAAATGAAAAATTCTGTATACCAATCCTTATTACCGAAAATTTAAACTAAAAGTCTTCGAAATTGATTGATTTTTAAAAAATTTGTAATAGGTTAAGAACATTTAAAATATATCAGTTATTCAAAAGGATTATACCACGAAACGACTGTTAGCCAAAAGTAGGGAAATGTGACTGTAAAAGGGATAAGGATTTTAAGATGCACTATGGATTTTTTTTTTTCTTTAAATTACAATGTTTTAGAAAACTTACAAAGACTTAAGCCGATAAACCAATAACTAGTGGTGCAATCATACGACTTGCTGACTATCCAACATAAAATTAGAAGCAACACAACGAAACGCATTATGGCAGTGGCCAAATAGGGAGCAGCCCACTCTTTTGCCTCCTAAAAAACAATAAAAGGTGGCAGGAGGTAGTCAATCCCTAGATGTGCATGAACTTACCCAAATTGCGGAGACCAGCAGAAGTATACACGATCCAACGTGAAGGACTAGGACCACCAACAGGAAGACATACATTGTGTAGCCAAACCTATTGTAGTAAGTCTCAATGTAAGTTTCTCTCCACCACTTTTGGGTTGAGGGAGCTGTCATCAAATAGAAATCATCCTCCGCTCGTCGCGGAATCCCTTTTAAAAGAAAACGATGGCAATAAAAGACGCCATTGCGATGCAAATCAACCGTTAACTTACATGGTAACCACCATCCGCAAAAAATGCTCAGGATCATATCTATGCATCCAATAATGAACACTCCCCACTTCAACTCGAATAAAAAAAAAATGTCTCAACCAAACCCATTTTTGACTATTAAAATTCGTACTGTTAAAATAAAATGATTTCCTAACCCGGTTTTCAGTGATAGTACCGACAATAATGAATTTCTTTTTTGAACTCTGTCTTTTAAATGATAAGTGATCCAAGGCACTCCTTGCCAAGAAATGAATAAATATTTACTTAGATAAGGTGTTTGGGTTTTTTTTATTGTCTTTGTCAAAGTTTTGAACTTTTATTTTTAGTTTCTAAATAGAAGTAACAACACATTGCTAAAATTGGCTAAATGATGTTTCAAGACAAGCTGTGCAGTGCTTTAAGTTAATATTTACATAAATATTTCATAATTTATACAGTTCTATCCAATTTCACAATCTTTATCTAAAATAATTAATAAATTATAAACAACCCGATACTCGTAGTATAAAAGGGATTGTTGCATTGCATAAGTAACAAGTTTAGTATACAAGATATCTTGAATTTTTTGGCAACATAATTAATTTATAGATAGCGATTATCTTGGGTAATCTTTTTGGTTTAATTTAGAATTAAGGAGGCTTAAACTCCAAACCACAAAATAGAAGAACCCGTATTTGAAAAACGAGTTCTTCCTTTCTGACTTATTCCTGCTTTGACTTCGAGCCCGCTTCCTCGCCGAGCAGGATGCGCCGAACGATGGACAGCTTGAAGACCGGAATGGAGAGCACCGCCCCGGCACAGGCGCCAATCCAGTAGACTATGATGTGCTCCAGGTGGGTGTGGCCGCGGCAACCCCACTTGAGGGCGGTGGCCAGGACCGGGTTGAAGTAGCCGCCGGAGAAGTTAAAGGCTGCAAGCAACATATAGTTAAAGGCGTAAACTACTTGGAAAAACCAATGTTTGGCTGGCGGATCGGATCGGAAAAGCGCTACGCCACTCACCTGCCACCACCAAGCTGGTGCCGATGAAGGAGTCGATGTAGCTGCCGAAGCGCGGCTCCTTCTCGCTAATTGTCTTCGAGGCCAGACGGCAGAGCAGCGTGGCCACGCCCTCAATGGCAGCGCCCACATATGGACTGACCTGCAGGTCGGCGTTGCAGGACTCGAAGGCCCGTCCGCGATGGGTCTCGGCCAGCTCCAGCCACCAGACGAACTGCACCACCCGGTACACACAGCAGCCGCCCATCAGCTCCGCCCAGCTGCGCAGCGCCATCTCCTTGAAGCTGGTGCGTCCCTCCACCACGTCCTCCATGTGCGTGTACGGACAGGCGGAGGCGTCGCCCCAGACACGACCCCACCAGATGGTCAGCAGGAACAGGCAGACGGCGTACATCGACACCCCAAAGTTGTCGGCCACTGAAAGGAAGAGTTGAAGCGAGTGGGATTTTAGAAACTTTTTACAGCATTTTCTGAAAATGGAACTTAAAAACCATTAACCATTTTGGAACTTCAAAAGCTTGTGGAGATCCCAAAACCGCATTTCGATTTTTTAAACAAGGTTTGTACTTACCTATAATCAGCTCGAAGCAGCAGGAGCACAGCTCGGCGGCGGCGATAGCCTCGTTTATCAGGATGGGAACGATGCCCTCCCGGGTAACCAATCGCCGGCTGACCACCCGAGCGATTTGGGCCGCCACACAGTAGCCCACCATGAACAGGCAGCTGATCCCCAGTGCTGTCGCCGACATTTTCTGCGTTTTAAAATAATTTGTTTTATTTAACTCTTCAATACAATGTTGTAAGCCAAAAAATTCAAAAGAATTATTAGCCTAATCATTTCTGAATTAGAATATTCATGTTATCATCTTCGACAAAATCGAGGTTGTAATGCTTAACAAGACACATTGAAATATTTATTTTTGTTCAAAAGTCTATGAGGCTTACCTAAATATTTTGTAGAAAACTTAAAAAAAAGTATCTATGAATTAAGATAAAAATATTTTTGAATCATGAAGACTAAAGAAGCAATTTTGTGTTCGCGAAAATTTTATAAGTATTTATTTAGTTAAAACATTTTGAATCATAAGAAGTTGGCTTTTACATTTCTACTGTGGATAACATATAAAAAGGTGAACTTTTTGACCCTTTTTTCAAGGCCCCCTTATCTTGTAAGCATTGTTTGTAAACTAGTGTATTTTGTGTGCAAAAACTATTTCCGAATTCAATGCACAAGGCGAAGCACTAAAAATAAATGTTTTGGCTGACGCTAGACCGCGCAAACAATCCAAATAAAAACAAAATATTGAAAACATTGGACTTTTGGACAAAGCTTTTATAAAAAAATTCTTAATAAACATTTTTGCATATTTTTGCACATACTTTGGAATTAAAATACGACTTGGATTAACTAAAAGCAGCAAGAGGACCGCGTAATGAGACTGCGAAAACTGTTCGTCGACTGAGACCTGGTATAAGTGATTTATTTATTGATCACTCTCTGCTCGCTGGGAAATCATTTAGCTCTGCTATATTTATACGCTGGGTCCTGACGTAATAGTAGACTTATACGGCAAAGAGAGCGCCAATTTTCAAAATAAAAGCACCGCGCAAAATGCCGGCGACGAGTTATCGATTGGGAAGGCATATCGATAACAAGCCACTGATCAGCTGGTTTAAACTTACACTTATGCAAGGTAAATATGTAAATATTGTTTATAGTTATTTAATTTCAATTAAATTGGAATATATGTTTACATTTAAAGTCAATAAATTTAATACATATTTTTAGAATCTAACAAAAAACAGCAACTTATACAAACTGCCTAGTATAAAAGGAACTTAACAATTGCAACATCAAAACATTCATGAAAGTCAGTAAAGTTAATATTATAAAATTTAACGTATTTTGAATTAATAGTTAAGTTTTTGTTTGCTGGTAGTGCTGGAGCTACTGGTCAGGATACGGCCCTCAAATCTGCCATGGCGGAGCTGCATGTCTTTAGCCATTCAGCCGGTGCAGAAACGCCGCCTCGCAACAGAATCTATCACTAAAAACCCGGCAAATGACCAAGCCGGATTTACAGAGTGGCGGACCGTTTATAGCCTGCCGTCCATAAGATTTGTGGCTGCAATAAGTAAGCTGAAAGTCTACCAGACAGTGCTCACGGCAGCTGGAATGCCCATAGTCTTTGCCCTCGGAAACGCAGGACAACTGTCCACGGATGCACTGGCCATTTACTCTGCTGTGGGAATCAGTGGTCTGGTCACCCTCACACTCGCCAGTTACGCGGCGGCGAACCTCGTTGGCTTTATCTACGTGAACGAGCAGCAGGATCTGATCAAACTAGCCTACGTTGACTTTTGGGGAAGGCGACAAGAGAGCCTTTTGGAAACAGAGGATCTACTGCCCAGCTGCGAACAGGCAAGCCCATCTCGACTGCGATTCGTTTCGCCCATCTGCCTGCGTAGCGATCCTAAGAAGCGATACAAGCTTCTTAACCGTTTTGGCCAAGTCAGCGATCCCCAACTATTTGAGGGTCTCTTTGGAGATTGATTATTGTCGTTAGTAGTAAACTGTTGTAGCGGTGGAATATTGTTGTTATTAAAATTACTAAACCTTGTACACAGCCGGTTTATTATCTTACGTAACATGTTTTTTGTTTTCCCGAGCTTTTTCTACTTTGTTTAGTATAAAAATTTTTATTACGAGTATTTACAAAGCTCTTTAACATTGTTTTAAAAAAAAAAAAAAAATTAAATTTAAACTATCCAAATTTGGGAGTGTAGAAGCAATTGTCACCTTATCAATTCCCCAATGCAATGGCCTCTTCCACCTGTGGGTAATTACAACTTGAATTATTGATACTATATCTATAAAGAACTTACTGTATCCGGCAGCTTCTTGTTAAAGGTTTCTGGAAGTAACAGCGAGAAGAGCCCAGCTATTAGCGATATAACTCCGAATAATAGGAGAGGCAATGGTTCATAGTACGAAGCCTGCGAAAGATTAAATGCGATTTAAAATCTTCTAAACATATTTAATTTCAAAAGCTGGTTTTTATGAAATAGCTTTGAACTCACCAAAAGAGGCACGAAAGGAGCCAACATTGCCCCAAATCGTGCAAATGTGGACATGACTCCAACGCCGCCGCTCCGAATAACCTTAAAAAAATAATTTATAATTAAGCCAATGAGCCTTGAATCACATATCCTAAAGTTTTCCATCATACTGTGGGCATCATTTCCGCGGTGAACGTATAAATGACGGCAAATGAAGAGGTGATGCCCAGTTTTCCGACGAGGAAGAGCGTGACGACCAGCCAGTTGGAACCTACGATAACAGATATTTCTTATTATTAAAGGTATTAGAAATGCGTGTTAATATTGTTAGTAGAATCGGAGAATAATGAACTTACAACTCCACGAGTGTCTACTCTCGACTCCTGGCTTGCAGTTAATCCATTCACCTTGAGCTTAGGGGCATGCAGGAAGAATTACGTTATGATCAAACTAATATTTTAGGAAGCAGTTTTTAGTTTTTATTTTAAATAATGATTTTAAGAAATAGTCTCGTAAACTGATCGCTTTTCTGTTTAAGAAATCTACCTTACCTTATTCCTTCCCAATGGGATACAAATCTACTATATAGGCATTTAAACTTATAAGATCCTTCCCATTATATCTATACTTTAAATATTTAGTACTTACCCAGGGTGACGAAACCGCTGGATACACAGGTGATAGAACAAAGCAGCAGTGATCCAGAGAGGGCTAATCTCCTTCCGAGTCTCCTTAGGAAAAGCTACTGGCGGAGGGTTGGTAATCAATTAAATGGTAAGTCTTTGTTATGAAAAACCTACCCAAGCAATGCTATAGCCAGGAATCTCCACCAGGCAAACTAGTGCAAAGTTGAGATACTTATTGCCACTCAAACTAGTTGCATTCAGCGATAATCCGTAGTAAACTATGGCATTAACGGCCCAAATGAGCAACAGGATGGCGTACCTGCCCATCAAAGTGCGAGAGCCCACCACCTGTTTGATGGCCATCCAGATTTTGTCATCCTTTTGTTCCGCCAGGACACCATCGGTTTCCGGTTCCGGTGCCGCTTCCGCCTCTAGTTCCTGCTGCTTGAAACTGGCCATCAGCTCAACGGAAATATCGCGTCGGTTCACTTTGGCCGCCCGTCGAATGATGACACCTGCCTGTTCCCTTCGATTGCGGGCCAAAAGCCACCGCACCGACTCCGGTACCAACCAAAAAGTATGCCAAGCAAATAAGTGGTGGAATCGAGAGCACCAGTTGCAACTGCCGCCAATCGGGCAGGAAGACGGAAAGGCCAAGAAGCGCCTCACCCACCGCGTAAAAATAGTTGAGCACAATGGAGGACATCTCGCGCTTCCGTGGTCCAACCATCTCCACGCCGATGATGAAGGCCAGTGGATAAACACCGGAAGTGCCCACCGCGTTTAAAAGGGCAAAGACCAGAAAACTGATGTAGTCCCAGGAGAGCGCCTGCGCAACGCCAGTGAGCGCCATAAATACGATGCAGAACAGAAAGACGTGCTTACGTCCATAACTAAAATAAAAATGTATAATTATTCCATTATAATAATTATGTAAAGCTAGATTTTTTTACTTACCGGTCAGCCAAGTAGCCGGAAAGTGCTGTTCCCACCACCAAACCGGCGAAATGCATTGTTCCCACGAAAGCCAGCTTCCAGAGATTCTCCTGGCACTGCAGTCCCCACTGCTGGACAATAGTCCGCTCCGCACTGCCGTACACAAATTGCCGGCATCTCTCCGTTTCTGTTGTAAAGTTGTCGGCGGTGCACCAAGTTTCAGATTCGGAGTAGCTTCCATTGGCCACGAATCTGTCACAAGTGGACGGCGTAAAGTGTCCCCGTTTGCTCCAGCTACCGGGAACAGCGATGGAAACCCAATCTGCTCCATATTCCTGATCATCTGGAGAATCACAGCCAGGAACATAACATCGATAGGTGGGCGATCCTGCCGTGAAAACATATGAAAGACTGTTGGCGGCTGCAAATAGAACCGGCAGGCAAATGAGCAAATAGTTCCGACGCTGAAAACGTCCGAACTCTCCAATCTCAGCAAGGATGTCATCAAAATCCAGGACGGCAGACGCCGCAGCTGCCGCTGGAGCGGACATCCCAAGTATAAAATTAACTACTTTCTCCTTCAAATCTGGAATAAGGAATTTGTAATTTGCGAGATATGTGAATTTAATTAGAATTTTTAAATTTGTCATTCTTATTTTGATCACGTTCTTGGAGAATGTATAATATACAATATATACATATGTATGTACATATATAAGCAAGTACATATATGTATATGTACAAGATCAGAAATAGAAAAAAAAATCGTTTTTTTTTCAAATACCAAAATTAATTTACATTTTTGCAAAAATTTTAATTTTATTTTTTCTTAGATGCAACTTTTTGAGGCATTATTAGTTTGCTTAAAAATAATAAAATACAAAACTATCTGGGTCCAGATTCTAAACCGATGTAAGAAATTTAGTGAATTGTGTTGTCCCTTACTTAACATTTAGATCAATTAATTGGCAGCTCGATCTTAATTATTAAAAGGGAGCAATATTTGCTGTGCATATCCCTTATGTAGTTGCGAGAATAAATTTTCTTGCATGCATGCAATCCAATCTTCGTCAATTGAGATAAATTGTAGCATGTCTTGAAAAATGGAGAGTGTTGTAATTGGAATACGGAATTTATAATAGTTGACAACCAGAAGTGATGCATGATTGATGCGTGCTAGGGCAGAATAATGCATAATGGATGAACCGTGTGGGAATTACCAACAGGTACGCCGGCGGGGGTTTCTGGGTCTCTACTCCGAAAGTTTTCTAAGGTCAGGGTCGGGGTGACTGCTATTATTGCATCGACTTGGTGGGAACTTCTGCAAGCTGCTGAAATACGTCGTTGAAGTGTCCAGATAAGACTGTCCCCATTATCTAATCACGGCGGACATTTAATGATGCACTTAATGGCTCTGCTGTTTTACACTCGCTCACTAGACCGGATAATTACCGGAGACTCACTTTGCTAAACACTTGGCAGGTGAGTTTGGAGTACCGGGACGCCATTCACTAAATATTGCGCGGGTTTTTTTCTAATATCCGGGTCCGGCGAGTTTCTCCGGGGCGTGTATCCCGGACCGAATCTGACAAAGTCTGGCGAAATACTGAATTGTCTTGAAAAATAAATGCAAACGCACACAGAGAGGCAAACACAATTTTCATGTGCTATCTTCGTGCTCAATCTAAAATCAAAGTAGCCGGCATTAAAATCAATACCAAGAGAAAACTGAATGTGGGAAGAGTTTGGGCGCTACTTTCTCTTACAGAGAAAATTTGTAAGAGAATCGTTTGGTGATCGTAAATATCTTAAATTGTCTATTGAACTTCTTAAATATATTCATAAGATGGCTTTCTAGCTTAAACGCTGTAAATAACTCTGGACTCTGATTAACGCTTATTGAAATTAAACAGAAAAATAATATTAAATGTAAAAAATTGCATGTTACATAAGAAACAACTTGATTTTCTCTAAAATATCTATAAACAAATTTTTTAAACCAAAGAAATGCTTCACTTTGGGGGTGTTCAAAACACTTTAATGATAAATTACATTTTTTGTTTTTCTTGAGAACACAAGGTATATCATTTTTTCGACTAACCCAATATCAAAGGAATCCTAGGTAAATGCTTTAATAGACCTCCGCTAAGTTTTTACTTCTTCAGCTTGATGAACTTCGAAGCAAACTCGTAGACGCCCACGGAGTTGTTGTTCTTTTGGTCATACTCCACCCAATCGTCCTCGGAAAGGTCGACGTCATCAAATTTCTGGCCATTTTCTGACGATGATACCTGCCATCCAGCGCGGGGTGAGAAATCTACGGGTTCAGCGCCACGACATTCAAAGACTACGATGGTCTTAAATCCGCCGGAGTCGTCTGCCGTATAAGCAGCTGTGGATTTACATTTTAGATTATTGTGGATTCTCTCATAGAATCTGCTGCTTACCATTGGACTTTTCCACAATGTCGAGGCTGTTTTCTCGACTGCACATCTTGCACTTCATGAAGAAATTAAAGCCGGCCGCATTTCGTGAATCCTGTTGCACGCGTTCGGATTCCGTGATATCGTGCCATTTGTCCGACTGTTCGCCGCAGTTGCTGCATTTTAGTTTAAGGAAGAAGGAGTACTCCGGATGACAAGTCTCCAATTTTTCTACGTTCTCTAAAGTAGCGGAAATCTGAAGGCCCACGCGCACCATTTCGTAAAAATAATATTTATATTTTTTTACAGTCCAAATCACAGCTGATTGGAAGTGTGGCCAGTTCTTTCCAGTTGTCGCAGTGGCAACTCTGGAAATGAGAGTGAATATTTGCTGAACAAAAGCGTAGAAAACATAAATACATTTTGAAAACAAATATAAACATGGATCTCAACATGAAACCCTCTTTGGCTGCTGATGAAATGTTTTCCGAAGGCCCTGGCTACATGGAAATGGACGAGGTAAGTCGTTAACGAAGATATTCTTTAAACGCAAGCGGTCAGGACATGTTTTTTACATTCTTTTAAAGAGTATTACTTTTTTACGAAAAGACGACAAAAAGAACTAGGCAAGTGAGGTGAAACTTATTCGCTTCTAAGTATGTTTCATAAAAATCGTAGTATTCAAAGAGCATTGAACTTGCAAAGTTAACTCCCTTTCTCATAAGCTTCTCAATTAATATCCTTTCAGTCCGGTGGAGCCACAGGAATGATGATGGACCATCTGCCCTCGAATGACAAACACGTTCACGCAGACTTCTACAATGATTTTGACGACCTCTTCGACGAGGACAATTGGGCCAAGATGAAATCCGATTCCAAACAGTAGATTCGCGCAGGATACTTTAATTTAGTGGGCGAATTGAAAGATCAATGTCTGCAGTTCATTCTTCTGTCTGTAATTTTACTTGCATAATTATCTGCGTTCATCGGTGTATAAAAACTTGATTCAACTATTGTTTAATCGCTATATTATGTTCATTTGGTTCGTATAACTAACGTAAATTGCCATGTGAAGATAATGCCGAGGTGGATTTGAACTTTGGCGTAGCGTAAAATCAACAAAATGCGTAATTTTGTACAGAAAACGAAACTAGTAACTAAATTTACGATATCGAACTGAGTTGCAGGTGGAATGAAGCAAACGTAATTGAGATAAATACAAATGTACACGATAACCTAGTGGATCCATTGAGTGTGTCTGTTAACCAAGTTGTTAGCCCTGGGCCGAAACTATCCGTCCAACGGGGTGCCCAAGTAGACCATCGAGACCTCGGTGTTGCCGTAGACAGCGGACACTGTGGGGTAGAGCTTCTTGTCCGGCAAGCCTGCAAAATATAGGGTGTATGAAATATTTGGCCCCGCATCGAAAAGCAACATCTCACCTCGAAAGGCTACACCCAGGAACTCGTAGTTCTTTTCGAACGACAGTGTGTTGTCCTCGCAGTCGAGGATGACGCGTATCCGCTCGCCCACTTGGTACTTGGGTGCATTGTTCAGCAGTGGGTAACTGCCCTGCATGTCGCCGTTGTGCAGCAGGTGGTTCTCGACCAGGTTCCAGCCCCAGCTCTGGTCGTCGGAGCCGAGTAAGGCCACATAGCCATGGCACTGTAGCGCCGCCTCCTTGGTGGAAATGCCAATGACAGCCACCGTGCCCAAAGGTCCCTCCCAGATCACCTCCCAGGTGTGCCGTCCGTGACGGAAGCCAATCTTGCCCCGCGCTGCATCTGTGCTCTGTGCCACGGGGTTGCTGAATACATAAGGTTTAAATTGGCAGAGCTGAAGCGTTAAGCATAAAAAAAACTCCTACCGATGCAGGGTAAATCCGTTGGGTTTGATGTACACATTCCGGGAGCAGTCGTTGGGACTCCAGGCGTGGAAGTACGCCCGCAGCTTCGTCTTGTACGTGGAGACGGAGGCTAGGAGGTCCGACTTCAGGGCCTCCTTGGGCAGCTTGTTAAGGCAGTGCCAGCGCCATACGTCGCTATTCTCGTCGTTTAGGAAGTGGTACCAACTCTTGCACACCTGCGAACAGTGACTGAGGTCGTCCAGTTCCAAATAGGAGAAGATCACCTCCAGGACATTATAGTTGCACAGCGCCGCCACCGGATCGACCATTGTGCGGTTGCTCCTCTGCTGGGGGACTTGTTAAATAGTTTCTCTGATTTCCCTCGGCCTCTTGATTGTCATTTTTCCAAACAACCCAACGAAAAACGAAAAAACTCCAGAAATTCGCGATTAGACTCCGATTTTGTGTGGCCGTTCTCCAAACGTTAATGAAATACCGCTGCCCAGACGAAGTGGCCACTTTGTTTACATTCGCGACTAGTGTGGTGAAACGAAGTCGACGGACAGCTGCTTGCAACACTGCGTAAATTGATGCGTAAATTGGCGCGCACTGTCTGCCATTTCATTCGCACCCGCACACAGCCTGCTTTGCCTTTCCCACATGAAAACGAAAAGCAGTCACTTGGTGGAAATTTTGTGACCATTGTGCTGCGCTCAAAACTCGCTTAAATTCGTGCTGTTTAACGCCATTCGAAAGTTAAGAATCCTGTGAATCTTTTGCCACCTTTCCGGTGAAAATCAAAACGTGAAAAGTCCGCGAAAAAGGCCAACGAAAAAGGGCCGCCGCCTGTGAGTGTGTGTGACCAGCAGAAGAAAAAAATGCCCTGCCGCTGGAAGTGAAAAATGCGCTCGCCATTTTGACTCGGGCGACAGTTTTTGTACAAGTGCTCCTCCGCTCCTTTTCGTCGTAGTCGTGATCCGCCTCCGGATTTGCACACGTGCCCCAGTCCGTGGGTGCAGTACGTCCGACCGCCCACCCCCACTAAACCGTCGCCCCTTCCAGTTTTCCTATACACACGTTGCGGCTACGGCACGTAGCTCCGGTTTTCTTCTTGTTTTTGGCGGTTCACCTGGTAAGCGGTAGAAACCACAACAACAACAAAAGCAGTCCGGCTGCCCCCACCAAAAAAAATGGCGCATTCGACGGGCGGTACAGTGAAGGCCGATGAGGTGAACTTCTTTTTTCGGGATGAGCACGGTAAGTGGGCGGCACATCCTGCGGCAGAAATATAAGTACCGATGGAGTGGGTGCACCACTCACTCCCACACACACTGACACACACACGCCAGTACACATACTCGCACGCACGCTACAAAGTTGCATGGGCAGCGTAAAACGCCATCTTTGCTTTTTCGGGTTTCTTTTGCCTACCATATTCATCGTTTGATACGCTTTGCGGGGAACAGCAAGAGGAGCCGAAGAGTGCTAGAAATCGGCAAAAAGTAATAATAAAAGACACACACAGAGAGACCCCCGCAAAATAACAACTAAAATCGGTGAGCCACCCCAACCCCGCCCCCTTTCGATTCGCCCATCGCCCAGTTGGCGCGCTCACCCACACGCACACACACATGCACGCGCGCATTTTCTCCCACTTTTTTTTTATCGGTCGGCCAACAGCTGATTACTTCGCCGACGCTGTGAATTCGCCTTCAGGATTTTGCATGATATCAAGCTAGTTATTATTGCAAGGGAAAATAATAAATGTATCTTCAAACAAATGTATCTGAACTTCGTGACATTCTGCAATGTCTCAGAGAGTTGCAGGGAGGTGGTGAGCGGGGAGAGAAAAGAAGGCCAAAACAAGAACAACACTGACACACACACACATACAAAGCCGGAGCCACGAAGCTGCGGCCCAAAACAGGCAAGCGCAAATAGGTGTAAGCGATGTACACGTGTGTGGTTGTCAGTCGCCGCGTTTATGCGGCAATTTTTGATTAAGATTATCGCTATATCTTGCCACGGTTGGAATTAACTAAAAAGTACTCTATATCGCTTAAAAGGAATTTAGTTTGTTGACAGGTAAATTGCCACGACTCAAGTTTCATAATAAAGTCTTTTGTACCTTACAACAAAATGCTTTCTTCTTTTTTTGCTGCCAATATAAAGTTTTAATTCCGTCAGAGCTAAAAATTAGGCGCACGTATAAACGTAGTATATGGTGGTTTACTGTCTGCCCGAATTAGCGACAAACCCGGTTAGTGGTTAGCTGGCCAACTGCTGAGGGTGTACTATGGAATTGCTTATTTGATTGCTTGGTCATCTGTTTGTTTGAATAATAGGACAATTCTTGAACATTGAAATATCAATCCCACCGAACCCAAGTGGACCAGGGCCACCATCTGGTCGAACAGTTCGGTATTTGACCATACCTAACGCTGGTTAAGCCCCCGTGAGTCTGAGTCATTTGCAGGTGTGTGTGTGAGAGAGTTAGCAGGTATTTTTAGCGTTCGACCCTTTACTGTTTTTGTTTTGGCCCCTTCATCTTAATTCTCCTACTTCCACTTGCTTCGTTGTTATGATTATGCAAATATCGGGTGGAGACAGGTGAATAATTATTACATCGAGCAAAGCCCATGTAAAACTTGAAATTTTTAGAAAAGCCGGTTACATTCATAGTTTAGGTATGACACCCGGGCCGGTAACCATATTTCAGTATTAAGCTAAAATTTTGAATCATTTCGTATTCTTGTTTGGTGAATATATTGAAATAGATCATAGGTGATATTAATATTCGATTATTTCCATTTTATGTGGTTTATGAATTTCAAGGGTTCCATTTGGTTTTCTTATTCTGCGCGCGCTGATATCAACATGTTTTAAAAAGATCGCCGGTTCAAAAGAACCCAACCGGTGTATTTTTGCCAACAATCGTATTCAAACACGAATTCAAGTATCGAACCATCGCTAGTTGGTTAATGTTTATTTACGGTCACGTGTGCCCATCGCTAATGTCCAGGCGATCTGGTTTCGGGTTGTTTGTACTTCTGCATCTTTATCCTTGTCACACCGTTGTCTACACTAACGCTCACCATCTCCGTGCGAGTGTGTGAAGGAGTACCTGTGTGTATGCACCCCAATCTTAATGTGTTCGCTTGCTTTTTGATGTTGCACTCAACTCCAGTGCGCTTCATTCGCTCCATTTGGATTCATTCGCCGCACGGCGAAAACAACGCATCGTTGATAGTAAAACACAAACGAACCGCTCTCTTGCACACAGTCAAACGCATGAGTATCTGTGAAAATACATGCAGTTGTGTTATCAAAGAAGGCACAATTTTAGTTGCGTGTTATGTGTATATCAGAAACTAAGGAGCATCTCCGTATTTTCAATCCTGCAGGACAAATAGCCAAAATGCTGAAACCGGCACAAACCAAGTCCGAATTGGAAACGGGAGGAAAACCCACAGTGGTTTACGCCACCGGCTCATCGGCGCGCAACAGCGGAAGTGCCAGCGGAATCGGCAACGTGGGACGCATGGGTGCCTTCAGTCAGATGGTAGGTTCAACACTAACCTATTTCATTCAAAATGCATGCCTAATGATCCCGTTGCCGCACAGGGCTCAAGCAATCAGGGACAATTCATACGGCTGCAGGACAACGGCCTGTCCATTCCAAAAACAGAAGGTAAAACTCGTCTAAAACCCAGGAGATCTTTTCCTTGGATTAATGCTTCCCCTTTTTCCTAGGTACTACCTACACCACCGTCTCGGCGCAAAAGACTTCGGGCAGTGGACTTTACGACATGCAGCTAAAGGGGGATCGCTATGTAAAGTTTACGCCAAACAACCCCATGAAAATCAAAACAAAACTGTAAGTATCCCATCGGAGCAAGGGTCAAAATATAAAAGCTAATGCGATTGATTGTTATTTTCGAACAGCCATGCCATTCAGAGCAACTCCTTGCACTCCATGTCTGCCTCCTCATCATCTGTGCAAAGGAAACGCAAACCGGACAAGGCCGGCAAGGGATTGCGACACTTCTCGATGAAGGTCTGCGAAAAGGTAGAGGAGAAGGGCAAGACCACCTACAACGAGGTGGCCGACGACCTGGTCAGCGAAGAGATGAAGAACAATGCGTACGACAACAACTGTGATCAAAAGAATATCCGACGTCGTGTCTACGATGCGCTCAACGTACTGATGGCAATCAATGTTATCTCCAAGGACAAGAAGGAGATCCGCTGGATAGGACTGCCCGCCAATTCAGCCGAGGTGGGATTGGTATCCCTTAGCTCTGCTCTCATATGCTAATAAGGCATTTTAACCCCTTTTCCTTAGCAATTTCTGGCTCTGGAGGAGGAGAACAGTCAGCGCCGCGAGCGCATCAAACAGAAGAACGAAATGCTCCGCGAAATGATCATGCAGCATGTGGCTTTCAAGGGATTGGTCGAGCGGAACAAGCGAAACGAAAGCCAGGGCGTGGTGCCTTCCCCAAATGCCTCTATTCAGCTGCCGTTCATCATCGTGAACACGCACAAGTCCACCAAAATCAACTGCAGTGTGACCAACGACAAGTGAGCTGCCTTTTAGCCATAATTAATTAAGATTGGTAATCAAAAATCTTGCTTGCAGGTCCGAATACATATTCAAGTTCGACAAGACCTTCGAAATGCACGATGATATTGAGGTGCTCAAGCGTATGGGATTCCTGTTGGGTAAGTGTGTTTAAGAGGTTATTACGTTTGGAAACTCAGCAGGTTTCAACATTTTTAGGCTTGGATAAGGGCGAGTGTACGCCGGAAAACATTGAACGAGTCAAGTCCTGGGTGCCACCAAACCTCGCCAAATATGTGGAAGGTATGGCTTTGTATTTTACGAAAAACTCATATATTTAAAGTTTGAATTTATTAAGCATACGGAACTGGCAAGACTGGCGAAACCATTTACGAATCAGACGACGAGGATAATGAGTTCAATGGGTACCTAGAGTCAACCAATGATTCCCAGAGCTTTGCACAACACTCGGCACAACACACCACCGATGGCGAGTATAAGTTGGAGATGGATGATGATGAGCTGGACGATGATATCGATTGAGTTGACGGTGCCGCCGACATTGCGCCAGCAATGGCCGATGCGGACGCGGATGCGGATGGAGAAGCAGATGCAGATGCGGAGGAAACATTTAGTTTTACGTTTATCAACGCTTTGTTAGGTTTGCCACGCCCCCCTGGTTAGGCGGGAGGACCCCCGACACTCCACTCCACACCCAATCCGACCCACCCACCCACATAATTGGTTTTGTTTTTTCTCAATGAGACTCTATTAAATTATAAAGCTCGCAACGACGAGAAAGGAAGATTCGGTAGTTCATGTATGTACTTGTAGTTCGCATACACAGATTGTACTTGTATCATTGAAGATTTATGTTTAAGCTCAAACGTTTTTAAAATAATTTGTCTAGTTAAGCAGAAACCCGTAATTTAGTGCAAACATCCACACATTTTACATATGGCAATCCCCCGAATCCACAGGCCCAAGCTAATGTTCACTCTCTTCTTAGTTGTTATGAGTCTCCCTTTTTCCCCCCAATTGCCTCTTTATGTTTGGGTAGGCATAAGTGAAAACGATAATGTTATGGGTAATTGTCTCTTTATAATATATTATACCAAAATTGTACACATAACAGCAATGAAATGCAATTATTTTTAGAATGCCACGAGCAGTTTGAACTGCAGACAAGACGGAACATATGAAATATGTTTTATTTGCCTATCAATACCCCATTTGATAAAACGATTGTTTTAATTTCTCAAAATCCACAATTTAAGTTGACAACGGAGAGCAGATATTTGCGAAATAATCAACCTACCTAATTAGTAATAACAATTAAAACAAGATATACATTTTCAGAATTTGTATTTATATTATTGAACCTTCTTCAAGTGAATACAAAAGCATACAAATACAAATTAGTAGAAAGTCAAATATAAGGCGTTAACAATTAAGTGTCGAGCATGTAGTTGTGTAATAAATCGAAATAATTAATTGCAAGGATTCAAAGGAAATAATAAGTGAGACGAAATCGAACCGAGTGACAAGTTAATAAAGAAGTAATTTGCATATTGTAAAATATGATAAACTGAGATCGCCGTTTTTTTTTCTTTATTTATTTTGTTTGCACACGTTTCGGGGAGCAAGAAACCCGAGAAGCCCCATTACTAGTAAAGGTTGAGAGAATTCCACACCAAAATTAAAACCAATTCCAAGTTAACGCATATGGTTTGTGTTTACTTTCATTGGGATCGCTGAATAATTAACAAGTACAATTAAGTGGAAATATACAAAAGGCGAAAGCTATCTTAAAATACAGGGACGTACATTTACAAAAGCTGAACCGAACTTAACTAAAGTAAAAGGTTATTCCCAGAGTAGAGGGTCAGCTCAGGCGAATCCCTCGCCCAGGACAGCTTCCGTCGTGGAGGGCGGTCCTAGTGGCACCTGCTGCTGGGCAGCCAGGTTGAAATCGTAGTTCATTTGCTGCTCCAATGGAGGAGATGCAAAGGCTCCCGCAGAAAGATCCATTAGTTCGGGTTGTGGCTGGGCAGGCTTTGTTTGGTCCTGTATCTCCTGTCGCATCTGCTGTGGTGACTTAACGTAGTTGATTGGAATGATTCCGGACGTCTGTCCGTTTGTGGTGGCCAATGCCCATCCGGTGTTGAGTAAGTTCAGCGTCTGCTGGATGTCGCGGGGGGCCACATGGAGCGTTTGACCGGCGCGCAGCGACAACTCGCTCTGGCTGCGTCCCACGAAGTCGTAAACAGCCTGGGTCTGAATCGGTGCCGTCCACTTGGCTGGATTACGGGCTGAAGAGGGATGAAAACACAGGCGTTATTCGCAGGTCTTATCTTAAAAGGCCTTATCGGCCAGATTAAAGCACATGGACGGAGCAAAGTGCTTTCGATTAGATAAACCCGAGCTATGCAATCTGCAAGGCTTACCTTCCTCCTGCGCGGTATTCGTCACCGTGCCCAGCAGCTTCATGATTAAATAGGGAGCAGTGAAGATGAAACTGATGAAGGCCAACACCGGCCAGGGTGAATTGCCCTTTCGCGGTGCCTGGGGTGCACCTCCCGCCTGGGGATTGTTTTCGTTTAGAGCCTCGGCAAAGGCCTTTTTGAAGGCATCCGAAGATGGATCCAGATTCGATATTCGGAGCCAGTAGAGAATCCTTGCAAAGAATAGATGTTAATATATGATATTTCCCACTCAAAGTCTGAACTCACTTTCTGTAAATCCAATTCAATCCTCGGAAAATGGCAAATGTCGTCCAGAATTGGGCAAAAACACTGCGCAGCCGACCAAAGTTCGCTGCCACGCCAAGAATGGCCCGAAACGAGCTTGTTAGCGCGAAGAATGTTGAGTCCAGCATGGAGGCGATGTTGCCGATGGCCGACACTAAGGATTCGATGCTCTGGAAGGCCGGACGCGAACTGGCTTCGGCCATCTGAATGAAACGCTGCTCCGGGTCGTTGACGCCTGGGCCTCCGAATCTGTTGTATGCACCGCCAAAGCCACCACCATAACCACCTCCGTATCCGTAGCCACTACCGAATCCTCCCAATCCTCCGTATCCGAATCCACCGCTGTTGAATCCACCGAAACCGCCTAGTCCGTAGCTGTTTCCACCGTATCCACTGCCGAACCCACCGTATTGCTGTGTCTGCTGGAACGGGGAGACCGGAAGGGGAGGAGGCTGCGCTGGACCGGGAAGCGCCCTAACATTTCCGTACGGAGTGCGCAGCACTGCCTCTGGCGGAGATCCGCCGCTGGACACACCCACTCCGATACTGCTCGAGGGCGGCAGCAGGGGCGCTTCGTTAATCACAGCGCTGCGTAGATTGTTGTTGTCTACCATGACGACCGATTCCGACTAACTCCGGGACAAAAAAAGGTAAAAGTGCTATGAACTTTACCCCACGGCAAGTTACTTTTGTACTTTCAACAGGCGCCACTCGATTCGCAACTTTTGGCAAAAAAGTGAATGAGCGGGATGTGACCGCTTCGTGCGGATTCGCTCGCTATTTTGGCCTCGGAACTCCAGCGGATGTTTATCAACGATATCTGGCGTAATTTTTATTTTAATAATTAATCAATTTCAGCAGTTGTACCGCTTTGTCTTTTTCCAGCTAGATTTATCGGGAACTCGCTAGAAATTGTCAAACTTAAAAGTGTGACCTGCGGGATTTAGCGATTGTTAAGCTAAAAATTGAGAACTAGAGATGGAACTTTATAAGTATGGCTGTTAACAACATATTTTAACGTGTTCTAAAAAAATGAGGAATTGATAAAATTTAATAAATATCAACAATACACATAAGAACACTTTCTGAAAAATCATTAATATACTTTCATCTTTTTTTTTTTTTTTTTGAGGGGTGACCACCCCGACGGAACTCTACAATTCAAGAATGAACTAAACAACAGCTGTGGAACCAGTTGGATTTTTAATATGAGTTTTGATGCCGATTGTGATGAGTTTATTCAAAACAAACTTTTTCGCACCCGAGGAAAATGTGGTAGCTATATTAAATATGATTCGAAACCCAACTTCAAGTGTCACATAATCCACAGCAATATATGCTCGCCAATCAGATGTCTATGTCGCGGTGAAACAGAAGTCTTGCTTCCGAGCCTCTGCATCCACTTTGGCCATGGCGGAGGGCAACAACAACAGTTTAACTGTAATCAACATGCGACATGACATCTGGTTCCACATATCCATGCACATCGACCCGGAGGACGTGCAGACCTTTGCTTTGATTTGTAAGCAAACCGCCAAACTGGTCGCATCGCGGGCTTTCTGGCGTAATCTCTACCGGCGCCACTGCACTGGAGCCACCTCCGGGTGGAATCTGGACCTGCCCGCCCAGCTGCAGCTGGAGCAGATCCGCAACTGTGATATACGGGCCCTCAGATCACTGGTCATCGAGGCGCTCTTCCACTGCCACCGCCCGCTGAAGATCCGTCTGGAATTGGGCTACAACCTAGACTGGCTGCTCCAGCGCATCTTTTTGTCCTGCTGGCAGACGCAGTACCAATGCCTTTGGATCATGTGCTACAAGTTCTGGAATCGACAGCCGCAGGTACAAAACGAATCGGATGTGGAAAACAACGAAGTGGTTAATGATTGGGAAACCCTGGCTGATGACGATGTGGGAAAATTGGCTCCCACGACTGGAAATTCCAACGAGGGAATGGTACTCCTTATTGTCCTGTGCCGCCACTTTGTTCCTACACCCAGCCAATTGTCCTACGGCCATCAAGAGACACGCTACCGCCTTCGAGCCACCCGGGAGCTCCTCTGCACGGACATGCGAGCCAAAAACCTGGAGCTGGACTTCGCCGAGGATGGCTGCCAAAATGTATCAGTAACCGTGAAATACGCTCGCATCGAAAAGTACAAAGTGTTGCCCTGGTGGCATCCTGACTTCCAGAGATTCGTTAAATAAAACCCCCACTACGACTTTAACGTTATCGACTGCAGGTCGTATATTTCTTATCTACGGCTTTGTGGTGTTCGCACCTTATCTTGAGTGCTACCGCCAAAACAAGTGTTCACAATGTTAACAAGCGTCTAGCATTGATCGTTTTTATTCAAACCGACTCGGGAGATACATACTTCTGGAGGGATAAATCACATTTGCGTACCTAAAATATAAAACAATCAGGTGCCTTGTCATTGTAAAAAAGCGATTATGTTTAGGGACTAAAACTGGAAGAAGACTGTTGATATGTACACACACTTTAATCTTAAACATAACTCTAGGTGCCACGAATACGAAACAAGCAAAAGGTGGTCGTAGTAAATTCCGGTTCTCGGTGCTCGGTGTCATTTGTTTAGAATTAATGGAAGCGTTTCCGGGGATTGACCTACACCTTGCCCAAAAGGTCGTGACCATAGGGCTTCTTGCGGTATCCCTTGAAGGCGAACAGCTTGAAGGCCAGCACCATCATCACGATGCAGAAGGCGTACAGCAACATGCCCATCCGCATGTCGATGTCGGTAAATACGTTGGAGATCTGGCGTTTCTGCCGCATCTTTTCTGGCGAAGGATGCAGCAACTCCTCCCGCTGCACGCCGTACCGGCTTACAAACTGCGGATTGTGTATATTCTTGAGGAAGCTCAACACAGCGTCCTTGTTCCATTCGATCTCTAGGTTCTCCGACTTGGAAACCGGGGACCGGTAACATTCGCTGCAGCTATTTGGCGTAGGGAACTGCTTCTTTGGGAACTCCGGATCCTCAGTGGCGTCGCCGGCAAGTCGTTGGTTGACCTCATTGTGAGCGGCCCACAGCCAGAGAACTGCCTCCTCCTTGTTTGGTACACTCCAGATTTTTCGCCTCGACGCCATTGTCTGTGGAGCGTAAACAGAAATGAATTACCCAAAGTTTGAGCGTCACAAAAATCAACTGTTGGCTCAGCTGTTAAACGAAAACCTAGTTGATTACAGTGGTACCTTTTTAAAAGAACCTCAAAAAAACAGACAACACAAAAAGAGAAACAGATCCGTAAAGATCAGTGAACTTTTGAATAAGGCTTTGTTTTGATTGCTTAGAGTAGTGCAACTAGCACGATTTGTTGTTCTTTATAAACAATCAAGAATAGGAAACAGTATAATTTCTTGGTTTAATATGGAAAACCTTCACCTTGTATGGTTCATAAACATTAAACTTTAGATCTTTATGTCTTAAATACATCATCGCAATTAAGCAATTTTAATTTAAACACAAAAACTAAAACCCGATGTAGTTAGCGAACACGTCGTATGTGTTAAGCACTGAGAGAAAGTAGGTGCAAATGACTCACATATAAATAACAACTTTAATCTTGCTTCTGAGCTTTAGTCAGGAAAAACCCACAACAATAAACAACGCACTGACTACATCGTGGTTATTCAATTAGTGCATTATACAAGCCGAGTACCTGTAGCAAAATCAATATCAATGTAAGCACCCAAGAACAGCCAGTTTTCTGAGCTGCTGATGCGTAGCTTAATTTTTTGATCAACACAGCATTTAACTATATACAAGTGTAGCTGTTTTGATGGTCTAATTTGGTCGTTAAATTAGTTTTTTGGTGAAAAAAAGTTTAAATTTGCATGCATGGAATATTCCAACTGTCAGCACCCAAGTCTTTTGTTTGGTAATCAACTATCCTACCCCCACAACGATCGCCTTCCTAATCAGCACTATTGTGGTCATTAGCACGTAGCCATCCGGCTGCTGACTCACCTGAAAGTGCTCGGAGCACTCGGTGCAGCCAAAGAAGTTCTTGATGTAGCCATGCATGGCCTGCAGGACTTCCAGGGGATCCGTGGCCTCCTCGTTGTTGGCCGCCTGGACGGTCATGAAGTGGAAGAGTGTCCACAGGGAGCAGCTAAATCCGCGGTAACGAGCGCTGGAGCCAGCACATCCCACAAAATGGGTGGAAGAGTAGACCGGCGACATTTGTTCCTCCAGACGCTTTAGTTCCTCCTCGAACTGCTTACCCGTCAGCTGTTCGTTGAACTGCACCACGTAGTCCTTCAACTTGGCCACCAACCTATGCCCACTGGCGCCCAGTGGATTGTAGCGCTGTAGCACAGCCAGGAAACGCTGGAGAGCGAGCAGCTTCTCGCCGTTGATCTCGCTCACCTTCGAAACCTCATTGTGCAGCACCGTGCGAACGGCCTGTTCGAGATCCGCCTGGTAGACGAAATGCTTATTCCGGTGCACTTCATCAATTAGTTCGCTCTGTCCATCGACCTTGGGTGCCGTCGTGACCACTGATTTATGCACTTTTACTGGCCTCGGCGTGACATTCTTCTTGCCCAGCTCTTCCTCAAGTTTTTTGGCATAGGATTCACCGTTGGCAAATTCCGGCGAGTAGGCAGTGATTTCGCCCTGACGGTTCACCAAGCTAATAGGCTGATTGGCGGGATCAATCTTGAATTTGGCGGCCACCGCAGGATCAATGACGCGGCGCACCTCCACCGCTGGCCATTGGATCATGAATAGAGCCACCTCAATGCCCAGCGTGGTGTTCTCCGGTTCGTGGACCACTGCCACGTACTGCCTGGCGCTGCTGAGACCTTCGAATAAGCCGCTGACTGAATCGTTCTCGGTGAGGTAGTGGAAGTTGGGCCAGTAGGAGTTGTTGTGGCCGCTCGTCAAGTTCTCGGCGGCCACCATTCCCGCCAACAGTTCACGGATCTCGGTCATGTCCTGGGTCATCAGATTCTGTCCATAATGCTGCTCACTCGGCTGGAAACCGGGACCCAAGTAACGCAGTGTGGGATAGCCCATCACCTCGTAGTTTCGGCAAATGCCATTGTTCTCCTCGGCGGCGCAATCGATGGCCGCCACGAAGAGGACCTCGGACCAGGGCAACAGGTGCTCCGCTACAGTTTTGTAGGTAGGTGCAAACCGGCGGCAATGCCCGCAGTAGGTGTTGTAGAACTCCACAAGTGCCCCTCGATTCTGGTTCACCACGGTGGCATTGAAGTTGTCTACCGTCAGACGGACCACCTTGTCCGAATCGTCATAGAGACCTGAGGAGGCGTCCACCGGTGCGGATTGCTGCTTAAGGAGCGCCTCGTATCGCGGAAGGGGAACGCCAGCAGACGCGGAGGCAACGAAAAGCAGACTGATGGCCAGAATCACCTGGTGCTCCACCGACATTTTACGGGTTTCTCTTTCCTAATTTACGGGAGCGGATGCGATTCGTACGGAATGTAAATCGCGACTGCTGCGATAAGATTCAACTTCTGCGAAGCATTGGGTTTGGAATGTTTTACGGTCGCAAATGGGTTTGATTAACTGCTTTCGTTAGAGATGGTCGTGCGTTTGGTTTTTTCACGCACGGCACGCCTACCGTTAGGAACTAAGTGATTCTTTTTACAATATATTGGCTTTAATTAGCTAACTTACATAGTTACGACAATAATAAAGTTCTGCTTTTCACGATATTAATATTGGTTTCTTTAAGACAATTAACACATAAATAAAAGTCAAACTTTAACAAATATGAATAACGGTAAATCTATTCAGGCCCATACCCATTCCTAACTGCTAGAGTCACTGCGAACTAGTTCCTTCTTGCTAAACCAACCTTCTACAACTTAATTGAATAAATCAGAAAGTATCTACTTAACAGTATAGCTAAAAATAAGATTGCTAATAAGAATGAAAAGAAATCATAGCCACTGTCCTTTAAACAGTATTGTTTTCTTTGTTGTATTGACTACTTTTAAAATAAATACTTTATGCAATAAACAACTTGTCTCTAAAAATAATGAAAGTAAAGCCAAGCTCAAGACTCATTGAACTTCTGTCACTCTTTCTTATCAGTTTTTTATAAGCTTTATATGTATGTATTCATTATGAGGAAAATCGCAATGAAGTTGTTTTTCTGTATAATTCGCTATAATAGTTGGAAAAGCCAGCATGAGTTAAAAAGTAATCTATGTACGTACATACATATGTATATGTTAAATTACTGTAAAAGTATGTTTTATATGTGTTATATGTGGCGGTATTTCTGAACTTATTTAAAATTGGTTTGTTTCCTGTTATGTTCTTTTTCGGTTAACATTTTAACTGGTTAGACAATGTTACCGTTAGCAGCATTGCCAAACAGCACTTTGCAACACTGTAAAACCAAATTGAAGTTGGGGGTGTAAAAATAACGGGAGCAAAATGATTTTGCGTTCATGGGATCGGGTTAAACCCCGTTCCTTATCGGATTTCGCCTGTTTCCTCCTGGTGGCGATCTTCGTTCCGGTGACGTACATCTTCCAGGTAACCGTTGTGATGCCGGAGTTGTTTGCCATTGGAGGAGTTTGCTACACGGTGCTTTGGTTGGCCAGCCTGTTTCTCATTTTCAACATTACTTCAAACATGCTGGCCTGCATGCTGGTGGATACCAGTATACGAAGTGGGTATATAGGATATGTATATTTGACCCTCAACTTAAACTCACTTTTTAGTGGAGCTTCTGAAGCCACCGGTGGAATCGGGGAAGTTGGCCCGTTGGCACATGTGCCACGATTGTCAAACTTTGGTTCCACCTCGCTCCTGGCATTGTGAAGTGTGCAACGTGTGCATCCTGAAGCGGGATCATCATTGTCGGTTCACATGCTGCTGCATCGGGCATCACAACTACAGATACTTCTTCTACTATTTGGTGTACATGATCATCGGATCCCTGGCGGCCGCCATTATGGAAAGCATCTACCTGTGGTGTCTCCATCCGGACATCTACTGGCGCTGGTCCACGCTGTTTACAATCTTTGCTCCCGTTGTAAGCTTGACTTTCTATCCCAGCTGGGAGACCTTCTATCTGGTCATATACGATCTCACCCTGCTGGGCTTCTGCATATCCTCGCTGCTCTTGGTCTTCCACTGGGCGATTGTCAAGAGCGGTTCGGTGACTAGGGAGCGTGGCACGAGGAAGTTCGATCGTGGCTTACGCGGCAATCTGGAAATGGTGCTCGGAACCAGGATGCATCTCACTTGGCTGTCGCCTTTCTTACGCAGTGATTTGCCCCACGATGGAGTGAACTGGGAACCCAATGCAGTCTCCTCACTGAAGGAGGAATAGTGCACAATCGTGTCTTATATTTCTTTGGCAATATATAGTATTAGTGGCATTTACTTAAAACTATTTATGTACATCAAGTCACGAATTAGGGACATGTTAAGATGAAGTCAGTCATAATGGTTATTCCAAAACAAACTAGTCAATACCTCAATCTCAATCCTTCTCTATACAATCTAAATCTCCAATTTAAATATGAAGTAACCCAGCCATCTCTTTCAACCTAATAATAGCCGAAATTTAATTGACTTCTCGTTGAAAGAGGATTCTTTGGGACCTCCAATAAGCTCGGTTTTCCGAAAACTTAGACTTTACAACTTAATGACCAAAATTTAATAGCAATCAATAGTCAATAATCTTTGTGGCCACACATTTTTATAATCTTAATTGCATATCAAGTACAAAAACATTTAACTAACATCAGGCTTTACCAAATATCTATGGTTAATGTCAAAATATTATGTTGTATGTTTTTATTTGTATCATTATTTTTTAACAAAAACTAGTCTCCAATTTATCGTAATTTATTTAACAAATTTTTTTATATCAATTACAAAAAATTATCGTTAACCGAAAACCTTTCTACTTATTGAGAAAACTTTCGCCCACCAGCGATTTCAGCTTCGACAGGTGTGTTTCATTAAGGGTAAATCCTTCATGGATGCGCTTGGCCAAGCCGGTGGAATCCATGTTGTTTTCTACGGCGTACTGAAGGGTGAGCAATGCCTGACTGGGGGACTTCTGCTGCACACTGGCTTCTACAAACTCTAGCAAAGCACTTTCGGCAGGCGTTCCGGGTATTCTGTGCTGGTTCTTGTCAATGTGGGCGAACACCTCAACGGCCTTTTCGTAGTTGTCACCGCGAACGAGCAGTGTAAGGATATCCCCAAGCATTTGGCCGGTGAAGGAGACCTTTCGGAGGCGCCTGATGGCTTCTTCCACCTTCTCGTACATATCCAAAGCCACTTTGGCGCCCTGCTCCGCCAATTGCTGATGGGCGGGGGTCTCGGGATTCGGCTTGTTGTTTACCAAAATTCGGAGAACATACAGAAGCAGACTTTCGCGGTGCGTGTGATCAAACACCACCATGTCCGACCATATGCGTGGCACATACTCCACACCGCCATTATTATCAATGGCTCTCAGGATCTCCTCCATGATGCCCGGCTCGGGGGTGTAAATGTTTGGCACCAGCAGGTCGTATGTTACCATAAAATCTTCTATCGACTCAGTTTGGCAGAGCAGTGCCAAGTAATTGCGGTAGTAGACGGACTCCTTGAAGGAGTCGCCTATCAAATCGTAATTCTTTCCTGTGTGCAACAGCTCGTCCACCTTTTTGGCCAGCGACTTGTCGTGCAAATGATTGCGGCACACATCCATGGCGGTGGCAAAGAAGTACGTGTCCCTGGGATGCTCAATCTGGAACTCCCTGCCAGCAATGTCATTAAGAATGTCGACGATAACATGGGACACTGGTCCCCTTTCCCGGCAGAAGATGATCAGCAGATAGTAGTAGCTTCCTAGACTGGGACTCACTTCCAGTTGCTTAAATTCCGCCAGCACTTGAAGAGCAGCAGTGCGGGCAAGCTTGAAGTTGCCAAAGGTGCTGATGCACTGAAGAACTGCGTTTAGGGTGCCCAGATTAGGTCTTAGCTTTTGCTGTGCCATTTCCTGCAGCAGCTCCGTGCAGAGCTGCCAACGTTGTTCCGCCGTGTCCTTCAGGAAGCTCACTATTTGGATAATGGAATTGAAGGTGTTTGTATCCAGTTGGATCTGCTTTTCGCCGGCCTCTTGGAGCAGAGCATATGCTCGCTCGCATTGCAAGTACTTCGCCATTCCGCGGATAAGGGAGGGGTAGGATTGCGGCGTCTTTGGTTCGATTTCGGAGTATAGTTTCTCTGCCAGATCGCCATCCTTCCAGGTCTTGCCACTCCGCTCACGGCGCCGGTTGTTCTGCATGAACCAACGCTCCTCGATGTACTCCTCTGGCAGGGGATCCTCGTTGTTGTGGAAACACACCAGCTCCAAAAGGCTTTGCTTTAGATCAGGGCTTATTGCGGTTCCCTTTTGCTGGAGGAGGTTGTAGACCAGAACAGCATCCTTGAGTTCTCCTTGAGCAATCAGTTGCCGCAGGGAGCTCTCCTCCACCGGCGAGTCCTCGGTGTAAACCATGCGGGGCGCAAATTTCTCTATGGCTGGTTGAGCTTCCTGGTGCTGGAAGATGAAAATTCGTTAGTTATTGTATTGTATTTCATAACCACTCACCATAAACAGCTCGCGGTGCTCCTCTTTAATCCAGTTGGCCGCCTTGCGACCGGATTCCTTGGACATGGCGTAAGTCCGCTTGGCCGCGTTCGACATGGGTATCAGGAATGGGTCATCGTGGTATTTGTAGTGCGGTGCGGTGTGATCCCGGCCCACAGTGCCTGCCAGCGCCTGAAGAATATCGGTGGGCGAGCGCTCGATCCGATTGGGGATTTCAATGGTGGAATCTTCCGCCGGCGACGCTGTTGTGTAATGTGTTCCGCTGGAACTCAAGCTGCGCGCGATGTTCGCCCGGGGCAGTAATCTCAACTGACGCGAGAGGTACATTATGAAGAAGAAGTTACCACAATTTAACCAGATTTTCAGTTATAAAACAAAACTTAATGTTTTTCTGTTTTAAAGTGAGAAACCTGCAGGTGCTTCTTCTTGCTCGTAAAGTGTGGCCGAACAGCTGTTCCTAACAGCAGGTTAACAGTGGGTACACTTTACTGCTTTCCAATACTTTTTCAGGGCTACATCATATTTAGTTCAAAGTAAGCGTTAGAATTTAAATGCCCATCTTATCATTTTCATGCGGTTAATATATATTTGTTTTAATTATTGATTGTTTTAATAAAAAAGAAAACTCTGGAAATCTATTTACTTATCAAATTTTTATTGACCAAAAAGGTATTACGTGTATACATATTTGTATACCCTCTGCTGTTTCAAGACAGCAACTGCAAACCGATTTAGTTTCTTGTTTGTCTTTAAGGGGATTGTTTGTCGGTTCTTTCTACCTGATACTTCCGAGATGTCTCAACCTAAGCCGATTTTGTATTACGATGATCGAAGTCCGCCTGTGCGCAGTTGTCTTATGCTAATAAAACTGCTCGATATCGATGTGGATCTTCGTTTTGTGGATCTCTTCAAGGGCGAACAATTCCAGAAAGACTTCTTGGCGGTAAGTGGAGTTAATTTATTCGGTGAAGCTTATACCCACCGAATCCATCATAAATGTATTGTAGTGCAAATTTTTGAACATATTTATCATAAAATGATTCCCCTACTTTTATTTTGTTTTGTTGCATATTAGAATATTAATAAATATTCCCCTAATTTTTAGTTAAATCCCCAACACACTGTCCCCACTTTGGTGCATGATGATCTGGTGCTGACCGATAGCCATGCTATACTCATTCACCTGGCGGAGAAATTCGACGAGGGTGGAAGTCTGTGGCCGCAGGAGTACGGAGCACGTATGAAAGTCCTGAACCTGCTGCTCTTCGAGTGCTCCTTTCTGTTTCGCCGGGACAGTGATTTTATGGTGGGTTCGCTAATTAAAACTACAAAGTTTTTAATTGTGTTCGATGTACTCCGCAGTCGGCGATTGTCCGCCAGGGATTTGCCCATGTCGATGTGGCGCACCACGAACGCAAGCTGACCGAGGCGTATATCATCATGGAGCGCTATCTGGAGAACAGCGATTTCATGGCTGGGCGACAGGTAAAAAAGCTGCTGCTCTGATTGCGATTCCCTGTCGTTGTGGCGGTTCAATTAAGTTTAGAATTTCACCTTTGTCTCTGCGGTTTCAGCTGACGCTCGCCGACTTATCCATCGTGACCACATTGAGCACCGTCAATCTCATGTTTCCCCTAACACAATTCCCACGTCTGCGGCGCTGGTTCTCCACAATGCAGCAGCTGGATGCCTACGAGGCCAACTGCGGCGGCCTGGAGAAGCTGCGCCAAACCATGGAGAGCATCGGTGGCTTCCAGTTCCCATCCTCAGCCGCGCCGACATCCGCCCAGGATGTGGAGTAACTCTTGATGGTTATTAAAAGCGCGTTTTAGCCTCGGGCTGGGATGCAGTTTGATGTTTGCTCTGCAGGTGAAGGGTTTACTGTGGGATATGTGGATATAGCATGCTAAAGAATTTTAAGCAAATAATTTGCAATTCCTATTTGCTCTATAATTCCAAAAAAATTAACTTGCTTGGGCTGATAAAAATATATTTACAGGAAAAAGATAAAAAAAGTATCAAGTAAAATTAAAATATATATTTTTAAATACCATTTAAACGCTCTTTCTAATATGCAAGAAAATTTTGTGGAAACAACAACAACAAAAATAATTTGGTTGAGTAATGAATATTTCCGTGTACCTATGATAATTGAAAAACGTACCCCAACCCATTCTATAATGTGTAGAATTACCACTGAAAATTGATGTTTGCTTTGGTGAAGGGAAAACATGTGTAATACCCTCGAATTCAAAGTAATTTGGCGGATGGCCATTCGCGACCCTCGACCAACTCATTAACATATACGCGTATGACCCCTGTTTACTCCGGAAATGTTGGCAAATATTTGGCTGCTCCGGACATTTGCAGCCTAATGACAGCTTGTCAGGCCTAATAGCCGTATCGAGTGCCCTCCAGTTGAGCGGGGTAATCCTCTTCGAGGGCCACTCGCTAATTGCTGTGCTCCATCCTCGAGGAGACAGTAACTCGATGCTCTGGTCAGCCAACTCGAACAAAGTTTAACGCACGCATCACGCACCCCATCCATTTACAACTTGGCGACTACGTGCACCTGGTCCTTTCATCGGATTTCAGCTCCTTTGGAGCGGCGACTCCTGCCCACCAACGACTGCCAGCTGCCGGGAAAAGTGCAGTCATTGCTATTGCTTTTTGTGAGTGCCGAAGCAGCTTCTACCCGAGGCACGCGGCAAACTTTCCGCACAGCAAGTTTTTCAATTTGGACCGGCGTTGTCTCAACATTTATCTGCCCTTCACGTTGTCAGTGTGCTGTACAGAGATTTTTTTTTGGCTCGGTGACCGAAGTCTTAGCTTTCTGTCAACGGTCATCTAAAAGCGCATCCGTGACCCCAGATACATAAAACTGAATTATTTAACTTAAGTTTCACGGCACTCTTTTGCCGCAGAAAATGTAAACTTTGCCGTCGGATTTGCATCAATTTGCGACTTTCTGCGGAGACGCAAGTTGCGAATTAAAATCTGAACTGAATTAAGTGCCTTTGTTCGGATACATAAAGGAATTATTTGCATTCCGTTTAAAACATACTTTACATATTTAATGGAAATTCTTTTTTAAGCCAAAGGTGTAACAAATTGAAAAAAAGGCTGATATAAAAATGTAATAGCTTTTTTTCTACTGCCCCTTAAATACGTTTGCTTTCTTTAAACATATTTTCAGAAAATTTAAAATACATTACCGAACTCTGTCCAATGCATAAACCGAAAAAAATCACTTTATTTTAAGAGCATTTACTCAGTCGAGTTGTATATTCAGCATTTTTTGGCAATTTTTTTGCCTGTATTTGCATGTTGCTATGAATTCGATTAAAGGCCACGCTGCTTCATACATGCGACTTTATTTATGGGCAATTCAGACGCCGGACGACGATGATGCAATGCCACCCACTGGAAAATGTCCCAGCCTCGCCGATTCGAATTGGTATTTAAAAGCAAATTTACTCTGATGCAGCCCGGAAAGGCAATTTAATTTAAATCATTATTATTGTTGTGATGATGCTAACACAAATAATTAAAAGTACAGGCAGCAACTTTTCAACCTGCATAAATTAGATGCAGCGAACACAGACGAAAAAAGCTAGGCAAAAACTCAGCATGTTGAATAAAATCAGCACTCGTTTTTGTTTTTCAACAGGGATCGATAAAAATAATAAAAGAGAACCTATTCAAGTTTGTCGTTAACAAAATTCTAAAGCGCAAATATTTAAGAAGAAACAAGGAAACTTATTAGACTTTGGGTTGGTTTTTTGCTAAATAAGTTAAAGGTTTTTGTCGAATCTTAATGGCACTTCTTTGATACTCGAAAAAGAACACTTTCTCCTGAAACAAATATTCGAAATTAAATTTCCTTGTTAAATCATTAGGGTTTCTTTCAGAGAGAAAACTCTTTTGTTATCTTGTTATTTTTTTTGCCTACTCATTTCACACATTTCCCAAAGAAATCACCATAATTAGACGCATAATGGCTCCAAATTAGCATAGCTGTTAAAAATTGGAGCCCAGCCATGAGAGAACCCAAATGTGGCACACATTGCCAGGAACAAATCGAGTTATGGATGACAGACGACAACTTTTGTTCGAAACTTTTTTTGGCCAAATGGGTGGGAGGGTCCAGAACTCCTTGAGCCTAATGCTGTTGAATACTTTGTGCAAATTGATTTAGTGAGAATGCTGCTTTGAAGTCTCCCTTCATCGCCTGCCAGTCAATTTCTTGAAATGGAAAACTTTGTGATGAGGGAAGGTGGGTAAAGGTGGAGCATAAACCTCATTACACGCTCCTAGTAAGTAGCCTAGCAGCCGGCTTTAAAGTGTTAGCCAGGAAATTCAATTAGGCCAGGCCATGCCACACTGCCAATTCCCCAGTAGGGACATTCAGAGACCAGAAGTCATCGGTGCGTGATCCTGAAATATTGACAAAGTTTTCGCATTCGACCATTGGGACAAGCGATTTCGGGTTTAGCTTCTCGATTATTACTTGGGGCAATATTTGCTGATTTTATTTCGGGTCGGACAACTTGCCTTTGACCGCTGCTGACTTGGCTATAAATTGGAAAGCATTCGCAGTTGAATTATTGATTAAAACGCTGGCTGCTCACTCGCCAAGTCCACACCGATTTGTAGCTCGTACTTTTGGTTTACGCCCAACTAACCACCGCCTTCGCACATAAAAATGCCTATTATATTATTTTCACCTTCCATATTCCCGGCCAGCTGGCGAGGTAGACCTTTTTGTTGTGGTTAAGTGCTAGGCATCTTGGTTGCGGTCCTCCTGAATTTCTAATTAACCTTTTTTCGGTTTTACGGGGCCGGGGCTGAGCCACTCCCACATTTATCTGGGGCTTCGTCTCAGGATTCACCGAAAACCGTAAACCGTTCGGGTGAATGATATTGGTTGAAAGCCAAACAGAACACAAGAGAACAGACCAAACAAACATCTGACAACCAACAAACAAAAAAGTTCAAAAGATTCCGCATCGCAATTATTGCCGACGCAAGTTTGGAACATGAGGCAAAACTTTATGTTAAATGGGATCAGGGATACTCTTGGGACTACAATAAAAACTTTATTAGGTCAAAAGTGTTATGAGCAAAACATTTTTATCATTTATGCGCACAATAAAACTGGCTTTTAATAATAAAATTTCTTGTACATTGCAGATGTGCTTGTAAAACGGGAAGGTACAAATGTAAAGGCAAGTACATAATTTCAAAATGTTTGTCTGCTGTTATAATAAAAGTTTTAGTTCCATCTCTTAGTTTTTTAGACGCAGAAATAAGATGACCAAGCTGGAAAGCCCCACCTGTAAAAGTGTATTCACACAATTTAAATCAATAAATGCAAGATGATTGCAAAGGTTAGCCAAAGTCGAGGCAAAAACTCTTTTCGCTTTTGTTTATTCGCTTTCGAGAAGCACAATATTGGCAAAAGGTAACAATTTTAAATATCAAAGAATATTTTTTGCCAACATTGTGCTTGCTAGCCATGTTCTCTTCAACGACAATGTGGGAATGCGAAATTTATTTAATTGCTTTTGTCGCAGCGGAGCGGGAAAACGTCTACAGAAATTATGGGAAACTTATAAATAACTATTCTATGCCATGACCGCCACGAATTGAGTGTTTATTTTTGTTAACAAAATGACGACATTGGGCATGATTTTCCAATTAAACGGCGAGCTTAAATAAATAATGTGTCTATTCTTGGCCAGACAACTCATTGGCTATGGGGCACGAATTCAGTATCGGTTCGATGATGTTTGCTGTTTGCTGTTTGTTTATAAATGAAATTGCAGTTTGCAAAGTCTCGAACGCTTGACTCAATTTCCGTTTCCGCCCAGCTTCACTGTAAGCCAGCGGAAGCGGCACAAATTCCAGCAAGTGGTTGCTCTCCTAAGGGCTCTGCATCTGGATCTGGTCCTGGTTGTCCTGGTGGGTCCTTTTCCTTTTTCCCCAACGACCTAATTTTCGCTTGACTTCATTTCGGATATGCGCTGCCATTTTGGGGCCATTGTGCGCCGGCCATTTTCGGTCGCAGGCCATGGCCTTTGTTGTGTTTTTATGCTGATTTATGGGAAAATAATCCCGGCTAACTTAGCGCCTGGCAAACGGTTTCCCGCCAGGATGTTTGCACACTCGAATCTAATTTTCCTGGACAAACACGACGGTAACGCCGCCGAATGTGTGTTTGTGTTTGTGTTTGTCTGTGTCGTATGTGCAATTTGGCCGAAACGATGCCGGCTGATGAGGATGCATGAAGCATCCAACAATCCAGGGAAACAAGGACCCAAGGGTCCAGCTCCGGATAAACATTTAATCAGGCGTGTGTTTGGATTGCAATTCAACTGGGGGACCGTGCTTTCGGAATCCACTCGAGTACCATAACGTAATTGAATTTGATTATTTTACTTACATCTCCGCGTTGTTCCACCCACCCAACCCACCGCCAATGCAATTACAATTACAATAATTTAATTGCCATGAAAAATGGCCGCACATCTGCGGGGCATTAATTAAATTTTTGCGAAGACAATAGTCAAAACGCAGCCTACGGCGAATTTAATTCACTTAAATGGCAGCAAATGCGGCTTCCTTCAATCCGCCGAGTATTTTGTTAATTAAAAAAATAAGACAGCCATCCGACGAAGTGCCGCGGGCCAAGGAGGCGGTAAAAATAAACGAACACGCCATCTGTTTTTCGTTGCGAGAGTAAAAGCGAGAAAAGCCTGGAAAATCTCAACTATTTCGGGTCCACCTGTTCGGAATAGAAAATTTTAGAAATTAGTCGTGCTACCCAGAGCACAAATTCTTCGAGCCTTTTACGTGTATGCCTTGGATTTTCCGAGTGTTATCGAAATAGTATCCGCTCTAGCAGAGGAAATTTTCCCCCTTCTCGAAATAGATGTCGCTGTCCGATGTCCGATGTGCGATTTGTTTATTTGGTTTTTCTCCGACTTACTTTAATAAAATATTCATTTTGGCTCGTGGGGCCACGAACTTTGGCCATTCCAAATTCCCCTTGACATGTCCCCTCAACTTTATTGCCCTCTTGTTGTGATTTTCTGGGAATGCTAAGGGTGTCTTTTAGCGCTGATGTTTGTCCTCTAACAAAGTGCTTTTCAATAACACAAGGCGCATAACTCAAGTTAATTGTTTGGTCATAAAATATTCGCTGGCCTTGTGTTTTCGAACGCTTGTAAATGGTTTACTCATTTGCCGATGGTAATCTGTTTTTATATGCATCAACAGATTATAAATGCAATTTATTGCTAATTTTATAGGCTAAATGCAGAGGGGGATTCGTTTAATTTTAACTGGATGTATGAGAGTATGCAGAAAATAATCTGCTTATTAATTCATTATTTTTATCATCATGTTATTAATTGTTGATATTATTGCGCGGCATCTGCTAATATTTAATGTAATAGCCATTGTTTGTATTTTTTCTAGTTAGAAATTAACGATTTTGCTTGATTAAATCTATAACAATTTTGCATCTGGCTTTAAAATAAAAGTTCACGATTTTTTCTGATACTCTTCTAAAGCCTTTTCGGACATCTTTAAAAACATTTGGCAAAGAAAAAAATATATATTTGTTCATCTTATTAAATACCTCTAAATCATGTTAAATTCAAAAGCAGTATAAAAAAAGAGTGTAAATTAATAAAAATGATTATTTTAAAAAATATGTAATATTTCATAGATTTTTTTCAACATAACAGCACAAGGTAAAAGGTGGTGGACATTGTCAAGCTCTCAAAACTATGACATGATTTATGTTTGTCATATTTCACTTTAAATTCTGGAGGATGTGTCTCTCGACGGGAACCAATTGGGTGCCATTTTTAATTATGACCCAATGCAAGCCGTTGGAAATTACGGGCAACAAATGCAGGCGCCCGAAATGAGTGCAGAATAATGGCAGCAGGAGCAGCCGCTTGTTGGCCTGGCCAAGTCCGAAAAAATGCGGTTAACATGCAAATGAGCAGCGCAGTTTGAAGAGCAGAGTGTGCAATACAGACACAGTTCCCTCCATCGATTGGAAATGTGTGAAAATTATTAGCCACTCGTTGTTGCTGCCGCTTTGGATTTTTCCTTCTGCTCGGCCGATGATGTGATCTAAAATTATAACGCACGACTCATGCGAGGGAGGTGGGAAAAAAAGATTTTGGCGCTTCGAATATATAGAGGAACGCCCACGCCTCGGAATTTCACACACTCGACTCCGAATTCGGATATATTTTTGGAAAATTCTTGAACGAATCCGTCGGAGTGCGCTCTCTTGCGCTTTAAAAGCCGCATACGCCCCGTTGGCTGGCATCAGTGTTAGCTTGTCAGAGCTTTAGTGAAGATCCCACAGAAACCGAATCCCCAAACCAAAAACCAAACATGTCTCTTGAGCGTGCCGTTCGTGCCAAGGTGAATACTTAAGCAGTGAACCAAAAAAAAAAAAAGAAAGATCCTTTAAAAGAAAACATCTCAGAAAAACACAGTGAAAATATGTGAAAATTGAAATGGAGTTTGGTGAAATGTGTGTTAAATTTTTGTTTGCTTGTTCTTTGATCCAACCAGATTGCTGGCAAGCGCAATCCCGAGATGGACAAGGAGGCCCAGGAGTGGATTGAGGCCATCATAAACGAGAAGTTCCCCAAGGGCGAGTCCTACGAGGATGTGCTCAAGGACGGCCAGGTGCTGTGCAAGCTGATCAACGTTCTGGCCCCCAACTCGGTGCCCAAGGTCAACTCGTCGGGCGGCCAGTTCAAGTTCATGGAGAACATCAACAACTTCCAGAAGGCCCTGAAGGAGTACGGTGTGCCCGACATCGATGTCTTCCAGACCGTCGATCTGTACGAGAAGAAGGATATCGCCAACGTGACCAACACCATCTTCGCTCTTGGCCGTGCTGTAAGTTTTAAATACTTTTGAAGTAATTTAAGAGGTTTTCTAACCTTTGAACCTCGAACCCTTTGCAGACCTACAAGCACGCCGACTTCAAGGGTCCCTTCCTGGGCCCCAAGCCCGCCGATGAGTGCAAGCGCGACTTCACCGAGGAGCAGCTGAAGGCTGGACAGACCATCGTGGGTCTGCAGGCCGGTTCCAACAAGGGAGCCACCCAGGCTGGCCAGAACCTCGGCGCCGGCCGCAAGATCCTGCTCGGCAAGTAAGCCCTTGAAGTGCCAGGACATCACAAGCCACCCACTTTTCTCCACATATATGCTAAGTGAACACACACACACCCATATATATACCGTATATATATATATTTTGTATGATGAAACATGAACACAAAGATATTCCTCACCAAAGCAAAAAACTCAACACTAAAACACTCACACAAACAACACATGAAAGCAACGCGAAGGCTCTGTCGCCTTATATTAAGTATACGCCTAAGTTAATCTATTTATGAGTACAATAAAGTAATTCACAAAATCCTAGTTTTCCACTTTCCAATCAGAAGATCACCTCTGTAACCTTGAGCTATCTACGTTCTTGCTGTTGTTCTTTGTGTGGGTGTAGAGATTTTATTTATCTGCCTATGGTGCGTTCTAAAAATGACTTTTGTACGTATAGCTGTATATATATCATCGAATCAGCGTTATAAACCAAACATAAACACACTCCGATGAGTGTGTGCGATGTGAAAAATTCCACCGAAGCGTGTCGAGGTCAGAATATCAGCGTTGGGCTGAGTTAACATCGAGATGGGCTATCTATATTCCGTCTATATGTAAGGACAGGAATTTGCAAGAGGCAAGAGCCGAAACTCACCTGTCCGAAGCGTTAAATTGCTCACTTTGAAAGCAGGCAGACAACTATGTATTGCAGGTGCAACTATGAGGGTGCCAAAAGCGAGAAGAGCCAGACAGCTCTTGAAAATATTTCACGCCTTCAGCTGGCAGTTGCCTATATCTTAATTTGTTAGCACCTGTCCTTTGATGGTAAGCCTTTAAAAAGTGATAAATATTTCACGAGAGCATCTCGGAACCTTAATTTAAATTTAAGGAATTAATTCGTTAAAAGAAAAATTGCCAATTTTATAATTTACATTTCCTATATATTTAAAATGTTGTTTTTGCAGTCCCCAAATGAAATATTTCCGCCATTAGTTTTCACTTAGTGAAGCGTACAATGAGTGTTTTATACTTAAATAGTACCCAAAAAAATGTGATTAAGTACAAAGTGTGCCGAATACCAAATTTTTATTTTTAGAAATTCAATTTTTCCAACAATTGGCTGCCTGAAATATTAATGAGAACAACCAAATGATATTTCCCCTTGGTTTCTTTCTGTTCAACATATATAAGGAATAAATAAAAACAGGCAAATAAATAACAAACTTGACACTGAAAATGTGAGGGGGAAATATATTTTTATAATGGTTCATTAACAGATTTTCTTTAGGAACTCAGGGTTATTATTGATGCATAAGCTTGTGAGTAGGAAGTCTTGGTTATTCCAATTAAACCTGTTGTTTATTGTATTAAAGAATAATAATAGTGGATTTTTTTATGATAAAAATTTATTTTGATGCTATGTTTAAAGACGCCTTGTAAAATGAATGACTTTGCTTTAGTGACACGGCTTGCAAGTGATCGGTAATGGATTTCAGGGTTTCCCTAAGATTGGTGACTTTCTCCTTCTTTTCTTTTATGTAATCCACCGTTCGATCGTAATCGTACAATAATGCAGGCATTGCCAAAATGCCACCTCGGTAGGTGCACTCGTTAATATTACTCCTAATTTTTTTGTGCTCAATTTTTGCCTTATACAGCCTAACCTTCGCCTCATGCCTCATTTCCATCTTTTCCTCCAGCTTCTCCTTAAGATATTCTATACTTTGCTTCAGCTCCAGGCTCTTTTCACGGAGATGTTTGGTCAAATGCAATTCCGTGTGATACTGGGTTCGCTGCCTTTTCAGTTCGATGTTTCGCTCTGGGTGTTAAAAACAACATAATTATTTATTTGTTGAATATGTTTAGGAAGGAGTATTCGGCTGTACTTACCTTCAATTTTTTTTTGTAATGACAGCACTTTTGTTTGCACGTTTATGTAGTCCTTTACGCTCACCGTTTCGCTTAGAGTTTCTATCTTTTTTATAATCTAAGGGGGAGAATGTGTAGGTATAATTTTGAAATTGAATATATGGTAAAAAATATGATGGATAATGTGGAAAAAAATGGCCAGCACACATGCAAATGTTGTTTACAAAGTGAATATTCAGATTTCAATTTCAATGAAAAACTTTCTATCAGGAATGTAAGATTTTTTGGGGATAACCCAATGGAACTTACTTCTCTAACGCGACCAAGGGTATGTTTCTGCTTGATGAGCGTTAGCCGCGTGTCGCTAATTTGGTTCCGGTGTTCGGCCATCAGTCTCAGCTCGCGGGAAACGAACCGCTTGAGGAAGTCGGTTTCCGCATCCGGTCGGACCAGGAGGCGACGCACCGACTGCTCAAGATGCTCCTCCGTGCTCACTGCAATGTGTATGGCGTGGGAGAGTTCCATTAACGATTTTTGTATCTGAATGGAATGCTTTTCCTTAACATCATCCAACCGTTTTTTGTTCGAAGCCAAATTGTCCAGAGCCTCTTGATGGCGTTCACGGTAGGTCCTCGCCTCCGAAAAGGACAATTCGGCGAAGGCGCGCATGTTCTTCGTTCGGCGGAGGTACTCGATCAGTCTGTCTTCGAGCTGCTTGTGATTATCGTTATTTATGATGTAATCACTCACGGCTTCCTGCAGAGCGACCAACAGCTTGTTCTTATCCAGTCGCTTCCTCAGATAATCTTCGCTTCCAGGGGCCTCCAATACTATCACTTTATCGAACAATTGATTGATAAAATCGTAAACTATCTGATGAGACTCTGAAGCTTTTGAATCTGGCAGTACAGTGACATTCGTTTCACGTCTACTCTCGGCGGCAGCAAATAACTCTTCTAAGAATTGGTCAGGCTCTTCCTGCGTGGGCTTAGAGTATGGTAAGTCGATATCCCCAGAGGACTCTTCAAGCGATTCCGATTCAACCATTTGATCACCGGCGGCAGACTGGGTATCACTGCCCGATTCGCTTGATCCCGATTCGGAATCGGAGCCTTTCATATCCAGGGCATCCTTAAACTGACCTTGACTTTGCAACCTCTCTGATTTTATTGACTTTAAAGATTTATTTTCTTTTAGGGGTTCAAATGGCATCGATATTTCCGATATATCGGGCACTAACATTAGCGTATGAACTGCCAATCGTAAAGGGTCAACGCTTTCTTGTACTTCTTGTAATTCCTGAGTTTCTGGTTCTGGTTCTGATTCCGAGGAGGATTTTATCAAACTGGGTTCCTCTTCGTATTCAGCATCCACCTTGAGCAAAGCTCCTGTGAAGGATTCAACATCTGAGTTCGAGCTGGTTGTACTGCTTTCATCGTCCAACTTGCTCAACATCAACTGCTCATCCTCTTCCTTCTTTTCGAGTTGAGATGGCCGGCTTTGTATACTGACCGCAGATTTTTCCTTGCTTGATTCCACCATCTGGTGTTCACTTTCTGCCTTTTCTGCAGCCAGCTTCGTTTCCTCATCGCGCTGTCTCAGTCGCTCCAAGGCGTCCCTCATTATCAACCTCCTCTCCTCCTTTTTGGCTTCCTGCAATAGCATTTCACTCTCCCGATACATGCTTTCCGAATCTGCCGAATCTTTAACCTGCAACACTTTATCCTGCAACATCTCCTCCTGCGATACTTCAATCTGCAATACGCCAACCTGCATTTCTTTATCCTGCACCACTTCCTCCTGCAACACTCCATCCTGCAACACTTTATTCTGCAAACCTGGATCCTGCAATACTTGATCCTGCACTACTTGATCCTGCACTACTTGATCCTGCACTACTTGATCCTGCACTACTTGATCCTGCACTACTTGATCCTTTGGTACTTCATCCTTTAGTATTTCATTCTTAGCATCGTCAGTTGTTATGGTTTCCATTATAGAGCTATTTGTTTTTATTATGAATATTATATTGTACTTGTATAGGTTTTTTGCGTACGATGGTATACACTCGAAAAAATCAATTAATCTTAGCTCTTATTTTGCTTATTTATATTTTTTAGTAACTTTTTGTTTTTTATTTGTTTTTTGTGTAGTTTCTTTGAGTTGTGTACTCGTGTACATCTGTGTGTATTGTGAGAATATCCTCAACTGTCATTGACAACTTATGAAGTGAAAAAATGTTTACCATTCTAAGGTTACCTTGAAAAAAAAAAAACATTTTTCATATAAACAAGAACATAATTATTTTTATTATGTTTAAAATAAAAAATTCTCACGCCGTTGTTTTTGATCAGATCGACTTGATTTCTTCCAGATGGCGTTTTCTAACTACTATTGAATTTCAGATTAAATTTTATCAAAATCGGATAACTCTATCATATAGCTGCCATAGGAACGATCGAAAAATATATATAGAAACACGGGAAATAAAATTTATGACCTCGTGTTTTTTCATCAGACAAGCATGATGTTTGGAAAATATAGTTTTCTAACTACTCTTGAATTTCATCAAAATCGGACAACTATATCATATAGCTGCCATACGAACAATAGTCGAAAATATGGAAAATTAATAGAGAAATCTTCATAGTTTCGATGTTGTTTTGTAGTTTATCTGTTTATCTTTGAGCCATTAACAAAACCCCTGTAATCTATTGAGATACGCAATTTAGTTTAAGTTTAAGTTGAATTATTGAAATTCACGTTTATTATAATACACAGGGTACTTTTGTGTTGAAGTTCTGTGTTTGGGCGCTTTCTAAATGCTTCTGCCTTCCAATACGCTGACGCGACGTTGGAGCGCCTTCATGGTCTCCCTGAGCTTGGAAACGGCCTCCTGTTTCTCCTTAACCTTCTCCACGGTGTGGTCGTAGTCGTACATCAGGGATGGCATCGACAGGATGCCGCCCTGGAAGGCGAGATCCCTGTACTGCTGACGCATCCTGGTGCGCTCCAGCTTCACCTCGTAGAGTCTTTTTCGCAGGAAGCGCTGCTGATCGACGGCTTTCTGCAGAACCTTCTTCTGGATCTCAAACTTTTCCCCCAAGCCAAGGGCTTTCTCCCGCTGGTGCCGAATTAGATGGATATCGGTGAGGTACTTGGCGCGGTTTTTTTCAGGTCATTACTTCGTTCTGGGGAAATATGGCTGTCTTTATTAAAATATTAGAAGCTTAGTTGCTCGTTACCTTCAATTTTCTTCTGCAGGGCATGAACTTCATTTTGCACGGCTATAAAATCCCTGATGCATAAGGTGTCACTCACGGTTTCGAGAGCTGTGATTTTCTGTAGGACAAAATGGAAGATTAGCATACAGTTTCTTTAAGATATAAATATTACATTTAATCATATTATTGTTTCCTTGTTGGCTAGTTCAATAAATATGTCCTTGTAATATATATATAAACCTTTCTATTACACTCACATTTAAAATGCTGGCCAAAGCGTGTTTCCTGGTGATGAGAAACAGTCTGGTGTCGCTGATCTCGTTCCGCTTGGCAGTCATTAGCTTGATCTCCCGTTCGACTTGGCGTTTCATGAACTCGGAGTCCGGCCGGATGAGTTTCGTCCTCATCAGGTGCTCCAGGCGATTCTCGGTGAAACTGACGACGCTCTGGGCGGAGTGCAGATTCATGAAGACGTGGTTCATCTGGAGGGCGTGCTTGTGCTTGGACTCATTCATTCGATTCTTTACACTGTCCAGGTGGAATAGAGCATTCATATAGCGGCCGTAATATCGTTTTTCCATTTCCTTGGAGAGCGGTTGAAAGACGCGGGTGTTGCGATTGCGTTTGAAATACTCGACAAGTCGACTGCCAACTAGTTCGTTGGTGTACTTCTCATACATGTAATTTTCGGTGATGGCTTGCAGCTCGTTGATGAGCTTCGTCTTGTCGAGCTTTTCCCGTAAGACGTTCTCCTCGTTGTGAAAATCCGACTTATTGGCCGTCTCCTCGATAAGATCGCGTAGTAGTTCCTCGACCGCTTTGCTAAGCTCGAGAGCATGAGTGTCGGTTGAATCCTTTTCGTCAATTGCCACCGAGAAGTCTATCACTTGCATATTGTCAAAATCCTCCAAAGTAACCGTCCTTGTTTTCTGGACAGCCGCCGGCGGAAGTTCCGCGAAGTCTGGTATATCGGAGATATTGGAGGAGCCGTCCCGACTTTCCATAAGTGCCACATCGTCCTGCTGCTCGTCGTCAGAGGCCGCTGAGGCTTCCGACTCCAAACTGGAACTGGAAGCGGAGTTTATCTCAACGGAGTCCACGAAGTGACCCGAAAGAGCACTTGTCGTGGATTTGGTTCGGCTTAATTTGGCAGTCAGCTCGTGCTCCTCCGATATGTCCGACAGACTGGGTATGTCGAAGTCCCTCAGAAAGTTACCCTTCAACTGGACGGAATCGGGATCGGCGGGTTTCAAGGATCTCTTCGATACAATGCTAACGGAAGACATACTCGTCCTGGCCTCATCATCATCATCATCATTATCATACTTTGGATCTTTAAAGAACAAAGTTCTATCGATAGGTGCGATGGAAAAGCCGGGTGGAAACAGGCTCACCATTTTGGGTGCCTGAAAGTTTTGGAGGAATTCGTCATCATCGGAACTCTCAGACGATTTGGATTCACCATCGACGGGCTCATCGAAATTCACCAGGATATCGTTCGGATCCTCGACAAGCTCCTCCTCCTCTTCCTCCCCAATATCTTTGCTCTCATCGACGTGTTCTTCGATGAAACTAACTGCCATTTGCCGGGGATCCGAGAGCGTAAACCGATTGCTGGCCAGCATTTTCAGGCGCTCCTTTCGCTCCTTTTTCAGCCTTGCCTTGTTTTCCTCGAGCGAAAGCTCAGTGGTGGCCTCCACTTCCTGATCAGCTGCTTCGATGTTTTCGGTTCCCTCCTCCTTGAATTCCTGATTTGGATCGGACAAGGTTTTTTCGCCGGGTTCCTCCTGAACAGTGGGTTCACCTGGCTCAGGTTGGGTTTCCTGCTTCTCCGGTTTGGAAATCTCTTCCTGTTTTGGGGTTTCTGCGGGCTTCGGTGTGTCTTCCGGTTTCGGTATTTTTTCCACTTTTGGTGTCTCTTCCGGTTTCGGTACTTCTTCCGGTTTCGGTATTTCTTCCGGTTTCGATTTCTCTTCCGTTTTTGGTAACTCTTCCTGTTTCTGTACTTCTTCCGCTTTCGGTATCTCTTCCGGTTTCGGTGTCTTTTCTTGCTCGGGAACCTTTTCTTGCTCAGTTGGAGTACCTGCGGATGCCATTTCCGCCTTTGGTTGATCAGCGTTTTTTTCAGTGCCTTCGACTTTCAAAACTTCCTCCGTGGAGATGGGTTCTTCAGCCATTGTGAGTATTTTTGTGTATTTTTATTGTTTATTATTTTTTTAAGTTTTTTTTTGTTTATTTTAGTATTTATTTTTGTGTTTGTTTTTGTGTTTATGTTATGTATTTTTATGTTTTTTTTGGGGGTATTTTATGTGTTGTGGGCAACAGTGTTATGTGTTTGTGGAGTTTGTTTTGACATGACAACTAACTCAAAAATCATATAAGGGTAACTTCAATAATCAAGGGAAGAGTACAAATTAAACCGTACCATAACAAATATAAGTTATAATTTTGATGTTGTCAAAATTCTGTTGACAAAATGTAATAAAAAATGCATACTTTTAGGCTTAGTATAACAACTAGGAAAACTTTCTAGCTCATAATTTTATTGATTATAACTAAGATAAGTTTTTGTTTATTCATTTATAAACAAGAAGTTTAATGTTCAAATTAGTTTTAAAATATTAATAAGCAGCTTTAAAAGGAAAATGCAAAATTTCTGAGATATTGTCAAGCAACCTTTAAGTCTTAAATTTTGCTGCTTGCTTTTAGATGACATTTTGCAGCATCTTCACTTTAAATTAGGTCGAAGCTGCTCCTTTTTAGAGCCATCTGGGGTCCAATTGAAGGGCCTAAGTAAATTTTATCAAGGCTTTAAAGTTGATTGATTGTCCTTTGTGTGCGTCTGCTTTTTTTGCATTCTGTATGAGTGCGGTAAACTTTATGACATTGATAAATTTTTAATAAATATGACAAAATGTCGGTGCTTTAATTCACTTGATTCCGCCTCCTTTTTTTGGGCCAGCACCAGGTGCCGGGCGATTTACATAAAAGTTGTGCAGTGCTGGAGAGTGTAATTTGCATAGAAAGCACTGCAGCACTTGGAATGGATTTCGGGTCTTAATACTTTCCGTTTGATTGTCTTGGCGTGGAAATTGATTCAGCAAAATGCCAAATTGCTTTAAATTATGCATGAGCCTGCGACTTTGGACTCCCATTCCGGCAGTTTGCCTTTGATGTTCGGAGGACATCTGGGAATCATATTCAATAAGCCGGATCCGACAAGGAGGCCAAAGAACTTTTTTACGACAGACGCAGTGGGCCAATCCCCTTTGATGGCTGTTAAATAAATTTGTTTTCAAAGCCGTTTAAGCCCTTTGCCACGCCCTCAGGTGACTAATAGCCCAGCTCCAAATGGGCTTTTAATAGCAGGGCAAACACTGGCGACACAATAATTGCCCTTGGACATTCATCAGCGGACACATGTGGCTTCCTGGAGAGCCAAGGCATTCCTCAGTCGTCTCACGTTCTGGCCAAAAAAACCGGGCCAATCCTTGTGCTATTTATCATTCCGTCCAAAACTTTGCCCTAATCCTTTTTATTTTTTGCTCTTCTGTTTGTCTGCATTAAGTGGCATTTTCGACTTGGCCGTCTACTGTATCTGGCGGCTACTTAGGAGAACTCTTGAACTTGACTCTTCCTCCGCGAAGCGCTCCAATTGCGGTGGCACGTTCCGCCCGGCGAAATTGTAATTTACGAGTGTTTTCATACACAGCGAGATAAAGGGAATGCTTCATAGCTATTCAAATCTAAAGGTTCATTCCAGATGCAAAAGAAATTTTGTAAGCTAAAGAGCTTTTCCAGAGCTGTTTGTTCAAAGATAACCTTTTGATCTGGGTTTTTATTAAGATCTTTGATCCCATTTTCCAATGAACTATACTACAAAGTTCCAGCAATCAAAATTTGAAGAAAAATATTTCCTATTAAAAAATTCACTCAGTACTTTCGAAGTAAAAACATATTTACTTGCTTTTAAAAACAAATTAAAAATCTGGTTCACACAGGTCTTAAACCAAAAAGTATTTTTGATTTCAGCTAAACACTAATATTTTGCAAAAAAATTTGATAAGAAAACAAACTGATATTTATATGTGTGTTATGTTCTATCAATCTTTAGGAAATGTTTTTAAATATGTTTTTATTCCTTGCCTACCTAACTTCACTTGGGACAAGTAGATCTTAACTTTCTATAGAAACTGTAAGTATTTCTTTAACTGTACGCTCGTTGTTTACAAATTATTTCACTTGTTTTTGGAAAGCGTCAGTAATTACTAATTGCGCGTCGGCATTATCTCCTGTGATCCCAAAGCGTATCAGTCCGATTCCGTCTGGTATGCTTTAGCAGCTCAATAGTGCATCCCACAGCCTCTCAATTTGTTGTCATGAATTATGCAAGTAAAGTCTGGAATCGCAATTGCTCGGAAATTGCGCAGTTGGGCGGAAACTGGAAGAGAGTGTTATGTGCAATCTATATGCAATATACAAGTATGTATGTACATATGTATTCTTATACCTGCGCTTTGCATTTGATTGATGCTTTAATTAGATTTGTAGCCGTAATCACCAAATCGCAATCCGGGCGAAAATAATCTCTTTTTAGGTTTCGTGGGAAATATTCGTCCCCGATGAGAATCAGTTTGGAACAGTCAGTCTTGGCGCAAAGTGTGCTTAGAGGATCGCAAAGGAGACTAAAGCTTAATATAATCATAGGAGGATACAGAAAGGACCAAAGCCATGCAGAGATCCTTGTTGCTAGTGCTAATTTCCAGCATTTTGCTGAGTGCTGCACTTGCTCAGCCCGTGAGTTCGGAGAAAGCCGAGAAGAAGAATTGGCTGGAACGGATGATGGCACCTGGTTTTGATCCAGAACTCTTAGACAGCGACGAGCTTCGGGAACTTAACTTGTCGATAGAGAAAACTTTTTCCAAGCGGTCCCCCAAGGATGCCAGCAGCTCCTCCGAGGAGCACAAGGGCACGATCAAGGACAAGGCGGACAGCTCCGGGGATTCCTCGTCCGAGGAAAAGACAACCACTACCACCGCACCCGTTGAGTCCAGGAGACGGAGGCAGATTAGAAAACTGGAGTTAGAGGTTAGGCGGAGGCGTGAGGTTAGCGCCCAGGAGCAGGATCCAAAAATCACCGACGAGCCGGAACTGGACGCCCAAGGCGAAAAGGAACTGGACGAGGCGATGGTCCGGGCTCTGAGCGACACGGATAACACCAGCATCGAGGACTACGCCCAGGGATGCGAGGTCATGGAGGTCAGCTCCAAAGAAGCCAATGAGGCCACGTACGCAGAATAATTTCCCAAAGACCTTACTATTTAAAATAAACATACTTACATGAAAACTCCACAAACTGAATTATTTTGTTTTGGGAATTTGAATGGTTTTTCACTTCATATTCATATGCAAATATGTTGCACAATAAGGGAAATTCTTTTGAAAGGTGAAGAGGTTTTCAACAACAAGAAAATTTAAATGATTTTTATATAATTTTCTTTATTTTTTTTGGACATATAAACATTGCTTGAGAATTTCTCTGAGTCATCTGCGACCTTAAATTTTACTGTCCTTATCGCCAGAACAGAGTTCAATTTGAAAGAATTAAAAAAAATATATTTTATTTTCTGGGTAATTCCTTTAAATATATTTGACGATCTTTGACCAATTTTTCAGCTTTCAAATATAATAAGTATTTTGTTTTTGTTTGCTATCTGTTGGGCTCAATTATATTTAAGTCAATAATCACGTAGTCGCCGTGGATGCGATAGAAAAGTAGGTTTCTTGATAGACCTGTGCCACTGGTCAGAGTCAGTCTGAAAAAGTGATTGCTAGTGAACGCAACGAGCAGAAAAAATAAATAAAAAATATAGAAAAATGCGTGTGTTGCTGCTCCTTTTGGTCTCGGCTTTTGTCCTGAGTTCGGCAAGCTTACTGCCCCCAAAACTGGAGACTTCCGAGGTGGCGGACATCAGTCAGGAATCCGAGAATAACAAGCTGGAGAGCGTGGAGTCCAATGAATCCGTAGCATCAGCCAAGGATGACAGCCATTCTTCTGAGGAGCCTAAGGATGCCATGAACGAAGTTAAGAAAAATGAATCTTTGGAGGAATCTTCATCGGAGGAGGAGAAGACATCAAACATTCATAGAAGGCGCAGATCGGCTGACAGTGTTAGATACAGGAACCTAAATCTTTTAGCCACTATTTGCCCATACCGTGATACAACCGTATTGGAGGAGACCACTATTTTAGATTCCCGCATTGAAATAACAGAAATGTATGCAATTTGTAAAGATCTTCCAAAAAACAGTGGATTAGGTGGGAAATACTAGTCACAAGCGAAAATAATAAAGTCGAAAGAAATACAAAACTGTCCTCCCTTGTGAAATTTTTCTCCCTCAGCCACTTTAACCCTGACCCATTAGTCATCTGCGAGTTATCAGTTTCAGCATTCTTATCAGGACAGTCAAAGCTCAGGCCAAAGACGTGTCAGTTCGGTGATGGTTTATGCCTCAAAATTTATGATATTATGTACAGGAAAAAATAATTTGTAGTCGTAACTTAAGGGTAATACCTAAGGTAATGGTTTCAAAAACTAAAAACTACTACCAATAACCACAATCAATCTTAAGAAGTCTTCAAAAATGAATTAAAAATCTCTTTATATTTTGTTAAAATATTAAACACTAAAACATTTATTTTAGTATTATTCTAGATGATTATGAAATCAAACACATGAACCTAAAATGTGTTTACATTTTTGTGAACAGCTTTTTTTTGTGACTTGTGTCATTTGCATTTTGCGCCCGTTCCGACTTTTTGGAATATTGAAAACTTTGCTCGCAAAATTTTGCTGCCGGCTATATCCCTTTGTCTGTCTTGTGGCTGTCACCATTTGTTGTTGTTGTTTTTGTTATTGTTGTTGCTGTTGTTTTTGCGGCTGATAAGGCACGCTTCACTCACTCTTTTATGGCCAGGCCAACAAATTTTGTGCGAACTATTCCTTGCAGAGACCACATACAAATACGACCAGTATGTATGCAATATGCCCTGTGCTAATCGAATTTTTTCATCAGGTGTGTGTGTGTGGCTGGTTTTGGGCTTTTCTCTTGAAATTTCTTTCACATGAAAGTCTGATTTCCCATTGTTGTTTATTTGACAAGCGGAACACCGAGCTTGTGAGCTTGGCACGTTCAAGTTGTTTACTTGGCTTTAATACTCGGCAGTTGACAGGTAAAGAAAAGAGTTGAATGTGCGGGTTGATAAAACAAAAGCCAATATGAAAGTGAAATAGTTGATATTTGCTTCCAAATCGATAGTTACCAATGGGAACTTCTACTAAGTCTTAAAGTACTTAAGCACTTTAATAAATTATTCATTAATTAAGTTATAAAGAATGAATATAACATCTGTTATTTCGAAGAAAAAGTATCTTACCAACTTCAATTATACTTTTTTAATTTTATTTGCAGTTGTTGTGGGAAGTAAGCAAACAATGAAACAAAGTAAAGCTTACTTCCATTTTCATATTTATTTATTTACTTTCCACGCTTAAAGTTGCTTTAATCATTAGGAGAAAATGCAACAAAAAGAAGGCTGCAATTCTGCGGCGGCACGTTATCTAAAAAAAGGAAAAACCAACCAAGAGGTGGAGATGAAAGGCGAGAGAGAGAATGGGGAAAATGGAAAAAATGCAGCCACAAAGAAAAACTTCTCGAAAATTATTTTAGTTTCCCCAGTCGAGTGCAGTCGTGTGGAAGTGAAAGAGAAGCCAAAAAAATAGAAGCACCCAGCAAAGGCGGAATAAAAGTGTTAAATACACTTTCATAATTATCATTCAGAGTCGTGCTCCGGTCTGTTCGAAATTTTTGGAGTTTCCGCAGTTTTCAGCACTTTTCCGACCGAGATTTAATGTTATTTGGATTGTGCAACGCGCGACTGCTGATTATATAAGTCCCACAATTGGCCAAGGTTCAAGTACTTAGGTTTAACTTTTTAGTTGAAAAGTAAGTTGGCAAGTGAGCGAGCGAAAGTCAGGTTGTGTAGAAAAGCCGGCAAAATTCGAATAATATTTTTGCACCGCCGAAATTTTGACAGCCAGAAAGCAAACAACAAGCAATCGGAAAAGCAACAACTAGCTAAGTGAAAAGAGCAACTGAAACTTTCGCAGGAAAAGAGCAATAGAAAAGCGGAGAAAGAAAATAGGAAAAGCGAAGAGCAAGAGTGCCGCCGGCAAGAGTGCGAATTTATAAATAAAAACCAGCGGAAAGGAAGAGAGCCAGAAGAACCGGAGACTCTTCGGAAGAGTGCGGGTAAACAACGCGATGCCGGAGCCACAGGGAATTCTTTGGTCCGTGCCGGAGACAAAGGCCAAGGCGCCCATCATCAAGGTGTCCTGCGGCATCGGCGACACGGACGGCTTCCCCGCCTTCGACGTCGACTCGGATGCGTATGCCACCAAGGACGACAGCCGGTGGGGATTCCTCATCACCGGCGGAGCGGAGTTCCACATGCCGCTGACAGTCTTCCAGGTGAGTGGGGGCCACCACCGAGATTGGACGAAGGATTGGGGTCTGTGATTGGAATAGGGATAGGGATCGGGGTGGTTTATGCCTGGGAACGGAGCCATCTGGTTCCAGTCAAGCAATTTTAATGATACAGTCGAAATCCCTAATTATATGTTAGGTCACAAAAATTATTGATTTTATATTCAGGTTAAAAAATAAGTTATTTACTTCATTGGTTTAGTATTCATTTAGTTCAAAAAAATATAATAAAATAGTTCAATATTTGTTCACCTAAGAAAAAGGCATTTGAAACTAAAGATTCTTAAATTTATTTTTTATTTCTATAGTGATAATTATTCTTATTCTTTCTATACCTTTTTTAAACGGTTTCTGTTTAAATATTTGGGAAATCAAAAATACGAAATCCTTTTGTTGCAAATTTGTTCTGTGGAAATAAATCAAATCAGAAACCAATTCAATTCAATTTACAATGGCTTCACTGTACACCTCCTTCGCTGCATTTGCGGTTTCGTCATTGTTTCCAATTTTTGGTTGCGGGCCAGAACGCCAACAACCCAACCCACGTCAATTTTGAATTCCAATTATGCTATGACGAAGTCACATCGAATGCAAATTGGCTGCCGCCGAATAGAAGTGAACATTTTATTGTTTCTGGCATCTGCACCTGCCGCTCCCCGTCTTCTGTCCTCAGTCCTCAGTCCTCAGTCTTCGGTCTTCAGTCTTTAAGTCTTTTCTAGCGTTTTAGTTGTCGTGCCTCGTCTCCCCAGTGGCTCATTTTTGGCTCACTTGAGTCTCGAGTGAATGTACAATATTTGGGTTAGTCGATTTCCATTTCTTCTTCAAATTTATCATGCATACAGTGGATGTCCTAAAAAATATATGAATTACAAAAAATATACAATAAAGTAACTTTAAAATAGAGTGGACATATTTTGTAGTATTGAATGTACTGATGTAAATTATTCCTAATTATCTCTATTTTATTTTTTTAAAAGAAATAACTTACAAAAACGTCCCGGACTGTATGGTATATGTATGCAAAGTGATTTCCCATAAGACTAAACTATTAGTATTGCTTTCGGCTTTTGAGCAACATTTTACTTTTGACTTTTTGCGTTGAGTCAAAAAAGAAAACATCAGTTGTTGTCTTGTTTGCTTTATTTCTGAATTTAAATAATTTTTAGGGCAGCTATTAAAGAGTTTCATGGACTACGTTGTTACCAAGCATTTCTTTTTAAAAAGCGTTTGTTACAAATTTCGCTGGTTGCCTAAAAAACTGGAAAAAAAATGTACTATCGTTTCAAGAAAATTTGATCTGCTCAATTAAACATTGTTTTTAGATAGTTTGAGATAAAATCATTTAATTTGTTTACGATACGCTTAATAATATTTTTATGGATATTTAAAAATATATTTTCGAGGGTACATATCATGTTGAATCTGTAATATTTAAAAATGCCGCATTGTTTTGCTTTGAGTTTTTATTGCTTTTCATTATTTGTCGAGTGTTTTCTTTTGGGAGCAGCCGTTCAGTTAGCCCATCTCGTATACATGTCATCTGTATCTGTCGTCCGCGCATCGCGTATATTTTCTGAACCTAAACTCAAAGTACGCAGATATCCATTCAATTGCGCCTCGAAACTCGAACCGTGCGGTTTTTAGCGGCTCTGTGAAAGGACCAAAAGGGGTTTCGGCATCGCATCTCGCACTCGATTTGAATCGGCAAACCTTTGGCATCCTTGCAGGTGACCCCAAACGGTCTGGCCGACAAAGCGGGCGTTCGCCTGGGCGACATCATACTCGAGATTAACGAGGAGGACGCCTCGCACTTGACGCTTTCCCAGGCCCACGAGAAAATCAACTCGACGCCGAAGAAGATACATTTCCTGCTGCGCAAGTAGGTTGCCCCAGATGCACTTGGCTCGCTGTGTGTCTGGGCGGCTTTTGATTCGGGCCGTTTAACTTATGTAATGAGCAAACTTCTCACCGATGACCATTTCTCCTTCCCCCCAAACAGCATGGAGGAGGACGATCCCATGGGCCAGTTCGAGGCCGGCGAGGAGAAGTCGATTGTGATGAGGGTTCCGAAGGCCTTGCCGCCGCCCAGTGGTGAGTGCATTATGCTGTCTGGTGTTGACTTAACTTGCACGAATCCCCGAAACACTCTATTCCCATTCAGCCCTACTTTCCTGACTACACAGAAAAATTGTGTTAACTATTTGTTTAGATAGTGTATCTTAAGAAAGGCTTTTTATTGATTAACACAGAAAATTTAGTGTCTGAATAATTAAGACATGCTATTTCACAAGAGTAATAAACAGAAAAAGTATTTTTATTTCAAGAAAATTATAGGGCATTTAAATAAAATATAGATCAATAGATTAATCACCTTTTAAAAGAATAATTTCAATGTGCTTTTAAAATCGAGTTCTGAATTTCACCCCCCATCTTTTCCTGTGTAGCCCTGTTCTCACTTGGCTTTGTATCTTTTTGTAGACTTCCACCCAACCCCCCTGCTTGGCTCGCGTTGTTGGCATCCGATTATGTGGCAAGAACCCCCGGAGCCGCCGAAGCCCAAGAAAAAGAAAACGAAAACCGAGCTGGACGACGAGGGCAACGAGGTGGTCATCGAGCTCAGCGAGGACGAGTCGTCCGACGAGGAGGAGCAGGTGAACCACAACCACACGATTGCATGCCAACAGCCCGGCCAACGAGACTAACCCATTCCGTTTTCCATTCTCCATTTTCCATTTTCCGTTTGCCGTCTGCCGTTTGCCGTCCGCCGTTCTCCATTTTCCGCCGTGTGTTCTCTTCTTCCTGTGTTGTGCGCTCCCCCGAAATGCAGGAGCTGCCCCACCATCGCATCATCCGGAACATCCGGCGCTTCTTCGCGGAGGTGGGCGACAACCAGGAGCTGCGCAGCAACACCATCGAGAACATGCTGATGGCCCTGCCCAGCGCCTCCAAGGCCAAGTGAGGAGCCGCACTCCCAGCTAACCGGCTTGTCATTATGTTCTTGGTCCCTGGCAGCAGAAGCTGTCGCATCCTTTAACCCCACACTGAGAAAAAATGCTAGTCATAAAAATATATACTGAAAATATAATCTTGGATGTTGATCCTAACTTAAAAATAGGTTAAAGAATTTTCTGATAACTATAAACTTTGTATACGCTATTTGTTTATTGCTAACATTTTAAAGAAAGTACTTAATTTTTCTGGTTTTTGTACTTTTTTAAAGATGTTTTGTTTTTAAATTTAAAAGATTATCCTTGTACCTTGTTATGCTTGTATGATTTTTTAAACCTGAGGTATAACTCTTTGTTAATTTTTAGTATAATTGGAGTACAGTTTTATAATATACAAGATTTTTATCCAATACTTTTGTGTATTACCAATTTTTTATAAATTTAAAACTATTCTTTGTTTAGACAGCATTTTTCTCAGTGCCAAAACTACTTTACTCTACTCTCACTTTTGTGTACATAATTTTGGATATTTTGTGTCTGTGTTTGTCGCCTTAATAAAAAACAAATCCCCTGAAAACCCCCGAAATGCAATTGCCCCTTGATGAATTCCATTTAGGACGCATTCGCGCCAGCTCCATTGAGATGCGCCTGCTGGAGATGCAGCGAAAGCTGTCGGCCATAGCCGAAATACCCAAAATCCTCTGCTCCACCTTGGCCACCGTGTCGCAGAGTTTCGGGCGGATGAGTGAGTCCGAGCTGGACGAGGAAGGTGACGAGGACAAGGACGAGGCCTATGTGCAGCGCAAGTTCTCCTACGACGAGGATGTCCTTGACTTCGAGCTGAGGAATGGGGATCAGGCAGGTGACACCGAGAGTGATGAGGACGATTTGGTGCTGGTGGAGGAGGACGAGGATGAGGACGAGGATGAGGACGAGGATGAGCAGGAGGCCTCCAAAGGTGGCAAGCAATCAAAGCTGCTGAAGGATGTGACGCCGGAATCGGATTATGCATCGGAAGCCAATTATCCGGCAAATGAGGCAAGCGATGATGACACGGAATCCGAGGATGAGGAAGATGCTGGCAGTGCAGTATATTTTATAAAACTGCCAGCGGCACCAGCCGAGGATATTTTGTCCTCAACGGAAGAAGAGGATGACAGCGATTTCTTGAACACCACCTACACCTGGAATCTGCGGAATGTGCCCAAGCTGCGCATTAACGATGCCGAGGCCGAAGGCGAACTGACACTGGGACAACAGGCTGGGGAGCTGCCACAGGAGGTGCCACAGGAGGTGCCACAGGAGGTAAAACAGGAGGTGCTACAGGAGGAGCCACAGGAGGTGCTCCTGAAGGAGGAGCACCTGAGGAAGGAACACCAAAGGGAGGAGCACTTCAGGGAGGAGCAACTGAAGGAGGAGGAGGAGCCTTTTCTGGAGGTGGAGACACCAAAGGTGCGCCCAGCCACGCCAACACCACAGGCGGCGCCACAAGATTCAGCTGAGAAACAGACGCAAAAGGTAATTTAAGTAGGAACACAAAAAGATTTTCAAGTATTTATAATATAGAGACAAAAATATAAAAGTCTTTCCAACAAAGTTTAGAAACAACATAAAAAAAAACAAAATTATTTTATTTGCATTCAAAAATTAATTCAAATCCCAAACTAGCAAATTTTCCAAATGACTTCACTTTATTGGTTTTAGTAAACCAAAACATACTTGGCTTTTAAATTCTAAAGCATTTATATCTCTAATGATAAATGATTGTTACTTTTATAATTAGAAAAAATATATGTAGATATCTTTTAAGCACTTAACAATACCGCAATGCTATTAATACTTAATTACCCTCCAGTTGCTCTTTAGATTGGATAGACTGGAGCGATCTTGGCCCTGGGCAGACCGTGAGAAAATCATATACAAGTGAGCGTTGAACTTAGGTCCCATATGCATTGCAATGCCACCCCGATTTGTTGCAGGCAATCCACATGCCACCTGGTGCCCCGCAAGCCGCTGGGACTGGTGGGCCAACGAATGCAGCTGTTGCTCAAGGACAACAAGGAGTGAACCCGCCGAAGGGGCGAACGGGAAGGAGTCGAACCCACGTTGAACAGTTCCTGCCATTAGCTTAAGTCTAACCTCCGAGGAGGACGGGGTGGGTGTGAAGTGGCCAACTTTTAATTGAGTTCATTATGCAAATACAGCAGGCGACAACAGCAGCCTCAACTCCGAACAGCACTTCAATTAAAAGCCGCACACCGGGGCGTTTGTGAAACTCTATTCAAACCCGCTTCACACCCAGCCTTTCATTCGGGTTAAATTTTAATTAAAGTGCACCCACTCGGATGCCGAAAAATCACTGCCAAGTCAAACGCAACCAGAGTCAAACCAAGACAAACCCCGAACCGAAACTAGAACAAACCGAACTCTCCAACTGGCACTTGCAACTGGCCAGGTTTATGCATTATTTGTGACCCACAGCACCATAAATTCCGGCTGAAGGCCAACGCATTGCACTTATCCTCCGACAACAGGACGTGCGAGTCACGCAGGATACGAAAACGAGCGATGACGATGCCAGAAAGTTTCCTTGAATTTTAACCCTTTTTTTAGGTCTGTTCGTATTTTTAGAGGAAAGCGTAGATTTAAGACCAGCAAAGTTCCTTTTATTAATCCGCTAGTTGGATATTAAATAATCTTTCAGATAAATAACGATCCTCTCTAAACAAAATATGTTTTATATTCTGCAAAACAATGTAGAACTGATTGGTAAACAAAAATTTCATTAAATTTAACTATTAAAGTATTTCTTATTGGTATACTCTTAATTTATATTTGCTTACCAATTTTATTTAATAAACTGGCTTCCAGTATTTTTCTGCCCCAGAGTACTTATTTTTTAAACTGTTGCATGAAAAAGCTTCTGTATTTCCACTTGACTCCAACTTCAACTTTATTATAATTGTTTGCAAGTGCATGCAACATTGAATTGGTAAGTGAAACAAGATCCTTGTTAACATGCATAACAATAATGTTTTCCCTTGTCTGAAATTCACTTACCCCGCTAGCCGCGAAAGCAAACTGCTCGGGAATTAAACAGCTCATTTGCCTGCTGGCTGATGAGGAAAGTTTACTGCCGCTGGCGCACGTGGCGTATGAGCGATATCAACCTGGGCTTAAAACAGCATCCTGCTGCCAATGCTTTCGGGCGCGAATAATCTGTAGAATTATGAGTGTCTGACGCCAGAAGTGTGAGGGCACACGGATGGTGCACAATGTGAAACTGCCACTTATAGCACACACTTCGCATTCATAATACATTGTGCCGCACAATGGGGCAGTTGCGAGGACACGTGTCTGCCGTGCGAACAAACAAGCCAACCAGTCGCAATCATTGTGCCACTGTGCCACTGTGCCACCCACTGCCACTTGCAGGGTCGTCATTAAAAAAACCACCAGCGGGAAATGGCCAAACCAGAGCCAGACCTCAACGGATAGCCCTCAATAAGTGTCAACAAATGTTGACAGCTCGGCAATGAGCTTTGTTGCTGCGGCGTGTCCTGGCTGCCCAGAATACATTTTCAGGTTCCAGGTTGTCGGTGAGTTTGCGTGAGAAAAGCTGACACTTTCTGGGTTCGCTGTTGCTTGTAATCAGTTGGAAAATACATGCCTTCTTGCATTCGTTAACTATCAATTCCAGGAAGAACAATATTTAAAAGTAAGCTTTTGCTAATATTTTATAAGATGGGAATGAAATCGCCATATGCCGCATTCCTTTAAGTAAATTATTAACCATATAAAAACATAATAATTCGCGAATCCCAATTACTTACCAGAAGATCTCTTCTCAAAGTTTTCAAATCAAACTTGGAAAAATCTTACATCAATAAAAAACTTTGAATGGAGTTGTATCAAGGATTTTCGAATCGGATTTAAATTGACAAAGTTATGGGTTGTGAACCTCCAAAATTAGGACTCATGTCAGCTTAAAATGATTAGGAAAAATCTGACATGCAAATGGGTGAAATAATCGACTATCACCAAAATTAGGAATTTAAACAGTCGGTTTTTAAAATTTCGATTAGGAATATTTTAAGGTACGCCACATCAGCGTTAAATTGACAAAGTTATGGCTTATGCGTTGTTTTTACTGAAGCCCCACAAAGTTCATAAAGTCCACATACAAATTAGGTTTCTGTTTGTCGCAAGAACTGGCTTTGGTTAAATGGAATACGGAAGCACCTGTTGGGCCTTCATCACCATTCCGGTAAACCTGGCCAACGTCCATTGGGAACAAATGGCGGAGAGCTCACTTCAAATGGCATTCATTAAATGAGCATTAGGTTCTTCCTGAGATGTGGTTCTTGTTGCTGTTGACAGACGTTCCTGGGATTCATTAAACAAACTGAAAGTTGACTAATTACCAGAGCAAAACCAGAGCAACTTGGATATGTTCAGCAAACATACATATAATTAAAATTTTATTACACTTGCGTACATTCATAGACACACTAAAAGCGATTGCCAGAAAGCTCAGCTTACCACAGAGAGAGATATATTTTTTTGTGGGGAAAGGAGTCGAGGATCTAGTCCTGGGTTACACTTAACACTTAAGACAACAATGATATTTAATATCCACATAAATTCTTACACTCGTAGGTACAATAAATATGTTCTCATTCAAGCTGCTCCGTTGCCGGCAAAAGGCTGAAATTCATTTTGCACTTTGCAATCTGAGGGAACCAAGGAAAACAGTGTAGTATACTATAAAAACTTAACATTTAGCAGTGTGCAATTTGTGTCAAAATTTATTTCAGCCTTGCTGGCTAGGAAAGTTCGAAGTTGGAAGTTGTCCAGCAGTTTTTAAACAATATCTCGGGTGTCTAAAGGTAAGTTATGCATTTTTGAAAACGGAAAAACACTTAAGCAAAGAAAAAGGAATGTTATATAATATTTTTTGTTAAAGTTTCAAGAAATATGATTGAGTATGTTAACACGATGTTATTATTTTAAATGAAAAATAATTTTGTTGCCTACTTTCAGACACCCGAAATAATTATTTGAAAACTCTTAGAAACCAAAGAACAATCTGAATGCGATAGTAACTGGTTTCAATGGGATGTGGCTTTTGGTGGGGCTTAGGGCTCTTGACCTGTTTTGGTTTTGGTATTTCAGTGGCTTAAACTATGAGATGTTGCGTGACTCGACGGGATTAACCTAAAGCGCCTCATCGGCCATGTTCGGTTGGCCAGCTCCCTCCATGCGAACGATGACGGTGCCCATGCCATTCGGGTGGTTGTCCTCCGATCCCGTGGTGCCTGTCCCAGCATCGGATGTGGCTCCCGCGTCCGAAGTGGCCGCCGTTCCCGTCTCGGCCACGTCCTCCGCAATGGTCGTCATCAGAGTTGGCCTGTCCCCGCCGGCTGACCCCCTTTTTGCCAGATTAACCGATACCGAACCGCAGTTCTCCCGCTCCTCCATGAGTGGCTGGCTCTGGCGGGAGTTGTCGATTGTTTGGCGGCGTTTCAGGAACGGCATCCGGCTGCGCAGGCCATCGAGAAAGGATGACGACGACGACGACGAGGAGGAGGAGGAAGCCACCAAGCTCTGGCTGCGAGTCCTGGCCTGTTCCAAGGACGACTGCTGGTGGTGGTGGGGACCCGAGGAGGCTCGCCGCTTGGCCGACATGTCCTTTAGTCATACCTTCTCCTCTCCTGGCATCGGCGGTCCGCAGCGCACGAACTACAATCAAAAGAACTGAGAATTTGCTATCATGGTGGTTGGCCAGTTGGCAACGGTGCGTCGGCTTCTCTAACTGTCTTCTATATTCTTAACATTTTGTTTTTTCTTTGCATGCGATTAATGCGTATCTAAAGGCCAATAAACTGTGAGTGCTTAAGTGTGTTCTAGTGTGTGGCTGCATTACTCATACGCTCCGTAACCCGTGGTATAAAAATTAGAGTAGAGAAAGGATGGCAGTAAAGCATGTGAGGCTTCTAGTACAAATCTTACCGAGACCTGAGTGGCTGTATAGGAATTGGTCCGCGGTCGGTTGCTGAAGCACATCATCCGCCACTTGCGCTTCATTTGGGCAATCACCTCTCCGTTGAAGAAGCAGAATAAAGTGGCCACGCACAAGCCCTGCAAAAATACAAGTGGAAAGCCGAAATAGAGTGAGCGGGCAGGCAAAATTATCGACGGGGCTTATCGCCGTTGTCCTTATTACAATGCCTATTACTTGTGTCCTTTTCTACCCTGCAAGTGGGCATTACAATTTCCCGTCTCTTTACCTACAGGTTGTAAAGGTATTTGCTCGAAAGTAATCTCTACTTCTTTTGGCAAGTGGAAGCCATTTCAGATAAGAGAATGCTCGTTACAAGCGGTCATAACAATTATGCTTTTCAGAGTCACCTTAATTTTATTAAATTATTATTATTTTTATTATTATTTCAGGCTGTTTTAAAAAATACAAAATACTATGCAGAACATTGAATTCATTGGACGTTAGTTTACAATTTTTTTTGAAAAGATATTAATTTAAAATAAATTTGTGTTAAAGACACTATTTGATAATCAATAAATTCTATCAGAACCCCTTTAAAAATTATACTAAATTGTGTTAACTAAAATATGAAAACAAAAAGTAATCAATATCCGAACTTAGATATTTAACGCTAAATTTCTATAAGAGTAAACATTTTTCCAGGGTAAATCAATCTTCGTTATCTGCCGCTAGCTTTTCTTTCTTTGTTTGTCGGTCGTCAGTTGGCCCTAATACAATACATAATACAATTTTCCCTGTTCCTTTGGTTATTCCCCCATTCCGCAAAAACGAGAAGGCTCAGTATTCATTTCTCCCGTCAGACGGCCACTTGAACGAGCCGTGAGTCCTTCGTCCCGTCGGCCATTCCTTTCGGTCCTTTCCCATCCTTTCCCATCCTGTGCCACTGTTTGCCATTTGTCTTGCCGCTTTCTGCCTGATTGTCGCAGGCGGCATTTGTGTGGGTTATATATATATGTAAATATTTAATGTATGCCCGGCTACGTGCATTGACTGCCGCCAGGATTTCTGGTTGGCACTCCGGAGCGGGGCTTCCTTTGATTGCCACTACTCACGGAGACCCATCATGAACTCAATCAGCCACAGTTGCCATCCATTTGCCCCTCTATTTTTGCCTGCTTTCCCATAATCGAAATAGGGTTTGCCGCCTCACAGCATATTGCAAGTAAGACATTTGCTGTTTGATTGCAAATGGAAACGTTCTGCTTGGAAGTGGAGTGATTGTCTTCACCTGAATTGGGAGATTTCCACTTTATTAAAATACAAGAAAGATAATTTAACTTTTCATAAAAGCTAACCAACAGTTGGCAATTCGATATAGAATATTTTTCTAACCAAAAACTCTTTTGGGAATATATTTCAGCCTTAAAGGAAAGACTTGCTTAACTTGCTTACATCGGAAACTATAACTTTTTGTTATAACTACATCTACACACAAATTGTTATGTAAACCGTTCCTGTTCTCTGGAGCTTGTTGTTATTAGTTGATTCGGTTAACAGAGTTGCTTCCGGAATATGATTGACCACAAAACGGATAACCGACATTGTTATATACGCCATATAAAACTAGTATGTATATCCAATTATTGCATTTATTTTCCTGCTCTTTCTTTAATGTTTTTTTTCTCTCTCTCTTTTTCCCCCATTTATAAAGCTTCCGTTTTAACTAACGTTCTTTATCTTGCAGTTTTAGCCATTTGTTAAAAGTGCTTCTCAGCAGAAAGTTTGGCGGTGGATTAATGTTTTTTTCATGTACTTTTGTTTTATGGGACTTATGAAAGTTTCCCAAATACACTTTCTTTAGTATAGATTTTGCTGCCGAATTTATTTAATTAAGTTTGCAGAAAAACTATTTTGCGCAGCTGAAAAAAGCCAATTAGTTGATTTAAAATATTTGGCAAGAAGTCGGAAACATTCCAAGCCAATTTAATATCACGAGTTTGTTGACATCCGACGTTTGTTTTTCCCATTAGCTTCCTGCCAAGCGGAAGTTTTTAATTCAATTTAAGTAGAACGTGTTTTGTGTGCACATCTGTTAAATAGAAAATGTCCCTAAGCTCTCGGATGAAAAGCAGAGGAAAGTCAGTGCGGAAAAGCTTGCAAGCTGGCAAATGCCAATTGCAGCTAGTTTCCTATTTCAGCACAAAAACAACCGAATAAACACGTTTACATTCATACAAATTCCCATCTCTAACTAAGTAGTTTCGGGCTTTGCATTTCCCTCGACTGCAAATCCCCGCCGAGCCAAACTCAAAAATAAATTTGATATTCTTTCCGTGGCTTGAAACTTGCGGGGAATCTTTTACGACTGTCGCCATCATCACCACGGCTGCCACAATAAATCCAAATTATATGCAGCCGCTGAGTTCGGTGCGAAAACTTTATCATCTTTGCAGCAAATAAGGCAACGGAAAACAACATCATAAAAACAAAATATAAATAAGGCAAGAGGAAAAGGCAAAACAAAAGTCCCTCGCGACTGGCTTTAAAATCTCCGCTTGCGAATAAAAGATTCTACCAATCGATTGACATCGACGAAAGAGGCTAAAACGGAGGTGACATTGTTCAGTCGCCGGGATTTATAAAACAGGCAAGAGCTCAACTGCAGCTTAGAAGCACCGAAGAAGTCTTTATGTTTATTCGCACGATAATGGATTTTGCTATTGTTTCAAGGGTGGCCATGCCCTGAATTGCTTTTTTGAAGTTGTCTAGCTTGTCTACCTTTTTAAGCAGATTAAACTCGGTGACAATCAATCGAAAAAGAGATTTACGGAATAAAGAATTTTAATTGAAAGTTTGCTTATAGAATCCAAAAAAATGTATAGCATTATTGCAGCATTTGTTTTAAATTTGGAGTCCAAAGATGTTAACTTTCTTATAAATATTTTTTAGAAAATATACATATTTTTATTACTTTACTTTTAAAATACTATTTCCGACACCTTCCTAGAACAGCTATAATATGCAAATACTTAAATCTGCTAGTGCAGGAAATTTACTGGAGCAAATCGTTTGACAAGATACTTAGGGGATTTAATCTACAAGATGCGATTGTTTCTGCCAGATGGAGGTTTCCCTGCTTTGTCTTTAAGTTGTGGCCAAGGAAAATATGTTAACTGACTGTAAATGCTGGTCCAGCGGGACTGACTTGGCTGGGGGCCAAGCTGGAGCTGCTTTTACGAGCTCCTTGGCCCGGGAGTGCATTTCATGCTCAACTTGCTACACGGGAAACTTTCCTCCAATCTCGGCCAGCAATTTAATAAACTGCGAGCGAGCCAAAACGCCAATGGCAGGAATGCCACATGGCGTGTGTTTGCCTTATTGATTCGCCAAGACCCCGGATCTAATGAGCTCGGTATGTTATTCGGTATTTGGCATCCCAGTAATTCCGACTTATTTGCATTCCCTGTTGCGAATCCATAGCGCGCGAACTAACATCATAACTTTTTAGCCATCTCCAAGTCGTAAAGTGATTTTATGAAAGCGAGCAGAACAAAAACGAGGGGCAGAACAAAAAAAAAAAAAAGGAATGAGAGCAGGAACGAAAACATTTTACTTACTTGAAACGAGGCCGTAAACGCCGAGATGATTTCGTATGTATTCTCCCAGGGATGTCCGGGTGCAGGACGAAACGGCGTCACAATATACTGGAGGCCGAGCAGAGGAACCAGCAGCAGCGTGGCCCTAAAGAAACAAAAGTGAGAGTGTGAGTGGGAGTGAGTTATAATGCCTTGTTTTGCTCTGTCGGGTGTGTATTAACATGCAAGCCAACGCGGCGTATGCGTAATTTAAAATGTAAAATGAAGCAAACTTCCAAGTGCAGAGCGAATAAACAATAAAAGACCTGTCAGCTGAAGGAACGATTCTAACGAGGAAAGCGCTACAATAAATACAGGGCAAAACAAAATGTAATTACGCATTCGCCCCGTGGGCCAGTTGAGAGTTTTCCTCTTCGCTTTTCAGCAATTCAGTCCCCCCAAATAAATTTTTTATTTTTATTTTTTTTTGCGTTGAAAAGTTAACATTCCTTTGTGCAGATGAAGCGAACTCACCGAAAGGCCTGCAGAACGGTTCGCGATGGACCGCAGCTGCCTTGAATGCTGGCCGGGGCATTAAGTTTCAGCAGCACCACGCGCACAATGTTGCACAGGAAGAGCAGGTTGAGGAACATAAAGATGCACACCGGCACCACCAGAATGTTGTCGTAGTCCGTGCGGTTCATCCAGCAGCTGCAAAGTGGGTGGGAAATTCAGTACGTGAATTGCTGATTGATTTGATTGGCATTTGGCAAAGCATTGGATGTAACAAATGCATATTTAGTAGACACAGTGAAAACCCTATTGACATGTGATAATTCCCAAATAGATATTGGAATAAGTAGTAAATACTTGTAGGTAGAGATATAATTTTCTTGCATAATAATACAAAAGCAAAATCATTGAAAAAGTGTTGCGAGAATAATCCGACAAATTTCATTGGTTCATTCAGAGTTATTCCTTTTATTAAATAAAAAGATGGCAAGTGATTTTTGCAGTTCATATCTACTAAAATATATGGATAACTATTTCTTTTTGGTTTCTTAAAAAGAAAATAACTTCCTTAAGACATTATGCCAAAACTATATTTGACCACTTATATTTTAAACAATCATTAATTCAGGTTACAACTTTAAACTTGCAGCTTTAGCTTATGCAAGTGTGTAATAATGTTTTCTGTTTGTGTAGAGCACTCTCATTAATTATTCACTTACTGCATATGGTCCTCGGGCGAGCCGCCCAGACCGCGGGCCATTCCGTAGACGAATATGACGAGGGCGGGGGAGCCCCAGCCGAAGGCGATCAGCCACTTGACCAGACGCTTCTCGGAAATGAACGCGGCCACCAGGACGGTGTGCAGGTAGAATCCCTCGCAGAGCATCCACGAGTAGTTCGAGAGGAGGAAGTAGTGCAGGGTGATGTGCAAGGCGACGCAGCGCATCTGGGGAAATAGGGAAATGGGAGAGCGGAAGCCGCTGTTGATTCGCCATTACGCATACGCCAGGTGGGCCCACTTACCGGACTGTAGTGGAGCAGCTCCATGTTGGGCAGGACCAGCAGGTACCACACCAGCCACAGCGAGTTATTTGCCGCAAACGAGGCAAACAGATTCATGTGCAGCGTGATGCGGGCGCACTTCAGGGATCTGTGCAATCGAAAGACAAATATGCGAATTGAATTACTTTGGGCGGGAAATTGTGGCAAGTTTTTTATCGTTCCCTTTTTTTTTAGCCAAAAATTGCTGGCCTGTCTCTTGACCAATTTGCATTCGGCCAGCGGGCATTGGAGTAGATTGGATTGGGCAGGCGGAGCTGGAAAAGTCCAAAGTTCATTTCCCATTTTCCCTTTTGCTCAATTGCATTGATTGCTGGCATCTGGTCAAACAGAATTTTAATTCGATTCCTTCCAGCAATTTAAATCCACAGAAAGGACTGTGTTCCTTCATCGCTTAACTATTTTGTCATTTAATTGTATTTTATTTAAAAATAAATTGAATTCTGCCTTTTCCAATTTTTTGTAAAATAAATAAGTTTTCTGTTTTCGATAAATTTTTAACAACCAACCCACACTTCTTTCAACCAATTAAATTTTATTTAAATTGAAATACCCTGGCATTTTCATTACAATTGCTTAAAGTGGATGGAGGGTTTTTGTTCGTTCGGTCACGCTTCATTGTCATTAAACTTTTAATTATCCACTGTTTTTGGGACAGACCAAATTCCCACACGACGTTGGCCCCGTTTTATTTGCCTTTGGCACACAATTTAAAGCACTTCCATGGCATCCCCCTCTGTCTGCATGTCCTTTATCCTTAGCCTCGTCTCTATTCGAATGAGTGATAAACAAACCGAGAGCACTAATTGGTCTGCAGGCACTGGGAAATTAATCGATATCCTGTTTCGAGTCTGGATAGAAAGGGGGAATGTGGAAAACTGAAGGGGATGAGACAAAGTATTTTCCCATTTCCGGCGACGATTGTGCCGCATTAAGTGAGTGCAATGAGCATTTGGGCCAGCACCCAGGTTGGCAGTTGATTAAGCCACTGTCCCATTTGTTTGCCATCAATAAATTTTATTTTTGGCGCCAGTCGTCGCATTCTAACGACCTGCGAGCCTCATTACCCCCGAGTGGTTTTTCATGCTGTCAACTCGTGGCCAAGACGAAGGAGTGGAGTGAAGGAGTTCTCCTGGGAGTGGATGTGGATAATCCCCAGCTGTACTCGTACTTACTTGAAATAACCCAATATGGCCAACGACAGCAGAATGGCCAGCAGTGAGATGCCGTAACCAACCTCGTAGATCAGATTCACATGGCTCTTCCACTAGAGATACAAATGTAAAGATATAGTCTTCATAATTAATAGCAATACATAAAAATACCTCGAGGTCATCGATATTAACGCAGGTTGTGTAGTTCGACCAAGTTTTATTCGTCAACGGATGCTTAAACCACTCGCCATCGTAACCACATTCCTTATGGGCATATCCTATTTAAATATTAAAGGTAAAATAATATAAGTTTAATATTAAATTGCATTTTAAGTTCCTTTTTCCGCTTGTGTTGTTTCCTATACAAAAATAATAAGCTTTCATGCTTATTCTACTTATTAATTCTTTTTCGTTAAATATTTATTTAATTACTTTCATAAACAACAATTTTTCCCAACCTGCTACTTCAAGCGTTAAGAATTTCATAAATTGCATCCGGCATCCTGTGCAAAACACAATTATTTACAATTGCTAAAAATGTGTGATTTTATGATTGACTATTGGATAAATATTGCAGCTCATATTTACATTTTGCGGTGGCCCACAGAATTAAATTGCATTAACCACTATTTATTGAATCTGCCACAGAGTTCACCACAAACAATGTTACGGTTTGCATTCGAAATGAAACCAAATTCGTTTGATGTGTGAATTTAAAATGTAATAATCATACTTATACTACTGTTGTTGAGGTCATATATTCATTCGAGTTGAATGAAGCCGAAGTTCGTGACAAAAAGTTTATTTTGCTTGTGGCATGTCAAGTGATGTTCGATTGAGAATTACTGAGTTTTGTGCTGCAATTTGTCGAGTGGCACTTGTCGGAAAAATGCAGAAAAATTCGGTTAGGAATTTCGAAGGTGACTTCTATCAGCTCGTTCGTTTTACACGGATTTCTTTTTCGTTTCGTTTTTTGGAGCGATGATCTTGGCTGAAACCCATTTATCGCCGTTTGGCACGCAGACTGAAAAAATCACGTATACGCGCTGTGTGGCAGATAAGTAGCCGAGCGGGGGAGTCGGAGCCCGCAGCTCACCACATCGACATCCGGCGACCGGAAGTGCCATAAAAGTTAATGGCGGCGCAGCGCCAAAGCACATAATCTTGTACAAGCTGCCGGCGACCCCAAAAGGCGAACAAAAACAAAAAAATTATTAAAAAAAAAAATAGGTGGAGCAAAACCAAAACCAAAACCAACCACGAGTCAAATGTAGTGAAAGTAGCACTTTCTTGGCGCTCGCCTTGTTTTTTTCTTCCCTCCTTTCCACGGCAAAAAAGTCATTCAACTTTTGCTATTTTCGTTGTCCCGGTCATGGCCAAAATGAGGTTACGATTTAAGTTGGCTTGCCCCATATTGCTAAGCGCCTCATTAATGCAAATTGACATGCAGCGCATGATTTATTCCATAAATTGCTTCATATATTTATATACATATTTATGCTGGTTTCCCGGAAAGTGCTTGTGTTTTTTCCTGAATTAATTTGTAATGCCTCGGTTATTCAACAATTGCCAAGCACAATTAATTAATTTCAGTTGTGAATAGCTGAACATTCAAATAATTCATTTATAAAGCACTCATCTACTAATTTTTAATGAAATAAAATATTGTGTGGCAAAAAGTGGAGAAATTATTCAAGTCACCTTGGGACAGATATCCCACATCGCGATTAATGATTCAACAATGAGTTGAAAAACTATACAAAATGGTGGGCTTCTTTAATCAAATTACTTTGGACGTCATCAACACCTTGGCAGGAGAACATAATTAATGGTTTAAAGCACCTTTTGTTATTTAAAAAAGAAAGAATCTTCCTTAAAATTGCTCTTAGGTTTTATATAGATTTTCCAGTGTCAAATGATTTCCACTTTGGCTCAATCAATTTGGTCTGGTTTTCTACTTTACATTTGATGCCAGAGAGATACCGGCAAATTGTGGCAAATCAGGCGAAAACATTTTAGCATTTCGTCGAGCTTCTTGGGATAATTTAGTGGCCAAAGGAGCTCGGATGAGCCGTGTGCCCTCAGCCTGTGTGGCTTTATGAATATATTATGTATTCCATACGACACGAAATCAAAGCATAAACATAACAAGTTTCCAATTGATTTGGCCTGGCTGGGAGCTTATTCTGTAACATTTATGTGTATACAAGGATGAGCCGAGGGTTGAGGCCAATTAGAGGGTAGACCGACGACCTCAAACCACCGACCAGACCGCATTGCCTCGTGCAAACACATTTTCCCCCCTGGGAAAATCACATACATTTATACCATGTATACATATATTAACGTTTTTTTTCGTGTCATATGCAGATCCCCGGCTGACCCCAAAACGGATGTAGCTTTGTGGAATTTAATAAACAATTCAGCTTCAGCTTCAGCTTCAGCTGGCCGGCGTACTTACTTGCTGGATCGAATCCCGTGATGAAGTCCGGGCAAAGTTCGTAGGCGGAAGTGCCGGCGGCCGTATCCGGCCAACAGAGCCAGCCATCAAAGGTGCCGGCGCAGTGGGGTCCTCCGCCTGTTTATCGGTCCAAAAGGGCAACCGGAGAGAAAGCGGAGAAAGCAGGAGACAAGGGCGGCAATTTAAAGTTACTCGTGCATAATGGACACCAAAATTGCAGTTGGTCAGAGCCAGAGCCACGCAGAGAAACGCCATTAAAGTGTCGGCTCAAGGGCCATTTCAAGCGTATATTTCTACTTTATTACTATAATAATATAAAACAATACCTTCTGCGAGGGTGTAAAATAAACCTGCTGGTGGCCAAGGCCGAATTTCATGAAAAAATAGTGAACCACTTTTGGGAAAATCTGCTGGCTCTTAGCTCTTTGTGGTTTTAATTAAAAGCCAGTTTAATAAGATTTATGCTTATGTAAATAAATACATTTTGGTCTTACTGCAGCTAAGTGCCGAAATAAAGCTAACTTTAAAGTTAATTAAAATACTTTTTATAGAAAATAATACATTAAACACTTTTTAACAATTATCATTATATTTATTCAAAATATTTCAAAGAAAGAAGATATAAAAAATAGTTTAGACTTAGTAAAAGATCTTTATTGTTGATCATTGGACAAGTGCAATAAGGGCTGTTTTTTCAAAGCAGATGTTACTTATTGAATTAATTTGTTGTTCTAAAATTTCGCTCAGTGTATCACTCACCCGCCAGCTGACCGCTGCCATTTAGCCGCGTTTCGCAGGCGGCCCGAAGTGCATCGAAGTCCGGACCGCTCTCCGCCGCAATTTCGGCGATGGAGGCCACGTTGCTGCCACTCCCACCGAGGGATGCATTGTTGTTGTTGTTGTTGTTATTGTTGTTGTTGTTGTTGATGTTGCCAGTTGGCTCGTTCATGGCTGCCTGCAACTACTGCACTGCGTCAGCTGAAAAGCGGCAAATAAGTTTCGTTAGTCAATCAAAATTGCATTGGAAGGGCTCATAAATGCCTGTGTGAATGTGTGGTGGCCTCTGCGAAAGTATTTTGCGTTTTACGCTCCATTTGAAAGGAAACTTAATTGGTTTTCCCACAGTTAACCCGTTTTAAGTACCACGACTGCATACTGTTGCACTGATTTCCACTGAATTATTTGTGGTTGCCGTAATTGATTTTTTGCGCACAAAAGGTATTAGTTGCGTGAGTAACTTAATTGAACTTAAACAATCGCATCAGCTCTTAAATAAAGGTATTTGTAGCAGATATTTTAAGAGAATTAGCATTTTTTGCCATAACATTGTGAACATTGAAAATGAAAAAACAATAACTAATTATACCGAATGTATTTCATTTTTGAAAAACCCATAATTGTTTGTAAATCAATTTATGCATTTAACCGCCTTTTCAATTAAATCTTGTCTCTGGCATTTTCTGTGCATTTCCATATGTCTTTGGAACTCAAATAAATATTTACCCTTTTCTGTGTGCATATTTCTGTCAACTGCAACTGAAATTCGCCTGCACAAGTTGACAATGTTTTTGTGGACGGCAAATAGCAATAAGGTGTGTGCAAATATCCACTTCACCGGGACACACAAATATTGGTGCAGAAATGTTGCACATGAGGTTGCTCCTGTGACTGTTGTGTATTCAGGCTGAAACTAGCAATGTCCACTTGCATATCGAAGATTTTCCAATTGGATATCCGACTCTGAGCTGTGAAAAGCATACGACAAATTGCTGGCATGTGGCAAGAGAACTTGTCAGGTGGTTTTTCCCCTTTTCCATTTTGTAATCTTATCGTTTAGGCAAATTGCCGCCTGCACTTAAATTGCAAAGTGACAAGAGCAAAGACCACAAAAGAGGGAAAAACAAACCAGGAACGCAGAAAATGCTGCCATGAAAGCGAACATCATAAAATCTAGGATTGCAAATTGGTTGTGCAGAAAATATGGGGGATTCTCCGAGGGTTGGGTAATGGCAAACTGAATGCATTCTGTGTGCACAACACTTGTGAGCGAGTGGCGTTTTATGACAACTCTCGGCGATGTTTGCCCGGGTTTTCTGCAGCTCACTCCATCGTCTCCTGTTGTAATAATAATACAAGTTTTATATTTATTACACGAATTACACGAAATCGCATAACATCAGTCAGGACAGCTCGCTCAACTCGCTGGCGTTGCCCTCGGTTTTCTCGAGCTCATATTCCCAGCAATTGGCTTTAATGCTTGAGCTGAGCAGACAAATTTGGTTATTAACTGGCCGTAGCCGTAAAAGCCGTTTAAGGAGCGAAGAGGGCTCGGGGCCACTTAAATTTTACGACTTCTCGGTACGAACTTGCCCATAAATCCCCGACATTGAACCTGGCATTAGCTATTGAATAAATAAGCGATTCAGTACTGAAGTGGGTTGAAAAATAGTTGGATGATAGATAAAAATCGGATAAATCTTGAAAAGTGTTCAGGCGAAACAGTTTATTGCCGAAGTTTTAGTTCTGCATTGTAAGCAGAGCAAAATATATTATCAACTGAAAAAGATATTGTTAAGTATTCCTTTTAGCTGATGAAGATATATAAATTCTTAGTACATATATAGCTTTTTTTATTTTAAATCCTAAACCATAATAAATAAAATCATCTAGCTTTATTAATAAAGTTGGAATACTGTTTCGTGTTCCTTGATTTAAAGTCATTATAACATAGGCTTTAAGTGATTTAGTTACAAAATTAGCTCTATACCATGATTCCTTTACGATGCCATATAATTAACCGATTCTAGACAAAAGCTTAACGTTTAACTAAGATGAAAATTAATTCGCTGCTAAATAAAACTCGATGAAATAAAGCCGAATGTGTAAATCAGAACATTAAGCCGGAGGATTTTCCTAGCATACTTTCTAGCGTGTCTCACTGCCAAAATGTATCAGCTCGTGTTGCTTTTAATGTGCCTGCTTGAGGAGGCGGTGGGGCAGGGGGCGTGGCCCTTAACGCCCTAAGGCGCAACACCACCCCCTCCATCGACGCACCTCCCCCGATCAGCTAATAAAAATATTTTTACGACAACGCGCGAAACTCACGCAAAACGTTGGCAATAACAGAAATTAGCAATAAAAGCGTGTGGAAAAGTGCCATAGGCGAAAAATAGCCGAGAAAAAAGTTGGTCTACAGGAAGGAAAAACGCGGGGGGAAAAGCGGCAAAGAAAAGCAGCTGCGGTGCGTTAAACAAGCTTGACTTGACTTGACTTTGGCAGCCCTGCGTTAATGCCCGATGTCAGGGATCCGTAAATTGCATTTGATAAAAGCGAACGGGAGGCGACTTCAATAAAAACCGCGCGTCGGGGAAATGGGAAAATGCGTGGGATCTTGCGGGGTGCTGGTGGGAAAAGCATAAAACTGGCAAATGTATTTCACTTTCTGCATGTGCGTTACATGTGTAGGGCATTTATTTTAGCACTCAGCACTGAAGTGTCGACCCTGACCACGCCCCCATAGCCCTATTCACAACACACAAAAAAACACAAAAATGAAATACGGACACAACATAGTGAAAAACTTTGTTGGCGAAAATGCTGGCAAAACTGTTGTGTATTAAAAAACGTAGCCAAGCGAAATTGTGCCGTCTGCATCTGTCAAAATGTTTTCAATGGCTGGTTTGGTTTCGGATTTTCCCGTGTGTGTGTGTGTGTGTGTGCTGGTGCAATGGGCCACCCTGACGTATGAGTAATGAAAATGTTTGTTCGCCGATTTCCAATTCGCTGACTGTCAGTTGTGAATCGAGACGGACTCAGTGGAGAGGAGCCCAGCCATCCAACGGATAGTTTATCTTCATACCGCGCTCGCCCAACAAAACATCTTTTAGTTCTAGCTGCAAAAATTTATTAGGCGCATAAATCAAACAGCGATGTCTGCACACAGCTCTGGATTTCGTATGATTTATTAAAGATTTTTCTTTAAATTTCGTTCGCTTTTGGAGCGAACAGCAGCATCAATTATTAAATAGACGATGGTGGGAGTCATTTATTTATTCCCTCAAATTTAGCATGAAAGAATAGCATCGAATATGGCATAAATCAGGAGTGTAATGCTTTAAGAGATTGTGCTAAAAGCCAGCCATTTCCACAGAATTTTATGTTTTATTGAGTATTTTTGGAGTGTGGGGGGATTTGTCGATCGGGCTTTTAAATTGTTTAAATAGCTTTTCGCCTAAAACAACATTTCTGCCTCCACGGCAGCCATTGCTGAAAACGTTTTGGCCTTGGTCCGAACGAAGGCATTCCATTCGGATTTCCCTGGATTTCCCTGGTATTGATGCACTGAATCGTTTTCCATTTTCCACCACTTTTGTTGCAAATGGAATGACAGAGCATAAAGGCAATTTATGAGTTTCCAATTTCGCCTGCTCTCGGGGATTTCAGCCGGGGATTATAAGTTTAAATGCTTTTCATTGAAGAGCAATTGTGTTTGCTCTCTGCCGTCGCCAATTGAGCTTGAATGAGTTGAAGATTATCTTGGAAGCCAATTAAATTATTAATTGTGAAAAATTAAACCATATATTCATTTAAATAATTAATAGGTGTTGAAGCAAACAGAAGTTTTGAATTCCTTGATATCATAAATTCATTTCATATTTAAGAAAATTATTTATTTGATATATTACTACAAGCTATTTATATTTTTCTCCTAAAATAGCTACAAATATATTGTGATTATCTTCCCCACCAAAACTGACTTTGCACAATTTATTCTTTTTATTGCCACCCATAATGTCAGACATTCATCCCGCCCAAGATATGTAGGAATTTACTCAAAGAGAAATTGAAATCGTCTTGTCCTGGCTGACAGGCACATTCCGTCTAAGTTGGCCATTCAAATCGCATTTTGTCATCTTGTATGCTCCACCAGCCGAAATGTCCGGGGAATGTATCTCAACCGAGGGCCCTTTGTTGGCGGTAATAATGCCAACTGACAGCTGCCATGGGTACGATTTGAGAGCGTGCCGGTTGATTTATTTAGCGCTGCACTCGGCAGCGTGGAAAGGAGCTCATATTTCAAATAAATATAAAGTGTAAACACGGAACGGCTCAACAGGATCCGGGATCTGACGAAGGGAAATGCCCACACAGGGACATTAAACGCTCTCCGCCGGCCGGAAGTAACTCTTAACCAGGGATTATGCTGGTTGGCCAGCGTCAAATAGCTGGAGAGGGCGATAAAACGTCCAAACACACACACACTCTTGCCCAGTTGCCCACTTGGCTCGGGATTTAAAGCCGGCGAGCGTGAAAGCCGAACCTTAATGGAATGGAATAATTTATAAAACTGGTCTGAAAAAGCCCCGGCCAGCAATGAATTAAAGAAAGATGAGGCTTTAAGCCGGTGAGCCGGCGAAAATGGAGTTTCAAAGGCCCGGGTGTAAAGTGCATTTGTGGCACATTCTTGCTTGTTTGCTTTCGCTTCCTTTGAGCCAACCTTTGTCCTGGTTCATTGCTTTTCCGCTGGACTGCTGGAATGGAAGGTGGCAGGAAAGGTGTGTGTGTGTTAGCCAAATTCCAAAATGAAATACGTGCCACACGTGCTAAATGCCTTGTTCTCGCAGCTCGCAGCTCACAGCTCCCAGTTCGCAGCAACAATTGCACAATTTGTTCGCGCGAGAAATTTGCATATGTCTAAGCCGGCGAGGCGAAGGTGTGGGTTCCGAAATGGACTTTGTTTGCCGTCTGCTGTTTGCTCTTTCACAAATGTCTTGCGGTCTACTCAAAAGTGCTCAACACACACCATAAACATGTACAGCTGCGGTCAAGATAATAGCACTTGAGATGGTTTACGTGTTAAGCGATTTACTCGTATTTTATTTCCAACTTGAAAAGAAACCTGTGTGCTTATATTATTATATATATTATTATTAGCGGTATTTTTGCTGTTTACAGAAAATAAATTATATTATACCACA